AATGCCTGGCCAGAATTCTGATAATGCCTCTTGCTTTTCTGGTTGGAGAACAAATAGGTGTGTGCAGACACTAGATAAGGGTAAAATTTACATTTGTTGTTTCACTTACTCTTGCCTTTCCCTCCACTGGCATGTAACCCTCAAAAGGCTTCCCAGACATTAACGTGGCCTTTAGGTTGAAAAAGATTTCCCCTCCTTTGCTTTAGATCATGCATTTCTCCAGATTTTGTAACCTAATCATTGACAACGGCCAAACAGTCCTTCCCCCAAACACTTTGAATTTTAACAAGTTTTCCTATCTTATCTTTCTTTACATGTCTTAATTTGTAAGAGTGCTTTTCCACAGAAAACAGGAAAACGAAACAGAACCTCTATATTCTGAAGAATTTGGAACAGTTTAGCAGAAAGATGCAGACTCTAAGTAGGAGGCTAAACTATTGAAACTTCAGACCAAACCCAGAGACCTTGCAATTGTAACAGTAAGATTAATAGGCGTATTAAGCAGTGTTTCTTAAAATGATATTCCCTTTGTGGGGTACTAATGCCATTTGCTTCTGAAGCCACTGCAAGACAGACTATAATGAGTTGAAAGAATGCAATGGATAGCAGGCAAAGAGAAGTCTTCAGCCAACAGTGATGAGGGATGCAGCTACCATGTGAATGTTGTAACAGTGTGGTGGTTACAAAAAGACACAAATGCCCCTATTTTCATCTGTGAAATGTTGAAGGATATTAAGCATCAGTATCTGGGAAGGCAGATTTTGCAGCTAGCAAATGGGGATGAAAAAGCTAAGCAGGTCTGAACTAGTAGCAATGGTATCAGCAGCAGAACATCTCACGGCACATGACCTCTTTGTTGAGCATTTTTCTCAATTTGTTTGCAGATGGATTAGTAAACACTGGCTATTTAAGAAGCATTCTGATCTGTTTGCGGGGAGGTTGGATGATCCCACACTTTCCAGTGTACTGTCCTCTCACTTTCCTGATAACAAAAAGTCCAATCTTTGGGGAGGAATGAATTTGCTATACAAGACCTCCTAATCAACTATAACTGCAATTTGCTGCTCTCCAACTGAGTCCCAGACTCAGAATAGTAACAATCTGAAAGAGCCCCAGGACAAGGGCTGTTCATACAGCCCAAGACGTTCATACAGGATTTTCTTTGCATATAGTGCCAAACTAGAAGCAGATACTACAGTTGCATAACATGAGAGTCTTTGAATTGCAAAACTAGAATAATAAATCTAAATACAATAGCGATTACGCTAACAGAGAAACTTCTAAATCAGCAACAGAGAAACTGAGATCAATATGAGATCAAGACCTGAGAAACAAGAATATTAATGCATGCATTCAGTACATACAGAAATCATGTTTGGCTCCTGCAAAAGATCAAATGAATTATTATAACACACCTAGGTTGCTTCACTGATAATCTGCAATATGTTGCACAACTATACTTTCATTTTATGACTGCTCACAGCACCTGTTTTTAACAACGCCATAGCACACAGCAATAAACTGTGTCATTTCCTTAATAAACCCTAGGTGTTTACACAGTCTGCAAGTTCGCCAAGTAAACAGACAGCATAAGGAGGAACTTTAAACATAATTATTTTAGCTTTCAAGGAAACATGAGCTTCAAAATGCATTATTTAAAAATAAAATTAAATACCTAAAATTGCATTTAACATTCTACATACAAGTGATTTGTCGAAGACATATTTATAAAAAGGAAAACCCCACATTTTGCACTCCAGGTTTCCAACAGATCATTAGATACTGGATTAAGAAACAGAAGGCACTATAGCTTCACCCCCCATCCCTTAAGTTTGACTGATCTTCATCAGAGACAAGCCTTTCGTGTGGCAGGCCCTATGCTGTAGAACTCTCAATCTGTACAGGTTCAGCAGTAACTATCCCTGCCTTATTTTAGACATCTTCTGAAAACTACATTGTTCAAACAGGTCTTTTCTTTAAACAAACCAGTAGATAAGAACACATCCTGCTGGATGAGGCCAATGGCCCATCTAGTCCAGCATCCTGTTCTCACAGTGGTCAACCAGATGCCTGTGGGAAACCAGGGAGCAGAACACGAGCATGAAAGATTCCTCTCCATCCACTGGTATTTGGGAGCATGGCTGCCTCCAGCTGTGGCAGCAGAGAGAAGCCATCATGGCTAGTAGCCATTAAGAGTTCTCTCTGTGAATTTGTCTAATCCTCTTTTAAAGGCATCCAAGGTGGAATCTATACACATATTAAAAACGTTCTGAAAATGCTTTTTTCAAAGCATTTTTTTAAAAATATATTGAATTTTCCATCGTCATCCAGTGTCACATTGTATATCAAACTTAAAACACACTGAAAACGTTCTATTTGCTGCTGTATAGCTGAGTCTCAAGTTGATGGGGGGAGTGAGCTCCATAGTTTGACCCTCTGTTTGGAGACTGGGAAGAAGGTAAATTCCATGCTATGGATCACTAGGAAATAAAACTGCCAATATCATAATGCCGTTATGCAAATCTATGGTGCAACCACATAGGAACAAGTATCATTGCCCTTCCATAGGTTCTCAAAACCTATTGCTGTATTAAGCTTGCTTTGTTGCCAGCTCAATTTTTCATTTATTTAAGCCTCAGCAGTTTTGCCTAAGGCTGCAAACCAATTCACAATTTAAGCGCTTCCCTAAGTGGCTGTTAATTGCGGACCCAAAGCTGCTCAAGTGCACATTTAATCCAGATTTCCCATTTAATCCAGATTTCCCATTTAATCCAGATTTACAATTTCTGCAGAAAATCCAGCAATTAAACAAAACCCATGGAAAGAGTGGATCTGAATTTAAATGGGGAGGGATTTAAATGGGACAGCAGTTTGATGATGATGATGACAATGGTGTTGTGTAGAATATGCAGAAAACTTGCAGGCACAAGCAGCACTGAGTGCACAGTAAACTGTATTGTGGAAGTGTTCTTACTTGCACAGGAATGTGCATAAGACTGGATTCTAAGGGGAGAAATTCAATTCAGTTCACATTTAAAAGTGAGCCTACATAATTCACACTTTCTGAAACAGTATGCAAACTGAAATGCAGCTGTCCCTTTGAAATTCGTACTTCTTTAAACTTCGCATAGCAGTTCTCCAGTTCTCTTGTTGGCAAGAATGATATACTGGGGTGAAGTGTCCATAAAAACTCATATAAATGAAAATAACACAGAAAAATGCATTATTTTAGGGGAAACTGCTTTGCAAAAATGTGTGCATTTGGTAAAATTGCATATGAAAATGCGTATATTAGGAGACATGCACACTAAACTGCTTTTGAATGTTCATGAAGACTTGAAAAAAAGGCATGTTGATGATGTAATGCAGAAAAATTAGAAACAGTGATAAATGAAATAGACAAATTTGCCCATCCCTAGCTGTAAGTGGTTTCATTTCTTTAAAACACTGCCCCTCTGCCCTCTGCCCAGTGTACAGCTAAACAATTTCCTGGAATAGTACCCTGCAAAGAGAAAAATCAGACAAGAGGAGCCTAGGAATACTGACTCCACAGTGGGAGTGCGTATTAATCAAAAGGAGCAATGTAATAAGGAGAGAGAGGGGAAACAAGAAAAACACTGCAGCCACTGTTTTATTCTTGGCATCGAGCCCACATGGACACAATTTCACAAGACAACATTTTTACTAATGCTGGGCTCCAGCTTTTGCCGTGTCCACAAAAAAGTGATGCCAATTCACATCTGTTGCTGAAAAGCAAATTACCTAGGATCAGGGGCGTAGCGTGGGTTGTCAGGACCCGGGGGAAGGCAAGTAATTTGCACCCCCTAACCCGTGGATTTGTGCCCCCTTACCCCAACCCCCAGATGTTGTGCCCGGTGCGGCCGGCCCCCCCTGCACCCCCCATGCTACGCCACTGCCTAGGATGTCACAGGTTTTCAAGCATTTCAGAATCCTGTAACTGGATTAAAACAAGCAATGTTCTATCTATGTATGTTCTATCTATGTTCTATCTATGTATCATATTCACAAGACCACATTCCGCCTCTTGGGCACCATAGTCAAACCAAACAACAAGCAGCATTATAAAATGGTGACTATAAAGCCTTTGCAGCTAAATAAATTAATTTTTCACTCCTGTACTGGAAAAGGTCAATAATTCTAGAAGGAGGGTTATTGTTTTTGTTGTTACTATGTTATGTATTTTTGTGTTTTTAATATTGTAAACCAAATTACTCAAACAAGGCAAAGTGCTCCTTGCTTGAATATTTTCAATACACTGTAATTTACGGGAAGTCTTTTCAAAAAGGGTAGCTAAGCAAAGAAGAAATGAACTTGTATGCAGAATACATTGTGAAAAGAAAAGGAAAAAAGCTCCAAACCACAAAGTATTCAGTGACATGAAAAAATGCGGAGGAAAAGGGCCAAGGGATTAGAATAAAGAGAAGTGGCTTTCAAGCACTAGGACATAGTTTTGCACATATTAGAGATAACTAGTCTAGACAGGAGTAGGGTGGTGTGGATTCCAAGTGCTACTTCAAAACCAGACCCTGAGTGGTAGTGACATTTTCTGGTCAATATTAAAGGGCAAATGCATATTTCCAAGTTTGTTCGTGTTTAAGGGAATTCCTTCTTTTTTCTTTTTCTTTTTAGTATTTTAAAGATCCAAAGGAACAGCAATCTGAACTGAAAGACACATTAGAGTATGCATTCCCTATTGTCAAGCACCTTCTTTCAGTGTATCAGTGACCAAGCACTTTAGCCTGAGGAGCTGTATTCTGTTAGCATTCAGATGTTCAGATGCTACTCAAACACTACAAATGGCAAGGCTTTTCCCCAGAGCAGCTTGGTAACTAACTGTAGGTCTGTGAAACGTGCCAACAATTTCTAAGTGATTTTTCAACATCTACAGCAAATATCAGTTCCCATAATTATTTGGGGGAACCCATGACAATTACTCTAGTATGATTAAAAAAACCAAAAGTGTGTATTTATTTTATTTTAAATATTTATAAACTGGACCAGCAGTATAACAATAAAACATAAATCACATTGCATATCATTATGTTACAACATATAATCTAAAACTAATAAGAAAGCCCCTGCAAAATCCTATAATACATTACAATTTAATTTAGCTAGCATAAAACCATTTCCAAAGCCACAGGAGTAAAATAATAAAATAGTACCATGTCTAACAGACACACTGCTGTAGATATGCTATGAGGGGGAAAATTCAATTAGTAGTTTCTAATTAAAAACAAAGGTGGTTGTGCTGGTCCATAAGAAAAAGCTGCAGTCCATAGTTGGGTAATGCCTTTATTATAGGTAGGGATGGAAGAGGAATTTGTACTTTTTGAAATGACAAGCAAAGCACAATCATCCTTCAAAATTCACATTCCTCTGAATTTTGTGATGGAGTCCTCCAACCAAACAATATTTACAAAAAAATGCATATATTAGGGGAAAGTGTGGACAAAAATATATTTATGAAAATAACATAGAAGATGCATTATATCAGAGAACATTAGTTGTAAAAATATGAAAATTAGTCAAATTGCATACGAAAGTGATGATGTACTTTTGTGATGTTTTTTTAAAAGCAAATTGCTGCAAAAATGTGATTTAGAACTGAATTTCAGATTGGAAAAATGAGAAACTGAGAAAAACAAAATTGGCAAACCATTCAACTCTTATGACCAACCAAAAAGTCACAAAAATAGGACTTGAAAATAGAAAACTTGAGTTTTCTAGAACACTTCATTGGTCAGGATGTTACTCAAAGCAAGGAGTGACAGAATGAGAAAAGACAACAAAATAACAAAGGTACAAAAATAAAGCTAGATGTTGTAGCAATGAGGTTGGTTTGTTCTCAGGCCTATGACATCTAGCCTAACTGTTGTATTTCCTTTCTTCTCATTCCATCACCTCCTGCTTCACATAACATCTTGCCTGATTAGGACTTATGTCACATTTTTGTGACTTTTGGTTGGTCCTAATAATTGTATCTTCATCTAACTGTGGACTTCATAGTAATGCTCTGCTAGTGCTGCTAGTGTTGTAAACAAAAATATGCCCTTTTCCCTTATGGGGTATCCAAGAGCCCATATAGAGTCCTTACATAGGTTCCCTATTGGTAGGAGAGAATAACAGAGGCCAACCAGAGAATATTGAGAAGCAAAGCAGCTAGTAAGCTTGATCTTTATTAATCTGTTGCAACAGGGTGCTCCCCTCACCCGCAGGAGAGAGGAGGGACCCAGAAAAATGGCATGCAAGGCCTTATAAAGACTTTTGAAATTCCCATCCTGTAGATCAAGACCACCCCCAGAAACATCATACATACATCACAGAAGGGGTGTAACCTAAGACCACCCCTCAGATACATCACACCTACATCACAGAAAAGGCGGTCCAAAACAGAACATTTGAATGTTGTTTTTTCTCCTGTCCTTGTTTATCTCCTGTCTGGCAGGTTACTTGATTGGATTTCCTGGGTAGCCTGGCCAGTCTTTTGTAATGATAAATACTTAGTTCCTGGGCCAGGTCACAGGCTCACACCCTATTCAAACAGACATACTCTTAAGACAGGATTTGTGAAGGAAAAGACAATGGGGAGGTTTCCCACTTTGACCTTTCAAAGAAAACATTTGGTCAGTTTAGGAATCAAAATGGTTCCAGGTTGGTCTTCCTGTGCTGATCTATGTACATGCAGTTATGAACATTACCATATATCTAAGACCCCAAAATTCCTATCACACTAGCCACCCTGAGAATATAAACGCATGTTGACAGTGTAGGATATAAAAAAACAACAACTAATCTTTGCTGGTATTCTCGACTTTGACTAAATATTCACTCTACTTCTTTTATTCTCATGATGGAACTTTGTGGTCAGAAACCACATGAAATCTTGTTCTGAATGTCTCTTTATATTCCTGTCCTTTTATTGTTGAGGCTAGATAGGAAACAATATTGGAACACAGTGCCAGGAGAAGCTTGATTAAATAGCTGCTATTCTCTTTCAGTAGGTACCTAAGTAGCTAGGAAAGAGTTAGAAGAATGGCTAACTGTATACAGATTAATGTGGATGTGTTTGGGTAATTTATGGGGTATCGCGTCTATTTTTATTTTTGTAAAACTGAAAGAGCAATTAGTAATAATCACAAGCAAGATTACAGCTGTTGAAGAAACCACAATGTGGGCTGATTATTTCCTTCAAGACTGCATATCTTTAAACTCCCATTCTGTGTGTAAACCTTTGAAATGGTCTTCATGAAAACAGCATTTTACAGGATTCTTTTAGAAGAAAGAAAATGCTTCTTTCATCAATTTATTTTCCTGAGTCTTTATTTGTGTGCACCAGATTATTTTGTATTAGTCATAAGGTTGAAGAGAGAAAACTACAGGTTGTAACAGTGGAATTAATATTTTCTTTGGTGCCATGAGCATTTGGGTAGCATGTTACTTTGGGAAGCACACTATGAGTGAAATATTTTTAAAACAGTGATAAGGCTATCACTTTAGGTAGCTGTCCTATTTTCTCTCTGCATCATTCCTTCAACATTTCCAGTTTATCTATACCTATAAACATTTCTGAAAAACCTAAAAGCACAAACTTTCCACATTCCAGCCTGGTTTATAGGTGAAGGACAATATATGAACTAGAATAATAGAAAAGGCATTGCTCCATTTCTTCCAGTGTCCCTACTATCACTGTTGCTCTCCAACTTTGAATACAGACACATTGCCCTCAATAGTCCTACTTTGCACATTTAGCATAATGGAACAGGTATGTTGGACTGGATGAAGGGGACAAATTCAATTTTGTTCCATTTTAGTGAGAAAATCCCTAATCCACACTTTCAGAACCAATGTGTGAACCAAAGCACAATAATTATTCAGAACTTGCACTTCTCTGAATGCATGATGCAGTGCCCATCTACATAATGACTACAAAATGCATATATTAGGGGAAAGTGTACAGAAAAATGCGTGTATTAGTGAAAATTACATATAAACCACATTGGATTAGCGGGATTTGCTTGCAAAAGTGTGATAACATTCAAAACTGCATATGTACATCTACTTCCGGGTTAGCGCCATCGCCGAATGGCGGACTCCCTCCGAGCTCCGGAGGGAGTCTGCTCGGCAGGGGCTGGGTCCTACCGCGCCGGCGACGCGGGGACCCTTAAAAACCACGGGCACGGAGTCCGTGGACATGGGTGACTCGGCTTGCACCATTAGCGCCCTCCCGACTCGTGAAGGAGCCTTTTAAAGGCTTCGGATCGGGTGCCGGGAGTGGCGTGGTGCTTGAGTCCACTGCTTTCCCTGCCGAGCGCAGCCGCATGCCATTCGGCGGAGAGCGCTGACTTCTTCTATTGAAAATTTGGACTATTAACAACAACCCGTGAGTAATTGGGAAACCGGGTTCAAAATTTTGGATTTGGCACGAGCGGGGCGATTTAAAAGGAAGTCAATCCCCCTATTGTAAACATTCCAAAACAAGGACTGGGTAACCAAGGTCCAAAGGGAAGTATGTCTTTGATAAAAATCATTAATTTCACGATGGGAAATTATAAGAAATGTGCTGGAGGAGAAGAGTGGAGGGTGAGAAGAAAAATGCAACCCCCCCCCTGGGAACCGGGGCGATTCGTGGAGCTTGGTGAAGAGAGACGGAGACTTTGACAGCTGTCAAAGTGGCTGTCAAAGCTGGAGAATATAAAGAGGACTTTACGAGGACCTTGCTGGTTAATTTTGTTACAATTTGCTATAATATGGATATAAACTGTTGGAAAATAAGCAACAATTTGACTTTTGGATTAGAGGATACAAAGTTATTACAATCCCCTAGAGGGGTTTCGGGATACTACAAGAACGGTCGTAAGTGGAAAAATACCCTGGGATTCGCACAGGATTTGTTATCTTCTGGGAAAGCTGCAAAACTGAAAGAGTATTTTGTCTACAGAGGAAGACAATGGAATTTTTTATTGAAGAAAGAAAGGGACTGGACGTAAGTTTTTGTTCCTGAATAACAAACCTCTGCAGAGACACTAGATTTCTGAATTAGAAAGTTTTAGCAGCTGAACAGGACAAGAAACCTGAGAAAGTGAGGAATAAGAAGAATAAAGGACTGATTACGACACGGAAAGAACAACGGGAGGAGTGGTAAAGATCAAGGAAATTAAAGGCCTTTGTTAGATTGGACATTTGAAGTCAAATATTATTTAAATTAATAAACTAAAAGAAAACCGGCAAGATGGAATCGGGAGAAATCTGGTCATGAAATGAGACTTCCAAGCTGATAATGTATAGACTGATGGACATGGGGAATTCAAACCGGGGAAGGGGGGGGGGAGATTTGAAATCCAAAGGCTCTGTAACTATTTTTTGAATTTTTCTATATCTCTTATTTTCTATTTCTTTACATAACTTACGCATGTTATTTTACTTTGATCGGACGTGTTTAAAAAAAGGGAATGTGTGGAAGGAACTGGGGTGGATCTTGGGGAAAATCTTTTTTCTTTTTCTGTTAATGATGTGGGACGGTGGTAAGATTTGTATAATTCAATCTGGATAGTGGGTTAAACAAATTAAGCTTTAAATTGGGAGTGAGAGCTTGTAGAACTAAATTAAGGAAAGGGGAATACAATTGGGGGGGGGAGGGGGGGAGTCCCAGAAAGTAGGGAATGAAAGTAAGGTTTTTAAATATCTTTTTTCTTTTGTCTTTTTTCTTTGTATTTTTATATTTTTGGAAACTTTAATAAATATGATTTAAAAAAAAAAACAAAACTGCATATGTACAAAAATGTGATTTTTAGTAGAAATTTACACTTAAATGCTGGTGAATTTTCATGAGGATTTTTTAAAAAAACAACAACACACGGATTATTGCAGAAATATGAAGAACTGGATTCAAGATTGGAAATATTAGAAACTGAGAGAAGCCAAAATGGACAGATTCATCCACCCCTAGCAAGTTTACAGTGCCACGATTCCTTCTTGGTATCACATATACAAGTGCACAGTCACACAGAGAAAGGCTAGCATTAACTAAGCCATATCATTTCAGGCATTTTATGTACACATTCTCCATGAGGCCTGATGAATGTGCACAATGGCTAGTTATGCACAGAGACCACTCAACTCACATTACCCCTAACATATACACACATTTTGCTGGGCATGTTCACACTTGTCACTTTTCCAGAATGATTGTAAAAAGCAGGTTATAAAGAACAACATTCATATATATATATAGAGAGAGAGAGAGAGAGAGAGAGAGAGAGACGGACGATTTCCTCTTTCATATCTGTGAGTTACGTCAGCAATTTCCGAGTCACAACTAAAGAATGCTTTACTATTACGGTATATGGTCAAACCTGGAATGTTTATGAGAATGTAGTTTATCATGCCAGCAATCCATACTCATGATTACTATATCATTGAAGAAACAAGAGCAAGTCCAGGCCTGAACAGTTTCTACCTGTGGGGCTGCCTGGATTTCAATAGCTATTACAGTATATCTTGTATGCGGAAAGAATCAGAAATCAACATAGTAGTAGGAATTTGGCTAAGGGTGACTGCATCACATGTTCATAACATTGCATTTAAAAATAATTAACACAGAATATTTGCCACATTATCCTAACTCAATCACCAATCGTTTTGTGTTAATCAGTATGTATTTTCTGCTGGTGCACACACAGCACTCAAAGACTATGATACAGGTAAGGGATCAGACAATAGGAATAAGCTGTCCCTCCACTGTTGTTCAGAAAGGCCCCCCTTAAAACTGCTTTATCCTCTGTGTTTTTAGTCACATTTTGACATTAAGTCTACACTGACATTAAAACTGGTAAATCCTAGCTCAGTTGGGCTTCAGGCGTAGTTGCTGACTCGGATCTGTACTGGTACATGATAGGCTATGGACTGCAGCCTTAACTACATTATCTAAAATAAAAGAGCAATCCAGACCCTTGATCCACTGTACTGGACTGCTGGAGGGAGTCTGCATGCTATAATAATAAGAAACAGAACTCATCAATCATTAACAGCATATAGAAGTCACCATCCCTGTTAAAGGTAGACCTGCTCTCATAAGACTACTGGGGGCAGGGGCAGAAATCCCAGTTTTTAAAAAAACAAAACCATTCCTAGTTAGCTATGAGTGGAGGAAAGAGGGGAATGAGCATCAGGTTTTAAAATTCAAACAAAGTGTCAAGGTCTGCTCCAGTGGGTAAAGAATGCCCCAGGTCTTATTTTTTGTACTACAGTAACATGGGTCTGGTAGTGCAGTAGTACCAACACTCCCAAACACAGCTAAAGTGGCACAGGCATGTGGAAGAGGACATTATTGGCAATGTCAAAGACTACCCCGTAGGAGTCCATAAAACTTGATACAACTATATTACATTAAGTAATGTGGGTGTACTAGTTGGAGGGTTCTCAAGGTGGGGCTGGTGGACTTTGTCACTGTTTGGATTCTGAGAACTACTTTGAATCAAGATGGCAGATCAAAACATGGTTATGTTGTGACTTCACATTTTTGGGGGCATATATTTGGCCGTCTTTCAGAACATTGGTACCAAACTTGGCACAAGGTTATTGAAGTGAGGTGGCAAAGTTTGTTGATGTTTGGTCAACAGCCACCATTCTGAATTAAGATGGTGCACTGAAAAATCACTTTGGCGTGGCATTGCCCATTTTTCAGCATAGGTTGAATTGCCTCATTGCCAAACTCAACACAAAGGTTGCTAAGGTAGAGACAGTGAATTCTGATACCATTTAGATTCCACATGCCATTTTGACTCAAGATGGCAGGCTGAAGTTGAGACTTTGCCTGGTTTTTTGCCATAGGTTCAGATGCCTCTCAAGATACTAGGCATGAGTTGGGGTGTGCGTGCTGGACTTCACGGACATTTGGATGCCAGGCACCAATTTGATTCAAGATGGTAGGCTGAAATGTGACTTTGGCATGACTTTTCCCATTTTTAGGCATAGGTTTGATCACCTCTCGATATATTGTTGCCAAACCCAACACAGGTTTTCCTGCCTGTAGCAGCCATGGTAACTGAAGTAAACATAGTAAACTACTTTATAAAGAGTTGGGCCATTGGGCCATCTAACTCAATATTGTCTACACTGAATGGCAGCAGCTCCCCAGGGTTTCAGTCAAGAGTTTCTCCCAGCCCTACCTAGTGATGCTAGGAATTGAACGTGAGGCTGTTTGCATGGAAAGCAGATGCTCTACCACTGACTTACAGCCTAAAGTAAACTAAAGACTGACATCTCACAACAACTAAGTGACAATTTTGCATTCATAGTGTATTAAAAATATTTCTTGGCAAGACTCTGACTGAGCAATGCAGTGCAAAGCACAGACAGTGTTTAGCTAGCATACTGAAATTTAATCTCAAATTTACATTAATTGGGATTATATTAGAATTTTATGCACAACTGAATTTATAAAGCAGTAAAATAAGAGCACATACCAAGACTGACTAGGCATGATCCATTAATGTTTTCTTTCCCATAAAATGATGCTTAAGTGACTATAAATAATTTTACATTAAAGAATGTGCTGAGCCTTCAAAGGAATGTACCAAACAGGAATATATACCACGAATGCAGATCTTTTCCCTACCTCTGTCTCCCTTTCTTCTCCCACACATACCAGTAATTAAACTTTACTTAACTCTACTTAACTCACTTTTTATTAGATTGGAATCTAAAGAAGCTTCCTATAATTATTTTGATTTTCCCTTTCCTTCAGCATAGGTTCTATGGTAAAGTGTTGCATTTATTTTAACTTTAACTTTTAACGAATATATGAAGCTGTCTTATGGGGGCCCTTTATCTTCCACACATGTACATCTTTAAACACCCATGTATCTTTTTAGCGGCAGCTGAGCTGAAATGATTATCCAATTATTTTAAAGGCATTATTTTAATGAGGCAATATATAAGTATTCTATATAAATAAATAAATTCACAGACCTAATTCTTTGAATGAACATTCAGTTGGAAATCTTCACATTCTCTCTACTTCTTTCTCAGAGGTCTTTTATTTCTGGAATGGCACCATATAAAATGAATTCAGCAAAGTTCAATAAGATTTCAGAAGCCACCTGTGTACTGGACTGAAACAGAAAATATTTGCATCATAATTAGCCTGTTTAATGGATACTTATCTTCTATTACATCTCATAGTTTTGTGCAGCTAAAAAAAAATTGCAGTTTTTCTATATTCACAGACATTGATATTTAAAGATAACACCTTACATGTTTGCATTATTCAAATCAAATTTAGCACCATCCTACTACCTATTCTCACAAAATCACAAACAAGTGTATGTCCCTTCCAACAATACTGCCAGATTTTTCTCCCCCAAATCCATGAAATAAATGCTCTCTTTACAAAGCCCTATAGGGAAGTCATGCCCTTACTGGCATGAAGTTTCAAGGGTTTGCCCAACAGGTACTGCAGCCCATGGCCTGACCATTAGGTCCAGTCGCAGACGACTCTGGGGTTGCGGCGCTCATCTCGCTTTATTGGCCGAGGGAGCCGGTGTACAGCTTCCAGGTCATGTGGCCAGCATGACTAAGCCGCTTCTGGCGAACCAGAGCAGCGCACGGAAACGCCGTTTACCTTCCCGCCAGAGCGGTATCTATTTATCTATTTGCACTTTGATGTGCTTTCGAACTGCTAGGTTGGCAGGAGCAGGGACCGAGCAATGGGAGCTCACCCCGTCATGGGGATTCAAGCTGCCAACCTTCTGATCGGCAAGCCCTAGGCTCTGTGGTTATTTAACCCACAGCACCACCCGCGTCCCAACTGGCTGCATAGTAGTGAGAAATTCCTCAGTTACTGCTTTTTGCAGCTTTGAGATACTGCAAGAAATGAAAAAGCACCTATGTACATACAGCCAAATTACGATTTGAGCAAGTCCTGAGAAAGTACAGGTACTTCCAGGTGACTGTTATTGTGGGGTTGGTGCTCTTCACACGTACAAGCTTGTCGCAGTGTCCGCATGACATCATGGGTCTCAAAATGCCAAACTCTTTCCCCTTTCCTTGTACCACTTTTGATACTTTTTGTGATATAGCAGTACAGTGGTACCTCAGGTTAAGAACTTAATTCGTTCTGGAGGTCTGTTCTTAACCTGAAACTGTTCTTAACCTGAAGCACTGTAGCCTTATGAGGCTTTGCCCTCGGGTGGGAAAAAGTATTGCACCCGGGAGAGGGAGTGGGACACTCAAGGAATAGGTTCGGAGAAAAAGCTTTATTTCTACCATCCATTAACTGGTAGAAGGAGCAAGTGTGATAGATTCACAAAACAAGCATGGGTTCAGTCATTTGCACAGAGCATATATTCCCCTTTCAGTTCCCTCCCCTTTCTCCTCCTCTTCAGGAGTCCTGCCCCATGAGTTCCTCTGAGCATGAACAGAAAGCTCCTGTTTTGGACTCTTTTGGACTCTTCCCAGGAAAGGGGGTGAGAAGCCAAAGGGGGGGGGGTCGAGGAGCCTTGTGGTTCAGCATGTCCAAGATGTTGCAACTGAATGAGATAAGACTCAGTTCTCAGGCTTGCTTTGAACAGAGCCTATTCATTAGCCTTTTCGAAGCTCTCTTGTACTGATAAAAGTAACGGTTTGCCCTTGCACAGCATCTTGTGAGAAACAGAGGAAAACTTTAGCTGTGGATTTTTAGAAGAGAGAAAAGGAATTTTGGACAATTTTGAGGCCTGGTTGGGGGGTGTGACTTCGGGCCTAGGTGGGGTCACCTGTCCTCACCTCCTTCAGCACCACTTTAGCTAATGGGGGCCTCCTGCTGCTGCCCCGCCGCTGCACGATTTCTGTTCTTATCCTGAAGCAAAGTTCTTAACCCGAGATAATATTTCTGGGTTAGTGGTGTCTGTAACCTGAAGCGTCTGTAACCTGAAGCGTATGTAACCCGAGGTACCACTGTATATAAGTACTTTTATATTCCCCCCCCCCCTTCTGTATTCTCATTTTATTATTCCATTTGGGGTTTTTTCCTATTCATTAGTATTTCTGTATTTTGTATGTGCTTATGTCAATAATCTTTCTGTATGAAAAATGACCATAATAATAATAATACAATTTCTTATTGAATTTAAAAAGAAATAAAAAGTAATAAAATAATCGAATCCAGATTTGCCCACCATAGAAAAATCCACATATCCACAGAATTGTAGAGCTGGAAGAAACTCCCAAAAGTCATCTAGCACAACCTCATCATCTCAACACACCGTCCCCGCTCCGATTTGAAACCATTTTGGGCCCCTGCTTAGCTTGCAAGTTGCACTAGCAAGTTTTATCGCTGCGCCCCTGGATGAACAAAATACCTGCTGCCAACGACTCAGTTGCGCTTTATCTGGTCAACAGGTTTCATTCATAATTCTCTCTAGGGAGAAAAAAAAATCATATGGAAACGAAATGCTCCCTGGGTGCTGGACCCACGCGAGGGGAAGAAATCAGCGAGGGGAGGGTTGGACTAGATGTCTCCTCCCCCCTCCCCGGTTGCAGTTAATTTTAGGACTGCCTAAGCCGAAGATGTCCAGTGGCCGCGCCCGTTTCTATAGCGCCGCCGAGGTCGTGTCCTTCGCAGCTTGTTCAAGGGGAACTACAGGGGGCGGGTTGCTCCAGGCTAGGCAAAGCGCCCGGCCTCAGTCGGAAGTTCTCCTTCTCTTCCCTCAAAAAAAAAGGCGCCGCTTTGCTTCGCTCACCCCCCCCCCCGCCATCTCCCTCAGCGCTTTCTTTCCCTTTTCGCCCGTCCTTGCCAAGGCACCTGGGCAGGGAAAAAAGGCGGGAAGCCTCGCTCGCGGCCTCTCCCTCACCTGGCCTACGCGCGGCGCGGGGCAGGGAAGGAAGGAGCGGCCCTCTCGTCTGCGCCGCGGGGGTGTGGGAGCTGAATCACAGCCAGCCAGCCACCGGGTGACTCACGCAGAACACACTCCAGCCAACCCTCGCCGTCTAACCCCGGACTTTCCCGAGGGGGGAGCCGGTACTATAAGAGAGTGAGGAGAAACTCGCTTCCGCGCCTGATTGTTTTTTGCTCGCGCGCGACACGGACACCACGCGCGTTTCGGTCGCGCAACGGTTTTTTGTTTTTTCCCTCCCCTCTCGCCGGACGTTCGAAGGGATGGCGGGCGCCGCCAATAGCAGCCGGGCGCTGCTGCTTCTCCTCTGCGCGCTGCTCTACCTGGCGCGCCTCAGCTCAGGTGAGTCGAGGAAGGCGCGAGACCGTCGCAGCCTTCTGGCTCTTGCTCTCTCGCTCGCTCTCCTTTTTCTGGAACGCTTCGCCTCACCGGGTTGCGCGGGCGCGCAGTCTTGCGCCGCCGAGGAAGCCGGCCGGGACGCCGCTGGATTTTTGTGTGCATGGACTTGCATAAGCATGGGGAAGAATTTTTTTCGCCGTTTTTCCAGCCGAGCTTCTTCCCGCTTTGTTTATAGTACCTCGGACAGAGGGGGTTGTGCATTAAAGGGGTGCGCTCTGTTGTTCTGGTTTGGGCAGTCTGAAGCCACAATCCTATATGCAGATCGTATATTTGGAAGGGTCCGCCAGGGTCATCTAGTCCAACCCCCCTGCAATGGAGGAATCCAGGGGTGCCAACTTGAATAAAATAGTTGGGGGCCCAGGTAAGCTGCGCCCCATATAATCGATCACATGATGGGGCACACACACACACACCTATTTGAATGGCAGTGCCCATCAACTTGAAGGGGGGTCTCTAATATTTTATAGGGGCAGAAGGCACCTCAGCCCCTAGGAGATGGACCCTGTGCACAAATTTCAACCAAAGCATCCGTGACATGATGGCCATCCAATCTCTTGCTTAAAAACCTCCAAGAAAGGAGAGTCTGTTCTTGTGGGAGTGCATTCCACCGTCAAACAGCTCTTACTGTCAAAAAGTTGTTATTGGTGTTTAGTCCAAATCTCCTTTCTTGCAACTTGAATCCATTGGTTTGGGTCATAGCCTCCCAAGCTGGAGCTACCTGGGTACAAGCTTAGGTTTTGGTTAAAAGATTACTCTTCCCAAAGTGCGAGGATGAAATAGCATGAAAGGTATGGAGTGTGTTGGCTGTGTTTGGAAATATAGTCGCTTCAAGTTATTACGAGGGATGTTCATGATGCTCAAGGACAACATTTGTAGATATGCAAGCCTTTCAGTATTAATGTTTCCCCGGTAGAACCTTTAAAAGGAAAATAACAAAGAGGTACAGGTTTTCAGGAATTTCCAATGGAGGCTCAAAACAGATTATTCATAAATTGTAAATGGGTCGCTGGCAACAGGTGTTTTTTATTTCATTGGATTTTGTGGAAAAGGTAAATCCAGTTGGAGTGGGGGAATAAGGGCTAGCATTTTGATGCTAATGTCACGTATAAAATATGTTAGCATTAGCAGCACTGATCCCACAATAAGCACCTGTGCTAGACATCTTCCTCCACCCCATTTCCCAACTTTTTTCTACAAGACCATTTTCTACCTGAAATCATTTGGCGATTCTGTGGCTTAATGGCACTGTATTTGTCTAGTTCTATGTGATGTGTGAATTTGGTTCTTGTGGATATCACGGGAGCGGATATACTGGGGTACAGTCCTATAAAATAAATGTATTGTTCAGAACAGACAATGGAATGTGGAATTTTTGGAAATTTCATGGAATTATTAATTGTATACATCATACATCACAGACTGGAATTATGAACTGATTGTTGGATGCCTCAGAAGTGGACATTTTGAGCTGTTTTTGTTATAATGGGTTTGTCTGGAAATGATTAGTGAAATCTTAATATTGTAAGTCTTGAAATAAATATTCAAGATCAATATTTTAAACAATTTGCACTGTTAGTTGCAACAATTTTATTGACAAAATATCTGTGCTGTCTTGCCTCACTTTCTAAAGCTAATTATGTCACAGTGTTGTCGTCTTTAGCTGGATCTAATAAGGGTATTAGGAAACCATTCCTGCCAGTTCTCTAAACCTGAGGTTTTTTGTTCTTAATTACATAGCAATTTACTACATTAAAAAACCCCAGTACAAAACACTTAAACTTGATCATTACCTCCTAATACCTTCCTCTTCATTTTCTGAATAGTGTATATGTTTGTTTGTTTTTATTTAATTTTCTAATTTGGGTATTGATACATCTATTCTATAAAGAATTATTGTTAAGTGGATATACTAAGGAGTACATGCTCATTGTAAACAGAATTCAGTTTATGTATAGTTTTAGTTTGTAGAATTACTTTTCTTACAATTTGTTTTTCAACAAGAATAGAAGCATGCATAACAAAAAAAGATTGATGGCCCATATAACTGAATGTAATCTGCCAGTTTTTAATGACCAAAATCTAAATTATTGCTTCTGAAGCTTGGGAACCCTCTTAATAAAACATTTTTGTCAAGCATTAGAATGGGTTTAAAGCTTGAGGAAAATTACAGACTGTTCCCAGAATAATAAACAATGTTGTGAAGCTGAGGCTGTGAGGAGCATATAAATGTCCCTGAATAGAAAAGAAATCTGTCTGGAAGTGGAGCATAAGTAAATGAACCTTCTCTGCATATTCAGCATTGAAAAGGGGTTATTTTGCTAAGGTCCATTGAGACTACCATCCTGTTCCCCATAGTGGCCAATCCGATACTACAGAGAAGCTCACAAGCTGGGCATGAAGTCAGTACCCCTCTCCCATTGTTTCTCCCCAACAGCTGGAGGCTCCATACATCCAACCACTTATAAGACTAACTCTCCATGAATAAATACAATGAGAGTGTGAGTCCACATTTTCCTCTGCCAAAATCTCAGGTCAGAAATGAGAAACCTGTGGCCCTCCTGGTGTTGACTCCCAGTTCCCATCAGCCCAGCTAGAATGGCCAGTGGCAGGGGACTATGGGTTCTTCTGGCACAACATCGCACCCTTTTTCTCTTCTTCTCCCACACGCTCTCCAAAATCTTCTCCAGAGCTGATTTTGAGGGGATGCCAGGGTTGGGGCTTGGAGAGGAGGGGAGGTTCTCTTCTGCCAGTACAAATCTCTGTGCCCTGTGGAAGTTGTCGTCCAGCAAAAGGACTACGGCAATACTTAGATATTTTGGGCATATCGACCATGCAGATTTGGACTGACTTAACAGTCATTCCTGTCCAACCCTGGAAACTAGTTTTGTGATAGGAATTGGGGGTCTTGGTACCATCTATAAGCTTTGTGAATGGCCATGAAACTGATAAACTGATACATTTTGTAGTTAAACCCTTAGCCATTTGTTGCACACAAAGAACTGTGGGCCATGGAGTAAGCCATATATTGCCTGACTAATCCTTGTTCTATTTCTACTTTTAAAGGCAACTCTGAAGTAATGAAAGCAGTCAACATTACCTGGTCATCCATCAATTTTAAGACAATACTACAATGGGAGCCCAAGCCAGTCAACTATTTTTATACAGTTGAAATAGATGGGTAAGTTGAACATAAACATGGAGATTGCTACCACACGTCTAGCCTGGTCTTACTGTAGTTATTTGAAAGTAAGAACAATTGGTTTCACTGATTTTGCATGGGGCTGCAGTTTAATGCATACTCTTACCACCCTTCACCCTTCAAAAGCAAAGCCACAGTTGAATGCAGATTTGAGAATGAAGACTTGAGATCTGAAGCTTTCTACTCCCTCATTAAAAAAAATATATCCAGCTACATAGGCTTGAATTGTGTCCCTCTTCTTCTGATTACCACGAGGCCTAATTAGTCTGTTTGCATATTAAGTAGAATTTGTTCCTAAGTAGACTGTTAATTTCTTTTTCTCTCCACATCCTTCTGTTGCCTACAAGGCAAAAAAAGCAGTTTACATGGGATTAGCTTTAACAAGAGTGCTTCCACATGGAGGAAAGTCTACCATTTGGTAATTGTAGTATCTTTGTGCCAGTCTATCGCTGATCTGTGTAATATGCACTGTGCTGTGAGTAAATTGTGCATGCTCTAACGTAACTGAACTATGGAATCCCAGCAGCAGAACTGGGTACAACTGCTAATATTAGACCAGGAGTGGGAAACCTGTGGCCTGCCAGATGTTGCTGGACTACAGTTGCCACCATCCCTGACTATTGGCCATGCTGGCTGCGGCTGATGGGGAGTTGGAGTCAAACACCACCTGGAACGCCACAGGTTGCCCAACCTTGTTCTAGACTCTGCATGAGTTTCAAAGTGCCTTGGGGGACACTGTTTTTCTTCTCCACTAGATCAGCTAAGCAAAGGGAGATGATGAAGATCGATAAGTTTTAAAATGATTACTTTGGTTGCTGCTTTTGTTTTGTTTTTAAGCAAAGAGAGCTGGTCAGACAATACTGATGTAAATAGCATTGTACTTTGTATCTGACAAGGACTGTATGGTGGTGCTTTCTGCTAACTTTTGGCAGTGATGAGGTGTACATTCTGATATTACTGCAGTTAGCCAGGTATCGCCACTTAACACACTGGTATATTCCCCACTGAAATAAAAAAAAAGGTTGCCCAGAATTGTGCCTTATGTAAAATAACTGTTTCATGATCAACATGGTATTTCTGGGGGGAAATGATCTAATTTTGATAAATACTGTGCTGCACTTACTTCAGACCTTTGTAGTTAGCTACCTGTCACTGCTAATATGAAATTTCATACTTAGTTACCTGTAATATCTAGGAATTACACGAAGGTTGTTAATGATTAACAATTCAGGAAGGGATGATAGCTCAGTGGAGAGTACACGGTTTGCATTTGAAAGCCAGATCCTGGTATTTCCAGGTAGAACTGAGAATATCACCTCTGCCACCCTGGAAAGCTGCTACCCATCATTGTCAACAAATACTGAGCTAGATGGACTGTTAGCCGGACTTGGTATAAGGCAGCTCCCTATGTTCCAGTATCAACAAAGATATCAAAGCTATGCATTTTCCTGCTACCTACTGTGTTTTAATTAACAAAGTTGCCCTATAAGTAAAGTTATTGGAAGTGGCTATTTCCTATTAATTCACAGGCATGAAACTTTTATCTCCCTAATTATACTCTTCATTGCATATTAACATACACAGACAAGCTCACAGCTGGTTTTGTTAATTTGATTGGACCTGTTTACAAAACAGACAAACTTCATTATCGTGAAATACATTCATTCTATGAAATATTAGCTAATGCAGTATGCTCTTGATCTTTACAGGGACCGATTAGTTCGGAAGAAAATATGCATTCACACTTCGGCAACTGAATGCGACGTTACAAATGCACTGAAGGATGTAAAAGATGTCTACGTTGCTCGCATATATTCCGAAGTGCCAAACAGGGACCCTGATGATTTTGATATCCCACCTTATGAAGTGTCTTCAGAGTTCATACCTTACGCCCAAAGTAAGTAAAAATATATTAGCTCTTCTTTGTTTTTTTTCCACAGCATGGGGCTCTGCACACAGATTCTAAGTCTTACAAAGTGTTGATATACTTGTCCGTGCACCAGACCTGTATAAAAGTTTATATAGAGAAGGCATCCTATCTGTCTGCTATGCAGCCCTGAAATTCACGGTTAAGGAACAAAACATTAGTTGTGCAGGAAATCCATGCATTAAATGCAGCTGTAGGAAGGCAAGGCTAATTTGACTGGGAGCAGCAATGGTGAGAATATTTCCTCTACACCATTCCCCCAGTCAAAATTGCCTTTTCCTTTGCTGCGGTTGCTGCTTGCACCAAGGGGAGAAAAACTGAGGACAACCCTGTACCTCTTTCCTCCGTGTGTAGCACTATTGGTAGGAAAAATGGCGCAGCAGAGGGAAAGATTAAACATCTTCCCCCTCCTCTGCTTCAATTAAACTGGCAATGCCCTCACAGCACACACATATTGTTTAAATAATGCTGACATACTAACTCACGCAAGTGGCTGTAAACGTGTGCTTTCTCACTAGACCATCCTACCTGGGATACCATTTTGGTCCTGCGTTTTGTACCATAGCTTGCAGAGTTTGTATCGTAGGATTCTTGTTGATGTACATTGGTTCTTACGCAGACAGGCATGCCAACCAACATGCTGGGCCCATGGAGCAAGGAGCCATAGCCAAGATCTCCCTCCCCATACAAAAGACGCCAAACAGTGTCGCCTTTCATTTCTCTCTTTCTGTTGTTACTAATAACATTATGATTTATGGCACACTGTGGTGCACCGCATTGTAAGTGCTTGTACGGCAAGCAAATCAGTCTTCAAGTCAGGTTTTGTGACAGGAGTGGGGAACCTCAGGCCCAGCGACCAAATGTCACCCTTTAGACCTAACTGCAGATTCTCCCAGGCCCCACACCAGCTCTGCTATGTACCCTCAAGTGCTTTTGCCTGGTGAAAATGTGTCCTTCAATTGTGATCATGCTTCTCACTTTCCTGAATGGGAGAGGTGGACATGTAGAAACCTTTTATTTTTGTGTAGCTGAAATGTGGCCTACTGTGAAAAGTGAACACTGTTTAAATTGCTCTGCCTGCTCCACTGGCATGCGGCCCCTGGAAAGCTGCCTATGATAAAGTGTGGCCCTCAAGCTGAAAAAAGTTTTCCCCTTGCCCTTCTCTATAATGCCCTAAGTCAGGGCTGTCTAACTACCAAGAGACTGTGATCTACTCCCACTATAAAAAAACTGGTTGAGATTTTTTTTGGAAGCCAGAGTTGTTGAGCTTAGGCCTCCCCTAAGACATCTCCTTAATTATGCCATGAGAATATAGCACAGCAAAGCTTTACAGCACAGTCCTGAAAGCTTACTGTGGCTCTTTGGTAATAAAATCCACTAGGATAAGGTTACCAGATTTTTTTCAATGAATCTGGGGACACTTTTCAATTTCCTACTAAATAGATGGATTTTGTCAGGGGACTGATTTGCAAATCCGGGGACTGTCCCTGGGAAATGGGGACGTCTGGTAACTTTACGCTAGGAAGTCCTTTCTGCTGGGGATAACCCGGACTGAAATTCCCAGGTGCCAGAAAAGGTTATTTATGTATGTAACAATTGAGGCCCGTGTTTTCTTAGCCCCAAAATGGAAAGTGAGCGAGGTAACTAAAGAGGATTGGCAACTTAAGTTGACAGAAAATGCACAACTTGCAGATCTAACATACATAAAAAGAGAGCAAGAAGAACACATGTTTAAAGAAGATTGAAAAACATTTTTTGAGTATATGGAAAGTAACTGTGTACAGTTGAAAACGCTGGCAGCATTAAAATAAATTCAACAGAGTAAATAATCCTTGATGGATGCAAAAGTGGAAAATTGATTTGAATGGTTACAGTAAAATATGCAGGGATGTATAATATGTAAAATGAACCATGGAAAGAGAAGAAGGGAAGTCATTGGATACTTTAAAGTTTGTAAAATGTTTATTTGAAATTGTAAAAATGAAAAATTGATTTAAAAAATTAATTTTTTTTAAAAAGAACCCTGCTCGGAGTTGATTTTTAATCAGTACAAAAACCACTTCTCTTCTAGCTGAGATTGGCGTGCCAACAATCAAAAGTTTTGAACAAAAAGAGAAAACTTTGAAAGTGGAGATAGCAGATCCTCTAACGCCTTACAGATTTGAAGGAAATGGAAGCTTTCGAAGTATTAGGGACATATTCAAAGATGATCTAGAATACACACTGTACTATTGGAAAGATCAAAGTACAGGAAAGGTGAGCATCTGTTTTCAATCTCCCAAGTCTTTAATTTCCTTAATGTTTATAATAAGTACAAAGGACAAGCTGGCAATCTAAACTAAATTTCTACTTAAAAGAAATGAACTATAGCCTTAAAAAGAGTTCAGTACTTTAATATTCTGGTCGGAGGCTGTTCTCCAGGTTCCCCAGCCATCTGAAGTGTGGTGCTATTGAAGAAAGGGGCTTTCAGCGGCAAAACCATAGTTTTTGGAATGCTGTCCCAAAAGAAGTTTTCCCAGTGCCTATTCTGGTGGAATTTGCTCCCACAAGTGGTAGTGATGACCCTTGACTTGGATGGCTTTAAAATATGGCCAGATAAATTCCTGGAGGATAAGGCTATGTTCTTCCTCTGCAGTTGGAGGCAGTATGCCTTTGAATGCCTTTTGCTGGAAATCTCAAAGTGGGGGAGAGGTTCTGCTTTTGCGTTTCTCATAGATATAAGCTTAGAAAAGAATGCAGGACTAAATGGGTGCCAGCAGGAATCTTTTTAGGTTCTTATTATGCCTTTCTAGCCCTAAGTAAATACCTTCTTATCTTTACAGACTTTCAGATTAGTATTGGTCTGTTTTTATTTGGACGCTACTTTTGCAGAGCTACTGCTTTTAGCTTATTTCATATTTTATCGTGCCCTGATATTGTATTTGAATGGCATAACCCTGCAAACGCTATTATTTAATCCATAAAGTTTATGCCTCTGCATAAAAAGTTAAAGGAGACCAAAGTTAATATATATTTATCTTCTTTTGTTTTTGATGTTAAAATTTTAATCCGTATTAAGTATTAACCTTTTTCATATTGCAAAAAGGTTAATGTTAGGTACTTAAAAGTAGAGGCTGATGCTAATACTCTTCCTTAAATTTGTTATACATTTACAAACAGATCTATCTTTATCTTAACCTAGTTTATTTAAGTATTTGAAATATGTCGAAAGCTTCTTTCAAGAAAATGGTGTTTCGAAGGCTACCTTCATTAGTAACAAATGCACAATTTTATGAACGTTAAACATTAAACATACAGTTCAATTTACAATGAAACAATCAGTTTAAACAAACCCAGTACAACAAAATTCAACAGTCACCAACCACCACCAGCATGCAACTATTAACTTCCTGTTCCTACAACCACTTTTTTAAATTTAATGATATGACTATTAAGATGAAAGTACCTTTTCTCCTTTGAGCCTTTAACCTACTATGTACTTTGGACTTGCTTAATCTGTATTCAGAGTGAAGAACTACATTACTTGCAAATACATCTTCAAATACTTTTTTTCTGATTGTAGAAACAGGAAAACACAAAAAGCAACCTCTTTGAAATCCGTATCGACAAAGAGAAGAACTACTGCTTCTATGTTCAAGCTACTGTTCCATCACGCTCAACAGACCGTAGCAGTCAAAAAAGCAGTGTAAAATGTACTAGTGTTAGAAGAGACGAACTGGATGGTATGTATCATGACACCACAAACTTAGCCTTTGGTATATAAATCATTCCTATCAAATTACTTTAAGCCCTTGCTGATGGATTTCAGTTTAGACTGCTTTCTGTGAAAGCTGTTGCCCAGTGATCTCTAGGTGCATTCAGTGTTTTACCTATTTCTTGCTGCTGCAAAGTTGGCACTGCAGATAGTCAGAAGTAGTTTCCTTTCCCAAAATTGTGTTTTCATCTGGTCACTTTCTTTCTTTCACAAGGACTGTCCACTTTTCCCCTAAGAGCCAAATTCATATCCAGAAGTATCGCCATCCCAGTATGGAATTTTGTGGCATATATATTTCCCAATGCAAAACATCTAAGGCATACATATGTTAACTATGTAGCACAATTCTTTGTAAGCTTTAATCAGAAGCAAATCCCAATCAAACTTGGCTGCCATGTCAATGTGCATATGCTTGAAGCCTTAAATGTGGAGGACCTGGAATTCCTAGAAGGGCTGTATCACATCATTGTTCTGAATGCGTAGGTGGGTTCTAACCAACTTTTGAGTCCTGCATTGGAGCAAATCTATGTTGTTTGTTTGTTTAAGTATGAAGTAGTTTCATAAAAAATACATCATGCTTGGCAGAAGGACTGATTCCACATTAAAGGGATGTGGGCTTTTTTGAGGACTACAGACCAATTAGATGTCGCAAGAATGATGCGGGCTGCTTGGTTTAAGCAACAAACATAGGGAGCTATGTTAGAGAAGGGTTCAGACCACATTGTGTATCCCATGTTTAAACACCAGCCCTGCTTTATATATGATTGTTACAGACACATAATTAAACTAATGTGATGCCCTGCTTAGGACTCTAAGATTTTAGCCTTCAAGAGAAACAGCTCAACATATTTCAGGTTTGGAATCCAGATTAGTTTTATTCTGAAAACATATCCAATAGCTGTTGGGTGAAAAGCATGTCCTTGAACTGACTTTGTGTCTTTTTTTCTTCTTCTTCAGGTCTTGAATTAGAAGTAATTCTTATAATAGTAGCTGTTGCAGTTGGAATCATCGCTCTAATTATTATTTTATCTGTGGTTGCATATAAATGCACAAGATCAAAGCCAGCAGCAACAAAAAAAGAGAGTGTGCCCCTAAATGCATAAGGGGGAGAAACACTAAAGACAAATCGGCGTTATTGCTGCAAAGGTGACAGCTCAGTCAGTAGAGCATAAGACTCTTAATCTCAGGATTGTGGGTTCAAGCCCCATGTTGGGCAAAAGATTTCTGCATTGCAAGGGGTTGGACTAGATAACCCTTGTGGTTCCTTCCAATTCTACAATTCTACGATTTTATAACTCCATAAGAAATTCTCCTACCTGTGGAAGCAATGACCACAGACCCTTCAATCAAGGGGCGTTTGTTGTTTCTGTGAAACATTTATAGTTAAAACACTATTTTAAAAACCTGTTTTATTCGGCAGCAACTGTGATAACTTGTTTTAAAATGTGTTAACTGACAGATATGGTGAAAATACTACTGTTTCTTTTGCACTTTGGGTGTATATTTAGATCTGTGGTTCTGGGTACATTAGCTGGTACGGGTTATAAGATGCTGTAAGTGTAAGGAAAGGGTTTTACACTCTTGACAGACTTTATATAATGTGTTATGGTGTGAATCAATATAGAACATTAGAATGTGCCAGATCCAGGTACGTGCTGTAAAGTTTGAAAGTTCTGAAACTGACTTTGAAGTTCCCCAAAGTTGATGGCCAACATTATCGGCATCCACCTTGAAATACCTGAATACGTACAGGATATATCATACCTGTTATGTATCAGGATTTAGCACTTTAAATTTATACTGCTTATTAACTGCTGGACAGAGACAAAATTAACTATTTAAAGTGGCGTATGTTTATAAACAAAGTTGATGTAATTTGACATTCTTTGTGTTACTACGTACAATCAATGTTATATTTATGATTTTTATGAATGGGTGTTTATTTTTGTATATATTGCACTAACTTATTATATCTAATTTTTACAGAAATAAAGGTAAATGGGAATAATGGAAAATTCTTGTTTCTTGAATGGAGGGAGGGTTTGTCATCGCTAGATGCTAAATGATTATGGCTTAGCGGCATGCCAATAAACTACCGTACTCATTACTGTACATTTAATCTCAACAATGGCTCCACTTGCAGGCTTACTGTGGAAATGCATGGGTTGTATACAAGTCTATTTCTACTCTGGGTAGACCTACTGAAATTAATGATTTGAAGTTAATCATGTCCATTAACTTCCAAGAGTAGGACTAGCATTGGATATAATATAATTAAAATAGCACATATAATTAAAATAGAAAATAGAACAGAACCAGAATAACAAACTTGGCTGTGATATGATTAACAGATGGATTTTAGGTACATGCTCCCTTTTTTAGTGGTGCAACAATAAAACTGCTGGCACATTTGTAAAGCTAAGCAGGGTCCAGTAAGGTTTCAAATTGGATGGGGAATCCCGTGTTGAGATTCCTACATTGCAGGTGGTTGAACTAGAGAACCCTTGTGGTCCTTTCCAGCTCTAGGATTCTATATCCTTGCACTATGAGCCAGCTCTGCTTTTGGCACTGAAGCAGCACCAACCTGAGGTGCAGCAGGGGATGCCACAGAGATCGGGAGAAATCATGCACAGGCAAACAGATGTGTATATTTACAAATTATTTCTAGAGCAAAAAAAGAGAGTGCAAAGTGGAACTGCTCTTCCCCAGTTCCTCCTACTGACAATCCCTCCCCTTTTAAGCCTAGTACATCTGACCCAAAGGAACAGTTCCCCAAACCTTAACTACCCTGCAATAAAAATTTATAGAGCACCAACAATAAAATGCCAAAGGAAGCTGCCTTAAACAAGGTCAGGCCAAAGTCAAAGTTCATCCAGCCGCAGATCTCTCCTTGACAAGGGACACGTTCAGTCCTACCCAGATTTTTTAAAAGCAGATTTTCCAGCTGCACGAATAACCTGGCAGTCACCCCACACTAAAAACAAGTGGACACAAGCTTTGCTCCCTGCTTACACCCTGCATAAGTAGTGGTTTCTCCGTAGGAGACAGTAGTTTTTCTCTACTAACTATACTGTCACCAACAGGACAATCCAATGGCCACTGCAATTCACAGCACTGCTGTAAATATTGGGCATTGAGTGTGTGTGCTCCATGGCCTTGAGGAACAAAGTCAAATTCTTTGCAGGGTTGCCAAATTACAAGAACACTGCTATGATTCTTGCTACCATAGTGCCACTGACTGAATGGGACATCAGACCAACTGAGGCTTTGCACTAGTTGTAGAAGGAACACAGGGTGCAAGATGGGCCTAAGTTGCAAAACCAGGAGTAGTTTAAGATGTGACAAATCATTATGTGCCTGAAGATGAAGTAGAGCATATTCTTGCACCTGTTGATACAAAACACCCTAAACAAGCTATTTTATACCTATGTTTTACAATGCTGAACTTTCTGTTTCCTTGGGTATGTTAAATAACTAATTGTTGCTGCCATGTTGGCATTCATATAAATCTAAAACCTTGTTTAGGGGCAGCAGAGTTTAATTAGTGTGTCACTAGCACAGTAGATGATAGACAGGCTGCTGCCAAAATGCATATAATGAAAAGAATGTGATTATGAGCTTAAGTTGGAACATGGCTCATGTGACCATTTAGGACAAAGAGCTTATAGCGTTGCACAAACCTCTCTCACACAGAAACATTTCAAGATTACCAGGCTATTGCATTTCTGTTGCTTAAATCCCTCACCTACCTCATAATCCTGATGCTGAAGTGATGACCAGTTCAGCCGGCGCATGGTACAAAAAATGCTATTAGACCAAATAGTTTTGATTTGGTTGGGGGGATTCAAATTTCACAGATCCCTCATGACTTGGTACAACTGAACTGTTCCCTTGCATCAGTTGAATTGGCTTTGCAGACAGCTCTTTGCTAAGTTGAAGCTCTCAAGCTGCACACATAGTCTTCCTAATAAAATGGAAAAATCAAGGCACTCTCACCCACCTGGAGATTCAAGCTCTCTTCCTGCCACCTGAAGGGGGTCAGCCAAAACTGGAGACTTCAGGTCAGCCCTGGAGGTACAGCAACCCTTCCTTGTACTCTAACTAACTTTTATAGGCATATTGGATCCCATTTTATTTCCTCAGTAGTTTCTCTATATTTGCGGTACTCAGATGAATGTTATGCCTCATTTTTAAGCGCAGATTCCAACTCTAGGATGACAGAAAATATAGCTAGGGTCCTTGCTGCAGCCATCAGAATAGGTCACAATTATTAAAGGGAAGATTTCTAAATTTCAAAGTCCATCTAAAAACATAGAGTGTTCGACAGATTTTCCAATGAGAGTTAGTCATGGCACCACCGCTAAGAAGACATTTTTTGGAGTGGGAAGTAGTTGAGGGATTGGGAGGCTACCTTCTTCTGTTCCCTCCCTCTCCCAATTAAGCTGTCTCCAAGGCTGAGAGGTGAGGAGCACAGAATGGGGAAATTACCAGGACCAGCCCTGTGACCTCACCAGGGGTTGTCCCTAGGCCTTCTTAGGTGCAAGGCAACACAGTCAACTGACCTTCCGTAACTGCTCATGTTGAAGCATTGAACATTAATATTTGTGGTCCCCCCCTTTAAAAAAAGTCATCAAGCTACTTTACAATAATGTGTAGCTGTAGCCATATTATGGGTATATATCAGTTGAAAAACATTTGGTCCTTCGGATACTGTTGGGACTATAGCTCATACTCTTCCTCACCATTGTCCATGCTGTCTGCGGTGGGTGGGAGTTGGCTTCTCACAACACCTAGGAAGAGCTGGGTTGGTAAGGAGAAGATGCCATGAGTTTCAGCCGCTTCTATTCCAATATGGCAACATACTGAGGTCTACCCATTGCTCTAAGACCAGGCATTCTCACAGCAATGTTAGAGGGCAGATGCTGTGGTTGTGTTTTGTGACTGGGCAGGAACCCTTTGGGAGCCTCATGGAAGCTACTCTGAATGCTCTAAAGGGTGAGATACACGTGGTAACAAAGAAAGAAAGAAAGAAAGAAAGGGAAGGAGAAAGAAAGAAAATGGCAGTATCTGAAGCAACATCTCCTTGCTGCAAGAAGTGGAATAGATGTATAGGTGCCATCTCTGCTGCTGCTTCCAGGAAAAATTATTTGCTGAGTGGGAAGTCTTGTATGCAGTTGTGTCAGAGCAAGATCCAGATCCAGAATTCTCCAGTGTTAAGATGGATGGTGTGTGCTCACTGCAGTTACCCTTTGCTATCTTTTATCTGTAGCTAGATGTGTGTTCAGCAATCATATTATCCTTTGACTGCAGCCATTGCATGCCTGAATCCTTGCTCCAGTAAAGTTTGAGTATACAAAGCATTGCCCCCTTTCCCTTCCTGGCCCCCTCGCTAGAATTTAGATTCTGGGAATGTAGGCTTCACTTTACAAGCCGGATGAACTTTGGCGGGAGACAACAAAGAGTATATTAACATTCCTGTGGTCATTAGCAAAGATAATCTTGCCTTCATTTGCATGCCGAGGCTGATATCTGGAGAGAGAAAAGCCTTATTAAATTCCCTTTATAAACAAGGTATCTGGTTCCCGTCAATGCTTTAAACAAGGCAACCTTGTTGTAAAGGCAAATAACTGTGTCATGACGCTGGTATTTCTTAAACAGGACTTGTTGGCCTACGACTCCACAGCACATCAAAGCACACTCCACCTTGGGGGTTTTAAAACATCAGGCTATTTTATCACTAGCTCTTGGAAATCAAAATAGCAACTGCAATTGAAAAAAGTACTACTAAGCTGTACTTTTGTGCAAGTATGATTGAACTGAACCAATAACAACATCATCATCATTATTATTAACCTGCCCATCTGGCTGGGTTTCCCCAGCCACCCTAGCACACGTCCAGCAACAGGACAGGACAGGATGAGATGGCAATGGGAGAGGTCCAATTTGGAGACAGCACCTGTGAAACAATGATGCTGGCTGCTGCCTCACCCCACCACATCCCTGTCCTGGTGAGTGGGGATGCGGCTGTCATTCTGCCCATATCTAAGCCAAACCATGGTTAATTGAGAAAGACTGGGTGTGTGGATAACTCACTATAAAAATCACAGCACTCTGCTCCTCATCCCCCTCCCCATATCCTGCTGCTGCACTACTTGGAAGCAAGCTATGGTTTGGCTTAGCGCTACATCTGAACCAAGGTTCCTGGTTTGCCCTGTTCCAAACAAACCATAAGCTGTTGCCAGTGTTTGTTCCTGGCTTGCAGCTCACTGTTCATCAGGAGTGAGACAAGCCACAAGCCCTGGTTTGTGCATAATGCTAAACCAAACCATGGTTTGGCTCCAGAGAGCACAGTAGCAGGATGATCATGTGAACAGAAAAGCAGTTGCAATTTTTACTGCAAGGACTTGTATGTTCAGTTAGCTGCTAAGCCAACCATAGCTAACTGGGCCATTGTCTGATGCACTGGTGGCATTCTTTTAAAAAAATGCTGACAGGAGTATATTGGCTTGGAAGAAATTAGTATATCCTTATAATGACCATTTGAAAAAATGTACTCTAAGGAAGTTAGAACCTCTGCTGGAGATGGAAAGGGTACCAAGTTGGGAGAGCAGGCCAAACTTGCGCGCAGCCTGTAGCACCACAGAGCTGGCCTACAAATTGATGAGGTAGCAAGGTGAACATTACTAGAATACTCTTCATCATCCAGCACCAATAGGGTCTATCTTAAAAGAGGTATCTCTCCCCTTTCTTCTCGCTCACACCAATGAAGAAATGTCATCATGCTTAATCAGATTTTTGAAAATCTGCTGCTCATAAATCACTTAAACATTGCAATCTCTCTTCAAAGCAGGAGAAACCAAATTTGTCCTTGAAAAACCATGACTTTACAAACCAACTGGTTAGCCTTTGAGCCAACTTGTGAAATGGGAGCTACCATCTTAATCACTGCCACAGTAAAATGGCTGCACATTTCATTTGGTGGAACAACAACTCTCAGAGATGACAAAAGGCAGCAAACATTTCTGTATAACACTTTCGTTATAGGATGTCTGTCATTTACAAATTACCTATTAAATGGAGATCCTTTGTCCAATCTGTCTAAAATTTGGCAGATTCAATGCCTTGGAGCAGAATACTTGGATCAGACATTTCAATGGCAGCCAGACAACCCTACCTCCATTAAATTACCAGCATCTGAAAACTGAAATCAACTGAAAAACTAGAAAATTATAACTGAAAAGACAAACATAAAAATGATTTGTTTAATTATTTATTTGCTCTAGTCTAGTACATCCCTACACAAGATGTTGAGGATCAACCACGGCTTTACCAAATTCACGCTTGACTTCAACAAATCCACTAGGATGTTTCCCAGCACAAGCCCCCTTTGAATGAACGGGGAACCCATTTGATGAGAAAACTACCATGTCATCCAATGTATTATGAGGATCTTTGAACAGCTGCAGCCCAAAGGAGGTGACATGACTGGGAGAGTGTTCTACAAAGCTCAATTTTTACATACATTGTGGCTTCTGAAAATAACACCTCCTGGGCTAACAGCTGACATGCGCAAAGAAGAAGTCCCCCCTGCCTTAGTTCTGCAAGTTGCCATTTCCCCGGCTTGCGCAAGCAAGCAGAAGGCACAGGTCAGCTTGCAGAGCTGACACGCAAGGAATAAGCTTCTCTGCAGGTTGGATCTGCCCGTCCATGGAGCTGCCCTGTCCCTCCTGCTTGTGCATGGAAGCAGGAAGGACAGGGTGGCGATCCTACACCTTTTTTTCTAGAAAAAAAGCACACAAGCACCCCTTTCATGTATACATTTTCTTTCTACACATACATGCACACACACACCGGGGGGGGGGGGATTTTAACTCTGTGGTAGATCGAAGAAATGCTTGCCATAGTAACATGGTAGCAATTCAGACTTATGAGTAATAGTTTGATTTAAAAGTATGATTGTTTGTCATTGTACCGGGCACCAGCCTCTTAAAATATGAGCTACTGATCCCAAATTTGTTGTAATATGGACACCTATCTGTAAAGCTTGGGTAGAGAACATGGTGTCCTCTAGAAGCTGTAGAGAACAACTCCCAACAGTCCCAGTCAGCATGGCCAACGGTAAGGAATAATGTTGCAGTCCATAACATCTGAAGAGCGCCACCGCTGGCTGGCCTTGCTATGAGCTTTAAAAATGTTCAGAATGAGACCAGTTTTTTCAAAAAGCCAAGGATCTTTGTCTCAGATTTATTATTCCAGAGGCACTTATATAGAAAAATCTTACATTTAGATAGTGTCTTTCCTCTCAAAGGGCTTTACAAGCTACAATATATTAAAGTACAGCAATTATGTCCCATTAAAATGGGAGCCATCTATGATCACCAGAGTACCAAATACCACCAGAATGAAGACATGGACCTGCTTCATTTGTGCTGACCTTCCCATCACCCCAACAATTCCAGTTCAAGCAATCATAAAAGCAGCGATCAACATACAAGACTATAGCACAAATTCATAGCTGAACCATGTTTCTGAATGATTACTCACCACATCTCAAAAAAATTCTTCAACTAAAAAGCATAATCTCAAACACTGCTTCCTTTGAGCACTGCTCTGGTTCATTTTGCATTCATATACTTACTATCTCATGAGGTCAGACTATTTTTGATGACTTGATAAAAGTAGGGATATTGCAACTTGAGATGTCGCAAAAGCCAAGACCATTTCTGAATACGGAGTTCCCCTGGACTTTGTATCTGGCGTTTAATTCAAAGAATCAGTTTTATTGGTTAATGGTTACTGAAGTTAATTTTGTCTATCAAATAGAGCAGATAAACAACGCTTGTGCTCAGTGTTAAGTCTCAAACAGCAACGCCTTTTGGCTATCTGCAAAAGATGTTCTATAAATAATGGGTACTTTCTGCTAGTTAGTGACAAAAAAATACAATATTCTTAAAAAAACCTCATCTACTACTACTCAATTTTAGTGCGGACGTCTCTGAAAAAAGAATACAAATATTGAAAAAGCTGCATTTTCCATTCTAAAAAAATTATAGCAGTTCTTTAAAAAACAGATGCATTCAAGAAAACCACTCCCTCTCAAGAACAGCCACTACATAATATCAACTTGAAAGGCAGGTGTTATTTGGGAAAAGGAAGCTTCACTAACAGCAGAGCTACCTGATTCTCATAGGTTATATGTACCTCTGAATCAGATCATCACTAAGCTGAAACTGCTGGGCTAGAAGATCTATCTGTGGAATCAGTTTAACATCAGCCTTTGCAACATGATCACCTTGCAGTAACCACATGTTGGCTATCACAACCAGTATCAGAAGCAGTCTGCCCAAGTTGTTCAAACAAACAAAAGTGGGAGTACAGAAGGGCAACTCCTTGCCATACAAAATACAGTCGTACCTCGGTTTTCAAGCAGCTTAGTTCTTGAATGTTTGGGCTCCCAAATGCCGCAAACCCGGAAGTGACTGTTCCAGTTTGCGAACTATTTTTGGAAACCAAACATCCGATGGGGCTTCCACGGCTTCTGATTGGCTGCAGGAGCTTCCTGCAGCCAATCAGAAGCTGCGCTTTGGTTTCCGAACATTTTGGAAGTCGAACGGACTTCCGGAACAGATTCCATTCGACTTCCAAGGTACAACTGTATGGAGAAAAAAATTGAAATGATGACAGATAAAGTTAGTTCAGTTTTTAAGCTGCTTCCAAGCTCGATCCTTCTGTAGCTCTCCACCGATTATTCATATAAAATACATGAAGAAAAATGGCATTTATAAACAGTGGACTCAAGCACCGTATTGGGAGCAGCATGATGAGAACAAAAATTTGGCAGGCGGTATCTTACTGTGAAAGGGGGATATTCAAGACTGGTATGTGGTCACTAACAACTTATGTTGATTTTACAGCAAAGGGTGGAGGGAGAAAGACAGCAATCACATTTATTTGCATATGTAGTGCATGCCTTCTTGTAGTGTATTTCTATGTTACATCACATGAACAAAGACACATACCTAGACCTGTGTCATACTCCATGGGTTTTCAGAAATTCCTATGGGCTAAATGGCATATTATTGATCAGCCAGACTAGTTAGGCACTGTCTTCCCAGCCCCATATACGGGGCCACCTCTAAGGAACGATCCCATAACATCATATAGCAACAATAATTGCTTCACTTGGAAAACTGATACTCCTTAAAGCCTCAGTTATATGCGGTCTTGCCAGCATCTATAAGTTTGCGATTGGCTTATTATCAGTTTGGGAACTGCTCATGTAACATTAAGCATTAGGTAGTTGGCATGGAAGTTATTCCTAAGAGGCAAACACACACAAAAATGATCACATAACAGGACACAGTTCTGAAAGGCTTTGAACTGCTGTGTCTCAGGCAATGAATGTGGAACATACACACACGCCCCAGAAAGAAAAGTATATCACCCTGTAAAAGTAAATAAATCTGAATTCATGGGGCAGGTGCCCTTGGCATTTTATTAGGAACCTGTGCACAGCTTCCCAAAGCTATCAAATGGATCAGACCCACTTCTAAATATTAACATCAGTGATCTCTGTTTTGAAATACAGATGTGAGTTCCTATGTTTAACTTTTTATTTCTCTTTATTCTCCAACTTTCCCAGCTTCCTCATTCCTCTTCATTTCCCCCCACTTCCCTTCCCAGAAGTGCACGAAGCACAGGCAACAACAGAATAGAATTTTATTTTATTTTTTGAGCCGGATAGAAGACTGGGACCAAAAGAGCAGTGGGAAGCTGTGGACAGAGACTGAGAATGAGATCTTCACTGGAATAAACTCAGATCTTAGCAGTTAGAAATGTAGGTCCAAGGTTCACTTCTCTCCCAATGCTTCTGCAAAGAAGACTCACCCACCCTTGGCCAAAGGAAAAGCTTGCTACCCTGTGTAATGATGAAATAGAACAGGCTAGTACTGCCCTGAAAAAAGGTATGATATTCAGTACAATGAAATGATGCATCCGGATATGACACAGAAATTCACGTCTCTTTGCACTGGGAGCAGAGGAGGTAGCGACCCTAACTTTAATAAGGGTTCTTCCCCAGAGGAAGCAAAGGTCAAACAGAAGTCAAATTAGTTGACTTCAGAATGTTTACATCCCAGGATGAATCAAAGTTACAGTGATTTAAGCCCAATTTAATTTAGGCAGGTTTTAAAAACCACAAGAATAAGGACATTCTTAGTACATAGTAATATTTAAACCAACATATACACAAATTAGTAATATCCTACATTATAATAAATGCCTCGACAGCTTGTTTTGGACACTTTGTTATCCTACACTTAGTAATTGGTTTAAAGAATGAGCCATCTGTTAAATTACATTGTACTTTGTGCCTTTCTATGCCCCGTGCTGTTTTCAGTCACTGAAGTAGGTTGTAGATTTATGCATTATTGTTGTTTTTAAGAACCAAATTCAATTGTATCTTCAGTAATCCTCTTGAACTCATAGTTTCCTCTTCCATCCATGTGAAGGTAGAACTGAGGAGAAGGAAAAATACGTATTAGCTAACTTGATTTTAATATATACTCTCTGTTTAAATAAGGGTTGTCTACAGAAACTCCTATCACCACATTGCTGCTTGGAAAGAACACTGTAAAATGTTGCATGTCTTATACCTCCATCTGGTGGCATTGACAGGAGCTCCAACTATTTATTTTGTGATGATAAAGTCATCCGGTTGCTGAAGTTTGATCTCATAACTCTGACTACGTGCTCAACTCTTTACTACTGAAATATGCAGAAAAATGGCTAAAAAGAATGCTGAATTCTTCGCATATTTAAAATTGGTTATGAAATCCTGGAGGAATCTGCTTTGGGAAATTAGGTACAGGATGGCTGCGCTTATTGCCTTTTAAACTATGGTTTCATTTTAGCTATGTGCAACCGCCAACTATCACAGGAAAGTCATATAACAGTTCCTCAGAGCAGCTGCTTACCTGATCACCCTCACTGTGTCTCAGCTTCCTGATCTGTGAGTGGGTTTATATAGCATACGTGTATGTAGTGAAGGTGAAAAAATTATCTGAAACACTTCAAGCACTTAGGAGACCCAGCATTTTATCAGCCTTGTAACTAAGCCAGGGAAGTTACTAGCCTGATTTGCCTTTTGAACTACCCTGCTGAAAGTTACAGTGGTGCCTCGCAAGACAAAAAACTCGCTAGACGAAAGGGGTTTTTGTTTTTTGAGCTGCTTCGCAAGACGATTTTCCCTATGGGCTTGCTTCGCAAGACGGAAACGTCTTGCAAGTTTGTTTCCTTTTTCTTAACACCGTTAATACAGTTGCAACTTGACTTTGAGGAGCAACTCATAGAACGCGGTGTGGTAGCCTTTTTTGAGGTTTTTAAAGACTTTGGTGATTTTTGAAGCTTTTCCAAAACTTTCCCGACACCGTGCTTCGCAAGATGAAAAAAATCGCAAGACGACAAAACTCGCGGAACGAATTAATTTCGTCTTGCGAGGCACCACTGTATCTTTTACCAGACAGATTTGCACCACCTCTCTGTTCAGCTTGGTTTTACCAGCTGAGTGCCTTCTTTTGCTGTCAGCATGGAAATGCAGCAGCCTTGCAAAGGATAAACAGAACCATTTCCCCCTCATCCACCTGTCTACACACTCACCTGCATAGAATTTCAAGTAAGTTATAGTGAGCGAGACAAGTAGCTGGAGATAAGGACTGTGTTATATAAAGATTACTGTCAGGTGTGTATTTTTTTTATCTTAATCATCAGGGTAGCCACAATGGAATGGGGACTCACTTTTCATTTGCAAGAAAGCTATCTGATTGGGATAGCGACGGCTCATCATTTTTTTATGGCTATTTTTAAAAATTTCTCTCTTTCCTCTTTTCATTTTTTAATGGCTTCCTTCATGTTTTTAAAATGGCTAATTACTATTTTAACTTACACTATTAACCACCTTGTGCTCACTGAGGAAAAGTGAGCTATAAATGTTTTAAACAATTAATACGCTTCAGCTGGCACAATTATTTTGTAATTTTGCAAAAGTGCTGTGAAACTGTTTGTCTTATTATCGAAAACACTTGAGCTGGTAGGAACTCAAGGTATATCTTAACGAGCGAGGTATGAATTTCAGACATCAAAACACGCAACTTATGTTTAAACAAGATAAATCTTACCTCATGGTGTTTCCAAAGTGATTTTCTGTGAGATACAGTAAAGAGGGTGATACCAACCTAGAGTGACAGAATGTAAGATAAAGTAAGCTTTAAGCTTCATCCAAAGAAACTAAACTCTCAAAAGCTCCACATTACATGGTACAGGGAAGCTGTGATTTGATACCCCAAAGTCTATTTCTGAAAGCAACTGCTGGGGCAGAGGGGGCGCAATTTGGAAGAGGGCTACGGTGTTGGAGGTTGGGGTGTGGACCCTTTTCGTTCCATACCAGCTCCCCACTGCAGAGTGCCCCTGCCTAGGTTATAACACATTTATTCTGCTGCCTGTAAATTTTCAGCTCCACAGCTAGTAGCTGCTCTAGGAAGGGGTTTGGGGTGCCAGATGGTTAAGCTCCCCTGTGACCCTAATGCAAAATGCATCCCCCTCCCCAGCTGCTTTCAGAAAATGACTCTCTGTTCTAATCATGGCTCTCATGCGGTTTGGTATCGCTATTAGACATATCACATCTCATATATGGACTCAATTTTTAAGTACCATTCATTACAACTTGGGCGGGGGGGGGGGGAGAATTAAAGATGCACACTATCTTTCTCACTGACAATCAACAGAATTTGATTTTAAGAGAGTTAAACTTTGACCTGCCTTCTAAGGAATTGTTTGCAACTCTACGTTGGCAAACTGACTTTTACTTATCACACAGTAGAATGTATACCATCATGAATTTTGGTGCATCCAATGCACCAAAAATGTGCAGAAAGTTCCAAGTAATAAACTTGCTAATTTGGATTCCCTCTCGCTCCGGGCATGTTTTGAGTATCCTGTGCTTTAGTCTAGGAGATGGTTGACCCAATCTAGGTATATGAACATAGGGCCACTATAGCAATAAAATCTTATTGATACTTCTTGTTAGAACAGTTCAAAGTTAGAGTTTAACTGACAATGCAAACAGCCAATGGAATCTGAACAACAGAAAGTATGAACGCATACATACTTTCCGACAATGGCTGTAGATGTAGCCTTCCACGTCGACGCTAACAGCGCTGGTACATTCGTCCAGAATTGCAAACTGGGGCTTATGGTAAAACAATCTGGCCATCTGCAATGCAAAACCAAATGCAAAAGATCTAACACACGATATTGTGACATATTTCTCATTTACATTTTTATTAAGCATGGTATACCCAAACTAACTTTTTGCATACAAGAGAACTTTTTAACTAGCCAAATAAATATGTCATGTTATATGGAAGAGATAGCGTATATACTCGAGTATAAATCGACTTTTTCAGCACATTTTTTATGCTGAAAAAGCCCCCTCTGCTTATACCCGAGTGAGGGTCCCACGCGAGTGCATTTCCAGCGGCAGAGGCTGTTGGAGGAGGAGGAGGAGGAGAAATGAGAAGCCTGAAAGCAGCCCTTTTGGGCTGCTCCTTCCTCCTCCTCTGCCTTTGCCGCTGTCGGTGGCGGCGGCGGAGGAATGAGCAGCCTAAAAGCAGCCCTTTCAGGCAGCTCCTTCCTCCTCCTCCTCTGCCGCTGTCGGTGGCGGAGGAACAAGCAGCACGAAAGTAGCCCTTTTGGGCTGCTTGTTCTTCCTCCGCCTTTGCCGCCACCAGCCTCTGCCTCTCAGCAGCACCCTAGGTAGGCAGGAGGACAGGAGGGGCTGGGGGGGGGGAGAGAGAAGCCCCCTCTGCCGTGTGCGCATGCGCGCATGCACACACACACTCCGGCCCACCAGGAGATTTGTGGTGTGTTGAACCGGCTTATACTCGAGTCAATAAGTTTTCCCAGTTTTTTGTGGTTAAATTAGGTGCCTTGGCTTATATTCGGGTCGGCTTACACTCAAGTATATACGGTAATTCAAACTATTCTGGCATAGAACTACGAATTCATCCCACAATCCTCAAGACGGCAACAGCGTCCTTATGATCTTTGCATGTGGCAAAACACATTTTGCATGTAGAGCCACGGTGGGGAACATATGACCCTCAATATGTTGCTGGACTACAGCTCCCTGACTACTGGCAGTGTTAACTGTGGCTGATGGGTACTGGAGTCCAACACCATCTGGAGAGCCGCAGGTTTTAGGTTTCTCCTGCTGTTAAAAAGGGCGAGAAAGCAGGTGATGGAGAGAACCTTGGTTGAGATCCTGGAGAGCCACTATCAGTCAGAGTAAATATTGGGCAAGATGCTGAACGAGTCTCACCTGGAGAAATAAACCTTCCTAAGCCACTATTCTTTCAGATATGCCAAAAGAACATGAGCACAAGAACACTCTTCCCTCCTGTGGTTTCCAGCGGCTGGCATTCAGAAGCACCGCTGCCTCCAACTGTACTCATATTTAATACTGGACAATTTTGCTCATATTTAATATCGGACAACAGCTTTGCTGCTGCCAGGCCTGAGGAATTCCCCCGCTCCCCTCCCGATGGTTTCAAGGAGCCAGGAGGAAACAAGATAGCTTTAATTATTATTTATTCAGTCTCTACGATAACAGACAAGAATTCACGTCTTGCCACCATAATGACGTTGCTCACTCTGACTCCTCCTCCTTCCCTCTTTCCCAGCAAAACGTGCGCTCCTACGGAGTCTTCCCTTGGACAAATTCCTCTGCACATGATGCTCTTGTACCCTTAAATACTTAAATAAATGTAGATCATCTATGCTGTCTAATGAAGTGTCCGCTGTCAGCCCCTTTCTATTCCTGCTTCTGTTAAATCCTTGTAACTAGGCTGTTTGCTAGCATCTGCCTGATTATCTTGCTCATAGCTTGGCTGTAAATCAACACTCTCTCCCTCTTCCCTGTCAGTGGCCGGAGAAGGGGGAGGTGATCTCACCCACTTTTCAGTCTCTGCATTCCAGTCCCTGACAGCTGTTCTTAAAACAATAAATGCCTAGTCCTCAGTGTGGTGCTGGAAAATATAAACATTTTATAAAACGACAGTGTAAAGACCACATACGGCCATCCTCTGTTTCTCTCCTCCACTGAGAACATCCATCCAGTCCTGAACACTGTCCCAGCCTCCTTCACGGTCCAGGATCTGACCCAACTGGACGTTGTCCAAGTACTCCTTTAACACCTGGAAGCAAAACAGCATAGGTCAACGGGCTTGAAAATGTACTTGTTTTACGACTTATTTCAGTTTTCTCCACCATCTCCACCTCCAAAGGACACTGAGATGGTCAGGATCAAAATGTTTGATTGCATACTGAACAACACCAAGCACTGCCAGCAAACTGGAGTGACTACTTTTAATTGCTGTCCATGCCATGCACTGAAGCTGAATGGAAGTTCATGCTGCTCATTATGCCAAGAAACAAAAACCAACCTCACAGCAGTTCTAAAAATTGTTCGGCCTTTAACACTACTGCCAAGAGGAAGCCTGGCTGCCATTTTCTCCCCAACCTCCCCCCCTCCCCCCGAGATGGGCAAAGCCATTCGCATTATGGAGTGGCACTAAATCTTTCACCTTTTGGCCTTGAGATAGGACAGGAAGCAATCAGAACTTCTGCTTCACATGCATCTGGGCTCCCCAATTAGGGACTTTTGTGCATCTTGACTCCCATCTCGAGTGGAAAGCAGAGCACAGGGACCAAGAGAATAAAGGATGTAGCAGGAGCCATTATGCCGCTACTAGGCTGGGCTGCATGTGGAGCTATCTTGCTTCATCTGCCTTAAAGGCACAGTAGCACTAAAGGAGATGTATTACACACGCCAACTACTATAATGGAACTTGCCTATCCATCTTTCCCCCCTTCTCAGGTACCCTGTGTTTAACTTCAGTGGTGCACAAGCCAGATGCTATAGTATTCACCACACTGCAACTACAACAAAATTGGTTGCATGAATTGGCCATGGCTTCAATCAAATGAAGTTTACTTACGAAAAAGAAGCAGCATAGCTATACTGTCAAACACTGTATGAAAGTTATGGTTTTGCTGCTGTTTTTAATGTTTACCTAAGTTTACAGTGAACTTCAGCTTTTACAGCAAAATAATAATAATAACTGGGACATTGTTTTACCTGGTCAGAGATTCCTTTCCTTCTCTGGTCATCTACAGTATCTGGATAGATGACTTGGTCTCTGAGCGTTCCAAGAGTCATGTATGGTCTCTGAAAGTAAATTGCCAGGAATCAAGACAACTTGATACACATTTTTAAAAACAACAAGAAATGTCAAAGGCTATGGCAGTTTGCTTTACCTGAGGAACATAAAACAGCTTTCCTCTCTCAGGCTTAGTCAGACAGCCACCAAACAGGGGCCACAACTGCAAAGATAAAACAAATAATAAAATTCAATGAATTGTGATTTTGCGCCTTTTGATGTTAAAGGTATACTTACTCCTGCATTTACTTACCTCACCAAGGACACGGAAGAGAGAACTCTTTCCACACCCATTTGGCCCACAAATCAGAACATTTGCACCGGATCGTACCTGGAATGCAAATCATGTATTTAAACATTTTGAAAAAAAGGACTATGAGCAATATGGGTAACTGCTTAGGTTTTATTTGTATGTGAGCTCAAACTACTTTATTAACCAGGTCTCCTAGTACTGTATTAACCACTGAACAAAATTGTTGCTCCACAATGTTCTTTCAAGCGTGAACACTCAAAATTGAAAACTTCAAATGAGTTGCCAAAAAAATTAAATTAAACAAATTCCGAACCCACTGTGTTCCTTCAAGCTAAAAAGTCAAATTCCTCAGTGTAACCTTTGCTCGGTTTCAACAATTGGAAGTCTTTAGTTAAACTTTAAAAGCTAGCAACTACTTAACTAGGAATCTGAGGATGCAGGAAATTACGATCAAACGAAGACTGCTTCCCTAAGTGAACTTACTAAAAGAAAATACCACTAAATTCAGAGGACTATTGAGTAAACACATTTTGGGTTGATTTGCAAGAAGAGGAGGCATATTTGAAAGAATAAATTGGTTTACTTTCCCATTTTATAATTAGTACAGCACCTCCTTATATCCAGGACTATTCTAGATATTTAAGAAAATGCTTGAACTCCCATGTGATTATAATAAAGTTTCACTGTAGAGTTGCCCAGCAGTGACACCTAGTGGTTTATTATTTGTTACGATGCAATATAATGCACATATAATCCCTGTGATTTGGCTGGTGCAGCAGATTTGCGCACGGAGCTGCCAATAATACTTACAGTCAACAACAAAAAACTTGTTAACTGTACAGAAACACTGTTAAAACCATATGGACTGGACTATAAGGCTAAAACTAAGGAAACCATGAGTTGACCACATGGGTTCCTGATTAATATTGTTCTATTCTCACATGTTCTGATGAGAAAGTTTAGATTTTTCTACCCACTTACTGAATGCTTGGAGTTAAAACCAAACTCTATGTAAACAGGTGGCTGATAATATATGGATCTTTACCATTCCTTCGTGCCCTTCCACAGCCCCGGAAAAGCTTCTCTGGTGGGACAGGGACGACATTGGGAGAGGAGGAATCACCCCAAATCAGGCAGAGCTCTGCTAGTGCAAAGTGCCTCCACCCAATTTTGGGTAACACAGGCCCTCTGACACTGTTTTATGAGGGTCCACTAACCTTCCAGAGAAGCTTTTCAGGATTAGGGGATGGGAAAGACATTTGTTTCCCTCATGCAGACAAGGGACGTATCCCATTCTTTCAAGATGAAATCGCTCACGTCATGACATACCTCAAAGTTGAGGTCTCTAATCAACATATCGCCATTGGGTGTTGCCAGTGGAACATGATCAAACCTGCAAGGAAAAAAACAGAGACTTTGCTGTTAATACTAAGAGACCATACTTTCTGAAGATGCACAGACACAGCCCCACCATGCAATAAACAAAGTAGCGGGTGATGTAAAATCGATCTACTATGCTTTCAATCAAATGATCAATGTGGGCAAGCATGAACCTAATCCAAAACTGCCTTACACAAATAAGAATAAGAATAAAGAATAAGAATAAATTATTGATTTTATATATTGCCCTATACCTGGGGGTCTCAGGGCAGTTCACAGAATAAAATCAAGATATAAAACCACAAAATACATAATGAAAATAAAAACAACAACCCAATAGCACGCCCCAAAAAAACACATTTTAAAAGGGCATAGGATGTCAAACAGATCAAACAAAGGCCTAGTTAAAAAGGATATAATGAAGGCGCCAGGCGAACCTCCCTGGGGAGAGCATTCCACAGACAGAGAGCGACCAAAGAGAAGGCCCATTCTCATGTTGCCACCCTCTGGACCTCTTGAGGAGGAGGCACACAAAGGAGGGCCTCAGACGATGTTCTCAGGGTCTGGGTAGGTACATATGGAAAGAGGCAGTCCTTGAGGTATTGCGGTCCTGAGCCATTTAAGGCTTTATAGGTCAAAACCAGCACTCTGAATTGGGCCTGGAAACAAATTGGTAGCCAGTGCAGTCGGACCAGGATCGGTGTAATATGCTCAAAGAGTCTTGCTCTGATGAGCAACCTGGCCACTGAATTCTGCACCAGCTGAAGTTTCCAAACCGACTTCAGAGGCAGCCCTACATATAACGTATTGCAGTAACCTTGAGGTTACCAGAGCATAGACAACAGTAGTTAGGCTATCCCTGTGCCACCAGCAAAAGCTGATGGAAGGAACTCTGGGCCACTGAGGCCACCTGAGCCTCGAGAGACAGCAAAGGATCCAGGAGTACCCCCAAGCTACGAACCTGCTCCTTCAGAGGAAGTGTAACCCCATCAACAGTAGGTGACTTCCCACTCATCTGGTCTAGGGAACCACCCACTAACAATGCCTCAGTCTTATCTGGACTGAGCTTCAGTTTGTGGGCTCTCATTCAGTCCATTACCGAGGCAAGGCACAGGTCCAGCACTTCCACTGCCTCACTTGCAGATCATTGACTGGTAATTGCCTGTGCCAACTGGCTGCAGCTCTCCCAAGATCTCAGGCTATACAAATTATGTAAGTTATCTGCAAAGCTTGTACAATTTGCATTCAAGTTCTCCTTTGGTATAATCTTACATGGTTAACGTTTCTCTCTCTCTCTCTCTCTTTTGCCACAGCATGCCTGGTAATGATTGCCGAAATCTCTCCTTGCGGTTCTTTTTGCTCCCATGTCACACTGAACTAGGACAAGGTTAGCTCAGAACAAACCTCGGCTGCACAGGGAGTGCTCAACCCCATGTCTGGGATTAGATAACGCTCTAAATCAAATATTGGTTTAGGTAACCATGGTCCAGAAATAAAAAAAGATAAAAAACAAGGGAAGAGCAAAGTGGTTGGGGGAGCTGCACATTCGCAGAGTCCTGCATAGTGGAAACAGACCGGTGAGCACTGAATTAAAAACAAAATTGTAAAAGTGTGGAGTGTGTAGTGGAGTGGAGTGGAGTGGAAGTGTGTAGAACTGAAGAAGGCTAATGAGAGAAAATCTAACAAGAGAATAGATACTTTACATACTTGATGATATTATCTGCGATGACTATTCGTCCGGAGCCAGGTATCAGTGGCACAGCTTTTTCCAATTCTGAATCTTAAGTGAAAAAGAAAAGCATGCATTAGAAAGCGCACAAGTCTGACTATGTTTAAAGACACATCAAGTCCGCCATTTACCCTTTTCTTGGGCTAACATAGTCCGCTGATATTTGCCACTGTTCAACTCCTTCAGAACTTGCATTAATTCTGTAATTCGAGCTGTGAACCTAGAAGTTAAAAAAAGGACACCTTCTTAAACTGAAAAGGCATTACTAAATATTCTTCAAAAAATAAAGTGTTTCCAAAAGCTAATTAAATAACCAAAACAGCTTAAAATGAAGGTGCAATAATGCAAGCAAGTCATAATTACAAATTAGACTAGTTCACAAATCACATTAAACTATTTTTTCCATTAACTATGATTTACACGCTGAACAAGGAATATGCTAATGCATGCTGTTAAAAAGTTCTCTCTCCACTCCTCCCCAGATCCTGGCTTCTCACGATGTCTGAACCTCAGTTCATGATCTGTTTCCTCCAAATAAACCACAAGTGCTAAGCCAAAAAGAAACCTTGGTTACCATTCATGGCTTGCATAGAAACAAACCATGAGTCCAGGTTCATATGTCACAACAAGCCATACCCTGACAGCTATACATTATTGGGAAGATAATGGCAATAGTACATATTAATGGTCTTACCCAGCCAACCGTGTCATTTCACGGCCTGCGAGAACTATCCTGCCAAGCGCTTGAGACATTCTCAGTAACATTCTTCCACTTTGGTAGTAATCCTGAAAGTGACAAAATGCGGGGTTGATCATGAGTAAGTGAGCAAATTGCATGCTGTCCACTATAACTCAGCTCAGAAGCTTATTGCTTACCTCCAAAAGTTCTGCATGGGTACTATTCTGATGGCGAGGATGAGACAGGTTCAAAAACGGACGGCTAACAACCAGATAGCCAACGACAGTCGCAAGGTCTGAAATATTTTTTAGAAGTTTATTTCAAAGACAGCTATGAATACAAGGTTACAATGATTCTGAGGAAGATACATGAACCCAACACTAAGCAACAGCATGCAACTCTATTCTTTACTTCTCGTCAAACCCACCTGTTACACTCATTTCAGCTGGTTTCGTAGTTGTTTGGATCCAAGAAAGTGTGAGTGGTACTATGCTTGTGCAAGGCTACTTTTTTTTTTTTTTATAATATTTATTGTTTTTACAAAAACAAATTCCAAAAGATGTGGAAAAATACAAAAATTCGACAAACAGAAAACAACAATAACCATAACAAAAAGCAAACATAGATAACAATATCCATAACAACAAAAGAAAAAGGAAATAAAGAAAAAAAGACAGAAAAATTTAAAAGTAATATACCTTCATTTAACCTTTTAATCATTACCTAATTCTTTGACTTCCCGCATCTCCCGCTTGTATTTCCATTTAAAAACTCCTTTCAGCAAATCCTTACCCTCCTTTCTTTATCTTAACTCAAAGTTAATCTATTTATATATAAATACTACAGCTTTATCCATCAAATATTCCATACTCTTAATCACAAGACTTTTGCCAATACCAGTTATTTTCAGTCAGACCTCAATTTAACATTCATTAATTTTATAGTATTTCTGTAGATAGTCTTTAAATTTCTTCCAATCTTCTTCCACCGACTCTTCTCCCTGGTCACGGATTCTGCCAGTCATCTCAGCCAGTTCCATATATTCAATTACCTTCGTCTGCCATTCTTCCAGAGTGGGTAAATCTTGTGTCTTCCAATACTTTGCGATGAGTATTCTTGCTGCTGTTGTTGCGTACATAAAGAAAGTTCTGTCCTTTTTTAACACCAATTGGCCGACTATGCCCAGGAGAAAGGCCTCTGGTTTCTTAGGAAAGGTATATTTGAATACCTTTTTTAATTCATTATATATCATTTCCCAGAAAGCCTTAATCTTTGGGCACGTCCACCAAAGGTGAAAGAATGTACCTTCAGTTTCTTTACATTTCCAACATTTATTATCGGGCAAGTGATAGATTTTTGCAAGCTTGACTGGGGTCATGTACCACCTGTACACCATTTTCATTATATTCTCTTTTAAAGCATTACATGCTGTAAACTTCGTATCTGTGGTCCATAACCGTTCCCAGTCAGCAAACATAATATTATGTCCAACATCCTGTGCCCATTTAATCATAGCAGATTTTACCGTTTCATCCTGAGTATTCCATTTTAGTGCAAGGCTACTTTTCCACACACCCACTCCTGACTAAAGAACCCCGAACGTTTGTTCCGAGGGTTGGAGAGGACCGCCTTTGATGTGACATGATAGAGGTGCTACAAAGGAGTGGGTTATCTGCGGAAATGGGATAGCGGAGAAGTGCCCTTTGGCTTCTACAAGGCGCTTTTGGATCTAAGCCAAACAGTAGTGTTGTCAGGGCAGGACTTTGGGGCAGAAGTTAAGGGGATCTACTCCACAAAATGAGGAGGGTGCCCAAACACAGCAGAGTTGGCGGATGAAGAAAGTGAATTAATACATTACCATCTAATTGAGTACAGAGTCTAAAATTACCTAAGTGCGCCACTGAAGTCAACAAATTGAGAGTGAGGTTATTATACATCATATTATAATTATTAATATTTAATAAATTTGTTAGTCGCTCTATCCTGCCCAGGACAACCTAAAATGACTTCCAGCCAACTCCCCCCACCCCAACCACCAATGCAATTTATTTTTCCTCCGATGCGATTATCACACAAAAGGGCCAGGGGTGTTATGCACACTTACATTTGGCAACAATGGTATCTATGAAGCCCATAGTAAACCGGAACAAGATAAAATTGTGCAAGTGCTCTACCTATTGAAATGGGAAAAAGGGGGAGAATTATTTCAAGAGATTCTATATATTTAAAGCACTGAATCAATAGCTTCTAAAACAGTCTAGTTCACTGCCAAGCCAGCATTAAAATATATGTACATTTGTAGGAGCAATAAGAAAACAAATGTTGAAACACACTACAGTGCACAAGAGGGAATTGTTCCACCAAGGCTGGGCACTCCATATCCAATATCCCCCTTTTGGCAAGCAGGAAAATCCCAACTTCCATTTAAAAAGGATGACTAGTCTTCTCACAAGTAATGCCAAGAAAACACATGGGAAAGGGTAATATGTATTTGCACGCACAATATTACAATAGGATTGTGCAGTGGATTAAAAACAAACAAACCCAAATCCTTGGCCAAAGATACGGTGCTTCAGAGGGATGTGTGAGCTGTATGAGGTACCTTAAAGTGAATGGGTAAACACCTCCTGAAGCACTTTCTGGTGCCTCAGCAACTTGGATGCAAAAAACAAAAAACTGCTGCAGGCAACTTGTCTGCTAAAAGTAAAACTAATGGATCTAAGCATACCATCTCAGAAAAAGGTCAGGGTGGAGTGAGGCAGTGCAGACAGGTGGGGAGAGAGCAGTGCGGCAGTGGGATGGATGTGAAGCGTAATTTCCCATGGAGTTATGATGGGTTAATCCTCAGCACTTCCTTAGCCTGCTTTCTTTCCAGCTAGGTTCACTTCCACTCCTAAAGCCCAGCTGGGAGAAAAGCAGCTGGGGGAGAGGGAAGCAGCAAGCAGAAGGGCACAGCACCCCGACTCACACCTTCATTGGAAATCTCACCACTATCACTTACTACAGTTGGGTGGTAATACATGTTTGAAAGCACAGGTCTGCCACTGTCTTGTTCAGTTCTGCCCATATTCCAATATAACCCCCAAATTCCTGCAGCTTTTCTTTAAATCAAACATGTTTACAGCAAGTCGAAGGCCATACCATCCAATTGATAAAGCTACGCTATTCCTCCCCCCCCCCCATTTATTCTTTTGTAGAAAACTTAATCCTCTTTCAAACCTTGCTAAATCCTTTGGGTACAAAGTCACTAAGCAACTTCTGCTTCACAACGTTCATTCAATTATGTAAGCAACCTTGGGGTGGGTCACTAAATCGAACAGGATGATACAAAATGAATGCTTGGGAGATTGCATCCTTTTTAATGGTTACAGTGTTGGGTTAGGGATTGAGGTATCAGGAATCAACCCCTCACTTAACCATGAAGATCAGACACTGGGTAACCTTGGGCAGGTCACCATCTCTCAACCTAGCCTATCTCACAAGGCTGTTGCAAGGACAGAATGGGCAGGGGGACAACCATATATTCCAAAGTGAATTCTATGGAAGAAAGGTGGGCAATACAATATATAATAATATAGCCTGTGGAAATATATGCCACAAAGTAATTTATGCACTGTGTCTGGGGAAAATATATTTTTTAAATGACATAATTTCATTAGATGATCATCTCATTAAGATATCCCTCTAGCTCTTCTGCAAAGAGCCATACACACACCGTTCTGCTTCATGCTAACTTACCAGTTTGCGGAAAGCTTTGTGAATGGTTTGCTTTTCTCTTTGATTCCCATTATAGAAAGCAATTTCTTCACTGCAAAAGGGGAAATGAAAAGAAGAATGATGATAAAATGCAAGGACTACATGCAACAAGAGCGACTGGAAATCAAACGTGGGCTACCTGTCCAGCGGAATGAGGCAGAACTCTGGTGAAAGAGTCAAGGGGCGACAGAAGGGACCACCCCCACCACTTCTGTCTGCAGGTAGGTGGTCACAATTTTGAATTCCCCCCCACATACACCAGTAAAAACACACACAAAAACACTCACAAAAAACCTTCTTGCAAGTCAAACATTAGAATAGAAAAGGGTGAACCTCACTTCTTGCTAGGCTAAGTTTCTATGTGCAGGATTTACAAAAAACAAATAGCACATGGGAGAATTCAAAAACATAATCCCTGCCATTTGCAGAGTAAAGCACTACTCTACCCTAACACTTTGTTCTATGTGGACTATGCCATCTGTAAGCCACACTTCAGAGCTGCTACAATATCAATCCAGGAAAACTGTCTCTTCTTTGAAATGGCCCAATAATAAGCGTTAAATAGTTCAGAATTTTTTAGTTGTTTTAACTACAAGGAATTCAGGAGAACAGCTGATCTTGGGATTGTGATAAGTGCAAGTTAACAAATTTTTGAAAATAAAGAAACACAGAAAGGATCTTATTTCTTAGTTGGTCTTTATGACCCCCCAATTTGCCTTGAAACAAATGCATACCTATTGGTAATGAGCCGGGAATTGACAAATCTGTACTCTCCTTCATATTTTTGTTCCGTGATAGTCATTTTACCAATGGGCCTTCTTAAACGTGTAAGGAAAAAGCCTGAAATAATCAAGTAGGCCATCATGGAAGCAGGGCCCTATAAATATGTAGGAAATATGACAAGAATTCCAAAACAAACTGGTTAGCGACCACAATTTTTTAAATTAACATTTGCACATGTATGTGTGATAAAGACATGTATAAGTCCCCCCCCCCATGGGCAACTATCTATAGAAGGATAAAACACACACTGTTCAAATTGAAAACATATTTACATAGAAATTACTTAAGAACATTGCCTGCAATTGAAATCTCCAATGACACACAAGTTCCATGCAAGCAGACCTGCCCCATTCAATACTGGTGAATTAGCTGCATGCAAAGAGCAGTTTGCAACCTTAACTGATGAAGTAACATTTATTTACATAGAACCTCTCGATGCTGGAAAATCATAATAAAGGATTAAATGTGACATTTAGTACAATTTCCTAAGGAACATAAAGAACTCAGGTGTGCACACCTCATATTATGATTTATTAGATTAGAATCAATTAATAGCATAAAATAGTTTATTTACTTTATTTACTTCAATTACTATAATTAATGTCTAACAAATGAGTGCACCCAAAGAGATCCAGTTCTATTTTTATGATTTACTAATGCCTGTAAGAGATTTATTTCATGTCATCTTGTAAACTTTTACTTTGTAAAAATTACATTGCCCTGGTTTGAGCATCGTGCTAAATCAGTTTAAAACAAGCTATGGTTTAATGTGAACAAATAGTATGCACTAGCATGCTGCTCATTTTCACCAAACAGTAGGTCATTTTAATCTACGGTTTAATGTGATGAGCAAACTGGGCTACTACTGATCTCCAAACAGAGTTTTCCAAAGCTAAGCTATGCACAAGTCTTCCCTTTGAAGTCAATAACTAGGCAAGTAGGTTTTTAAATCCTTATTCAAAGCTCAGCCAGACTAATGTTCTCATTCAATTTATTGAGTTCTCCCCTACTTAAAATACTTAGAGGGAGCCATATACACAGATTCTTTCAAAACTTTCAAAACCCTCATTCAATTTTATTGAGTGCTCCCCTACTTAAGATACTTGATTTTCCCTCAAGTATCTTAAGTAGGGGAGAACACAAGAAAACTGAATAAGAGTTCTGAAAGTTTCAAAAGTATCTGTATGTATGGCTCCCTGCAATAAAGAAGACTTTAGGAATGCGTGTACAGTGTTATTTTATATTGACAACAATATATTCAAATCCTTTCTAACCTAAAGCTGGAATCCTATCCACGCTTAACTGGGAATAAGTCCCACAGAACAATGTGAGATTTACTTCTGAGTAAACACAAATGGGATTGCTCAACACAGTTATTCAAGGGAAAAGTTACCTTTTGGGGGTAAATGAACACTGCAGAAAACATTTCTCAAAGAAATATACTGATGAGACCAATAGATACAGGACAGGCTGCAGGAGGCACTGGGAAAATTGGTAATATAATCCTATACAAATCTCTTCAGAAGTTCCACTGAGCCCAGTGGGAGTTACCTCAAGGTAAATCTGCATAAAATCGCAGCCTTAGTGAAATTTTACTGAGGGATTCACTGCAGTTGAGCATCCAGGTATACAACCAAGGAAGACTGTTACAATCCTCAGCTGCATGTATCGGAACAAAACAGTATGGACAGCCCTGGCTTCTCTTCTACGGTACCAATGAATCCATTAAGATGCAGAACCTTAGCCTGAGCTAATGGTATTTCTGTTGTGCTGAATTATGGGACAAATGCAGTGGAGTCTTATTACCAGAAAAGGATAACAATAGGTTATTTAAAGTCTACCAGCTGAAATGTGGTAAAATACACTCTTAGCACACAGCAAGCTGAACCACACACTGGAAAGAATGCAGACATGTGATAATTTCTTTTTTCACATGGTTGAATCTACCTCAGCCGGGATAAAGGGTTTTCAGGACAAACACTTCCACAAAAAGTGACGTCGAACTATTGGCAAACCATTAGATCTGCTCAGAAATGGAAGCCAATGAAAATTCAACAGCTTGGCTATGATGCAATCACCTTCCAAGAGAGCATGGATTGTATACGCTGGTAACTTGTTTGTCTGTATGTTATGAAATTAGCCTATAAAGTTTCAACTGCGGCTTCCCCTCATCTTTCAACATATTTCCAGTGACATCAGCATTGACTTGAGAAATTTTCAAGAGCAGTTGCATAATAAAATGGCCTGGAGTGTTTGTGTATTTTTTAAAATGCTTTAGTTCCAAATGTTTCTGAATACTAGATCTATAGAAAGTTCCCTGATAATACATTGCTTGTGCTGTAGAACAAATGGGTCATTTGCAGAACAATTACTGTACATGATGAAAAATGTGATCTTACCTGAGCTCCTATTGCACTTGTTAGCTTGAAGATATACAAAACGATATCCAAAAATGGCTGTTAAGAGAAGGTTTAATATTAGTTATCATGAGGCCAAAAAAAAAAAAAAAAGACACACAACTTTCAAAAAGTCCAAAAAGTACACAACTTCTAAACAAACTATCATGTTCTGCAAATAAACACAGCCAAATTAGGCCACACAACACTGAAATATAAGATTTATATTCATTTTCCAAGAAATCAGACATTCCATTTATTAAGCAGTGGTTGGACATAGTTCAGTACATAACACCATTCGATTTACCGTAGATTCCGGTGTATTAGGCGACTGGCCGTATTAGACAACCCCCCAAATTGGCAGCTGCAATTTGGGGGTTCGTCTTCTAAGCCCAGTCGCTTAATACGCTGGGCAGCTCTGCACCGGGAGAAAGCCGCCCCTGCTGCTGCTTCTGAAGCAGTGCGGGGGGCGGGCTCCGCAATGGGCGGCTTTCTCCTGGCGCGGAGCCGAGCCAGCCTCCCGCTGCTTCCGAAGCAGCAGCGGGGAGGGGCGGACTCCATGCCGGGAGAAAGCCGCCTGGAGTGCAGCGGAGCCCGCCGCTGCTTCAGAGCCGCCACAGCAGCAGCAGGGGGTGGGTTCAGCTCCGCGATGCCCATACCAGGCGTATAAGGTGACCCCTGACATTTTAACCTCTTTTCTGGGGTTAAAAAGTCGTCTTATACACCGGAATCTACGGTAGAAAACGAAGAGTTCAAAACTTAAGACAATGAATCATCCTATCTATTCAGCCTATCTATTCAGTTTGTGTCGTCTGCTCTGCTCAACAGCTGTCTACAAACTGTCTCCGAGAAAGTCTTTCAAGTTTAAGAGAGGACTGAAACAAGAGAGACAACCGTCTGGGCCTTGATAATAATAATATATTTTTATTTATACCCCGCCCTCCCCAGTCAAGGCCGGGCTCAGAGTGGCTTACAAGCAATAATAAAAACAAGATGAATGATTACAACTTAAAAACAAAAATAAAATACAACATTAAAATAATGGAACATTAAAATATTAAAATGTAGCCTCATCGCAGGAGGAGAAGGAAAAGAAAAAGAAAGAGAGGAGGGAGGGAATCAAATTGGCTCCAAGCCAAAGGCCAGGCGGAACAACTCTGTCTTACAGGCCCTGCGGAAAGAAATCAGATCCTGTAGGGCCCTGGTCTCATGAAGCAGAGCGTTCCACCAGGCCGGAGCCAGAGTTGAAAAGGCCCTGGCTCTGGTTGAAGCCAATCTAACTTCCTTAGGGCCTGGGACCACTAGGGTGTTGTTATTTATGGACCTTGAGGCTCTCCGTGGGGCATACCAGGAGAGGCGGTCCTGTAGGTACGAGGGTCCTAGGCCATGAAGGGCCTTAAAGGTCAAAAGCAGCACCTTAAATCTGACCCTGTACTCCACCGGGAGCCAGTGTAGCTTGAAAAGCACTGGGTGAATATGCTCCCATGGCAGAGACCCCGTGAGGAGCCTCGCTGCAGCATTCTGTACCCGCTGGAGTTTCTGGGACAGCTTCAAGGGCAGCCCCGCGTAGAGCGAATTACAGTAGTCAAGCCTGGAGATGACCATCGCATGGATCACTGTGGCCAGGTCGGGGCGGGAAAGGTAAGGGACCAACTGCTTGATGCGGCAAAGGTGGAAAAATGTCGCCTTGGCTGTTGCTGTAACTTGCGCCTCCATGGAAAGGGAGGCGTCAAGGATTACACCCAAACTCTTAACGGAAGGCAATGGCACTAATTGGGCCCCCGCAAGAGAAGGGAGTTGGTCCCTCATCCCCATGCCATCCTGACCTAGCCATAGGACCTCTGTCTTTGAAGGATTTAGTTTCAATCGGCTCCCACGAAACCATCCAGCTACAGCTTCCAAGCATCTGGTCAGTGTATTCGGGGCCGAGTCGGTGTGGCCATCCATCAGCAGACAGAGCTGAGTGTCATCAGCATATTGGTGACAGCCCAGCCCAAAGCTCCGGATAATCTGGGCAAGGAGGCGCATAAAGATGTTAAAAAGCATTGGGGAGAGAATTGCGCCCTGCGGCACTCCACACACCAAGGAGTGGCGCGACGACATTTCCCTCCCTAGTGCCACCGTCTGTCCCCGACCAGAGATAAAAGAGCACAACCAGTTACGGGCTATGCCCTGTATCCCCACGTATGCGAGGCGGTGGTCCAGAAGATCATGATCGACCATGTCAAAGGCTGCTGACAAATCTAAAAGGATCAGCAGTTCTGACCCGCCTCGATCCAGTTGTCTACGGAGATCATCTGTTAGGGCAACCAGAGCCGTCTCCGTCCCAAAACCAGGACGGAAACCGGACTGAAATGGATCTAATGCCGATGTTTCCTCCAGAAACCTACCAAGCTGTTCAGCAACCGCTCTCTCAATTACCTTACCCAGGTATGGAAGATTTGAAACTGGGCGGTAATTGGATAGGTCTAAGGGATCTGATGAAGTTTTCTTTAAGAGTGGACACACCACTGCTTCCTTCAGTTCCCCTGGGAATGTCCCCGTGTCAAGGGACAAATTGATAATTTCAACCAGGGGGGTCCGCGCAACATCTGGACACTCCCTAATCAGCCAAGACGGGCACGGATCAAGGAGGCAGGTGGTGGGCCTACCAACTTGGAGGAATCTATCCACATCAGTAGGGAGTATCCGATCGAAATGGTCCAACACTGGACCTGAAGTCAGTCGAGGGGCCTCCAGTTCAGTCACTGTATCTAAAGTGGCAGGGAGGTCACGGCGGAGCAACAGGACTTTCTCCGCAAAAAAGCTTGCAAATGCCTCACAGCTGTGGGTCGAATTTATGCTTAAATTTGGTTGTCCTCCTAAGGACGTTATTGACCTAATTATTCTAAAAAGTTGTGCCGGGCGAGAGCTAGCGGATGCAATGGAAGCTGCAAAGTAAGATTTCTTAGCAGCTTTCATAGCCATGTCATAGGCTTTCATAAGCGTTCTATAAGATGTTCTTGAGGCTCCGTCACGAGTCCGTCGCCATACTCGCTCTAGCCGTCTGAGATCCCGCTTCATTTTCCGGAGCTCCTCAGTAAACCAAGGGGCCCGGTTTCGACGGGGTCGCAGAGGGCGCTTAGGCGCGATCTCATCAATGGCTGCCAAGAGCCGGTTATTCCAGTCCTCAACAAGGTCATCTAATGAGTCGCCAGGAGGAGCAGGGTTCCGCAAGGCTTGTCGGAATCTATCAGGATCCATCAGTTTTCACGGACGAACCCAAATAGGTTCGCCACCCGAGCCGGGGAGGAGCAGGAAGTCAATCTTGGCTTTCAGAGCGTAGTGATCAGACCATGGCACTTCCACAGCGGGGAGCATGATCACATCTATGCCAGCCCCAAAGATCAGATCCAGCGTGTGGCCTGCTTGATGAGTGGGGCCCAAAACAAACTGGGAGAGCCCTAGTGTTGCCATGGAAGTCACTAGGTCCAGAGCCTGTGAGGAGGGAGCGGCATCAGCATGGACGTTGAAGTCTCCCAAAATCAGTAGGTTTGGGAACTCCAAGGCCCAGCCCTCCACCACCTCCAGCAGGTCTGACAGGGTGGCTGCAGGTGTGCTGGGTGGTCGGTACACCAGCCAGACAGCCAAGCTCTCCTTGGTGCCCCACACGAGACCAACACATTCAATGCCGGAGATCGCCAGTGATGGCAGAGCTCTTAAAGAGCAATCCTCCCGGAATAACAACGCTACTCCTCCCCCCCAACCCACAGTCCGCGATTGATGGAGGACAGAAAAACCTGGGGGTGTTATCTCATGTAGGGAGACTACTTCGCCTTCCCGTACCCAGGTCTCCGTCACACAAGCCAGGTCAATCCCCTGCGAGACAAAAAAGTAACGCATGGTGGCGGTTTTGTTGCCTATGGACCTGGCATCGCACAGCACCAATGACGGTGGTGTGTAATCCTTGCTCTCCCTACCCTCATCCCTTGGGATGGGGCGTAGATTGGAAGGGGTTCGAGGATCACTGCATCTCGAAACCCTTCGCCGATAGAGATATCTAGCCCCACCGCCATTCCTCCCTAGCCCTTCAATTGTGGAAATCCCAGATCCCATACTAGCTTCCCCAATAGATGGGTAACATCCCCTCAATAACAAGTCATCCTTGGGCCAGGACTCCTGGGTCAAAATGGTATGGGAAAGAGGTGGAGGTCTGATAGGGTAAGTATCCCTAGAAGATAAAACCCAAACAACCGCACCCCAAGCGGGGGAGACAGTCCCATGGTGTTTCATTAACTGTCAACCCTCCTCTCCCTCCTGGGTTAATTGGAGGATTGTTGGTTCTATCTGTGGCTGTGGAAGTATTAATGAGGTATGTGTTATAAAATGTGGATCACTGGCCAACAAAGAGCCAGATTCGAATTCGGAAGATCTGTCCATCCTGTCTCGCCAGGAGTACAGTAGAGAGGCTGATCATTCTGATAAGTTTTTGGAACATTAGGCAAAGGTCCAGATGTAGATTTGGTGCTGGATATCTCCAGATTGTCAGCAACATAGAGTTCTTTAGGTGTTGTTGCCATAGAAATGTCGGAGGCGCCAAATTCCTCATCTAATTTGGTGTCGTTTGAAAAGGGAACAGGGAGTTGCACTGATGTCTTTCTATGGGATAAAGAGCTGTTGGACGTCTTTAAATATTGTGCTCTAGGCTCTACTGTCCTTATATTTTGGGTAGAAATCTCAGTCTTTATACTCATTAGCCTCTTCTTCAGGTCTTGTAATTCTAGGCTTACAAAGTTCTTTTCTTCCTTTGGGCAATTAGTATTTCTAGTGTTGAGCTTGGTTTCCTTTATCCGCATTAGCTTTGACTCTATGCAAGGGACCAATTGCCTCCTAGTTTCATCCTTAAATACCCTCACTGGGCGGAGAGAATGGAACCACCATAGGGTATCCTTTATCTCCATGAGTCGAGATGGGAGGGTTGATGACCTAAAGGTCATAAATAGGCGCATGGTGTTTCTCAAGGTAGGCAGGAAGTGGAAATTTTCTAGATCTACATTTCGGTAATGGTAATTCAGGAGCTGAGACAAGGACATAGTAATTTGTCTGCGGTTCATCCACCTATGAGTGTATCGGTGAATCTCAAGCATTATCTGGTTTGTTTGCAAGAATTGACAGGACCTCACTTCATCCATAGTTTGAGTTGGTGAGTTGTTAACAGAGTCATTTCTTATCATCCTTTTAAGCCCTTGGGCATTTAAAGGGGAGGAACTAGTATCCAATTGTTTCTCAATGTTAACTATTCTAGTGAGGATTTCATCCAGTCTTTGGAGAACCAGAATCATAGTTTCTGCAGACAACATGCAAATCTCTTGGTAGGGGTGCGTATCCCGAATTGGTTGAAAGCAGGCTCCTCTGATATCTTGTTCTAGAGGCATGGGTGGGTCAGCGTTAGGAGTGGGAGGAATCCCTCCTGCTCCTGCTCTTGCCCTCTTGGACGGATTAGCTTTTTCTGGGAGGAGGGGGGTCGGGTCATTGACATCCTCCTTAAGGGGGGGTGAGGTTCCCCCAACGTTGTTACTCACTGTTTGTTCTATTTGCTCCGTTTTCTCAGTTTCCTCAACCCGCTCTGTTTCTGAGCCAGGGCAGATGGCGTTGGCTCTCTGCCGATTCTTTGTTTTAGAGGAATTGTGAGTCTCAATAATGGTCTTCTGGCTCTTTGCACCTCGTTTTCTCCTTCAGGCAGGCATGGAAGAGGTTATATTGGATTTGGGGCTACATTTCTCATACAGTTGATGTGGCTTGGCAGACAAGAAGCTATAGATTGCAAACATGGTGTTGTAAGCTGCTTAACAGAATGTGTGGAAAGAAGCAGCAGCTCAACTGAAACTACTTCAGTTGCATGTGACATGCCCTAAATGAAAGACATTGAAGACATTTGCAGTGTAGTACCTAATAATTTGTGGACTATAACTATCTTTGATGTGGCTGACTCAATCAAGTAATGCGCTGGACTAAATGCAAATGATTATGCTAAACAGTTACACGCTGATATTAATATACTTCTATCCTACAAATATTAAAATGTTTAATTATGCAGATTATGGAATTACCAAAGAATGGCTCCTCTTTAATCTTACCTTGCTAAGGTTTGAATACAGGTCTACTACACTGTTACAAAACTTTTCTACATCTTGTGTCAGCAGCTGATCTGGATTGGCTATTCTGTTGTCCAGATTCCCCATTTTGTAATAGGTATAAGTCCTAAAATGTGTGGAAAACAGCGAGTTAGATTAATGTGGCATTTTCTACTGAATTATGCGTTTTATAAATAACTGATAGCATTTTTAACAATTAAGCACATGATTTAAGACTGGTTTAAATTTAAATTTATATTAAATCATTAAAAATACTGGAGGGAGGGAAATTAGTCACTTACTGAAGATATTGCTCATATAGGTACTTGGTGAGTCGAACACGGAAACACAACTTAAGCTCGTTTAGCCCATACTTCAAGAAGTTGTTCACCAGGGAGATCTATGAACAGCAGCAGTATAATGTTACACAAACTCAAATAAGTTAAATAAGGATTGCTTCTTCGCATCAGTAAGAGGGCAAAGTCTAAGCTGCATGAAACCCTCCACCTTAGGTTAGCTCAGATGGCATATTAAAAACCAGGATCATCGTCCAATTGAATAAATCTTGGGCTGCAATCCCATATAAGATTACTCAGAAGTATGCTTCAATAAACTCAGTAGGAATTACCTTTGAGCATCATGCATGGGATCATGTTGTCAACCTACACAAATTTGTATTCAAAATAGTTATAAACAACAACACCAGCTTGGATCCAGAGAACTGAGTGGAAGGTGTATTAGTGCCATTTCCACGAAATATCATGTAAGGAAATAGAAAACTTTCCACTGACTATGTCTACTAGGGCTGATAGGAGTTGCAGTTCAGCAACATCTGGAGGGCCAAAGATTATCCACTCCTGGATTCAAATGGTGTTGTTTTGTTACCAGTGTGCTGCCAAAGCTTCCTGTGTCTGTTATGGGGTTTGTTTTGTTTTTATGATTTATTTATTTATGGTTGGTTGCGCAAGAGTTTCCAGAAATGGAAGAGGTTATATTGGATTTGGGGCTACATTTCTCATACAGCACTTTCCCCTAAGGTCAGAAACAGCTCTTTAATGAGCAGTGAAGTTTTCCACTAGTAGAACACCACCTTTGTATACAAGCCATGCTCTATTCTTTTAGATGATGCACACAGGTGTCATTGAATCATGCCCTCTTCTCTCACATATCGGAGAGAACGGCTGTTTTAAGATGGCACTTGCCATCTGCAAATGGCGAATCTGCTCATCTGTGAATTAGGGACACCATTTCAAGTCCAAGTACTCTTAAATATATTATTAAATTGATTAGTAATCTGATCCATCAACTACATGTGGCATCCCTAGTCTAAATCCTGCAGCCACAAAGTGACATCACTGTTTAAAGGCTGAAAAGTGCATGTACTTCATCAGAAGGAAGGACTATTCAGTTATTTTTATGTTGGAACATATTCAGTTATATTTATGTTGGAACATATTACTTTAATGTTTTATCACAGTATTCATATTATAATAATGTAGACATCTTAAACAAGTAGCTCAAACAAGAGAAAATGTTTATGGGTATTATCTTGATTTACAAATAAACTCAATTTCTTGATAAGGGCTTATTGGATGTCATTCAGCTGTTTAATGGGGGGAGCTACACACAGTATGCTATTTATGAATTTTAGAAGGGTGGAAAGGTTGTTGAGGCTTTCCACCAAGTTTGAGTTATTAATCTAACTGCTCTGTATACACAAATGCCTGTCTATATTTTTTGCAGTCACAACACTCTAGAACAAGAATGCATTTTTCTACAAAACGTAAAAAGCACTTTCTCATCTGACCTTGAGGCCAAAAATGCCAACAGAGTCGTATGTTAGGAAAAAGATGAAAGACACTTAAGAAGGTTTCTACTTCTATTTCTTAAAAAAGAAAATTTATAAAGTTGTTTTTCTTTCCTCCCTGCCCTCCTTGGATCTCTAATGACCACTTCTCACCAGTTGCCAATACCATATTTATGTACATTTTTCTTCAACTAAAAATCTTGCAGAGGGATGAATATAAACTAACATGAATAGCTAACATTTCTTCATCTTAGCTGCCTTCTGCATTTAAAAAAAAATTACTTATACCCCTAAATACTCTGGATGTGGAGTATTTCACACACACCCTCAACCTTTAAACTGGAGTCAAATTTATCTCACTGCCTTTAAGTTAAAGGATTATATATTTCTTACAGCCCTTTGGGATTAATTATGACCCTAGATGCATGCGCAAGTTTTTTGGGGGGTTTTTTAAAAAAGAAAATAACATGCCATTTCAATTTTTAAAACACAAGAGCTAACTTTGGAGCTCATCTGAGAAGTTGGAATTGGTCACGTTTACAAAAGCGATGTCAACACTTACAGCAGGCATAGCAGCGATGAAGTTGAACAAGTACCTCTTGAAATCTTTTCTGCTGCGGCCAATGATAGCACTGCAAACCACCACATGCAAAATGTTAGGCGTAAGAGAAGCAAAGCCCATCCCACAATGGTTCAATGAAGGCAAAGTAGAAAGCCGTTTAAGGTGAACACAGGACAAGAAGTTCAACAAAGAAAGCAGCAGGACTCTAGTTCCACCATACAGGCATACAGATGCGTTTCCACATCTGCCAACAAAGCAACAGCTGGTCTACCGAAACCCTTCTCCGTGTTTCCACTGCAGCTCTAAAACAACTAACTACAGAGGCTGTTAACATGGGGAGGGCTGCGGGTCTTCCAGGAAGCTTTCTCTCTCCATGGAAGGAAACAATAGGGCTGTCACCAAACAAGCTCAGTGTTGAATTCCACCCCTCCACGATGTACAGTTGCCCAACTTATCACTATGTCCGCATGTCCTCTCCTCATTCTCTATCGTTCAGCTTCTGTTCACAAAGAAATATGCATCCCAATGACCTCAGGACACTGGGATGGGGGGAGGAAGGAGCTATAATGGGCTACCACTTGAAGAGGCAGTTTCGTTTCCTTTGGAAATAAATAAATAGCTTTTGGCCCACTGAGCCCAAATGTTTTGATTAGCAGGATTAGAAATGAAGAAAGGTGTGTTCCCCTCCCCCCCCCCAAAATGTGAGGAGAAACCAAAAACAGTGGAGGGTGGGGAGAGGGCAAAGTCAGGAATGGGTAGGTGAATGGTGACAAGGGTTTAAAAATCTAGTGAGGACAGAGAAGTTCTGACCATTTGGTAATGCCTTGATCTAGAATGAGAACTGAAGAGAGCCTGGGGAATTGTTTACTTTGTTCTCTCTTCTACCTAGGCAAAGGGGTTTACTTTGGAAGAGGTAGAAAGCAACAGTGAAGATAACCGACACCATTCAGTACAACTTGTAAGACCATACATTCTGAAGCAATTAAAATAAAGAAAATGGAAAAGCCACAGGAGCACCATAAACTGTACAATTTAGTTGACATTATTCAAACTAAATTTCGGAAGACATAAACTGGAAGGAAAAAGCTAATTGCTTCAGTTATGCGTCAGTTATCACAGCATAAATGTAACAGGTGCATGCTAATATTAACAATATCTGTTTACCAGTGGAATGGAAACTACAAATTTAAAAAAGGATTTCTTGAATAGCGACAGATCCCTGCTTACGATTGCACTGCAAGAAAAAATGTACATAATTTAACAGCTCTGCTAATGACTGAAGAGTTACCACCATTATATATTTTTACAGTGTACAGTGGTACCTCGGTTTTCGAACGTAATCTGTTCTAGAAGACCGTTCGAGTTCTGAAACATTCAAAAACTGAAAACTCAATACAGAAGTGTCAATAAAGAAAACTTGATACAGAAAACTCAGTATGGAAGTTGCGTGGCATGACTTCCTGGGCATGTTCAAAAATGGAAGCATTTACTTCCAGGTATACGGTGTTCAAAAACTGAAACGTTAGTCAACGGAGACGTTCGAAAACCGAGGTACCACTATATCAATAATCATTACTGCTGACATGACAGACATGCAACCGATTTAGCAGGGAACTAAATGTGCAAGATAAAAATAATAAAGTCAAATGGTATTTTGTGTACAATTGGTTCATTTTTTGTATTATGAAACCCAAACAAGAAACCGAAACTCAAGCACATTCCTCTTCTTTTAAAACACAGAAAGTCTCTGAATATCACTTCTGCCTACAAGACTGCATTTTATTTGCAGATTACACACCACAGAAATAAATTATCCTGGATTATATTTTGTACAACAAATAGGAAATTTGCCACAAATTGGTCCCTCCCCGCTACCAGTATCCTATCAACTGTCAGAGAAAACTAATTGTTTGCTTGGATTGAGCTTTCACTCGTGACAATTATAACTACATTGGCCTGGTTCACACATCACATTAAATCAGTAGCTAACATTCCACCCCCCCTCTTGAGATGTCATGGACCAGAACTTCCATCGACTCCAACCAGGCATAGTTAATAGCCAAGGATGATGGGAGTTGTAGTCCCACATATCTGGGGAGGATGGACCATATTGGATATTGTTACATTAAACTATAGTTAAACTATGCTGTAATGCGAATGTGCAGCATGATGCTGAACAGTCTCCTGCTCATGCCATGTTGATGGGAAACAAGATGGTCTGGCTTGTCATGACGTCCAAACTCAGTGTTGTAGTTTGTTCACGCTTTATTGCTCACACTTTGTATTTGGAGAAAGACAATCTAAGAAACCAGATTCAGACATCACAACAACCCTGACTCTTTTCACAGTGGTGTGGTGGCAGAACAAGTCGATGAATGAAGATGAACGAGGATGAACTGTTCAGCAGACACACACAGCATGCTACTCATTCCCATTAAGCATACTTAAGTTTTTAACTATGGTTTAATGAGACGTATGAGCTAAGCCACTGACTGCATAATGGATGTATCAGTCCCCTTTGCGCAACACACTAAACCATGGTTTAGTGAGAGATGCATAATCTCTGGCTGTTGTGGTTTAAACAGGAACTGGCTGTTGTGGTTTAAAACAAACTCTGTTTTGTATTCTTCAAAACAAGCCAGCTTCAAGCCACAGGGGATAAATCTGGAATGTTTAAGTAACATGTTTTAAACCACAGTCTCTGATTCGTATGCAAAACCAGGTGTCTGAAAAAGTGAAACAAAACACACAAGAGCAGGAGATTATGCAAGCCAAAGTTTCATTCAGGTTCACGTGGGAGGGTGATGAAGCTGTGCTTAGTCTTGTTCCAGCTTGGATAAATAGCACCAAACAATGATAAGCTATTATATGCAAACAGGGCCAGAGGGAAGGCATGGTTTCCTGCTACCAGAATGAGCTGTGACAAGCCTCGAGCCCAGGCATTCCCCTCCTCAATGTGAGAAGAACCTGAAAACATCTGTATTTGAATTTAAACTAGTCACAGTTCCCCATGACCTCTGAACTCTGTAAATTGAGATTTCTTTTAACTATTGATAGTACGAACAAGTCATGATCAAACTGTGGTTAATTTTGAATTCACAGCTTCTCTCCCACACAGCTACAAGAGAGAATGAGAAGTTCATTCTCACAGCAGGAACAATAATTTACCTTCCCATCCCATTATCTTTTTAAATCTAAGTCAACTGCCAATCCATTTTATGCAACCTTTGTCCCTAGTTATTGCAATCTTATATGTCACATGAGTATAACATGCAGGGATCAAATATGGAATGCTTACCTCTCAATAACAGTTCCATTCTGAATCATCCAAATATCACAGTATGTGCGAAGTATCAGCATCATGGCAATAAGTACCAAATAACCTGTCTAGTAAAAGTAAAGTGAGTTGTCAGTGTTCACAGATGATCATTCCTTAATGAGTTTTCTACAAACAGCCTAGAGTCTTTCTTCAATTACAAAGGACAGGGCACAAATTTTAGTCATTTAGTTCAAGGTACTTGTGTTAATCCACAAAGCCCTAAATAACTTTCATCCAAAATACCTTAAGGACCGCCTGATTCCTTATGCTCCACCTTGATCACTAAGATCCTCTGACTGGAAACTTCTGGTGGCTCCCATGCCCCTGAGTTACAGTTGGCCTTCACCAGAGACTCAGGAAAAGTTTCTTTTAAGAAAAAGGCCAGTAAATGTCTATGTGCTGGATCCAGACTGCCTCTAGGCAAATCTCTACCCATGAGATGCTATGTAAAACAATCTTAGCGGACTCCCTTTCTCCCTGTGCGCTGGAAAAGGCTGTTCCACCCCCTCCCTGAACTATGCTGCTCTAAAGGGTTGGGAGACCCTTCAGAAAAGTCTTAGAGGCAGTGTTGGGGGCTGCAGGTAGAAGGGGTATTGGCACAAATTGTCTCCCCCTCCCCTCACTGGATTTCCCCACTGGAATAGAAGGACCCTTTCATTCTTGAAAGGGCAAATCTGGACGCAATGCTGTGAAATTAAATAAAAAGCTGAAAAACATTTTAACCTGGATTAAACAGAAGGCCATGCTAAAGAAAAATCCTAGAAACCATCTTATGCAAATCTGATCTATAGCCACTGATGTGTCCCATATTTATGAGACTCAGTTCTCACAGCAGGTCTGTAATTCCCAATTTTCTTGATGTTCTCAATAGATATTCAATGACATAGGAACAAGGTGTCATAAACATTATGCAGTTGGGGGGAAAGAGAAAGAAAAGAGAAAATGGGGGAGAGAGACTGTGGAGAGGGGATAATGATATTTAGTTCTATTGCATAGTGTTCGTGCAGGGTTTTTGTGTCAGCATCACGTCAGTAGGTTCTTTACATATCTATATTTATTTTTGTTGGCACTGTGAGAGATTGGAGGTCCAGAGCTTCGTTGGTTATATTCAGTTGGTTGCAGTCAGGCTTGCATAGCCATATCAATTCATATGGTGTTGAGTGGGATAAGTCATTGTCTTGTTGTGCTGAATGCAAACAATCTGTGAAAAAGACTATGATTTGAAAGTGGAGACACTATATGTACTTTTTCTTTTTTTGTTTATTTGCTAGTAACACAAAAAAATATTCAATAAAAACTATTTTTAAAAAGTTTTTTTAAAAGTTTTTGTGTCCTCAATTTTTAAGTCATCAGATACATGAGAAATAATGTATATTGAAACCCATCAATTTGAGGCTAAAATGCATATTGTAAGCCATTACTCTGAGCCCAACTTAATTCTGGTAACTGAAAAGGCTGCATGGAAAACAGTTTGATATAAATGACATCAGAAAGTGATCAGATTATTAGAATCATGGTGACAGGTAAAAGCAACATAATTAGACAGGCTGATTGTTCTTCATTTGCATCTTACCTCTTTACAAAATGTTCTAGGGACCATAACTCTCAGGATTTGTCGTATTCTCGCAAAAAATACTCTGTCTACTACAGCTCGTTCTTTCTTGACTTCTTTCTGCACATGAAAAGATAACACAATACAATTATCTTGCTGTTTTCTTTTTGCATTCCATATTGGTCAACTGACAGCACAGTATTAGATTCCATGCAAACAACTGTATTTTAATCACTCTGAAACAGTCAACCCATTCTACATGAATTGCTGTTGGAACCCTAAATCTGCCAAATACTACATAAGCTTCCATTTTTCAAAGAGGACAATGTTTGCCTGCAGTCACCCATGCTTACTCATGAATGGATCCAATAGCTTGGATGCTTCAGTTTGCCGCATAAGATTCTTGCCGGCCAATGCACACCCAATAAAATGCTGAAGAGGACCTAGCTGGAGAAGGTTCTACTTCAAGAAGCAGTGGGCTACAGCGCTTCCAATCTGATCAACTCATGAGTAAGCAAGCAGTCTATCCCAGGCATCCCCAAACTCAGCCTGCCAGCTGTTTTGGGACTACAACTCCCATCATCCCTAGCTAACAGGACCAGTGGTCAGGGATGATGGGAATTGTAGTCCCAAAAACAGCTAGAGGGCTGAGTTTGGGGATGCCTGGTCTATCCTGATATCTCACACAGGAAGTCTGGGTGCTTTCTTCCAAACAATTATTCTGCTGCTCATTGCAGGTGTAAACTGCATGGAGAGGAGGAAGGATTAATAATCTCTCTTTATCCTGGCATCGAAACCCACAGGTGCATGGCCCTTCTATACATCAGAAGCAGAATTGAACAACACACATAGGCATCTCACATTTTGCAATATTTCCAAACTAAAGCTAGATGGGGAAAAGTCACCCAGCGGTAAACAAACTAAGCAAAAAAGCATCAATAATGTTTGCTTTACGAAACATGGACAAGGAAGAAAAACCAATATTATTTAATATATTTCAGAGTGCTAGGAAAAGAAAGGTATGGTGCTCAAGCATTAGCACCATTTAAACATACTTTCTCTTGTCTGTACAAAACACTCTAGAATGCCTTCTTGATTTTATTAATGTTAACTGATACAAATTTATCCAAAGTATTTTCATTTGCAAACACTGCAGAAAAGCCACATTGATATTTTAGATGATTTACTCCAATTGTCCTATATTCACATACCTGAGAAGAAGCCCCACGAACTTAATGAAACTTACTTCCAAGCAGACATGTATAGAATTGCACTGTGAATCTACCGTCACCACTCAAAAGCAACAGGAAAATCTAGGTAAATAACCCCTTTTCTAAACTATTGTTTACTGAACTGAACAAAGACTGTACTTCAAAGCAATTTATTGAGCTGTTCGGTTGAATTACTAGATTTTAGCAACCACCTAATCTGCATTAACATTGCCAAATTTAGTAAGACTCACCTCATTGCCAGGTAATGTTTTTCCACTTTTCTTTCTGCAAACAGAATAATTATTTTAGTTATTTTCTTGGTTCAGAGGAAGAGTTATTCAAAAGACATCATATAAAAATATCAAAAACCTTAAATTGTTTCTTTACTAGGTAGAGCAAGAGTAATACACAGCAGTTTTTTGGAAATGAAAGTTTAGCACAAAGTATACAGAAGCCGATTTTCAACCACAGAGGAAATACATCCTTTATGCATTCCCCTTTGCCACCCTGGTTTTGTTGTTGTTTTGTCATGGTATGTAATTCTAGTATAAAATTCAATTATTCAGCATAAAAGCTAGCAACATTAAAGCGGCCAAATATTCTGCTGGAAACCTTTTCATATCAATGACATTATTTCTGCTGTCTTCATGTACTGCAGACACCCGACTAATTTACTCCTGTGCTGGACTGGAAAAAAAGTCATAAATCCTTACAACTCCCATTACTACCAGGAAAGGGTCTATTCTTAAAAAAGGTATTGAAACCTGCAACCTGAACCCCACACTTTCAGGTGGACAGTTATCAGAAGCGACCACAAGATTCATATGGGCTTCTGTGTCTAATTTTACAAAATTGGCATAAACAGCTGCAAGAATATTTCTGGATTTTAATGGTTCTACATTGTAAGTCTTGAGATAAGCATTATCAGCCTAAATAGGTGAGATTTGAGGGCAAAAAAGGACACGAAATACATTGTGGCTGGTAAGTTGGTCTCCTGATTGTGTTCAGGGTAGTGGGGGCAGAAAGCATAAATTAGCACTGTCGGGTTGTGGTTTGTTTTTTTTTTTGCAGAAAGGTAATTTTCATTGACATATTCCCCCCTGTCCTGGATATATATTATCCAAGAGCTATGATCCAAAAGAAGCCGTTACCATAGAATGCTCAAAGATTTTGAATACCTAAGGGGTGTTTATAAATTACTTAAGAACACAAACAAAAATCAACATTATTAATGAGAAAAATAATTTGGACAACTGAGCATTGAAAGTTCCTTTGATGTCTCAGCCCTTGCTCACATGTTATAATCATTTATGTGTTCCATATAAAGATTATAGAGTTGGGGTGGGACATTTACTATCTCTGTAAATTACACCCTGCTGGTATTGCCCCCACCCCAGCATCCACACATGTGTGTATGCATGATGCGCAGGGACAGACAAGGTTAGGCTAGAACAGCACTAGCTGTAATTTAAAATTCCTGCCTGGGGGAATTACGGCAGTAATCTTTAAAGGATTAAAAGTACAAGACGCACAGTTAATCATTCTAGTACAACCTGATTCACTAGGTGTGGCACCAGTTCACAGGTTATTTCTGACAATGTCGCCTACAATGTGCAACTCAGTTACGAACACAATGAGATCCTTTATTCCCATTTAGGCAGCAATCCTATACTCCCTTAGGTGGGAGAAATCCCCATTGGACTTGGTAGAATCTACTTCTTAGCACAGTACTGCACATATAAGGTTACACTGCTAATCAAGATACAGTGGTACCTTGGGTTACATACGCTTCAGGTTACAGACTCCGCTAACCCAGAAATAGTACCTCAGGTTAAGAACTTTGCTTCAGAATGAGAACAGAAATTGTGTGGCGGCGGCATGGCAGCAGCGGGAGGCCGCATTAGCTAAAGTGGTGCTTCAGGTTAAGAACAGTTTCAGGTTAAGAACGGACCTCCAGAACGAATTAAGTACTTAACCCGAGGTACCACTGTATAGCTGTTGGAAGGCCTTTTTTTTCCATTAAAGGGTCTTTAGTCTAAGAGAGAGCCAGAAGTTATAATTCTACCAAAGGGCACAATACTTGGAAGTTTGGTACCAATTTTAAAAAACGCGAGGAAAGCCTGTTTAATCAGACCAATTTCCCATCTAGTCGAGCAAGAGTCTCGCAGCGGCCAACCAGATGCCTGTGGCAAACCCCCCAGCAGAACCCAAGTGCAACAACACACTGTCTTCCTGGGATTTCCATCACTACTGCCTCCAACCATGGAGGCAGAGAGTAGCCATCATGGCTAGTAGCCTTGAGCATTGTTTTAACTAAGTTTTGATCAGTGGTTCAAATTATTCAGGTTTTCCAGCCCCATTAAAATATATGAAAAAAGTTCTGGAAAAATGTGTTGCACATGGCTGAAAGCAAAAGTAAAGCTAAAATCCTGCAAGGACTGAAGTGTTTGCAGACAGAGTAACCTACTAGATGCTATGTCCAATGACTATGTACATACAGTGGTACCTCGGTTTACAAACTTAATCTGTTCCAGAAGCCCGTTCTTAAACCGAAACCGTTCTTAAACTGAGGCGCACTTTCCCTAATGAGGCCTCCCGCCGCCGGTGCCCTTACACCGTTCGGATTCGGTTCTTAGACGGAGGTAAAGTTCGCAAACCAGGACACTACTTCCGGTTTTGCGGAATTCGTAAACCGAATCATTCGTAAACAGGACTGTTCTTAAATCAAGGTACCACTGTATCATGAAAAACTGTATCACAGAGTGGTACAGTGGTTACAAAAGGGTTCAACCACCTTTCTGGGTCCGTGGAAACATTTAGAAACTTAACAAATTGTCATGGAAGAACCACATCTACAACATGCATGCAACCCACTCATACTGCAACCATATACATACGTCCACATCCCATAGTGAACACCACACTCAGAAGTTCCCCTGCCCAAGGAAAGTCTGCCAAGAGTAAATTGCCATTCTCTTCCAGTATTTAATTTCACAACATGTGGGGAGAGAGAATGACTGCGGCAATGCATAGATGTGAGATAGAATCATAGACCTGGAAGGGACACAGAGGGGATCTCTGTGCAATGAAGGAATTTCAACTAAAGCATACATGACAGATGGCCATCCAACCTCTGTTTGGATGTCATGTGTTCAGTTGCTCAAGAAATCAAATCACTAGAGGTGCCCACACCCCACAACCAGTGCCAGATTTATGTATAAGCTAAACAAGCTATAGCTTAGAGCCCCACTCTCTTGGGGGCCCCCAAAAAATTAAAGGGGGGAAAAACTGGATGTACATTTCCAAAATACAAGATAAAAAACAAATAAAATAAAACCTACATACAGCAACAGTGTTTTGTGTTGTGTATGGACCTATTAGGTCCATAAATTACCATATAGCATATATTCAACAAAGAAAACAGTGACAATTTGTTGTTGACAAAGGACAGCTTGACATATAAAGGGCCCCATTACCTTCAGTAGCTTAGGGCATCATCAAACCTAAATCCGGCCCTGCCCACAAACCACAACCTACGCTCCCAAACTCTGACCTACATTGAACACCAACTCTGCCCTACACTGAGATCCCCAACACTACCCCTAAAACACTGCTCCACACTGAAACTCATATACATGCTGCAACACACTGAAGCCCGCCACACACCACCCTAGCAACACAGGGCTCAGTTGCTTCATAAAGTAATACAGGACCAGTACTTTGTGGGACCATCTCTGCTGGTCCCAGACACTCCATCCTCTCCATCTAAATTTGGGCAGGGGTGCATGCAGCGCAAGCTATAAGCAAGTGCAATTTGTGACACTGCACAACGTCACTGCTGATCAGAGGCTTTGTCTGTTAAGACAGGTGACCCAAAGTGGTGAGGGCTCCCAAAGTCCCAAGGGTCTCCTTCAACTAATTCTTTCCAGAGACTGGAAGCAAGATGGCAAGATGTCCCACAGCCCTTTCCCAGGACTGTTTGTGCAGGTGGTATCGGGTCACTCTCTCTGTTATCATTGTTCTCCCCTCCCTTCTCTTCTTAGAAAGTTCCTGGGAGAGGAAGGAGGATTGACAAAGTGGAGGCATTTCTTCTCCTTTTCCTACAAATTCCACCCAAGTTGCTATAGCCAGGTAGAAAGTAGAACCCTGAGTGCCAGTGGCTGGACTGGGGGGGGGGGGCAAGGAGACACTGCATTTGATACCAGTGTTGAGACAGGAAGCTGCCTATGTATGATTCCAGGTTTCCACAAAATGAAGCATGTTCATTTTTTAAAAAAACAAGAACCCCAAAACATTTCATTTCTGTTTCTGGCACTGGTTATTGCAATTTGTTATGAAGTTCTTTTTAGCAAATTTTTATATTAAGGAAACACAATTTTCTTTCTACAATAGCCAATGTACACCTTTGGCTGCTCCACCACATTTCCTTTTCCATCTGTGTAGCATGCCAAGTACAGGAATCAAAGTGCAAAGGTAATGTAATAAGGTAATACATTACCTTTTACCTAGAAGAGCTTTCTTCTGCCAGCAGGCAAATGAGTGTACAGATTTATGCATCAGAACAGTACACACAAGACACTTGCCCACAACTGCAAATTCCTTCAACGGTTTCTTCTGGGAATATTTTGTCCTTGTTGGGTACTTACTACTCTCCAAAAACCTCTTTTGTGATGCTTCTATAACACTTTAAAAAGCTAGGAAAACAATGTGCTAAAATACACAAACCACTGTAACAAGGACTGTGAGCCAGCTAAAGAAAAACCTTAAGTCAATTGACTGAAGTCAATGGTTAAAATCTCAGTAAATTTACGTACAACAAAAATAGTTCTAAATAAAAGCAAAGCTTTCTTTTTCAGTGATCTGAGCATGTCCACAACAAACACATTTTTTCTCATACATGAAGGAATGGCTCTTTCAAGACAGCACTTGCCACCTGCAGTTCTTATAAGTACTTGAATTGACTGGGAGCGCATTTTTAGTTGATCAAACTGTTCTGAATCATTGATTCTAAGTGATTAATGAAAAAGCTGCAGTCCTGACTATAATAACTTGACTCTCACCCCAACTGTATTATCTTCCCCTTTTTCCTGTTCTCTCTTTGTATTCCACTGCACAATACAACCTTTGGGCTACAGAGCCGCACATTTATGCAACATTAAGCCACAGGAGCAAACAGTAGGCCTTTGTGCAAGTTATGTTCTAAGACCTCTGTGCTAGTCAAGTCTCATGATATTCTTTTGGGAGAGACTGAAAGGAAGAAAATGCAGGAGTGCTTTTCAGCACTACAAAGAATCTAGCTACTAGCCCAGAAAAAATGGTGACTGAGAGTGGATGCTGAGGCCAAACAGGGGAGACCACAGTCGCCTTCATGGCCTGCAGGTATACTTCCCCAAAGAACCTGACTGCAAGAAAGAATGCTGGACTAGATGGACCTTGGGACTGCGTCCACACACAACACTAAGCCAAACCACAACGAGGAGAGAGCTTAACCACAGTCCCAGGTTTGCACAACATGCAAAGCCAAACCTTGGCTTAGCAATCAAGGTGTTAGTTTATAAAGCCCTTAACAACTTGGGACAGTTTTACCTACGAGTTTGCCCCACCCTACATCTGATCATGCAACTGCTTTGATTGGTGAAACAGGCACTACTGCAGGTGCTACACAGCACCCGTTCTGCATTTGTAAGAACTCGATTGTTTAGTACAGTGCTGTGGCACCCTGGGGTGCCTTGAATGATGGTCAGGGGTGCCACAGGCAACCCTAGCCTCTGTCTCTCTTTCCTTCCCTCCCTCCTCTGATGCCCTTGCATCTCTGCCTCCAAAAGGCTTGCACAGCTGTTTGTTGCAGCAGCCCTGGCTACAAGCTCCCCAGGCGAATGGTGCCGCTGGGCTGGCCAGGGGGTGCTGGTTGCCAGGAGCTGAAGCGGCCTCGGAGTAAGCAAGCAAACGGGCAAGGGACCCCAGCCAGCCAGTCCGCCAGCCCTTGCTGTTGGGAATGGACAGACAAGCCCCAGGCCCTATGGGGCAGTGTGAGGAGGCACCTCTCTTTAGGGGAGGGGGGCAGCTCAGAGACCAGGGGTGGCAGCAGCGGCTGCCCAGAAGACTTTCAAGGAGAGGGGAGGGGAGAGGAGGCTGAGGGAGCACTCCACAAAGAAGGGTATTCGAGAAAGGGTGAGAGGCTGCTAGTTGTGCAATAAAGGGGTGACATAACTGGGCTCCCGAGCCCCAGAGGGGTGTCGCAGAAAGAATTTAGTTGTCAAGGGAGCCGTGGACTCAGAAAGGTTGAAAACCTCTGATTTAGTGTGACAGCACCTGCACTTTGTAACTCCCTGCCTATTGACACCAATAAGTGACAATCACTGCACTCTTTTCAGTGCCTGCCTACCCAGATGCTGAGAACATTGATGTCATTTTAATATATTTTAGTATTTAACTTTTGTATGTTTTAAAGTAGGGTTGCAATTTCCCCCCGATTTTCCTGTTTTACCTTTCATAAAGCACTTTGAGGGTTTTCTTACAATCAAACGGTACATAAATTTTATGAAATAAATAAAATGAACTGAGCTGAGCTAAAAGGACTAGGATGCGAGTTCTGCTCCAGATGCCAGCACACACATGCAGTCCCAGTCAGCCATGGTTTGTATTACCACATTGTGCAAGCCAAGCCATAGTCTGACCTAGTTGGACACTTTTTATGTTCTTATGAGAGAAGTGGAATGTGACCATCACTTAAAAAAAGAAAAAAGCCAGAGTCTTCAAGGTGTCAACTAAGGCCTAAGCTTACTGATAGCAGACAAGACGTGAACTCTCCCTTTCACTGATCAGTTTTCATGTGCCTTAAGGAAGAAGGAAGTCTCACGCCATTCCACAAATCATCTGAAGTATTTGCCGAAATCTTTTGTCACAGGTACCCAGTTAGAACGGTTCTAGGGTTACCATACAGCTGGTAAGCTCAACAACTCCCCTCCCCCCAGCCGCCAACTTTTGTGTCCGGATTATTTTCACTTTTTGAAATATGACAACACTAAACAGTTCGATCTTTACATGGAACATCTAGCGCTAATGCAGGCGTGGGAAAACTTTTTCAGCTGAAGGGCCAAATTCCCGCATAAAACCCTTCCAGGGGGAATGGCTTTGACTCTTACCTTTGTATGGTAGGTTACATTCCGGACACACAAAAGTCAGATTTACACGCACAGACACGCTCCATTCAGGCAAGCAATGGATAGTATGGATAGTTCAAGGACACATTCCAGTTCAAGGACCATCACTCAAGGAGGGTGTGAAGCAGTGAGGGGGTTATGGCCATAGAAGAGGCTACATGTCCCAGGGAGAGATCATGGCCTAGGGAGGGTCCTGAGGGCCAGACACACAACCCTGAGGCTCCCCACCCCTTTCTAGTGAAATGAAAGACCCAATGGCTTCAGAAACATGCAACCTGCAAACATTCAAGGACATATACAATGCAATGCTACTATTTACAGGCCGGTCACAACAGTATTTCTCAGGTTGTCTGCCCTCAACTTTCACCTTGTTCCCCCAACGCCATTGGGGCAAAGAGTAAAGTTTATTGAATGACTCATGTTCACCAATATCAAACTTCCTACACTGTAATAACCAAGCAAAATTCCTTTCAGTAGGGGAAAGGTCAATATGCTTGCTTGAGTTTGCATCACCATTTTAACACCCACGGAACTCGGTAATCATGATCAAACTCTTGTCAGGAGAGTTGGTAATACAGACTATAAAGCCCTTAACAATAAATTGCACAACATTCTAATCAAAGTCAACATCAAATTGGGATGAAACATTGTAAACAAATGGATTAATTAGAACAGGTGTCCTAATGTAGGCACGTACAAATCTTTTCACCAGTGACAAGTGCCTCTTTCCTCCAGCCAGAAGGACAACAAACAACACACATCCTTTCCTCACAAGCTGTTTCTTATCTTCTTCAAGGGAGAGAAGATCCCACATGTCTCTTTAAACCTTTGTGTCAGGTAAACAAAAGTTTAGTGTTATGGGCAGCCATTGTATGATAGTCCTTCTGCTGCAGAAAAGGTGTTTGCTTTCTAACCCTGAATCCAGATCAATAATTTGTAGGTAGTGTGGTAGGGGTACTAAAGGCTATGGTAGGGATCCCTAGCCTTAGATTTGACAACTTGGGTCCATTATTACTTTGATTGGAAATAGCCATTTTCTATATAAGAACTGCCACTCAGCAGCTCGTTTTCACTATTTATGGCTCACGATATACCGATTCTTATTTCTTTAAGATAGACACACACACAAACACACTCGACTTGGGCTGCCTTCTTTAATTCTAAATTATATACCACACAATCCCCAAATAAAAATTGATATCCATAATTTCTTAGAAAACTTACCCATTATCTTCACTTACTCATGATAAGAAAACCTTTTTAGTTAGTCCCTTCTCCCTTGAAGAAATTGACTGTTATTAAAAAATTAAAACCACATAAAGGCTCAGGACCTGATGGCTTCACTTCCAAGTTTTATAAACAATTCAAAGAAACATTATTACATTATGGGCTACCTATTTAACAACCTAATGAGAAGGGAACCCCTCCCCAAAACATGGTACCACTCCAAGATTGCAACTATCCTAAAACCATTTGAAAACCAGCAGAAGGTAAAATCTTTTTGGCCAATCTCTGATTAACCAGGATTACAAAATCTTTACATCAGTGCTTGTCAACAGGATTGATATATTTTTGCACAAATAGCCCCAGACCAAGCTGGTTTTGTTCCCCATTGTAACATCAACGAACCAATCAGAAAACTTTTAAACATAATCAAATGTGATATGGACAACTTCCCCACTGGTAGTCATGGCCTTGGACATTCTCAAGGCCTTTGACTGCCTAGAATGGGACTACTTGCTGGCAGTTCTATCTAAATTGCAATTGACCCGAAATTTATACACATTATGAAACAAATACACTCTGCATCTTCTGCCACAGTAAGAATAAACACACACACAGCTTTACTGCAGTCCATAGACCCAAAACACACAGTACAACAATAGTATATATCAACAGAATAAGCAATATAAATTTATCCCTGGTAAGGATTTGACAGGTAACAAAGAAAGGCTGTCTACCCTCTACCTTTTTGTTCATCCTAGCTTTAGAACCATTAGCTATATGCCTCTGAATACCACCAGACATTAAGAGAGTCCAAACTGAAAAACAAAACTGCATTGTCAGGGAACTGCCATCGGAGCTAGAGGCGGAGGGAAGGCTCCAAAGGGATGCAGGAGAGGGTCCCAGTAGGGAGAGAGGCAGCCCATCTGCTGGGGAAGGAAATCAGCGTAACACCAGTGGAGAAGGGGGGCAGGTGGGGGAATCGGGGAGGAGGCTCCAAGACTCTTCGCTGGAGACCAGCGGAGAGAGTATGGGTACTCCACTGCCCACACCCTCCCTGCGCAGAAGACTTCCGCGCAGGGAGAGTAGGAGGAGACTTGGCGTCAAACAACTTTTATGCTGGAAAAGGTTTAAGAAACGCCCACTGACGGATTCTGCCAGCGACTGAGACAGTCACGATGCTGGAGGCTGTTCAGTCAGAAAGGGTTAACCAGGTAACCTAGCCAGGAGTGGCGGCAACTTACGCACGAGCAACCCCTAAACCCATTACATGCATGATTGGCTATTTGCTGATGATTTAATTATTATGACCCACCTGACCTCTTGAACACGGAAGCAGCCATACTTCAAGAGCTTAACAACTTTGCAACACTAACAGGCCTGCAGGTTAACTTCTCAAAATCGGAAGCTTTATGCTTCAGTGTACCACCTAAGATGCAAAAAGCATTCACAGAACACACAGGCATTAGACCAGGGGCAGGCAACCTAAGGGCCGTGGGCTGGATGCAGCCCAATCGCCTTCTCAATCCGGCCAACAGACAGTCCAGGAATCAGCGTGTTTTTACATGAGTAGAATGCGTCCTTTTATTTAAAATGCATCTCTGGGTTATTTGTGGGGCCTGCCTGGTGTTTTTACATGAGTAGAATGTGTGCTTTTATTTAAAATGCATCTCTGGGTTATTTGTGGGGCATAGGAATTTGTTCATTATTTTTTTCAAAATATAGTCCAGCCCACCACGTGATCTGAGGGACGGTGGACCAGCCCACGGCTGAAAAAGGTTGCTGACCCCTGCATTAGACTCTGTCATACAATGCTTAGCTATTTAGGAAAAATTGCAACAAGAAACCTTAGTAGACTGTATTAACGAAACAACCCCCCGTATGGCAGACAATTCTTCAAAATTTGAAAAAAATAGAGCAACACCCATTTTACCCTCAGAAACAGTTTAGCAATGGTAAAATGATGATCTACCAAAACTGTGATTTCTATTCCAATGATTCCCACTTTGGATCCCACTCAACCAGATATGAAGGTAGCAGAAAAAAAATTAAATTCATTTATTTTTTCCTGCAAAGGACTCAAAATAAATGCCAAACTCCTGTACCTCCCCACAGTGGAAGGAGGCTGTGGTATCCCAAACCTGAAACTATATTTTATTGCTAACCAAGTATGACATGCCATCCACTTTATTTTAGATGATACCTCAAAACAATAGGTCCAATTGGAAAGCGATCTAATTGAGGGAATTCCAACCTCCGCTTTTCCCTCCTTTGTTTTTTGTTTAAACCAATTCACAAACCAAGAACTTCTACACTGACCACTAATAATGAACCATATGTTGCAGATATTACTGCAAATTTATTATGATATTTATTATGATATTATGATATACAAAGGGCATGAGACTATTTGGTCTATTTATTCTTCCTATGTTTATTATGATTGTTCCTATGTTCCTTGTTTATGAAACCCAATTAAATGTTATTTAATAATAATAGTAATAATAGTTTGTTAGCTTCTAAAAGCAGAAGAGTCTCGGTTACCGAAGAGAGGATGTAAACAAGTATATGGCAAGCTACTTTGGACTTTGTATTACAACATCTGATTGCATGTTATTTCAGTTTGGCACTTAAATCAGCTTGGCAAACTGGCTCTGGTGTAGAAATAAGGTTATTTTATTCAAGCAAATGTTCATATAAGTAAACAGTACTTGCAAATAGGAGGTAATGGGACTATTTTTATACTATACCAGGATATACAAGGTTACCATATGGCATTTACAAAGAATATAGATATGTTTCTCCTTCTACAGGTGAGACAAGAAAGTTTAAATGTATGAGTTCAAAAGCTAACTTAACTTTTTCATGGACTTGCAGAGTGCTTCATCAAGCTTACTACATCTGCCACAGTTTTCAATATTCTTATTTATTTCATAAAATCTATATGCTGCTTGATTATGAAAAAACCCCCTCAAAGATAAATAAATAAAATACTGTACTTAAAAACATATGAAAGTTAAAATGCTAAAACAGATTAAAATCACCACAACTTTCTAGGCATCTAGGTAGGCTTATCTAAACAAGAATGTTTTTAGCAGGTGCTGAAAAGAGTACAGTGAAGACACCTGCTTGATCTAAATAGGCAGGGAGTTCCAAAGTGTTAAGTGCTGCCACACTAAACAACTGAGTTCTTACAAATGTGGAACAGGTAGTATGTGGCACCTGTAGTAGTGCCAATTCTGCCAATCAAAGCAGTTGATTGGGCCCATGTTGGGTAAGACAATCTCATAAGCTGCTCCCAAGTTTCAAAGGGCTTTATATACTAATAGGAACACACTGAACTTGGCCCAGTAGCAAATTGGCCACCAGTGCAGATCTCTGAGTACAGATGTTATATGCTGATAAGGCCTCACTCCTGTCAGCAGTTGTGCCGCAGCATTCTGCACTAACTGCAGCCTTCTGATCAAGTGCAAGGGAAGCCCCACACAGAGCACATTGCAGTAATCCAGTCTTGAAGTAACCAACTACAGTGGTACCTCGGGTTAAGTACTTAATTCGTTCCGGAGGTCCGTTCTTAACCTGAAACTGTTCTTAACCTGAAGCACCACTTTAGCTAATGGGGTCTCCTGCTGCTGCCGCACCGCTGGAGCACGATTTCTGTTCTCATCCTGAAGCAAAGTTCTTAACCCGAGGTACTATTTCTGGGTTAGCGGAGTCTGTAACCTGAAGCGTATGTAACCCGAGGTACCATTGTACTGTGTAAATTTCTGGGCAGAAATTATGTCACTTCATTGATATATATTAACACTTATTACGGTCCAGGCACTCAAATATTAAATAGTAATACTATCTTCATAACAAGTCCACAATTCATTGTTTTGCATCCCACACTTGTCTGTTTAATCATACATGCACATACACAGTAAGGTATCTTACATTAGTCATACCCAGAGTAGACCCATTAAAGTCAATGGACAAGTCAATAATAATGATAATATTAATTTTATTAATAATTATTTATACCCCACCCATTCATTTCAGTGGGTCTACTCTGAGTATGATGAACATTGGACATCACTCATAAGTTTATTTTTTATCATTTGAAATACTTATAATCAATAATGAAGCAAACATGATAAGCATTGGGCAGTGAGCAAAACACATCCCTGCTGCAACACTTTGCCAGTAATTTTGCCACTCCTGGAATATGTTGCACTGTATCTCAGTTGTAACAATGCATACCAGCATACAAAAAGGCGTTATCACCTTCTCAAATAATTTACTGTGACAATGCTATCCCCTTCTTAGGAGCACTGTCTACAGGAAATTTGTTCCTAAAGGATTAAGACACATGGACATCAGTTTTTTTGCATATCAGGGTGATACACCAGGGGGCAGGGATGGGGACTGCTTAAGGTCTTAAGTGTTTCACTTTCAAAAGATGGCTACTATTGTATTTTAACATTGGATAAAATATTGTTCATAGCATATCAATATATAATACTTCTCTTCAAACATTGCCTTATGGACTGTACCTCAAGGCAACATAGTATTGTGCAGAATATAAAATGTATAATGACATAAAAGCATTTTGAAATATAATAAAACTGATCGTTGCCCAATAGTTATGAAACTTTTGCATCAATTGCATCCAACCTTTCTCCCAGGCTTTGACAGTCTACAATAACGTTTGTTATTATTTTGTTGTCAAAACTTTCTGTGTCTATAGGGGCTGTCTTCTGTTTTGTTTTGTGGTATAATATATTAATTTGTGTCTTTAACAATGTTGTAAGTTACTTGGAGATCGTTGGATAACAAGTGACAATAAGAAAGAAAGAAAGAAAGAAAGGAGTGACACAAACATGATCTAGATATGAGTGAGTCTATCTTTTAGATCTATCACTCTGATTATACACATGTGCAACTTTGAAACCAAATGAAAAGTATTTTATAAATATCACTGCCCAAACTATTATCTTATTATCCCTGCTATGACAGCTGCCAACCTGCATACCATATATAAATATTAGTCTTTGTTTGTCCCAAGCTGCATTTTTTTCAAGCATTTAGGATATCTCCTAAGCTGAATACATCTGCCAAGTCATTCTTCAGAATATTCATAAGGGAATTAAAATCCAGAATCACAGGTCCCCATCCCCCCTTTGAACTCATGCATGCTTACACATTGTCTTTACATTCTGCACACACACTCCTTGTGCTTCTGCAACTTTCTCTTTGGGAAATCTTGCCCTGGGCAATTTAGATAAATGAAATTACAGGAAAAAATCCAGAGCTATCTGTGCTTTATGAAGGCTAACTAACAAGTGCCCATAAGGCAATGCACATGCCTCTTTAAAGAACCCAGGTGACAGTGTTTTCCGTATCCAAAGAAAAGTATAGTTGTCTTTGTTTTCTGAATAAAAGGGAGCCTTTGGAGCAAACTTCAGTAGCATCCAGGGGGGAGAAATGGGGTGTCCATCTGAACACTAACAGCACTGCAAAGTTTAATTCCCTTCTCAGCTGAACCTTAGTGTTTCCATCTCTTTAAGTAGGACTTCTTTAAATACCGTGTGACAGGCAGAAGTTCAGCAATTAGTACTATCTTACTGTCACATTTTGTGCAGTGCAATGGCAAGGAATTCAAAGCTTCAGCCTCCCCAGATTGACCCAACTTGGCAGCTGCTGTCACAGTAACCAACGCAGTGCATGTGAAGATATTCTGGCACTCTAAAATGCTATGTAAACACCAATTATTAATATTGTGTTCTCCTATAAGCAAATCTCTCAGATGTTTGAACGCAGCCAAGGGTCTGGTGTGCCACTAGATATCATGGGCTACAACTTCCAGCACCCACGACCCTTGTGTGCGCCAGCCGGGACTGATGGGTGTCAGGAGCCCAACAACATCGGGTACCTATCCCAGATAAGAGACACGGCATCATTAAGATAACTCAAGCTGGGGGGGGGGCTGTTGCACAGCACCTATTTTGCAGGTCTACCTGCCGCAACAGGTGTGCCACCGGACCCTCGATACCTGTGCAACAGGTGCAATGTGCGGCAGGTGTGCCATTTCTAACCATCCCCGAGAAAGGAAGAGCCACGTGCATTTCCCGGGTTGAAACCCTCCAGGTAAAAGGATGTCAAGGTAACAAAGAGGGCATAGCAAGACTTCGGAGCCCCTGGGCAAAGCAACAGGGATCAGGGCACAGTGCGGCTCTGATTCGGTCGGTATGGAATAGTTTCTGAATGTTCCCTAAAAATGCCACGCCTACGGAGTCTCTGCAAGGCTCACTCTGGAGTCTCCCTTTGTTTCCCACCCCCTCTCGACCTTAAATCACCCCCTCGACTACCGGGGGCCACTTTATTCACCCCACCCCACCCCTTCCTTTTATCCTGTCGGCGGAGGAGACAGCCGGGATCTTACTCTCTCGGCTGCCCCCTACACACACCCCACACCCAAAGCCCCCGGCCCCCCATGACTCGCCCCCGACTGACCCGTGCAGGGCGGCCGCCTTCCTCCGCTTGCTGAGCAGGCAGAGCACCGCGCAGGCGGCGGCGGTGGCGCCGGCCATGGTGGAGTAGCGCGCGGTGAGGAACTTGCTGTAGGCGGCCATGGCGGCGGCGGAGGCGACGGCGAGCGCAGCCCGAGAAGCAGCAGCGGCAGCGGCCGACCGGGGAAGAGGCTCGCCGCAGCGCGGAGGATGCCGGGGGGAAAGAAAGAGGCGGCGCCTGTCAGCTGAGGGGTAAGGCCGCGGCGGCTGAGGCCCTGCCCTCGCTCTCACTCCTCTCCAGGCCCGCCTCAGGCCCGACTCCTCCTCACACCACCTTGGTTGGTTGGAGGCGAGCGAGAGGCGCCCGGCCTGGTTAAGCGCAATAACGGCAAGCGGCCTCTGAGGGAATAAGAGCGCTTGCGCTGGGGCCTGGCTAGTCAAGCACGGTCGCCTCTACTCAGGCCGTTATAGACGCGTCGTGTGTTGTACGAAGGGTGTTAGTTCTTTACCCGCCCCCGCCATTATTTTAGTGAAGTGGGTTCTTTTTTTTAGTGAAGCGGATTCTCTCCACGCAACGGCGGAGAACCCCATTGGTGGGTGGGTGGGTGTTTTTACTACAACTCCCGGCAGCCCCAGCGAGAATGGCCAGTGGTGGAGCATGACGGGAGTTGTAGTCGTAACAGCTGGAAGACTTGCAAGTTTCCACCTTCCCAGGGTTTATGGTGCGAGGTTGGAACTTCAGAGCGGGCGCCCGCCGTTATGGGCGAGCAAAATGCCCGTTGTTGTGTGACAGGTGGGTTTGTGTGTATGGATGCCTTTTATATTGCGCAGGCACATACATCTTTGTTGTTGTTGTTTAGTCGTTTAGTCGTGTCCGACTCTTCGTGACCCCATTGACCAGAGCACGCCAGGCACTTCTGTCTTCCACTGCCTCCCGCAGTTTGGTCAGATTCATGTTTGTAGCTTCGAGAACACTGTCCAACCATCTGGTCCTCTGTCGTCCCCTTCTCTTGCACCTTCCTGTGGCATCCCTATGAAGACAAATACGGTACAGTACTGTAGTTGTTATCTCCCATTTGGAAAGCTGTATATGTATCCTGTTTCCCCCCTCCCACCCGAGACACATTATACCTACAGCTTACAGTTGCACAACAAGACAGGCTCATTTAAGGTTAAATAAGAGATTCTACTTGTTCTACAGGTTTCTCCTCTTTCTTCATGTTTGCAGTCTTGCAAAATGAATAACTGGGCTAGTTAGTCTTTCTTGTTTAGCAGGAAAGGCAGTTCCAAGGCTCCCAAGAATTTGAAGGGTAACTGTAGTTGCTTAAGCCCCCACTCATTTCATTTTATTTCACTTTTAATTTGTACAGCACCTTTCTATATTGCTATAAACAAGGCAGTTGAGAAGCTGAAAAAACAACAAAATATACAACAAAGATCACACATCTTATAACAGTCTGATCCTATACAAATAGGTCAAAATTGAAAATGCGACTTTAAAATAAGCAATTTATATCAAATTAGGTAATATGCAATATTAATATTAATAATATTAACTCTAAGAATATCAGTGAATAATAATTAAACAGAAAATCACTCCCAACAGTTTCAATGAATCATTACTAAACTATGAGCAATAAAAATAACAGCAAAGTCACAATACGTAAAATATCACAATACATTTAAAAATCATGTTAAAATACCATACTGAGTAACAAGATAACTTACAAAATAATTTTAATTTTTTATAAAATCTGAACTCCCCAGCCACTTCTGCTGCTCTTAAACATGGCTTGGGAGAGGCTGTTGCTCAGTTAGTCTCAGTTAAGGGTGTGGGAGGCTCTTTTTCCCTTCTTCACACTAACTGAGGGAGCTGGCAGGATGCTAGGACGGTTGTAACCGTTAAAGTGAGACAGTAGCAAGCTGTTATGACTAGTCACATCTCCCAGCCTCTCTTGGATTGTTGTGCTTTTTGGTTTTTGTTGTTGGTTTTAATGCAAGTCGCTATGAGTTGTCTTGTAAGAAAAGGAACTAACAAATGCAATAAAATAATGCCTCCTTTTTTAGAACTGTAGTCCTTAAAGGGCCAGCTCTCTAGCTGCAGACAGGGCCTTCTGCCTGTGTGGTGTAGTGGTTAAGAGCGGTAGACTTGTAATCTGGTGAACTGGGTTCGGGGCCCACTCCTCCACATGCAGCTGCTGGGTGACCTTGGGCTAGTCACACTTCTCTGAAGTCTCTCAGCCTCACTCACCTCACAGAGTGTTTGTTGTGGGGGAGGAAGGGAAAGGGGATTGTTAGCCATTAGACTCCTTAGGGTAGTGATAAAGCGGGATATCAAATCTAAACTCTTCTTCTTCTTCTTCTTCTTCTTCTTCTTCTTCTTCTTCTTCTTCCAGGCATCCTCTCCCTATGCTATTGGAGGTAGGCCTGGAGGCACTCAGTTCCTTGGGTCAAGGGGAAAGTGGACTCAATGAAATCTGATTCAGGGGGCTAATGCCTGCTAGCTTCCCTAAACAGATGTCTTCTAAAAGTCTGGTAGTTGTTTTTCTCTTTGACATCTGGTGGGCGGGCGTTCCACAGGGCGGGTACCACTACCGAGAAGGCCCTCTGCCTGGTTCCGTGTAACTTGGCTTCTCGCAGCAGGGGAACTGCCAGAAGGCCCTCAGCACTGGACCTCAGTGTCCGGGCGGAACAATGAGGGTGGAGACGCTCCTTCAGGTATACTGGACCGAGGCTGTTTAGGGCTTTAAAGGTCATGAGTTCATGAGCAAAAAAGACAGCTGAGTTTTTCAACTACCTAAAATAGCTCTTCAGGATGATAACATGGATGCAGTGCTGGAAGAGAAGCAAATGTATTCAGTGCCAGCAATGCCAATAAAAGGAATTAACTATTTAGTCCCAGCTCCTGCCAACCTAGCAGTTTGGAAGCATGTCAAAGTGCAAGTAGATAAATAGGGACTGCTCCGGCGGGAAGGTAAACCGCATTTCCATGTGCTGCTCTGGTTTCGCCAGAAGCCTCTTCGTCATTCTGGCCACATGACCTGGAAAAACTGTCTGTGGAAGCGGACAAACACGGGCTCCCTTGGCCTGTAAAGCGAGATGAGTGCCGCAACCCCAGAGTAGTCTGCGACTGGACTTAATTGTCAGGGGTGTTTTATCTTTACCTATCATTAGTTTTCGATCACAACCTCTTCATCAATAAAAGACCCTCCCCTTAAAAACCAGAGATCTGCCTTTATTTTAGTCAGTGAAAGATGGAAAAGTAATTAAGTATTGTACACCCAAGAATCCAAGACTTGGTAGTGTGAAAGTTGATTAACATTTCCTGTATGAATCAAACATTTCTGTTTACAACGTATTTTCTTTATACTTAGGTTGCTCAAGACTTTCTTCCATAGACGTAATTGTTAGGAGTTGTCCATCTTTCGTGTTTTGACTTGCCGCTTAAATATTCTTTTTATTACAGAAACTTCAGAGTGTTAATTAAACTATAGATTTGTGTCTATTGTTTAGAGTGTATTCAAGCCCCAAGGCAAGATTTAAGCACCATTTTTGCAATGTCACCATTTTAGAAAACAGGGATTGTCGCATTCACTATTCTAGCTACTGCAAGTTGAGTAAAGTTATGGGAAATGTCCTTGGTGGCAACAAAAATGAAGTTACACACTCCTACTTTTCAGGGCCACACACAACCAACTTCACATTTCCTCACCCTGTGGTTTTTTTTAGAAAAAGAAGATGAAACTATGGCTTGAGACCTTCCTAACTAGGAAGGGAAGCTTCTTAATCACATTCCCTTGCAAGTGATAAGGAAGCATGATTTGCCATTGCATCTGAATGCAGCTGTGCTTTTGCAATACTGTCTATGATTTAATCACACACATGCTATCAGATTATAGCCGAGGTTGGGCGTTCCATTTACCTGTGTGTAAAGAAATGTACAAATGAGTGTGAGCGCATGCTGCCAAGCTTTGCTCCCTCTGGGGCATTGCCCTTCATCTTGTAATACTGAGGATGTAGTTCTGAAGAATGGCAAGTTCTCTACTCATGGAGGCTTCTCACATCATTTAGAGCTTTGCACAGGATTTGCCCTGAAACAGGTAGAGGGCAGTAAACATAACCAAAGGCAATGTGCCAGAGGAGGCAGGATATTATTATTATATTACTTTATACTGTGTTTTTTCTATATTTATGTGATAAATAAATAAAAGAGATGCAGGACTCTGAGTAAAGGAGACTGAAGCAGAAAAGGTGGCAGGGGGGACCAATCAAGGAAAGTGAGAACCTGGATTATCATAACTACTAGAGAAGTGTTGACTTCCTGCAAGGGTCCCTAACCCCTGTGGGCTTGTGGGTGCATTTTGAAATCTGTCATGGGCACCACAAAATACCCATTTAGCAGAAGAAAAACTGAACACCCCCTGAACAACAAAGCAATGGAAAAATTCAAGCAAATTCCCAAAATAAATGAGCTTTAAAAAAACCACATTTACAAATAAAAATTGGGTGGGATAGGAGGTCTTGGTGGGTATCATGAGAAAGTCTTTGTGCCATGCTTGGGATCCCAGGATTTCCACATGAAGCCTCCAGAAAGGGGAGGTAATGCTCATTTGGAACCCAGTAATGCTAGAGTGAGCCATAACCTGCTGAGGAAGGAGACACTCCCAGCCAATTAAGGTCAAGCCATCTGTAGGCGGTCTGCTATTGCAAAAAAGAAAATGCTTTTGTGTGGGCAGAGCTTGGGACAGAAAATGTGCAGCACATCATGTGGGGACTTGTAGTACAGTTTTATAACATCTAAGTTGAAACGATGCTGATACCGTATTGGGGGACATGGTAACAAATGAATGTTGTTGTTTTTTTAAAAAAAAATTATTGAATGAATTTATGTTACAAAAAACAATACAACCATACTACCACTAAATATAATTAAGAAATAAAAATTACATACATCAATATTTAGTTTGTTATTTGTTATTTACCGTCTTATTTCCTCCCAAACATTCCATACAAAAACACACATATATGCAGACACCTACACACACAAACACAAAATGATAATAATGAAAGTAAATTTCCCCCCCTTTTAGCTTCCAAAATCTTTTTTCAACTTTGACTTCCTGTCAAGTCCCTTAGCATATATTTTATCTTACAATCGAATATACACAGAACAATAAACATTTCTATATAAATTTACCCATATATTCTGAAAACATAATAAATCCTTAATTGTTGTCCACCTCCTTTTAGTTCCTTTATCACTCGAATGCTGGCACGGAGTCAAAACTATTATTGTATTTTTGAACATACCTTCTATAACCATCCCATTTTTCTGCAAATTTTTGCTTTGAGTTTCCTCTGAGTTTGCTAGTCAATTGAGCCGTCTCCACCAATTCCTGTAATTTGATTTGCCAATCTGTTATTTTTGGAGCCTTGTGATCTTTCCATCCCTTGGCCACAAGTATACGAGCCGCTGCGGTTGCATACAAGAATACCTCTCTTAGTTTTTTTGGGATCTCTTTATCTAAAATACTTAATAGAAATGCCTCCGGTTTTTTAGTAAAGGTTATCCCCATGATCTTTTTTAATTCATCGTATATTCCCCCCCCCCAAATCTTAATCTTTTCACACGTCCATCACATGTGGATCATGTCACTGTTATTTCCTCCACATCTCTAACAAGCATCCGACAAATTTTTATACATTCTTGATAATCTGGAAGGAGTGACCTATGAGCCGTTTTCATCGTGGTCTCTCTTATACTATAAAGGTAAAGGTAAAGGGACCCCTGACCATTAGGTCCAGTCGTGACTGACTCTGGGATTGCGGCACTCATCTCGCTTTATTGGCCGAGGGAGCAGGCGTACAGCTTTCAGGTCATGTGGCCAGCATGACTAAGCTGCTTCTGGCGAACCAGAGCAGCGCACGGAAATGCCGTTTACCTTCCCACCGGAGTGGTACCTAGTTATCTACTTGCACTTTGACGTGCTTTCGAACTGCTAGGTTGGCAGGAGCAGGGACCGAGCAACGGGGGCTCACCCCGTCGCGGGGATTCGAACCACCAACCTTCTGATCGGCAAGTCCTAGGCTCTGTGGTTAAACCCACAGCACCACCCACGTCCTCTCTTATATTATAGCTGGCTGTAAATTTCAAATTTACATTCCATAAGTTTTCCCAATCTTTTAGCATAATTGGACGGCCCACATCTTGGGCCTGCAACAAATGAATGTTAATGATCTTAAATTTACTTCCCTTTTCTGATAATTGCCATTCCTGTTTACCTATGCATGTTTAACCTGGCCTGTGCAGTATTGCTCCATCCCAGTGTGTCTAGGAGACCTGTATGAAACTTGCATTTCTGCTAAACTGACATAGCATTCTGCAGTTAGCCTCAGGTCCTGCGCCTCTTTCATGTGAACAAGCCTTCTGACAGGTTTCCCACAGGGAGCGTATTAATTTTGTCTTCTGATTCATCCCTGGAGCCGGTTCAAGATGTTGGTAGTGCTTTGTAAGAGGTACATCTTAGTTGCTGTATCTCTTGGTCTTTGAGTAATAACACTCGTGGGAGAATAATTTTTAGTGAGTGGAAAGGCTTTAAAAGCCAGGCAAATAGAAGTGGAGTAGAGAAGGAGGGGCCACTAGGGGCGCATCGGAAGATGGCTGACAATAACATCTCTCCGACCCACAGGAGGTAATTAGGAGGCTGTGATGGGAGTAAATAGCCTCCCTACCCCCCCAGGATTGTGGGCGGGGGCTGCCTTTGCCTGCTGTGCCCTATACCACCCCCGAATTTGTGGGGATGGGGGCACTAGGCAGAATGCCCTTCTGTGGATTTCGGTGCTCCTGGACGCTGTCTCTGATCCGCGCCGCTAGCTGCAAGAACTTCAAAAGGAATAATTAGGAAGTAGCAAATGCACATATTTCAAGGAAGGAGGGGGAGTAAAGACTGCTAACTGAAGAGTTCTCTGATAAACAAGACGAGTCGGAGGAACAAGAATCAATCATGAGAAGATATGCCACGACTTGGTATGGCAAAGGGACTGGATGGGGGAGGGGGAAAAAACTTTCCTTTCTTTCCTCTATGTGATTAAATAAGAATCCCCCCCCCCTTACAAGTCAGAAATGCCGTTTTAATGACTTAAGCTGTGGATTTACAACTGTGTGGAGATGAATTTTCTAACCAAAGCATGTTTTAAGAAGAGCGTGGAAAGTTTAAGAGCTTTGGAATGATGCAGTTGAAAATACCGTCGCCATGATGGCCAGCTCTGTCGGAGGACTTGAGTCTGGGAGGAGGAAAAGAGATGTTTTTATATTGTGAGTGACTCCTCAGTGGGACTTAAGAACGACAGATCCTGAGATTAATGATGGAAAGAGCGATGTTATTTATGAAAGTGATGATATATGGAAACCATCTCGATACGAGGATTGGACGAATGGAAAAATTCACACAGGATATAATTGGTGTTTATCTGCTTAAGGAGATTATCAGAAGAGATCATAAAGAAAAAAAGAAAAAACATACGAACAAGATGAGATGTGGAAACAGCAAGATAAGACTGGATAGAATTATGAACTTTATTTGGACTGATTTGGACATTAACGCAGTAGCAAGAAGATGATCAGAATCCCCCTTCGGATCTTGAAATATGGGTCCCCTCAACAAAAAAATAAAATTCGGCTTTGCAATTCAGAATTTATGTGATGTGATTTGATTGGTTGGTTAATAAAAATTATTTTTTAAAAAAGAAAAAAGAAATGGAGTAGAGTATATTAGAATCATCCATGAAGTACAATAAGAAAATATAGAAAATTCAAGAGGAGGGGCATGCCATGAGCATCAGGGAAGGCACAAAGTTTTAGCTGCCAGCTTCATTTTGGAAGTTGAGGCGAGGGTGAGTCAAGCTCCATAAGATAATTATGGCAGGCAAGTATTTTGCTGCAGGAGACACCTCTTCATTCTTAATTCTTATGCACATGGAGAAAATGACCTTCATGCACACAATTTTCAGAAGTCTTCCATATCTTCCCTTTGTAGGGCATCCTTTAGGAAAGGAGGATGAGCACTATGCAAACCCATGTTTTACATCACATAATTTTTTTCCTATCACCAACCAGCTCAATGGGTTGTTGTTTTTTACACGCTGACCTGGTGTGCACTGAGAGATTGGTGTAAATAAATAATCCATTTTAACCATGCTAAACAATTTGGATTCCCTTCTCTCCCCTATTACAACATGCCCATCTGGAAATGACTGTTGCATTGCACCAAGGCAACATGGAAGGGATAGAAACAGGTTACATTGCAGAAGGCTTACATCCAGCAAGGGTCGAAATAAGGAAGACAAGATAAGAGCGACTGTGGTCGTTGGACCAACAGTGGTCCACGAGTATCATTCAGGTGGTCCACAGTATGCTTGTAAAAATACAGTTAAAAACCATACAGCATCTAGCACAGTGCATTAAAATTGCTACAATGGGCAGAAAAAATCCACCAAGACCCTTAGCATTTTTCAGGTGGTCCATGGAGTAGCAAGTTTGGGAAGCACTGTGTTAGTGCTTCATAATGTATTGTGAAGTTTAAATGTTGGGTGTATGGGGTGTTAGGGGAGCGGTAGTACCTCTGATGTGGGACACGTTGTGCTCCTTCTGGGGTAGTTTGTCCACCTTTGGTCCCCGCGCTGCAATCACCTCTCACCTGTGGATCTTCGAAGCTGTCAGCATGAGACAGCGACCATAACTTGGGAAATGGCTTCGACTGGCTGACTAAACCAGGTGAGGGTAGCAGACGGGTCTCAAATCTTTGGTGAGCCATGAATTTGCCCTGCAGACAAAGACAGGCTCTGGTGGATTGAGCGAATGAGACCAATAGTGGGTCCAACAGTCAAGAAAGCGGTTAGTGCAAGTGCTGTAGAGGGAAGTGAGGGGCAGATGGGACTCATCAACCTGGAGAAGAGAAAGAAAACTCTGATCCTAAACCTCTGTTGCCTTGTGGGATATATTTGAGAGAAGAAAGGGCTAAGGAGTAAACCCTACACAAATCTGGAGTAGAGTCCCTAAGATGGTTGGATGGTACCTTGTATGCCTCCTTCTGGCAACTCCTGCAGCCAAGCTGGTGCCAAACGTATTGCTCTGCTTTGGGACCACTTCAGTGAGGCCGAAGGGGGAGGGTCTTGTCATCTGGGCAGCCCAGGACCACCATACACACTGCATAGCAGTGGTGTGCAGTCAGTGGGCTAGGGGGACTGGACTAGTCTCCTAAATGTTTCCAGTAAATTAGAGTATTAAAGACTCGTGCCTCCTTCCCAAAGCCTGGGAAGCTTCTGCCCAGCTTAAGGAGAGCGGTGCGATGCTCCGACAGGATCCAAGAGCCCTTCCGCCACATTCCCAAAGCCAACCCAACTTTGGGAAGAAAGGAGCAAGGCTCCAGCATCCTGTCAAAAGTCTTGTGCCTTCTTCCCAAAGCCCGGGATGCTTCTGCCCAGATTAGGGAGGGAGGCACAATGCTCACACGTGGGACGCTGGGCCCCTCCCAAGCTGGCGCCTCTGGCCCTAACTGTTTCCCTACAAAAGAATTCACCACACACCACTGCTGCACAGGCTTGTGCCCCAGGGAGGTCACTATGGTGCTGCGAACACAGCAGTTCAACTTCACCACCCGAGGACCACGCCATTGTCTTTCAAGACAGACAGAAGCCAACAGCCAAATATTGGACAGCCAGATTCAATGAAAGTATTTCCTATCTTCTTGTTGATACTACATTCCCTCCTTAAACAGAGAAAGGAAGGGATAATGGGTCGTATTTAGTCTCACACCACAAGGTATGTATGTAATAGCAAAATAAAGCAATTAAAGAAACCTAGCATTCAAATACATACTGTTCACTAGGGGAAAGTGCTATCTTCATGCCTTTGCTTCAAGGCATACGGTATTGTGTCATTTCCAGTCAGCGTAGGAGGAATTTTTCCAGCTTTTTTCCCACAGCATAATGAGTCCCAAAGGCACGCCGTTCACCCCCCCACATCTGCACCTAATTTAGTTTCCTTCTATGCCTAAGAGCCGGTGTGGAATTTGGAGTAGGGCAGAATTTATTCATGTATGCAAAGGTGTTTTGAACCCAGTAGCTGCTTGCTTTGAACATTATTGACATGCCTTACAAGAACTGAGAGTGGTATTGGGAGAGGTTTCACTTTCCATGGTGTGCTGTGGGCCATGTCTTTCATCCCACTGTTACCTCTGATCAAAGTTGTTACTATTTTAAACAACCCAAATCCTCTTTATAAGAGGCAGCATTGGACTGTGTACACACAATGAGCAGGGTTTTCAAAGTGCCTCTGGCACTGAAAAACTATTGTCTTCTCTCCAGCCCATGTTATCTTGATTCACTGAAGGATACCACTATATTAGCAGATTTTTCTCACCTATTAATACATTAGCAAAGTCTATCTATAAAGCCAGAGTTCTTTTGCCTACTTTCCCCCCTAAATGCATCTCTTACCCTTTATTTCCCCGTCCTCTTGTATTTGGGGAATGATGCTGGCGGTTCAGATAAGAACAGTAGAAACAGTGGCCCATGCTTCCTATTCCTATAAATGTCAGACTTTTTATTACTGTATATCAATTAGACAGCACCAGCATGGTGTTTTACAGAATTTCACAAACCAAAACACAGACAACTCCCAAGGAGCTTAACTTCTAAAACATGACATTTATTTTTAAAAAGGATGCCCCAAACAGGGAGGATTCCAAGCCTGTAGAGGAGGTGGGAAGACAAGCTGGCAGAAAAAACATTATGCTAAATGAAAAGTGAGGAATTAATAAAATCCCACAGCAGGGGCGGCGGGGGGCGGGGGAGAGAATAAAATACTATGTTGTGCTGGTGGAGACTCGTTTCACAACATATTTTTCTAATTTTGTATCTGAGATAGCTGCGCTGCTGGCACACTTGCAAAGGCATTCCATTGAACATAGCAGGCCTGGTATCAAGGCAAATTTATTTGTGATTAATTCCCTAAGAAGGGACACTCATACACTGTTCCGGTGTTGTACACTTCCTGTAGACTTCAGTTAAGACAAGGTAGTCCCTCAGAGAATATGGGATTTACAGTGGTACCTCGGGTTACATACGCTTCAGGTTACATACGCTTCAGGTTACAGACTCCGCTAACGCTGAAATAGTGCTTCAGGTTCAGAACTTTGCTTCAGGATGAGAACAGAAATCGTGCTCCAGCTGCGCGGCAGCAGCAGGAGGCCCCATTAGCTAAAGTGGTTCGCAGGTTAATAACAGTTTCAGGTTAAGTACAGACCTCCAGAACGAATTAAGTACTTAACCACTATATAGTCCTGGAGGGCAAGACTACAAATCCCATCTTCCCTGACCATTGGCCATTAATGGCTGGGGCTGATTGGGGTTAGTGTCATGGGCTGGCCAAGTCAGGGCAGTGCAGATGGAGGACTGGTCGAGCACCCAGGGGAAATCTCCAGTGGGATGTGGGGACCTCTACACAGAGTGGGGCAGTCTGTTAGTGAGGGTCCTGCAGGGCGGGTAGCTCCTGCAGCCTGCTGTCTTGCCTTAGCCACCCATATGAAGAAAGCTGCAAGCCCCACCTCACTTTCCGTCCCCAGCCTCTCCAGGGCTGTTGGAGCATCTTTCGGACACTCCCGAGATGCAATCAGATACTGGGAGTAGCTCTGCTTACCCAGGATGGATGTTTCACCAGTCTCAACCACCCCTCAGGAAGCAGAAGCACAAGGAGAAGCCAAAAGGGAAGGGAACAGAGGGTTCTACCTACTGTTAGTTATGTACTGAAGTTCTCACCCTGGGCCAGCAGGGGGATACTGTAGATAGTTATGCAAATAAGGGATCGAAAGTGATGTTCAGTGATTGGATAGTTTTAGAAAATTGTTACAGTTACATTGTACTGGAGCTCTATATAAGCAGGCTGACTGAACCCTTCATTTCAGTTCTGTGCCTGTGAATAAACAAGAGCTTTTTGAAGAATCGCTGTGTCGTCTGATATGTTCACTCACAACTTAACACCTACTAAGCATGCTGAGAGGTTGTGGAGACGCTTGCTGAACCACGATGAACCTGTCTAATTCCTATAAAGAGGATAGCAAAGGGGTGTGACCATGTTGAATCAAGGTCTCAAGCTTTGGCAGTTACAACACCTACCTTTTTTATAGCTGTATTTAGGACTGACCTAAGGATCTTCAGCAAGTGGGAGCCAGGACAGCCAGAGCCTGACAACATCTAGTTGGCTATCCATGCCAGTTATGCCATCTAATCTTAAAAAGCTATTGTGAAATTGTTTTGATAGAGAGGCAGGCCAAGGCTGGTGCTTAAAATGCAGATTTGGAGAAGAAAAATACAAGGGACCAGCAGATCCAAGCGTGAAAGACTTGCAAAGTGGTACACTGCAAAATGTGTGCTGCACTTTAAGAACGGAAAAGCTTATATTTGCATCAGCAGAAAATGATCCGTGGAGGAAACTTCACCCACCCACCGCCAAAAAAACCAAATGTCTGGTTTAGAAGAGCAGGCCCTCCAAGTGGCCCTATTTTCCAGGGATGTCCCTGATTTAGAGAAGCCATCCCAGTTTCTGATTTGATCCCAGAATGTCCCGCTTTCCCTTAGGATGTCCCTATTTTCATTGGAGAAATGTTGAAGGGTATGGAGTTGTCCAATCGCTGAGCCGCCTGAAGGGAAGGTTTTTTAAAAATGTTTTCTTGTGTTTTTATATATGTTGGAAGCTGCCCAGAGTAGCTGGGGCAACCCTGTAAGATGTGTGGGGTATAAATAGTAAAATTATCATTATGGAATGGGCATCGTCCCTGTTTTCATTGGAGAAATGCTGGAGTGTATGGAAGAGAGATATTCCTTAGCACTGCAGCAGGGAAACAACAATGCAACTACTGGACTACTGCAACATGCTCTACGTGGGGCTACCTTTGAAGGTGACCCGGAAACTGCAATTAATCCAGAATGCGGCAGCTAGACTGGTGACTGGGAGTGGCCGCCGGGACCACATAACACTGGTTCTGAGAGATCTGCATTGGCTCCCAGTACGTTTCCGAGCACAATTCAAAGTGTTGGTGCTGACCTTTAAAGCCCTAAACGGCCTCGGTCCTGTATACCTGAAGGAGCGTCTCCACCCCCATCGTTCAGCCCGGACACTGAGATCCAGCGCTGAGGGCCTTCTGGCGGTTCCCTCATTGAGAGAAGTGAGGTTACAGGGAACCAGACAGAGGGCCTTCTCGGTAGTGGCACCCACCCTGTGGAACACCCTCCCTTCAGATGTGAAGGAAATAAGTAGCTATCCTATCTTCAAAAGACATCTGAAGGCAGCCCTGTTCAGGGAAGCTTTTAACATTTAACGCTGTATTGTTTTTAATACTTGATTGGGAGCCGCCCAGAGTGGCTGGGGAAACTCAGCCAGATGGGCGGGATATAAATAATAAATTATTATTATAATTTATATTCCCCATCCGCATCTGCTACAATCCGAATGGTCAGCCTCCCTGACTGATGCTACTTGTATTAACTGTGGTTTGGCCCTCACTCATCCGGTGCTGAGTATACAACAGTCTGCCATGTGTCCTGGCTCACAGCCTATGTGGAAGTGTTTCCCCAGAAGTGGCAGTGGGTGGCATGTGCCAGTTTACTAACAAATGGTGACAGGGCTCCTCCCAGCCATTCTCATTGCATGTCTGAAGCAGCACAGTGCTACTTAAGGCTACACTGTGCTTTCTTAACCTATGTCCCTCCAAACTGTTGAGTAAAGGGGCTTGTTGATCTAATGGGAAACATTTCTCGCCACATTTCATTCTCACCATCCTTCCTAGGGTCATGGGCCAGTGGTGGGTGGGGCCAGGGGCAAAAGTGGGTGGAGCAACAAGTGTTGATATTATTATTTATTTAATATATCACGCCTTTCTCAAGGGGGCTTGCAACATTTAAAACTTCTCCCCATAGGAACTTAGGTGGACCCAGTGATCATCATCTGCGGCCCTTCTTTATATGTCTCCCCCATGAGAGGTCCATAGGGTGACAACACGAGAATGGGTCTTTTCTGTGGTGGCTCCCCATTTGCGAGAATGCTCTCCACAGAGATGCTTGCTGGTGCCTTCATTGCATATATTTAGACATTAATCTTCAACCAAGCCTTTGGCTGATTAACATTCTATGTCCTCTTAAATGTCTTTGTGGGAGAATGCTTTTTCTTTTTAATGTATTTTGTGTTCTCATTTTGTATTTTTATATTGGGAACTACCCTGTAATCTTCAGATGAAGGGCAGTACAGTGGTACCTCGGGTTACATATGCGTCAGGTTACGTACGCTTCAGGTTACACACTCCGCCAACCCAGAAATATTACCTCAGGTTAAGAACTTTGCTTCAGGATGAGAACAAAAATCGTGCTCTGGCAGCGCAGCGGCAGCAGGAGGCCCCATTAGTTAAAGTGGTGCTTCAGGTTAAGAACAGTTTCAGGTTAAGAATGGACCTCTGGAACGAATTAAGTACTTAACCCGAGGTACCACTGAATAATAATAATAATGATGATGATGCAAGGCTGTAAGGAGAAATAGCCACCATCTATTACCCAATGATCTCACTGCCCTTTCTACATTTGAGTGCATGGCTTAGAACTGTCTGTTTTCTTTAGGTACCTGTTTAGACTGCTTAAGGAACGCAGGTGGTGCTGTGGTCTAAACCACTGAGCCTTGGGCTTGCTGATCAAAAGGTTGGCAGTTCAAATCCGCGATGGGATGAGCTCGATGGGATGAGCTCCCTTTGCTCGGTCCCAGCTCCTGCCAACCTAGCAGTTCAAAAGCACTCCAAAAAGTGCAAGTAGATTAATAGGTACCACTCTGGCGGGAAGGTAAACGGTGTTTCCGTGCGCTGCTCTGGTGTTGGTGTTCCGTTGCACCAGAAGCGGCTTAGTCATGCTGGCCACATGACCCGGAAAAACTGTCTGCGGAGCGGACAAACGCTGGCTCCCTAGGCCTGTAAAGCGAGATGAGAGCCACAACCCCAGCGTCGTTCGCGACTGGACTTAACTGCCAGGGGTCCTTTACTTTTACCTTTAGACTGCTTATATTAATTGATACCTTCACTTCAGGATTGATGGAACATTCTTCCTGTTAACATCAGCTAGTACTGTGGAAGTTGAAAGAGGAGGAGCAGACAGAGGGTGAAGAAAAAGCTGTGAGTGTAGGGGGACCTTTCCCCCATCCTCTGGACCCCCTGGGAAACTCAGCTGCACTTCGAAATGGGTATGGAGAATGCAGCTGAATGGAATACAGCTGAGGGCAGTACCATCCATCCTGGGCCTGCCAGGACACTGGGTGAGAACCCAGAGGCTGAGAGGATGTGTCAGAAGGAAAATGAATTGATATTGGTTTATAGATGTTAGTAACTTTGTATTATTGTAACATTTTTATATGCAGATGTGTATTTTTGTAATATTTTGTTTAAGTTGTCTGTTGTTGCTTCTGTTTTTTGTACACCACTTAGAAATGTTTTTAATAAAGTAGGTAGTATAGGAATTAATGGTACTTTGTTTGTTTTACTTTCTTTTTGTTATTTTTGCAAATAAAAAATGCGGGTGGTATGCAATGAATTTTTACTCATATTAAGTTCATTGAATTTAATTAACATGACAAAGTTGGATCCAGAAATTTAAATGGGTCTACTCTGAATATCTGGGAATAAGTCTACTGACTTCAATGGGTCATGTATATATAGTCAACTAAATTTTGTTCGGAGTATAAATGTAACAGCAATGACCTATGCATGTCTACTCAGAAGTAAGACCCATTAAGTAAGTTCCTAACAGCAATCTTTTAGCTGGGAGCAAACAGCAAACATTCCTAACAGCAAACATTTAGCTGGGAGTATGCCCTATTAGTTACGTTTTCAGTACTTATATGCCATCTCTCAGAACTAACCCTCCTAAATAGCTAAAAACATATTGAAAACACATCCATTAAAATTAGTGCGGTACATCTCCAAATAAATATGCATAGGATGCTCAGCAACAACCATCATGGAGCTACAGGAAATCATGGCTGATGGCAATTATTTCAAAAACCATTTAATTCCCACTTAGTGTCACTAGATGGCACCAGAAGACTTGATATTTAAATAGTTCACCAGAGCTGTTTTTTAGAATGGGAACGTATAAGAAGGCCTTACCCTCTGTGTTTCGTGTGCGTGTTGAGCATGTCTCCTGTCTGAAGGAGAAGCATTCAGAGAGGCAACAGACAGCCTCTTCTGTGCCAAGCCAAATCTCATTATTTTGCTAGAGAGCAGGGCTGGCCCAAAACATTTTGCTTCTGAGTAAGAGGACAAGATGGTGCCCCCTTCCACAGTACGCACAGAAGCTGATTAAACCTTCAGCACCAGCGAAGGGACAGCATCTTCCACGGCACCTGGGGGCAGCAGGCTAGCTATAAGGGAGCACCTGCAGCTCTGTCCATCAGCAAAATGCTATGGTCATCATCTGCCTCACTGTCTAATGGTAGGGCCAGCCCTGCTAGAGATGACCTGGGCTTTCAGAATGCAAACTTTCAGGGTTTCCATTCACATCCAAACAATACATTACAGCTATAGGCATATGTCTTAGACGCAGAGCGTGGGTTGTGCCAAACAGTGGCACATAGTGGGGGCTTGGATTTCATGGGGAAACGCAGTGGATTTTAGGGCAAGGAAGGAACCTCCCTCCTCAAGCTGCCTAGAGGGGACATGTGGGCTGTGTAGAAACCAGACAATGAAAGCCCAATACTTCTTCCAAAGGAATTATGGGAACTGTAGTTTACCCATCACAGGCCTACAATTCCCAGCATTCTCTGGGGGAAGTGATGTGCTTTAAATGTATGCTGTGCACGCAGCCTTAAATAAATGGATACAAAAGTAGGCTGCTGCTCCCCTTTCCCATAGGCCTTTACCCAGCACTGCCCTACCAAGCTGGGCTTGCTTTTGGTCTTGGAGCCCTGCTAGGAAAAACGTGACTATGAGAGAGAGCTGCCTGGGAAAAGCAGTGAGCAAGGCTCCCTCCTCCCTCCTCCACTTCAACTTTTAAAACTACATACATTGGTTTGGCTTCTACGTGACAACAAGCCAGAGCTCAAGGCCGTTTACTCTGCATCCAGCCCACTCCCACCGCTGATTGGGAAAGCAATGTACACACCTTAGCCACAATCCATATCTGTCCTGTATCTGTCCAGCCATTTCTTATGAAATTCTGCGTTTGGATGAGTTTTCCTGAATTGGGGGGGGGGGGGACACAATCTAGCTGCCTGTAATGTTTACAGAGCCATATCATGTATACGCCACCATAAGGTTTGGACTTTTATTCAAGGCTGAACTTTAGCACCTATATTTCTCATTTAAATACCTTTGTGTGAAATATTTTTTCTTATTTGCGTGGCTTTACATAGCTTAACAGCAACCTTACATTTCAGCACAATGTCGTCATGCTATCCATTCAGTGTGTTTTCCTTCCTGTCCGTCCCAGAAGTGTTTACCAGAACAATCTGTTGTTAGCTAAGTGCAAAACCATTTCCTTTTTGTAGTAATGTGTGCACTGGTTTGGAGGTGCTGTGCCTCTTTTTGGATTCCATCTCTCTCTCTGGGGGGGGGGGTTCTTTTCCTATATTCCTTTTTTAATCTTTAATACCTTTTTGTAATCCTTTAGAGTATTTTTCTTTTTACTCTTTTGCCCATTTGTATTATATGTAAGTGACTGTAAGTTAGAGGAGACATTTCCATTATGGGTTTACTTTGACCATTTTTATTCTGCATTACCCAGATTTGTTTCTGGGTATTCCAAGAAACCTATGCATTACTGTGTCAATGTTTTAGGAACCTTATTTCCTGGTCCCACCCTACTGAAGTTCCTTCCTAAGGGAATGGCATGTATATTTTGCCTTTTACCTCTCTCTGCCTCCCCACTAAGTAGCCATCAAAAGGTTTCATTAGGGCACTGCTAATCTCTGTAACCATCTCTTTCAGGATTTAGTGGGTGTAACTCATTTAGTCTGGAGTTTGAGGCTATCAAGCTGTGTTCAAATGGAATTGCAAATATCCTTAATTTCTTTCTACACACCCTAGAAATGTGATTCGGTGTTGGACTTCCTCTGTTCTTTTTGTATGGAACTGACGTATTACACTTGGTTTAATTTTTCTGCCCCAGTTAGGAACTGGCCATTTCTCTAGAGTTGACTCAAGGCAATAATCTCATCCACTTCTCTTTTAGGTAAATGTATTATAGAGCAATGCAGCAGTTCTCTGCCTTCACATTTATGGTACAACCCCTGTTTGCTCAGAAGTGAGACCCACCAACTTCCTTTCCTGCAGGTGCACTTAGGACTTCAGCCTCTGTTATCTAAACCTTAGTGGTGAAAACAAAACAAAAACCTTACCAGAATTTATATTTCTCTTAAATGGGGTGAAATATGAACACAGAGTTCTTTCCCCCTCCCATCCTGTCAGTAACTTTGGGTTGTTTTGCTTTGCATCATGTTATTTAAAGATGCCCTGCAGGACTGCTCTCATAACACCGTTGTGTAATGCTTGTGGGCATCCCTATTCTTTCGCTCTCTTAGAAAAGCTAGTAGACTAGAACATTTCTTACAGTGTAGAGGGAGGGAGGCGGATTTTCTATTTCTAGTACAAAAAAGTGGCATATCTGGCCTCCTAAAGAGGGGTCTCACACTTCCTGCTAGGGCTGCACACAGGTTCCAGCTAAATCCCAGGTTTCGAATCAAACTGGGCCAATTTGGGCCAACTGCAGATTTGGCCTGAACGGGTTGAGGCAGCTCTGGATCACCCAAGGTTGGACTGGGCCCACCCAGAACAATCTGGGGTTGTCAAAATGGTTGGTGGTGGTCTGGCAGCAAGGGATGGAAGGAAATGTGCAGGTAGCTCCCCCATCCTGACCATGAGGCTCACGTCTCCTTTCACCACTCCTGACTGCATGCTTAGTTAGGGTTTAAAACCTTAATTAAACATATGGGAAGGAAGGGGAAAAGAAGGGGATACATGTCTCAATCTCCTCACTCTCTACTTTATAACTGAGCAAAGCCCCGAATCAGTTCAGGTTCTGGATCTGGGTCAGGTTTGCCACAGACCATCCTGGGTTGCATCAGGGACACTCACAAGTGTTGGCTTGAGCCCTAAACCTTACATTGTGGGTTAGTATGCACAGCCTGCTGTTCCTGCACCCACACCCCAGGCTGCCAAACAAAAGTTCAATGGCATAGTTTAACAGCAAACTTGCATTTCTGCACAATATTGTCATGCTAGACTTGGTAGTCTTGTCTATGGTGACAAATGATGTGTACAGATGTACACATTCTGAGTAGTGAAGCTGCTCTGGAAGTGCACTTACTGCATTCTTGTCAAATGGTTTTTCTGTCCAGGACTGAGAGCAATTAACCAGATCTGGAACTTTGTTGCAGAAGCCAATAATGCACAGCACTGATTGGCTCACCTCTGTAACGTCCCAAAACATGTCCTCATCTCCTAAGAAGTTCAAAAACCTTTTTTAAAGGTATATGCTGCTCATGTGGATGAAGTTAATGAGCTTGAGACTGTAGACTGTAGATAATCTTCTATTGAAATCTTTATCTGCCTTCAAATGGGAGGTCTTTGGCCTCATAGGTAGGCCCACCTATCTTCTCAATTCAAGGCCAGCAAAGAATATTTAAAATATTATTTTCCACATTCTCAAGGCTCAAACACATTCTGAGTCTGTCTTTCTTTCTTTCCTTTCAGCGGCTGTGTTTGGGTTTCCAGTTCTTCACAAGACTCAAATTTATGCTGCTGGTCTTGGTTTTCTTGAATTTCTGTTCCCTTCACTTATGCTAGCTGACAAAGTATTTTTGACCTAATTTACCCAAGTGCTCATGTAATAGGCATTACATTCATCGGTGTTGTCTCACTGTGCACCACGAAGCTACACATTATCAAAAATATGTGTCATTTTACAGCTGCTTATTCTAATGTTTAATTACTCCTTACAATAAGGTCACCAGTAGTTACATAATTTTAAAGAACAAGCAGTATTTTAAGAAAGCGACCTAGAAATATGGCAAAATAATTATGTTGGCAATCAGATATTATTGCCTGTCTGAAAAATAGTTTGTTTGACAGTGTCTGGGAACCCCAAGCTAAATTTTGCTAGTTGCTGTGTTCAATCCACCGGGCTCAAGCACTGTGGCACCTTTCATTGAGGAATGTCCTCCACCTGGAATGTCCTCCCTAGGGAGGTTCACCTGAATGAATCATTGCTTGCCTTTCATTGGTCGGTGAAAACATAATGTATAAATGTCTTAGGAGAACCTTGGTATTAAATGGCAAGCATGTGTCCTATTTACAGAAGACAGCCCTATATTTGCAGGCCTGTGAATTCAAGGACAGCCCTCTTATTTGAAGGCAGCTTCTATTCAAAGTCTAGATTGAAAATAAAGACCCAAAAGAAGTAACAGCAGGGCAAAGCCAACCTTTAACACCTGAACAGCAGACAGATTACCTGGTCACTTGGATGAAATGTATTATAGTTCCATTTAAATCACAGTAATTATTTGTATCTATACATAAAAATCAGCATGTGCAAATGTGATGCAAATCCAAGTCCTCTTTAGTCCCCTTTTTTGACAATCCATAAATGGCCACACTATGTTACAGAATCATAGAATCGTAGAGTTGGAAGGGACCATGAGGGTCATCTAGTCCAACCCCCTGCAATGCAGGAACCTTTTGCTCAACTTGGGGCATGAAGCCCTGAGATTAAGAGTCTCATGCTCTACGGACGGAGCTATCCCAGCATAATACGCTGCTGGAGGGTTGTTTTCAGTGTCATGTTTTCATTCTTCTTTTCTCTGGTGGTTTTACCATTTGTGTTTTGATACTGCTGTTTTAATTGTTTAAATGTTAAATTGTCTTAAGATTTCTGTTGTTGTTGTTGTCCAGGGGTCCTAAGGGCAGGAAGATGGCACATGAAATGGCATAGATAAATAAAACTGATTCATTGTAATCTATGGAGGGCTTGCAAGGGTGGCAGCTGGTTGACTGCAGTCTTCCACTAATTGTTGAAGAGGGCACATGACTGTCATAGTAACTGCCTTTATATTCATTGAGTCACTTTCTCCACTTAGGCTGCAATCCTATGCAGCCACCTGGAGGTAATTCTCTGTTGCACCATGTTAACATTCCACCAGCATGAGGATTTCTGCTTCTGCAACAAAACATTCTTCCGACCGTGCACCCTATAAATCGGTTCTAGGCAATCCCCCCTTCTTCTAGAGCAGATTTGGGGGAGTTGTAGAACACACATAGGGGGAAGGGGGGAAGTCCCATTGAAAAAACAGAAATCCTTGTGCTGATGGGATGTGCTAGTTAATAATAATAATAATCCGACCATTGAACTCAGTGGGACTTAGTTCTGAGTAGACATTAATGAAAAAATGTTATAAAAGCTGTTGCAATCTCTAAAAAGAGAACACTGCTTGAATATATATCAGCATTTTTTCCTTAATGATTTCAAAACATCTATAAATGCATTCCTGCCTGTGCCTACTCAGAGGTAAGCCTCACTGAGTTCAATGGATCTTTTTCCCCATTAAGCATGTAAAAGACACGAGTGTTTCCTGTTTGTGATCCAGCTGTTCTATTTATAAGTGTGGTTATTCTGTGTGGTTTTTCATTATCATATTCTGAAAAATGAACTTGAGACTGTCTATGGAACTATGGTTGGAACAGATTCTCCTTTCCCAGGAGCTATGGTAGTGTGACCTCTGGAGAGGTTTCTAACTCTGCTTTCTTCGTCTTCTTCACTGGTGCCTTCTGCCTTTGGTTATCATAATTACACAATCAAACTCAGTGGTGGGGAAATTGTTCCAGGCATTCCAACATAATTTGTGTTCGGGAAGAAAGCCCTGAAAAAAACGGCATAGCCTTCCCAAAAAAAGTTGCCCAACCTTTTCCCCAAGGTTAGGGTCCTTTAAATTGCTTCGTTCGTTTTTCCACACTAATTTGAATTAAATGTTGTGAAGACTGAAGCCACGGAAATTAAAAACTGTCATTGATTCTTGTTCTGGACAAACCTGTGTGGAATAGCTATAATTAATTACAAAAAAAACACTGCTAAAAACAATACACAATACCTAGCGTCGTATTGCAACAAGTCACATATTTCACCTCTTTCCCTGTTATCAGTTCTGATCTCTCATTATGGGTTGTCCTGAAACTATTACTGTGAGCATTCACTAAAGGGAGCGCTTTCACGAAGGCACCTTGTACATCATTAGCAGATAAGGGAATTAGCAAAATTGTACGTAAACGTAGGCGTGTATCACTCCCACTGAGACTTGGCAGTAGAAGATTTGGAAAAACAAGGAAAGCATGCTCCACTCCATAGGAGTTGTAATAGCTCACAGGAATGTTGGCAAGCTCATCCAGGTGAAGACAATTAAGGTATCCTAGCAGATCTGGAATGTGCTTGGAGCAACCACTGGCAGGCTATAAGGGAAGGAAGGAATGTGTCCTGGTTTGTCTTCACTGGAGCTTGCGTAGAGTCAATGCAAGCCGTCTATTTTCCAGTGCAAAAAAAGGGGGGGGGGAGGATTTTGTGTTCTGTCCCACCTGAACAGTAACCATTTCACCTTCTTCTGACAGAGCTGATAATAGCCACAAACCCCCTCTTAATCCTAGCTTAGTTACATTGTTTTCTGTGGCTATGAAGTGAGAAAATTATCTCCACCAAAATGCCTGCCTGCAAATTCTGTAATTGTTTTTCATTAAACCCAGCAGAGGCCCCCAGGCATCCATATTTCCTCATGGAAAAGACTCTTTGAGTGTTACCTGCTCTGCACGCCTCGCTGCCCAATCACAATCCAGGCCCTTGATTTCTAAGCGGTTAGCAACTCAGCCACAGCGCATTTCCTGTTATTGGTTACTCTACAAGACTTTACCACCTAGGAACTGTGTTTTTCACCTCTTTTCACTGTAACTATCTCTCTCTATATAAGATAATCAACCAAGTGTTATTAAGGGCAGAGTTTTCCCATCCTGTCACAATGCAACACCCACCCACCCTGGGGATTTGCTAGTGGGTGGATAGGAAGCAGGTGCTTAACCCTTCCCCTGACCTCTGATTGTCCCTTGCAAAATCGGTGGGCTGAAACTGAGATGTAGTACTTCATCACAAAGGTGAGATTTAAACTGTGTGCTGTCTGACCCATATCTGTTTCCCTTGGTCACTACATTATCTATATTTTTGGTTTCAGATCCCAGCTGGGGGAATAGGTTTAAAAACAACCTGTGGGTACTTTCTGAAGGAAATAATGGATGGATGGACAAAAGGGTTAAGCACCACTTCACCCTATGTTAGCACTTGATTGGAAATGTTGGGGACAGTATTCCATGCTTGCTTCACAATGAGTTGCTCAGCCTTTAGTCCCCTAATGAATAAAATGGTAATAAATTGTCTAGATAATAACCAGCCTTGATTCTGAAGTGCTTTATAAGAATCTATTCAAAAATAATACTTTGATTCCCTCAGGTGGTGGGCAAGATTCCTGTGTAAGAGATGCTGCAAGGCTCAAGATCAGCTTGAAAGTGTGTCTTGAAAGTGACAAATCGGAATGCCATGCTTTCTAGTCATGGCCATTTTTTAGAAGAATCTATTTATCACAGGATAATGAACAGGAGGGAGAGAGACCGGGGAATGGAGTTGTGGTTAAGATGGTATGAGAAAGGATGCGGAAGTTTGCTGAAAGAAACTGCATGGAGGCAGGGGATTCTCCCCCGGCCTGCTGTGTGTGTGCAGATGGACACTAGGCATATTTCCCAGCTGAAACTTTGGTTGCAGGCCTCTAGTCAAAGTGTGAGCTCCACCACACATCTACCAGCCGTAGCCAAACAACAACATAAATTAAATGCAATTTGTTAATTATTTGTAAGTATCGTATGCACATTGTTGTGTCTTTCTGGCTCATTAAATGTTTTCCATTTTGTTGTTAGGTGTTGAACTTAGTTGTTCTGCCTTGGGCTGTGGAAGTTTCCGTATCTGTCTCTCTTTCTCTCTCTCTCAGTGAACTTTACCATTGGCTAGACTTCCTAAATTATATACAGGGCTTGACATACTTAACTTCCTAAATTATACGCAGGGCTCAGCAACAATCATATTTCGTTACCAACACATTTCCCCCCTCATCCAAATCAGCTTCATAGATACTGGGACAGCCATATTTAAGTTGATTTCCTTATTAAGGGAAACACATGGGACGAGCAACAAAATGTTTCAGGGCGGAGTGCTTCTCTTCAGGGTGTCCCCCAGCCTGCCATGTCCTCTTCCAGGATATTCAATATCACTCTTCCTCCTCTCAAATTTCCATTCCCCTCACCCCAACTGCTGTCAGTGTTCCAAGTCCATTGGTTTCATCTTTTCAGTTGATTATTAGCTACAATGCACTTATCCAGTTGGAGTGAATCAAGCTGAAACCTCCATGAGATAGCCCGACTTCTGTAACAGAAAGAGGAAAAAATGTTTTAGAATAATGAAAGTGCACCTACAGGTTTTTCTGTCTCTCCTGAAGCCAGAAATAAAGGCTGAGGTTTGCAGTGCCTAGTGCATATAGGAATAATGGTTTTCCTGTCTTTTTATTGAGGACCTCTCTCTTAAGGCAGATGTGTCCTCTGTTATTTGCTTTGACAGGTTCTAGTTCTGTAGCAGAAAGTTTGGGACATAGAAAATTTATAGCTTTCCATGGTTCCTCTACACTGGAATGTTGTTCACACTAAAACAATAACTACAACTCATATAATACTAAGTCATATAGTCAAACCAGTAACTGAAGTTAGAGCAACTCTCCTCTGAGGAAAGATGTGGGACCTTTTAATTTAGAAAAAGGTGGGGAGAAGATATAAAAAATCATGTATGGTATGGAGAAAATAGATATGAAGAAGTTCCCCCCCTCACAATAATACTAGAACTTGGGTTCTAGTATTGGACAAGCAATGGACCCATCACCCAAATATGAGCCATGCACCTATAAGCTCTCCATCTTTCCAGGATTCAATCTCAGTTTATGCAGCCTACTGCTGCATCAAGGTACCAGTTCAGGACTTTCCCCTTGACTCAGATGTAATGGAGAAGTAGTGTTGGCTATCATCTCCGCTCTAAAACTCCCAACGACCACTCCTAATGGCTTAGTATGGCTTCATAGCACTGGGGAGAAAGTAGTCATCTTCTTCTTTGGCGATCACTCATAGCCAAGTAAGATTGTCTTCCATGAACACGGTCTTAACAGTGAGTCCGTAAGTGACTGTGGAAGCCAATTCTGGATCCACATGTCCTTCCACAGGGGGGACATAGGATTCCAGACGGGAGTTGATCATGATGAGGGTTTGCCAAACGTGCCTTCCTCTTAACATGTTTCTCCCTTTCATCCTGAGTTTGAGCGTCTTCAAAGTCCATGACACCTTTGGTAAAGGCTGTTCTTCAATTGGAATGCTCACATGCCAGTGTTTCCCAATTGTTGGTGTTTATACTACATTTTATTAGATTTGCCTTGAGAGAGTCTTTAAACCTCTTTTGTTAACCACTTTCCATTTTTAAGTTTGGAATAGAGTAGTTGCTTTGGGGAGAAAGTAGTGCCCTGTGGCAGCCCACAGCATAAACACTAGGGGGCTGAAGAGCACTCTCCCAATATTACTTTATTTACCTGACCCTGCAGGTAGGACATTGGTCCAGAAAGATACCATAGTCAATGGTACCAAAAGCTGCTGAGATATAGAGAAGAAAGAGCAGCCTGAACCTACACTGACATGGATCCAGATAATCAGTCTTATCCAGGAATGTCTGCAGCTGCTCCTCCAATCGCCTTCTTCAGAAAATAATTCTTTATTACCAGACGAGAGTTCTTACAATCCATTGTTACTACCATCACCAGGTTACAGCACTGGTGACTGCTAGGTAAGGAGGGCAAAGAGGTAATGGGAAAGATATTGCACTTTTTTTTCCTAAGCAGCCTGCTCTTTGGCTTCAGGCTTCTAGTACACTTGCAATCGTGAAGCCCCCTAGCCTACGTCATCCATAGTCAAACATAATTAAAAAGATGCTAAGAAATAAAGATAATTGACTGATAGATGTAGGAATGGCTGTGATGAAATGGGAGCTCCCAAACCTTCAGCGATGACTGATTAATAGACCTATCATAAACCTGAGGTGGAAACTGTTGTATTAGACGGAATTATATACATTTCCAAAGTTTTCATGATAAGATGTTGAAAGACTGGGGAACTTTGCACAATCAAATGCTTGGAGTTTTGCAAAGCAATTTTAGAGCAGCTGTACCAATAGCTAAATTGAAATCATTAGAACGATGCACTCAAGTCTTTAGTGGGTAGGTTTTGCTAGAGGAAAGGTAAGGATCACAAAAAAGGTTTGTTTGGATGACTGAGCTTTGTGGTGAATTGTGGATTAGGGGCCTCACATTCTTGAAATCGTGCAACATCCACTACCATCCGAGGAAATGTTGTTGATAAAAAGGAATGTAGATTTGGGGAATTAGTTTATGCCTCTAAAATGTAAGCAGAAAATCTAATGAAAATAGCTGACGTGTTCTGGAATCAGTATAGCCATCCTTGAGATTTTAGTGGAGGGGTGGGGAAAATGATTCCTGCCTTCATTAGCAACAAAGCACACTTAACAAAAGGGAGTTTAGTGCCATTGAACACCACTCCACTCCACCCTGAACAAAAAAACAAGCAGCCCATTGCTAGGGGGCCTCCAAGAGAAAGGGGATAACAGCCAGCTATATTCATCTCTCGATACTCTAGCCAATGTTAATAGGCCTGGCACTAGGTTTGAGAACGGGCACTGGGCATGGTGCCTCTGATGGCTCTTTGGTGCTCCTCTGCCTTCCCCAAGCTCACCAAGGAGCGATAGGGGTAGCAGTGGAAGGCAACTGTGAAGTCCGGCAGTGGTGCTGAAAGCATCACAACTCCTTCTGCCAACACTCTTTCAGCCCAGTGCTATGAAGAACAAGGCAGCTGCTGCCAGCACCTTCATTATGCCCAATGCCTCTCTGCCTCCCATCCTTGATACAGCGTATTCCAAGGTTTGGGGACCAGAGGCATTGGGGATAATCAGAGCATTTTTTCAGCTGGAACTCATCAGAACTCAGTTCCAGCCCATCTCAGGTGGGTGCCATTGTCATTATAAGAGAACAAGGTGAGTTCTGGCACCTCTTTTTCTAGAAAAAAGCACTGAGGATAATGAAGCTGGTAACAGCGGCAACCACATGCTCCAGCACTTCTCTTTACAGTGCTGTACTTCCTGGGTCAGGATGTCACCAGCACTCCATGTATCAGCACACGCTTGAGGTGGTAGACATTTTTGCCTACCTGGGTTCCACCATAACCAAGAACCTCTTGTCGACGCTGAGCTGGACAAGCTTATTAGCAAGGCAGCTATGGCAGTGGCTCACTTCTTCAAAAGGGTATGGGAAAATGTGGTGCTAACATTTGGACCAATACCAAAATGAAGGTCTACCAAGTTTGCGTGTTGAGCATGGGGCTTCATGGAAGTGAGTTTTGGGCAGCTTACAACCACCAGGAGCGACGCCTCAACGCCTTCCACATGCGCTACATCAGGAAGATTTGGGGCATCACATGGCAGGACAGTGTCTCAAACAAAGATACGCTCTTCTCCTAAGCCCACATTCCCAGCATGTTTGCACTCCTGTCTCAGCGACATCTACGCTGGCTTGGTCATGTACACAGAATGGAAGATGTCAGGATCCCCAGGGACGTGCTCTACAGGGAGCTGGCTTCAGTCACAGGCAAACCAACTCTGTGTTACAAAGATGTCTGCAAAAGTGACATGAAGGCTGGCAACTTCAACCCCCACCGTCTGGGAATCACTTGCTGACAACTGCAGTGCCTGGAGACAGACAGACAGACAGGTTGTGCATTCATACCATGACTGCTGGGAGGAGTGCAAAGAGAAGGAACAGCATGGTGCAGCTGCAGCTGCACAACCAGCCGCCTTCATCTGTCCTAGCTTCAACAAAACATGCCTCTCCTGCATCAGTCCCTACAGCCACAGCAGGTGCTGTAACCTTCCAACAGTTTGACTTCACCCCCAAAGGCACACTCCTCCATTGTCAACTGAGACAGATAGATGCCCAACAACAACAACCTGGTTAAAAATAAAGGAGGCTGGTGTTAGCCAGAGTGGAGCATTTGCCCACCAAGCTTACAATGGGCCTATTAGCCCCAGTCATGGCTACATGTGCTGATTTATGCATAGTGCTGATTATGCATATTTGCATACCAAGCAAGGTTTTTCAAAAAGAAAGGAAGTAGTGAGACAGTCAGGGGGCAGAAGGGACAAAGCAATGCTGCCTTTTGAGATACTCCCAGTATCACTTCCAGGACATTACAAGAGAGAAAGAAGATTAAAAATAAAATTGCTCATGCGTTAGTGAACAGAAGGGTGCTGCTTTTCCCCATTGGCAAAACATCACAGATTAAGTCCTCTGAAAGCAAAACATCCCAATAGCTACTTCAAGGTAGCTGGATCCAACTCAACAAATGTTGCAATTTTTGTGCTATAAAATTATCACCTGGAAAGGCTTGTGTATTAGAAGATCTCAGAAAGCTCCACACATAGTCTGTGTCTCTTATCCCAAGAAAATATATGTTGTGTGATTACATCCTCAGTGCCACTAATGCAGGGGTGGAGCACCCTTGGCCCTCTAGATGTTACTGAACTACAAATCTTATCAGTCACAGCAAGCATGGCTAACGGCCAGGGAGGATGGAAATTGTAGTTCAGCAGCACCTGGAGGGACAAATGTTCCCCACCCCGCACGAAGATCTTGTGCCAACTTCACATGCTGTTGGTTATATATGGGCTCACTCACTTCATCTCTTTTCTTGCCTTACTATTGTTAACCCCGATGCAATCTTATGTCTGCGCCAACTGTGGTTCCTTCTCCCTTTTAGCTAATACATTTTGCTTATCCTGGTTTGTGTTCCTCAGGATTGTTGCAGCTGAATGCACATGCACACAGTGGCTTATCATTACATATTTATTTATATAATTTATATACAAATCTGTGCTCTCTCCGCAAACTGCTCAAAGGAACATAGGATGTTCCCTTATACTAAATCAGACCATTGGTCCATCTAGTTCAGGATTAACTGGTAGAAGCTCTCCAGGTTTCCAGTAGCCCCAATTTTTTTTGTTGGAACCTCCATCACAAATATTGTGCGCATGAGACCATTCAGCAGTCACAGAAAACGTATAATTATTGTGGAGATAAACCAAGTTAAGTAACTAAGGGTCAGAAATCCCACAGGCTGGGTAGAAGGACTATTGCAGAGAGAGAAGAATGAGCATTCTGCAAAACAGCTACAATTTCTGCTGAGAGCTTTCAGGTTTTTTTAAAAAAGCAATTTCTCTTCTTTTGACCACAACAAGCCTTCACAATCAATGCTGCTGCAATGATACCCTTTCAACTCTACTTGGCTGAACATTCTCTCCAAGTAAACAAAAAAAATTATTAAAAAGCTGATTGGTGCCCTGATGTGCGGGTGCGACACAAATTAATGATAGCATTGTAATGCCTCCTGGCAAAAGTAATCTAGATTCCTGTTTGCTAATGGAAACTCGCAGGAAGCAAATTGAGTCATTGATGTCTCAACAAAATTGTTAGCCCATTGTTTGACAGCAGAAGCAAATGCACATTTTTGTTGTGTACGGCTTTCTGCTGTTGTTGTTACTGCTGCTGCTGTTAATTTTAAAACTCATTCTGTTCATCTTGATGTAGGATATACATAGAAGGTGAACACTGCAGTCAAATATAAAGCAAATACCCATAAAACCAGCAGCAGATAGAAAAATGTTTTGGGGGAACACTGGACAAATCCTGAAATGCAGCATATTCTGCCACTTGCTTGAAGGATAAAGAATACCACCAGGGTGGAATGGGAGCAATGAAGCCTTGGCATTTTAGAAGTTGTCAAGTACTTAAGCACCAGAGAACAGAAGCATCACATTATGTCAGCTGTTACTCTTTCCCTAATCAGCGAATATTAATGCAGTGTTATCTTGAAGAAAACGGATCACCGAGAAACAGAGTGTATTAAAAGCAGGATGTGTTCTCTGGCATTATATAATTTTCCCTGGGATTTTTATTTTTACCTTGTTGACAGACAGTGTAACAACTTTTTGAATCAAGTAAAAAAATAAAAGACAATCAACCCACAGCTTCTACAGTGCAAAGAGTGGTGATGCAAGCTGTGGGGATATAATGACTCCTTGTGATAACATTCCACAATAATCTTAAGACCAACACAAATATTTCTCAGTTACGCTGTGCTCTGCTGAATTCCTGCCCTCTGTTCAACAGGAAGAGGAGCGAGGATACACAGTGAAGGGTTCCCAAACCCCACTACTTTTGGGAGGATCTGCTGCCAAAGACGATTTTCTGTAGAACTACTGTATAATAAATCTCAAATCCTACCCAGAAGCCAAGATTTCTATATGTCTGAGGCTGCAATCCATGTATTTATTCTTAAAATGTCTTAAGCAGTGGCGTAGCGTGGGGGGTGCAGGGGGGGCTGGCCGCACCGGGCGCAACATCTGGGGGGGCGCGCTCACACTCGCAGCTCTCTGCCCCTACTAAAATCCACGGGTTAGGGGGCGCAAATTACTTGCCTTGCCCCAGGTGCTGACAACCCACGCTACGCCACTGGTCTTAAGCAGAAGTTTCCAGGGTGGTGTACAAAAGTGTGTATGAAACTATTCACATATGAATACTACATGCCGACAATAAGCAGCACGATAAAAACATAACTCTAAGTAGCAGAGGAGGCAGTTTTAATTAAGATACCATCTCAAATGCCTGAACAAGTAGGAAGATATTTGCCTGGTGATGTTAAAAAGCACCAGACAGGTCGTCTTCGGGAGGGCATTCCGAAGTTGGGACACAGAAAAGGCCCTCTCTCTTTTGTGCAAAATGTATCTCTGTTAAGAGCCTTTGGTGCATGGCGGTTAGAGTGTTGGACTAGGACATGGGAGACCAGAGTTCAAATCAGCCTTGAAGCGCAGTATGTGGCTGCAGATCATTCCCTGTATCTCAGCCCAGTTCACAGGACTGTTGTGAAGAGGGGGTGGGGCGAGCCATATACATTACCTTCAACTTCTTGGAAGAAAGGTGGGATATAAACGGAAGAAGAAAAAAATTGGAGAAGGGCCTCTGCAGAAGACCTTAAGACACGGTGATATAAGGAGAGGCATTTCTTCAGGTACCCGAGTCCCAAGCACCTAAAATTGGGCTCAGAAGCAAATGGAATTCAAACAGGTATAATAAGAGCAATGCTGGATATACCAGTCAAGATTCTGACAGCTAAGCAAGCGCTGCACTAACTGAAGCTTCCAGGGCATCTTACAGGCAGTCCCAGGTATATAACACATCGCAGAAATCCAGCTGGGAATTTACCAGAGTATGAATCACCATAGCAAGGCTATCTCTGTCCAGGAATAATTGCAGCTGGCAAACCAGCTGAAGCTCCTTCAAAGGCACTCTGAGCCACCCAAGACATTTGGTGCTTGAGTGACAATGCTGGATCTTCCAAAACTATGTACCTGTGCTCTTTTGGGGGAAGTACAACCCCATGGGGAACTGTTTGAACACCCATTTCAGTCCCACACGAGAACTACCAGCTCACCGTGCCTCTGACTTGTCAGGATTTCACTTCAGTGCACTGGCAGTCATCCAAGCGGGCAGTTGTTCTGCGAAGAAAAATTATGAGGGTTTTTGTTTGGTTTCAGAGATCAAAATGTAGGCAGGCTGACATGGAAGCTAATCACTCATTTAGTTTACATTCCTCAGTGGGGCAAGTGTTAGGGAGGGGGACATGGAATGAAATGCTTTATCAAGGGAAATACTTCACCCAGCATGCCATCCATTTTATGGAATTCAGTACATCAAGGGGAATAATAAAAACTCTGGACATTTTGGGTTATAAGCTGAAGTCGGGTGACTTTATGACTGATTACCACATTTTTAGATATATAAAAATTGGGGTTCCTTTACTTACTTTAGGGCATGTACAGAACACCTTGTAATAAGGAAGGTTTGAATGTTGCACTAAGTGAACCAGGCATAGGCAAACTTGGCCCTCCAGATGTTTTTCAGACTACAACTCCCATCATCCCTAGCTAACAGGACCAGTGTTCAGGGATGATGGGAGTTGTAGTCCCAAAACATATGAAGGGCCGAGTTTGCCTGTGCCTGAAGTGAACCAAGTCCTTCCTTGTAGCCCTCCTTTCCAATTTATTCCTAAAGGGAAATCGATTTCTTCCCCACTCAAAGGCAATGCATTTCCCCTCTACTGGGTTTTCCGGAGTCTTTAATAGTGGCAACACGGGTAGAAATTCAACTGGTAAAGATTTTGGTCACAACACCTCTTTATTCATGGGAAAGTATCATGTGCTGAAATTCTGCCTGTCATGCAACTGCTAAAGGACAAGTGTTCTGTCAGAAAATTAAGTGAAAGTTTCAAGCTACTGTGGTCTATTGTCAGCTTTCAGCTTTGAAGCCATAAGACATCATTTTAGAATCTCTGTATGTCACCAGTTTCCTCAAAGGTACAACCATTTGGTTCGAAGTGATGTCCATGCTCCTTCTTTGAATCTAGGACAGCAGCTGTCATGAGTCTCCAGTTTTTGCACCCCCTATGGACCTGGGATAGCTCAGCCGGTAGAGCATGGGGTGCTTAATCTCAGGGTCCTGGGTTCAAGCCCCACATTGGGCAAAAGATTCCTGCATTGCAGGGGGTTGGACCAGATGACCCTTGCGGTCCCTTCCAACTCTATGAAATGCTGGACTCCAGTTCCCATAAGTCTCAGCACATAGGGCCAATAGTCAGGGGTGAAAGAAACTAGTCCAGCAACATCTGGAGGGATGCTGGTTCCCCAACCCTGCCCTAAGTCCCTGCAAGAGGCCTGTGTGATATTTCAATCATGGCTGCAGTCCTGTACTCAGGCACCCTAAATGTCACTGAAGGTAATGAGAGTTAAATGGTCTTTCTGTGTGTAGAATTCTATTCTTATTGTTATTATATTATTTACACTGATATCTCACAATTTTCTCCAAGGAACTCAATATGGTGTGCATTGTTCTCCCCCTCTTCATTTCATCTCCACAAAAAACACTTTGTTAGGTTAGGCTGAGAGGCAGTGGCTTCACCAAAGATCACCCAGTGAGCTTCATGGCTGAGCGGTGATTTGAACTCTAGTCTCCCAGGTCCAACACTCTAACCACTACACAGCACTGGCTTGTAGACCAGATCTCTACTGAAACATTCGATTTAAAAAACAACAACTATTGGTACATAAACCTTGCTTATGTGTGACTGGACCTAAAAGCTCTTCTGCCTTCATAGCAATGCTTGGATGGATATCAGGTTCCCCTCCCCCCAAGGAACTAATGTCCCTTCTGAAACTTAGGTAACTAACTTTCTGCATGACAAAAGTGCTATACTGTATAGGAGACCCACAAGTACATAGACATACTCTCGAGTACATCACAGAGCTTCCTACATTTGATCAAAGATGGGCTTTTTTTCCTGATGTCTGAAATATTAACATGCTAGTCTGCTCCTTAGTTACTGTTCTATTTGTGCCTGTTGCAGCATAATATTGAGCGCTGGCAAAGAATGTGCAGCTGAACGCCAAACAAAATAGTTGAGATTGGCATAAAAAACAAGACTTCTTACTGCATGTTTTGTCCTGACCTCCCCCACCCTTCTCCTGAGAACCAGTTTTTTTCCTTTTGTGTAAAAGTGGGGGGGGGGGGCAACAGAGTGAACAGAGAGGGGAGGATTTGCCTTTCGGCTTGTCCCATGTTTGTAGATTGATGTTCACTCCAGCATAGTGCAGGTGCGGGGAAAGTACACAGCCTCCAAACAATTTTGTTTTGTTTTTAATGTGCAAAATAGAGGGGCAGTGTTGTGGCTTGCTTTCTGTATTTTGTTTTTGCTTAAATGGGACAGGCTGGTTGCTTCGGTGATAATTGTGTGGAAAAATAAAAGCACATCCTTTTAAAAGCGGCATAATTCACTGGGAGGTTCTCCTGCACATGCCCCATTGAAATCAATAACAGCTGTGCAGGAACCTTCTCTTGCCCATGTCAGTAGGGAAGCCGTTTCTCTCTGGTTAGAATTTTGCTTGCACTAATGCTACAAGAGCAGATGAAGCTCCCGTTCAATGCCCTGTGCTAATATGCATCGTTAACATTTTCTACTAACAGAGCCCCATTGCTTAGATGGACTTGGAATCCCTTATCTGCTTTTGTGGAATGCAAAAACATATGAAAACCTAAGCACACACAACAGAGCACAATGCCTGTTTGGATCCGTTCCTCCACAGAGATTTATGGACCTCTCATCTTTTAAAAAACCTTTTTGGAACAAACTGGCTGGATGTGTTGAAAACACATGTGGATGGGGGCAAATTCAACTGGATACAATTTCATTATCCAGAAATAAATATTAAGAATGTAAGAGGAGGCCTGCTGAATGAATCAGACCGCAAGACTATCTAGTCCAGCTTGCTGCCTCCACAATAGCCAAGTAGAAGGCTTTGTGGAAGCCACAAGCAGGACATGAGTGTAACAACAGTACTCTCTTCACCTGTGATTATCAGTATGCTGCCTCTGAATCTGGAGAGTCCGTATAACTGTAGGAGGTGTCTGGACTGGGGACCATAAGTTATGAAATAAAGGTGATTTTCCTTGAACTTTATTTGTCTGTTGTTTATCAGAATACCCCTGCTTACTTCATAACTAGTGCCTGATAGACTTACTACGTGTTAAAGCAACATAACCAAGTGGTCGTTGCCACCCTATTCTGGCAGCAAATTCCATCAATGAATTATGGGTGTGAAAGAGTACTTTCCTCTAATCAAGTGAAATTCCAGATGAAATGAAGGTTTGTTTAAAGGCACTCTTTGCTAAATGTTACATTCCTTAGGACTCTTTCACTTTTAGAAAAGGAAAAAAGTATAGAATTGTATTAAAAACATATACAATTATTTTGGGCTTGGGAAACATGAACTGAAATCTGGAAAATTTGCCCCTATCAGTAACTACTTTTCTAAAACAATTTTACTGAGCTGTTACCTAAGGGAACAAGTATTGGGAGTGGGTTGCAGCAATTAAAGCCCAGAAGGCTAAACAGTTGTTTAGTGGAAGCAGGCAGAGAAAAATATGTATATGCATCTACAATTCTACATAGTGGCAGTGGTTAAGTTAAGAAGAAAGAAGGGTTGGTTTAGTTAGTTGGTTTGCTTGCCTCTCTCCCTTCTCATGGGGCTGGCTGCATGCCTTCAGGCCATGCCATCACAGAGAGAATTGACTTATTTTACACAGTTTGTGGATGAACTGTTATTAGCAGAACCAGTAGAGTGGGCTGCAGGATAGCTGAATATGAAAAAGGACTAGATAAATTCAAATAGAAGGATGAATAGCTATTAGAAAGTTATAAAGATCCATCCTAGTGCATGAACGTTATGAGATATTCATAGCTGCTGCTGCACGCTTTTCTATCTCTTCTTCTAAACCTCTGTTATAGGCATGGCCAAACTTGGCCCTCCCGCTGGTTTGGGACTACAATTCCCATCATCCCTGAGCACTGGTCCTGTTAGCTAGGGATGATGGGAGTTGTAGTCTCAAAACAGCTGTGGGCCAGGTTTGGCCAGGCCTGCTCTATTACAACATACCTGCACTGTACCGCTCCCACCCTTCCACCTCATATCATTGGCTGGGAGGGCAGGCACAGGGTGATGATGTCATATCACGAGTTGTATAGTTGTTAGCTTTGCAGACTGAGGACCCGCCTTTAGCTCAGATATGCATCTGGGGACCCACTTCCTATTTTCTTGCTGTGTATTTGTATGGTTGTCGTGCTGCTGCCATCACCCACCTTAGGTCATTCTGTCATCCAGTAGCAGATCCCAACCCACCTGCTGTTATAGTGGACTTGTAAGGGCAGAGGACAAATAAAGGCAGAAAATCAGGAAGCTGAGGACCTTATGGCATTTCTGTAGTGATTTGGTGAATTCCTTTTAGCTCCACCTTGAAATTTCTCAAATACCATGTGCAGCTTTTAGCTACATTTCTGCTTCCCTTCTTAGCCTCTTGTTTACTTAAGTGCCCCAACTGAAAGCTTTGCATAAAGTTCCTCATGTATCCAGATACATTCGTGGTCAAAAAGTCAGATCCAAATGGAATATTTATGAAATCCAGTAGGGCTGTTAGCACATGTCTGAAAAACTGGCAGAAATTCATAGTATTGTATGATGAAAGTTTTGCTGGATAAAGGGCGATGAGGAATGTTTTTCTGTCATTCATGTGGTGGACAGATGAGCAGTGAATTCACTACGGCAATTATACTAACCAAAACACAGTTGGTAAGGGCATAGCTCTTGTTTCATGCCATTCCCTTACCTCTGAAACATTGATCTTAAAAAGTAAACTTTGCAACAGGGACAAAACATCCTGGAACATGGAGGAATCTGGAGATCAGATACTGCAATTGCTACTGAAGCCATTAGTTGTGCAAGCTCAGTTTCACAAGAATAGGGAATCAGAGGATCCCAAAGCAGTACATAGCAACATAGGAAGCTGCCTTATATTGAGTCAGACCAGGGTTTCCCAAACCTGGGCCTTGAGCTGTTGTTGGACTACAATTCCCATCAGTCCTTAGCTAGAAGGACCAGTGGTCAGGAATGATGGGAATTGTAGTCCAAAAACAGCTGGAGACCCAAGTTTGGGAAACTCTGAATCAGACCATCTACCTCAGCATTGTCTATATCACTGGCAGATGCTCTCCAAGGTTACAGGCAGGAGACTATTCTTTCTCTGCCTGGAGATGGCAGATATTGAACCTGGGACCCTCTGCAATGCAAACCATGTGCTCTACCACTGACCATGGACCACACATGGAATTATTTTACATTTGTTTACTCTCACTTCATTTTGGCATTTATAGCACCAATCCATCGAAGGAACCAATTTCTTTTTAATCTTTCTGCATTCGGTGCCTTTATTTGTTCTTCCTCTAGATTTACTATTGGCAGAACTGATAGCTTGCAACTCTGTAATGGGTTTATATATTTACAAAAGCTTTATTTTTAATTTAATGTTGTTGTTTTTTGAGAATACAAATACCAAACAACATTTGGTTTAAGAAATAACGCACAACGAAGTGGTGCACAAAGAGCATTCTCAATACAAACACAGTGTCACATACCAAAACTCAAATGTAACACGGTTGCAGGTACCGGCATCCCTGGGAAGCCAGCCGAGCTGTTGGGAAAGGGGCAAGCGTTTATAATGAAAAGAAACAAAGTCAAAGCGAAGTTACTACCTTTTGATATGCCTCCCACAACCCTTCAGTGTTGAGTCAGTCGTTCTGACAGTCCCAATTTTATTCATCCAACTATTTCAACAGGGCAGGACTGGGACTTTCCAATGGTTCGCTATTTCTGTGCATAGAGCTGCTAACAACAAGGCAATCATATTTTTTATGCATTACCCCCCCAAATTCCTTTGGGGAAAGAAAAAATGATGGATTAACTACTAAATGTTAACCTGTTGACCCTAGACCTTATTCTAGGGTCAAATATGGTTAAAATCAGCTTATACTCATTGGTTACTATGGGTTGTGAAATACGGTAATTTTTTTGTATTTTTTTTTGCTGCTAGTAAGCCAGTAACCATATTACTAAGTCAAACTCAGAAAAGACCCATTGAAACCAATGATCATTACTACGGTAATTTAAGTCCATTGGTTTTAATGAGTATGATTAGTCAGATATAGAAATAATCCACATTCTAACCTGCATTAGTTTTGTTCATTAACTACTAATAAATGTGCAAGGCCCATACAGGAGTGTGGCGCTAGGTTTCAAGACCAATGAGCATAGCCTTACGGAATTTTGAAACTTGTGCTTTGCCTTGATTCTGAAGGCTGCAAAAGACTGCATTTTTTTCTGGAAGCTGTATGCAGCCCTCTTTGCAACAGCACTCCACTGTTGTTTGTTAAGGAGGACAAAGTCTAGGGATGTCCTTGGCCTTATGGGTTAAATGAGTAACAGTTCAATGCCTTGTTTTTGCAATGTTCTACTTTACCCAGGAACTATACATATTTCTTGAAATTATGAGTAAAGCAGATCATTGCAGAAGGGGGGGGAGGGGGCTTATAATGTCCGGCATATACTCAAGGGTAGCAAACACAAGTATCTTACTGCCTTTTAGGCAGTCAGCCCCACTGGCTTTAGTGCTGCTTATTCCCAGGGTAGGTGTGTGCTTCGGATTGCAAACCAAAGCAACTTGCTTGAAAGCATTTCCCACTAAAATCCATTGGAGGTTACTTCCACTTAATTGGCTGGACCCAGACTTAGTCATGTTTAGAGTAAAACCATTGAAATCAGTAGAAATTCAGGTAGTTGTGGCTAACCCAATTCCCATGGATTTCAGTGGGTCTGCTCAAAGCATGATATGTCTAAAACTTTAAAATTTCAGAATTCTGGAAGATGCACGGGGAGTTGCTGACCAAATACAAACCCACCCACAATCTCACGCTCACTATGGCTCCAATAGCAGAAACACTTACTGCTATTTTAAGGTATTTTAAAGCATCATGTATAATAATTAATAGTAATATATGATAGTATTTCATAGGTCCACAAATGTTTTAGACTTTAGAGTACCTTAATCCTGATGCTCAGCTCTTTAATGCATTTCCTGGTGTTTTTTTTAAGGTACCGTTGCTCAGTCCGTGCTCCTGCCAACCTAGCAGTTCGAAAGCATGTCAAAGTGCAAGTAGATAAATAGGTACCATTACCTCTCCGGCGGGAAGGTAAACGGCGTTTCCGTGCTCTGCTCTGGTTCGCCAGAAGCGGCTTAGTCATGCTGGCCACATGAACTGGAAGCTGTATGCCGGCTCCCTCGGCCAATAAAGCGAGATGAGCGCCGCAACCCCAGAGTCAGCCACGACTGGACCTAATGATCAGGGGTCCCTTTACCTTTACCGTATTTTAAAGCACTCTGTATAATGATACCACATGCCATTTGATAGATCCTACAGTGCCATAGAATGTCTTTACTTTTTCAGCTGGAAATAACCTACCGTACTGTTCAGCCCTCAGATGCCTTTCTGACTCTTCTAAAGCTTATGAGAGCATGTGTTTCCAGTAGCTCTTGGCTAAAGAGAAGCAAGTTTTCAAAAAGGCTTGTTTCAAGCAAGACTAACTGTTGAGCAATCCTCACCCATCCATCCTCCAGCGATGCGTGACCAGCATAGCCAACAAATGCTGATGTAATAGCCCCCAAAGTACAAACACTCTCTTTTATTGTTGTTAAACAGGCCCACTATTCACTGCTTAGGTGGTCAGCTTGTTCCAACCTTTGACCTTTTACCAAAGACCCATTCCATTCAACTCACACTTTCCCCCTGCATGCCTTTGCCCTCTGTCACTGACTTCTGCATTTCGGATTGCTGTATGGGGCTAGTATTTCATGGGCATCTCAGATAAACTGGGCTTACAGATGAACTACTGTGTGCTTAAGATATGGCTGGATGCAAGCAATCATCTGGCTGACAAGAGGGCCCAGCTGCAGCTGAACTCTTGAGAAGGGAAACGAGTGCCTTTAATTAAAGCTCACCTAGTGGAGCATATTGCTTAGCCACAGCATGAAAAGAAAATGAACGAGTGAGAAATACGTTAGAAGCAGACTGAAAGCAATAGGAAAAAGATTTGAGCAAATGGTGGGTTTTGTCTTCGTCCGCAAGTTAGTTTTAAATTCTGCTGAGAAGTTAAACCAAATTGTTGTCTGATGCAGCAAAGCTGAAGGGTGTAAAGATTCCCCTCATGTCTCTACCAATGCTCAGGGTGAAGAATTGCAGATTCTTGAGAAAAGACCAGGATCTTAAAAGGTATGTGTTGGTCATGGTTCAGCTTTAAGTGGAGGGAGCAAAGGCCAAAGAAGACCTACCAAAGCAACCTTACATGCGTTAAAATTAGGTGTTACGTACCACAGGCATTGGTGCACCCACAGCAGGGTTAGCCAATCATACCCTAAGTAATCCATATGTTATTGAACCCCAACTCCCACTTTCCCAGATTTTTACTGGCTGCCAGTTGCTACCTTTGGTCAGGCAAAATAGGGGCCTGGCGGGGGGGCTAAAAATTACTTTACCTAGTGCAGAAATTACTTCAGAGCAACCCACTGCAATGGCACACGGGGTTTACAGTGGTTTCTTCAATAAAAAAAGAACAAAAGCACTATGATTTACAACTGTAAGAAAAATATTGCACATTGCATATATAGCTGGGACTCGCTCTCCAAGTCCGACCAACCCCTACCCCCTCTGCCCACGCAAAAGCTCTACCACACCACACCCTGACAAAGGCCCCTGCAAGCCACCTCTTGCTCTCCGACCTATCGGCCACCCCCCTGCCTGCGGAAAACCTGAGACTCCACTATAGCAGGCCCATGCACTGCAAACTCCCTCACTCTCCGTGACCCACCCTCTGCCTGCAGTTTTGAGGAGGAAGAGGAGCTTGAATATGTGAAAAAAGGCATCCCATTTGAAGTCCAAACAGGGCATGGGACAGTTTTCTCCAAAAAAGGACGTTCACGTTTTTCTAGGGACGGGTAGCAACCCTAGCTGGGACTGCTGAGAGTTTGAGTCGAACACATCTGGAGAATACCCAGTCCTAGGGAAACGTTATAGATGCTCTGCTGGTCTGTCAGCTGTGAATCAAAATATGGCACAATGGGTTGTTCAAAGTGTGTCATGTCATAAGGAATAGACATGCCATACTTTAATGCTATATAATGTGGTGGTGCTTTGTTTCTGTAGATAACATACATTCAAATGCACATACAGTATTGTACTGTATTTGCTGTTTTGCTTGAACAGATGTCCAGGCTAGCTAGCTTCCCATGTGCCAGCATTACTATGAAGCCTGGCAACCCATGAAGGGTTCAGCTACTGTGTCGAAGTACATTTCTGGCAGCACCCATATCATTTCCTGGATTATCTTCCTACCCCAACCCATGCCACCCCTGCAAATACACATGTTGAGTCATTTCTGGCATGGCAGCAGTAAGAAAACAGAAGCCATCAGACCTGAGGGGAGGGCTACAGCTCTGTGGCAGAGCATCTGCCTTGCATGCAGAACGCCCCACATTCAATCTGTGGCATCTCCGAGTAGGGCTGGTTGGGACTTGCTGCCTGAAACACCCAGAGAGCTGCTGCCAATCAATGTAAGGTAAAGGACGGTTAAGTCCAGTCAAAGGCGACTATGGGATTGTGGCGCTCATCTCGCTTCCAGGCCGAGGGAGCCGGCGTTTGTCCGCAGACAGCTTTCTGGGTCATGTGGCTATGACTAAACTGCTTCTGGCGCAACGGGACACCATGACGAGTGCCAGGAAACGCTGTTTACAGTAGACAATACTGAACTAAGGTAAAGGTAAAGGGACCCCTGACCTTTAGGTCCAGTTGTGACAGACTCTGGGGTTGCGGCGCTCATCTCGCTTTATTGGCCGAGGTCAGCTTCCGGGTCATGTGGCCAGCATGACTAGGCCGCTTCTGGCAAACCAGAGCAGCGCACGAAAACGCCGTTTACCTTCCCGCCGGAGCGGTACCTATTTATCTGCTTGCACTTTGACATGCTTTCGAACTGCTAGGTTGGCAGGAGCAGGGACCGAGCAATGGGAGCTCGCCCCGTCACGGGCATTCGAACCACCGAGCTTCTGATCGGCAAGTCCTAGGCTCTGTGGTTTAACCCACAGCGCCACCCACGTCCCATAATACTGAACTAGGCAGTCCTAATGGCGAGACTCAGTACAGTATAGGCCATGCAGCTTCATTCTTACGTACATCAGGCCCTCCTATTAGGCAGTGAAGCAAGCCACCTCAGGCAGCCAATTCTGTGTGTCCTGTCCTGCAGAGGCAGGAAAGTCAACCCTTATCAACCCTTGCACGATAGTTATCGACATGTATGTATGTATGTGCCAGAAAATGGGGACCCCCCCTGGTCAAATGGAGCCAATGGAGCGCGTGGTGGCTTTTTTTCCTTTTCTTCCTCCCTCCACCTCCTAGCAAGAAGGGGAAATTTGAACACAGGACCAGCCGGGCGTTCGCGCTCACACGTGGCTGGGGCCGAGCGAGGCCCCCTCTCCCTCCCCTCCCGAAAAAGCCCCTCACGCCTTCGTCGCCGGTACCTGCTGCCTGATTAGCATAAGCCACGCCCCCGGGCGCGCTTAGCCGCCCAATGGGAGGCGACGCTTGGAGAGCGGGGCGGAGGAGGAGGGCACATGCGAGAGCTACGGCGCGGGGCGGGGCCTTGGGAGCGGTTGTGTTGTGCGGGTGGCGGCGTTGGCCAGTCTAGCAGCGAGCAGCGTGTGTGAGCGAGCGAGCAGAAGAGACAGAGTTCAGCAGGCGGAGGGGATGCGGCGGCCGCTGCTGATGCCGCCGCTCCTCCTCCTCCTCCTCGCGCCCGGGGATTCGGAGCCGCCGGCAGCGACCAGGCGACGCCTCTGAGAGCTGCCTTCGCGTCTCCCCCCGCCCGACAACCCCCCCCACCACCTCAGCTTTTCCTCTCAAGTTTGCCGGGTAAGGAGGACGGGCGGTTTCGGCTGAGGGGGAGCGCGCGACGGGGATTGGGTCGGCTGCCAGCGTCTGTCAGTTCTCCCTCCCTCCCCTTCCCCTGAGGGGTGTGTGTGTGTGTTTTATTTTTCTCCTCAGGGCGCTAGGTCCCCACATGCAGTGAGGCAGGAGAGAGAGAGGGAGACTCGTATGAGGGGTGAGGAGAGGAGGTTTTTCACGCCGCCGCTTCTTTTCTCCCCCTTCCCAAACTCTCCAGTCAGGTTCCGAGTTCGCTTTTCTGGGGGTTTGTGTTACACACACACAGACACCCCGCCACACCACACCCCGCTCTTGACAATTTCCTTTTTCTCTCCCCGCCCTCGTTTCGGGTGCGTGTTTCCACACCAGCCAGTACCTCACCCCTCAAATCTCTGCCCTTCCCCTCCCCCCCATCCGCCCTATTTTACACCACGTAGTTTTCTCAGTTACTATTTAGTTACAGCCAGCCCCGCTCACTCTCTCTTTCACTCCCCCCCCTCCGCGCCCCGTGTGTGTTTTGTAGCCGGAGCGTCTCCTCCTTTCGATTGTATTTAAATCCTGGGCATGGACAGCAGGAGGAGGAGGTGGACGTGCGATTTGGCAGCTGTGGCTGCTCAGGCATGGGCCGGTGAAAGGGGGCCCTGGATTGCCTTTTGCAGCTGGGAGGAGCGGTGCGCAAGGGGGGGCGGGAGGGAGAGTGAGAGGTTGCGGTCGCGCGCGCGCGCACCCCCACCCGCGCCTGGCCAGGAATGCCAGATATTCCTTTGAAAGGGGTGGAGGAGCTCGGGCGCCTCCCTTGCTAAAAACGGGTGGGTTTATATATATGTTTCCAACTGCTCATACAATATTCTTGTCAACAATTATTCAGTTTAGTTTTTCTCCCCCTTTCTATTGGCTGTAACTTGCCTTGCCCTGATGAGGGAAACTTTTGCTGCTGCTTCCCGTCCTCTTCCCACCCCCCATCTGTCCACTAGTAACTCTGGGCATGGTTATGGGAACTGGGCAGCCGTATTGTATGCATTTGGTTTGGAGTCGGACCACTGTAGCCTGCAGGGCTGATTTATGCATGAACATGCATAGAGGGTTGACCCCAATAATAATTTAGGGACCTTATAGGTTGTTGGGGGAATGTAGGGACTTGCTTTCCTTCTTTCGGTGCAATTAAATATATATTGTCAAGAGTGAAGCTGTGCTCTTCTCTGATAAAGTATAAGGGAGTAATTCAAGAGTATATGTATTTAATCTTAAAACATCTAGATGAAAGTTTTACGGAAAATCCATATCTCAAAATAATATATGATGTAATAGTTGCAAGTAAGTCCTGAAAGCCTAGCTGTTCATGGAAATGTTATTTAATATGCAGTGTGCATTTGACACCATAAGATTCTAAAACAAGTGCATATATTCAAAACTAAATAGTTGAATAGTTGTCATCTTTTTAAGTGTTTGGGGTGAGAGTGAGCTCCAGATAACAAGCGTGTGATGAAGCATTTTAAATGCTTTAAGATGAGAATGATCCTTAATGCAGCTTGTCAGGGCTCCAAAATACAAAACCACAAGAGTTCTCTGTGTATAGCAAGTTCTGCTTGTCACACTACTAGTCATTATGTTTTAAGAGAAGGAAATGGTTAAGTGGAAGGGTAAGATTGCAGAACAACTCTGCATATGGCAATTTTGGAAGGTTGCACAAAGCTTTTGCATAACAGTTTAAAGGGAACTTCTCCTAGTATGATCTTCTTTCCATAGGGTTCAGTGAACCAGGTTACATTGTTGACATGGTTGGTTTTCATAATTTGTGACCGCTTCTCAGTGTGTATTACCATGTAGTATCATGCATGTTGCTTTAAAACGAAGACTAAGTAGTTGCAGGTATGTTTATATGAAATGCTTAGTGGAAGTGGTCAGTTATCTGGCTTGGTCCTGCTTAAAACTATTGACTGTAAAAGGTCTGGAATTCAGATTTAATCCTAATTTCTTGTTTAATTATTTATCCAGTAAATTAATGAAAGTCATTTGTGAACCCAAACTGATAGGTGTTTTTCAGCCAAATCACAGTTTCAAGTATTGCTTGCTTTGTAAAGCTGTGGGAGACGCATAGATTACAGCAAAAGAGTTTGATCAAGTTAATGTGTTTTATAATCGGCTATTGACAAACCAAATCATCTCTTCAAAAAGCAACTAAGATTTATAAATCACTTTATATTTCAAAAATAGAAAGTTGCTTTTAAAAGCAGTAGTATTTCATCTTGCATTTTTAACAGTATCTATTTAGGTGTTCTGGGGAGAAAATTGGACTTAATTGATTGTGACATAGAAATTGATTAATTGAAACTTGTGTAAATGAAGTCCTCAGAGGTTTGGCTTAAAGATTCAAATATTACAATTTTCTATGGGAAATACACAATTTCTTATTACTATAACTCCTTCACATTATTACCATTTTAATATTGAAATTGTAATGAGAATACGTTACCCATATCGTGTACCTGCTAAAACTTCCACTTTGGCCAGTGCTCATGCTTCCATGAAACATGCAATCATTGCTCTCTGCAGTTTTTCTATAGCATATATAGGGTGTGGAAACAGAGGATTTGCCTTATATATCAACTTTTTTCACAGATGCAAAATGTGAATCTGTAGTGCATACATCTTAGAATTGTAGCAGGTGAAGTAACCTAACTTGTTTTGGTGGTGAAATGCATTGAAATGTGTATTTCAGTACTAAAGATGCAGGATTTAAAAAAAAAAATATACACACACACCTTTAATTCTAGTGATACTGTGCTCCCTATATCTTTGAAAAGTTTTGAAATCAAGTTCCTTTGTGCTTTGGTATACAGCTTCAAATCTGGAAATGGCTTGATAAGAGTAGCACATTTTAAGATAATGCAGTGTGGAATATATTTTCAAATACATACTACTGCTACTACTAATATACTTTAGTAATTTTAAGAGTTTATATGTGGGCTGTGTATGTTGAGTATGTGGGATTGTCTTAATAGAATAACATTTTTAATATGAAAAAGGTATATTCAACAACTTAGCATTTAAATAATGTTGTATTCCTGTTCTCTTTTCAACTGACTAATATTTGTTTTTGTTTTTTCTTCCCTCAGGACACTATTTTGCTTGGCAGATGGACCATAAGCAACACTGAATGTTAACTCTGGAAATTTCATAAGCATTGCAGTGGCTGGGATGTTGCGACAGAACGGTGGTGGCAACAAGCGTGGTTTAGGATTAACCAAACTGTCTACCTCCAATTTCTTCACCGTCTCTAATTCAGGAACCTGGGGGATGGGGCGCAGCACCAAGAGCAGTTCTTTGAGCAGCATTAGCTCCAACTCGGACTGCTATGACAGCACTGTTGTGGACCCAGAGTACATCATGCAACTGGTGAATGATGTCAGGAAATTTGCAGATGTTCTACTTTATTTGAAAGAAGCCATTCTTTCAGAAGGTGTGTCAGCTGCTTCTCAATAACTCCCAATAGTTTGAAATGTATTTTTGTAGCTAATTTCTTACTTGCTAGCATATGAGCAAAGAAATGTTTAGAAGGAACAGTGGCTGTCTTCTCTTGAGTATATTTTGCGGTATACAGGAAGTTGTGGTTTTTACTTTGCTAACTTCCTCTGTGAAACATTGAGCAAGTTGTTTTGTAAATGGGCACGTCATAAACAAAATTAAACTTCCCTTTTTTAAAAAAATACCTTTAAAAATTGGCATCTGGTAGAAATGGAAAAATGTTTAGACTCACGACTTCTTTTGAGATAGATTTTTTTTTTCTTGAGGGGGTAGTGGCACCATCGTTTGTTAAGCAGTGGCGAAAAGACTGGTGGCAGTGTTGTAGCTTTGGATTTCCTGATTAAGCAGCAGAGGTTTGGACTAGATGGCTTGCAAAGCCCCATTGAATTCTTAGGATTCTGTTTCATACCTCTGAGCTAAATTATGCCAATCTTCCCATTGTTTTGGTGGATAGAGAAAGATACTTCCATTCTTCTTTGAATTCTGATGTAAATGGGTAAGAAGCAAGCTGATTATACTTGCTCTACTGGTGATGTACAGTAGTATGATTAAGACTAGGGAAGGGGAAACTCTTTTCATCCGTAGATTCACATTTCCTTTTGGTCAGCTTTCTTGGGCCCATTTCTATTGATAGGTGGAGCAAGAGGCAAAAATGAGTGAAGCAATACCGTTGAACAATTTGCTAGTTTCTTCACACCCGCACATCCCCCTCCATCTAAGCAAGCAAGAAACATTATTGGAGTTCTATGAACACATTCCAGCCCTGTAAAAACACCAAATGAGGGTGCAAAACAGGGCTGGGGAGGGGTGTGTGACCTGGCAAAAGTTCTGAGGGCTCGACAGAGGGGCCTGGAAGGCTGTGTTTGGTTGCTGGGCCTGAAGTTTCCCATCCCTGATTTAGAAGGTCTGATTTTATACTGATTTAGTTTGTGGGTAACTAGCTAAACATCTCTTACGTTCCTGTTTGAGCTGAAATTGAATATCAGTTTTTCTTACAAAATACATTTAAAATAAATTCATAGCCTATTTCAGGAGAATGCTTAAACAGTTGCTCTGTAAAATGAGTGAAGTAGGTCAGAGTAGCGCTTACTTGAAATAAGGAAAAAAACCCAACAGAAATAAATATAACTTATAATATTGCAGATGTTGAAACTTTCAAGTGGGGATACTGTTTCTTCATTGTATCCTCTGCGGAGTAAGAACTGAATCCTTCAGACAAGTAGTTTTCAGTATTAATGGAACATAATATTCATAATATAGGTAAATAAGAAGCTGGTACCAGCTAACCTGGCATGAATTCCTTTCTACGAATATTTTCTTTCTTTCTTTCTTTCTTTCTTTCTTTCTTTGTAGTAGATTCAAAGCGAGCATTGTGCTTTATAGACCTGTACCTTAGCAGAATAAATTTCTGAGAAGATCTGCCAAATGCCCAGTGAGATTGCTTTTGAGCAACAATGATACATTTTCCTCACTTCTTATGCTGCTGTCAACAAATCAACAAGAAGTGTGCCCTTATTCTTTTGTTTGAATTCAAAAGTCCCACTTTCTTGCCAATGTATTATAGCAGCTTTGCCTCATCCAACTGAATTAAGTATATTTATCCTTCTGCTTTTAAAATCAGAACTTTTCTAAGCTTTACATCTTAAAGGAACACAAAGCCATCATACCTAGACATGGGCTTTGTTGCAGAATCAGCAAACAACACTATCCCATTGTGTCGAGAGCAAGATCTAGATTGTTAGGCATCAGTGAGATCTAAACAATACACTATGAGTATGAAACTTGTTTCTGTGCATTAAGACTTATTTCCTAACAGTCCCCCCCCCCCCCCGCTTTTTTAGGATGTCTGAGATTCTGTTAATCAGCATACAGTTCTCCATTTAGGAGACTTCTGTGCTTTAGGGGAAATAGTGCTGTCAAAAGGAATTCTCTGTGTTGTATCCTAAAGCAGCATTTATACCCATAACCTAGTCTTGACATACGAGTCATGGTACTAAAATGTAAACACAGAAGATTTGTAGCCTCCAAGAAAATTTAAGTGTGAAAATGCATGCTCCTGTGCTTGAAGGTTTTTAACTGCAAGTTTGTGTCTCTGCCTTCATTTATGTGAAGGGCAGCTTTGGTTGTGAGCCCTACTTGTACATGCCTGTGCAGTGCCAACAGATAAATATTCCAAAATACATTGAATTTCCTGCTTGGTCCAGTAATGGTGTGAATTTGGTTGTAGAATAAGGTGTGAAATTATTTGGATTGGAGATACTGAAATGGGGGGCTGCAATTCAAAGTGAGGGTTGCTGAATGTCTTGCTTACTTCATATTTTTGCCCCATTCCTTTGCATAACTTCCATAGACAGAAGAAGGTGATGTGGAAGTAGTGATAAATTCTGCTGGCCATTGCCTCTGAACTCATAATGTTGATGTTTGGCCTCAAATAAAGAATGCAGCCTGTGCATTCTCTTGAGTTTGGCTCTGGCAGATCAGTACAAATGATAGCTAGGCATTACTTAGTGAACATGGACCAAATTTTCCTAGTCACCCAAACCTTTTAGCTGTATGGCTTTTGATTTTGATGAAGTTTGAGGATTTGGTGGGAGTTCCATTCTTTCAGTAAGTACAAGTTGTCACTACTACTGCCTAATTGCCATCCTTGGTTGTGTATGTTCACACAGGCTATAGATAGGCAGAATAGGATTCCGACTCAGTTGCTTTGATATGGGTGTGTTGTGGATCATGTTGTGGATAGTGAAAGTGAAGAATACTTTGGAGGGTGGTGTGTGTTGCCATAGACTTTACAGCCTTGCTGTTTTGTGATGTAAAATTGAGCATATGTGGTGGTCATATTTAACACATACTCCATAAGGTATGATTTTGAATAACGTTGTTTGGCTTGGTGATCTATATTGTAGAGGCATGGAATTGTTTGAAACCCCAATCACTGCTTTTTCCACCATACTGATTAATGTCCAAATAGCTCAAAACCAGTTACTAATGTTGAAGTTGAAATTAATAGGTGGGCTTAATAATACAAACAAGGCAATGCCAATTTATGAATGGAAATGCCAGTTTATGAATGTGAATTCATAAATGACAGTATTCCCTTAAACTTGGAATAAAATACTCCTAAATTTGTTTTAGTTACATTTGTAACCGACCCTTCTGCCAGGAAGCTCAGAACAAGTTGTAGTTGGGTCAGGTAAAGTTGGAGCAGGATACAGTTACTCTACTTGATTAAAACCACCTTATGAACTTTATAGCTAAGCAGAGCTTTGCCCATATCCATGGCTAATATTCTGGTCAATTCATGTCACTGCTGCTAAATGTGAGGGCTCTTGAATAGATTGAGCCGTTTGAGAAAGGAAAGAATTGAGTAGTAGTAGAAGAACAGGGAGTTATTGTGCTTTTAACCATTAACCTTTAAAGATTTAATGGTTTTTAATTAAGCTTTTAATCTAGTGACATTTTCAGTTAAAACTTATATGCTGTTAGCATTTTAGTATGGAGCAGGTTAAAACTCTTAAAGTAATTACATTGAAAGTTCCTAAAATTTTAGCATCATCTTCAGAGCATGGGGTATGCAAGTAGATTCAATTAATTTATATGCTGATCAATATGTTTCTATCATGGTCATTTTGGCAGCATTGTGCATTTATTTGGTTAACTTAATATGCATCACTAAAAAAGGTAAAATCACTGATCACTCTGCTTCAATGTGAACTGGTACACAGCGCTAAACCAGGGTTTATTAAACTATGGTTTATCAAACCCTTATTTGTTTCTTAGTAAACAAACCAGAGTTAAGCTATCAAAAAAGCACAAACTGAAACAGTAGTTTGTTGGCTTATGAATCTTGGTTTGTTTTAATTATGGTTTTGCATAACATGAACATATAACCCTTCCTTAATAACCATGGTTTGTTTGGCCACCTGACACCCAGACACTCACCAAGGCTACAAAGGCACGTGGTAAGAGCTGCTTGGAAATAATTCAAATTTAAGAGAAACAAGCCATGGGTTTTTTTTTCATTTGCTGGAAAACTTATTGGATAAACTTGTGGTTTGTTCATGAAACCTTGGTTTGTGTTATGGTTTGTGTTATTTCCATTTAAAAAAGTACTCCTATTCTCCAGTGACTCTGTAGCCATGGCATTGGTGATATGACCTGAAACAACCGTGGCTCAGTGACAGAGCATCTGCTTTGCATGCAGAAGGACCTAGGTTCAATCTGCTGCATCACTAGGTATAGCTTGGAATGTCCCTAGTCTGAAACTATGGAGATCTGCTGGCAGTCAGCATAAACAAATCTGAACTCAGTGGATCAATAGCCTGATTCAGTATAAGACAGCTTCTAAGGATGAGGGGAAACCCCAGATTATCAAAATCTTTGAAGCTGTGTGGAACCTGACCTCAGGTTTTTTTTTGGGGGGGGTGTTGGCATAATTGGGCCACAATGAAGAATTAAAGCAAGGGAAAAGAAAGTCCTGATCTATAGGTCTATATGATCATTGTTGGAGGATTCCTGCTCCCATCCCTTCTCACTATGTGCTTTTAAACTATGTGCTTTTTAAGAGTTGTTTCCTCTAGGGTGTAGTGTATGCCTGTGAATTTCCTCCACAGAAGTACCAAGCATAGTATTGCCTCTCCAAGGGAATGTAATTACAAATAAATCAGCAAATTAACACTTTTCTCACAACCAATAATTATAAAACAATGAGGTAAAACTATGGCTTATCAAATAATATTTTATGTAATAGTCACAGACGTCTAGGTTATCAGTAAACCAGACACCCTCCAGTATCATCAGGACTTTTACATGGTATGGATTGGCTGCATGTCATTATAGGTGCTTCAGATATTATAATATCTGGAAAGCTCTCTTTAGGGTTTGATTATGCTGAGTAGGACACAGACACCGAATGACAGCTACTTAGAATTCCAATTTGAAAAACAGAGTGTTGTGCAATCTAGAGTTTAGTGAATATATAAAGCTCTGAACGATAGAATTGTAGAGTTGGAAAGGACCCTGAGAGTCATTTAGTCCAACCCCCTGCAATGCAGAAATCTAATCAAATCGTTGCTGGGTATGAAATTAATTCTGTGGCTCTTCTGATACATTGGGTGATTTTTATTGAGTAAGGACATGGTACCACTCCAAGATTAAAATTCACCTGACCATTGGACTGCTTGGTATTGTTGCATGTGCTTTCTGTATGTGTGGCTGGCTCTGTATAGCTACCATTATGTGCGTTATTAAATTTATTGAATGCTGCTAGGAGTGGATAAGGGACGTGGGTGGCGCTGTGGGTTAAACCACAAAGCCTAGGACTTGCCGATCAGAAGGTTGGCAGTTCGAATCCCCGTGACGGGGTGAGCTCCTGTTGTTTGGTCCCTGCTCCTGCCCACCTAGCAGTTCGAAAGCACGTCAAAGTGCAAGTAGATAAATAGGTACCGCTCTGGCGGGAAGGTAAACGGCGTTTCTGTGCGCTGCTCTGGTTCGCCAGAAGCAGCTTAGTCATGCTGGCCACATGACCCGGAAGCTGTACGCCGGCTCCCTCGGCCAATAAAGCGAGATGAGCGCGCAACCCCAGAGTCGGTCACGACTGGACCTAATGGTCAGGGGTCCCTTTACCTTTACTAGGAGTGGATAAAGTCATTTCTGCATGTGATTGAATTGCAAGAGGCAACCACAAGTTCCAATGACTCAGTGAAAATTGCTCCATTATGTATCCCATGAGTTCTGTTCTTCAGACCTTTTGATAACTAGTAAGTGAAGACTTCTGAATATTTCTTCAATTCCTGTAGCTCTCTTATGGTGCTTGAAGCTTTATTTCTGCCTGTCTGTGTCTTTAAGGTAACATGGGGCATCCCACACATGCTTCCTTGACAGAGGGAAACTCCAGGCCAAAGGAATTTTATTGATATATCCAGCACCTGCAAATATGGTTACAGTGGTAACCATAAACCTACGTTTGGTGATGAGAGAACATCTAAATATACTTTCTTATTGGATTAACATGTTGGAAAATAACTGTGAACAGTTCTGAGAGATTGATTATGCCTCTTTCGAAAAATACTATCAGGCTAGACTGAGATTCTGCAATAGTGTGGTGCGTACAAGGCTTGGCACAAATACCTGCACATCCTTCCCAGCAAGCCTCTGTAAAAACCCAGGCAAAATTACCTGGCAAAAGAACCTCACTGCAAGTGGAAAAAGAAACATGAGTGTCAAGCCATTGTGGCTACTAGAAAAAATGTTTGCCAGCAAACGTTTGGGGATCTCTGGTAGTAGGGGATTATTTGGGAATACATTTTAAATTGATGTAGATTTAGGTAAAAATATCAGTGTTAGCCTCAAGTGTTGAAGGCCTACATTCTCCGTAATCAGATAATTTCAAGAGTATATTGAATAATATAGCTATGTTTAAATGGTTCAGATTAAATCTATGTACTATCAAAATTACCTGCGAAATCCATGCAATAAATGATAGCTTAGAGTTCCAATTAACTTTTAAGTCTAACGATCTAGCTGACTTAAATTGTGACCACCTCCCCTTCCCCCAATCACATACTCTGCATTCCTTCTGAACAAATGTTCACTTGTTGCTATAGTGTCAAAGATCAACAGTTGGTAGGGGTATGTTTCATGAGCAAGTGTAGTTAAGCATTTAAACTCAACTCCTGTGGAACTTTTAATACATTTTTAACTTAAAATGTATTCTAGAATAGTATTATTAATGCAATAAACTTTGTTAGCAGTGTTTTGACTCATTCCTATTTTCAGTTTTAAAATACAGTAAATTTTACACCATTCCCTTTACTTTTTTCAAAAGATACATGAAAAAGCATTGAAAATTACTCTTATTCAAAATGCCATATTTTTAGCTTTCAGAATTTGTCAGAATTTTTTTAAAAATCTGAAACTAGTACACTCTGAGGCTTTTTAACAAAATGTGGCACTTGGGAGACTTCTGTAATTTAGTAAAACAATTTCCTTAGGAATATTACATTCCTGTATGTATACATATATTAAAGCCTGTATTAATTTTAAAATGGTGTTCGCCACCATTCATGCAAACAGATCCCAGGGACCTGTGTAGAACTGAGCATCTAAGGTATGTTTTATGCAGTTTTTTGAGTGAATAATTAAGGGTGGTGAGTAATCTCTCTGAAATTTGATTGTATAGCTGTTAGCATTGTCTTCAAATATAGGAACATCCTATAGGAACAGCAGGCAGGGATGGGACTGGCGTGCGTCCCGTGGGTGTGGCGCACATCCTATGGGCGTGGCGCCCAGCGCAGGTGGGCAGAAGCAATGGCACCCCACCGGGATCGCACTGCTGGGGGCGGTGCGCTCCCCCCGCACTCTTCTTCCTCTGCCAGTGTATAGGAACATCCACTTAGCTTGGGTAAACCCCCATTAAACTCAGTGAGAGGTACTTGAGTAGACTCACAGGATTTTGCTATTAGGGAAGAAGAAGGGTGAAGCAAAATGCTTTCAGGAAGAACTTTTAAGTACATGCTTATCTTGCCCATTGGAACCGGTTTGATTTGGAAGTGCTTCATTTTACTTAGATTATACCTACGAGTTTTGAATACTGGAAATTGGGTGAAATCTTCTTTGACTCTCACTCATTTTTATTACTGTCTAACATTAATTCAAAGGACGTGTAATAACTTGGAACACTTCCATCTTGGTGCTCCTTCATTAAAACTATAAGTAGGTAGATCTAGTATGTGGTGTTACTGTGTACTCAACCTGACACTCACCATGCAGCTGTTTCCTCAAATTAGGAAACATTACTTGGGTAAATATTTGGGCTGGCATTTCATGTCAACAGTAAGCTGAGTAGGAGATAATTTACTATATATAATTTTTGTGGCATTACATGCCTTCAAAATAGGATAAGATACAACTCATCTAGAGCACCAGTGATGACTATTCCATGCCACTAGTTAACTGTCCCTGGGAAGACTTGCAGTGGTATGCAAAACTTAAATATATGCCGTCAGTAAGAGACCAGCCATATGTAGATACTATAAAACGCTTCTTGAGTTTACTGAGTATCACAATGTAAAACTGCATTTTGTTCAGGAAGATTAATTATACCAAATACAGCAGCTAAATGTTTTTTTAGTAACCTGTAGTTGCACCTGTTTATGTTTTATATGAGAAATATTATCATATAATATTGTGTTAACTTTACACCAGCCTAGGTGTGTGATACCGAAAGCAGTTTCTAAATAAATGAGTAAAGAATTAAATGGTGGTTTTCAGCCATATGCTGTACTATTACTGAAAGTCCACCTGAATGTTCTTCATTTAGACAGTTTCATCCAAGAGGTTCTTTACATTAGAACCTCCATTATGGATGTTATTTAGCTGTTAAATATTACAATGAATCTGGAAAACTCTTTGCAGATGGAAAGCTGTTATGAAGAGGATTCATTTAAAAAAATTAAGTTCTAAAGGAGGCACTTTCCTGTGGGTTTATCCCATGGTGCATCTGTAAAGCCTGTAGCCACCTGGTCAGGACCAATCAAGTGAGTCTTTCCCACAGAACTGGCATCCTGCCACAGCTTTGTTTTTAAATATTGCAGGAGTGCTGTGTGATAAGCCTAGAGAAAAACTTGTCTTGCAGTACTCCGCAGTTTTTTTTTAAACGGTGCTTTGTGAGTGTAAAGTTCGGGAAAGAACTGGACCTCATCTCTTGCCTTTCAATAAAATTTGATGGTTCTTTACATAGCATTTTGAGATGCCTCTCACCACTTGGTCTAACACTTAGCTTACTTAAAAGCATACTGTGTGTTATCTTGCTGCTGGAAAGATTGTTACAATTTGGGGGAACTGGTACACTATCAAACAGGAGCAGTGTTATGTTTTTGCAATTAAAATTGTAAAATAAAGACTCTTACAAGTTCTTGGGATTTGGTGGGATACACATTTTTTAAGACAGCCTTAAATTTGAGTCCTCAGAGTTTGAGATACTTCAAGTTAGCATACAGCTATCAAGTTAGAATAGTGTTATTTTAGAATTTTGCTGCTTGAAGTCTCAAGAAGTTCTTCCCTACTTGTCCTTCCGCTGGCAGGTGAAGGATCTTCTTGTTTCTGAAGGCTTTTAGGAACTATCTATTTCCAAGGAAAGGGCTAGTGCTGTGATTTTATTATAGTTGCTATTATCTGTATTTTAGTAGATCATTTTATATATATTGTTTAATTTTATTAGTGTTTAATTAGTTTTAAATGATTTTTTAAATGTTTTTAGCTGTTTGTTTTATCTGTAAGCTGCCTTGAGTTCCAGTCTGGAGAAAAAGGTGAGAGATAGATAAGATAGATACCTCACAATGTGATTTGCTTAGTGATATCTTTGGAGCAAACTGCATGTTACAAATGTGGGTGACTAGCCCGAGGCTGCTGCTTCAAAAAAGAGAAACAAACCAGGAAGGCACAGTTCACCATTGTTTCCTGTTTTGTGAAAATTGTAGATTATAATTAATTAATTCCAGACAAGCTGAGATCTGGAGGCCACCTTTAAGCCATGTTTTCCCACTTGTGTGAAAGAAAGTTCAAAGTGGTTGTGCACAAATGTGTGAAGCTCTGGTTTATAAAGCCACAAAATGTACAGAGCAGGTCAAGAACACAGCATTGTTTTACCTGAAATGGGATTATTAGCAAATTGTCAGCCAATCCAATCATGCTTTGAATATGAAAATAGTAATAGGTCAATTAGTTTGAAACTTCTTATTGAAACTTCAGATACCATAGTTATTATGCCTTTGGACCATTTGCTGCATATAAAAAGTCAGAAGTGTTGTTAAAAATAAAGCATTATGCATAGACCCTGAAAGTTTTTGCAGCAAAGTAGTAAATAGAAAAAGCCTTTTAGGCAGGTTAAGGCAACCCCCTCAGGTAGCAAATGTTGTCATATTCACAAGTGGCCTCAAATTTTCATTTATTTGGTTTGTTCTTATCAGCGTTATATTTTCTGCTGCAGGCAGCAAAATATCTTGGGCTACCTCTGTAGTAAGATACTACTTAAGGTTGACAAAGCAAAGTCCACCTCCTTATTAACACTCTGTAATCCCATAATCCTTGCTTTGTGTGGTCTTTGCTTAGGTAGACTGGAAGTGAATAGCCTTTTCATTTATTCAGTTGCTTAGAAAATGGGAAAGTACAGGACAAATGACAGGTTAGAATGCTGAAAAATTCAAATATTAATTTCAAACATTAATTTTGACACACACACACTTGTGTGTGTGTGTGTGTGTGTGTTGTGACTTGATTCTTTTTCTACTTTACCTTGTATTTAACTTTTGAATACTATGTTGAGTTTGAAAGTAGATGTTTTTTTAAAAAAAATATTTAATAACAATTATAGCTCCTCATTAACAATTTATGTAGTAATGTTGGGCATATACATATGTTTTTGTTGAGGGTGTGTGTGTACACACACACACACACACACACACACACACAAATAACTTTGGCCATGATCCAGATTATAATGCAGTACTGTATATACAATGTCCTGCCTTACCTCCTCTCCAGCAAGAAGTAGTTTTTTCTGCTGGCATCTACTGTTCTTTAGATCCCATTCTCAATTTTTTAAAGGATTCAATCTAGCTGAAGACCCGAATTTCTGGCAATAAGTTCTGTGGGTGAAAAGTGAACATATGGTTAGCTGTACCATTTTGAAAGCAATGGAGCTTTGTATTTACTTTAAAAAAGAGCACCACCTATCTAAATCTGGCACTGGGAGTCAGATTTTTGTGACTCTGAAGTTTAATGTTGGCCATGAGACCAACTAGTGTTTCTGGATTTTGGCAGCCTTTTGATAAAACAGGTTAATACTTGAAAACCTTAACCTATTCAGTAGAGTTGTTTTGTTTTGTTTTTACTTGAAAGCGAGTAGCAGTTCAAAGTCTAAATAAGCTGTTCAAAAATAGTAAGAATACAAGCCTGCCCACAGAGGACACCCTACATGCATGAATATACAGCAATTGGGGTCAGTGGGAGGGAGATCTGTAAACTTCTGTGTCCCCATACAGCCCTTCTCTGCTTGCTGCATGGTCTGGTGGATCAATAACTTATATCAAGGTGAGAGAGAGAGGATTGGATGAAGATACTGAAGACATGTACAGACCTCCCATTCACCCTGATGGATTGCTGTGCTTCATGTGCTTCCTTAGGGAAGGAAAAACAGGACTCTGAAATCTTGGAAATGCTGTATGCATAACTGACTGATTTGTTCTGTAAGTTGTTGGCTAAAAAAAATAAATGGAACCGTGTTCTACTATATGACAGTTGATGACTGACTACCGTTGTGTGGTGCCGATAATACTATAAAAATGTCAGTGAAGAACTGTGAGGAAATGCAAGCTACCTACAGTTTGAACGTAGATAGCTACTTAAATAAGTTTTGTTCCTTATGAAGCTTCAAAATGGCTTGCTGTTTCTTTTGCATTAGAATTTCTGAACACTCCACATCAGGTAAACAAAATTCCAGAAATCACTCCTTGGTAATAGCACTCATTTTTAAAAGCCCAATTTTAGGGAGAAGTTGCTAAATCGTATAATCGTATATTATATTGCTTAGCTTGCCTAAATGCATCTGGGTTGGATGAGACTGGAATATTAAGGCATATAAAATTCAAGAAGTTAAAGGAATGAGGCATAGAACATTTTGAAATAGATTGATGAAAAGCAGCATTGTGGCACTGCTTCCTCCCCAGTGGAGAGTTGCTCCGTAAATTTAAATGTGAATGTGGAAGAACTGGCTTGCTGGTGTTTGACAAGTTGCCTTACTGAAATACTGAATTGCTTGAGGAAAACTAAGAATAAGGCATTTTTCAAGGATAAACCATAGTTGACAGCACATTTAACTGTAGAAGGTTATCTCTTGCTGTATCTTAAAAAACCTTAATTATTGCTGTTACATTTTGGTTGAAGTAATGGTCGCATGGTACTCAAGACTGAATTCCACACTGTGAGAAAAGGAGACACCTGTTGATCCAGTGTACTCAAATCATTGCAAATTTCCATATTCGGAAGATGCTTGCAACAATAAGTTCCTAAACTTGCAGCTACAAATCTGCAGTATAGAAGTGCTGTGGTGTTTATAAACCTGTTGGCCTGTAGCTGTCCCACATAAATATTGTAATGAGTTTTTCACTCATGAGAGAAGTAAGCATGACAAGTCTGAACAGCTTCAGGTACATTTTAAGAGATGGAATGGCAGACCTTCCTAGGATCACATTTATGCCACCTTGGGTTCCATGCAGGAAGAAAGGTGGAATTTATATGTAAGAAATAAATTGTATTGCATAAAAAAATAAATTCCCAGAGATAATTGGTCAGTTACAGATTGCTTTTTTATAAGGTCTTCTTTTGATATGTGAGTCAAGATAATATAATGGGATCTTCTTTTGCAGTAATCAGTGTTACATGTTAATCATCTCCTCTATGCATTGACAACACATAACTTTGGTTCTCAAAAGGTTGCACAGGCTGCCCATACACTTCTGGGCCAGATTCAGAGTTCTTGCATTAATTTACAAGGCCCTAACAACTTGGGTCCAGGATACCTCAAGGACTGTCTAAACCAGGCTTCCTCAAACTCGGCCCTCCAGATGTTTTGAGACTACAGTTCCCATCCCTGACCACTAGCTAGGGATCATGGGAGTTGCAGGCCAAAAACATCTGGAGGGCCAAGTTTGAGGAAACCTGGCCTAAACCCTTACATCCCTGCCCAATCACTAAGGTCGAAGAACAGGCTGGTCCAACTTTTCATACCAAGTGGACTGTAAGTGTACTTTGACGCTGTCTTGTGCTGCACACCAGGGGCGGAGAGGCCAAAATTTGACACCCTGTCCACATGCTGACTTTTCAAAGCCAGGAAAGTGAGGCACCGAGATTGGAAGGATAACTAGGCCTGACTTAACGAAAGGCAGCACAAGTGTTGCTGGGGCCTGGGGGAATGCCAAATGTTGTGAAGGGCTGCCCTCAGGCCACGTGTTGTACCAGCCAAACTTCAAGGGAGCCACTATTAGTGGTCTCCCGGGGCTCAGAAACATTGTACTCATGAGAATCTCTGTGTTCAGCATTGTGGCCCAGTTTTGTGGAACTCCCTTCCGATTGAGTTCAGTTGAATTTCCAGTCCCTACCAATACTTTTCAAAAAAAATTCAATAGGAGTTTCAATTAAAGTTTGGTTTTGATATTTTAACTGTTTAAAAATCTTTTTTTCCTATTTTATGTGCATCCCTTTTAAATGTTTGTAGTTAAACAGTATATAAATTGTGTAAAGAAATAATTCATAAATGTTCAGAAGCAGCTTTTGAGCACCAGCTGTGTGGAAAAGGCAGTTACAATGCCTGTGAATATTTAGAGGCATCTATCTGGCTGCTGTAGAAGCATATTGCTGGACTAAATGGACTAAACCACCTGTCTCCTTGATCCTTGCCCATCCTGCCCATCCTGGCTAAAAAAAGCAAGCCGGGAAGGGCTGGGCAATGGGCTCTGCAGGGTGGTGAATGCTTCCCTCTGTGAGGGAAACCATCTTTAGACCCGGCCAGTATGGCCAACTATCGCCCAGTCTCAAATCTTCCATTCTTGGGCAAGGTGATTGAGCGCGTGGTTGCTGAACAACTCCAGGCACGCCTGGAGGATGCGGACCATTTGGATCCCTTCCAGTCGGGATTCAGGCCTCACCATGGGACTGAAACTGCCTTGGTCGCGCTGGTTGATGATCTCCGGCGAGCTAGGGACAAAGGTGAGAGTTGTTTCCAGGTTCTGCTGGATCTCTCAGCGGCCTTTGATACAATCGACCATAACATCCTTCTGGACCATCTAGAGGGGCTGGGAGCTGGGGGCACTGTTATACAGTGGTTTCGCTCCTTCCTCCTGGGCCGTGTTCAGAAAGTGGTGGTGGGGGATGAGTGTTCAGACCCCTGGGCCCTCACTTGTGGGGTGCCTCAGGGTTCCGTCCTCTCCCCATGCTTTTTAACATCTATATGAAGCCGCTGGGAGAGATCATCAGGGGTTTGGACTGGGTGTCCATCAATATGCAGATGATACCCAGCTCTACCTCTCTTTCAAATCAGAACCAGTGAAGGCGGTGAAGGTCCTGTGTGAGTGCCTGGAGGCGGTTGGAGGATGGATGGTGGCTAATGGATTGAAGTTGAATCCTGACAAGACAGAAGTATTGTTTTTGGGGGACAGGGGGGCGGGCTGGTGTGGAGGACTCCCTGGTCCTGAATAGGGTAACTGTGCCCCTGAAGGACCAGGTGCGCAGCCTGGGAGTCATTTTGGACTCACAGCTGTCCATGGAGGCGCAGGTCAATTCTGTATCCAGGGCAGCTGTCTACCAACTCCACCTGGTACGCAGGCTGAGACCCTACCTGCCCGTGGACTGTCTCGCCAGAGTGGTGCATGCTCTAGTTATCTCCCGCTTGGACTACTGCAATGCACTCTACGTGGGGCTACCTTTGAAGGTGACTCGGAAACTACAACTAATCCAGAATGCGGCAGCTAGACTGGTGACTGGGGGCGGCTGCCGAGACCACATAACACCGGTCTTGAAAGACCTACATTGGCTCCCAGTACGTTTCAGAGCACAATTCAAGGTGCTGGTGTTGACCTTTAAAGCCCTAAATGGCCTCGGCCCAGTATACCTGAAGGAGCGTCTCCACCCCCATCGTTCTGCCCAGACGCTGAGGTCCAGCGCCGAGGGCCTTCTGGCGGCTCTCTCATTGCGAGAAGCAAAGCTACAGGGAACCAGGCAGAGGGCCTTCTCGGTAGTGGCGCCCGCCCTGTGGAACGCCCTCCCATCAGATGTCAAAGCGATAAATAACTACCTGACGTTTAGAAGACATCTTAAGGCAGCCCTGTTCAGGGAAGTTTTTAATCTGTGATATTTTACTGTATTTTTGGTTTCTATGGAAGCCGCCCAGAGTGGCTGGGGAAACCCAGCCAGATGGGCGGGGTACAAATAATAAATTATTATTATTATTATTATTATTATTATTACTAAATAGTCCTTTTATCTGATCCATCAATGCATTGGTCTTTGATTGAGTGGATATTTTCCCTCTTATTGCATTGCAGTTATCTGTACTGCTGTTTTGCTAGTTTCGTTATTGATGGATTTTGTAGTTTTACTTTATGATTTTAATATACCGGTAATTTGTCCTTGTTATAATTGGGATAGATTTGTAGTGTGCCTTTGGACCATTTGCTGGACAAATAAACATTAAAAATTTTCATGATCAGCAGACTTTCTTGCACTTAGGCTGAACTTCATTGGCTAATTATAATCTTGTACAGAACTCCCTGATGTCTACTAATAAGTGGGCAACTGAGTAACTCCAAGTTACCCAAACTTAAAACTGCTTAGGCTTCTAAATAAATTTTGGGTAGGTGTATACAGCTTTGTGTTTTGCCTTGTGAAATAAACTCACTTGTGTGTTGGCTGCAAATAAAAATTTGAAAATGTGTATTAAAAGTTTGTTAACCTCATTTATACAAACAAATCTTCCACTTGTTAATGCAATTAAATGTGTTGGAAGTGATTCTCATTTCATATAATACTTGTCAGCTTCCTATCATTTGTTACGCAATTGATTGTTAGATATATTTAATTCATGTGGAAAGGTAGGCTATTTCCAAAATGATCCACTCAGTACTCAAGTAAAATATGTTCCAGTAACTGAAAGTTCAAGTAAATAAAAGGATTAGAGCTTCCTGAAGTTTTCTTCCTGACAATAGGGCGCTTATTGTTTGAGACTTAGGATGTTTTGATCTGGTAATGTTATTACAAGGCAGCTTTTGACTTAGTGATAGTATGCTAGAGCTAAAGGGAAGAATGTATTTAGTACAGAAGACTTAAGTTTTCATTACTTTAGGAAGCCCTTGCCCCTCATGTCTTCTGTCATATGTGTCTGATATTGCCCATCTTTTGCCCTTGAGGGAATCATCTTAGGGCTAACCCACACTTACCTTTCCTCTCCTCTTTCCAGGCATGGTCTGTGCTTTAAAGCTCTGTTTCCAAATGCCCCCCTTTTTTGCTCTGTGGCTTTCCCTGTGAAAACCTATTCTTTATAGCTCAGTCAGAGCCTTTGCAAACCTTACTATCTTAGGGTCAATTTAAACATTTATCAGAATTGGGTGGTAAAACTTTTCCTGGATTGTTATTTTGCAGTTGAGGGCAACACATGTTTGAATGCCTTCCATATAAAGTACATACATCCACTCACCCATCCACAAAAAACCTAGCATTCTAAGGAAAGCTGTTCAACCCCAGCTATCTCTATGCTAACTTGCTTTGTGCAGGTAGGAGAACATTAAAATATGCAGCCTGAAGTAATACAGTATTAAGAAAAGCAGTGCCTCCAAGTTTTGATCCCAGCTGGTCCTGGGGTCTCTTAGCTACAGATGCCAGTGATATAACCTGGGATATTGCTTATACATGCAAAGCATTAACTGTATGCTATAAACTGCTAAGTTGTGGCTGTGCTACTTCAACCAAATAGGTGACTCTATAGAAGCTCCATATACTACTAGTACTATAAGTTTCCAAATTATTGGTCAAATTTAATTGTTTCAGTGTTTGCAACAAAAAGACAAATCTTTTGGTATTGCCAAGATTATTTTGTGTTATAACAGCAAAACTTCAAAGTGAGTCAATACCTTCGAAGCAAGGCAGAACTACATCAAAGAGGCAACCTACAACACAGCTATGTCCTCCTTTTGCAAAAGAGAGCAACAGATCCCTGGCTGGTTTGAGCCCACCATTTAAAGGACATTGAGCCTGTTATTGCTGCAAAGCACCAGGCTCTTGTGAGCTACAAGGGTGTGTCCTACAAAAAGAGGCAAGGAGCAATGTCCAGCAGATTGCCAGACAATATGCCAGCAACTGTTGGCCAAAGCCCCTGGATAGGACAGGATCCCAACAGAAGTGCTGAAAGCCGGCTTCAGTTGCTTCCTCATGATACACCTCCACAGCCACCTCTTGCAGTGTTGAGAACAAGGATCCGTGCCACAAGACATGTGCGACTCCAGCATTGTGACCCTCTAAAAGAACAAATGTTACTTCCATGACTCTAAGGACTACCATGGAATCTCCCTGTTGAGTACTGTGGGGAAAGCCTTTGCTTGTGTAGATCTCAACATATTACAGTTACTCATTGGCAGGGTCTTTCCCAAGTCAATGTGTCTTTAGAGCTCAGAGGTCAACATGATTTTAACATTGCATCAGCTACAGGAGAAATGCTAAGAGTAGAGATGTCCCTTGTATGTTGCCTTCATAGACCTGATGAAGGCCTTTGACCTCTTCAGCCACTGCTCATCAAGACATTCCTAGTATGTTTGCACTCCTGTCTCAGCGACATCTAGGCTGGCTTGGTCATGTCAATAGAATAAAAGATGGTAGGATCCCCAGGGATGTGCTCTACAGGCTTCAGGCAACAAGGCCTGTTACAAAAATGTCTGCTCATAAGACATGAAGGCACATGGCAACATCAACCCTGCCATGTGGGAATCCCTTGCAGATGACTGCAGTGCCTGGAGACAATCAGATTGTGTATCCACAGCAGTGACTAGAGGAGGAATGACCATTGGGAGGAGCATAGGAAGAATAAACGCCATGGTGCATCTGCAGCAGCACAACTGGACACCTTCATCTGCCCCCGCTGCAACAAAACATGTCTCTCCCATATCAGTCTCTGCAGCCACAGCAGACGCTGTAACTCTCAAATGGTTTTACTTCACCCTCAAAGGTGCACTCCTCCATTGTCTCTGAGACACAATGGTGAGAAGCGTGAAAGGGTTGCTGAAAGGAAATTTGCACATTTCATACACATTGCATTTTGCATACGTAATCGTGCAGGTACATACTTCAACTTAATATTCCTCATGGCTTCTACCTCATGTACACATGATGTGAGACTTCCAGTTTGAAACTTCTCAAAGTTATTTCGAAGCATTTTTTCAAATAGAACATCTTGATGCCAGCAACTATTTGGGGGTTTTCAGTCACTTTTATTCCAAAATCTAGATACAACTACTATTTATACATAACACATTAGTCAAAATAGTCAGCTATTCAGTTTGATATTGTGGTATTACAAAATAATTAAATGTTTTTAACTATAAGTGGATTTTTATACAGAAGGCCAGTTATAATAAAGCACCAATTTCCAGATCCAGGTAGACTTTCTAAAACAAATTCATTATTAATTGATGGTTTTCTGCATAGTGTAGCTTTTATGCATGTGAGACAGAAATATGTACGTACATCTTCAGATTTGTTTCCCCCCCTCCAGTGAGAAATAAAATAAACACTCTTTTCCTTGCTTAGGATTCCTTTCCATTTTAGTTCCATCAGTATTCAGTTATGTGCACCTGATAGTGTTTTCATGACTCTCCATTAATCTAAAAGTATTTATAGCATTATTTGTATCATTTGTACAGGAAAAGAATGCAGGTGGCTTTCTGGTCAATTTTGTTGTGAGTGTATGTTCCCTAATTTTCTAGAGAACATTTCAGTATAGTGTAGTGTGTTCTTCCCCTTGGGGAAATTGTGTGATGAGTTAAACTTGGATTTTTTCCAATAGTTGCAGATCTGTGTGTCAGACAGCAGCAACACAATTCATTGTTTGATCATTTTTGCTAAGTCTGCAATGTTCATTGGGGAGTTTCAAATGCAGAATCAACCTGGATCATTTTATGTATTTTGTACTTTAAAGGATCTGCTAATTACTTTATTTGTCCCAGTGCTATTTTAGTTATTAGAAAAATTATATTTCCGTGTATTAATATTTTCAAGGCTCTAGTTTCAGCGTTTGTTCTTCCTTTTAAATATTGATTTATAATGTCAAACTTTATCCCCCCCCCCATGTCTAGGTTGGGGTCGGGGAGAGAAAATTGAGGTGCTGTGACTTGGACTATATTGAACATTTCAACTTTGTAATAATCAAATTAGAATTAAAATTTGAAGGTTTACATTAAAAATCTCAAACGTTCAGAGAGGATGTGCATTTATGGTAGAGATTTTCATCTATACATATGCCTATCTCTTCCTATACCTGGCTCCCTGTGATACGAGTTTGTCAACGTGCTCTTAAATTTGAAAATAGGTTGCAATGCAGCATGGCTGACTGATCAGGTGCAGAGAGTAAGAAAGGTTCTCTGAATCAGGACATACCATATTTTCCCATGTATAACCCCTACCCTCGTGTATAAGACTCCCCCCTATCTCCGTCCCTCTGGGGGGAGATTGCTCACCCCCGCCTGACCAACGCTGCTAAACGAACATGGTGCAGAAGCCGCCAATCGTCTGCCCAATCACCGCTACAGCAACCAATCGACAGCAACACTTGCCGCAGCCACCAATCAGCTACCCTATCATCGCTGACAATCTCCTGCTCGTGGCACAAACCAATCCCCTGTCCCCACTCTGCACTATCCATGTATAAGACGAGTCCCAATTTTAAAAGGTATATTATCATAAAAAAACCTCGTCTTATATACAGAAAAGTATGGTAGATCTGAAAGTAACAGACGTGGCTGTGAAGTAAGTAGCTTTGAGTTCAATTTCACCCACACATCCAACACTGGCTTAGAGGAGATAACTCTATAATCTTGCTTATGCATACTTGCTATTCCCACAATATGACAAGGGAGAGAGATTTTGGGTTTACAGTTAAAAATCAATTCAATGTGAACCAATAGTTTTGGGCTGGGGATCAAAAACCCTATTTATTTTTAGATTACATTAATGAGAACATGATTTCTGACACCCGAAAAGTGTTATTGCACCCTAGCTTGGTAAGATCATATTGAGAGTAGAGCTCTTACGTAGGCACTAGAAATGAGAAAAGTTTGAGAAAGTCAGAGATGCAAAAGCAGTGGCTATTTGTTTTCAGGTCAGGGGACACATTGACCCATGGTCAACCCTGGGGTGTGTGTGTGTGCTGAAGTGCAAAATTAGGTGAGGCAAAAGTGTAAAAGTGGGTATGGTGAGAACTGCAGTTCTCAAGTCTACTTTCTCAGAGGCTTTTCCAGCAATGATTCTACATTATATTTGAATCATTTTTATTATTCATTATTAATTTGGTAAAAATATTTTTAAAGAACTCATTTACAGGGGGTCTTGGACTCACACCCTTTTGACATCATCCATGGGTGATAGATTGATGGATTGTTTGAGTCTCATAAACAGTGTCTAGCAAAAGAAGACCTGGCTTATACAACAGTGCTTTTCTCAACTGCATGTAATGTAATTGAAACTGACTTGGCAGGAAGTTGTGTTGAAGCTGACAAGCTTGATTATGGAACTTTATTTTGTGTTTGGATGGGTGGAATCTATTAACTGTGAGGCCATTATTGTAAGTTAATATTTGTTAGACAAAGGTATTCCAATTGGAAAGCAGGTAAATTGTGTGTTTAACACCAACTTGGGGCTTCTGTGTCTGAAACTGGAAAATAATTGCAGCATCTCAACAAGTTTTTAAGATTATCAACTGACATTTGATTCTTGCTATCTGATGTGTAAAACCTTACTAAAATTTTATGATATTTTAACTGAAAAGGTCAAAGCCTTTCTAGTACACTACTTGTGTGGTAAAGCATTTATTGTTTTCTACAGGATAATATTTCCATAAAGGCAGTATTTATGGGAAATGTTTTATATCGTAATGTTTCAGCTTTAAACATTGGAAGGCTGAATTGTTGTTCTAGGACCCGAATATGCGGAAATTTATTCAGAGTTGGAATTTTCATCATCCTGTTCCTCCCTGGCTTACTCTAATAAAGTAGTTTTGTCTTTTTTGCTTGTGATTTTTCTGTTGAAGTTTCATTCAGGAAGGCCGTCGTTTTGCCTTGCTAAATCTAGACTTGTGAATAAAAGAAAGGGTTATGGTGGCAAAGCAAATTGGAATGCAGGTAAAGTTTCAAAACTAGAATTTCTGTATTGCAGATATTTCCTCAAATTCCCATTTGTTTTAGCTATGCCCATAATTTGTTTCATTCAGGAAGATATTTTGTCTTGCTGTGTTTAAGTTTTGTTTGGCTGAACAGGTTAAAGTTGTTGGTTGTAATGCAGGTCTAGTTTTTTCCATACTAGTTATTACATATAAATTATTATTTACACTGTTCTTCAATGCATGGTATTATAAACCAATAACAATAAAACAGTCTGATTCTAAAACAGTAAGTTCCTCAATATGCATAATTATATTTCTTATCCCATGTCAAGACATGGCAGGAGTCGGTATGGTTGCACCTGCAGAGACCCATGGCCTCAGAGAAGCCCTGCCACTGACCAAAGACAGTAGGTCAATATCACAATTCTTGATGAGTAAAATGACAGGTGAAAGCAGAGCTAATAATAATAATGATAAATAATTTATTATTATTATTACCCCATCCCAGCCACTCTGGGTGGCTTCCAACCAAATATTAATACAGCATCAAACATTAAAAACTTCTCTAAACAGGGCCACCTTCAGTTGTCTTTTAAAAGTAAAATAGTTGCTTATTGCATCTATTTTGCAATATACTATTGCAATAGTTGCTTATTACCCAGAGATTCATGATTTGATACTAATTCTAGGCCTCTTTCCAATGAGAAATGGAGGCAAAGCAACTATGGAATTATGAGTGGCAGAGCTTTAGGAAAACTGGGAGTTGGGTCAAATGTCTACCCTCCCTGGAGGTGACCTTTGGGGAAAGAGGTTCTCCTGTTGGATATGGGGTACCCCCAATCCAGGTTTGCCAAGGGCATCCCTTCCAAACAAATAGGCCAAACAATTAGAGAAGCACTATCTTACCTAAATTGAGTATGTCAATTTTTGCCTTCCCCCTCAGTTTGACCTGTGGCATCCTTTGAAAGCAGCCCGAAAGGCATTGCAATAGGTGTTTCAAGAACACAGTAAGATTCTTCAGTATCAAACCAGTGGCCCATTTAGTCCAATATCCTCTTCTCATAGTGGACAACCAGATGCCCATGGGAAGCTCAAAACCAGGACCTGAGTGCAACGGCATCCTCCCAACTTGCAATTTCTATAGGGGGCTGGTTTGAGGAAGTCTGCTTGACTGGGAATTCTCCCTTCCTCCAAACACAAGCAGGGTACTCTTTAGGGCAAAAGGGTACTTGCAGGGGTTGGGTTGAAGTGGTTGTTCAAAGCAGGGCTTAGCCAGGGTTCTTGCTCTGGTTTTAATCAGAACTGCAGAGAATTATTGAGCTTCTGATACTTGCATTTCCCTTTGAGGTGAGCAAAATGAGCTCAAGAAGCTCATTTTGGGGCCTTAGCCCGGTGGACCTTGCCAGTATCTGTTTACAAAAACTTGTATCTGGATGGGCAGTTTTCAACATTATTTTTTCCATTTAGCAGACACTGAGTAACTCTTGTTCTCTGTGTGATGTACAGAAACTACTGAAAACAATTTAAAGTTAGGAAATCCATATATAGTGGTGCCTCGCAAGACGAAATTAATTCGTTCCGCGAATTATTTCGTCTAGCGAATTTTTCGTCTTGCGAAGCACGGTTTCCCATAGGAATGCATTGAAAATCAATTAATGCGTTTCTATGGTCAAAAAAAGTCCAAACAAAGCCAAATTTGGTACAACAAGAGTTTATTAAGTGCTCTTTAAAGTCACACATACTGTAAAGAGCATTTCAAAATTCAAATCCAGAATTTTTTTTAAAAAACAGCAGAGTGGCCCAATGGTCACAGAAAATCATAAAAATGCAGGAAAAAAACCACAAGCTTCCAGATTCTTGCAAACCCCTCCCCAACTGTTCCCCCAGCCACCCAGCACACACAAATTCAAATCCAGAATTTTTTTTAAAAAACAGCAGAGTGCCCCAATGGTCACAAAAAATCATAAAAATGCAGAAAAAAACACACAAGCTTCCAGATTCTTGCAAACCCCTCCCCAACACCAAGTCCTTGAATTCCAAACACCCCAACCCAAAATCCAACCCCCCCCAAAAAAAGTTTTAAAAGCTTAATTTACCAAATGGCTGCAAAGAAGTTTTGGAAAGCTTCAAAAATCACCAAAGTCTTTAAAAACCTCAAAAGGCTACTATGTACACTGCGTTCTATGAGTTGCTCCTCGAAGTCAAGTCGCAACTGTATTAACGGTGTTAAGAAAAAGGAAACAAACTTGCAAGACGTTTTCGTCTTGCGAAGCAAGCCCATAGGGAAATTCGTCTTGCGAAGCAGCTCAAAAAATGGAAAACCCTTTCGTCTAGCAAGTTTTCCGTCTTGCGAGGCATTCGTCTTGCGGGGCACCACTGTAAAACAAACATAATTCAGTAAAGCATTCAAGTTCTTTTTAACGATAACACTTTGGCTGGTACTGCTTTTTAAGTCCCCTTTAGTAGGGCAACATGACTATCTGTGCCTTCCAAAATCCCTACTTCTACATATCTGCTGTACAAGAACCCTATTATTGAATATATCCCCTTGAATATATAAAAAATATATATAAAGAAAGAGTGAGTGAGTGTTACACCTTTGATTTTACTTTTTCAGTGTTTTTGTGTAGTGAGGAGTTGATCCATTGTTCTGGCTAACAGCTTAAGCAATTAATAAAATACTGCTACCTCTTTAAATGACCTCAAGCCTGATTGATGCAAAGTTTTATGCTGGAATAGTGCCAGATCCACAAGTACATGCTTCTGGTTCCATTGCTTTCGCTGGAGGACCACGTGTCCTCAGTGGTGAGGACTGCTCATCACAAGCTTCAACTAGTACACCAGTGATGCCTGTTTCTGGATAGGATTAGCTTAGCCAACTAGAACCAATACATTAGTAACCTTAAGACTCCGCCAGTTTGTGTGGCTACCCTTAAGGCTGGTTTGGAAGTTGCAGCTGACCCAGAATGAAGTGGCTTGGTTGCTGAGTGAGGGGCCTTTCCCAGCATGTATAACGCATGTGCTGAAAGAGCTGCACTGCTTGCTGGTTTGTTAGCAAGCAGGGTTAAAGGTTATTTCATTAACATATAAGGCCCCAAATAGCTCAATATAAGATTACCTGAAAGAACATCTCTCCCCGCTTCCGCCACCCTATAGACTCATTATATCTCTACTGTGGCTGAAGGAGACCCTCTTGTTTGTGTTGCAACCTGCAGAGTTCCGTTTTGAGGCAACATGGATATGGGCCTTTATCTGTGGTTGCACCTGTGCTGTGGAATGAACTTCTCTCTGCAGTATGGCAGGCAGAAACAATGATCTATGTCCATTGCTTATTTTTCCTCTTCGCCCAGTGCTTTCGCTCACCATTGATGCCAGTTTTTAATGACTATAGTACTGTAATGACGGTCTTCTATTTTTTTATGGATATGTTTTTTTTCTTTGTTGCATTCTTCTACTGTTGAATGCTGTTTTGGGATTCTTAAAAATGATAGAAATGTTTTTATTAAATAATACATCTGATATCTCCAATGACTCCTGCGCTGCCTTTCCAAAGAACTGTAGAATTGTACCCCAAATGATTCTTTACGCTCTGTTTGAAATGCAACACTTGTTCTTACACATTTCAAGCAGGAACTAGTTTATGAAGGCAAAATAGATCTGGTCCACATGACTAAACTTTCATGATATCAGAGGTAAAACATATTTGCAGTGCTTCATGTAGATTTTTATAGTTAAATATTTTTTTCTTTCCTTTTCAGAAAAACAAGATTGTCTGCATCATGTTGTTCATGAACGTTTGGGCGAACTCCTGCGTGTGCTAAAGGCAATCATTAGCAAGCACCAATGTCTTAATTCAGTTGATATTCTAAGTGCTGCAGGAACAGTCATCGCAAAAGTGAAAGGTAAGGAAAAGGAGAACTTTTGCAACTTGATATAGTAAGTAAAGTTGCCTTGTGATGTAATACAGATGTTGCTGTTAGCACTTCTCCTGTATTTACTTCCAGAGACACTCAACCATATAATTTGCTAGAGGAGGGAAATCCCAAACCAATCCCTCAGACATGTGGGGGATTCCTAAATGAGGAACAGAGCTATTCCTCTCTTGCTAGCACACAGCAGGTGCATGCTAGACTGCAAAGTTTGTAGGCTTACAAAGTTAGATTAACACTGTTTTAAACAGCTCTGTACTACAACAGAACTGCGGGACTTAGCTTGTTTATAGCTATTCTGGAGGGATCTTTGTTTAATGTTTCAGCTTATCCAAGTCTTTACTCAGACCAATACACTCAAATTGCCCAGTGAGAAAAAGGTCGTTTACTGCTATAAATTAAAAGTACCAGTCTGTTTGTGTTGCATGTTTTCATTTAAGGCAGTGAGATTTATGTCTGTACAGGTAGCGACCATTGAACACGCGTCCAGTTGGCGCATGATTGCTAACACGTGGGTTATTTTGTACTCATAAGAGGGCAGAATGGGGGCAGGGCAGGGTGTAATGGGGTGGGGAACACTCCGCTGACACACACAGTAGCTGGGAACAGAATGCCTGTGCGGTATGGTCGCCACCTGTATTTGAAATATGTGATATGCTGGTAAATTGTATGCATATTGTTGTGTAGGATTGAAGCTAGATGTACAGGGTTTATCAGCTTATTTGGAGGAACTGTTGTTGCATAACTTTGGGTTCAAGACGGGAAAGAGAAACCACAAGTGTAAGAACAACTATGTTGTGAAACTGTTGTGAAACTGTGAGACTACTATTATTAACAAATAGCAACTCTCAGGAGCTTTGCTGATCATCAGCCAGTTCTCGATAGTGCCATTTAATAAGCATGCAATTTAATAACCATTTAATAACCTAGTTATTAAATAGTGCCATTTAATAACCTAGCCTCTGCAAGCTACTCAGGCTTGGTTTTCCCCTTTAGCTGGTCCTGGAGAAATTGAGACAGCTCTTTCCTTTTCTTGGATCTAGACCATGGTTTCCCAAACTTGGATCTCCAGCTGTTGTTGGACTACAACTCTGAACATGCCTAGTTAGCAGGGCCAGTGGTCAGGGAGGATAGGAATTGTTGTCCAAAAACAGCTGGAGACCCAACCCAACCCTAGACTAAGAGTAGGGAACCTTACAGTTTCAAAGCCACATTTTCTAATGGCTAACCTTCAAGCTAGGGGCACATGCCAACAGTGGGTACAGTCAAAACAAAAGTGGTAGAACCTATGTAGACAGGGCAGACTTGACAGAGTACATATGTTGTCATATGTACATGGAGCACATAGAATCACAGTTGAAAAGGACCCCAAGGGTCATCCTGTCCAATCCCCTGCAATGCACATCCATGTACACGCATGCAATATGTTGCTTCCCCTCCCATAGCAATTACATTTCACTTTTTAAACACATTATTCAAATCCAGTTGTCAGTGGGGGATTTTTTAAAATGAAGATTGCAGCTGGGAAGGGTTCTGTTGTTGGGTTCTGTTGGCTTTTTTCAAGCCAAATTGCTTGGGAGCAAGGGAATGCTATGGGCCATATGGGGAGCCCTCATGGGCCACTGGGTCTTAGCTCCTGGTCTAAAAGCTACTATCATTGCAGCCAAAATAGCATGCCTGCTTCAGAATATCCAGGGAGCTCCATCAGTATTGGGTCTCCATCATGCCATCAGAACTACGAAACAACACAGGATTTGTGTAGATCAGCAGTGCATGGCAGTAGTCCAAGTGGGGGCATGTACCACTCTGGTGAGACAGTGCACACGCACACACTGTTCCCTGTGCCTGGCATACGTTTATGCCACCCAGGGATCGTCTGCAAGGGATACCTGGTCAGTCTGTGGTCTTTGGACCCACATACAGCACTGTGCCAAAATCATGTCATTGGAGGAAGCCCAACAGGAGGAGAAAAATAGGAATGGAAACTGAAATGGAGTGATAGACTGAGGGGGGGGAGCTTTCTTCAAGTTCAGTTGAAGACCACTAGCAAGAGCAATCTCCCCTTCCTCCAGCTGTATCAGGTGGAGAGAAAGAAGGTGGAGAGAAGAGACGACATCATCTGCCACTGACTTAACATAAGTAGAATTTCCATACATTTTGAAGTCAAGAAAGTACTTTTTTGGGGGGGGGTGGAAACTTAGGGGGAAATTTAAATATATGCAATAGGTAAAGGGACCCCTGACCATTGGGTCCAGTCGTGGCCGACTCTGGGGTTGCAGTACTCATCTCGCTTTATTGGCCAAGGAAGCCGGCGTACAGCTTCTGGGTCACGTGGCCAGCATGACTTAGCCGCTTCTAGCGAACCAGAGCAGCACATGGAAACACTGTTTACCTTCCCGCCGGAGTGGTACCTATTTATATACTTGCACTTTGAGGTGCTTTCATACTGCTAGGTTGGCAGGAGCAGGGACTGAGCAACGGGAGCTCACCCCGTCGTGGGGATTCGAACCGCCGATCTTCTGATCGGCAAGTCCTAGGCTCTGTGGTTTAACCCACAGCGCCCCCCGTGTCCCTCAATATATGCAATAGTCCTGCATAGAGAATTTAAAAATAACAGTTAATCTGTGACATAACCTGCCCACCTTTCCTGCTGCAGACGTCATTTGACCAACTCTCAAGCTTGTGTTTTGTTCTGTAGGTGCTGAGCAACAGAGTAGGAAGGCAGGAGTTACATATCTTCAAGCCTTTATTATGAGGGTTGGGGGTGGACTTTCTGCCAAACCTTTGCCTAGCTCTAGAAAGTTCAGATGTTACTCTGTTTAGGAATATAACCATAGAAGGGTCAGCTGGTAGAGCACCAGCTTTGCATGTAGAAAGGTCCATGTTCAGTCCCTGATATCTCCAGGTAAGTCTGGAGACATCCCTTGTTTGAAACCACAGAGAGCTGTCAGTGTGGACAGTATTGAGCTAGTTAGGGTGGCTGCATGTCCTCTTTTTCCAGGATGCGTCCTCTTTTTCAGGATTAAAATTTCTGTCTGGACGGATTTTTAAAATTTGGCAAAATGTCCAGGTTTTTGGAGGGGTTGTTGTTTTTTATATTTGTTTATAGCAATCTGATTTTAAAAAATAAAAACAATCTTAAAAGCCCCACGTGTCACGCTCCCACTCTGCCGTTTTTCATGTATGGAATGGGAGCACTCTGCAGTGTGCCCGTGTCCTCTTCCCCGGGGCAATGAAGAGCGGCGGCTGTAGGCCAGTGTTATGGTCACATGGGTATTTGTAGTTGCGGTGCCTGCTTCTCTACTCCGGTGGGCTATTTAGAGTTAAAAACATTGCTACTAGCAGTATATCACAGCTTCTATAGCCTACATATATAGTAGGGATATTTAAAATGAGAGTTGTCTTAGAGATCCATAGTTAAAAGTAGAAGTCAGCAAATGTCTCCTCTTTTTTTTTTTTTTAAATGATATTTATTGGGGGGAATTTTTTTTTTTTAAAGTTACAAAAGAAAAACAAAGTAGAAAAAGAAAAACAAGCCACTTCCTACCATACATATACAAATTCAAAATAACAAAAAAAAAAAAAATACACCACAAACATTTAAAAACATTTAAAAACAAATCCATTATTTTCAACTCCTCAACTATCATTACCCTCTTTCCTTGACCTCCTCCTCCTCCCCTTCCTTGTATCCTGGTTGTTAATTGTCACAGCAAATCCTTTCCATATTTCATAATATTCTGTCATTACATTACCTTAAACTATTTTAATCTTATCTTACTATAAAAAACCTTGAAACTTAAAACTTAAATCTTATTTTACCAACTTCTCATAACCATAATATTCTTGCATAATTCTTTAAACATTTTTACTAAAGCCAAGTAATTTCATTCCAACATTTTTCTAACATTCATCAATTTTGTAAAACAGTCCTAGTAGTGAAAAAGAGAAATAAAAACAAATCCAATCTTCATCCAGCGTCCCTTCCTCCTGGTCCCGGGTTTTGTCAGTCCTTGTTATCCCATCGATCTGGCACATTAACCTGGTATCCTAATATCCGAGGCCCTTAAGTCTCTTCCATGTCCCTTCCGCAGCTCTTCTTCATATTTGTAACTGTATTTTCCCTTGTCTCCTGCTCGTTTCACTCGTGGGAACTCCAGCTTAGCAATATTTTTGACCCTTCTCGACAGATCAGCCCCTTTTCCATAATCGACACTAAATTCCATGTGGTATTTAAAAACATGTTTCAAAATCCCTCCAAAATTGAGAGCCCCCACAACCCCAAACATCTCACGGCCCATTGCCAGACTTGAAAAGTCCAAACATCCCTGCATAGGAGGGTCTATCCAACCCCCCATTTCCAAACTAAACCAAACTTTTTCTTTCCAAATCTGGCTTTTTCCAAGTTCATTTGTCAAATCCGAAAGTTCATATTCCTGTTGGGCCTGTTCTGTCAGGGCACACTCCTGATTTAATTCCTGGGTGGGCTCCACATATTTTCCCACTGCCTGTTCAAAATTTCCCACTGCCTGTTCAAAATTTCTAATCGAATCAGCCATCAAATTCGTCTTCTCATGTAGCTGTTCCAGTAGGGCATTTGTTTTATAGAAAGCACACAACAGAGCTTCTGAATACATTGTCCTGAAGGTCAGATGTCTATTCCCACAACTGTAATCTGTAACAGCTGCCAGCTCCCAGGAGTTGGTTACAGTTTCACAGTCTCCCTCTAGGGGGAAAACTTCTATTTAATCTTTCTTTTAAAGACAAGTCTAGCAACAGAGTTTCCTTTTTTCAGATATTTTGTCAATATTTGTTCCTTTAAGGTGCGAAAGGAAACAATGAAATCGCTGTGTTTCTGTTCTTTTAGCTATCTGTCAAAAGCGTTTGTCTCTGGTCAATGAGCTTCAAACGTCAGTCCTGACACCCCGCTCCAGGGTCAGGACGATGGAAAGTTACTTTACTTTAAACTCACTTCTGCAGGTTTAAACAGTCCAGAAAAGATCCCCTTCTTCTCCTGCTGCCGAAGGGGTTCAACAATTTTAAATGATGAAAGCCAATCCTTTAAAAGCGATTTTCTGAGCTCTAGTTTACGTTGTCTTTGCTTTATTCTGTCTACAAAGAAACGGAAGGCTGACTTCCTGTTTAGACCTTCCCGTTTCAGTACCAAATTGAAGTAAATTTTTAAATCCAATTCCTTTCTGCTCGCAAATCCTTATTTAAAGTCCAATTTGTTCAAAGTTTAAGTGCTCACGGGTGCTTATTTTAGAAGCCAAATTGTCCCAGGAAAAAGGCAGCGCTCTCCGGCAACGGCTATGCGGCTTCGCTCCACGGAAATAGCAGTTGACTCACAGCACCGCGCCGCTTCCCCCTCTTCGCTTCGGAGCCCGTTAGTGGGTTCCTTAGCGGGTTGGGGGGGCGCTAAGGGTGCCCGCCGAGTCCCATGGTCACAGGCTTCATCCGCCTGTGATTTTTAAAAGGGTCCCTGCTTCGCCGCAGCGGAAAAGACCCGTTTCGCGCGGAGCTAGTCCCTCCAGTTCAGAGGGAGTCCCCCATTGCCGATGGCGCCACCCCGGAAGTCCAAATGTCTCCTCTTTTTTGCTCTTCAAAAAATGGCAACCCTAGTTAGGTTGACCAATGGTCTGATTCAGTAAAAGGCAGCATCCTTTGTTGTTTAGCTGACCAGATGAAGAGCCATGACAGTTGTTATTTATTAAATTTTTATACCACCCTTCATCTGAGGATCATAGAGCTGTTTACAATATAAAAACACAAAGTTACTGTTCCCTTCAGTTACACATAATCAACCAGTTCTGTTCATTTGTAGCAGATTTGTTGAAGGATACAGTCTACATTCTGGATCTATATTCCTAAAGGAGTTTTAAAATTAGTCACACTGAAGTCAGGGTCTGCCTTCAAGCATGCAAGGTAGACTTCCTTTGTGTTAGTTACGTGTGATAAAACTCCTATTGTTACTACTTAAATTATCCATATAAAATTCATCTTTTGTTGGGGCCCAGCATTAACACGTTTGAAATGCCATTTGCATTTATAAATTGTTCTCGTAAAATAATAAGCATAATGTACCTATAAAAAACTGATACATCTCCTGTAAGTGTGTTTGTACTTTCATTTGGTTACCTAAGTGAGTGTTGTGGTTACTGTGTTAAAACAGAGAGGCCTGGGAGAGTTATGATAGTGATTATAAACTAAATTGCAATTCCCGAGAGCATTTATTTTGCAATAACATGAGGAGATAAATTTTTCAGGAGACTGGCATGAGGTCCAAAGCTTAAAATCACAAGGCAAAACTTAAGTGAAAAGTCTTGTACGAGGCCTTGGAGACATGATATGAAGCTTGTGGTTTGTTCCAAAATTAGCAATTCCACTGCCCTGCCACACCCTTTCATTACTCTCCACTTGTATCTTTTTTTTCTTCGAACATCCTGTTACTTTTTAAAAAACAACAACCCCCAATCATATGTAATTAGGGGAAATGTAAAGACTTTTAACATCTTGGATTCCAAAATTTTGAAGCTTTTAAGAAACTTCAAACATGTCAGCTAAAGAAATGTGAATTTGCTTTACTAACAAACACTTGTTAAATAACAATTGCAAAGTGCAGTAATCTCAAGTTTCTGGTGTCTTTGCCCTGGAAAAAAAGGGCAATCTGGTAGTATTCTACAGCGCATACATTTAAATCAGTGAATATTTAGAAAAATATACAGTTAGAAAATTTATTACGTCGATTTCAAGTATCCCTTTGATATGCCAGGTTGTTATATAAGTCCTTGAATAGTGGTTTTGTTTTCTTTAAATGGTGGTTGGTGGCATATGTTTACATTAATCCTTCCCATTTCTGTAAAGTTGTGTGCTCACTTGAAAATGTAGAGGCAAAGATAGTTGCCATTTCCAGACATAGAAACAGTACTACTGCTCATTGTTGTCCGTGCTATTGTGTGCAGCCAGGATGTCCTGGGGAAAGACTCTGTTCAAAGCTGATGTTAAGTAATATCAGTGTGCTAGTAATGGCTGAAAGGAAGGCTATAGGAATCTTTGGAGGGAAGTGTTTCAGGAAGAAGGTAGGAATCTTGCACTTTATATCTTACATTTGTCTGCTTGCCTGTTTATAGAAAACATAAATGTGCAATCTTTGTCTTGTTTGGAATTTCAGATTATGAACATAGGGCTGCAATCCTAAATAAACCTAATAGAACTAAGTTACTGAATTCACTGCTACTGACTTCCAAAAATGATTTGTGTTGTAAATGGAGCAATGAAGAATTGCTTCCAGAACAGGAAAGTGTGTGCGTTTCTTCTGGCAACATATATTTAGAGAAAAATAGTTAAACAACTTGCATTGTATATTATACTTTGCATTTTCTTGCTTTCTTTCCTGGCCTTCTAATTTCCACAGTTAACCATTTGTCTGAAGTTTGGAAATTGATTTCCTGACAGAATTTTTCTCCAAATGCCTAATGTAAATTTAAATCTTGATTTATATTTGTGTTAGGAGTATTGTAATGTGCAGTTATATATATGTTTTTCTCGAGGAGAAGGCTTATTGCTTGAATATTATACAAGGGAAGCATGCGATTTTAACAAAACTGAAAGTAGTTGATGATACCTGGCATGTTGAAAGTTTTACATTTTTCTTACTGAAAATAATGATCAGTGCAATAGAGGATTGCTTAGTTCAAGACTCATTTGTTAAAATGCTTATGATGAATACAAGCATACATTCTAAACTTTAGCGGAAGTGAATTGGGCGCATATTCAATGAATGCAGAGGCATTGTTTTCAGGACTTAGAATGTATGATGAAACCTCTTCCACCACACCTAGAATATCTGTCTGTCTAACTGTTAAAATCCATGTAGTCTAAGTAGCTCATTAGCGTATCATAGTATTGTATAATTACTAGAGAGTTAATTTGTATCAATTTACTGGAAAAACTCTTCCTTTCACAGAGGAAGTCTAATGGAATATCCGGCTTAGTATATTTGTTATCTTTTTGTGTTTATACACCTGGCAGGAAACTTTAGTTTTTTTGCACAATTGATGATGTAAGCTACATGATCTTGTTCCAAATAAAATTCTTTCTAACAAGTTTCCTATTTCTAACTTCTAATTAAACATCCAATCGTTTTTCTTCTATACTTCATTTTAAAAATTGAACTGAATATTAGGATTTGATTCCTATTGGTTCATTTTACTGTGATCGGTAAGAGGTTCGGCAAAGCAGAAGTGGGAGAAAGTACATGGAGATCTACTGGTAGATAGTTTGAGATAGATCAGTAAGGATTCCAATTCCCATTTAGCACTAGCATAAAAATAACATTCTCCCTTCTAAATTAGGCTTCTGAAATGAAGAAATATTGCTGGGGGAGAATCAGGAGCGAACTCTTGTGTAAAAGGATTGTGAACTTTGTTATGGTATTGAAATCAAATTCCTGAGCAGAGCATGTGCTTAGAGCAACCCTGTTCCTTAATTCTAAGTGTTTGCTGCCCACCCCTAGCCCCCACTGTTTTGCAAACAAACTGTTTTCAAGCAGCTATCTGTGAAAAATGGAAACTGTTTTGAGGAGTGCCATATGTGCCAATCTTCCTAGGTATCAACATTTTAGTAGTAATGAATCTCAGGGCTAAACCAGGTAAGATGATGGGACTGGGACTGCATCTCTAGTATCCTTAAAATTTTGGTCAATAGCAAATGATTGGGATGTAAACTGAACACACCAAAGCTGCTGTTTACCCTGCTTTGAGTGACACTGACTGTGCCTCTACATTTTCCACAATAGAGCAAATAGCAGCTTGAGAAAGAGAGATTACAGATGGAAAAAATGAATTTGGTCCACATTTTTAATGAGCCACCCTAATTGCCAGTCCCAGACTTTTTTTTGTAGGTCAGAGTGTGGTTATCAGTCAGATTATGCACTTCTCTGAATTTTCCCATGCAGTTTTGCTTCAAAACATATGCACAAAAGCATATTTTTGGGAAAATGTGTATTTTAGGGGTATGTGAATTGAAAACATGCAAAACTACATATTTTAGGGAAATAATGTAGACAAAATGCATAGTTTAGGGAAAATGATACAGTTTAAATGCATTTAATGCATTAAAAGCCTGCAAGAATTGATTAAGTGCATAGGAAAGAAGGAATAGAAAAATAGAAGGAATAGAGGAATAGGATGAATAGAAATAAATCCATTTATGCCTAGGAAAGAGGTTGTATGATTTCTATTGGGTAAATAGCACAAGGGGAAAGGATTGATCCTGCTCCCTCTGCGATGCAGTACCAATCCAGATGAGCCATTCTTCCCATCCTACTCTGTAATTCCTGCAAAGAAAAAGATTTCCATAATCTTGTCTAGTGTAGCCCTAACTAGTCTGATCTATTATGGGGTATTATGCCTTTATGTAGATTATATTTTGTTTTCCTATCTCTGAAAAACAGTTACCACATCTAAGTCTTTTGCTAAGGGAACTTGTTATACTTCCCTTCTTGTCATGCAATTTAGAGAATTCTCAGGTCCTTAAGCAGCTTTTGTAAGCGCAGAAACTTAACATTGTTTTACATTGTCAGTTTTCACACGTAGTCATTTTAACATGGCATTCCTGAAGAGGGTCTCATGGTAGGTAAATGTAGTTTAAAATTGTAGAAAGCAGGCTTCAGAGATACTGAGATAGAATTTATAAGATCAGTATACTGCATTTAATGAATATTTGGGTACCTAGATGCTACTGTCAAATTTATAGATGTTCTATGTTCCCCATAATTATTACTTCAACAGGTTATATAGATAGTCCTGTGGTTTGACTTGGAAGCAGTTTCATGGCCTGTGAAAGTAAAATCTGATTAATGTACTCTTCTTTGTTTTCTTCCTTAGCTGTAAACTTCAAGGAAGTTAATGAAGAAAACAAGCGAGAAGTCCTAAGTGAGATATTCTCTTCTATTGACACACTGGCATTCACATTTGGCAACATGTAAGTAAAAAATAACTGTTTGGTTTGTTTCCTGAAGCACCTTAGTTTCACCTTTTTTGAACTCTGCTGCAATGTGACACTTTTGTCTATTTGTTGATCTATACTTTACTGGTCCCCCTGCCAATACTGTTTTGGACTACGTAGATGCTGCTCTTACAATATGAGCAAGAATGGGTATTTGTAAAGTACTCCAGCTGAGAAACTTAATTTCATTGTGTTCTGGTCCATTCCTTTCTTGTGACTGCTTCTTCATAATCATTTCCCACAGTAGCTCTGCCTATTCGCTCCAGTAATTGCAAAGGTACCTTAAGGGGAAATTAAGAAACTATGGTTGTGTTTGGACATCTTACTGAACAATGATTTAAAATGAATTTGTTGTTGTTGTAGAAACATGCTAATGCAAGATATTGAAGAGCATAGTCTCACACACACACTTGCGCGCTTCTCCTGCCCTCCTATTGTACAAGAGGTTTACTTGGATTAGTTTCAAGCAGACCAATTTCAAACTATGACCTCTGAACCTGGTTTATTCAACCATAGTTAATGTTAATCACAGTTCTGGGTTCTGATGGCACTAGACAGTGTCATATAAAGCTGATGCTTCAAGACTCCTCCCAGCTGCCTAACATGATGAGAGGGGAAGCATATGAGCCTGGGAGGTAGCCAGGCTCGCTCATATCTCACTGAGCCATAGTTTAACATGACAGCTGAATGCTTTCCATGTCTACCCAATGGCTGGGAAAATATACTCTTGCTTTCTCAGTTTGGTTGACTCTAATTTCAGTGAACCAAATCTTGAACTACCAGTGTTCAAAATAATTTGTAGTAAAATAGTTCCACATCTAGGTTTTGTATCTATTTTTTACTTACCTTTTACAGGCGGAGGACACCTTAAATAAACACTGAACATTCCCATGTGGTTGTCTGTTCTGAGTATTAGGTAGACATTTTGTTCTTGTATAGCAGGGCAAAGCATGAGTGAATTTTCTTCTGGTTCTCATGGCAGAGTTTCAGACTTCCTTATGGGAGATGTGGATAATAGCTCAACATTGGGCCTTCCCGTATCTCGACAAAGTCAGGTAGGGTGAATATTTTTTTTAAGTTGTTAAAATACATTTTGCCTTTAGTAATATTATAGAAGAGAGCATTATTTTTTTGACTATCCAGCAGGATCAGTTTAAAATGGTTTTGTTGTTGTTGTTGTTGTTGTTGTTAAAATACGCTAATGACCATCTAAAACTGATGTTTTCTAAGAACAAATAAGCAGTTCCTAGATGTAAATATATATAAGGCCTAATTTATAGCAGCTTCTCTTTAGAGGTTCTTTACTGTGTTTACACAAAAGTAGTTAAGGTGCTTGGGCCAAGCAGACCTGAAGTAGGAAGCTGCAAATTAATTGCTGTGTCAAATTGTATTAGATGAAAAAGTAACTTTCAAGCCCTGTTTGTGCTTCAGCTGCTTTAATGGTACTTGGTAAATTAAATCAATGCTTAATCCAGGTAAGATGAAGATATTGTGGTTGGGGAAACAGATTCCTCCAGATAGAGATATGCAACTAGTCCTAAGTGGGGTTGTGTACCCCCTGAAGAGCTGGCAGTTTGGTAGTGAACATGGATGATGCTAACTGGGGGTGCTGAGGTGAAAGCAGTGGCCAGGAGTGCTTTTTACCAGCTTTGCCTGGCTCGCTGGCTGAGACCCTATCTGGAGAGAATGGATCTTACTTCAGTTATCCACGCACACTAGTGACATCCAGGCTAGACTATTATAATGCACTCTATGTGGGGCTGCCTTTAATGATAGTTCTGAAGCTTTGACTGGTACAAAATATGGCTACCCAACTGCTGGGTGGCCAGGTAGCTAAAGCATATTACAGCTGTGTTGTACCACTTGCACTAGTTACCAGAGTTAACTAATTTACTAGGCCTAATTTAAAATGTTGCTCATTTATTGCATTGTCCTATTGATATTGCTTGAAAACTTTGGTTGCAGCAAGCCAACTGATGGGGGGGGGAGAGACAAAACAAAACTGGAAGTCCCAAGGAACATTAGAGGAATGGTATAAGCAATGTGGTCTCTGTCATTGGCAGAAAATCTTACTAAACCAGCATTAATAGGGTGGTGCAGGCAGTTCTGCCACATAGGGTGCTGAGCCGAGAGAGTGCAAAATTGAGAAGATCCATTTGGGGGTTCCAATTTTTGGCCTTGCACAGGGCACCATATTACGAAAGATTACTGAAGTCCGCCCTTGATGGCTACCCTTGTGTGCTTATGAGGCAGCCATCTTTTTTCTTTATCATGTTCCTAGTAGGCTACTTTTTTAAGAGTTGATGGTAATATTGGAGGCATTGCCTCTCATTCATTTCTTTTGTCCCACTGCAATCTTTTTTTGTCCCACTGCAATCTTTCATCAAACAAATTTTGCAATTGCCTCTCATTCATTTCTTTTGTCCCACTGCAATCTTTTTTTGTCCCACTGCAATCTTTCATCAAATAAATTTTGCAATTTTATGTTGGCTCTTTTTGAAGCACCCCAAAGAGAATGGGCTAAAAATACAGTGTGCAGCAATGCTTCCATCATATCACCTTCAGCTGTCTGAAAATATCACCTGTCGCCAGCCAGTTTTCCAGTGTGTTGGTAAAAGAGAAGCTAATCTTTTTACCTTCTGTCACATTGAGAGCTTCCTTGATTGACTGAAAGGGATGTGTAATTGAAGTTAAGCATTTCTAATATGCTTAACTTGCAAGCAATTGGCACATTGTATGCAAACCGGATTTTGTTTCCACTGATGCATGTTCATGCTTCATTCATTGCACCCAGTCCACATACCATTTTGCCAAAATTGGCATCTGTTGTGCAAGCATAGAAATTGTAGTACATTTTTTCCTGGGAAAATAGAATACTTTTACTTGTATCTATATTTATTGCTCTTGCGATGCTTTGTAAAATGTGTTTGTACATGTGCAACAAACACGTGTTGAATATTTGTGACAATGACGCTGTTAACACTATTCCCAGTGCCCCCCTTATATTCTGAACATTTTTAAAGCTTTTTCTTATGCCTAATAGACTTTGCCTGTCATCATTGTCCAGATTCCTATGAGGTTGACTAGCTAGAAAGTCTAATTTTAAATGGTAGTGCATGTTGGTAAGGTTACCTATGGGTGTTTTATAACCTTTTTTGTCCAATTTTGTATTTTCCTTTCCAATTTTATTTATTTATTATTTTTGGATGCGGGGGAGGTTCTGTTCGCTTTTACACCATAATGGACATTTGGGCATTTTCCTTTCTGATGGAGAAAAATGGCAACATTCTTCCTTTCCATCCACTTTGCATGGACAGGTTACTGTGCTATTGAATTGAAAATGTTTTCAGGAATATTGTGCAAAGTTTAAAATACACTTGGGGTCATGCTTTGACTATGCATCAAGTTCATTCATAAATTAGCCATTTTTTTCAGGGGGAATAGTTAACTTAATTTTGTTAAGTAACCAGCTCCATCAAAGCTTTAAAAGGCTGTTTGAAAATGTTTGACACATTGAAAGGCTTTCTATACTACAGTACCTAAATTGTCTTGCCTTTTTCAACCATTGTAGATTTAAAAGGGAATGGAGTTACTGGGCAGGAGTGCATTCTACTCCATTCTCTTGCTATGTCAGTATTGAAAAACGCCACATAGTTAGTATATGTTGAGTGTTTAATCATCTGTTTGCTTAGCTGATGCTAACAGGCTGCATTTTATTGAATGCTAGTCTTTTGAAAATCTTTCTGTGGATTCCGGGGGATCACTGCACGAAAAGGATGACGTACAAGGGACAGGTAAGCATTACATACAGTGATTTTGGTCTCTGTTATGTTTTTAGACATGTAGAAATAGTGTAGAAATAATCAAATTTTAAAATACCTTTTCTTTTCTTTTTTTACTATGGGGGAAACAACTGGTATTTAACAGAAGTGAGTTTAGAACTGAAGTTAGCCCCATTGAAATCACAAAACCTCTGTGTTACTGGAAGTTGTAGCATGAACTTCAGCTATTTATACATTTTTTTCCTGTTTAGTTCATTACAGAAGAAAGTTTTATGTTGGCCATATGATTTGTTAAGATTTAATTCTGTGACCCTTTAATTTGTTCTAAAAGCCCTGTCAGTTCAATTTAGTGTCAACTAGCATTTAAAGAGAATCTCAAGATCAGAGCTGCTTTAGTCTCCACAGTTGGCTGATACAAGCTGTGCTGTTGCTGTGTGGTCATGTCTAAAATTCACTTTTTTGCATTTGACATTTTATTTTCAGGGCACCTTAGAGCTGAAGAGATTGATAGCGTTCTCCTAAGGAGCGATAATGGAATTGAATCAGCTCTGTCCTATGCTAAGGCATGGTCAAAATACACGAAGGATATAGTTGCATGGGTAGAGAAAAAGCTTAACTTGGGTGAGTGGTTCTTTCTGGCACCTAATGAGCTTTGTCATGATGGAATTAAATCTGTTGTCAGGATTGTGCTACAGACTGTCAGTAATGTGATTTCTAAATTAGTAGCTGTTCACTGAAATGAATGGAACTGTTGCCTGTTTCCTGTGACTGAAATATTTGTAGCAAAATAGTCTCTGTGTACTGTTAAATGAAGACTATAGAGAAGTTTATGCTTGCTCTTACTGCTCTCACTCACTACGTGAAACTGGTCTTCCTTCCCTACAGAAATGGAATGTGCTAAAAGCCTGGCAAAAATGGCAGAAACAACTAAAGCTATTGTTGGCCCTCAGGTGAGTGTTCACTTAATAAAAATGCACTGTTAATAATACACACACTTTCCTATTGATTATGGAAGCTCCATTGAATTCTTCTTTGCTGTTTCCTTTATTTGTAGTTTTTTTCTATTTAAATTCTGATGAATATTCTTTTGGCTTATTTTTTTGCTACTTGAAAGTAAGAAAAATTATGCAAGCTTTTTTCTTTTGTGTTTCAATATTTTATGCATTGTTACAAGTGTAACTCTGGAACTAGGTTTTTCTTAACTGAACATTTTGTCTTAATAGAATGAAGGTTTATGTAAGGGTATTAATGTAATATATGTAATATAACAACTTAATTTTGTCCCGGATCTGTCTAGAGCACTTTTTCCACTTAAATCAGTGGGAGAATTTGACCTAGAGGGATACTCTACTAATTTACATGTTTTAACTTACAGGATTACATGCCATTTCAATCAATATTCATAAATGCATTCCAAAATGATGTAGAGAACAGTCAGCTCTGGCAACAAACAGCATCAGCTCTCCAAACTAATAAATTTGTTCAGGTAAAACCAATTCTATTTAAAAGCGATTTTACATGCATAGCTCACAGGCATATATATTTTAGTCATTGACATTTCCTTACACAGTCATTGGATTTCTCTCATGTAGCCACTCCTTGGAAGGAAAAGCGAACTGGATAAACAAAGGAAGGAGATCAAGGAGCTTTGGCAACGAGAACAAAAGAAAATGGTTGGTATATTTGAACATAATATATTGTGGGGGGCATTCAGGGATGTCCATCTGCTTGCACAATGGAAATCTTCTTACCCCAACATCCCCCTGTGTTTCCCCAAAATATGCTTTGTAGGTTTGGGGAACTTGTGGAGCTGATTTAGGGAGGTGCAGGAGGAGAAGCCCCATTGCATGAGAAGACTTCACTCATACTATGTGGGGCATCGCCCTTTGTTTCAGATAGAAATTCTAAACTTCCAAATTTGCCCGCAGAGCATACAATATAGGCATTCAGCATACATTACTTACTGTAATTCATTGGAAAAGTTTACATATTTTAAAAAAGAAAGAAAAATCCACTAGTTACAATTCTCTTCACATTTATGGCATAAAGGCCACCAGTTCCTGTGCTTTCCCATACTCCCATTCCCACAGCTCAATGTCTGGATGATGATGATGATTAACAAGCTTTGAGTTAGAATATAATGTGTCGCATTTCTCTATTCTACAACATGGAAACTGCTAATATTGAGATGCTTTCTTTTGGAATGAGCAGCAAGAACTTGAATCCACCGTTAAAAAAGCAAAGCTATTATATCTTCAGCGGCAAGATGAATATGAAAAGGCAAAATCATCAACTGTTCGTGCTGAAGAGGAGCATCTGACCTCCAATGGGGGTATTATTAAAGATGTCAGTAAACTTGAGAAAAAACGAAAACTTGAAGAGGAGGCTCTCCTAAAGGTAAGGAAACTTCTTTAGATATGTTAGCAATGAAATGCAGTGTTACACTAGTTCTTGGAAAGATGTGATTCATAAGACATGTTGGCTGGTACTTATGAAATTATAAAGTGCTTTTATTGTGGACTGCTAAAGGTAGGGTTTTTTCAGGTATTTTAATAGGAAGTTTCTTTGCCATCACTCATTCTTTACATGTTTAATTTGTTGTAGGCTGAAGAAGCCAATGAACATTTCAAAGCCAGCATGGCTGAAGTTGAAGAAAAACGAAATGATCTAGAAAATTTCAAAAGTGATATCTTAACCCAGCTACGGGAACTTGTTTATCAGTGTGACCTCACACTTAAAGCTGTAAGAATGCATTCCTTGTGTTCTAGACTAGTAGAAAATCATTATTGTTGGAATATCATGTGTGAAAATGATTTGATATGTATCTCTGAAGCATTATGGCCAACACTGCTGGTATATTGACTAAAGCAATCATATTGGTTTTATTTGGGCCAGCCTATAAGCTGTGGTATAATAGTAGATCATGAACAACCCATGCTTCTTCTACATTTATTGTAGCACAAACCATAGTTTGCCAAGCTGCTTGAATTAGAAGGCTGTGCTTAGTGTTCAATCTCCAACCCAAGATTGGAAACCCACTTCAAACCATGGTTTCATATTCTGGTTTGGAAGGCTTGGCAATTATAGCATGCCAGTTCAGATGCCCTGACAAAATCATGGTTAATGCTAAACAGGAAACTGATAGGAATGCCATGCAAAGAGGGGAAACAGGCAAGTCCATGACTCATTGCTTATCTTCCATACCCATGGTTTGCAGAACTGTCTTAATGGTGTCTGTATGATTGTTTCATTCAGTATATTAGTAATTTTTAAAAGTAGTCTGGAGAACTATCTAAACAGAGCCACTTGCCTAGTTCAGAGGTAATGGGGAACGATGGTTTTCCACAGTGCTGAAAGAGCTGCAGCAACCCTTTGTCTTGTGCACCCCCTGTTCTCCGCTTTTCCCACTGTGAGTCGGAGATCAGAAATACCAGATTCATTGGTTTTTCTTTATGTGCATTGGTACTAAGTAGAGAATCTCTTCATGTTTCTTTATCTTGAAACAACAGTGAGCCAACATTCAGAGCCTTACCTCATAAAGTGGCAAGTGGGGGGAAATACAGCTGCAGCTTTGACTTACCTTTGACTTAAAGCTTCTGTGAATTGATTGATAATAGCTTGTAGTAGATTAAATAGAATACTATTGTTCCTAGCACCCCGTTTTTGAAGTCTGTCCAAAGTTGAGTGGTTTCCCGGTACTATGATGTCAAGCACTCTGAATTGCTAAATAGTGCTGCAAAAAATCTCATGAAACTAGACAAGCTTCACACAACATGTGGCAAAAGATGTTTGTGAATGATTTGTCCATGAAGTTATTTATTTCATAAATTGGAATATCTATCTAGATAACATAAGTTTCCACAGCTTAATTATAGCAAGCCATTCATGGAAGGCAGACAAAGGAAGACAAGCAGAAGAGTTCACAAGGTTGTGTAGTATAAAGTGTCCATTTGTCTTTGGGAAGAAAGGCCTAGAATCTTAGATGATAAATCTGTTTTGTATACATACTTGCTATTTAACTTTAGTGGATGAACTATACTATGATGCATTCTGTCTGTTAAGACATACATCAACTTATGTTGAATTGAAGGACACAGCTTTTTTGTAAATGTGGATGATACCGAAATGGAAGGGCATTAAATTTTAGCGTTAAATTTGTTCTGCAGCTATGCCTTGCATATTTATCCTTAACTTTATAATAATTGGGGGGCAACCTAAGCAGCATCTTGGATGAGAGGCTGGTCCATATCACATTTCTAAATATGGAAGCTTGAGGCTTCTAGTCAGACTGTTGTGTACCAACTACAAACACTGCAAATTTTTTTTATATTCTCTCTTCAGATTTCTGAATACTGAGAGACTTAGTTTTTCAACATTTTATAGTTTTCTCTTTTTTTTTTGGTCTTGCTGATTAAGTAAAGTTTCCAAAAAACATTGGTGTCTATCTAAACCAATTCTTTCATGAGTGAAATGCAGTTTCACTTGTGCAAAGTGGCTTCCATGAGTTCTACCAGTTCTTCTTCACATTACAGCTCCCTGTGCCCACATCCCATGCTATGCTAGAGGGTCTCCCAAACCTTAGGAAGGGTTTTTTCAGGCATTTAGGGGGCTTAAGCAAGGTTTGGTGGGAACAACCTGTTGTGTAAGCAGAGTTACACTCATGCTTCTTTGGATCCAAACCAGTACCACTACAGGCAATCAAAATTCACCCTTTCACTGGCTTCTATCCATCAGTCTCACAAAACAGAGGTTGGTTTAACTATAAATACATCTTGCATCCACATGCTTTCTTGAAACCTAAGTATACTGACAGAAGGGAAATGGAGAAGTTTAAGAAATGTTGAGCAAACTATGACAGAAAGCTGTAATTGTGATTGGTGACATACAGGCTAGTTTGTCTTTTTAATGCCTGGGGGGGGGGAATCATTTGTGAACTATTTTTGTAAGTTTTAAGAGATGCGGGGAATATTTCAAACCTTGGTTTCTTGAAATAACTCTATTTCAAATATCTTTTTGTTCCACCCAGGCAACAGTTAACCTGTTCCAGATGCAGCATGCCCAAGTTGTGTCTCTACCAGTTAACTGTCAGTCCCTCTGTGAGAGTGCCAAGCTTTATGACCCAGGACAGAAGTTCTCAGAGTTTGTGAAGAATTTGCCAAAAGATGATGTTCCCATTGAATCGGGTTCCTTTGAAACTCAGAGCTCCCAGGTTGGAGGGTGAGAGCTCAGATACCATCTTCGCTTACTTGGCAGCAAATGTGAACAAAATGCTAGAGGAATGTAGATAGAAAATAAAAGAGAGAAAGAACTTGTGACTTTAATAAGTCAGGCATTGTTGAAAAATGAATGGAAATGGGTCCTAAAAGACAGGTGACTTTTCATAGTGTAGAGCAGAGTTTAGTATTTGTTGTTGTTTTTTGCTGAGGATTTTTTTTTCCATTTAGCTAAAAAAAGAAAGATATGGAGAAGGTACCTCAGCTTGCACAAGTTCTTGGCTCTCACTTAAGTTTGTTGTCCAGCCATTTGCGGCAACAGTTGATGCTTATCACTATGTCTATTCTTGTTGCTGAGCACGAGAATTTGGGACAAGTGGGACTTGCAACAAAACATACTGCAGCCTGAAGAATTCCTGGTCAGGATACTGCATTCTGTTACATCCTCTTTCCCCATTTTCCAGTCATCGTCCTCCCACCAGAAAGTCAGCATTCTGTGGCTGTTGAAGATGCTCAGTCCTCATTGAGATGTTTTGGTGGTTCGCCCCTAAAGGCTATTTTGTCTTTAAAAAATATTGTACATTAAACCTTGGGGTTTCCAGAAGTCTGCTGATAACCTCCTCTTTTGAGCATGGGTGGTGCCATTTAGATTACATAAGCAACATTCCCTGTCTGAGTATTGGAAATAAGGGGGTGGAGTGATGGAAGCAGTATTCGAAGTTAGGCCTGCGGCCTCTTATACTGCTTAACCTCTGCAAGACATTCATAAAAAGCCTGGAAATGTTTTATTTATAAAAACTTTTTTTTGCAACATTTAATATCAATATTAAGTCAGCTTTGGAACTTGATTAAATACTCATTTTATGTTTTCCGTTTCAAAAAAGCTGAATATAAGAAAATGTAACTCTTTCGAAAGTTCTTAACTTAAAGCTTGAGGTAATAATAGCCAAGAAATTCAAAGTTAGTCTTGGGATACTTGTCTGTCGACTTCCTGCCTGTCATTAATTTGTCTTAAATCTATGCTCCAACATTTCCAGAGATAAAAGGGGCTTTCACCACACACTTCAACTAAGTCATCCAAAGAGAGCACCTATTTTAGTCTTTTGTTTTGAGCTCTCTCATGATAAATTACTATTATGATAGATAACTAAGTTGTTAAGGCTATTACTTAGGGAAACATGGGCAGCTTCTGTTGTGCTGGGAGGAGAAAAGCTGATTAAGCATAGACTTCCTGCTGCTGAACATGACTAATAAGCTCTTTCTGCATTTGGATGTTGTGGATTTTTTATTATTACCTAAAATTAGGGTACAAATATAAGAAGGCAGTGGAAGTTGCATTTGACAACTTAATTACAAAAGTCCCATGCAGAATTGGTATGCCTTACACCTCAATTGCAAACTGAATCAATCAACTCTGCTGATGGATAAATGCTGTAAGCACCAAAAGCTTACGTTTGAAAATAAACTACTGGATGAAACTAATTTCATCCTACCACAGAGAGTCCCACAACTAACTAATAAATATTATATGCCCTTGTTCTTTGTTCAAACACATACACTCATTTCATTTCAAAACAAGGCAAAAAAGCACAAAATCCAACTCAGGACATGCTCTAGTTGGACTAACCTGTCCCCTCCATCTACTATCTACTGTCCTGTGGGAACGATTCGGGAGATGGGGGCAGGCAAAGAGCCTTGGAGCCTGCTAGGGGGTGGATATTTCCAAAAATAAAAATGTTTTTTCCTCTCCCCAGGGTTTTCAGTAAACGATCAAACAATGTCCATGCATCACAAGGAAATTTATCCCAGTGCTCAGGAGATTTTCCCGCTCAGTTACTAGAAGACATCACAAGTCCAAGCTGTCATCGATCTCAAAAGATTGGAGAAAAAAGATCATCAAGCACCACAGATGTCTCTGGTAATATTTTAGTAGGTTTCTAAATCTTCATGGTAAAGTAGTCTTCCTTTAAAGGTCACTGCAGTAACCCATTGCCAGTACACAGATGGTTATTGTAATAAACAAAAGATCATGGTAAAGTAGTCTTCCTTTAAAGGTCACTACAGTAACCCATTGCCAGTACTCAGATGGTTATTGTAATAAACAAAAGATCATAATTAAATTAAAACTTTTTAGGTTATTGGGGTTTTGCTTTCTGTTTTGTTTTATTTTTCACCTTTTTTTATTTTAACAGTACTTATTTTGGCAAACCGGATAAAATATGACTAGAAGCTGAATAAGTTTGTTTTGCTTCCAGCACAAACCAAGCAGCAAAAGTAGAAAATTGTTGAAATGCTTGTAATTTAATAGTACAAGGTTGACTTTAATATTTTATTTTACCATTTGAGTTCATTATTTTTCTTTTCTTACAGCTGTGCGTGGCCCCCCACCATTCAGATCCTGGTCAGTTGGTAACCAGAGTGGAGGAATGTGCAGTGATTCTGAAAGTGCAGGAGGAAGCAGTGAATCACGGTCTGTAGACTCTCCATCTGCAAGCCCAGGTACAGAGAATATTAATTTTCAAACACTAATAAATAGTATCTATTGGATGAAATTTCCAATTTCAGCGGCAGTGGGCAGGGGAAGGCATAACTGGAGTGGACTGACAGACTACCATCTGGGGCAGAGGCTAGATGTTTGGCCCCTGTCCTCCATTTTAGTTGCCCCACTCTCTGATCTAGTAGTGCTGTTGTTGAAGGCCAGGCCAGTCCATGCTGATCATGTGTAGCCACAATTTTATCATGAATGAAGGGGCTGACCTAGTGTGCATAACCAAAACTGGGATGGGTAAGCTGGTTGGCCCTGACCTGACTTAGCTGTGCCTATCTTGGTAGTCAGTACAGCACCAGGCTTGACTGTGGGGGTCAAGTGGTGGCGTTGCTGTTATCCATAGAAGCACCATCTCTTTTCCCAAAAAGCTTCATTTTCTTGGGATGGACTTAAGAGAGTCTGCATTGGTTTGGGGTCAGAGGAATGGACTGGGGGTGCTTCTAATTTATTAATTACCCTGTTACCCAGCAGCATCTCTGAGTTGGCTGTGATGGTCTCTGGTGTGGCGTTGGAGGACCCAAGGACAATAGACTTGGGTGACATCAATATCCGCAGAGACTGCAGTTGAGCCAGCTTGGGACTTCATGGTCTTGGTGACAGCCATGGGGCTGTGTCAACTGGTCATCAGTCCAGCACATTACGCAGGGCACAACCTTGAAGTTGTTTTTACCTCCAAGTGATATAAGGGATGGACCAAAGATTGGGTGGTGTGTGTGTGCAACCTTGTCATAGTTGAACCATTATCTGGTAAAGTTCAAACTAGTGGTGACAGTTCCCCCCCTGTAAGGGTGGTGGGCTCGTTCAGATGGCCCACCCTCAGAGGCTGATGTAACCTGAGGAGTTTCTGAATGCTCTGGAGGAATCTTTGGTATTCTGGGGAGCTTTGGGCTATGGAAAATCATGTGAGGACTAGAGTGCAAGTAGGTTAAGTCTCATTCTGAATCCAACTGAACACTGGCTAGTGCTCATAATCATGCCTACTATGTGGCAATGCAGATTGCGAAGAATACTAATTTTGTAGCTTGCGTTACCTCCTCTAGTAGCTGGTTGACAGTTTTATTGTGAACCGTCTGAAAGTTACTGACTCCCATTGTGGGTCTGCTGTGACCAACTGACTACACCCTTTGAGGATAAAGTCACATGACTTTCAAGTGAACTTGACTCTTCACTTGTCGCAATTCTGGATGAAGTACCCAATGCCAAGATCAGTGATATGTTGTGGGATCAGTTTTAGGTTATGCAGGCAGCTGATGTGGACAAGGTGTTGATGTTCACACACCCAACCACATGCCCTCTTGACCCCTGTCCCACCTGGCTTATTAAATATAGGAGATGGAGTTGCAGGAGGTCATACTTTCTGCCTTGAATGAATTGCGGCTGTGGCCTCTCCTATAGAAACCAGCCCTGGACCTCTTGGACTAGAATAACTATCAACCAGCTGCAAATACCCCCTTAGGGGATGGGGAATAGTGGAGAGAGTTGTGGTAGGGTATCACCTAGCATTCTTGGATGAGAGATAGTTTAGATTTGTTTCAATCTGGGTTCAGACCTGGTCATAGGACTGAATTTCCCTAACAGATGACCTTACAGAGAGCTGGAGAAGGAGAGTTTGCCCTTTCTCTTGCTTCTTGATCTTTCTGTGGCTTTTGATACCACTTACCATAGGAATAGGGTGCACTGTGATACAGTGGTTTCTGTCCTACCTATGAGACTGAGTCCAGAGAGTAGCACTGAGATAGTGGGATTTTTTAGCCCCTGGCGTTTATGGCCTAGTCAAATTATAATAATCTTTTGAATGCCTTTATATACTTGTTTTTAACTGCTTTTGTAAAGAATTTCAATGTTTTATTTCATATATTTTGTAAACTACTTAGAGGTTTTCTTACATTCAAGCAGTATATAATTTTAAAATAAATATATAGATAGAATTAAATAGGCGGCTTCTTTTAAAGTCTGAAAAAAGCCTTGCCTCTTTCATAGGGGACTTTAAAAGAAGGCTTCCCCGGACACCATCTACTGGTACCATGTCATCTGCGGATGATCTCGATGAAAGAGAACCACCTTCACCTTCAGACTCTGGTAATGTATCTTCATAATTGAATTAATAATTTGCTGCAAGTAGGCTTCATGGTATTAATCATATTTGGATGCCCTTCCCTGAGTTTTGTTAGAAGAGAATAGGGAACCAGAGATAATTGGAATGTTTGCCTTGTCGGATCAAAGAAGTAGATTAGCGAATCCTCTCAGCTTAACATACACTAAGAACTGGAACTCTTTTCTCCAGTTTAGAAAAAATTAGGCTTAACTGCTTAGTTTTAATGCCAATGTTTCTGCTAAATGCTTGCTTGATAGCAGAGTGGAAAGTAGTAAGCAGCTTCTTTTCTGGCTTGCATGATGCATTGGCAGGAAACTTCAAAGCCCACCATATGTTTGAGCTTGTAGAAATTCATGACTGGACAAAGGTTATTTTTTTCTCAAAAACAGAAGTACAAGATTGGGAGCTATTCCATATAATTATTAAATGATTCAAATTGTTCCTCAGCCCTTCTAAGGCTGCAATCTTCTACATGCTTGCTCAGGATTATGGTCTCATGTTAAGGCCTCATTTCAGAGTATCTGAATGGAAACATGCAAATATATTAGGAGGTAGAAAAGTGTGAGAGTGTGTGTGTGTACCCACACAAAGATGTCTTTTTTATTTCCCTTGGTACACTTTTTTAAATATACAAGTCAGCGCTAGTGCTGTACAGTCAACGACCATTTCACTGCTGTCACTGTTTGCAAAGGAGTGACAGATGGAGGCCCCACTCACCTGTCAAAATGGCCCACAGGCAAGCCTGTGTATTGTATATTCTTACAATAGTGACCCCTGGGTGTAGTTTTATGTAACCAATAAACATATTTCAGTTTATAAAGAACTTGTTTTTCTATTATGCCATCCCCGCCCCTTAGTACATTAAAGAGCTAATAACAGAATTTGTGTTCTAAGGTTTGAATGATCTAGCATCTGAAATGACCAGTTCACCTGGACCTTTTCGAAACACGATTCTATCTAAGGCAGCACAAACCCACAAACTGCGGAAGCTGAGGGCTCCATCTAAATGCAGAGAATGTGATAGTCTGGTGGTATTTCATGGAGCAGAGTGTGAAGAGGTAAGAAATTCAAGCATTGTTTGGCTTCCTTGGGGGAGGCTGTGTTGCTGCAGTCAGATCATGTGAAAATTTTGCTCTCTGTAGGTTAAAGGGCTTCTTTCACTATGAGGTGCTCTGGAGATGTGAGGTAACTGATTGGAAGCAGCCAGTGCTGGTGTCAGGGCATTTTGCGCCTTAGATGAACTCCCAAGTTGCTGCTCCCCTCTTCACTCATGACCAATTGAATGGCTCAAAGCCCCCCCCCCCCCCAAAAAAAAACTCTGCTAGGTTATCCAGGCTTCATCCTGGAGCTCAGTGAGACTAAGACCCAAACTACATGTTAAATGGGAAGTCCATTATAGGTTCTTGTGATTTTTAAATATTGCAGCTTTGGGGGTTGCCAAGTGGATTGAAGTAGTGACATGTTTTCCTGTGTAGAGATAAGCACTATGTGAAGAAAAAATGTCAAGTACAACACAAATGCCTGTTAAGTTTATACATAAGTCAACTGGAAACTTGTTCACCATTTGGCCCTTGCCCATCTTGGTTGATTAAGGCTGCATGAGCAAAACTGAGCCCTCTCCTTATTGTCGTGATTAACGAAGCTTTGGCAGAGAGGTCAATGCTTGTATTTTGGATCGGCCCCACTTTTAAGAGCCTATTGGACTCAGCCGATCTAAAAATTATTTCCCCTTTTAAGTTTTAGGACAAGATGCTATTGCTCTGCTATCATTATGAACAGGGTTTGAAAGGACCTTCATTTCTGTTACATTTCCTCTAGTGTTCACTTGCCTGTCACAAGAAGTGCTTGGAGACTTTAGCTATTCAGTGTGGACACAAGAAACTCCATGGAAGACTTCATCTATTTGGAGTTGAGTTTACGCAAGCTGCTAAAAATTCCCCAGATGGCATCCCCTTCATCATAAAAAAGTGCACCTCTGAAATTGAAAGCCGAGCCCTAAATGTAAAGGTAAATATTCAGTGAATAGATGAATCAACACCCCTGTCTTTAAAATAGCTTACATTTTGGTTTTGCAAGTACTTACAACTTTTTCTTATATAAAAGGGCATATATCGTGTGAATGGGGCCAAATCAAGAGTTGAAAAGCTTTGTCAAGCTTTTGAAAATGGAAAGGACTTGGTGGAATTATCTGAACTCTATGCACATGACATAAGTAATGTTCTTAAATTATATCTTCGCCAGGTAAATATGCATAATTCTCTTGTTTCATCTGACTAGCAAATTAAGTATAAATGGGAGGCTTGCTGTTTTTTAGTCTTTCATATGTCTGAATTTTGAAACACTTGGTGGGAGGATTCATCTTTGAAGCTGCTGCTTACTTGTTACTTACACCCAGTGGATAGGGAAAAGGGGCAAGTAATACTCCTAAAATGGTTAAACTTTTTTGTCTCTGAGCCAATGAAATTGCTCCCTACTAGCTTATGGGGAGACATAGTGCTGGGTCCTAATTCTGACGTATTAACCATATAAATGTTAGATTTTTAATAGTTTGTATTAATGTTAGGTTGCAAATTAGCTTCAGTTTTTTTAAAAAAACTAAGCTGTATTTTTGTAACTTCTTTTTAAGTAAAACCTGAAAGTTCCACTTATGGTGCCAGGTGCTGCACAGCATAGCAGGAGTGTACTTTAACCATTTGTTTTAATGGGAGACTTCCAGAACTCCCACCTAGAAGCAGAATACAAATAATATTTGAAAACAAAATAAATGAGAACCTTGAATGCCAGAATAAATGTGGATACTTCCTCTTTTTCCTGTATTACTAAAAATATAGTGGAAATTTGTTGAGGTCTGCTTGCGAAGCTGATTTTTGTGTGACTTGATCCTAGACATCTGTTGGAAACTTGTAATTAAGATATTTTGGGCCACTATGAGAAAACACTTGTCTTAAATTGCATTTGTTGTGCCACTAAAGCCAACATCACTAAAATCAGGCAACAAATTTGACTGGCTGTGGATTTTGGGGAGATTATTTAACAAGCTGAGATGTTGAAGCAGGTTGATTCCGCCACCCAAGAAGCATTCTAATCCTTCAGAAAATGTTCCTTGAGAAGCAAGTTGTAATAGGCTGAAAGCACTTGCCTTTTTGCCAGTGAAGCTGTTTTGACATTTTGCATGGGCCACAGGCGATACCTAACTTTGCTGAAGGTCAAGTGAGAATGCTGTTTGCCCATACTCAATATGAATTGAGTATGAATATTTTATATTCTTGAATCAATTACAAGGGTTTGGTTTGATGGGGTAGTTTAAATTTAGCAGCAAGTGTACTGAAAAAGACTGGTTTCTCTCTGTTCTCTATACCCTATCTGTGGATGTCTGGTAGGTATACAGAAGAGGAGACTTGCCAGTCTCTTTGATGTTGTAAAAGGACAGACTAGTGTCACTACCTATGGGACTCTTGTTGCTGTATTCGTCTTTTTAAAATATATACTATTAGTGAACAATTTAAAAAACTAACATTTCTGTTAATAATTTGGATTTCTTACTTTATCAATAAATACCACCTCATTTGCTTGCAGTATCTTACTTACACAGAGACTAAGTGACATCAGTAAAACTAAAGCTCAGAAGCCTCTCAAAAAAGAAAAGGAACTAGACTAGACATCAGGAAGTAATAGGAAGGAAACAGTTGACTTGAGCTAAAATTGAAGTCTGAAATTTCTGACGTTCTTTCCCTCAGCTCCCTGAACCTTTGATTTTGTTTCGGCTTTATAATGAATTCATTGGCCTTGCAAAGGAGAGCCAAAGTATTAATGAAGAACTGGATATGAAACGGATGAGCCCCAGGTCCAAAAAAAGGCAGTCAGTGTGTATTGAACTGAATAGGATCATTCTTAAAATCAAAGATCTACTGAAACAGCTGCCTGCACCAAACTATAACACACTCCAGTTTCTTTTAGGTCATCTGTACAGGTAAGGGAACTTCAACTCAGCCTGTACATATACATTCAGAAATATGTGTTAAGCATGGGTTTATTTGTTAACAATAAAGATCTGTGTATTTCTTGTAGCAAGCAGTATTTTTGTTGTGTTCCTAGCCGGTGGTATGAACATATTAATATTAATGAGGCTTAATATTTCCTTCTCTCTTTTTCAACTTGTTAACACTAATTGGATGATGATGATGATGATGATAGTGAAATTAATGTGGAGATTTGGGTAGTGTTGGTTTTGTAGTGAATGTACCATGTTGGGTTCGTACCAATGTTCAAAAAGCCTCTCTGGATTTTGTTCTTTTATGCAGGGTTACTGAGCAATCCGATGAAAATAAAATGTCTGCCAGCAACCTTGGTATTATATTTGGCCCAACTCTGATCAGGCCACGTCAGACAGATGCTACCCTTTCTCTCTCTTCACTTGTGGACTATCCATATCAGGCCCGGGTAGTTGAGCTGCTCATTACCTATTATGAGAAGATCTTTGATATTTCGCCGCAGCCTTTATCACCTGCACCTCGGTTAGAAGACAGTGCTGCTTGCGCTAAAAGTATTTTAACAGCTGAAGATAGAGATCCATATCAGCAACGAAAAACGTCGCCCTGTGCTGCTGTGAAAGAAGTGAGTGTCTGCTGTGAAACAATAACTTTCATTTACTGCATTGAACTTGTGCTAGCGTATTCAGCGAATTTTTAATATTGCTGTTATTGACAGAGCATCCAGTTGGTCCAAAATGAGAGGAAGGATTCAGAGGCTAGTATATCATTTGAAGAACCAGATGGCAGCAAAGACACCCACCAGAATTCTGATGCATTAGTGACAGGTTAGTGTTTTGCATTTCTACAGTACAATAGATGGATAGAAAAATGAAGCAGAACTTTTATTCACGTGTTCACTGCATGTCATTCTTCATTAAAGGGACAAGTACAGTGGTACCTCGGGTTACATATGCTTCAGGTTACAGACTCCGCTAACCCAGAAATATTACCTCGGGTTAAGAATTTTGCTTCAGGATGAGAACAGAAATCATGCTCTGGCAGCGCAGCGGCAGTGGGAGGCCCCATTAGCTAAAGTGGTGCTTCAGGTTAAGAACAGTTTCAGGTTAAGAACAGACCCCCGGAATGAATTAAGTATTTAACCCGAGGTACCACTGTATTGACATTTGCTATGGAATCCATAGAGCAGATTGAAAATGCATCAGGCTTATAGTCATTATCACATTAGGCTTTCCTGTTGAGATTTAACTGTTTATGTTGCTGGCTGTGTTCATATTTCCTAGAATGGAACTCCAAACTTGGAACTAAACAGAGTCTTGGCAGAAGGAATTCTCCTTCAGAACCCTCTCCTGTCTCAGTTTTAGAAAACCACATTGCACCAGCAAAAGATCCAGGTCAGTTTCCTGAATTGCAAGTATTCATACAGCTATCTTGCTATCCTTCAGGTTCCTGTATGTTCAGGTACAAAATAAACCTTTCGTTATTATGACTTCTGTTGGTGCAATGAAAAGAAGCCTATTCTTAGTTGACAGCTTACTGTCTCAGCACATCGCGTGTGTTTAAAAAGCACATTGTTATGAAGCCTTTTCAAAGGGTGGTTATGCTGCTTTTGAGTTATTGGCCATGTTTGGACAGTCAGGTCTCAGTTCAATAAGTGGAGATGTGAACGAGCTTCATCTGTCTACATGCAGCTGTTTTACTCAACCCTTTACAAGAAAAGGGAAACAAGACAGGAAACTGCTGTTAGCCATAGCTTCCCATTACATCCTAACAGCAAGCAAGCCTGAAAATGAAGCCATGGGTTAAAGTTGGCTTCTATATCCTGATTCGTTTAGACAACATTAATCATAATTGTCAGTTCAAACATAACAGGAAACTGTTTTTCAGTGAAAAAATGCCTTGAGTTCCCTCAAGTAACAGAAACCTAAAGCTAATTTGCTTTGCTTAAGTAGATAAAATGTATGTAATTAAGAACTGTGCAAGACAAAGGCATATATAGGCCTATGAATAAGAGCATGGGTAGGCAAACTAAGGCCCGGGGGCCAGATGTGGCCCAACTGCCTTCTAAATCCGGCCCGCGGATGGTCCGGGAATCAGCGTGTTTTTACATGAGTAGAATTTGTGCTTTTATTTAAAACGCATCTCTGGGTTATTTGTGGGGCATAGGAATTCGTTCATAATGTTTTCCAAAATATAGTCCGCCCCCCCCCCCCAAGGTCTGAGGGACAGTGGACCGGCCCCCCGCTGAAAAAGTTTGCTAATCCCTGAGTAAGAGTATAGTAAGAGACCTGTTGGTTCAGACCAAAGACCCATCTAATCTAGCATTCTTTTCTCAAAGTGGTTGACCAGATGTTGATGGGAAGCCTGCAAGCAGGCCATGAGTGCAGTAGCACTCCTTCTTCTTGTGATTCCCAGCAACTGGTGTTCATAAGCATACCACAAATGGTGTTTAGAAACACACTGGAGGTCGCGGTTAGCTATGACATACATGCCTAGTAGCCATTGTCAGCCTTATCCCCTCCCCCCAATGAATTTGTCTAAAGCCCTTTTTGAAACAATTCAAGTTCGTAGCCTACTTGTGGTAGAAAATTCCATTCTTTAAGTATGCACTGTGTGAAGAAGTACTTCCTTTTTTTGTCTCATTAATCTTCTAACATTCAGCTTCATTGGATGTCCCTGGGTTCTAATATCGGGAGAGAAGGAGGAAAACTCCCCACCCACTTCATAACTTTACATAAATAGACGTTTATCAAATTCTTTCATTATACTAATGATAACCCTAATGTAAATAATCTTGTGAGTGAGGGATAACAACCATTTTTTCACTCTGTTTGAAAGAGAATAATATGGAGAGGGATAAAAATCCAAAGCAACTGTTTAAAGCAGTATATTTATACTTGTTGGCCCGATATATTAGCTTTTTCCTGAGGTCTGCAAAAAGGCTTCCTTCCTTCCTTTCCCAGAAGAGACCTTTGATTCCTCCCAGGCTGATTTATCCTAACTATTGGGTTGTTCTTGTGAAAAAGTTGATAGAAATAGGACTAAAGATCTCTTTTTGATTCATATCCAGAACTCTTTAAATGGAAGCTTCCTCCATGGCTTATATAGTACTATAATCCTAAATTGTAGGTATGGATACAGGTACAAATCGGGGTGATTGGGTGCTGCAGTCTTTAATGCAAACTGTTCTACTTAAACTGACTCTGCAAGTCCTTAGTCTGCCTTATGGAGTAGGCAGATGAAAAGTCTCTTTGTGGCTTGCAGGTGTCAAATCCTTTGAAACAGTATGTCTGGCACTTTTTATTTTATTTATAAAAATATTTAAATACCGCTGTATCATAAAAATATATAACAGCCATTTGCAACAATATTGAAACATAAAATCAAACAATAAAATCATAAAAAGTTAAAAACAAAAAGAAATTAAAAGCAAACTTTAAAAATAGCCTGGAATTAATATGGTCTTGAATATAATGGCAATATTGGTGTTCTCTGCTTGTTCTCTGAGAGGTGTGATCTTCTAAAATATACTTAGTTGCATTTAGAGACCAGTTTGATTTCTGGCTAATGTTATTCAAAGTTAATGCTTTCTGATGGCAAACTGACAGTCAAAATAAATGTTTTTCTTCCTTAGGCAATTCTGTGGCTGCAGTTTCAGATCCAGATAATGAGCAATCTCCCCCTCAAGTTGAAGATGGTGTTAAAGCCAGTCACCTCTTAAGACCGAATCGTCAAATAACCAAAGTTCAGTTACGCACTCATAGGACAAAGCCAGTTGTTCGTCCTGTGAGTTTACCTCTAGGTCAAATGCTTCCTCCCTGTGTTTTGAATGAGAGAAACTCACGAAATGCAGGTCTAAGTACAGAAAATATTGGCAGAAGTCCTGTAATTGAAGAAGTTTCCGAGACGCAGCCACTTCCAGCTGTAAATGCCGGCTGTAGGCTTTCTTGCTTTGACCCACAGACTCTGAAGAAAACTTGGGACAAGCAATATAAGCAGTATGATATGACTGCAAGGACAGCAATGATTGTGACTAATATACCCCAGGAGAACCGAACACATGACTCTGTAAACTCAAGTGCCTTAACTACACATAGCAACCTTGCTAGCAACTCAGTAAATGCCATACTTCCCAACAAGCCATATACGGTACCTGTCAGGGCTGCAAGGGCAACAGCAGAAGGGCATTCCTCAGACTCTAATACGCTTGCTGCTTTCAGAACACCGAGAACTTTGCAACCACCACCAGGGACATTCTATAAGCCACCACCCATCAGTAAGGCCAAACAGAGCGATGAGAGCTTGGCACCCAAACCATGTGCAGCAGTCATCAGAGATGAGACTCCACAGCTAGTTGTGAACCCTGGGCTTGTCCAAGGCTCCTTGGGCTCCTCTGGCCCACATGCAAAGCAACAAAAACCCACTTCTGAAGCTCTTTCCCCTACAGACTTGAAGCCCACCTACCAGAGATTAAGGCCAAAGAGGATGCAAGAACTAGAACACAGGGAAGCTCACTTTGTATAGGGTAACAACTGCTATACAACCTTTCAATGGGGAACTTTTTTTTTTTTTTTTTTTTTGGTAGAGGATTTCATCTTCGTGCCATATATTGGAATTATTTTTATATATGCCTGTATAGACTTTTAAAAATATGGGATGTGTTTAAAAAAGAAAAGAAAAAAAGCTGTGAAGAACCATGAAGTTATTTTTTTCATTCATTAGATTTTTCTCGGAGAGTATTTAAATGCATTCCAAATATAGAAAAAGTTAATAAGGAGGCACATTCAAAAGCCCTATAATCAAATTTCATGTGTGGAATTGTACTATTGCTTGTGAAAGGCAATTTATTATGCATGGGTGCAGCAATGAAAGTAGCCACTTTCTCAGAGTAAATGATTTGTCAAGACTGCAGGGTATATGAAATACAGCTACTTTAATTTAAGAATAAACCAAAGCTTGAAGCAGTGCTCTAAGTGTCTGTAATCAGTTCCCTCCCCCTGACTCTGTGCAATGAAATGCGCCTGAATAGATTATGTACTGGCCAGCATGGCCTTTGTATATTGTGTGTGAATATACATATATAGTTTTATATACCAATTGATTTTTTTTTTTTACTATCTATGTTGTTGCTTAAAAGTTGTTTGTACAGGAAAGATGCATTATTAAGCTTTACTATAAAGATATTTAAAAAGTGTTCTCATCCAGTTACCAAGTGGTTTAAATGCACAAAACCTAGCTGGCTTATTGCCTTTCAGTTGAAAATAATGTGGAAGTTCCTTGTTACTAATAAGCTATCATTTCCCCCTTACTGTAGAAAGCTCCTTTTATTGCTTGGTATAGATGAAGAATATAGGTCTGAGATTTAGTGAAATAGATAAAAATAACCAAAAAGCCAGCATTTAGTAAGTGCATTGAATGGTTTTTCACTCTGTATTAAAAATTGTTTTTATATGTACACTGTTGCTTTAAAAAATATACATTAACATGTTAATGTTTCACTGACTCCATGTATTCTATTATGCTTCATCTTACTGTATATAGAGCCATTTACATGTTAATATAATATACCATGTATCAATATATACACTCAAGTTTCTTTAAAGTTATTCTGTACAGATGGGTTTGTATTTCTGTTGCACATTAAAATGCTGGTAATGTTATGAGTAAATCTTAAAAGACAACAGTAAATGGTGGGGGTAACTTTCTTTTAACAAATCTGCTTTTAGACAGATATTTCAAAATGAAAAGGGGTGGATGTCAGTACTAAATTAATGGTGTATAAAACCTTTATTTCAGGGGTGGGGAACCCCCAACCCATAGGCTGGAGAGAAGCTCAGCAAGATTTTATCCAGCCTCTGGGGGCCCTCCCAACCATCAATCTTCAGTACGGCCAGAGGGAGAGCATCATTTATGATGCTGGTAAACAGCCTGTCTGTGGTAGGCTGCAGGTTTTCCTGACATACTGATGAAAAACAGTATTCTTCTGGAGGAAAGGGGTTATTGATATGATGTAATGGCCTGATTATGCTTGTGGAGATTGCTGCAGTAGTTCATTGTAGCATGTATGTTGTTTCCTTCTGTGCTGATACATTTGGTATAATTTGTTTCTGCATACCTGCGTTTAAGAAGTCAGTACTCTCAAGACAGATGTGGCCATACATATTGTCCCGCTTTAGCCCTAAACTGCTTATCACTTCTGAAGTAGGCAGAAGGTAGTGGCCAAGCAGGATGTGGCTTCCATGAGTTATTTTATTGGAGTTATTTGTGTTCCGCCATTTGCAAAATAGTTCCAAGGTGGCTTGGAACATAAAAATACAAAACAATAAAAAGCAGGAGATAAAATGCAAATGCCTTCTAAAAGCCATCTGAAAACAGAAGGACTGCCTGAATGATAAGGATATTGGGTGGTAATGTCTGTGAAGTGTCAGTAATTTGGGTGTTGCTGTTGAAAAACTCTTTCTTTGGTAGCCACCTACTACCATTTACTATGTGCCGCTTTTCACATGGGTTGAAGCTTGTGGATCCTTTACAAATAAATAATCACGCATCTCAACATAGTCTAGCCTAGACTATGTTAAGAATATGCATAACTAGCCAGACCATATTGGTCAAGGAAGGGGTATAGGTGGAACACCAAGGTAAGTTGATGAAATGCATTCTGAACTACTGATACCACCTGAACACATCCAAAATTAATTATAGATGTAAAAGCATTCTCAAGCTGTGCATTTGCAACTTAATTTACCCTGTGGTAATAGCCCTCTCCCAGGAGCTTTTTTAGTAAGAGGGTGGCACCACGGCTTTGCAGAGGAATTACACTGAATATTTGCCATCTGTTTTCACAAACTAAGATTTAAAAAGGCCCTCTGAATATGCAAAACACCTGAAACAGCAGAGAATGTGAATACCATAAGGCACACAGGACCCGATAGAGATTGAGGCAATTCTCTAAGCATCAGTTCAATTGAAGCAATATGACAACCACTCAATCACACACATCAAGTCAGCTTTCTGATGCTATTGCGTATCTGCAGTAGTTCAATCAGATAATGCATGTCAATGTGATTGTCATGAGTTCCTTTATTTGCAAAGCAATATAGATTTCTTCATGAACCATGCAGCCTGTGGTATCTATCCCCAACCAAAAGGCCTTGTTGAAAATGGAGTATGACTAGTTAAGAAACTACTTCCCACTCCGGGGGGGGGAAAAAGTGACTGACTCAAATTTATTTGGCCTTTCTTAATTACAGGGTTAGTTCCATGCAGCACTGCATTTCCTCAACAAGCAGCTTTGAACAGAAAGCTCAAAGCACTACTGATTGGACACCAATCACAATCGGGACTGACATTCTGTGACTTGCCAGTTGTTGCAAACTCTTCTGCACTAAGATTAAGTTATTAAAATGTGCGTGGTTGGTTAATGTGCAAGATTCATACAAACCAACTGTTACTTTTAGTGAGTTTGGTGTACTTTTTCACAGCTGGAAAACATTACCTTTATTATGACTTGAAATCATCTTGCTGTGCAGTGTACTATATAATATCCATATAGTGTGAATGTATGGGCTACACTTTCAGATAATTGTAGTTACAGCTAAGTTACACCCTTCACTGAAATTTATTTCAAAAATACTATTTCCCATATAAAGATTGATCTCTGTGTAGGGAAAAGCATGAACTAACTGCAGGGAACTGAAATAAATTATGTTGCATCAGTGTAAATATCAGCACTAGACAGGGCTTGTTTGTTAATAAACGGGCTGTGTCACAAAAGAGCCAGCAGTTTTGCCAAAATTTATTGAAAAACAATATTCTACAGTGTAACCTTTATTAAGCACGGTAGCTAGAAGAGGAAAACGCTGAAACCCTTGGTACATTCAGAGTAATCTGCCCTGTAACTATATTTAAATCAAAATCACATAAAGTAACAGAATTTAGACTAAAATTTAAAAGCTATATTGTAGGAAACGCACACTGAAGCATGTATTCTCCTAGATATGCACCCATTAGGTGGCAAAACACACCTCTCTCCTGCATCTGATGGGAAAAGCAAATTCTAGCAACCAACTGTAAACTTCAGACTGTCCTTACCCCTTGCTTGGTGAATATGCTGGTATAAAAAGCTGTCTGTGTACATGATAAGAAGGTAAATATAAGCTTCAGGAAAGGTCTGAGACAAGGCTAGAATCCCATTCTCCTGCACCCATAGTCCAATTTTCCAGCCAGTAAGCTATAGTCTAGCCACATTAATGTCAGAAGGAAGTCTGCAAATAATATTAAAGAAAATACATGAAAAAGGGGGCCTTGTCCAAAAGGAAGAGCTCTGATTTTCAGTCCAGTCCATTGGGAGAAAGGGTCACTGGTGAAGTTTCTGAAACCTGTTGTTTGCCATCTACTTAGTTCTTGAGTTTTCTGCCTTGTTACTGAACATAATATTCCCTTTTCCTTTGCTCAATTTTTTCCATCCCATCTTTCCAACTTTGGTGTGTTCTAGGATTGACTCCCCAGCCTCAGAGCTCCTCTTTGTTTATTTAATGTATTCATATCTCGTATTTTCCTCCAAGGACCTCAAGGTGCTCCTCATTAAATCCCACAACAACCCTGTGAGGTAGGTTAGGCTGAGAAGGAAATGACTGGCAGAAGGTCAAGTCTTAACACTGTTGTAATAGGGTCTCAGGCTCCTTTAGCTCTGCTAAATCTGGACAACTCTCAACACAGAGATGTTATCATAGTTCGCTTGCCATTTTAACATTGCCATTACGTCAGCTGTGCAGGAACATGAGTGCCAATGTGTATTTAGAACTTGTGTGCTGTAGAGCTGGCACAACAAGCCACCGCTGTCAGATTTGCATGGTAATTACATTCTATATACTTAACACTGAACTCACCAAGTGCCTCTGAGACTTTGACGGGGTACTGGCTTCTATAACTTCCTGACCTAATTAGTCATGACAAATGTGTGTGCGTGCTTGGTTTTGGGTTTTTCTTTTCTTTCCCTGCAGGGTTTAGAGAGCTCCTGAAGCCATAGCCTCAAATAATATTTGTTAAAACCCAACATTAGTTTAGATCTACAAATAAATATTATGAGAAGTCCGAACTTTTTCCAACATATACGCTATGCAGTGTTTGTGTCTAATGCAATGGTGCTTAAACTCTGAAAACAGAGCTGCCCCACATGAAGCTGAGGATTAAAGCAATCTCCTTACAACTGAGCTGTATTATTTTGTAAGTGCTCACTGTTCCTGAGATGCATTCCTCTGCAGTCATGCTGGACTTGCTTTCAAAACCTCTTTCACTTCTCACAGCAATGCAATGCCTTTGATGGAGATCTCATCACAAATGAGGTAAGCTTGAAGACAGCTTCTTGTCGTATTCCTAATTAGTGCACTCTTGTTTTTTTAAGAGCCCCTCATTTCTATAATACGATGAGTGTCAAAACTGGATATGTTTGGATTTTAACATATAAGGTACCATAAGCTGCTCTTAAATCTGATAACGAATAAAAATATATTTATAAAATCAAAATTGCAGTATAAAACAAAGATAAGAGCACTGTGGGCTGTTAAATCAGCCATCATGCAAGTGGTAAACATTCAAAACAAATCTGTACGCTTTGTTTTGGTGTGACCAGGAAAAGTCATGTTTATGTATTTATATCTATAGGCCACCTTTCTGTCTTACCCCTCTGAGTAAGTTGTTAAATAGACAAAACAGCTAACAAGTTTGATCTGAAATACAAAGAATGGATTCTGATCATCTACATATTTATTAGATGCTATTTATGGTGACCTCATCTAACAGCAGCAATTCCTCTATAACAGAATTGGTGAAAGAAATTTTCTTGGTCCTGGGAACGTAATTTGGGCATAGGACTAAAATACCTTGGTGATTGCTCTACCTCATAATTTGACTTTTGTATACGTCCTCCAAAAAAGAGCCTAGCCAACTAGATGGAAATCTCAGAAATCCATAGATGAATGTTTTTCAATACTGTACCAATGTTATTCAATACCAAGAACACATCCAGAGAGTGCATCCAGTATGACTTTTGTATCTCTCTCTTTTTTCAGTCCTTGGAACAATAGATCCACAAGCTGTATCACAAACAGCTTTTGGTTGGGGCCAGTTGTATAGTTCCCTGGGATGAATCCTAAAAGTGCTGTAGCACTTTTTGTTATATGAGTTCCACATTGAGAAAGACACAATTCTCTCTAAACTTCAAATGGTCTTCACCTATGATTTATTAATAGCATTTAATGAATTTAATTTAGCATCTGAGTGTACAGCATACCTGAGAAGGTAAGGGTAGTGGCTGCCAAAAGCTGCCCAGTGCATCCTGGACCCAAGTCATGGCGTGAATCCAGGTGGTTTTGGCAACCTTTCCACACTAGTTTCTGAACCTTTAGAAAAAAAGATGTTAGTAGTTACAGGTCACCATGTCACTGTGTTACAGTTGTTTGAAAAGTTTCCAATGCCAGTATTCCTTCATCTGAAAAGGATGCATGACATTGGAAGATGGTCTGTTCTTGCCTCTGCTACTGGAGAAGTTCACCCCATTGTTCCTAAAACCATGTGTGGCCTAGAGCAGTACAGATTACGCGCTGAACCACATTTAGCTTTATATGTCAATCATTTAAAAACGTGTGATAGTTTCCCTATGCCAAAATGGGATGCAGACATGGCTGAATGCAGACATGCCCTCAGGCCCATTTGGCTGGCTAGCTACATGTCAGTGATAACATTAACCTAGCAAAATGCTACCCATAGGTCAAGGTGAGGAAAGTTGTGGGCGTTGTTGGACTGCAACTCCCATCATCCTTGTCCATTGGCCATTCTGGCTGGGACTGATGGGAATTGGAGTCCAACAACTTATGGAGGGCCACAAGTGTCTCACCCCTGCCTTCAGTTGTGAAAACAAGAGGCATCTTTGTTCCAATTCATGAAGGTCACACATGTTTCAGGTGCTGCTTCTGCTACCCAAATCTGATATAACAAAAAGCTCTCCTCAGTTCTAGCCACTAAAGACAAGCTCTCAATGGTTACTCTCCTTTTACATGCATACATATAGATAAATAATTTTATTTGTGTGGCGCCTTTCCACACCATACTCACGGTGGCCTACAACATGAAAAAATACATAACTACAGCATAACAAAAGTAGTCATAAAATAAAACATAAAAAATGCACAACCAAATCAAGCAATTTACATCTTAGTGCAATGTTGCATTTGACCCCATGTTTCCGCACCTCCAAACAATGTTTAGATATTGGGAGCTGGAGAAGGTAGGTAAATAAATGTACAAGCCCCCATTCTCTGCTTCCCCACAATTTTAGCCAAATCATGCCAACATAGACTTCCAAAAACAAACTAAGGGGTCGTCACAAAATTGGGAAGAAAGGCCACATCTATCCCGCCCCTAATTAAGGCACAGGTTCAGATGATTATTTACTGATTTCTCACCCTTTGCCTTAAGGTCCCACGATGGGTTCCAACATTCAAGCAATGTTAAAAACGGTCTAAAACAACTTACAATAATTAAAAAAATAATGTGGGATCTAAAAATATATACACCTCAAGTGTCAAAAGCCAGGGTAAAGAGGTGCATCTTTGGAATCTTCCGGAAGCTGTATTATGAAGAAGCCACCACAAATAATGCCCTCTCCCAGGCCACCCCTACCCTGAGCCTCTGAGGGCAGAGAAACTAGCAAGATGTCCCAAGAGGATCTGTGAGGAAGGAGGGGACTTTAGCTGGAATTGATCCCTTTACAGAGGACAGCCTTCTATTTGAAAGGAGCAGTGTTTTTTTTCTGGGGGACATGCAGGGGTACCAAGAGGATCTGTGAGGAAGGAGGGGACTTTAGCTGGAATTGATCCCTTTACAGAGGACAGCCTTCTATTTGAAAGGAGCAGTGTTTTTTTTCTGGGGGACATGCAGGGGTACGCATACCCCTAAACATTTAGTGAATCTATGTACTTTTGTCCATTAACTGTATTTATTTCCCCCCATCTGAACTATAAAATAGTGATTTTCTTGAGTTAAAATGAGAGTACCTCTAAACATTTTTTTTTCTGGGGGGGAGGAAAGCACTGAAAAGGAGTATTGTGTTTGAAGGGATATCTGGCCCAAGTGAGGAGTACAGTAAAGATAAAAAGAACCCTAAAAAGGGATAAGCTGGGGTCTTGAAGCCACCCCTCACAGCACCATCTGGGCAGTGAAGTGAGCAGGCTCACAGGTGACTTGGTTACAATGTTAGGGCCTCCATTGTGGAAGGAGCTATGCCTTTAAATATCACTCGCTTGAGACTCACAGGTGAGAGAATGAGTACTTAGATTGCACACAAGCCCTGCTTGCAGGTTTCCCCACAGGCATCTGGTTGGCCACTGTGATTAAAGGCTGCTAGGTTTGCTAGGCCTCTGGCCTGGTTCAGCAGAGCTCTTTTTATGTTCTTCCACAGTATGGTGAGCTATCTTGTATTTATCTTTAAATTATGGCAATTGTTTCAGAATGTTCATCTTTACAGATAAATGAGCAATTGTACATTTTATGAAAACCTGTGTGGGCTTTTGTTTTTTGGGGTGGTCTAACTCGCCCTCCAAACAGGAAATGTGTAAATGGCCACTTTGCCTCACACAAAGCTTTTGAGCCAAGAATGACTTGGCTCAAATCTCATTTCTAAAAATGGCTTTCTAAATGCTAAATTGCTACTATATACTAGTAAAATGCCACTTGTTAAGGGTGCTCTGGAGGAGGGTCTTCAAATATTGCAGGAACTCCATGGCATGCAGTTTGTGCAAAATGTCAACGCTGAGTGTCTAGCCCAGTGATGTCCCTATTTTTCAGTGACAGTTCCGGGTTTACAGAAGCCGTCTATTTTCATCTGAGAAATGTCGGAGGATATGGAGTTACCTGACCCCTCAAGGCAGCCCTTTAAATGTTTTATTAAGTTTGATATTGGAAGGTGCCCAGAGTGGCTGGGGCAAAATAATAATAATAATAATAATAATAATGAAGAAGAAGAAGAAGACATCCCTATTTTCATTGGAAAAATGTTGGAGGGTATGGACTTCAGCTCTCCTAATTGCCATTGGTCATGCTGGCTGGGGCTGATGGGAGTTGAAGTCCAGTGATATCTGGAGGGCTGCAAAATCCCCACCCCTGACCTAGAATTATTTTGCCCCATGAAACTTGGTCAGAAATATCCTAGGTTTAGCAGTTAGTCACAGCAAATTATGACACATACTTACAGTAGACATCTTGGGAAGTGGGATATAATATATATCTGTGTGCGAGGGAGAGACATCTCGAAAGACAAAGTAGATATCAAAACTATCTACTGAAGTGAAATCAGCATCTTGTGTAAGTTGCTGGGCTACCTGCCCAGTATAGTTAGGAAGTAGTGAATTCAAATACTTGGTGCCTCGTTGGATGTTTTTATTTACATCTTCATTTAAAAACAAACAAACCCAGGCACTGCTGAGCTCAGAAATCCCACTTGTTTTGTCCAAAGCAGAAATAGGTCACAGACACCGCCTAGGTGTGTGGTAACACCAGCAAGCCAGCCCCCACTTCTCCAAATCAGATTTACAATTTAATTAAGGAAGATCTTTGTCCCGTCTAATCCCATATGTCAGATGCGGCCACAGTCTGTTGAAGGAGGAGACACACTTTCTAAACTTACCTTTACGTTTGATTTACTGAAGACACAGTTAACGTATTTAGATTGCCATGCCTCAAATCTGAACGCTGTTCTCTCGGGAGCCCAGCATTGTTTCACAAGAGCAGTCGGGAGGAAAATATGTTTTCCCATGGTCCAATTTAAGATTTGTCGTCTAGGATGTCCAGAAAAGGTGTCTGTGGTGATAAAGATGACATATAGATGGAGACCACCCAGCTCTTGCAACTTGAATGGCACTATAATGGTGAAAAAGTGAGGGGGTGGTGAGCTAGCAGTTTAAGGGCTGTGAACAGGGATTTACTCTGCAAATCTAGAACAAGCAATTGGAGGGATGATTATTGATCAACATGAGCATAAAAAAGTTAAGCAGGATTTCTGTTATCATTAATAGAGAGAAGAAACGTCTGGTGGGTATTATGGCACTTTTAAGAGCCAGCATAGAGTCCTACAAACAGCTGAAAGATTATTCTAATTCATAGGAGCCAATTTTTGGTCAGCCAGATGCCTGGGACTTTCCTAGATCAGCAGTTTAGCAAATTCCTTCCTGACCAGCCACAAAAACAAGTACTCTCAATAGATTTCTGTAGCTACTTTAGGTCAACTGTGTATTGCAGCCTTAGGCTGGAGGGACGGGACCTGTAGCCCTCCAGATATTGCTGGACTACAACTCCCATCATCCCTTCAGAGGTGTCCATGGGACACCATTCCTTTTCATTGAAAAATATTCCCCTAGATTTATGGTCAGACTAGACTCTGAGAGCATTCTGCTTGTGAGCATCCACAGGCATCTGGTTGGCTTCAGAAGAGGGAACAGTATGTAGGATTAGATAAACTTCAGCTGATCCAACAAGGCAATTCTTATAGTCTCTAACTCTAGAAGCGGTATGGCATACTGTATTTCTGAAACTTGGGTCTCAAGTTGTTGCTGGGCCACAACTCCCGTCATGGCTGACCATTGATCCTGCTAGCTAGGGATGATGGAAGTCGTAGTTCAACAACAGCTGGAGACCCAAGTTTGGGAGCAATTTGGTATTAATCCTACTCCTGACACCACACAGATACAAGCGCAGAGTTGGCCATTCCAGATTGCACAGTTTCGCTGTATTGTGATCTTCAGCTACAGTACTATCAGCTTCCAACTTCTGGCTCAGCTGGAGTTTGGTTCATAGCTTTTGGTTCATAGACAAAACAAAATGAAATCCAGCCTGCAGTTCTGTAGCCATCCAGGAACATCTGCTTATAAGCTCACTTCTTTTTCAGGATTCAGCTGTCTGCAAGAAGATAACAGCAAAGGATTTCTATTCTCCAAGTCTGGGATGCTGCCAATGCATAAGAAGAATGAGTTTCCTCAGACAGGTCAGGCTTTTGCTATGGAAAAACTGGATACTGAGAAAAAGGCAGAAGGTAAGCCAGAGGGAAGGAGAGAGAGACTGCGTTTAGTTTGAGAAAATGCAGTTAATTTGCTCAAGAGAAATTAAAATCACTTTGGGAAAATCAGTTCATTTGCTCAGGGCTTTTGCTGAGATGTGCTGAGTTAGTTAATCCATTCTGTTCCTAGGATATTTTTACATTTTAGAATCAGGTTCATGGTGTTGAGTTTTCTGACAACAACAAACTCGACATACTGGACTGTTTTGTCACTAAAAGTCTCAGTGAGGAAGAATACCAGCCCCCACCAAAACAGGAAGTGGTGACTTGGATTCACTTCCCCTTGAGGTCCAGCTATGCTTACATGAGAATCTAGTGGCACACAGTACTATGAAGACAAAAATAAATGGACTTTTGCTACAGGAAGCAAATGTGCAAAATACTTGAAATCTTTTATTGTGCTTTGGTTCTTCAAAGATCAGGAACTTGCTACAAAAGCACCTCAACTCGAAAGCAGGCGTCCCGTGAGACTGTGGACTAAATTACAGAACCCTCAACTGCAAATGTTGACAAATGTGCCCTGTTCCAAAAAGGGAAATTCACACATAGAGGGACAGCATGTGCATGCACGATCTCTGTCCACATCACAATGTTCACCTGAGCCTCATGGAACTAGCTAGATCAGGGGTTCCCAGACTGGTGTATGTGGACCACCAGTGGTCCACGATTTTAATTTAGAGGGCCTGCAGTGTGTTTGTGATTTGTAACTGAAGACAGGGGGTGGATATTCGATCCCTCACATTGAAGATCCATATTTATTTTAATTGCATGGGATTCAAATGGTAATACAATAAAGCGCAACACATAAGAAAAGAAGCAATTGAAAAGCACGGAGCATCTAGCAATAGCACATTACAATGGCTACAACAGGCAGCAAAATCATCCCATGGTCTGCCAAGACTCTTAGCAACTTCTAAGTGGTCCACAGGGAGAAATGTTTGGGAGTCACTGAGCTATAGGCATTCTTTTATGTGCACCCAGATCCCCATTGAGAGCAATCACCTAATAATGAGCTTCCCACAGCTGGTGTTGTCAGAAAACTAGGAAGGCCAGGGTTAAAAGGAGGGTCGCTTTATAGCAAACACGTGCCCTATGTCAGAGATGGGGGACCTGTGCCACCCCTCTCTCAGATGCTGTTAGATTTCAGCTCCCATTACTTTTGTCTTTTGGCCATGTTGGTTGGGGCTGATGGGAGCTGGGAGTCCAACAACATCCGTAGGGTCATAGGTTTCCCATCTCTGCTTTATATATAGCAGATTCCGGATTGAGTCATTCCTTGGCATCACCAATTTCAACAGCTCTTAAATAGCAGGGCTTGGAAAGACCTCTGTTTGAGACCTTGGAGCAGCAATCAGTGCCAGAGCAGAGCAGTCCTGGACTAGGTGATGCAGGTTCTGGCTCAGTATGTCAGCTCCACGTGTCCAATAAACTTGGCTATTTTGGAGAAGGCCTGCAATTAAGTTAGCAGAACAGATGCTCAGGAATTTGATTTCAGTGCCAGAACTGATCCTTTCCTAGTCACCCCCTGCCCCCCAAAATAGTTATTCGTTTCAGCAGCCTAATTGGAAAGATAGAAAGAAAAGGTTGTTGCTGTCATTTTAAAAACAGCACATCGGAAATCCTTGGTGCTTCAGCTGAGATGGCTCAGCCAGTAGAGCATGAGACTGTTAATTTCAGGGTCATGAGTTCGAGCCCCACACTGGACAAGAGATTCCTGCATTGCAGGGGGTTGTACTCATGGCCCATTCCAACTCTTACGATTCTGTAATATCTTACAAATCACACAGAGAGCTGATCTTGCCTACTTTCTGCCCATCTCTGCAATAATGGATCTCCCGTGCAAAATTTCATTTAGGCCTCAACACATATTTAATAGTGGTGTCCAATGGCAGCTTAGAATTCTGCAAAATGATTGTTTCTAGTATTGTTTAGTCTCAAGCTCAGTAAGATCTTAAACCAAAGATTTCTCATTTTGTGGAGTAGCATTTAGCGGGCTGGGGTGTGGGCTTGGAAGGCATGGACAAACATATATATATATATATATATATATATATATATATATACACACACACACACACACACACACACACACATAACAAAGTTGAAACTTTAAAAGTGGAGAAGGAAGGGAGCCATCTTTCTTTTCTTTTCTTTTTTGTAAAGACTGCTCAGAATTTCTGATCATGCTTCCTGGTGATACAGTGTGGAAAGCAATGACAAGCAGCATTTCCAAGAAGCCTCAAGCTGTTAACCTCCCTCCTTTCCCCTCTTCCAAAAGAACATTTCAAATTCCTGGCCTTGACCTTATTTTTTCATCAAGATGACCTTTTTTGTGTGTCTTGAGATGTTTTAAGATACTGGATCTGATCCAGAAAAGTCACTGGGTTCTGGCATTTTGCTGAATCAGGCGGGAAAGCTCAGAGCACCTTTCACAGCGCCAGAGCCTCCAAGGTTTATATTATATGAGGGCATTCCAATTACTGTACGTGAGAAACACAGCGAAGAGGAAGTGATTCTGAATGGGGCAATTTGAAACACTGCTCTTTTGTTTTTTTCATCCTGAGGCATCGGGAAGAAGGATTTCTGTCTCCAGTTAGAACATCTGGGTCCTTTCATTCAAAGCCCCCAAACTCAAAACACTTGCTGAGGCATTTCCAGGGGGTGGGGTAGAGGAGATTAGAAAGCCTCGGGCAAACATTGCTGCAATTTTTTTAAAAAAATCTGATTTATGTGTGAGACTTGCTGGGCCCATCTCATCATAGTTTGAAGTGAAGTGATAATAATAATAATAATTAATAATAATAATAAGGCAGGAGGGATTGTTGAGCATGACAGCAGGCATTGACTAGTTCTTTAAACAGTGGCTAACAGCACAATCTTTTGCCATGATAGCTAATGAGTAAGTCCCACATTCTTAAATGGGAACTACTCCTTAATAAGTGTGTTTTGAATTGAAGAGAACCCTAATGCATACTTATGCTATTGATATGATGGACACTTGGAAATAATTGCTACTAAATTCTATTGGGCTGAACATGTAAGTATGCATAGGATTTAAACCTACGTAGGAGATACTTCTGCGTAAGAATGCCTTGGATGAGGCTGCATCCTAGACCTTAGGTCAACCCACCAGATTTCCATCCACAGCAAAAGGGCCATAGCTCAGTGGTGGAGTTTACTTTGCATCCAGAAGATCCCAGATTTGCTCTCTAGTAACGTGGACAGGTGGCCATAATTCTAGGACAGCTCACCTCACCATCCACCACCCATGTATGGCAGCATATCAGTGGCATTGTAACCTTATTGTGCACTGGTTTGTGTGTCAAGGCCTGGTCTAACTTTTCAGTGTTGTGGTTAAGGAACGCATAGGGTGGTAATTAGTGGGTATTCAGTGTAGCAAGATAACCTCAGCATGAGTAATTATCATTTATGTGTCGGTGGGGAGGCAAAGATCTGAATATGGTTTGCCAAATGTCGTGGCAGCTTTGTGTATTAATTCCCTCAAACTACTTTATAGCTTCTTTTAATTTAAGAAATAATGTGAGCATTTCTTTTCCTTTTTTACCTTGCTGCTTAAAATAATAGAATACATAATGATGTATGAAATATACTCGGAGTCGAGAGTGGATTTCATGCTCTTTATTAGTGATGAGGAGGAATGGAAGTTCCCCCAGACTGTCTGCTTTATATACATTATTTACATAATGGGCCCCACGTGATTGGCTAATTCCGGGATTCTCCTGTAGGCCAATCAGGTTGCGGATTCCCTTCCACTTGGAGCTGGGTTGGGTGGCTCCTGTGGACCAATCAGACTGCTGCATTCTGGATCCTATTCAATTCAGTACATAACAATGTATAAAGCAAAAGCACACCAATGTCACATTGGAGAAGTCTTGATGAAACAGCACTTGACCCAATTCTACAAAAATTCCACAAACAGCAAGACCAAAAGCTCGTAAAACAGCAATAAAAATGTCGGCAAGGGACAGCCTCAATAAGACAAAATAAATAGTCAGCTAAAAGCTTTCTTTTAGAAATAGATCTTAAACAGACACTTAAAATCATTCAGCGTCAGGGGTTGGTGACTCTCGCCTGGAATGCCATTTGACAAGATGGATGCCACCAGAGAAAGCCCTGATCCTTGTGACTGCTTTCCACATAGGTCAGGTGCATAGCTGTCAACGTTTTTCTTTTTTTAAGGGAAATTCCCTTATTCTGAATAGGATTCCTTGCAAGAAAAGGGAAAAAGTTGACAGCTATGGTCAGATGGTAGATAGATCTGGAGCAAGGCTAGATGTGGGGGTGAACATAAGGTGCTCCGTAAGATATCCAGGTCAGTTAGGGTTTGAAAGGTTAAAGCCATCACCAGAAACAAACCATGTTGGCAACCAACATAGATCAGACAAAAAATGGGCATACTATGTTCTGAATTCCTTATTCCAGTTAAGAACCTTGTGGCAGCATTTTGCAGTTTCTGGATACCTCAAGGGCAATCCCATGTAGAGCAGATTTCAGTAGTCTAACCAGGAGTTGACTGGAGCAAAAATAACTGTAGTGAGATCCAGTTGCATTCACACAGTCAGTGTCATGTCTAGTTTTATTCAAAGACAGACACTGAACTATTTTTCTTTTTGTGGAATATTCATTTGTTTTCTAATCCTTAACGGACTAGTGTTAATATAATAACCTTTTTAATATTCAAGAATGAGGGGGTGAAATGATTATGTAAGGCCAGCATAGCTCTAAAAGCTTATACACCTGCATCCTTATCAACTTTTGAGCAAAGATAATATTTGTATACAGAACTGAACTTGCTTAACTCAACATATATAAAGCTGGTGAGAAAGATATCTGTACTGTGACAAGCTAGTGCTTGGAATGCAGAGCACTTCCTTTTCCGGTGTGTCATAAGGCTTGCTCTGTTCATTTAATATACATGGGGAAGAGTATCGCTTCCTTAAGATCATGTCTTCCAGTAATTTAATAGTGGTGTGAAGTCATTGCACACACCCTCCACAGGCAGTAACCAGTGATGTAGAGATGGGCTGGGAAAACCATAACCATGAGGATGACAAATTGTTCATCTGTTTTAACTATCTATTACTTAGTGACTCGGAGCAGAAGGGTAGGGTGGCAGTAGCTACACATTTTAAGTAATATGCAGTTTGCATATGAGCAATTGAAAATAGTAAATTCCACACTAAGTTTTCAAATGCAGGCACAATTCTCATCTTTATATTACAGTAGGAAGCTAGGAAACGTATACCAATGAAACCTATAGTCAAATCACTGTCAGTAGCTTTCCAGTGTTTCAGACTACGAGTTTGTTTAGTCTACCTAAAGATGACAGGGATTGAACCTGAAACCTTCTACATGCAAAGCGGATGCTCTAAGCTAAAGTCCTTTTCAAAGCCATTTCTGCTTTTTTGTGATGATGTATTAGGGCCATCTTGTTCATTATACAGTGACAAACACAGGTTTAGTGCTAGGCATGCTCTAAACAAGGAGTGCACCCAAGTATGGCTTTCTGATGAGTGACCCTGTAGAGATATACATGTTTTCAGCAGCCAGTTTCTCCCATTCATGTTTTATATTTTAGGTGTACACTTAAAATTTATTATGAAGCTTGTGAAGAGCCATCATAATGAAGCTACCTGCATTTTTCACAATGGTTTTATAATTCCATGGATCAATGGTGGCTGGTGCTTATTGATGGGGCAGAAGGCAATCCAACAGTAGGTTGAGCCAGAGCCCGTGAGAAGTGGAGCCAGAACCCGTCACAGGCATGGCCAAGCCATTCTATCTTTTGTCCCCATCCTCCTTTCTTTTGACATCTACAATGGCAAAACCAAGACTAAGGAGAGGCACTGGTTATATGTAAGAAGGCAGATGGGCTTGAAGGAATCAAGACTGAGTTTCATGGAGCATTGTCCCATCTGTCCTAATGGAGCAGCCTCCAGTGTCATGGATTGGTCTGTCACTCAAGACTGAGCTATTGAACAGGCTTTCCAGCTGTCTCATAGACTTTGTTCTCCCATCAAGCTAAGCCAAACGCTTAGTACAAGTGTACAGTCTTCCAGAGTGGATCTTGCAGCTGCTTTGTTCTTTCCCAGACCTTTTTGCTGTTGCACCCTTCTGATCTGAGCCAGGTTTAGCATGTCATCTAAATCCTGGTTTGTGGTTAAGCTCTCTCCACAATAAATATAAGTTATAACCAAAAACAAACCTTGGTTACAGCTTATGGTTAGTCTGGAGAGAGAGCTTATCCATGAGTCTGGGTTCAGACAACATGCTAAGCCCAAACCTTGGCTTAATTTAGCTCAGTGTACCAGCAAAAAGACCCAGGGAGGAGCCAAGGAGCTGCAAGCAGCCACATATTAATACTTTATTGTATACTGGGATGGCAGATTCATGTTTTATCAGACTCTTCTGTGATTGGTGAAAGTCACAATGTCTTCAGATTGCATCATTAACTCATCCATCTTTTTTTCAGCTTCGTCTTCTGGTTGAACTTGTGTGGCCTATGTCCTTGTTTCTTATCCTTGTCTGGCTGAGGAGCGCCAACCCACTCTATCGCCAACATGAATGTAAGAGCATCATCAGTAATGGAAACAACTTTTGGCATGCAATGCTCCTTGCTTGAGGCTTTGAGTACAATGGTACCTCGGGTTAAGTACTTAATTCGTTCCAAAGGTCCGTTCTTATTTTTTTAAAAACATAATTTTTATCAATAGGCCAATCATATCACATTATTTCCAATCACATTAATTCCAAATTATACAGCCAAATTTTTCAATTTTGTTGGGGATACCCATACATCAAGCTCCGAACGAGGATCCAAACATCACTTCTATTACTGCTTTAATTAAACAATTCTATCCAGTTCTATCCAGATAGTCTCTTTATTACTTTCTTCATCTTGTTGTTGTTGTCATATATTCCTTTCTTTGCGATCTCTGATATGTTCTTAACCTGAAACTGTACTTAACCTGAAGCACCACTTTAGCTAATGGGGCCTCCTGCTGCCGCCGCGTCGCCAGAGCACGATTTCTGTTCTCATCCTGAAGCAAAGTTCTTAACCTGAAGCACTATTTCTGGGTTAGCGGAGTCTGTAACCTGAAGCATATGTAACCTGAAGTGTATGTAACCCGAGGTATCACTGTAAATCAAAGCGGCCTAGGTTTCTGTTACATGCTTACAAGTTAGGTCTTGTTTTACCTGCTGGGAAGCAAGGAAACAGATACAGCAACGTTTATCTTGAGCCAGTCCTGCATGTTGTGGGGACAGGGTTGAGTGCCACCAACCTGGAGCTCCCCAGCACTGTGCATGTTGAAAGAATATGTTAGGTGGCATCATTAGGATGGCATTTGATTTGCCCCATGCCTGCTCTGATTCCCTACCATCGCCTATCTGTTACTGGGGAAACAGAGGTTGATGGAACCTATCAGTCTTCCCATGGCCTGTAGCTTGGGCCTTGATAGCAAATGTTTACTAGAAAGGTACAATGGGCATGATATAATGTTTTTAAGCTTTGCTGATGGAAGTAATTACATACTTTGCTAGAGCTCCCATAATATTGCACCAGTATACTACGTCTAGGGGATTAATGTGGATGAATCATCTTGCCCTTGACTCCTACGCTTGTCCCTTTCTGCCCATTTAATCTGCTGTTGTGGTTTTACCCTCGTCACTGCATCTCTTTGCGCCTGAAAGAGTTCCCTTCCACATAATTGGTGCAAAGTACTTGCCAGCTGAGCTCACTAACCAGCCTATTGTCTTTGACCATTGTCAGAATGCAGTCTGGTTTGTTATCAAAGGGAAGGAGATGTCAATCTGATTTTTTAACCATGTACTATTTGTGGAAGTGAACCATAATAATAATAATTTATTATTTATACCCCGCCCATCTGGCTGGGTTTCCCCAGCCACTCTGGGCGGCTTCCAACAAATTATTAAAGATACAATAAAACATTAGATATTAAAAACTTCCCTAGTCTAGAGATAGCACTCTTCTCCCTAAGCATTGTATTCTTCTTATTTGTGTTGTCTGTATCTTTAGTCACTTCAAAAGCTAATATTTTCCAAACCACTGGAGCTGAAACAAAGTTTTGCACACATTTCTAGCTTGCACCTACAGTATGTGTTTGAAATGTTTTCAAATTTCACTTTGCAGAATACTTTTTAGTAACTTAAATCTTGCCTTGCTGTTAAGGTAGCAATGTTAAATGCCAGCTTACCAAATTTTATGCCTTCCCCCACCCCTAAGTTCCTAAATCAAACAGAATTCATATGGTAAGCAAAAATATTCAGACGTAAGAGAATATAAATTTGAACTTTTGCAATCAAACACAATGTAGAAAAACACTGGAATATTTCCCCTTTCACCAAAATCCATTTTGAAAAATCCCCTCATTCAAAAATAAATAGACGCCAATCTTATAGAGATGGCACATATCAGAAACTTTAGCTCTGGCATTCTAGCTTATCATGTGCAGGAATTAAGTGGTGGTGGTGATCACAGAATGGGCTCCTTTGAGAGGGGGCAGGGTATTAAATAAATAAATAAATAAATAAATAAATGGTCAGCCTTCCCCAACTTGGTGCCTTCCAGATGTGTTTGACTACAACTCCCATCAGCCCCAGTTAACACAGCTGAGTCAATGGGAATTGTCCAAAACAGGCATAGGCAAACTCGGCTCTCCAGATGTTTTGGGACTACAACTTCCATCATCCCTAGCTAACAGGACCAGTGATCAGGGATGATGGGAATTGTAGTCCCAAAACATCTGGAGGGCCGAGTCTGCCTATGCCTAGTCCAAAACATCTGGAGGGGCCTGTGTTGGGGAAGGTTGTGCTCTTCCAATTAACCTTTTAATAAAACTGATATGCCTTAATCTAATATGCCACTGGATAGCTCAGTTGGTTAGTATCTATGTAAGCAGTTTTAGCTATGTTTATTTCCTCCTTTTTTGTTTCTCATATCAAGGTCACTTCCCAAACAAGGCGATGCCCTCTGCAGGAACTCTGCCGTGGCTACAGGGCATCTTCTGTAACATGAACAATCCTTGCTTCAAAAGCCCGACCCGTGGAGAGTCTCCAGGTGTCGTATCAAACTACAATAATTCTATGTAAGCTGACAGCGTCTCTTGCATCTTGGGGAGGGGGAGAAATCTGCCCATGTTATAGGCTTCCATGTTCTACTGTGAAATTGTAGCTGAGGGCCGTACCTCAGTGGTAGGGCATTTACAGAAAGTTCCTGGTGGTTCAATCTTCAGCATCTCCAGGGGAATGGGCCAATTAACTATGAACCCCAAAATTAGACAGAGAATGTCCCCTGTCTAAAACCCTGGAGAACCACAGTCAGTCAGTGTGGACAGTACTTGGCTAGATGAGCCAATGCTCTGATTCTGTATAAGGCACCTTCCTGTGTTTCTGTGCTCCCTAACGTTGCCTCTGATATATGACTGCATGAAAAACAGCCCCCTGATGAGCTCGCAAAGTGTGACCCAATTTTGTGTTGTGAAAAAACTGGTAAATAGGAGGCTAGGTAGAACTCATGTGACACAGGTTTATTTCTCTTATTGTTTTTTTATCAGTGACTTTAAATATTGTTGCTGCCCACTCTGTGATTTAGACGAAGGGCAGGTTATAAATATATGTACGACTGTGTACACAGCATACATTTAAATCACATGGCCTCCCCCAAAGGATCCTGGGAACTGTAGTTTGTTAAGGGTGTTGAGACTGTAGCTCTGTCCCCAGGATTCGTTGGGGCTGGTGGAGAATGTGGTTTTAATCTCTTTTGATTTTATGGTGTGGATGAGACCATCATGGTAATGGGGTCAGGTGAAGGACACAGCCCCATCACCAGGGTTGAAGTTAAGAGTCAACTGCTTGTCCAGTCACCCTGCTTGTAAATGTAAGGAGGGGGTACTATCTTGTCCTCAGGGTTATATGTCATATTTTTTCCATAGCCCTGTTGGTGGGCGTAAGTAGAAAGGCATAGCATAGCTCACCCACAGGTTGGAGGGCTCCAGTCTGGTGGGAAAGGCGACTGGCTGCTGTGCTTACTTTCTCCGCACATGTGCCCAGCAATGCTGCCTGCCGCCATGATATGGGGACCTCATTTGGGAAATGTAGCAATCCATGCTAAGCAGCCTTTCTCCTCCTGCTCCCCCACCACCTTCAGTTTAGCAAGAGTATACAAAGATGCTCAAGAACTATTGCTGAATGCACATGCAACAGAACTGGGCCAACTCTGGGAAGAACTACGGTCCATGACCCAGTTTATGGAAACCATGAGGACAAATCCCGAAAGGATTGCAGGTAATAATAGTTCTCTGGCATTTGGAGAAAAGCTGTTAATTATTTCCTTGCTCAAAAGATAAGCAGCGGTCAAACATTTTCAACTTGATTAACCTGCAGTTTTTGCCAGTGACACAGCAATGAGACTCCCAGTCCCTCACTCCAGATGCCTCTGGTCTCTGCTGTTTCCCTTCCCATCTGCTATCATACCCACCTGCCTGTCTCAGCTCCCAGCTTCCACAATTCACATGGGCTCAGATTCTCACTTGGGCTTGACTTTGCCTCTCGGTCAGTGGTGAAAGTCTGGTCCTCCCGGTGTTTTTGAGCCACACTTCCTGGCCCTTTGTGCTCTTAACCTGAGACCCTTCCACTCCCATTCATCTTTGCCAACAGCTTGTGCAAATATAACAGTAATCCATTCACTCATTTGGTCAATAGACACAGTAATTTCTTTTCGGTTCAATTCTATACATGGCTATTGGGCTTAGGTTGGTTGGTGTGTATGTATGTAACAGGGATGGGGAAATTGAGGCTCTCCAGCTGTGGTAGAACTACAACTCCCATGATCTCTGACTTTGACTATGCTGGCTGGGGTTGATGGGCAGTGAGTCTGGAGGGCTGCAGGCTCCCCATTCCAGTTGCACAGGCTTGCAGCCTTCATCCACAAGTTAGATTTTCTGGGTAAGTGACACATTAAGTCCAGACAACTCTATAGCACGCTGTCACAATGCAGGTTACAGGAGACCCCATTGTAACTCATCAAGCCAAAGAGCACTTGGCAAGCCTCACCTTTATGCTGCCTGCAGGGACTGCAAAAAAAGGGTAGGTGGTTCAGTGTCGTAGCTACCAGAGGGTGGAGAGCTAGATGGTTGTTTTTGCCTCGGATGAAGCCTCCAGAGGGGAGCTACTGAGGCTCCCAGCCTCTGTGTGTGTGCGTAAGCAAATGTGCATGCAGAGAGTGCCAAACTGGGTCTTTGACCCAGGTGAAATAAAATCTAGTTTCGCCCCTGGGTAGGTAAAGCTGGTGAGCTGCATTCTGCTTGGTGGGTCACAAATTGCATAGGCCTTCATGAGTTGGTTGAGCACCAGCACAAAGTCCATGTCTGGTGAACCGTTCCCTAAGGACATTCTTTTCTTGTTAAAGAGGTTCTTAGCCCACTTGCAGGCTTATGATCAATGGTGAAAATGACAGTACAAACGGATTCTTACTAATCTTTCAGTTCTGTCAGAGATTGTGGCTGCTTACCTCTGTCCACTCTGATGAGAGAGCAGATGCAGATATTCTGAGCAATTTTTTTTGTAGGATTTTGAAGAATTGCAAGGAGTAGGCTCCTAGGAAAGCTCCTAGAAAATTAGGCCACAGCAGGTTCTCCTACTTGATTGGGAGAAGTCTACTCTGTAGTTTACTTAGCATAATGATTAATCCAGCCCTGGTCATGAGAAACTAATTGGAGGAATTCGGGACTCCCTACAAGGAAGCAGGTCTTTGGGAGGTGAACTGAAGAAAGAGATTACAAAACCATTTCTCCTTGAGTAAGTGACTGAAAACACACACACACACACACACACACACACACACACACACACCAAACTACAAAACACTAAAGAGCTTTGAAGCTCACACAGTTCAGGGCCACACTCCAGGCCTTTTTTTGGAACTTTCTTCCATTCTTTGAAATCCCAGGTCTGCATTTTATGAGCCCGCCAACCCCATTCAACATTCAGAAAAATAAACAAGTGTGGTCCAAATGCCAAGTCTCTTGTGTAATGTGCAATACAACTGTCATTTCACATTCAGGCACCTTTTTAAAAATAAAATAAAGAGTCTTAAACGCTGTTTGTTTTTAAATGAATGCATTTCTTTTAGGCCAGTATTTCCCAAACTTCTTAAGTTCACTCCCTGCCCTCCATTTCAAACTTATTCTACCTCCTGCCTCTCTCCCAATCCAGCACTGCCTAGTACGAGTGTGGAGCAATTCTCACATGGTTCCTGCTGTGCAGTGATTTTGATGTGGATAGGGCCTGCATTGGCATTAGGCAACGGAATAGAGCAAAACGTTTCTGGCGCTTCCTAAAACGGCATATCAGGAAGCACTGTTGGAACAAAGCGGACGTTTCTTCCAAATTTGGCTGAGAATGATGGGGCAATTGAGGGAGCTGTCAGCCCCACATGATTCAGTGTTGATCCTCTGCTAGAGGGCATGTGTCACCCATGCCTTGGCTGATGGGGAGAAGAAAGCCTGTCTCAGCATTTTATCTCCCCTTTTGGGTGTCCCACTTTCTCCCAAGGGGACCCAACCCCACTAGTTTGAGTACTAGTGTTTTTAGACAAAGCTGATGTCTAATGCAGGCAGAGGAATAGAGCAACAGCTCTGGGAAATTAATCTCTCTATCTCGATTACTTTTGTTCTATGTATGTCTCAACTCCTCAGTTGTAACTCCTCAGTTGTAACTTCTTTAAATAATATTGTAATAGGCAATATTTTCTGGCGGGAAAGGTGGGGGAACTCACCATGAAAGTTGTTTGTTTGTTGCAGGCCCAGTCGCAGTGCCATAGACACACACACACACACACACACACACACACACACAAAGAGGCAGTGGCTAAATGTAAGATGTGATTAATAACCTCAAGCAGACAATGATTTGGATTAGAAATGGCCACAACTTCATTGATTACAGATTTTTTATTTATTTATTTAATTTTTTTGCTCAGCCATTTGGGTGTATATCTATTCCTGCCCCTGGCCCAAACATAAAATTAATTAATTTTTAAAAGGTAAGGGAACTCAGTGCCCTCCGAGTTCCTGCTCAAGAAAACCCCTTGCCTTTAAAGCATATTTCCCCCTCAAAGAATTCTGGGCACTGTAGTTTTACCCTTCCCAGAGTTACAATTCCCAGCAACCCTTAACAAACTACTGTTCCCAGAATATTGAGAGTGTGCTTTGAATGTGCTTTAAAGGTATAGTGGTCTACGCAGCCTTCAAAGCACTTGGCATGCATTATCTCACAATTTTTTTACCACAATCTTGTGAGGTAGGCCAGTGGAGTTGGGTGTGTGCCCAAGAGTCAGAAACTGTGGTTTCCTTAAAGCCATGGAATAGATTTGTGGTTCTAGCTCAAGCTCAACCACTGTACTGGCTTTCTTAAAGCCACCATAGTGTACCAACTTTTAATAGGCCTCTTGTCCTTTTTGTCTTCTTCACCCAGGAAGAGGCATACGAATCCAGGACATCCTGAAAAATGGGGAGAACCTAACTAAGTTTCTGCGTGAAGATGCACGTCTTCCTGACATGGTGGTTCACCACCTGATGAATGCTCAAGTGAGACCTGAACAGGTGAGTCTTGTAAATATTGCAGCAAACGGGCTCATGTAAATATGTTGTCCCTAAAGCAGCCTATCTCACTTTATAGGTAGCCTCAAGAATAAAAGAGCCCATATCTGACAACCCAATAAATCAGTTGACTCTAAGGTTTGACCATTGTTAGTGCTAACCAATTGCTGTTCTCTTAACCCTGGTTAAGATCCCAGGTGTATAGTAGAAGCCCATAAAGCTTAGCTTATCTTGCCTATTTTTGTTCTCCGTCCCCCAAAAGGTGTGTGTAGGAGACCTGCTTTTCACTATGCAAGCTGAGTGGATGGAAAAAATCTTTTAGCCATGCCTCAGTCATGTGGCTGGTCAGAGCAGATGTTTACACAGCCACAGGGAACACAAGATATGGTTTGCAGACACTGTTTAATAGTTTCTAGGTGATCACTTAAGAGGAAATACATTGCCACAAAAGAGGAACTGTGTCCCCCCACAAGAGAGGGTACAAGCTTGTATAAAATTTGCACATGCTAATTTATGTGTGGATGCAAATACAGAAATAATTGCTGTAATTTAAACAAAGTAAAATACATCTTAGCAGTGGGAAACACTTTGACCAGCAAGTGACATGTATGCCTGCTCAGTCTACAGTTCAAATGGCAGCTGCTGCTGAGCAACTTAAAAGCTATAGACTTAGCTTGAATATAGTCATGGCCACCTTAAACTACCCTATTGGTTTCACATCCTGGTTTGCAGCAAATCTTTAACCATTGGTTTGGTAATGAGACATAATGCTTGGCCATTCTTCCATAGCAATCCATGACTAAGGCACAAGTATTACCAGAAGTTGCCTTTATTGCTTTTGAGGCCTGAAGAGGCTGATGCTCAGTCATGGATACATGCCCAGTAAGGAAATTTTCATCCATGACTAGACCTGGCTTGGGCTCCTTCTGTGGTTGTCTATGCATCACTTTATCTCAATAGAAGTGTGAATGGGACCCCAATGCCCATGTTAGAGGAATGTTAAAAACCCACCACTCCTGATGTCAGCGAGGGCAGAGGTGGAAGGGCATTGTCAGGGCATTGTTCCAGGTGAATAGACTGGACCCTCGGATGACAGATCTCCTGTCTTGAATGCTCACCAAAATAATAGCACTTTGGCCCCCCCAAAAAATATCCTTTGGTGGAAAATTGCAATCCCAGGTTATCTCCCAGCATTTCCTCCTCACAGATAGTTTGTGTGTGATTCAGTCCAGGCTGCCATTGCCCCCTTCTGTCCTTGTGGCTTGGGAGCTGTGAGAAGAATGTTGCGCTTTTGAATGAGGCCGGCTGAATCAGATCTCTGGAACGAAAGCCTTTCTGACCGTGTGAGAGTGCAGGGAGAAGGAGGGAAGGACTCCAGCTGTCTGGGCACAATCCCTTTTTCTTTATTTCCCCCCTTTTTTCATTTTTGCTGTACAGTGCCCAAATCTGGGAAATGTGTGTGGCTGTTTGTGGCCAGCAGGAGATAGAATTAATGAGCTTGCTTTTCACTTTTCACTCCTTTGGGGTTTTGAAAATTGTAGGTGGCTTGCATGACCATTTGCTGGATTGTTCAGCTGATTGGGTTCTGAGCAGAGCTGTAGGAAGCTCCCTGGCAGCTCTCTGAATTGCACAGAAGAAAGCATTTTATTTTATTTTTACCCCTGACAGCCTGGATGTGTTCTATGTGATGTGAAAGCCAGCAGTCTTTACCAGCACAAGTGGTTTCAGTGAAATAAAATCCTATCTCTCCCGCTCTTTTATTTTAACAAATAACAAATCCTGCAGGGCCCAGTGTTGGTGACTTTGGGCACTCACCAGTCTTCTTTTGATGGGTGTTGAAAATCACCAAGGCACCAGTGTGTTCAATGGCAAGACAGTCTTTAACACCCCACTAAAGAAACTGCAGTTGAGTTCTCCTGAGAATAGCATGTTGGCCATCTCATCATGTATTCTTGTAAGGGTGCTTTAATTAATTGCGGTGATCTTACTTGGCTAAAAATCAAACGGATTTCAGCACCTGAATAGTGAAGTGGAGTTCTTGATCATAATTTATCAGAGTGTGCTTGTACACACTAATGAGTGTGAACCCTCATTAATACAGAGTATACATTAACCTACATCCTATTCCCTTGTCAAAGTGGCCCTTGGGTTGCTGACCCAGGTCTGCAGATCTCCATTGTGATTCTTAGGGCTCATCTACATGCAGTCAGCCATCCGAGTAATAAACATTTTCACGGACTGCAGCCTAGTCTAAAGATGGGATGAGGAGGTGGCATGTTTCAGTAGTCTCACATGAAAATTCCCAAAGATAGAAAATTAGTATGCCAGGGGTGCAGGTAAGGTAGAACCCTTCTCCCTGATGCCTAGCTTTCTTTGTGCAGTATTTTTCATGTAAGAGGAAGCATGCCGTCATTCAGTCCTGTATTCCCGCCCCCGCCCCCATTCTGTAGCAGCAAAGCCATGCCATCTGCAATTCAATTTTTAAGACTGTCCGGTGTTCATCTGGAAATGCATCTGAACGTACAGTGCATATTTCTAGTTGCAAAGCAACTTCCTGTTTCCAGTTGACCAGAAGCTGCTCTTGGAGCTACGCTTTGTGAACGGATGTCATTACCATGGGATGCTTTGATGCTGCTTTGCCCACTGTTAATCATATATCCTGTTCACCTCCCCCTGTTTAAATGCCATTCTGGAGAATGAAAAGAGGATAGTGGTCAAACTAAGGCCTGTTTACGAGCATCTGAACTTCTTTTTTCTGCAAAGGGTTGAGCACAGCTGAAGTGCTGACCTCACAGCACCCTGGGAGTGCAGGAAATGACACACACTTGCTCATGAAAGCTAAACCTAATCTAGAGGCCACCTAACTGAGAAAATATTTTGTTCCTCATCTCGAAAGTGCTCAGTGAACAATGGCACGCTGATAAAATTACTGGAATGTATTTCTCAACTGCTGCTTTGAGGCTGCAGGGCAGATAACAGGCAGCTTTTGACTCCCAGAAGAAAAATGGTGTGTGTATGTGGGGGGGGGGGAAGGTTGGCTGTAGTCAGAACTACCAGGAAAACTGTATGGAGGGGTGTAACATTTTTCTAACTCTGCTCTTCTGGGACATTTTCTGAATTGGGCCTCTGTTTGATGAAGCTTCTGTACATAAAGGACATCTTATGGGCTTGTGGTTAATTTCAGTAAGCCGATGTATAATCTTGTTTTCATTTCTGTGTCCTAACACAAGGTTGTTTTCTGATGTCCTTGGCGCATCCATCATGGGGAACACAGATGTTATTTATTATTGATCTCAGTGCTTTTTATCCTGCTGTTCTACACCAAAGTGTATTTGTGACAATCACAGCAGCTGCAAATTATTTCAGAAAATAAAAACATCATAGAGAAAAACCAACAGTAAAACAATAATTGTTAGTGCCATTCCGCCCGCCCCCCAGCAATCTAAAAGATAGCTGCTCGGGTTTCATCCAAATTACGCATTAAAAATAATAATAAATCTTAGCCAAAAGTAATACAAATTCTGCAGCAATAGTCTATGACCTGTACAGACACTGAAAATTATGCATGCTTGCATCATTTATTTTATTATGCACCATTTATCCTGCAGTGTTTGCTATTCTGCATAATTTATACTGGCTGTAGTAATCATTTGGGCGGGGGACCAGGTGCCAGACCCTTTTATTTTCCCAAGCTTCTTAATCTGAAATATATTTTTAGTACCTTTAAGTTCCATTGTACAGACTTTAACGACAGATAGGTCATTCTCAGACTGCGTGTGCGTTATTAGCTTAAATAGTAGCTACGTTGTTTTTTTCTCTTTTTGGTTTAAAAGCTTTTTTGGGAGGGGTAAACGTATCAAAACATCGCATTTCCTAAAAAAACTACAGGGTAGATATGGATTGCAGCTAATGTGTGTGTACACAACCCTCTGCTGCTTTTTTTATTCTGTTTTAGGCTTATTTTCATATTGTACTTATGGTTTTGTTTTATTTTTACTTGTAAACTTACATAAGAAGAGCCTGCTGCATAAAGCCAGTGACCCATCTACTCCAGCCTCCTGTTACCACAGTGGCCAACCAGATATCTGTGGGAAACCCACAAGCAGAATTCAAGCACAAGAATGTTCTCCCCTCCTGTGGTTCCTAGCAATTGGTATTAAGAAGCATTCCTGACTCCAACTGCGGAGGCAGAGCACAGCCATCATGGCTAGTAGCTTTCGACAGTCCTCTTCTCCATGAATTTGCCTAATTCTCTTTTAAAGCCATCTAAGTTGATGGCCATTACTGAATCCCGTGTGAGTGAGTTCCATAGTTTAACTACGCACTGCATTAAGAAGAACATTGTTTTATCTGTCCTGAATATTCAACATTCAATTTCATGAAAAGTTACCCATGCACTTCGCATGTCGAAATCCCGAGACCACCCCCTCGATGAATGAGACACAAGGACACAGATATTAGGTTAATGTTATTGGGCAAATTTAGGCCACAACTTTATTGGTTACAGAATGTGAGCGGTATTGGCTTAGGCATTGGAATTGACTTGACGATATCTGACTCCTGCCTGTCATGCAGGGGGTCCTGTAAGGGTCAACCACCAGTAGGGGGAGCCCCGTCGGTGCAAATCAACCCGAGCTCCCCCTGGGTTCCCGACGGGGTCATGGCATGGACCTAGCCCCACCCCAGGCTTCGGACAAGATCCACACACCCCAGATTCCTTTAACAGAATACCCTTTAGCTTGGAGGGGCAGGTGATGGCCACACCTCCCCTCCCCATCATAAGATCAACCAATGCCTAACCGCCAAACCTTACAAAGCTGTGACGATTGCTACGAGGTAGGCGAAAACCAAATCGCCCAAGCCAATTTGCCAAGTGGAAAAATTCCTACCAGGCCCCTCAATGGCAACCAACCGAGGTCCATAGCAAGGCCAATGTTGAGAACCTGAAGATAGGGAGGACGGGCGGGAGATCAAGGAAGCGCACCAGAAGGAAGTTATCTGGCTCAAGCCTTGGTTTAAATGGGTCACGACCATGCCCCCCAGCCAGCTGATTGGCTGGCTGGATCTATGACAAGTCTGGACCTCTGGGTGATAAGGGACTCTGCCCCCACCCCCGGAGGGGAGTGGGTGGCCACGTAGTCCACCGCAAGTCCTCCCCACTGGGAAGTGGAGCGGATTTCTCAACGCCATGAATTTTATAAATTCTATCACGTCGACTCCTACTTGCCTTTTGTCTATAAACTACAAAATTTCAACCTTCTTTTATAGGGGAGTTGCTGCATCCCCTCAATCATTTTGTTCAAAGGGCCATTCTGAGCCCTTTCCAACACTGCAATATCCTTTTTGAGGTGAGCGGTGGCGAAAATTGCACACAGTATTCCAAATATGGTCACACCACAGATTTGTATAATGGCATTATGAGATTGGCAGTTTTATTTTCAGTTCTTCTCCTAATGATTCCAGGCATGGAATTTGCCTTTTTCACTGCTGCCACACACTGGGTCCTCATCAAGCTATCCACTAAAACCCCAAGGCCTCATTCCTGGTCTGTCAATGCCAGTTCAAACCCCATGAGCTTATATGTGAAATTTTATTTTATTTTTGCCTCAACTTGCAACACATGCTTACATTGAATTGCATCTGCCATTTCCCCACCCATTTGCTCAGTTTGAAGAGGTTCTTTTGGAGCTCTTCACAATCTCATTTTGTTTTGAAGGCCCTGAACAATTTAGTATAGTCAGCAAACCTGGCCACTTCACCGTTCACTTCTAAATCCATAAGAGCAGGGCTTCCCCCCCCCCCAGCCGGAACTCGCTGGAACTCAGTTCTGGCACCTCTCAGGTGGGCGCCATTGCCATTCTAAGAGAATGAGGGAGGGGTTCATGCTGAGTTCCGGCAACTTTTTATCTAGAAAAATGGCACTAGTTTAAGGACAAGTTTAAAAAAACAACACCACAGGTCCCAATACAGAACCTCCTGGAGAACTTTTGTTGTTGGGCAGTATATAAGTATTGAAAACAAACACAAATAAATAAAGGTCTGAGCTGTGCACTGAAGCGAACTTACAGCGATTCTCCACATTGATAAAGAATACGTATGGTTTGTCTTTGTTTTTAATAATAATATTTATTGTTTTCTATTTTAACAATCCAATAAGACCACATTAAACATTCCAAATTATACAAATTATACGATAATCAAACAGTCCAAATATTGTGCCAGATTATAAATTTTTGGCGGACTTCTCATGCTCCAAGGTCGGGGGGTTCTAATCTTGTATGGTTTGTCTTTTGCCTACAGTTTGCCTTTGGCGTCCCAGAGTTGACTCTGAAAGATATTGCCTGCAGCCGGGCCCTGCTGAATCGCTTCATTATCTTCAGCAGTCCAGGGGGCTTCCAAGCTGTGCACCAGGCAATGTGTGCCCTTTCCCAGGAGGACCTGCAGAAGGTCGAGGACTCTTTGTACGCCAACACAGACTTCTTCAAGCTTTTCCATTTGGTGAGTACTGGCTGCCAAAGGCTGATCTTTTTAGATATGGTTACATTTGTCTTGTTTTTCAAAATTCTTGTTGCTTGGATAGTAGTGCTGCTGCTGTATTTGTCCCAGAGGAAGAGGTAAAATGATTGTTATGTTGCTGGTCTCTGAGAAAAAGGAACCTTAGGTATGCTATACCTGTGGCCCAGCGCCATGGCGGGGGTCCTGTGGAATCCTGGTTAAGGATTCCTGTGGAAAGGAATGGCTATCTTGGAAGCGGGCATGGCTGACTGGCTAGAGTCCTGAACAGGTGCATGCCATCCTGCAGCATTTCCCTGCAGGGCAGGCAATCAATAGCTCAGTTGGTTTGAACCCCACATTGGGGAAAGGAGTCCTGCATTGCAGGGGGTTGGACTTGAAGACCCTTGTGGTCCCTTCCAACTCTACCATTCTGGGATTCCATAAGAACTGCTTGGTTTGCTATCATTTCATTTTAATTGCTCAAACTTTTGCATAACTCTAGACTACTTAATTGTAGGATGTTGTCATTTTGAATTCATTTATGACATCTCTTACACTTAGTCCCTTTCCGTGACACATTTTTGTTTGTTTGGGCTTCATTTCACACTTGAGATTCTGCCAGTTTTATCTTCGGTATCCTTCAGCATGCCTTGCCCTCATGAGCTGTCAAGGTGCGGTTTAGCAGCGGTGGGACAATAAATAAATAAATAAATAAATCCGCTTGGACATGGACCTAGAAATCCCAGAGCTGTACCTAGAACTTGTGACACAAAATGAAGTATGGATGAGCCTTGGGGTTGTGCAGGCACCCACCCCATACTGTTAATGCACATGGCTGCCTCCAAAGGATCCTGGGAGCTGTGATTTGTTCAGATTGCTGGGAATTGAGTGCCACACATGTAACAAACTGCTCACTAAAAATGCACTAACAAACTTCCATGCCAGCAGTGTCTGCGGGTTATTTTTACTCATTAGACTGTGGGGAGGTAAAGAACGGAAGGGGGAATGGTTCAGTGCCTCCCTTCCTATTACAGTTAACATAAGACACCCCGCTTCCCCCTTCTTTATATGTGAATGGGATGGCCTGCTGAAAAATACACATGCGCACACCGCCATTATATCTTAATTGCCCCTTCATGCATATCTGCCGATGTAATGTGGTTGATGTGGGTTGTCGCCCCCACCCACCCACCGCAGCCTGCTGCCAGCCTTTCCGTCATACCCTGAATTCAAGGAGGTTTGGTGTGTGACGTATCTGAAAGATGATATGTGGTTAAACCCTTAAGGGTTTTCTTAAGGAGGGGAAATTAAACATTAAAAGAGAGAGCGAGAGCGCAGGGTAGGGCAAGAGCTGCAAAACTACAGGTGGGAGAAGGAATGAGAGTTGGGCTGATGAAATGAATAGTTGGGGTGGGTTTGCTGATTGAGGAAGAGCCAGGGTGCGTCCAGATGTGACTATTGTGGAACTGGTGTTGCTTACACACACAAGTTTTTTTTTGCAGTGTCTTTGTGTGATGTTGTTGTAATCATCAATACAATAGCTCATACCTTCAGAAAACTTTTAATCCGGATTTCCTCTTTCTGTGGAAAATCCAATGAGTAAAAATAACCTGTTATATTTTGGCAGCCACTTCTGGCATGGAAGCTTGTTAGAGCTTTTTCTTTTTAAGCAAGTGGTTTGTCATGTGTGTGATGAATGATGTTTTAGTCGGTGGCCTCTAATGATAACAGCCCCTACTTCTGTTTTCTCCTCACCTGTATGCAACCTAGTCTACCCATGTTCAACACTCTAACCATTTTGCAGAGGGACAAAACAATGACAATGCAGCAGAGGCATTCTGTTAACTTTCGCCCACTTGGGCATCGGCTTTTGTGGACAGCAAATAGCAGACAGCAGTGAATATCCATGACTGTAAAAACAGAAATGAATGGAAGTGAATGCATGAAATGCACACACAGAAAAATTGGTCCCAAATTGTGATATGAAGCCCCTGTCAGTAAGGAGTCAGAAGGGGGATGGAGGGGGATTTCTACTAGATCTTTTTGCTTGGGAAAAGTTTGCAAGATCTTGTCGGCAGATTAATGTGAGGGTGAAGGGGAAGATTTGGGGAGAAGGTTATATGACTGGAGTGTTCACTACACATTCACACAGAGAGAATAGTACAGTTGTGTGTGTGTGTGTTTTCTTTCTTTCTGGCAAAGCAAAGGGTAGAGCTGAAGGAGGAAAGGCTGTGTTTACAATTGTCAGAGTCAGCACATTCTTCAGATTTCCTCCAGAAGTGTTCAGCAGACTAGTACCAGGGACGGAAAATGTGGGCAGTGGGAATCAGCCAAGGCTGCTATGTGGAGGCCCAGGCAGAATGTGAGGAGGGCAGAGCAAAACGTATCCACAGGACCGCTTTCATGTTTATGTTGGATGTCATTGCGAGTTGCAAAACTTTTCAGGTGAGCAAAAGGCATAGCAGAGTCTTAATGATCTCTCCATCGTTCTGCCTTCAGAGGCTACAGAGAAAACATCAACAGTGGCTCGGGGCTGTTTGGGTTACAGGCGTTCCTGTTCACTGTACACGACAGGTTATAAATACCAGCATGTGTGCACCGTAAAACTGTCAATTTGTCAGGTCCCTGACAGCCTGAGAGTGATCTGTGCTTTTCTCCCATTCTGTGTTAGTCTGCTGCCTGGAAGGAATGATGCCTTCAGCAGAATAGCTAGTCCCCGCACAAACCTTTTCAACTTTCAATCTGATTTAGGGCTTTTTACAACTGTGCCCCAAGGATATGAAATCTGAACTTTGCCTGCAAAGCAAATACTCTGGTGTCAGAGTTTACATCAGCCTACACTCGGGTGAACGATTGTTGCCCCCTGGAAGGGAATTCATTGTTATGGTTTGAAGGTAATTCTGGCATTGATTTCCTATCTTTAACCTCTGAGGTAAGATAGGCAGGGCATCAACAGAGAAACTGTGAAGAAATTGACCACAGATACTGGTGGGCCTCAGAATAAGCTCACGATTTGGCCATCTCCTCAACTCTTCAGTCATTTTGGAAGCTGCCTTATACCAAGCCTTATACCATATACCTCATTATATGAACATAAAAAGAGTCTGCTGGATCAGGCCAGTGGCCCAACTAATCCTGCATCCTGTTTTCACAGTGTCCAGCAAGCAGAATACGAGCACAAGAGCACTCTCCCCTCCTGTGTTTTCCAGTAACTGACATTCAGTTGCTGCCTCTAGCTGTGGTCACATGAAAAATCAAATTCTTCCGAGACGTTCTAAAGGATGGTTGAATATTTTAACTAATCCAAGTCACTGGTGGGAGTGTGGGAGTGTGTGACAGAGCAAGGAAATGAACAGAGAGCAATATGGATTAGGCAAATTCTTAAAATTCCTTGTTCGCCCTGCAAAATCACTCACCGCAAAATTTCCTGGTCTGACTGGACTTTCTCATAAGGTGACAGGCCATGAATACTAGAGAGGCCTCCCTTGTAATCTATGGTATGCGTGATGCCACAGAATGATGCATTCTGAAATAATTTCAGCAAGCCAGAAAGACGATACCCGCAGGATAAAAAGGGAGTGGATCATGTTTGGAATATGTGATTCCCCACAGCCTGCAGGGTGGGAACAAAAGCAACACCGCTCATTCTTTCTTCTTGCACATCCAGGAAAAGAAGTGGAAGTCTTTCAGATGTCGCAAGATCTTGGCCAGCACCACAGGGTCCAATCCACTTTGCCACATCTAGAAATGCTTGTCCCATAATAGGATAGCTATGTCGTTGGGTGGCAAGCATGGCATCGGGTCTGTTTCCATTGCTTTCCATAACAAACTCAATCATCTGATCATGGTCCTGCTGCTGTTATCCTGGGTTCATCACATATTGCTTGCTGGCTTAATGGTCAGTAAACAGAAGCAGCAGTGGTGCATGTTTTGGGACAGTGGCAAAATCAGGGCTATGAGTTGGCATCCTATGCTGAAAGCAGCCCTTGTAGAAATCAGTAACCTGCTTGTAAACCATGAGATTTGATGAATGTGCTACAAAGTACAAACTTTAGATACTCTGCAGAATGTTGTCCATTCGTGGATGGTATTACATAATGTACTGAACGAAGTCAAATGAAAACTGATCAGTCTAGGCATTGTATGCAAATCCTAGGAATTCTATAGATTTCCAAGTAAAATCTAAAATGTTTCGAAGTTACGAAACATGAGGACACATGGAAAGGCATTGTGCTTTCCATAGGCATTGCGTCGTTCATAGAATCATAGAACTGTGGAGTTGGAAGGGACCCTGAGGATAATCTCTGTCAGTGCAGAAATCACAACTAAAGTATTCCTGACAGATGGACATACCAACTTCTGCTTTAAAACCTCCAGCGAAGGAGAGTCCACCACCTTCCCAGGGAGTCTGTTCCACTGTTGAACAGCTCTTATAGTCAGAAAGTTCTTCCTGATGATGATCCTAGGAATTCTGTGGTTGAGATTAAAAAACAAGAAGTCATGATTATTTGAGCCTGTATGAATTTTGTGTTCAGGGTGTGTTAGGGTGTTCATGACTAACCCAAACCATTTTGCTGCCTGAGATGAAGGACAAGGTGGAGCCACCCCCCATTCCATGTACACAACCTGATAGGACGAACAATTGCATCTTACCTTGAAACTCCTCCACTCGGGCCAAGCATAGCAGGTTAGCTTAGGAAGTATAGGGCAGGCCATACAGATCTATCTGTTTCTTGCTCTTCATCATTTTTGGCCTGAGGATGTTTCCTTGTAGTAGGTCTGGCCCTAAGGGGGTCTTTTCCCTGATTAGAGAAATGGCATTGTCTTCTTGTAGAGAGTTGGAAAAGGGCAACTTGGATGACCAAGGCATTGAAGGTTTGGAAACACAGCCTAGGAGGCTAGCACAAGCTAGCTCCTGACTCTGAAAGCATTTAGGTAGATACTGGTCATGTCTCACCAGCATTCACTTTTCTTCCTTTACAGCTTCCCACCGTGTTAGACGGCAATGCTCAAGGTGCTGATCTACAAATGTGGGGACGAGTGCTTTCTAATGTGTCCCAAGCTGTGCAAGAGGTAACACTTTAGCATTGTGGGGTAGGGAAATGAGTGCAACTGGCATAAATATTGAGTAAGGAACTTGTAAGGAATTTGTGTTGGACACAGGCGGACATCCTTATGCAGTGAATTTAAACATGCCAACTGCTTGGGCAGTTTAATAATTTCACCCACTGGTTTTCCTTAATGCTTGTTCCTACTGCCTGTGACTTATTAAGAAGCCATGCATTATACAGATCTGCACCTTCAGTGTCCTGGTAACTGATTGCATATTCCTCTATGTTAAACAAACCTGCAACTAAAAAGCTAGCTCAGTAGGAAGAAGGCGAGGCTAGAATCTTACCCCTGATGTGCACTAGCTTTTCATTTGAGCACATTATTTTCACATGAGGTAGAATTCCAAAATGGTTTTCACCATCTGAAGTTTGAAGTGGTGTACAACCTACATTTCTGAATTCAGCTTCAGACTGGCTAACAGTGATTTCTAATCTGATATATCCAGAACCTATATAGGGCATCTGATAATATGCTGCTCTTTGTCTCCATGTATAAGGATGCTGTTGCAGCTCATTCTCTGCTGTTATATACCTTGCCTGACTTCCAAACCTCCTTTTGGGTTTGGTCTACAGATTCCTTTGCTTATCTCTGCATGCCCACTTGATGATGATTAACAAGCAGCCCTTAGTAATGCACTCAGATGTGACTATCTTTAGTCTTCACATTCCTGATCAAACCTGCATCTTGCTTCAGTGCAGCTTGATACTTCTTTCAAACACCATAATACCAGTTCAACACCTTTTTTTTGTATTTAAGAGGGGCATAGCCAAAGATGTCCTTAATTAGAGTAGAAGAGAGCAGGAGCAGTGTTTGTTACTTTTAAAAAAGCAAAATCCTAGAAGAGGGCAAGTTTGCTGTAGTGGGCATATTGTTCAGCTTTATTATTCCTTTCTGTTCTTAGTATAACCATTCATTTAAAAAATGCTTTGTATCACTGCAGCTGGCACGTAGGCCGAGTGTTCAGGACCTTTTATCAACCCTACAGCCGCTTCTGCGAGATGGGGAGCCTGTGTCCTTATGGCAGCTGATGAGTTCTTTATCCGATCTTCTCTGTGGCTACCCAGAGGGAGGTGGTTCCAGAATAATCTCTCTCAACTGGTACGAAGACAATAATTACAAGGCCTTCCTTGGGGTTGACTCCACGAAGAAGGAATCCATTTATGTTTATGACAACACAACCAGTAAGTCCCCCACCCCCACCCCATTGGCTGTGCTTCATGTGGGCTTGTATTATAAGATTAAGATTGATAATGCCACTGTTACACCATTAGTTGTTTCAGGAATTTCGCCTAACAACTTAATCCATGCAAAGGCATAAAGCAGCTGGAATCATTAGGGCAGGAACCTGTGTGTGTGTGTTTGCTAGCAATGCAAGGTTGCTGTCATTTTAAGATTTGCCTACATTACCTGAAAGAGACAGGCGCTTCAGTGAGAGAGACTCCAAAATTGGCATTACGGCCAGGGGTGGGGAATACCAATTCGGCCTTCCCGATCTATCTAGCCCCATTTCCCCCAAAACTTGGGTCTCCAGCTGCTTTTGTACTACAGTTCCCTTCATCCCTGAACACTGGTGTTGCTAGCTAGGGATGATGAGAGTTGTAGTCCAAAAACTGACCTGGTTCTTAGGAATCTTCTGAGGCCATAGCCACAGTCTCCTCATTAGCCTTGCATCAGGCTGGAATGTGTCCTTGAGCTCTGATTATGCCTCTTGCTTGTCTGAATGGACAATACAGAGGTCCTCGCAGTTTGGAAGAAAGGAGGTGTGTGTGTGTGTAGAAACTCAGCTACTATAAAATTGACCTTTGTTGCTCCGTCCACTTTCACCTTGTTGTGAGGCTCTCAGAACGCTGACCAGAAAGGAATGCTTCCCTAAGGTGGAAGAAGGTTCTCCACCCCTGCTACGTTAGGACAAGGGTGGGAAACCTTTTCCAACGTACCACATTCCCCTGTGAATAGCCATCATCATCTGGAGTAGCTTTTCTCAACTGTTGGGTTCCCAGATGTTGTTGGACTACAACTCCCATCATCCATAGCCAGCAAGGACAGCAGCCAGGGATGATGGGAGTGGTACTCCAACAACATCTGGGAACCCACGGTTGATAAAGGCTGACCTGGAGGCCACCACCACCGCCTGGATGGCACCAGTTTTGGAAAAGGCTGCTTAGTTCTGCTGCTGCCGTTGTACTGCTGCTGTAAAATGAGCTCAATAAACCCTGGAATTTCCGTCCTTTAGATTTCAGTCAAGTAGTATTACACTGCTCTTTTAACTAAAGGCATGGCGGCTGCATAGATGCAACCTGAACCTTTTTTGCTCTGTTTGCTGAGTTCCTAGAAACTGGTGTAGCTGCAATTTTCTGTTGGTAAGATGGAAAGGCTAGCCTGCAGAATGTCGTGAACAATTAAAAACTGGGCCAGTGTTATATAACGTATCTCCTTTCCCCTCCCTCTCCTCCAACAGCTCCCTTTTGTAACACATTGATCCAGACTATGGAATCAAATCCTTTAACCAAAATAGCCTGGAGGGCTATGAAACCATTATTGATGGGGAAAATCCTCTTTGCTCCAGATTCACCTGCCGTTCACGAGATACTGAAGAATGTAAGTTATTTTCTCTCTGCTACACCTATGCACCTGCAGTGTTTATAACATGAGCACTTTGCAAGAGAGGTCCATTGAACAAGTGGCAACCAAGCTGTTGCTGCAGGCAACAACAGACCTTTCCCCCCCTCAAGAAAATGTAACGTGGCCTTTGAACTCAGGACTGGGAAGGAAAGAGGGAAGCCCAGCCTCTTTTTAGTTCTCTAATACTTACCATTCGGGTTTTTTAAAAAAAGAAATCCATGTAGCTACTATAGCAGATCTTTTTCTGCTTGCTGATGCAAACCCAGGACTGCAAAAATTGGAATGAAGCAGAATTGGTATAAATAATACACAAGGCCACTTTTTAATTTATTCTACTGCACTGATATCCCATGTTTTTTGGCCCACCCAGAAACCATTTGCAGTAATTAAATAACAAAGCACCAATCTATATCACAATAACTGTTCAGGTTCTTAAGTTTCACATGAATTCACTATCCCTGTTCAGGCATTCTTCAAAAGTATGGGGTGGGGGGGAAATAATGTGCAGAATGTGGGTGCAGAATGCATGCCTCTCCCCCTGTGCCAAAAAACTTGTCCTCACCACCACCAGCCCCAACTCTTGCAGATTGGGCAGGGCGGTCTGAAAGGGGGGTTATTTGTTCATTCCCCTGAACATGCTTAGACTCCTCCCTACTGTCTGAGTTCCTGGCTGCAGAAGGGCTTCAAGTGCCTTCAGCCAAACACATGAAAAAGATCTCCCTTCAGATATTCCCACTCAATATGTGAGCGTTCAGGTGAAGCCACTGGTGATATTAGGGGCCAGGGTCTCATTCCCAAGGCACATTACTGCCACATGAACATTGCCACATTATCAATATGCATTTGTATTCTGAAGGCAGCAGAAATACGTATTTAGTGTTCAACTGTTCAGTAATTGCTTAGGGATGCTGTATCTCTGGGTTTCCTGGGTTGAGGGGTTTGGACTAGCTGGCGTCTAAGACTATCTCCAAATCTTCTGTTTTTCCTATGATTATTTCTTCCTCTCCCTTCTGCAACTTCCTAACTCAGACAAATTCCACATTTGAGGAACTTGTGCGCCTCAGACTCTTGGCTAAAGCCTGGAAGGAAGTGGGACCCCAAGTGTGGAGCTTCTTTCAAGACAGTGTGCAAATGAACATGATCCGGGTATGTGCAGGATACCTTACTTGGTATGGGAAGGGAACTGGAATCCATTAGGCAGAGTGATGTGATTGCTTCAAACAGCAGGTGCTGGGGTGGCAGCAATCTCTCCTATCCCCCATTCCTAATGGGACTCCCAAGCTATCCTGCTGCCCTCAGGTACAGTGGAGGATGCTGTCTTACCTGAAGGGTCAACTGTTAGTCCAGTCAGACTCTGTACTTCAAATGGGAGGAAGTATCTTGTCCCTTTGCCTCAGACAGCGCTATGTCTTGAGCTAACCCCAGCTACAAGGGCTAATATAGTGTTGCCAAAGTTGTCGAGCTTTTCTGGGGGCCAAAGTTGTTGAGCTCAAAAAATAAATAAATGAAGTTTTTGAGAGATTTTAAAGGAAATTTGCTACAACCTAAACTTCCAACATGGGTTGCCATACGTCCATTTTCCCTTGGACATTTCAGTGATTTCCGCCTGGACACGGTTTCCGACTGCTGTATTCTGGATATTTCTGGGAAATTCCGGATATATAGCAACCCATGTTGGGTATCTTTGGTTATGACTGGTCTGGAGAAGGGGCTATGCTGCCACACCCATGTGTTCTATCTACCTCAAAGCCAGTGAACACAAGGGCAGTTAAGGTTTAGCCTCTAAGTAGCTTGTTAGGAGGGCAAAGGGGTCAGACCTAGGCAGGGTTACGGTTTGGGTTCCTCTATACCTGTGTGGATGGTTGGTGTCTGATTCTGACCTTTCCCCAGACTGAATTATCCATGTAGGCTTAGTGGCAGGTAATTCTTCCCTTGGAGTTACCAAGGTTGCAGTTTCCCAGGTAATAGAATACAAATACATGTACAAATATAATATGTTAAATTAGACCTAATGTTTCTTCCCTAGGACACTTTGCAAAACCCTACGGTGAAAGGCTTCTTAAATGAGCAGCTGGGTTCTGAAGGTTTCACTGCAGAAGATGTGATCAATTTTCTGTACAATGGGCCACCAGAGAGAAGAAGGGAAGGCATGGTGAACTTTGATTGGAGGGATGTCTTCAATGTTGCCAACCAGGCTCTGCATATGGTCCACGAGTACCTGCAGGTAAGACTGGTATCTTTTTCAATATGAGGATGGATGCTCATGACAGTATTAGAACATCAATGCTCAAACATTTAGAAAATAAGAATTCATAGAAAGCATACAGGACACACAGACAATGTTTGGAAGATCTCTTTCCTATAGTAAAGCAGTAGCTTTCAATCCTTCCAGCCAGCCAAACTGCAGAGTTTTTAGGCTGTGTGTGTGCTGTTCAGGGTCATAACTTTCACAATCTAGGGAGCTGGCATTGGGGATGATTTGGGCAAACAATGTATTTGCAGTTTTAATTGAAGTTTACGGTCCACAATGCAAATTCTAAAAGATGAAGAAGGAATAAGCATGCAGGCATAAGTAAAAAAAACCTGGAATACCAGTGCGGTGATTTTTGATCTGTGTTCTGCAAGAGACATGGGGGCATGAGAAATAAATTTATTCAGTAATTAAGGGCTTCTGTGAAGCCAAGGAGAGGCTGTCCACTCCCTCTTGGCATGATTCACTGCTCTGGTCTTGCTTCCTTGCAATCAGGGTTTGTAGTTCTGCCACAGATCCATATTGAGTGTGATTGGATCATTTCTGATGCAAGGCCGCTGCAAAATTACCTGACCTCAGAGGAAAATAACTATTGTGTCTGCATGAATTACCTGCCTAGGCTTGCTCCTTCGAGCCCGGAGGTGCACCCAACAGTGATGCACACAAAAGCATGGGGGGTTGACTCCACTGCAGTGGGAAGGGTAATTCTTATGGGAGGCGCTGTGGTCTAAACCACTCAGCCACTTGAGCTTGCCAATCAGAAGGTTGGCAATTTGAATCTCTGTGATGGGGTGAGCTCCCGTTGCTTTGTTCCAGCTCCTGCCAACCTAGCAGTTCAAAAGCACACCAGTGCAAGTAGATGAATAGGTACCGCTGCTGCGGGAAGATAAAGGCTGTTTCTGTGCACTCTGGCACTCATCAGTGTCGCGTTGCACCAGAAGTGGTTTAGTCATGCTGGCCACATGACCTGGAAAGCTGTATGCCGACAAACGCCCTCGGCCTGAAGCAAGATGAGCGCTGCAACCCCATAGTCACCTTTGACTGGACTTAACCATCCAGGGTTCCTTTACCTTTTACTTTTTCTTACTGTAATAAACTTGAGACCAAACATTGGATATAAGCATATAATATGCCTCCAATTTTAATTCAGATGAGGACTTACTTGATGGAAACCTCCCTCATGAGAAGAGCTCACAAGCAAAAAAAACCCCAAGCATGTCTAAGGGAAGGCTAGGCTAGAATTTGTCTCACTGGGTCTAGTTTTCTGTGTCTTCCAACTTCCAGATCCTATTGCTCCCAGGCCAATTCCATCTTCTTGGTCCCATTGGAAAAAAGGAACAGAAACATACATTTTCTCCCATGGGGTCCAAAGCAGCAATTTGGAGGTTGAAAACCAACTAATAGGGAAAGGTTAAGGCTTGGGTCCCAGTTTTACTGCTTGGGAGGCTGGTTTAGATTTGAAAAGGAAAGGGGGTGGGAAAGAGATTTGCATGTGATGTATGAAGGAAGAGTTGGCTTAAAAGCAAGTAAAGTGGTACCTTGGTTCTCAAACTTAATCCATTCTGGAAGTCAGTTCCAAAACCAAAGCGTTCCAAAACCAAGGTGTGTTTTCCCATAAAAAGTAATGCAAAATGGATTAATCCATTCCAGACTTTTAAAAACATCCCTAAAACAGCAATTTAGCATGGATTTTTCTATCTCACGATACCATTGATCCATAAAATGAAAGCAGTAAATAATGTACTGTACTATAAAATGAATAAAACAGTATGGAAGATGAGAAAAATTAAAATTATTTTTTTTTCTTACCTGCACTGATGATAGTCATTGTTTGGTTGGGGGACTTTTATCCATTTCCGCAGTCAATCAATCAATCAATCAATCAGTAGCTGAACTGGGTTCCACATGGTCACAAAAACAAATTAACCAAATAAAGCCTCAGAAACAGAAACAGAAAAATAAATAGCAAAAACAAAAGCACCAAACTTAATCCGTTCCGGAAGTCCGTTTGACTTCTGAAATGTTCAAAAACCAAGGTGCAGCTTCTGATTGGTGCAGGTGCCCTGGGAACAATAGCTGACAGCCACATTGGACGTTCGGCTTCCGAAAAACATTCAAAAACCGGAAAACTTACTTCCGGGTTTTCGGCGTTTGAGAACCAAGGCACCACTGTATATGAATAGTCTGCTGATAGTGTCCTCTTATTTTGGAATTGTGTAACTTCTCACTTCTTATGTGTAAAATTGTGGTACTCTTTTTTGTGGGGGAAGGTCCACAGTTATTGGGCATTGATCTTGCTTGGGATTGGGAGGAGGGAGGTCTTGCTAACGAAGCAAAAAGTATGCTACAAAGATGAACTTTTGGCATGGAGCAGGATGAGAGTTGAGTAGAACAATGGCTTGATTTCTTCCCCAGGGGTTTTAAAGAGAGGTCTTGGCAGGCATTAATTATGGGCCCCATATCTTTCTGACTTATGACTTTGGGCGAGGCAGACTTCACTTGGATAATGGGGGAAAGCAACTTGATGCGAACAATTGTTTGTAAGCATTTGTTGCTAGCTCTGATAGTTCCAACAGACTTGCGTTTTGTTTGGTCATTCATTTATTTGCATTTCAAAACTGAGCATGCAATGGTATCCTGCTAGGGTCCAGAGCCTACTGACCGTCTAACTTGATGGTTTCTCCTTACTGAATTATAAATGCTAAGTGCTATAAAAAACACTAAGTATTTTTGTGGCTGTTTTAGTTAACTTCTAGTTAAAACTGAAAAATATATAGGGAGGGGTTCATCCATAAGTTTCCTTTATGTTCAGAAAAACCTGTAGTGTAGTAGTGTTGTACAATTTTATTTGCAAAGAAGGATGCTTTTGTGAAATAATAAGTTGCCTACAGTTACTTCATATTGTTGCTGCTGTTATCCTTGAACTAAACCACCAATACTGTATGCTCAAGGGGATTTTGGGCTTCTGGTTTTTGAGCAGCAGCCTCTCCACACAAAGAGGCAAGCTATTTTTTGAATCTGAGAAGACTTTTTTTAAAAAAACCCCAGCCTGTGGCATAGTAAGGGTTTTTGTTGTTGTTGTTTAAAGTCAAAAATTTACTGGGCATGCCGGCCCTAATGGTGTGCCTATAGTAGCGGGGTCTGATCAGAGGCCTTCTGGATGTTGTTGGACTCCAACTCCCATCAGCCCTAGCCATCATGGCCCATGGTCAGGAGTTATGGGTATTGTAGTCCTCTGGAGGGCCACAGGTTCCCCAACTCTGGCCTAAAGCAGCCTTCCCCTCCATCATCCCTGACCATGGCACATGTTGACTGGGGCTGATGTGAGTTGGAGTCTAAAACATTTGGAAGCACCAGGATGGGGAAGCCTGGCTTTAAGTAACTCTTTGGATCCTGGTTGTTGCTACTATTAGACCCCATATCCAAGTTTGACTGGACTTAACCATCTAGGGGTCCTTTATCTTTACCTTTTTACTACTGTTATGCATGGGGTCTTATGTTCAGGACAGTGTTGTTTCCTTCTGGGCCAGAAAGCTGGTTTTTCCTCCTCAGGGGAAAAGATAAGCAACCTTTCCCCTCCCCTAGGTTGTCATTTTGGATTTTAATAAAGGCTTTAGCAAAACATAGTTGCATCCGGTAAGACTGCATAGAAGTCCGTCCTTTATTTGAAAGGCTACGTCCTGCCCAAGTCTAGTGTAATTTGCTCATCAACAGTTAGCAGCCGGACAGTATACTGAGCAGGACCACAGGTGTCTATGACCAGTACCTACTGATGCAGCTGGAGCAAGAACTGCAGGGTGGGCTGGACCCTAAGAAGCTCAACAGGGAGCTATTAACCCATCAAGCATCCAGAGGAGAATATATAAGGCATATATCTTCACTGCCAGCTACTCCGCTTCTTTTTGATGTGCTGCATTATTGTTTACAGCGAAGTCTACTCCATCCTTCTTAGTGGAACCCTCTACTTGAAGAGACCTCTGGTGACATAACCTTCTGGAGGCTCTGGGCTCCCACTGAATCTGCTGCTGCCTTTCCTCTTGAAGTGCAGGTGACAAAGGTTGAGTATTTAGGGTCAGGCCAGGCCTTGGCCTGTGCTCAGATGGGTTATCAGTGGGGCTCAGGTGAGACATCCGTGAGCCGAAGCACTTTGGTCAGCCTTAGGACTTTTAATGGGTCCTTCCATGTCCTCATGAGGTCCTGTGCCTCTTCCTCAAAGGAGGCCTTCTGACTGTGCAGGATCCTGACAACTGTCACTTGGTCAGGCTTCCCCACTATGGCGAGTATTTCTGTTCATATTATAGTTATTACTTTCTTGATTTGCATCAAAATAGATGAATTTTGGGCAATTTTTGGTCATATTTTTTGTTATCAGTGTCCACTTTTCAGTGATAGAACTGTACAATGTTCCTTTTTACATACGAGCATAATTATAATACAGGTGGTTTAAATACATCGCTTTTTGTTGATCATCCACTAAAAAGCGATATAGCCTTGACATATTCTTTAAGTAAGGCGTATTTTGGAACATCATCAGTTTAGTTAAAACAGGATCCTTTCTATTCAGAGGTGCTTCCCCCACCCTCCCCCACCATTTAAAACAACATAAGAAAAGTTTCTTTAGATGACAAGGCCAAACAAAGGAGACTTTACATTTCAGAGAAGTCTGCCTGTTAAATCACAAGTTGTCTGCAAGCACTTTGATGTACAGTAATTGTTGGTTGTTGGCTTGCCGAAAAGACCATCTAGATAGAAGATAAGATCAAACAATTTGGCTTTGTGTGGCATTCTATGAGGTGAGGTAATTAAACACATTTCTTCCTAGTCCGTTTAGGAACTGAATGCTGCCTACTTACTTGCCAAGATGAGACAATGATAATAACTCACTGGTTTCGGAGTTAGGAAGCTCAATAAAAATACAAATATATGGTTATGTGTGTTTTTTTAATTACTTGCCATGCCACGTTTGCAGTTCCCAATTGCTTTTTCTGTAACAATGCACAGGAGTGTGGTCAAATGTCAATATATTAGCAGATATAAAGATACATTTAAAGCACACCCCCCCCAAAGGAATCCTGGGAACTGTACAGGCAATGACCAATTAATGTGTCTCTGAATGATGTGTGCTTGCGCATGCGCGCATGGCGCTGAACCCGGAAGTGACAGAAAACATCACTAAACATGTCCCTTAAAAGGTATTTCGGGGCAGGGCACATTTATGTGTGCTCTGCCAACATGCATTGCATCTAGGAATGGAAGCTCCAGGCGAAATGGTTGTTGACTGTAGTTGAAGGGTGTTTGGAATTATAGTTCTGTTGGGGTGGTGGACTACAGTTCCCAGAATTCTTTTAGCAGGGGAAATGTGTTTTATGTATATCCCATGTACACATAGTGCCTTCTGCAGGGATGGACTATATAGGAAATGTGGAATGGAACCCCTTCATCACCCCTAACACTTTTAAATAGACTCTGCTGGTCATCATATAATAATAAGTTTGTGACAATTTTCCGGTCCAATAACTGTGTCTACCTCTGGATTGCTGCCATGGTTCCATTCAGATTTCATCATTTCTATGTATTCATTGTGAAAGACATGTTTTCAGATGCATCCTCAGCCCTCCTGCTCATTCCTACTGGGCATATATGCTAAGAACGCCTCCCGTTTTCACCCACAGCCCATGATTTCAACCCTTACACTTTTCCAAGCATACAGAGTAAAGTGGAGGCAGAGTGAAGTGTTTACCCATAGAGAATTGTGTCTTGGTGCCTCCTCACTGCAGTGTGTTTTTTCTGCTGGATGTGCTGATGAGACACTTTCCTCTTGTCTCTACCTGGTGATTTTGTTTGCTCTCCCAGTCTTATTTTCCAGGTGGTGGGCTCACATTATCTTTTCCCTCTGTTTGTTTGCTGAGATGAAGGTTTTGCTTTGCTGTTCTTCCTGGCTAGACATTTCTTTAATGACCAGGCTCCCAACTCTCACCCTACAATTACTCCATTCAGGCTACAATCCTACACCCATTGTAATCCACATTGAACTTGCGGTGGGGGGGGGGACCTCTCTTTTGAATTAACCGTATATAGGATTGTATTGTCAGTCTCCACACATTACAGGATGGTAGGACAAATGTTAGATGTGGAATATTCTTAAGTTGGCCTTTTCGGTCTTTCCTTTTATCTTTTAATCACCAGTTTTTACATATCACTTTAGCATGAGAATAGGCATAGAAGTCTTAAGGCGTGTCTACATTAAAATTTTAAATTGGTTTCAAGTCTCATGCATTTCCCAACCAAGAAACTACTAGCAATCCAATTTCAAACTGGCTTCAATGTGTTGTGTTGATGTTGTTTTAGAGCAGGGATAACCAATATGGTGACTTCGAGATACTGGTTTTATTCAATTATTTCAATTATTTATTAGTCACTTTTCAGGACCCAAACCCACAGAAAAATAAAAACAATAAACCATCAGGCAGAATACAAATCCCATGGTCAGGGGTGATGGGGAGTCCAGCAACACCTAGAGGGCGCCATGTTGGCTATCCCTGCCTTGGAGTAAGAAGCAAAAAAGTTATATTGAACCCATTTGTGCTTATGTAATGCATATGTCCTTCTGTCCTACTTCAGTGTGTCTTCTACTTTTTGTACTCTCTCCAGTGCTTGGCTCTTGATAAATTTGAAGGCCACGCTGATGAAACCCAGGTGACTCACCGTGCTCTTTCTCTTCTGGAGGAGAATAAATTCTGGGCTGCTCTCATCTTTCCTGATCTGGACCCAAAAACCAGACTGCTGCCGCCTCATGTCAAATTCAAGATTCGCATGGATATAGATTCAGTGGAGAAAACGAACAAAATCAAAGACAGGTGATGGCAGTCTCACATCTTGCAATGTGTTGAAGGCTTGGCCCAAGCTTTGCCTAGGCTATGGCTCTAGGCCCAGGTTGGCTGGAGTCAGAATATAAATCAGTGCAGCCAAGGCATTTCAGTGACCAAGACAGAATATCCTGGAGGTGAAAATATTATAATAAAAAGCTAGATAAATGATATTTTGCTACTCTTTGGGGGTTTTCCACCCCAAATTCTGCCTAATGGTAATCCCTAAATCAGAGGGTGTTATGAAGCAGATGAGCAGATGCTTGATAATATACAGCCATCCTTTATATGATGGTACAGTGTGGAATGCACATCCAGAATTGGACCCCACATTGTGTAGGCTGGTAACAGAAGAGAAGCCTTGAAAGCCTGATTTACTCGGTGTAACGTAATTTATGGTAACATAAAAAGCAAAGATAGCTGTGTTAGTTCATAGGAAGAGCTCAAAAAACCCCCAAGATATTAGGAAATAACTTGAATAGGGCCAACTAAAAAAGTTACAAAATAGTGAGCAAGCTTTCTCCAGAATTCTTCGTCAGGTTGGATGCTGTACAAAGCTGGGGGGAGGAGATAGGAGAAGAAAACACAAAGAGTACATTAAAAATTGACTGGGTATTGTAGCCATACGGTTTGCATTTAGGCTCAGTCTCAAAATTGAGGCTGCAGACTGGCTGAATTAATCTCTGCTAGGTGTTGCGGGTTTCAGGTTACACTTAGGATTCTGAGACAAAGAAGCAATGGCTGAAAAGCCAATTTGGAAAGTATAAAGCACCAACAGTAACCCGGATCTGTCTCCAGCCTAAACGCGCAAGTTCCTAGCTGGGCGGCGATCTGTAGTTCTCATAAAGATAGAGCTGCCACTTTTTCAACCTTGAATAGTGTACGTCTGAGGCTCTGGCAATTGTAATGTTAACCCTAGTCAGCTTTCCACCACCCTCAGCTTTCTAGGTTGCATATAATAATGTTTTTATGTCTTCACAGGTACTGGGATCCTGGCCCCAGAGCTGACCCAGTGGATGATCTGCGTTACATCTGGGGAGGGTTTGCGTATCTGCAAGACATGGTTGAGCATGGAATCATCAAGGCGCAGACTGGAGTTGAAGTGCCTTCGGGGATCTACCTGCAACAAATGCCCTATCCATGCTTTGTAGATGATGTGTGAGTAAGAGCAGCCACAGTGATCTGTTTCTGATAACTAATTGGGTGGCTGGGTGGGTGGCAGATTGGATTTTACAGGGGGCTTGGCTGCTTTTTGCCTTTGATCTTGCTGAAAAGCTGGAGAAATCCAGGATGAAGGTATTAGGCAAATCTCCTCCCCACCCCCAAGGAGTCTGGGATGTGCTGCTGCCCTGCTAAGTCTGAGATAAGGAGGCTGGAACAAAAAAACAACAACACCAAAGCACTGGAGCGTTTTAAAACTTTAAAATAGAGAACAGCAAGGTCTGGGATAACTTCCATTGGGAAAACAACAATCCATGGATTCATTAGCAGGAATGTACAGGAGAAGTTGGAGTTTATAGCTGTCTGAATCTTCCCATCAAACAAAAGGAGAGGGGAAAGAGCTTTTGTTTTTTTAAAAATTCCTCTGGTTTTTAACAAGAACTTGAAGGAAGGTTTGGTGAAACGGTACAGTGTTCCAAAACAATCAGTGGCTTTCCCTATCTCTGGAAAACATTTTACACTGACCGACCTAGCAGGATTTTCTTCTCTTTTTCTCTCATGCAGCCACAGATATTGTGTGGGCAGTTGTGCCCCAGAAATGCCCTTGCAAATCAGGGAGCCAGAGACTCTGCTAGCTGTGGAGCTGCCACTGGGGATTCCAGTGCGGTGAAATCGACAGTGTGTCTGACTAGAATCAGGGAGACCCATGTTAGGAACACAAGATGGCCCATCTGGTCTGTCGTCCTGCCCCCACGGTGGCCAACCAGATGCCTGCGGGAAGCCCAAAAGCAAGGCCTGAGTGTACTCTCCTCACTTGTGATTCCCAGCAACTGGCACTCAGAGCCACACTATCAGAAGCATAACCATTGTGGTTGACAGCCTCGCCTTCCATGCGTTTGTCTAATCCTCTTTTAAGACCTCCCAAGTTGGATGCTATAACTGTTCCTTATGGGACCGAACTGCAGCATTTATCTGGGCTGCGTGAAGAAGTACAGTCATACCTCAGGTTACAGCCGCTTCAGGTTGCATTTTTTCGGGTTGCAGACCACCGAAACCCGGAAGTACCGGAACAGGTTACTTCCGGGTTTTGGCGGTCGCGCTTTGTGCTTGCACAGAAGCACCAAATCGCAACTCACGCGTGCGCAGACGCGGGTTGCGAACGTGCATCCCGCATGGATCACGTTCGCGACACGAACGTCCACTGTATTTTCTTTTGTCTGTCCCAAATATTCCAACGTTCAGCTTCACAGGATCTTCCCCGAGTTCTAGTGGTATGAGAGAGAGAGAGGGTCAAAAACTTCCTTGTCCGTATCACGTTCAAACACCTGATCAGCTATTAAGCTCGCAGTTTTTTCCTTTCAGACTTACATACCCCCCACAGGCCTGTTTTGAAGTTTTGTATGTGAGTGGGGAGTGATAATATGCCATCCTGAGCTCCTTTGTAAATGTAAAAAAAGTAATAAATGATAAACGAAATTTGAATAACATATCAGCACCCTGCCCCTGTAACAAACAGTCTATGAGCAGTCTATGAAGATAATAATGTTGCAGTAAAAATACAATACAAGCAACAAATCAAGCACAAGAATAAAACCAAAACAGGCAATTCAAAATAGGAAGCAAAGAAATAAAACCGCATACCAGAAAGATATAAGAGTAGGCACCATGCCAGGCCTCTTTAGGCAGGGCATTCCACAATGGGTGGGTCTGCAGTTGGGGCTTGTCAACCTGGGAAGGTAGCCCATTGAGGAGAAGGAAAACTGATCCTAACCTCTGCTGCCTTGCAGCATATCTTTGGGAGAAGAAAAGGCTAAGGAGTAAACCCTACACAAATTTGGAGTGGAGACGCTAAGAAGGTTGGATGGTGCCTTGCATGCCTCCTTCTGGCAACTCCTGCAGCCAAGCTGGTTCCAAACGTATTGCTCTGCTTCCTTTTGGATCGCATCAGTGAGGCCAAGAGGGGGGTCTTGTTGTCTGACCCTCCATGCACACTCCATGCACCCTGGGGTGGTCACTTAGGTGCAGTTAACACAGTAGTTTGACTTCACCCTTGGAGGCACACTCCATTGACAGACAGATGCCAACAAAAAACAAGGCCTCTAAAAAGGCCTTTTCTCTCATAGCCACCCACGGTCCCTCGCTAGGCGGGGACACTTGGAGAAGGGCCTCAGATGATGGCTTGGGTAGGGACATGTGGGAAGAGGTCATTCCTCAGATACCAAAGCCTCCAAACAATGAAGAGCTTTAAATGTCACACCTCTGAAAGCTCAGCATTGTTGAATAGTTCTGCAGCTACAGTATCTGAGCATCTTCATTTGCAGGGTTTTGTGGAGGCTCAGCTGCCTGTGCTGCTATGCGCAGGAATGGGGTAGGGGGTGGTGGGGTCATAGTCATGCATACAGCATTTGAGTTTTGTGTATCGCCCCCCTAACAAAAACCTAACAATATCAAATTCTTCAGCCTCTTACTTCAACTTCAGCTCTCCATTAAGTTCAGCAGTCCTGAGGTTAGAAGCTGAATGAACTTTCTTTTTCAGATTACAGAGGGTAAGAGACCAGGCCCAGGGTCTAGCTTTTTCTAAAGGTTTCGCATTCCTTTGATTTATCATCAATCATCATTAACCCCCAGGTCTCTTCTTTACATACAGGGAAGGGCTCTTAATGCCATTTTAAAACTGGTTTCACAATGGGGAAATGCTCGTGTAAAACGAGAGCTAGATTAATAGCGTAGGCCCAACACATAATGAGACGAGATCCCACTTACGTCGTCTTTTATAATTCCGCTTTCAAAGTTGCTTCAAGGCTGTCTCTTCTTCTAAATCATACTATGCTGGGTATGTGCTGCCATAGCTGCTTGTCTGTGAATGAAGTGCCTGCCTCTGATGAAAGACAGCCCTCTGGTGGTTAGACCCAATAGCATAATTCTTGAATGTAAATGCTATTCTTTTAGATTCATGCATTTTTAAAAAATTAAATTAATTAATTAAATTAAGCATTGATAATATTGCACTGAACATACAACCTTCCATCAGGTAAGAGATATATTTAATATGTGGCATTTTTCCTACCTAGAAGGCACCTCAGTTTGGGGAAAATACCGCATAGGCTCATTTTACAACATCACGTGTGAAAAATCACTTTCGTGTATCTGTTGTCATGACGGATTATGGAAATACAGTCTCGCATGGCTCCCTCCCCAGTGAATATACTGGCTCTATGCAGGAAAAAAGTGGCACGAATCAGGTTGCGGTCCTAACTTGGGAGTTGAACTCAGTGGGAGTTACTTATGAGTAGACATGTGTAGGATTGCATTGTCAGGATAGCAATGGGTTGAAGCTAACTAAATTCTACTCAGAGTAGACCCATTGACATTAATGGACCTAAGTTAGTCATATTTATTGATTTCAGTGGGTTTACTCAGAGTATACTAATGCGGAGTACCAACTCAGTGTGTGCACTGTATAGCAGTATCTCCCTGCAAATATACCAATATTTCTTACTTTCCTTGTAAGGTTGAAGTATGTGAAAGTAAAGTCACAAGTATTGTTCTAGTTGGGTGTCATTTGTACATTGTTTATATACTTATCATATTGATATCCCATCTTTTATCCTAGGAACTCATGATCCACCCTCATTTTCTCTCTCTCTAGACAACATAGGCTGAAAGTCAGTGAACGGGCTTCATGGCTAAATGAGAATTTAAACCCAGCTCTCCCCATTCCTTGCCCAACACACTAGCTGCAACATGCTGGCTCTTTGACAAGATATTGGTAGGGGGACAGGGGAAATACACAGCAGCTTGGCACTCTGAAAATGAAGTTTGGCAGGGAAGCCTTATCATGAAGCAATAACAGCAGACTCCTCGAGGGCATCATTTTGTGGTCTCTAGTTTCTATTTCTGTTTCCTTTTTAAACACAAGGGTCTGTCTGGGAGGCACCAGCTTCCAAAATATATCCCTTCTCTGCCACAAATAGCATGGCCTAGATTAATTCTCAAAAACACTCTTTTTCTCCATTTGTCCAGTAGCAACCTCACTTAGCAGCCAAGGTGAGAAATAGTCTGCCTCTGCATTCCTTTTGTTTTTGACTTGATCTGTCTTGCCATGATCTTATCTTTGGCTCCAGATGCCACCCCCTCTCCTAGCAGCACAGACAAAACAGACGCAGATAATCCCATAAACATATGATACAGGTTTATTTCCCCCCCCCTTTAATTGCTACATCTCCATGTGCTGACTTGATCATATCCTCAAGGAGGAGGCATGGCTGTGCAAAAGGGCAGGATCTACCTCTAGATCAGGTATTTGAGAAGGATAATTGATCGCAGGGTTCAGCCACAGCACAAGATTGCTACCTATGCATGGCAGGGAAAGAATATTCCCGCAGAAGTTGATACACCTGTGAACAATTTAAACCTGCTCCCCCCTCCCATTTTTAATTTGATTTCTTCCATTGAATTGAGATTGCCATTAACACAGAGCTCACACAATCAGAAGGTGTTTTCTGTTGTTCTCATAATGAAAAACCTTAACGGTAAAGGTAAAGGTACCCCTGCCCGTACGGGTCAGTCTTGACAGACTCTAGGGTTGTGCGCTCATCTCACTCTATAGGCCGGGAGCCAGCGCTGTCCGCAGACACTTCCGGGTCACGTGGCCAGCGTGACAAAGCTGCTCTGGCGAGCCAGAGCCGCACACGGAAACGCTGTTTACCTTCCCGCTAGTAAGCGGTCCCTATTTATCTACTTGCACCCGGGGGTGCTTTCGAACTGCTAGGTTGGCAGGCGCTGGGACCGAGCAACGGGAGCGCACCCTGCCGCGGGGATTCGAACCGCCGACCATGCGATCGGCAAGTCCTAGGCGCTGAGGTTTTACCCACAGCGCCACCCGCGTCCCATGAAAAACCTTAGACAGATAAATCAACCATCAAGTGGAAATAGCAGCGAGCAGGCTGGGGATAAGGGCTGTTGCCAGCTCTACCGAATCTTAAATATATTGGGGGTTTGTATGGGTTATGAACTGTCTGCAATAACAGAGGCAGGCGATTTTCAAAAAGGCAGAACCCATAAATCCTTATGGGGCAACATTTCCTGTTCAAGCGAAATCCATTTTTTAAATCCACTTTCCTAATAATGAAACTGCGCTGTCTTGGGGATGCCGTGACGCTGTGCACTCACACCAGTTTTATGCCAACTTAACTTTCACGACTTCCCCTAAAGAAAACTGGAAAGCATAGTTTGAGGATGCTCTGAATTCTCATGGAAAACATCGGGAGTTTCCCTAGAGAGAAGGAACGGCTGTTAGACCAGTTTCAATCCGTGCGTCCCTTATGCACTGCCTCTTGGAGACTGTATGATTTTAACCTTCGTTTTATTTCTTTCCTGGGCAGCTTCATGGTTACTCTGAACCGTGCCTTCCCCATCTTCATGGTGCTTGCTTGGATCTACTCTGTCTCCATGACGGTAAAGAGTATTGTGCTGGAAAAAGAAATGAGGCTGAAAGAGACCATGAAGAACAGGGGGGTCACTAACGGGGCTGTCTGGTTCACCTGGTTCCTAGACAGCTTCATCATGATGGCTGTGAGCACATTTCTTCTGACGACTCTCATTACGGTAAGAGCATCACCTCCAGGCGAGGAGCGTTTTTCTTTTTCAAGGCCCAGACGTGCCATTTTGCACTCACGCTGCCGGTACTACCAAGGAATAATGGGAGCTATACGAAAAAGAGACAGACAGACAGACAGACCTATGCTGGAAGGATCAGCCTCCTGAGCACGTAGCAGCAGGCACATTCCTTTAGGTAGCCCCCAAAGGCAGCATCAACACTTGACAGAGATAGATATGTTTACTCCTGAGAGACTCGCAAGATTGCCTTCATGACAGTGCCTCAGGTTGGATTAGGTTTGACAGGTCACGTTCTAAACATTGCTGCTCACTTCAAGGAGGCCTCAGAAAACAGGAATTTCTCTCTCTCACTCACTTCTTTTTAAACCTTACTGTGAGGCATCTACCCTCTAATTCATTTGTCACAACCACCAGCTGTTCGCTTGGTTTGAAAAAAATACGTTGCTTCTGGGAGGGGGCACACAGAGTCATACCACTCAAGTGTGTCCCTCGGCGTTTGCTTTGATCTTTTCAATAAGCTTCTCCACATTCCTCTATTTGGTCTGCAAAGTCTTACATAGGAAGCTGCCAGGTCAGACCACTGGTGCATCTCACTCAGTGTCGTCTACAGTGACCAGCGGTGGTTTCAGACGGGTTTTGCTCAGTAAAATTAACCACAAACCCCCCACATTTTGGATAACCTCCAAAGCTGTGCCAAACTTTTGCAGTTGTTTTGCCAGACCTATTTAGAGGTGCTGTGGATTTAACCTGGGGGACCTGTTGCATGCTCCATTACTGAGCTGCAGCCCACCCCTTTAACCTCTTTCTTTCCTTTTCTCTGACTTACTCGGCCTTCTAACGTCTGCCAGACATGATAACTGAGCATTGCTTTGCAAAATGTAGAATGGCCCTCTTAGTGACTGCAAATATGCGCAACGCAGAGGGTGCCATAAAAGGCCAGAATCCACCTTTCAGCTTAATTACTCACACAAAATTATCCAGACTGTTAATTCTCTCAAGAAATAATAATGTTGATCTGCCTTGTCGAGTTGAACAACAAGAAAATTTTTGAATTCTCCAAAAGCTTTATATAAATGCTGAATGTTATCCAATGAGCATTCTAGGATAGTTCCCAATGGATTCTCCCTTGCTCAAAACACTCATGGACATCCAGTGAAGTGGAATGTTGGAAGATTCAGGACAGAAAAAAGGACAGCCCATAATTAAACAATGGAACTCACTCCTGCAGGCCACCAACTTGGGTGGCTTTAAAAGAAGATTAGACAAATTCATGGAGGATAAAGTTATCAGTGGTTACAAGCCATGATGGCTACATTCCGCCTTCATGCTTAGAGGCAGTACACAAGAAGGGAGAGTGCTGTTGTGCTCAGGTTCTGTTTGTGGGTTTCCCATAGGCATCAGGTTGGCCACTGTGAGAACAGGATACTGGACTAGCTGGGCCCAATGCCTGATCCAACAGAGCTATTCTTAAGTTCATTAGAAGATGGAACTCTTGCTTTTAAGTCACGGGTCATCTTGGCAGCTGGTGGGTGGAGCGCACCTTTCATGCCTCTGAGTAAATAGTGCCTGGGAAATTTCTCCTGACAAAGGCGAAGCCGAAAATGCAGTGGGAACTATTCTGTCATATTGGGAACTACTTAACAGCATGAAAACATACCTCTGTATACCCATTGGCTTGGCTTTTTTTGTTCTGTTTCTTCTTGTTGGGTGTGGCGCTCTTGTTTTTTCCTGGTGACCCTAAGGATTTCTTTCTTTATTTAATGTTCTGCTTCCTCTTGCTGTTTGTTTATTATAAGGGTTCTATGTTATTTTGATTGCTTTGTGATCTGCTGCATTCTAAAACAAAAGACAAAGCCTTCCTGATAAAGATGACTCTGGATGCCAGAATCTTAGCGCTTACTAAAGAACAAATATTTGTAAACAACTACTGCTAAAGCACAGTTTACTTTTATGAGAAAAGCCTGCTCCTGTTCAATTATTCCTCTGCCAGGCCTACCTGAACTGATATGGTGTGTCAGCTTTGACATTGTAGCTTGGCTTAGGTATGCAGTCCTATAGTTAGCACTTAACTTTGACACCACATTAATTTGGTGTTTATTGTTTGTTTGAGTTCACCAGCAGGGCTGATGTTATTTATATCTGGTGTTTCCCCCCTGGACTGAGGTTGTTTCCCACTTCAAGTTCAGATCAGTGTATCCAATATATCTTTTTCTTCTTCTCTAGAATAGTTAATGCCTTACGTGCCACATGTACGTTGCCAAATACTGCTGTTAAGAGAATGGCTTTGGCAGTATCTTTTGAAGAGTACATTAGGGGATCTGACATCTGACATATTGGCAAACTATGAGCTGGTTGTTGGCAATAGACCCCTGGTGATATAATCAGATACACTAAAGGCCGACACATTCCTCTATAGGAGTTTATGCCAGCAGTGATATCATACCAGTAGTAATTCATACTGTATACAGTGGTGCCTCGCAAGACGAAATTAATCCGTTCCGCGAGAGTCTTCGTCTAGCGGTTTTTTCGTCTTGCGAAGCAACCCTATTAGCGGCTTAACGGATTAGCGCTATTAGCGGTTTAGCGGCTATTAAAGGCTTAAAGGCTTAGGGGATTAGCTGCTAAAAGGCTATTAAAGGCTATTAAAGGCTTAGCAGATTAGATAAAGGGGGGGGAAAGCGAAAAAAAAATATCAAGACTCGCAAGACATTTTCGTCTTGCGAAGCAAGCCCATAGGGGAATTCGTCCTGCGAAGCAACTCCAAAACGGAAAACCCTTTCGTCTAGCGGTTTTTCCGTCTTGCGAGGCATTCGTCTTGCGGGGCACCACTGTATTGTGCTATTCCATTACTGCCACTTTTCGTGTGTCATTCTTCCTTGCACAAGCATAATTATACTTAATGCTAATAATTACTGCTGCACATGAACAAGCACACTTCCTGTGTGGGATAAAACAACAATGATGGTCAATTGCCATTTGTAACTTTTGTCAAAAAATAGCTGTAGATATGCAAGGCCTAAAAGTACAGAACAATTATCTGTCCCACTTGATTAGATAAAGCTAACATCCAGTTGAGGTCCAACTGTTCACTGTAATGGGTCCTTAAAGATTCACAAAGATCATCCTTGGTTTACTTAGCAGTGCAAAAGATCCTGGTAGATCTTAGCCACCCTCATGAGAGCTCCTTGGTTCTGGGTATTTGAATGTCATTTAGCAGCAAAATACTATTTCAGCTTTTTAAAAGACAGCAACTTTTAAAAAGACAGTTGATTCCCTTCTTCATGGACCCTATTTTTCAGAGGACTGTAATTTGGGGAGAAGAGATGACATGCATAATCAGAATATGCTCTGAAAATTCGGTAATTTGGCTTTTTGGTTTATTTATTTTTAAGCATCTGCTCTCAGGCAAAGGTGCAGTGTATGAATTTTTATAAAAACACTTCAAGCAAACTAGGGAGGTGGAAGAACTTGTTTTTAGCCCCATTCCAAATCTCTTACTTTTCACATTTTGTAAAATTTTAGTCTGGTTGAACTATCTGTTTGACTGCTATAGGATGCAATGCTGTACATGCTTATCTGAGAAACAGTCGCATTGAACTCAATAGGATGTCTGAGTAGACATGCATAGAGTTGCAGTCATAGCAAAGTGATTGTCCCTTGACCAACAGAGGGCAGCTGCACAATTTATGCTGGGAGGAGCAATGATAACCTGATATTTTTTTCAATAACAACAATCCACGCAATGGCCTAATGATTACTGAAAGGCAGCTGCTTTTGTAATTCATGATTCAGTCCACGAGACCCCCACATGCTAGACTAGACCTGTGCCTTTGAACTGCACTTAGAGCAAGTGTGGGTGCTGCCTTAATGATGAGCCAGAAATCTGGACAACAAGTCTTCTGAACTGCTGTATTTGAACTCTACCCTGTGACAGTGGTACTCCTGCCTTGTTATCACCCAGTGCTCGGTACAGGGATGAGGAACCTGTGGCCCTTCTGATGATGTTGAACTACAACTCCCAGCATCCCTGAGCATTGGTCCTGCTAGCTGGAGCTGATGGGAGTTGGAATCCAACAACATCTGGAGAGAAATTCACCCAGTGCCTATCTAGGAGTGTGCAGGGTCATCCTGTCACCTTTTAATCCATGGCAGGCTACCTTCCCTGCAAGATAGCTACTGGTAACCATGCCCTGATCTTAAAGGAGGCTGCATTACCCAAAATGCCTGATCTTGAAGCTAAGGTTTTACTAGCAACTCTATGACATTGAGCAACCTGCTGCAGCAATATTGCAACACCTTGCGTAAAAGGAGAAGTATGATGAAGCCACACTGATGACATGCACAGCACAGAACAAACAGCACATCTTAAGCTGCCTGTCACTATGATGTGGCATTTTACAAGGATTGGATATGTTGCATGACTGCATAGGATACTTAAAGAAATTCTCATACAGGTTCATCTTTCCATAAAACACACACACAGTTGTTGAATTGAGCTAGGTTCACCCTTCATGTATCTTATTGTCTGGAAGAAGGTAGAATATCAGACCTACTGACTTGAGTTTCACCCCAGCCCTTCTTTTTCCAATAGACTCTGATATAAATGCCTAGGCAGAGAGGATGGATAGCAATGAATGAGCAGAGATGAGTTCTGGTCTAAGCCATGCCATCAATGGAGACTGTAATTAACTGGATCTTTCTCTTTCTTTCTTTCTTTCTTTCTTTCTTTCTTTCAATGCAGTATGGCAGAGTGCTTCATTACAGCAACCCCCACCTCCTGTTCCTGTTCCTGTTGACCTTCACCACGGCCAGCATCATGCAGTGCTTCTTGCTCAGCACCTTCTTCTCCAAGGCTAATCTGGCAGCTGCCTGCAGTGGCGTCATCTACTTTACCCTATACTTGCCTCACATCGTTTGCTTTGCCTGGCAGGACAGGCTGACTTTTAAGCTAAAGATTATGGTGGTAAGAAATCCTCTTCACCCACTACCTCCACCCAACTCAATAGAAACCACAGTGCCCTCTAAATTGTGTCATTTATAACTTTTATAATTTCATCTTGTTTTCTCAACATCTTGGAAGCCTCATAGGTGGGAGATCAGTGGAAACCCATTGGAAGAGGTTATAAACTTTAAATACTTAGGCATCCACTTCCAATATAATGCTTCCTGTAAATACCATTGTAAGCTTGCACTTAATGGAGTGGATACTCTAACACTAGCTCTGGCTATCACCTGTATCTTCTTTAACAGAGGGAACCAGTTCGTCCCAGCTGCACTAAAGGTTTTCAACACCAAAGTAGCCCCAAACCTCCTGTATGGCATTCCATTATGGATTGGTGCAGTTAAGCAATTGTTAGAATGCTTCCAATCCAAATTTATGTGCAAAATCCTGGCACTGCCAAATTGTGTGCCATATGCAGCCATTTGTCTGGAAACTGGACAAAGGCTGCTGGAAACCAAAGTGTGGCTCACCACTATAAAATTCTGGTTCAACCTACATTTCATATCTGATCTGTCTTCTTTAACTTTCCACATGCTGGCAGAATCCCACCACTCCAAATTGCTAGGTTGCATTGAGAGCAAAATCAGAACCTGTGGCCTATCACTCGAGTCACTGCTTACGTTCCCACAATTGGAAGCATACCAGACAATCAAGTGCAGAATACTAGAGTTTGAATTCCAAACCCTTTGCAGTACAGCCAACAAAACCTGTTCCCCGTTGGGGTTGGGAATTACACCCTTGTTTGGCCAGGACACTCCATATTTACACCAGCTTTACGATCCCCACCTACGCAGAGCTCTTTCCCTCACAAGATTTAATGTCACCGGCTGCAGTTTTGCAAGGTAGATTCTCGAAAACTCCACTCTCTGAAATATACTGCCCTTGTGGCACAAAACAGGTCGAATCCATCAGACATGTTTTATTTTTATTGCCCATTTTATGCAAAAATATCTTTGGCCCCTTATCAAAGGAGGGGATTTTTCACACTGACTCTTCCAGGGTGTCTTATTTGCTGAACAGTTGTAGTAATGACATTGTGGAGAATGTGGCAAGATTTTTGAGTGACACTATTAAATTATGTCACCACAGGTCCTAAGAGCCATCTTTGTACTTCATAATATCTTGACAGTTTTATCCTAAAGTATCTCCTGCTATGTTACTGTATTGTGTTCTGATCCATGTATACAATGCACTTCTATGCCTATAAAAGAGATTGATTGATTGATTGATATTTGTGGGTGAGGAAAGGAGGAGGGGGGATTTCACCAAATAATCTTTGTAGTGGGTTGAAAGGCAAAATTCTCCAACAATTTAGGGGTGCTTGAAAATGTCTTGGAAAATTGCTGTGCTTTCCATTAGCTTAAAAACAACAATATTGTTTTAATGTACAAAGTTGTAAATTTTTATCTGTAAAGGGGAGGATAATGCAAATACAGACACTCTGAAATTTAAAAAAATTGGAAGATGAGTGGAGTGGATCATTCAGGAAAAACTAATCAAGGAAATCTACCCATCCCCTTTTCATTCCTTTGTCTGCCATATGTTCATTGCTAAGAGTTTCCCCTACCCCCATCAATGTAACTTGACACCCCCTTCCTCTTCCTCTTCCAGAGCTTCCTTTCACCTGTGGCATTTGGGTTTGGTACAGAATACTTGTCACGCTATGAAGAGCAAGGCCTTGGGCTACAGTGGGATAACATCCGAACCAGCCCACTAGAAGGAGATCAATACAGTTTCTTGTTCTCTATGGAGATGATGGTTTTGGATGGTTTTATCTATGGATTGCTTGCTTGGTACTTGGATAATGTCTTCCCAGGTATGACCATGTCTCTTCCCTGTCCATTTTAAATAGCGGTAGCCTTATGGACTCTGTTGCTGCTAAAGAGTGATTTTAATAGAACTGGATTTTAAAGTTAGAGCTTGCCTAACTAAACATTAAAATAAATCAAATAAATAGCATCTCAGAATGTTCAATGCCAACTAGTTGAAACCTAGTGCAAACACTAGGTCCTGTGGCTCTGTGTAGTTACCACTGCAAAAAAGCAGTTAATAAACATGATTATAGCCTTGAATATAAAATTTTGGTCCCTGTCCCTTACATTATGGTGTTTTGTCCCTGCTGTCAGCATTTTGGCAAATTATGCACAAGGGCAAAAGGGCAAAGGAAGTCTCAGGCCACTATTTGCAATTTGCCAGGAGAACATATCATATGATCTTATATTCTTTTGCTTTTGTTCAGAAGAGTACAGTATATGGCATTTTAAGAAACTTGTCCTGCCGCATATTATATTTGTTCAAAAGCTAAAACAAAGCACCTCAAAAGATCTTATCTGAACAAGGTAATCTCACACCTTACCATTGATTTCCCTCTTATACGGGTTTCTAAAAATGACGCTGGTTACCACCAGATTGTTTCAGAGCCTTTCCCCTCCTGTAAAAGACTTGTAATCTACTCCATTTTAAGGAACTTTAAAATAGCATTTTCATATCTTATCCATGGTGGAAGCAGATATAAGCTTCTCATTTCCTCGTTTACCAAACCCTCCCTATTTGTCCCACAAGGTAATTTTCTTTGGGGGGGCGAACACCCACATGACATCATATATGTCACAAGGTGCAGGGAAGATAAAGACACCACTGGGCTGCAGGGGGTGTTGTTTGTCTGCACCTGCAAAGCTGTGTGTACAGTGCTTTGTAAACTGGTTCTTGGGACTTGCAAAGCACTGCACACACAGCTGTGGAAGTGGCTACAGTTAGCTGACCATCTGCACAGGCAAAAATAGATCACCTAGTGTCATTGTGATGATTGGCTGGCTTGTGGTGGAAGACGGGGAGTTTCCCACCCCTATGTAAGGTCATCAAAGAAAACATCCTTAGTACAGACGCAGATCCAGCTTGCTATGTCTTGGTTTAGGTATGAGCTTCAGGAGCTCTTAAAGATAGACCGAAAGAAGAGGCGAGTTTTATGAGCCTAGGGATTAAAATCTGAGCTGGAGAAGAATTCCCACCTGATCTGCAAAACATCATCCCTCCCTTCCCGTTAAAAATGTACTGACTGGAAGCAGGAGCAGCACAAAAGGGAAGGAGGTCTGTTCCTGCTTCTCTGGTGCGCTGCTACACAGCACACCAGGAGGATAGTTCTCTCAAGAGCCACCGACACTACAGAAAGAGAAACAGAATGAAATCTTTTAAGGCAGCTGGACAGTTTCATCTGCTGTGGCCCCTTAATCTTTGGAATTTGGAAATCAACTTTGAGGGTAGGATTTGCCCACAGGAATCAAGTCACTTCATAGTGTAATGGAATGCAGAGTAATAGTTAGTGTAACTGATGATGTAGTGGCTAAGAAAGTGAGCTAGGAAATCCCTGTTTCAAACCTTGCCTTAGGCAGAACACATACTGTACAGGCTTTCACTGCCTGCTTATTAAAGATTCAACCAATCCCTGGTCTGGGGAATAGCTTAATTCCTTAATTAAATTGAGTTTCAGTTTTGAAAACAAAAGCAATCGGGAATGTGGTTATTCTCCCTCTGTCCCTTTCCCTCTGTAAAAAAACTTTACAGCCAAGACGGTGGTGGGTGGCTGTGCTTTGTTTGAACTTCTAGTGCACAGCAATGTTTGCTGCTAATGAAACACCAAGTAATTATTGCAGCGTAAGATTTGCATAGATGGGTTCTTCCCCATGGCAAAACACAAAGAGGTTTATGCACCCTACCAACTTGTTTTTGTTTCAGGAGACTATGGGATACCACGGCCTTGGTATTTCCCTTTCCAGCAGTCTTACTGGCTAGGGTCAGGGCACCCAAAGGCTGAGAAAACAACAACTGTGGATGGTGAGTTATGTGGAAAAACTGGTGTTCAGAAATAACTTGAGAACTGCTGATCCGTTTAGAGGCGAATGCTCTCTTGCATTCATTATGGGAGCCATTGTAAAGATTAGACACAGGCTTACAGTGGGAATCTTAGCAGGTGGCTTTGAACTCTGAGTGGCCCACTGTTATTAAAAGTGTTGCCGGAGAGCGAGTCGGGGTTCTGTCTGAAATCTTTCTAAATTATGCTGAGATTAACTGGCGGCCTGCAAATCATGTCTCTCTTACTGATCTGTCTGGAGATAGTTGACAAGGACTATTATGACAACTGCTGAAGGAAGTAGCATGATTCTGATGTTAACTGAGCTGGCACTGGAGTGACACTGGAGGTATAGCATTTCACTGTTCCTGGAAATATTCTGTAATCTCCCTTCCCTCTTGCCCCCCACCCCAAGTGAAACCATACTTCTGACGTGTCCCCAAACATGGGCTAAAACTGGTCCAACACACAGATGTGACCAACGCTTTTGCAAGTGGTCTGAACTAAGCCTGATACTCAAAGACAACCCATGTTCCCTTTAGTCTTACGATATCTGTTTTCTCAATGCAAATATGTTGGAAGATCCAGGTCCTCTCTTTCTGATGCTGCCTTTTTTCAGCAGCAACCTGAGACTGGAGCAGACTTCTACAGACATGGAGCAGGATGCTCTCACATCTACCAAGAGATGCATAATAGAAAGGCAATATGCTTCAGCCCATTTGAGATAGGCGTGTTCTTGCATCCTGACCATTTGGGAACTGGTCCACACATCCAAGATACATAGAAGCAGACTTGTTCCCTGCATTTTTAGCAAAAGCCTTCAAGAGACTTAACAGCATCTTAAAAGCAAACCATTTGTTATGACATAAGCTTTCATGGACTACAGCCCAACTTCATCAGATGTATGAAGTGTGAACCTGAGTATTTGTACATGTAGTTTCAAACGTATCATTGGTGATCTACGTAGAGCCCATGCTGGAGAACTGCACTTCCTTCCATTGGAGGTGGGCATGTACTTGGTTAAAGAGAACCTCCCTCCTTAAAACAGCAACAACAGGTCACAAAATGGAGCTGCAGACACAGGGATCAGACCCAACTCTGCCCAGTGTCTACTCTGGCAACAATACTGAGATCATTCACATGATCATCTTCCATTGTGATATATGCCATCATCTGCCAGAAAGCCCTTCTGCAACAGGCCAGCCTCTTTGCAAAAGAATAAATGGGCAGAAGTCTGACATTAGAAATTGTGATATTCAAAGCCAGTGTGAAAATTTCAAGCCTTAGCATGACCAGCAATGGAGTGAAGGAACTTCAAATGAAGACTGCAATGTGAAACCACTGAATTACAACACACCAAGAGGTTCAATGCTATCACTTATGGACTGAACCGAGAGGATTTTGAGCACATTATATGTGTTAATTGACATATCAACGCCAGGATGTCTTTGTCCCCCCCTCCCGCCCCAGAATTACCACTGTTAATAACATAATTATAATTGCTTGTGCTTTTCTATATTTCATTTCCCTTTGACCTCATGGTTTACAATCCCCCCCCCCAAAAAAAGAGAAATGATGCTTATATATATACCTATAACTCTGGATGATACTGCATTCCATTTAGCAAAGTCCACAAAGAATATGCCATGATAAATTTGATAACCTTTAAGGTGCTGATGCATCTGCATTCCTGGCTTGGGTTTAACTTCCTAACAACATCTCATTGACACAGCACCTCTTCAGATTTCTGATACATCCAAGGAAGAACCTGGTCAGATGTTATGTCCTCTGTTGGGTCCCTAGGAATGGTCATATGAAGGATACTCTGGATTGTATGAACTGGCTCGATCTGCGTGCATGTTAAGGATGCTAAACTAGTTTCCATTAAGAAAAACCTCCAATCATCCAGCTCCATTGAATTATCAATGATGTTGAAATCTATACTGTGAGTCCAAGTGCCTGGAATAGATGCATAAACAACTCATTCCAGAATCCACAAAACCACAGTGACAAACAGTTGCTATACTACAGAGAAGGGAGGAGAAAATCTGTTATTTGCATGGCTGTTCTGTTTCTCGCTGCCATAGTACTTCACAGGCTATGACAGGCTGTTTGAATCTGGTTCTCAGCAGAGGAAGGTACTTCTGGGCCAGCAGGAGGCTACTCCCCTCTGCAAACAACCTGAAACCTCTCCCACCAGCACCATCCCAGTCATGGCACATGTCAGGTTCAGAGTGGGAGAAAAGGGCAGCAACATTGCCCCCCTTGGAATCGGATTTGCTTTTGTTGCATTCTCAGCTGAAAGTACAGCTTTCCCACTGGATGTCCTGTGAGAGGAATTCAGAAGAACAGAGGATGCATCTGTTTGTTACTATTGTCATTGCTTCTGTTTTCCAGCTTCCAGGATGCCACATATCAAAGCAGCCTTGCAAGGCTATATACTATGAGGAATATTTAGGCAAAGCTTTTTAAGGCATTGATAGGTTGCAGGGGTAAGGTGGGCAGAACAATTAATGCAAATGCTACATTGTGCAGTAGGCTACATGCATTCACACAACAAACTCTCCTCCACCCAGGCAATGAAGAGCCATTATCAGAGTTAAAGGACATAATCCAGTAAAGCAAAAACACTCCAGGAGGGTGCGAGACAGGCCTAATAAGGAGTGAGGCTTGGGGAGAGTTCCAAGGGCCAGGTAGAGAGGCCTGGAGGGCCACATCCAGCCCACAGTCCTGACTTAGAAATTAGCGCACAACCGTTTGATCCTTCTCTTTTGTCCTTTCAGCATTTCTCTTGTTTGTTTTTCCATATATGTCATTTGCTTTTATATATGCAATTGCTCATATGTTTTTCCTGTAAATTGCTCTGGGATTTCTTTTAGGAAGCAATTCCTAAATGAAATAAGTAATCAGCAATAGCAGCATGGATCTTCATGTTGAGAGCATCAGCAAAGCCCACTGAAAGACATTATTTTAAAAATGTTGCCAGCTTCAGTTCAGCCTTTCTCCACCTTCAGTCCCCGAATAATGATGGACTACAACTCCCTTCATGCTTGACCACTGCTCCTGCTAGCTGGGGGTGATGAGAGTTGTAGTCCAATGACATTGGGGGACCCGAGGCAGAGAAAGGCTGCTTTAAATCTTTTAACAACAGAGTAGTGCATCCATGTCATGTCCTTAGAATCACCATCTGCCTGGTGTTTTATGGCCTCACCTGGTTATTCGACACATGTGCTGGCAGCCAATAAAACACCTGGGTTAAACCTGTATCAGTGCAGGTGCCCCCTCCTACCATGGGACAGTGGCCACAAATACACTGATAGGGAAAATGCAATAGGTGCTGTGACACTGGCTCAGACACTGGGAGATGAGGCAAGGGATTAGCTCACCTTGCCACTTGCGTGTAACAAGCTAACAGAGCAAGGACTTGAACATCACAGGAATGCAAAGCATACCCTGATCACTGAGGCAGTAAGTACACTGTGAACACAATACATAGTGGAATAGGAAACACTCACTCTATAGTAGTAAGAATCACATCTAGTTTAATATTGTTTTCTGAGTCTCACTTGCAGTCATTGTGATTTAGGAACAAAACTTCCTGTTGGGAAATTTTAAAATTTAAGGTCCTAGTCCTCTAGAAGAGCTGTAAAAAAAGAGATTTAAACCACATAGAATGCTTCTCCTTAAGCTTTGTTGGACAAGGGGCAAGAAGTTCCTGGCATTTTGTAGTTTAATTAACAATTCTATGTATTTTAAAAGACCTATACCCAACCAGATGTGGCCTTCACTATTTAGGCATGTGCCTTCTGGTGGTCGTGATACACACACACACACACACACACAGAGAGAGAGAGAGGGAGAGAGAGAGAGAGAGAGAGAGTCTTCTGTTAAATGTTGCTGTTTAAATGAAACTTACAATCGCATCCGCACCATGCATTGAAAGCACATCTAAATCACAGTACTTTCACCAAAGAATCCTGAGAAATGTAGTTTATCCCTCACAAAGCTACCTTTCCACCCCCTCTCAAAGACTTATGGGTATGGTAGTTTACCCCTCAAAAAGTTACACTGCCCAGCAACCCTTAACAAAGTACAATGCCCAGAATTCTTTGAGGGGGGGAATATGTTTACAATGTGCTATAAAGGTGTAGTGTGTACTCGAGACTGACAGCAATGGTTGCCTTTTAAAAATTACTTGATTTCTGATTAACCTAGACAAAGGTTCAGAGAAGGAAGGCAGTGTCAACATGAAGGCTGAAGAAGAAGAGATGAGAAAGAGCATGGCTGATGAACCCGACAGGGGGAAAACCCAGACAGACAGCCCGTTGAAGAAGGATGGTAAAGAAAACAAATGTAAACACAAAAGGAAACCAGAGTACATCGAGCAGGGGAAGCCTGAGGCAGAGGCAAAAGGCAAAGATGAAATGACTAGTAAGGAGAGAGAGAAGCGGAGTAATCGCAACTCTTTTTGTGTTATACATTTGAACTTTGATGTGCTCCTTTGTCGCCAGTTCGTTTGTCTGCCTATGTGGTGGTGTGTGAATAGCTCCAGGTGGGTGTAGCAGAGTAGCGGCATCTCACTTTATTGTCCCAGGAAGGCCAATTCCAACAAAACAGTCTGAAGAACTCTTCGTTGGAGGTTGGCATACAAAGTTAGCACAATCAGGGTGAACAGTTCGGTCTAGCTTCCTCTCAGACATCTATAAAGCTTTTTAAATGGGTCAGCATTCAAACATGGTATGCACACTGATGTGATACAGGCCAGGGGAAAAAACACTTCTGCCTGATTCTCTTTGCTGTGCAAACTGACCCTCTGAAGTAATATTTGGGCACAGGGAGTCACCTTCTGCAGAACTGGAGTTTTTGCACTTGGTGAAAAGTTGGTGATTCAAGCACTGAGCACGAGCACACATTCTTTCAAACTTATTGAATGAAACCCCAGGCCATTTGGGTTCATCCTGTGTGATGATGGGTGAATGAAAGCAGGGATCTTCCTTCAAAAAGATCTAGCTTGTAAAGAAGCAAAGATCTCTTTACCATATCTCCTCCTAGCACCTTGTTGGCTTATTCCCCAGATTGCTGCAAGTCCCAAAACTCTGCAGACGTTGGTCTGCCTTAGAATAAATAACTGACATTCCCTTTTCTAGCCTGTGACCTTTAGGCAGCTTGTGTGATGAATGTGTTTTTGAAAAACACAGATTTGAAAAGAACATAATTCAGGATCCATTGAATTGAATTTCTTCTCAGCTTCCTTTATTGTATTTGGAATGGGGAAAGCTAAATCCATGTCCTAGAAACTTTCATATATCTTTGTAGTATTGAATCCAAGGACTTTATGCATCAGTAGTATCAGGAAACTTAAAAAATATCCTGCACAGATGACTGATGACTAAAACAAGCTATCCATGTTGCAGTGCTCCATGTTTTCTTGCTAAAAAAAAGTAATGAATTTTAAATTTAAAATATACTGCTGTCCCACCAACACAAATACCTGCGTTGAAAATGTACGCACAAAACATCTTGTGTTCTCATGTCTCCAGCCCATCATACGTGATTGAAAAGGCACTCTGGTGCCTTGCTGTGTCAGCCTGAGTCTGGGAGCATAGGATGGATCCAAGCCTCTCTTCTTCCAAGTTTTGCCCACCAAACCTGAATGCTGAATATGCCATCAGAAGCCATCATGAAGGCATGGTTGTAAACCTGTGCCCTGTTAGGTCACTTCAGACTGCAAGTGGAAGGAAGGTTTTTTAAAAAAAACAAAAAAAAATAGGGCAGGAGAGTCACATACATTTCTCGACAATACCTTATTAGTAGAAAGGGACATGCCTGGACTGAGTTGACTGCACCCTAACATAACTCTTCTGATCCTGAAAAGTTAAGTAAGCAAACCCTTATGGAAACTCCTCTTGCAAATCTTAAGGTAACTTGGATAAACACAAGTCAAAAGACTCTTGATTTACATCATCTCAAATGCCCAAGGGGGTCGTTTACTTCAAAGGCTGTTTCTTTGGCCCAGAATTAAGCAAAATAAAACAGTCCCCATGGTGGCATTTAAAATGGCAGTCTTATGAGCTCAGTCTTCTGGATGGTCTGTATTCAGTGGGAAACCCAGGCCTTGATCTTTCCTCCTGCACAAGGGTGAGTTTCTCCCACCAAGACAAAAAGAAAACAATGTTATTCTAAACTCTGGTGATCTCATTCTGTTCCCCTTTTTTTGTGTGTGGGGAGGAGTGGAATAAGAAAAAAATAAAGTTGTTCAAGTGGACAGATGGATTGTTTCCATGCCAGATTTTGTTGTCACTGCTGATAAAGGCCTCCTGCTGCTTTCTCCTGTGCACCATAAGAGGCCACTTTAAATTGCCCTGTGCCATGGCTGTGACTCTGTAGTGAACTATTGTTCACAGTTGCTGGTCAGTTTGCAGATTGGGCTCCCCCGCACCCTCAGGGAGGTTGGGGGTTCAATTGGTGGCTGGAAAAAAAAGCCCTTTGTATGTTTGGGAGGGGAAATTCTCAGAAATTACCTTCTCATAAGTCTCTTATCAGAAATTTTGACTTGGTTCTCCACATAGTTGGCTATACCGGCAAGTGGAGCAATTTAAAGTAGTCCTAATATGAATATTCGTAATGGCCAAGGGCGATCCTCAGTGTGATAGAAGGTCCACGAAAGCTTTGTCAGCAACAAATGTCCATGACCATTATTGTTAGCTCTGACCTGACAGTTTCCACAAAAATCACTGCAGGTCCGATTCTTTGTGGGCTAACCATGATGCAACCCAGGAAAAAAAATGTGTACTGTTAAGGGGACAGTGAACCAGAATGTGTTGCAATGCAACTGCTTCTTCTAATAATTATAATATGCTGTGTTTCTTAGAGCTGTAGTCACACACCTCTACAGCTCACCTCTGCAGTTGTTTCATTATTATTTTTTTAATATTAAAAAAATCTTTGTTTCAAGCAAACTTGCACTTTGAAGAGGAGCCTTCTGGTCTGGTCCCAGGCGTGTGTATTCAGAACCTGGTGAAGATCTTCCCCGGTTGCTCTAAGCCAGCTGTTGACGGAATGACTATTACGTTCTATGAGGGTCAGATCACTGCTTTTCTTGGCCACAATGGAGCTGGGAAGACAACCACTATGTGAGTCAGCCAGAGATAAGATTATCATGCTGCTAATTCCATTTTTTCCCCTTGCACTTGATATTCTGCCTTCCTTCCATCATGGAACCCAAGGTAGCAGACACGGTTTCCAGGTGGCTACCCATCCGGGCACTTAGCAGATCCAGACCTGCTTAGTTTCATCAAGATGCTAGCCTCTTATGCTATATACTAACATTACACGCATACACACACTATACTTGCACAGGTACAGGTTTTATACATAGCCACCTTTGTTATTGTTCTTAAGTTATATTCATAATTTTAGTTCACTGACAATAAGACAAAACTAGGATGTAATGCCCTTTTTTAAAAGGGAGGGAGGGAAAAGAAGGTGTGGCTTGTAAAACTCCAGTTACAGATAAGAGTTGAAGAGTGAAGATACATTTCACACCTGTAACCTCAGCAAACACTTTCTGAAATAAAGTGCTGTAGGTAGTATGTGTGGGATGAAGGAGGAGGGTAAACCTGCTGATAAGTGAGCTCCCAGCGGTTCAGAGTGGTCTCTGTATTCAGAAAATATTTGTGTATTTTTTTTAGCATTCTCTCCAGACTTGTCATGTTGGCATTGGTGTGTATGCAGGTGTGATCATTTTGGCCTTGAGACTGTAATTTAGTTTCCTGTGCCCCAGTGGAGAATCAGCCATGATGGAAAGTTCAACCACTGCCACTCTCATTACCAACAAACACGCCTGAGAACAAGAGAGGGGTTTCAATCTAGATATGGGACACTAACCACAACCAAATGCATGTAAATAACAATCAAGGGAAGTGATTGACCCTCATAGAGTCTCACTAAACAAACTGCTCTTTGTTTATCAGGTGATCTGGTAGTTTGCAGTGATCATCACATGATTAGTGAAGAGTAAGCAATGAACATAATTTTTTTTTTTTAAATGTGCAGTAGGTTTGGGGTGCTTGGTCAGCAGAATCTCATTTAACGTTCTGAGCCAGAGAAGAACTTCTCAGGAAAATGGTATTCAATTCATAATAAAGCTGAGCATTCTAAAATGGACAAGCTCATGTGCTGAGCCAAGTAGTTACAAAATTCACTAACATCGCTAGAGATGACAGGAGGCTGAGCTTGCATTTATCTCTCTACTCTGATGCTAGTTCCTGTTAATTTCACTGAATGGTTCTTCATTTCACAAACAAAACTGAAATTCTCTAATGTGTGTGGCTCAAAAGATAGGCACAACAACCTTAAATGCTTATTGCTGCTGACAATTATACTTGGGTATGCATAGCTAAGAACAATATGGAGGATAGAACATATGTGTGTGTTCCCCTCTAAATTGCATGCCAATTGTTGTTGTCATAGTGATTCGGTCCATTTAATCAACTCTCCAAATAACCTGTTCTGCTTTGCAGCCCAGGCACATAGTTAGGTATTGGGGTTTATTTTAATTTCTGCATGTATTGTAAATTTACATAGCCATATATTTTGTTTCCTGGGGCAGTTCTGGTTTTAGATACAGCAGTAAATATTGTTTAAAATGAAGGTAATCGTCTTGTTTCCTACAGAGGATTGCTCTTACTCTCCCGTCTTAACTAGTGTGAATTATAAACATGGATCACCCTTATCGGTGATCACATTGGCTTGTGCGGGGGTGGGGGGATAATTCCAAGACCTCGGGAGAAGGAAATGCCTATCTTATAAAAGTGGAAGTAATAGGAGAAACAAAAGCAGATGTCTCTCTGGAAGAGCAGCATTTTTTTCCTGGGGTCAGGTCTTCTTAAATATGCTCAGAGAGACGGGGAGTCTTTAGTCTGAAAGAATTGAAAAAGCAATGAAGTCAGCAAAGTTGATATGCCCCTCAGGCTTAGGAGAGTTCCAGGTGCATTGTTTCTCAGGGGTCTGGACAAACATTTCCTTGGCTTTTGGTTTCTACTGCCCCCAGGTTTCTTCCTGAGTAGCTATTATATGCTGTGGCCAGGTCAGTTTTTCAAAAACTGTGGACACTGCAGATCTGCTCCATCTTTCCTTTCTTGTCACTTGGCTTGTACTTTGGGGGTTTTCTGCAATCTGAGCTGCACATTATGTTCTCTTGGGTTCTGTTCTTGAGCTAGAACAGACATTATCTTTGCAAATGTGTGTGCCCCATCCCATGTTTGACAAGATCAATGGGGAATTCAGGGGTGGGAAGCGCTGAAAGGGGGGAGGATCAGCAAGAAAAAGCCTACTTCCCCTATCCTGTGCCTGCTTGTTGTCCCCCCACCCCCGAGTGCCACCACTTCAAGGGTAGAGATGGGGGAGAAATTAGATGTGGTTCACATTTTAAGGTGAAACAACCCGATTTGCCCTTTCCAAAACAGTGCAGGAACTGAAACACAGCCATCCTTCAAAATTCACACTTCTCTGAATTTTGCAATGTAGTTATTCATCCAAGCAATGTGTGCCAAATATATATATAATACTTATTCTAGATCAAAGAGCACATAAAATGTGCATGTTGGCAACATGTTAACATTCAGTTTTATGTGCATGGCAAAAAATAATAATTCAAAAGGGGACAGGGTTCCAGGAAAAGTGACTTTGGAAATCCAATGTGTTTTGACTATATGCGATTTTGGCTTTAGGTGCAATACCCAAAAATATAACAACCGTGTAAATTGTGGGTTTCTGTAGTAGGCAAAATTGCACACAAATGTGTGTATATTAGAAGATATTCACTGATGACTTTTCATTTAAAAAATGCAGACTGGTGCAAAAAACTGAAAGATGAGCGCCGCAACCCCAGAGTCGTTCACGACTGGACTTAACTGTCAGGGGTCCTTTACTTTTTTTATTCCTTTCCTAGGCCCACTCAGTCTTACTTCCACTTGCAGAGCCAGGATGAAATGTTTTTGTTTTAATGTTCCAAGGGTTGCATTTGCAAGGAACAGATAAACTTCCATTTGAAAATGCAAGTTATTTAATTTTTGACCAAAACCGTCTCAGTATTACAAGTGTTTCAGGTTCTGCCTACAGCCTCCTCAGATCTCATGTAGTCTTTTGTGAAAGAAAAAACAGAGAGTTCTGTTCCGATAGTTTTCATCAAAAATAAAACTTAAACCGTTTTTCTTTCAGTATCCCTTTAATGATATAGCTCAGCAGAACTAATAATAATGACTTAATGTTGTTCTCCCCCTATAAATGTGTGCATGTGCGTATGTCTTGTTCTTGTTCATTCTTAAGTTTAGATCCAGCAAGCAGATCTGTAAAGCTGTCTTTAGATTTGCATTTTTTCCAAAACGTGTCTATAGACAAAAGCGCCACCTAGTGGTGCCCCAGGACATTATCTCAACTGATCTGATACTGCTTTGTTTTTTTTATTTTGTAAATAACAGCTGTATAATTATTGATAAACATCACCTGTTTCTCATGTTGTTTGGCCAGGTCTATCCTCACAGGTCTGTTTCCACCTACATCTGGAACAATACTGGTTGGTGGGAAAGACATCCAGACAGACTTGGACTCCATACAGCAGAGTCTAGGCATGTGCCCGCAGTACAACATTTTGTTCAGTCAGTAAGTGCTGCCAGGGATTTGCTTCAAATTTGCTTCCAAGTAATGTGTTTCCCGACTGAAAGGCCGCAATTGTTCTGACTACCTGATGCAAGTCTTCTGTTCGCCTAGCAGACACACATTGATACAAGCAACCCCAACATGAAAGTGTGCTTGTGTTGGTTTTGCTCTGTGATGATTATTTAGGCTTTAGTTAGGACCATAATTCACACTCGTGGGAATGAACTTAGGCAAAATGTCAACACTGACACTCAAAAGGATTATATCATTCTGCAACTCAGAGGCAAGTTTGTGGGTGTTTGTTACCATTTTGAGAGAAGAAGACAGCCAATCCCTTTTGAACCTGCAAAACTTTTTCTATGATGATGTTGCATTTCCAGCAGACTGTTACTTCTTCTCCCCCTCACAAAATCTTCTAGGTTGTAGACAGAAGTGGTTAGAGAAAAGCTTAGCTCTGACATTATAGTACTGTATTCCCTTTTCCCTTATGTCACCTCTGGATAAACAAGGTTTGCAGGCTTCTGAAACGTTTCAGAAACCTTGCACCAGATGAGCTTACAGCAGAGGCCTCTCTGTCAAACTGGCTTCAGCTCTCTGTGGGTGGAAGCTTTTGCATCTTGTTTCTACAGTATAATAGTGCAACATGCTTTGTCTCTTTTGGCCAACTTAAAACAGCACTGTTTCTTTTCTATAGCCTTACTGTTGCAGAACACCTCCTGTTTTATGCCCAGCTAAAAGGGAGAACCAGAGAGGAGGCAGAATTGGAAATGGAAATGATGCTGGAAGACATAGGCCTTCCACATAAAAGGAATGAAGAGGCTCAAAACTTATCAGGTATCCAAAGGTTTGAACCCTCAAAGTCCTGTGTACCTTTTTAGCTCTTGAATATTAACCATTCACTGCTGCCCCTGAGGGCAGAGTTAGATGCTCTGTTTAACCTCACCCATGTTCATCCCAGCACATATTGGCAAAATTGTAGTAAAAGTACAGTAAAAAGTAGAGTGCATGATTAAATAGCTGATATTTTTGCACCTCTTAGTGGCATGAGAAGCCCACCACCTGATGAAGCTACAGCACTTTATTTTATAACAGGGTCTTCCCCACATATGGTTTTGTTCACTGATACGTAATAGAAGAGTATTCTCCTTCTGTGACTGCATGTTGTTTGCTTATCCTAAGGCTGAAAAGGATGTGATGTTCACACAGTCCGAGCCATTCCTGAGACTGGGATATTCTATACTCGGATATCTAATTTCTCTGAAGGATTGAAGAAATGTGCTTTTGCTTTTAACCTATTTTGCATGTTGATGTTCTTTGTCGTTTTCTTTGTGAGCTGCTTTGAGTTATTTTATATGGTAAAGCAGAATATAGCTTTTTAAGAAATCCCAAAGCAACAGCAGTGTTTTGCCAGTTGTATCAGAATCAGGCGTCTTGTGGCGCCTTGCAGTCTTAACGCATTTATTGCGGCAAAAGCTTTTAAGTGGTCTCTGGTCTAAAAAAAGCTTATCCTACATTTAACATGTTAGCCTTTAAGTGCTAAATCGTCTGTTACATTAAATATTTGATTATTGCTTGTTGAGGAGCAGTCTCTTTTTTCTAGCTGACTCTAGCTGCGCTCTCTTGTTTTCCTTAGGTGGCATGCAGCGAAAGCTGTCCATCGCCATTGCGTTTGTAGGCGAAGCAAAGGTGGTTGTCCTAGATGAACCCACTTCAGGAGTTGATCCGTATTCCAGACGATCCATTTGGGACCTCCTGCTGAAGTATCGTTCAGGTAATCTGTCCTCAGAATGAAAACTTGGTTTGGTTTTTTTCTTTAAAACCTTTTAATAGCATTCCCTTGTTTCAAAGCTTCTTGATGATGTAAAGATAGCAGTCTCTCTGTGTGTGTATACACAGAAAAGGACCATGGATTTCAGACAAAGCAGACTGTGCTTGATCTCTCACTGTCTAAGGCTGCAATTTGTGCTCCATCTACCCGTTAATAATTATACATTCTTTCTGAAGAACTATGAAGGAATCTTCCCATTCAAATGAAAAGGCAGCAAAGATTGACAGATTATAGGCTCTGCATATGGGGTGCACTGAGTATCTGTTTTGGCTAAATTCAGCAAATTACGTAGTTGTTGATTGTTAGTAGCGGTGACAATGCTTAGATATTTTTTCCCCCTTGGGTGGGTGGAATATCTGCCCCAGCCTCTCAGCTTTACATAATTGTCCCATGTTATTGACTGTCAAGCTTTTGCATGCTAACTCCCTAAGGTTATTAAGTAATGTCTGATTATATAATAGACAAGAGGCCTGCAGCCAGTGTTTTCACAGGTGATTTACTATTTTTTTATCCCATTTAGGGAGAACCATCATTCTGTCTACTCACCACATGGATGAGGCAGACATCCTTGGCGACCGGGTTGCTATCATTTCCCAGGGAAGGCTGCACTGCTCAGGATCGCCTGTTTTCCTAAAGAATTCCTTTGGCACAGGCTTCTATCTCACCTTAGTCCGCAAGATGAAAAACATCCAAGACAGTGGAGGAAAGGAGGCTGTAAGTGTTTGGCACCATTTTGCACAAGTAACCTGTAAGCATTATTCATCCCCCAATATTCAAATACAAATACAGTACACTGCGAGTGACATTTTATTTGTATACATTCTGCTTAATGGGGGGGGGGGGGAGGAACAAGAGGCACTTTGATTAATCAGGGACAGGTAACTGACCTTTCCTGTCCGCAATTGTTCAGAACTCTCTCCAGCTCCGCACCCTTGAAGGTTTGCCAATGAGGTTCTATAATTCCTACTCCATTGACACCATAGAACACAGGGCAGTTGAGTGGAAGGGCCTCTAATGTTGGGACAGAAAAAGTGGGTGACAATTGGGTGGAGAGGGGAAGTTGAAAATAAGGAGATGATAATATGCTGAAAAAAGACCATGCAGCTCTAACTCAGTGTTTTCAAAACCTAAAAGTCTAAAATAAAGAACAAGAAATGCTATGATGAAACAAGTCCTTGATCTGAAAGTTCCTATGTGTAAACCAGAAGCTGTTTCTGAGCAATAAAACAACTTACCTTTCTTTGCAATGTATTGATTGTTAACAGTGATTAATTAATCGGCTGTGTTAGCTGGTTTAATATATCATATAAAGAAAGGTCATTCAGGTTAGTTAGACCAGACAGTGAATTCTAGTCTGCATCTCCTCAAATCATTTTTATGCCCAAAATGATAGGGGGGGTCGTCTATGAGGAAAAGTTGCAGCATTTGAGATTTTTTTAGTTTATAGAAGGGCAAGTACAGTGGTACCTCGGTTTATGAACAGCCCTGTTTATGAACTATTCGGTTTACGGACTCTGCAAAACCGGAAGTAGTGTTTCGGTTTGTGAACCTTACCTTGGTCTACAAATGGAAGCCGAATGGTGGAAGGGCACCGGTGGCGGGAGGCCTCATTATGGAAAGCACGCTTTGGTTTAAGAACGGATTTGGTTTAAGAATGGACTTCAGGAACGGATTAAGTTTGTAAACCGAGGTACCACTGTAAGAGATATTTATAAAATTATGTATGGCGTTGATGAATTGGATAGAGAAAAGTTTTTCTCCGTCACTTATGGCACTAGAAGTCGTGGACATACAGTGAAGAGGAAGGGTGGAAGATTCAGGACAGAAATAAGGAGAGCTTAGTTAAAGAGTGGAACTTGCTGCCACAGGGGTGGCCACGAATTTGGATGGCTTAAAAAAAATGATAAGATGAATTCATGGAGGATAAAGCTATCAATGGCTGGACAACATGGGCCATTGGCCTGATCCAGCCGGCTCGTCTTATGTTCTCATGTCCTCACTCATAATCAAGAACAGCGTACATTGCAGTACCACTTGAATGCAAAGGTTACACAAGCCCTTATTATTCTCCTTATTTATTTGTTTTTCCCTCTTAAGGTTTACAGCTCACCTTTCCACCATTGTCCGCAAGGTAATTTTAACGATTGCATGTGACTTATGATAGGACAGCCTTGAACTGCAAAATACAAGGAACACTATAAAAGGCATGCCTACAAAATTGCCAACTCCCAACCGAAGTATCAAGCAGTTCCCAAGAATAGCTGGTTCAACAAAGGTTGAAAACAATTATTTGGAAAGCCTGATCAGCAATCATTCCTGATAAACACTATACTTAGCGCGTATTATGATCACATTGAAGCTGATAATGTGACTTGTTCCTCGTTCACCTTCCTCTTGCTTATCTGATTTTAGACCTCTTGCAGCCTGGGATCAAAATGCTCGTGTTCCTGCTCCAGCTGTGTGCCCACAAACAAAGCCGAAACTGTGGAACAGGAACTGGATGGTGAGAACAGGGTTTGGCCGACTTGTTCATTGCACAACATTATGAAAATGTTTATTGAGTTACTTATACCTTCATGGGCCGTAACCATGATAACTAAATGGAGTGTCCATGTTCAGAGGCAGCTGGGACAAATAAACTGGGAAGGGCGTTCATGCCTTGCTTGTGCCCCTCTTAAGAGGCCTCTCTGAGGTGTCATCCTTGGAAACAGGATGCTAGGTGGATCCTACTTCTGACCCAGGGGAGATCTTCCTGTGTTGTTTTTTTATAGTCTGCAGGGGTGCCAACGAATAAAATATTGGGGGGCAGGTAAGTCCTGCCCCACATAATAGATCACAAGAAGCAGCACACACACACCATTCAAATGGCAATGCCCATCAACTTTGGGGGCCCCTGGCTCCCTCAAATATTTTATTTAGGGGGGCAAAGGGACCTTGGCTCCAAGGAGTTGGCTCCTATGGTGATTACAGTCTCTAGTAAGCCTCTACATGAACTGTGTATCTTGGGAGGACAGCTCTTCCTAACTGGCTTGTTGAAATTCAAACAACTGTCGATTCAGTATGGCGTAGTGATCAGTGTCAGACTAGGATGTGGGAGACCAGGGCTCAAATCTTCACTCATTTATGAAGCTTACTGGATGACCTTATTCCAGTCATAACCTTCAAGGCCTAGCCTGTATCACATGGTTGTTACGAGGATAAAATGGGGAGGGGGAGAAGAACAATGGAAGGCACCTTCAACTCCTTTGGGGAAACATGGGATATAAAGGTCGGAAGCAAGTAAATACTTAAACAAACAAGCAATTTGCCATTCATTTTTTCCAAACTCTGTTCTGCCTCTTTGCAGGTGATGTGAATGAACTAAATGAACTGATCCACCACCATGTTCCAGAAGCCAAGTTAATAGAAAGTATTGGTCAGGAACTTATCTATCTTCTACCCAGTAAGAATTTCAAACAGCGAGCATATGCAAGTCTCTTCAGGGAATTGGAGGAAACCCTGGCAGATGTGGGACTCAGCAGTTTTGGGATCTCCGACACGCCCCTTGAAGAGGTTGTTAACTTTGTGGAGTGTTCTCGCTCTCTGTCCCGCCCGTCTTTTCTTTCATAATTTTGGGTTGACGTTTATACCCCATCAGTAATAAGATTTTTGTAAATATTAAGTGTGTGTCTGAGTTCTTAAGAGAACAAGAATCCTATCTGGATTTATGGGGAGCTAATGGTACAGTAGGTTCTACTGTTTTCCAGTAAATTCAGGCTCTTCGCCTACATTACTGTGGGGCAGAGGGAAGAGGGTGCTCCAAGACCCTCATGTCCCCACAGAACATATTTATGCATCTCTCTTGCAGGTTTTCTTGAAGGTTACAGCAAAGGCTGACCCTGGAATACAGAATGCAGGTAAACTCTCTTGTCATCTAGTACCATGCTAAAAAGTTGATTTAAATATCTGCCATATCTTAATAGACTACTGATTTGAAAACAAGAGCCACTAGTGTGTGGGAAGGGCTGTAGCTCAGTGGCAGAACTGTAGAAAGTCCCAGCTCCATTCCCTGGAAGGGTGCCTTCTTACATCCCTAGCCATTGGTAGGGTGGGGATAGGGAACTCCAGACCATTATGATCTTAAGCTATGGGTGTTTTTCTAGAGGTTCCCAGGTGAGGGCATTCTTCAACAATGAAAGGGTTAGGGAATCTATTTGAGAATCGGTTCTAGGTCTTTTGGGGCCATGCTTTTATTTTAGCCATAGTGATGCAAATCCAGAATCAAATTGATGTAGCTCATCAGCTCACAAACTGATGGAAAATGGGGAAGACCTGGACCAGTACAGTAGGCATTTGCTGAGTTTATTTTCTATTAGATCTGTAAATGTTTCCTGCTGTAAGAGTAGCTGCGCTATTATCGTGCCACTTTGGAAGTGGTGTTTTCTAAAAGATCAAACCCTGGAGAAACTCAACAGTTTCATGAATGGCAAGGCAAAAAATGTAAATGTAAATGAAGTAATTGGCATGGCAACTTTGATCTGCAAACTTTAGGAGCTGCACAGGAGAACGGTGCTGCTGGACAAGAAGAGGGAGCCCACCAGACTGCTCCAGCAGCCAATGGCACTTCTCGGATGCCTGTGGCACAGGAAGGGGATGGGAGCGGTGGGAAAGGATCAAGGCAAAACAAAGGTTGCCAACTTACCTTTCAGCAGATCAAAGCACTTTTCATCAAACGATTCCACCACAGTACACGTAGCTTTAAAGACTTCCTTGCTCAGGTATGTGCTCCTCCATTACAGTCACAAGAGCTTCTTCCAGGCCCATGTGGGGTGGGGGCAGCCCAGTATACTGCCCCATTTTTCAGAGGGCTAAGCTGGCCAGGGGCCCCACCCTCCGTTTTTGTTTGTTTGAGTTTATAATTTTATTCTAACAAGACTTCCGCTCCGGGCCTCAGACAAGCTCTGCACATGCCTGGTTTCTTCCATATGGCATTCACAATTATACACACCTGCATTTATAACAGGCTTAAGGGGAGAAAGAAGTACAATCTTATTGTAAAAGCACCTCACTACATTATAAGCCTATCACTGGGCTGTACTTAAAAATGAAGCCCAATAAACCAGATCCTAAAACGTTCTATCCAGATACAAATCAAGCTAAGGCCGGTTTCTGTCAATTAATTTCATTGGGTGTATACAGTCTACAACAAATTATACCAGGTCTTCAGAATTACCCAGAGAAGCATACATACGTACTTCCAATAATTTGCTATTGACATCAGGGTGATGATATAAATTCTGCTTTCAACTTGCTGCACATTTTAATAACAGTAGCCAAGAATGTAGTTGTTTTTGTTTTTTTAAATGATGAGATCTTAGAACAAAGCCATCCACCTGAGTAGGTGGCCTATTGTCCTTTCTTGTCAATGATGCATCCCATACACTGAAGAAAACAATAAGCTTCTGTAAGAGAGACCCAATTGTGCAAGTTCGATTTGGGTGGAGAACAAGGTATCCAAATACAGACAAAAACTGAGAACAAAAAAGTCCTATTCTATAGGTACTGAAAACTCCACATAATTCATATATGTGGAGAGGCCGTAGCTCTGGCAGAGCATTGATTTGTGTGCAGAAGGTCCCATTGTAAACCGTACTGAGCTTAATGGAGCAATGGTCTGACTCGTGAAGAGGGGTCTTCCTATGTTCCTACATTCTTATAATCTTCCTATGTTCCTACATTCTTATAATCTCTAGTTATATGCTAATATGCTATTAGCATAATATGCTATAGCATAATACAGTGGTACCTCGGGTTAAGAACTTAATTCGTTCCAGAGGTCCGTTCTTAACCTGAGGCGTACTTTCGCTAATGGGGCCTCCTGCTGCTGCTGGCACGTGATTTTCGTTCTTATTCTGGGGCAAAGTTATTAACCTGAAGCAACCACTTTCTGGTTAGCGGAGTTTGTAACCCGAAGCGTCTGTAACCTGAGGTATCACTGTGTGCTATTAGTATATGCTGCCATTCTCTTTAAATTTGGGAGGATTGAAGAAAAACCTGAGTTATAAAATGCAGCAGATTTGACTCTGATTCTTTGATGTATGACATGTAGTGTTATCAGACCTAGGTGGACTTCCAGCGTAAGTGTCCACTGTCAGTGCGCTTGTGTGTTATCTGAGTGGTACTTAGATACCACTGGTGTGCTGTAAACCCTGCCGATGGCTGACATTTTCCATATTGCCTGCAGATTGTTCTACCTGCCAGCTTTGTGCTGCTGGCTCTGATACTTACAGTAATCATTCCTCCATTTGGTGAATACCCCAGTTTAACTCTCCACCCTTGGATCTATGGGCACCAGTTCACTTTCTTCAGGTCAGAGAAGACCTTCCTCGCTTGTTCCTAGATAGCACTTGTGGTGCCTTGTTGCTGAGTGGATTCTAGTTCCCTGCTGCTATGCAAATGTAGTCCGTAGTTAGTTGCTGAAGTCATTGTCAGACTTCTTCAGATCACGACTGATCTTTTCTCCCAGCCTAGATTTTGCATCTTCCTCCTGGCTAGCTAGTGTCATGTTTATGACAAAATAGCAATGCACTACCTTCTAGGATTGTTGCTAGCTAATTCAGTAGACCCATTAAAATGCCGTGTGTACAATTTCTGCTTTGTTTGAGATACTTTGGCTTCTGTGTAATGAAAACAAGACGCTGGGTTTGCTGCTCAGTATTTTTCTTTTTCTGTCCATCCACACTGCTCTAAATAGCTAAGTGGTGCAGTGTCAAAAATATGCAGTTAGGTGCTGTCTGGGTGAATGTGAACACTTGTCACTTATGGCCAGTTTGTTTAACCTCAAACATGAAAAAACCTGTGGGCACACACACCATATTGATGTGACTTGTATACATGTGTGTGCTCCATTTCCATAATTTTTCCACCTAGAAAGCAGGATAGAAAGATTGTATGAAACCAGTACAAAATACATACAGACTCTGTGAACCAGCCCAAAGCATTAGACTATATGGAAAATGTGTGGATAACCAGGAGATATGGATGGACAAGGTACAGCACAGGGAATTATCTCTCTGACACAAAAACTATTGTGTGTGTGTGGTTTTCACCTTACATTTAGAAATCAATGCCTTGGTCATGGGTCGAAAATACCCTTGTCCTTCCTATAATCCTTTTACACTTAGTATGCCTTATCCTACAATGGGCAGTTGATCATTAACATATCCTGTGGCTTGACCCTACCTGTGTGATCAGCCGATTTTCATTCGCCACTGTCTTGCTTCTGCAGTCAGCATCTTTTTATAACCTTAAATCTCATCCAATCTCATTAGCAATGAGCGGCCTGGCAGTGAGCAGATGGTTTCTCTTATTGACGCCTTCTTAAATAAACCGGGATTTGGAAATCGCTGCTTGAAGAAAGAGACCCTTCAGTAAGTCACTTTGTTCTCTCTACTAATCTAATCTATTCAATTGCAGGGTGGCATCAGTAGTGCTTGAAACAGTAGGGAGCTGGCCTCGGAAGTTTCCCAGCCAGTGAAAATCTCGGAGAATGTTGTTGTCACCAGTGACAAAACTGGGGATTTTGTCTGTTGGTTTAATTATTTTATTTCCGAATTTGTAAACTGCTTTTCACCGTAGAAGGTCACAGAGCGGTTTACCGAACAATGATGAAATAAATTCATCAATCAAATGACATGGTGAGGTTACAGGGAACCAGGCAGAGGGCCTTCTTGGTAGTGGTGCCTGCCCTGTGGAAAACCCTCCCATCAAATGTCAAAGATACAACCTTCCATAGACATCTGAAGGCAGCCCTGTTTTGGGAAGCTTTTCGTGTGTGATGTTCTGCTGTGTTTTTGTATATTCTGTTGGAAGCTGCCCAGAGTGGCGGGGGAAACCGAGTAAGATGGGCAGTGTGTATATATATAATAGTGCAAACCTAAAATAAGCATAATGCAATTTACTTAAAATACCTCCTGTAATAAAAAGTGCCTTAAGTTCAGCAGGGCAAGGGGCCTTTCTGATCTCAGCTGTGAGGGAGTTCCACAAAGTCAGACCCACAATTGAATTCATGTCCCCTGTGCTGTGTAGAGAAACACAGCAAAGCACCCCAAATTTAAGAGAATAAAAATATGAAATACAAAGAAAGGAATGGTTCTGTGTAAGGACTTAGGGGTTGCTCCACACATGGGTTGCCTCCACAATATCTATTGGTGTCCACAATAGCTCCATCAATGTTAAAATGTGCCCCTTGGCTCAAAAAGCTTGAGAATCCCTGGCCTAGATGTGCCCCAAACAGGTTTACTGGTGACAAGTATGGGCTTGTAGTATAAATAGCCCTTTAGTTACAGGATAGGTGATTAGGACTGGGCGATGTATTGATACACCGTCCAAAATTGGTTTGAAGTCCACATTGTGGTAACGGTTTTGTAACATTGGACATGACGATATATCACAAATCACAATGTGTCCCTGTGCTATGTAAAAAATCATGATATGGGAAAAATCATGAAACCAGTCATCACTTCTCTCATGATTCTTGTTGTGCCCCTGTTGCTCTGTACTATACAATACCAATTGCAACAATATTTTAAAAATAAAAATGGATCCATTTTAGACTCCTAAGTAGTAGCAGTTGCCAGAACATCACCTTCATTCACCTCTACATAATTCCATCCTTGTTTCAGACATTGTGATATATTGCAATGTTTAGCTGGTAATACTGTATATCATGAAGTTGAAAACCTGACATCGCTCAGCCCTATACCTGATACATGGGGTTTGTAATGTGTTTAAGGAAACTGCTCCTTTTTAACGGTTGGTACTGTAAAGGCGAGATATATAATTGCAAATTTTCCGAGATCTAGCATGGCCCGTTTGATATTAACATTGCTAATGAGATCATCTGTGCTCTTGTCTCCTTGTGTAGGAACTACCCTTGCATTAATGCATCAACTGCCTGGAGGACACCGGCTGTCCCTTATAACATAGCTGCTCTTTTCCAAACTAATACATGGCATCCCCAGAACCCCTCACCATCCTGCAAATGCAGTACTCGGAAGAAACTCACCATGCTACCTGAGTGCCCTTTGGGAGCTGGAGGACTTCCTCCCCCACAGGTAAGAAAGACTGCTTGGTTGCCATTTGCCTGTTTGAAGCACTGTGGTTGCCACTGAATTGGTTTCAGGTGGATTGAAAGTGTGCTAAAACACACACACACCCCAAATTTTGCATTTACAATACATTTGTGTTACTTTCCATAATTTGCTTCACTTACTCAGTTGGTCAGTTGTAGTATTTGGCCATCTTGGAAGGATTGCTATAGTGGAAATAAGCATGTGGGGATATGGGGAGCCACAGTAGAAGGGCAGCAGCTATGATATTTTTTAAAGTTTGAGACACTCCTTTGGAAACATGCAGGTTTCTTTCGGCCACTTTTCTATAACCAAACGCTCCCAAAAGAACCCAGTTTTGAACCAAATTCTACATAGCATATATTGAAAACATATAGAGAAAATCCTTTTAATACACAAAGGAGCAATTCACAAGTAAAATGTAAATGGATGTTAAGGGAGTCCTGTTGAGTATCCTTATACAATTCTGGTTCAAATGTAACATTAAACCATGGTTATGACAACAAGCCATTGTGAGCCTCAGGTCTGTGTCCAGCTGGCTCTTCTTATTCAGTTACACCTTGTGTAACAAGCTTATTGTGGATTTGCTTTTTGTGGAGTTGATCCAATGTGCTTGTGAAATGCAGCTTGGATCTGGGAGACCCGAGTTCAAATCCTATTCAGCTTTTGTGGGCTCACTTTTGGAGTATGTCCCAAGCTTTCTACCTCAATGCCCTGATCTGTTAAAACAGAATAGAGATTTGCCTCTCACGATGGTTGTAAAGATAATTTAGAAAAGTAATATCACTTTTAATAGTTAAGCTGCAAGAGAGAGATTCATTTGTTAATAATCTTGTTGGGCAACTGCCAAACTGAACATTGAGGTTTCATTATCTGCTTTTTTCCCAGAAAACAGGGCTGTGCAGAAAAACAATTTCACAACGCTCTTCCTGAAATAGCTTGTTGGTCATATTTTGTTAACTTTGAAAAAACCCTCATGCAGTCTCATTTCTTCTAATGAAGGGTAGTGCTGCCACTCTGTGGTTAAATTCATATACTACTTGAATGGGTGGTTGTTTTTGCTAGCTGCCGAGTTGTTTCTTGTCTTTTAATTCCCCAAAGCTGTAATGACACTAGTTTGCGATCGAGAAGATTCATTGCTAGGGTTTTGAGTGTCATTTGCATACATTTTTAGGGTGAGGTTTATCAAAGCTTACAAATATTTTGGCAGTCTTCAGTGAAACCTGCCTGGCTTTTGATTGCAAATCACTGGTATTTTATGTGATCTGAATTCAAAATAGAGAAAAAGACCAGAAGTTCCTCTTGAAATTTCAAGTAGAGTCAGGACAGTTCTATGGTTTCAGCAGGGGAGCCATTTCTTACTGTAAATCAAAATTAGCAATCACTGCTGTGTGACCTCTTTCTGTGCCTGCCTCTCTGAACTGCCAAATTCGAACCATGAGGGGTTTAAGAGTTGTTTTCTTAATCCATTTGTCCTTTTCTTTGCCTTTTAGAGAGCTCAGCGTAGCACAGAAATTCTTCAGGATCTCACTCATCGAAATATTTCCGATTTCCTGGTGAAAACCTATCCCACCCTCATAAGAAGCAGGTTGGAAACTTCTTTTTTTACAAATCTATGGCAGCTTGTATAGCCTGAGGCTCTGAACAATTACCTTGAAATGGTTTGAAGAGTTTTGAATACCCAGCCCACTGTTCAGTTCTCCATTCGTTAGGACACTGAATAAAATAACTGTGGTTTATAATATCAGCCCCAACTATCAATTAGTGGTCAGGGTTGATGGGAGTTGTAGTCCGACAATATTTGGAGGGCCACAGCTTAACCATCCCTGGTTTTGTGCAGAGCCAGCCTTTGCTTCCAATTAACTTTGCTGCTCCTAACTCTGCACAAGATTGGGTTGTGAGGGCAAACTATGTTATACACAAATATGTTTAACGAAGCCTCAACAGCTTTGTTTTTGCTTTTTATTAAAAGCAGCTTTAGTGTTGCGATGCTCTTGCCACTGTTCCTGTTCAGCATCACAGCTTTTCAAGCTTTGTCATGCACAGTTAGGAGTTGGAAGGGATCTGAGGGTCATCTAGTCCAACCCCCTGCAATGCAGGAATCTCAGCTAAGTCATCCTTGACAGATGGCCATCCAACATCTGCACAGAAAAAGCATAGAACAGGTGTACATGCATAGGCTATCTCTGGGCAATCCATCTGTACCTCTACAAGAAGGTCAGATTAATGAGTGGTAGTCAGGAACAATGATAGAGGGTAAGATCACTCGCCATCCGAGTATGGATTAGACATTCTTGTAAAGTCACACTCAGTAGCATCCAATGAAGTACTTCCACTTGTGCAATGGAACGTCCCCTCCCTCTCCTCCCAGCCCGTGTCCTCCCCAAATCTGTGGGGAGATGAGGGGAAATTCCATTGCAAAGCCAAATGTCCTTGCGCTTTGAAAATACTCTTTTTGAAAACACTCTTATACCGCCCATTGTCCCCAGATATTTTATTCAGCAGTTCCCTGAATCTGAAAGAACCCGACTTTGTGTGGAATATAATATTTTCATTTTCTTTTGCAGTTTGAAGAGCAAATACTGGGTCAATGAGAAAAGGTAGGAAAGCACTGTAGGTTTTCTGTTGAATTTTGAAGCCTAAAGACTTTGCTAAAGGATAACAGATAGCATGATATGACTAACCTAATCGTAATCTGGTTTATAATTATATTCCATGCTCAACATTGAGTAATGTACTTCTTTTCTCTAAGAAAGGCACATTTATTCTTAAGGGAATGTTCAGTATATCAATCTATTCATAGAAAGATGGGGTTCTCCATGACCAATTGATGGTCATGTCCTCTTTGTGTTTTAGATATGGAGGAATCTCCATTGGAGGAAAACTCCCAATACTGCATGTCACTGGAGAGCAGATTGTTGGTTTTCTGAGAGATCTTGGTCAGATGATGAACATAACAGGGGTAAGCAAGGATTGTTCTGATTTTATGCAATCGTAAACTCTCCCCACCCCATGTCTATAGGCATTAAAGTATGTTTACACTGCAGAAAAATTTAGCCCTTGCTTTCTGCTATTTAGGGTGAAGCAACAATGGCTGCCTCGAAAGAAATGGCAAATTTTCTTAAGTACATGGAAACCGAATACAATATTAAGGTATTTTTTTATATTTAAGACTAAACCTTTCAATGTTTAGAAGCACTATATCAGGGATAGGGAACCTGTGTCCTTACCAATGATGTTGCATTTCAACTCCCATCTTCCTTGACCACCGGCCCTGCTGCCTGTGGCCGATGTAGTCCCAGCATCTGGAGGGCCACAGGTTTCCCATCCATGCACTATGGGATCCTGCAAAACCTAGGGCTTATCAACACTTCCTCTTGTCCCACTGCTTTCCCCTGGGGGGAAACCACTCTTTAATGCTCAGTCAGAGCAAATGGCAATTCGGGCTTCCTCCAGGTAGACATTTGCTCCAATTGAGCACTAAAGAGTGAGGTTTCCCTGGGAAAGGAGTGGGACAAATAAAAAAACCACTCGAACCCATTGCTTTCTAGGCACAGGACCCCTAGTAAAAAATAGACAAGTTTTCCCTTTCCTGGCATTTAACACTCACACCTAAGGGAACAGTGGCTTTGTTGTATTACCTTAACTGAGAAGGAAGGAAGGAAGGTAGGAAGGAAAAGAAAGAAAGAAAGAAAGAAAGAAAGAAAGAAAGACTATTTAAGATATGAAAAGGGGTTTTTATTTGCTTTTTAGAGGGAAAGGCAAGCATGAAATTTTGGGATAAATGCCACCTGTTTCAAGACATGAAGTACCACTCCAACAAAGTTCTGAGATCTTGACCCATTTCCACTTATATAGCCAGGTTGTGAAATAAAGAAGAGGCAGAACTTGCCTTGCTCAAGTTGCTAATGAGCTAACTTCCTCTGCCAGGTGTGGTTTAACAACAAAGGCTGGCATGCCATGGTCAGTTTTCTCAACATAGCCAACAATGCAATCCTGAGAGCCAATCTGCAGACTGGCAAAGACCCCGAGGAATACGGCATAACTGCTATCAATCATCCACTGAACCTCACGAAGGAGCAGCTCTCTGAAGTCACTGTGTAAGCAATTAAAGTTTGCTGTTATGTATCCGTCCCTTCTTGCTAGCATGGGTACCGTGACTTGGAATGTGCCTGTATGAAAGATAAAAATATTTATGATACTTTCACTAAGTATAGTGCAGAAATCAAGCTACTCTTTAATTTAGTTAGAACCTGTCCTTTCATTTAGCAACAGGTTTAGGGTGAACAGAAGACAGGTTGCTTTCAGGTAGTAGTTTATTGTGGAATTGGTGCTGCTCATGTATGCAGGGGTTTTTTCCCGGTGTCATCAAATGCCAGCCCATACTTTTTTTTTTAACATTTAATCTATATTTCCTCTTACTTATTTAAAAATACTCTGTTTTTCACCTAGATTCACTGCTGGTGTGGCAACCCAATGGCACATTTTCCAAGTTATTTCTGGGTGGGCAGGTTTGTCACATATGTAGTGACATTTTGATAGGTGCTCGTGAACGCTACACCACTACTTCTGTTTGTTCAATGGCGTGCATCCTAGCCACGTTGCTTCTGGCTGCTCAGATGATGTGAGGGGGCTTATATTCACCAATTGCCACATGCTTGGAGATGTAATCTTGTGAGATCTTGAGAGAACCTCAGTTCTGTGGTGACAGTACACATACATCGAGGTGTTGTTGTTTGTTTTTTAAACAATAATAATACAACTCTTGATCATTAGCTGTCCCCATCTACTTTTCTCCCTGCAGGCTGACCACTTCGGTAGATGCTGTTGTTGCCATCTGTGTGATCTTTGCCATGTCTTTCATCCCAGCAAGCTTTGTCTTATACCTTATCCAAGAACGGATGACCAAAGCCAAGCACCTTCAGTTCGTCAGCGGTGTGAGGCCTTTCGTTTACTGGTTTACCAATTTCCTTTGGGACATTGTAAGTAGCCGATGGGCATGATGTAAGAAAGTACAGAGGAGGCCCACAGCTCAGTGGTAGTGCATGCAAAATGCTGTAGGTTCAGTCCCTGGCATCTCCAGGTAGGGCTAAGATACACCTCTATTTGAAATCCTGGAGACCTGCTGCCAGCCACTGTAGACAGTACTGAGCTAGATGGAGCAATTGCCCGACTTGTTATAAGGCAGCTCCTTATATATATGTCACATATGTTGTCACATATGTTGTCACATATGTCCAATGAGCCCAGTAAAATACTGTCATGCAGCCTTTCCAAAAACCTTGTTGCAGCAGACACCCAGCTCTTTCTAATCAGATAAATCAGCCCAATCCATGTCATATTATTTACCTTGAAGTGATGAATTTAAATTTTCATTGTGATTTATGCAGTTGTCTGATGTTGAATCGTATCACTGATTGCCCCAGCAATGCCACAAGATCCTTTACTGTAGGTGCCAGAGCCCATTCTAGCACTTATCCATATAAAAATGTTTTGCCCATTATGGACAGTGCAGCTAACCCCCGGCCTGGGACCCTTAAGCAATTTTTTCTAAGATGCTGTCAAGTTTGGTGGTGGTGGTGGCAAAAAGGAGAAGAAATAAAAGCAGGCACAGTGCTGAAACAAATTGCCCTCTTCCTCATTCCTAAAGTCAGACATTTGATAAGGAGGTGATAACTCAGTTAGCTGATCTGCACTGATCAGCTGGGAAGGGGGCCTGTGTGCATGTGAGAAGGAGTGTGGGGTTGCCACACCTCAAGGTTGGTCAAGGGTGAATGCAGCCCATCAGAGCAACAATGGTTAGCCAACCCTGATATGCACATGCGTCTCTTCCTGCCACCTTCTTTTTAAAGAAGACCCAACAAAAATATTCCAAACTCAAGTATATAATATAATATAATATAATATAATATAATATAATATAATATGCTGATTGATGATGATGATGATTTTCTAGCTAAGGCCTATATTTCTGGGCAGCTTTCCTGTTTTACCAGGAGAATAATATACACAGTAGCATGCATCCTGGAAAATATTAGAAAAGCTGGTGCAAAATTTGGGGATATGGCTCTAAATGATTTCCAGGTGTTTTATTTGTTTGTAATGAGTTTTCATTTTCTTCCCCCTGTGCCAGGTCAATTATGCAGTGAGTGCTGGCTTGGTAGTGGGAATATTCATTGGTTTCAAAAAGAAAGCATACACGTCCCCAAGCAACCTTCCCGCACTTATCACATTGCTGCTTCTATATGGGTAAGTAATTTCATTAATTCTTAACAAGGCCAGACACAATCAAAATATGGGTGTCTGTTGTATTGAGTGGGTGCTTGTTTCATTTATTTAAATACCAGTTTATACTTTTCAGAAACAAAGTCTCAAAGCGGTTTGCAACCTATATTAAAAGCAACAAATGAAGCATTACAGAATATCAAGATAAAATATTACAGATGAAGGTCAAATATAAAATACAGATTCAAAGTGGCATAGTTTTTTAAAAAGTATTCTCTTAAAGTTGACATTAAGGATAAAAATCACCTGAAAAAATGCAATAAACTTCCACAAAACAGCATTGTTAGCAACTAGAAATAACGGTGATAGTAACACAATATGTTATGTGGAAATTCTTTATTAGGCGAGTGTTTGCATAAAAAGTCCATGATTTCCAATGGAATAAGGAGTATTTTCCTATGTGTGAATAAGTGAATTTTTGCATATCAAGTGGGCAGATAGTGGGGGATCTGCATGTATATCTTACACATCCAAGCCTCACTCTCAACCATGCAGATAACTAATGCCAAGCCAACAAGTTATTAAAAGAGCAAATGTTGGATCTACAAAAATGCATAGCAGCATCTAGTAACTCTTTCGCCGGCTCTTGGACGTGACAACACAGACTCTCACTCAGGCAACCAAAACACAATTCCGATTACCACCCAATAATACATCACTCACCAGGTATGCAGTACAGAATTAAAGGGGAAGTGCTTTCATAGGGATCCCAAAAGGCCTACACTGCACCAGCCTTCTTCTCTGAAGGCAAGTCAGTTAGCTACAGATGTTAACACACTTGTTCTCTGGAATCAACTGCCTGGCAGGGCACCCAGGAAGAGGGTGGCCAAGAAATGACCTCTTCCCTATCCCAAGACCTCTCACCACCAGCAAAATAAAAAAGCAGAGAAGGTCAGACATAGTTTGTTCACCAAGCAGATAATTTATTACCCCACTTTTTACTGTTTTTGCATGCAGATGGGCCATAATTCCTATGATGTACCCATTGTCCTGCTTCTTCAGCATCCCAAGCACTGCCTACGTTGCCTTGTCTTGCATTAACCTCTTCATTGGTATCAACAGTAGTGCCATTACATTTGTCCTGGAGCTCTTTGAGAACAACCCAGTGAGTGACTTTTCATCATAGACATTATTGTGACAAGAGTACTGTACTTTTTAACCTATGATCCAGCAAGGGTATTTATGTGCGGATGTGTGCCAAGTCAGATATTGCTAGAAACAGTTGCTGAAACTGCCATGAACTTTTGCCATCTATGAGCCTCTCTGCTGTGGCCAGCGTAAGATGTTTAGAAATTCTAAAGGGGGATTGGCCAAAAACAGCATCCACTTTTATAGGTCCACTTTTCCTTTAATCCAGTAGCACTGGATAAAGGGGTGGGGGCATTCATATGCCACCTAAATTTCCTGTTTGGTACATCCCAATTGCACATCCTCATTTACACGGCAATTACTGCATCCTATTTCACTTGCCAATAAAAGCTAGTAAGGTAAAGAATTGTGTAGCCTTTCATCCTAACTCCCAACGTTTTCTTAAATTATAAAGGAACTCTTGAGTAAATCTGGATAGCGCTAGCATATTGTGTATTTCTGTTTCTTGCAGGTTCTGCTGCAGTTCAATAAAACATTGAAAAATATCCTGTTAGTATTTCCTCATTTCTGCCTGGGTCGTGGACTCATTGACTTAGCCATGAACCAAGCTGTGACTGATGTATATGCTCGGTTTGGTAAGTACAGATGGAACGTGGAATTGTTCTGTTTTGCCCCATGCCCAAGTAAGCTTTTGAACACGGAGCTGGCCCTTTCCGAACTTAATATACACCCTGGAGGGGTAGGGAGGGTGCAGAACTTTGATCCAGTTCACATTTAAAGGGCATACCTAATTTTCACTTTCCAGAAGAAAATGCCAATTAAAACACAGCCATACTTTGAAATTCCGAATTTAGTGAAAATAAAACAATGAGTTATATCATATATTAGCAAACTGCATACAAAATTGTGTGCATTTGGCCCTTCTAAAAATGATAGATTATTTTATTTCTCTATCTGAGGCAGCATAACTGAGGTGGGTTGGGGTTTTTTGGAAGGTACCAGCATAGCATATTCATTAGGAGGAAACACCTAGAGAAATTGCAAAATAGTTCATTGATAATGGTAAAATAAAGTCCACCTTTGTATTTGAAAACAATTACTTAAGTGGCTGCCGATGAAGCACATTGTCTATTTTGGTAGTAATTCAGGTTGATTTTGGTTGGTTTCATCTCTAAGGGGAAGAACATGTCTTGAACCCGTTTCACTGGGATTTTGCTGGAAAAAACATGGTTGCCCTGGCGGTGCAAGGCGTCGTCTATTTTGTTCTGAATCTTCTGTCGCAACATAGTTTCTTCTCTACAGGATGGTATGTTGGAAAACTCTTGGCCTGTAAAGGTCTCGTATGTATGAAATTAGTTAGTTTTAATGCATCTGCCTTCTAAAGTACCGTTCTGAGTGTGGGATGTGTGTTTCAATATGTATATGAAGGCTGCTCTTCACACCTGGAACTTGTTCTGTCTGGCTTCTTCAGGTTTGCCCAAAACACGATGGTGCCCGTTATGGATGAAGATGAGGATGTTGCAGAGGAAAGGCAACGAATCTTGAATGGAGGCAGCAGAATGGATATTTTGAAATTACAAGAACTGACCAAGGTAATCTTCTTCCAGGCAGCGTTTCAAAAAGTGTGTTTGCTTTACTTTTATCTTGGAAATGGAAGACAGTATGCCCAGCATGAAACCTCTGTTTGGGGCTGGGGCATCCTGGACCCTTATTTCCTTGACTTTTGATCATCAGTCTGAAGCTGCTTGCATCCCTTGGAGCATCTGGAATGTATTATTTTCCTTCCTGTTACTCCATTGTTGAAGATTTAACACATAACTGTAAAGCATCATTTTCCTGGCTTTCTGTTGACACTACCTCTGAATCACTCCTTGCAACTTCCATTTACTGTACTTCATTATGAAAAATATGAAGAATATTCTAAATGTGCAAACAAAAAGTCGATGTTTGCATAAAAAAAAATTATTGAGAACTTACTCACCTTGACATACTCATCAGTAAGATTGTTAAATTGTTAGAGACCATACGTATGCTTTTAGCAGTTTTTACCTAGACCTCTCTTATTTAACTTTGCTGATGGTATGCTAATTTCCATTATGTTGTACCCTCTTGTCCCTGTAAACGGTAGATGCCAAGTTCCAATATATTCCTTCAGCTGTAGATTTCATAGAAGAGATTATTATTTTAAAAAGTTCCTCCTCTTATTCTAGATTTATGCAGGTAGACACACACCGGCAGTGGACAGACTCTGTGTTGGCATTCGTCCCGGAGAGGTGGGTTGTGAATCAACTTTGTAAAGCCTTGAAGTGATTCACTTTTACAACCTTCTGGAATTAACAAAGTGTGTGATTACTTTAAAATTCAGTGCTTTGGTCTCTTGGGTGTGAATGGAGCTGGCAAGACAACAACATTCAAAATGCTGACTGGAGACACTCAAGTAACATCTGGAGATGCTGTAGTTGCCGGTCACAGGTATGTCGTGAAAAATGCCAGAAGGCGTCAGCCCAGCCCGGTGAACAATGAAATTATTTATTTAGGAAAATTTACATGCCACTTGATTGTAGGAATAAAAACACCCTGTAACTTGAGTAACTGTCATTGCACTGCCAGTTAGCAATATTTCCCTGTTCTGTGGCTGAGGGCAGGAGAAAAAGTCACACATACACACACGTATTATGTTTTTGGTGGCTGGAGAAGGAAGTAGGCTCACCTAACACCTCCGGCTCCTACAAAATGCACGTGGCCTGAGGTGAGCTTGTTTTGGTTTCTTTCCCCTATCCTACATGGCAGGAATGGAATAAAATTGGAGATGTTGTGTATGTTAGCATGCATTTCTTCTTAACTACATGGTAACTCCTGTTCTGTGCAATTTATCTTATAATGGTGGGGTTTTTTCCTTCAGCATATTGACTCACATATTTGATGTTCATCAAAACATGGGCTACTGCCCCCAGTGTGATGCGCTTGATGACCTGCTCACGGGGAGAGAGCACTTGCGTCTTTATGCCAATCTGCGTGGTGTCCCAGCAGCAGAAGTTGAGAGGGTAAGGACAAATTCTTCCTCAACGTTTATTATTTTTAAAAACTATGATGCTTTAAAAAACAACAACCATGATTTCTGATCAGTCAAGAGTTGTTTATATATTCTTTGAACTTCATCCCAAGATATCCAGGCCCAAAAGGCAGTTACGTACCGTATTTTTCGCTCTATAGGACGCACTTTTTCCCCTTCAAAAATGAAGGGGAAATGTGTGTGCGTCCTATGGAGCGAAGATGCCATAGCCCCGCGACCCTCTCCCGGCTGGAGAGGTGATGCGCGGCTATGGCAGGAACCTCTACAGCCCCGTGTCACCTCTCCAGCCGGGAGAGTGTGCGCGCGGGGCTAAAGCAGCCCCCCGCGACCCTCTCCCAGCTGGAGAGGTGACGCGTGGCTATTGAGGCTCCTGCCATAGCCGCGCATCACCTCTCCAGCTGGGAGAGCGCGCGCGGGGCTCAAGAAGCACCCCGCGACCCTCTCCCGGCCGGAGAGGTTACGCGCGGCTATGGCAGGAGCCTCTAAAGCCCCGCGTCACCTGTCCAGCCAGGAGAGCGCCCGCGGGGCTAAGAAGCACCCCGCGACCCTCTCCCAGCTGGAGAGGTGACGCGCGGCTATGGCAGGAGCCTCTATAGCCGCGCGTCACCTCTCCAGCCGGGAGAGCACTCGCGGGGCTAAGAAGCACCCGCGACCCTCTCCCGGCGGGAGAGGTGACGCGCGGCTATGGCAGGAGCCTCTACAGCCCCGCGTCACCTCTGCAGCCGGGAGAGCGCGCGCGGGGCTAAAGAAGCCATAGCCGTGCAACCCTCTCCCGGCTGGAGAGGTGATGCGCGGCTATGGCAGGAGCCTCTCCGCTGCGCCTTCCGCTGCTCCCTGACCTGCTCTTTGGGGCTGGTGGTGGGCTTCCCCCCGCCAGCCCCAAAGAGCAGGTCGAAAGGAACCTGAAGCCTGGAGAGCGAAAAGGGTCAGTGCACACCGACCCTCTCGCTCTCCAGGCTCCAAGGTAGCCGCCTGAACACACCTTAAACGGCACCTTGTTTTAGAGCGGGAAAACAAGAGGGTGAAAGTTCTCCCCCTCTCTGTGCAGCGCCTCCTGCTGCTTCACTGAAGGGGCGCTGGGCAGAGAGGGGAAAATTTTTTTTTCTTGTTCTCCCCCCTCTAAAACAAAGTGCGTCCTATTGTCCGGTGCGTCCTATGGTGCGAAAAATATGGTATGTTGTTAGATCCCTGGGCGGCTCTTTGATGTCCATGCATATTCTTATCTATGTTGCGGTACAGATATGCATTCACCCCTGTGAAAATTTCAGGTAGCCAGTCTGGCTAGTCACGCCACCTTGCTGCTGTTGTTTCCACGTGCCAACCTTGCACCTGGTAAAATAATTCTGCAAATCCATCCTGCCAATCTGCAGAGTTTTCTTGCGTTACCAATGCATAATAAGAGTTCTGTGTGGATTCTGGAGAATTAACACAATAACTGCATTCCTTAATAGACTCTGCTCCCATCATGGACTGGATTGAGCCCATTGTCTTTTAAGTAACTACCAGTCCTTTGACCTCCTTTATCCCTTCTTCACAGGTTGCAGAGTGGGGAATTCAGAAGCTTGGTCTCCTGATGTATGCAGATCAGTTGGCAGGCACATACAGCGGTGGGAACAAGCGCAAGCTCTCTACTGCCATTGCGCTGATAGGCTGCCCTCCTTTAGTCCTGCTGGTAAGTCATTTTGCGGCAAGGAGGCCAGGTAAAAAGTAGCCTCTTTAGGTGAAGGCAATTCTGTACGGTTGTGGAAAACTCCAGTTGGACACCGTGTGGTGTGCAAATTATTTTACTTCTAAAAGTAATTTCTATGTCACCATGTCGTAAAGTATCAGGACGGTACACAACACACTATTAAAAACACCAATTTCTCTGAGAAACACCCCAAACAGTGCCAAACTCCAGTTGTGTCTTCTTGCCTGGGGTGGTTCTTTGCAAAAGTTAGTGCCCTGCTTTTCTTGCTGTCCTCTGCTGAACCACCAGTAGTATACCCTCTTCAAATGGTGTTTCTGATATTTTTGGAAGGTTAAGTCGCACTTTCCCCCCAAATTAAATTTGGCAGCATGTTTCATCGTAACACCTGAAAAAGTGTATTTTTTAGAATGTGTGAGAGTAAGAATACTAAAATGCAAACCTGAGCCTTGCAGGAGTATGAAAAATAAAATAAAAAGGTGTATCTGTCCTTCCCTCACTGAGCTCCAAATAGCACTAACAAAGCTCCTGTTCCAGGCTGGCTGGAGCCCTTAGCAGGAAATGCTATTGGGTTACGTATAGGGCATATGCTGCAATATTTTGCTGAGGGTACCCACATCATTATTATTATCCACATCTCACAGGATGAGCCAACTACAGGAATGGACCCTCAGTCCCGACGCTTCTTATGGAACTCAATTGTCAGTGTGATCAGAGACGGAAGAGCTGTGGTCCTTACGTCACACAGGTAATACAAACCTCCCCATGTAAAATCAGTATGGGAATCTAACAACCTTTTAAAAAAAATACTTTCCACTGTTGTAAACCTTCAGAGAAAGCATGTGATACAGTACTCCTAGCAATAATAATAATAATAATAATAGTAATAATAATAATTTATTATTTGTACCCCGCCCATCTGGCTGGGTTTCCCCAGCCACTCTGGGCGGCTTCCAACAAAGATGAAAAATACACTAAAATGTCACATATTAAAAACTTCCCTGAACAGGGCTGCCTTCAGATGTCTTCTGAATGTCAGGTAGTTGTTTATTTCCTTGACATCTGATGGGAGGGCGTTCCACAGGGCGGGCGCCACTACCGAGAAGGCCCTCTGTCTGGTTCCCTGTAACTTGGCCTCTCGCAGTGAGGGAACTGCCAGAAGGCCCTCGGAGCTGGACCTCAGTGTCCGGGCAGAACGATGGGGGAGGAGACGCTCCTTCAGATATACTGGACCGAGGCCGTTTAGGGCTTTAAAGGTCAGCACCAACACTTTGAATTGTGCTCGGAAACGTACTGGGAGCCAATGTAGGTCTTTCAAGACCGGTGTTATATGGTCTCGGCGGCCGCTCCCAGTCACCAGTCTAGCTGCCGCGTTCTGGATTAGTTGTAGTTTCCGGGTCACCTTCAAAGGTAGCCCCACGTAGAGCGGATTGCAGTAGTCCAAGCGGGAGATAACCAGAGCATGCACCACTCTGGCGAGACAGTCTGCAGGCAGATAGGGTCTCAGCCTACGTACCAGATGGAGCTGGTAAACAGCTGCCCTGGATACAGATTTGACCTGTGCCTCCATGGACAGCTGTGAGTCCAAAATGACTCCCAGGCTGCGCACCTGGTCCTTCAGGGGCACAGTTACCCCATTCAGGACCAGGGAATCCTCCACACCTGCCCGCCTCCTGTCCCCAAAAAACAGTACTTCTGTCTTGTCAGGATTCAACCTCAATCTGTTAGCCGCCATCCATCCTCCAACCGCCTCCAGACACTCACACAGGACCTTCACTGCCTTCACTGGTTCTGATTTGAAAGAGAGGTAGAGCTGGGTATCATCCGCATACTGATGGTGAGTGGCAGGAAGGAGCAGGGCCCTCAGACACTCACACAGGAGAGTCCTCCTGGGCAGCAGAGCGCAGCAGTCCCTGTGAGGCTTCACGCCCTGCCCTGGGCCAGGTAGGTGGTAAGCGGCAAGAGCAGGGCCCTCAGACACTCACACAGGAGAGTCCTATGTACTACTTCAGTTTGCAGGTGGCAATCTACCATTTCCCCTATCACAGAAAAAGACCACACATTTGGAAAGTTAAAAATGGTTTACTTACAAACTCTCTGAAGGTCCGATTCATGTGCTTTTCCATACAGCAGTCAGAAAATGCAGGTAGCAAAACTTAGGTTAGTTCCAAAGTGGCGAAAGTTCCTAAATTATTTGTATAGGAATACAAGGATGGCTTTGTTTTTTTAAAAAAGGCCATGTGGTCTAAGCTTGGAGCAACCTCTTTTCAGACCTCTTTACATACTGGAGTTCATGTGGCAGACTGAGGGAAGCAAGACTTTCCTCCCAAGTGGACAGAGCAACTTAGCTAAGACTGGCAGGACAGCTTACTATGGCATTAACCTCTTCGTGCATTAATTAGACTTAATCGTGTTGGTTATACAGGCACTCCCCATTAGCATGGGGGTTGCATTCCAAGGCACCGTGCATGTCAGTCGGCCCCCTTGCGGTGCTGAACAGCACGTGTGCCATGAACGCGCACAAATGGGGAGTTGCCTGTATGAGGCTGGTTATCCCACAAATGTTAGGGTCTCTCTCTAGACCCCTATCAGAAGCAAGCCTGCAATAACGGCTGAGCATCCTGACAAAGTTACAACGCAATGGAGCATTTACTGGCTGGGGTCAATATGAGTAAGTGGGACTACAGACCTTTTTTACATCAAGCTCTCTCTCTTTACAAGCATGGAAGAATGTGAAGCACTCTGCACACGTCTAGCTATCATGGTTAAGGGAACCTTCAAATGCCTGGGCACCATCCAGCATCTCAAGTACAAGTAAGCTGATGATTCATTTCTCAGGTTTATTGATTGATTTAGTGTAATTTAGTGTAGTTGATGGATGAATCTTATTTACTGGGGTAGTAAATCCGTCACTTCATATACCATGGGTATTTCACAGATATGGAGATGGCTACATTATCAGCATGAAAATAAAGGCCTCTAAACCCGGACTGCCTCCAGACCTGAGCCTAGCTGAACACTTCGTAGAAGTGAACTTCCCTGGCAGCATACAAAGGGAAAAGCACCATAACATGCTCCAGTACCAGATATGCGCCTACTCGCTGGCCAAGATCTTCCGGCTGATTCTCTCTAACAAGGACAACCTGAATATTGAAGAATACTCTGTCACACAAACCACCCTGGATCAGGTAAAAAAAATATGCTAAAAATGGGGAGGGGGACCTAACTCAACAAATGCAAGCCCTCCGCCACTTAGGAAGCCCCCCCCCCCAATGCCTAGTATGTTTTAGTAACAGGCAATTCTTTTTAAAAGGCTGTGTGCTTCCAGATTCCATTCATCTGAAAACAGAGAGTGGCAATAAGTGAGGAAAGTGTTGATTTAAAGAGGAGATAATGGTGGTCAGTCATTTTCAGTAGAACCAAGCTTTGCAGACCAATTATACTAATTAAGGTGATGCACTTGTCATAAGAATGGCCTTCGCTTCACAAGACATGGCTCTTCCTTTGCAGAACAAAAAGATCAATTTCTTTCTCACAAAAAACCTTACATGTATGCTTTTTGAAAATTCTTGTTAGTAAGAAGCAGGCTTATTTCTGCACACATTGTATGAGAATTGCCTTGTCAATCACACCACATCTCATGACTTCTGCCAGGTCAACCTGTGCATGTGTCTAATCGGAGGAGGAGAGCTTATTTCCCCTATGTTTCACTCCAGCTCTAAAGCAACATCTGGTTGGCCACAGGTTATTTGTTTTCCAATGGAAAGGCCAATTCTTGTGTTGCCATCTTCCTAACTTTGTTTGGGGATGCACAAAAAGAAGGGCCTCATATGGTGATTGCAGTTCATGTGGGATAGACAGGTCCTTGGGTCCTGACCTTAGAGGTACTGGGCTTAGCCACCAGGCTTGATCTAGAAAACTGCATGCATGAGATGAACATCTGGGGGGAGGGGGGCGTGGAGAGATCTTTCCAAGGTCAACACTGGAGTCATGAGTCACCTCTGTTCTTGATATTGTCACAGACATTCTGGATTTCCCTACTTCCTTCTAGTAAGTGCAGTTCTGATTATGCATTTACTGGTTTCCTTCCACAGGTTTTTGTGAACTTTGCTAAACAACAGATGGAGGATGAGGAAATTCATCTCCACCCTCGTGCAGCGGGAGCTAGTAGAGAGGTGAAGGTGACCCCCGCTTTCTATCGGAAGACAACTGCATAGAGAAGTTCTGCAACAGGTGAAGCAAACTCCCCAAGAGCTGGGCCCCAGGCCAGAGCAGAGCGCTACAAATCCTGAATAAGCGTCTCACCAGCACAGGTTTTAGCCCCCTTTCGGTGGTTTCCCTGCATCTTTGGAACTCGCCCGCAAAGGAAGTATGTATGAATGGATCCATCTTCGTTAAGCTTTTACAGAACAAAAAAACCCAGCTTTGCTTTTCAGTCTTTTCTACTAAAAGTGTTGTGCTGGGCTTTTAAAGCAGTTTTTAGTATTATAAATGGGTTGTTTTGAATGTATTTTAAGCATTTTTTAAATATTGCGTTAACATTTGACAGCTGCCTGTGGAGGGCTCTGCCCTGTGAAGCTGCATGTGCATTTCTTAAATATATATTTTTTAGCAAAGCAGAATGTAATATTAGGAACTTTAGCTTGTGGCACAGTGATGGGATCAAATGAGTAGATACTAAGTTTAGTCAAAATCACTTTTGTGTTCGTAAAAAATTTTTTAAGGATGCATGTGCTTTGCCTCCTAGTTTGCCTCCTAGTTTCATTCTGAACCAAAAAAAGAAACAAGCACACATGTTTATTTAAAGTCTCTATTGTTCTGTGGCATTAATGCTCTGGGTCAAATCTAGACTTGACAGCAGTCAAGCACAAGATGGGCTGTCACTGCCAGCAACAGAATCACAAAATTTTACGGATGAACAGGAAATATTTGGTCTTTCATGGCCTTCTTTACATTAGTGGCTCACTTTTACTAGATTAGTTTTGAGTTGAAATATTCCCCTCAGCTGTTGACAGTTCATTTTCAACTCTTGATACTACTTAACTCCCACTTAAAACCTAATTAAAAGGTACAATGGGGGAGTTCACAGTTGTGCCATTTTTCCCACCTTGAAAATCTTAACAGGTGGTGATTTGGATTTAGCCCAACCATAGCTTGTAGCTGCATGCAGCTCTTAGTGAAGTCAACAGGAAACCACCTAGAAGAGATTCCCCCAAGGTGCTATTGATTTTGACATCTTTTTTTAAAAGGATTTATGTCGTAGGAGTATTGCATTAGCTGAGTTTTGATTCAAGCTGCTCTAATCTCAAGATCAATAACCTTTTAGTATTGTTTTGTATGTTTCAGTGCTATAACCACTCTGGGGCTCTGTTGAAGGTAAAACTTTTTTTTTAAAAAAAAAAATAGCTTTCTTTTTAATTCAGTTATGGTATTAGAGAGTAGCTGCCAGAAAGTGGCTCCTTGTGTGGATTTTGGGTGGTTTTTGGTGGTGGAGCTCTTTAAACCACACAGGCATCACACTTTTTTGAGTGACTACACTGGGTGTTTAAAAACCTAACCATCCACACACACCCAGTGAGAAGTAACTTACACAACTAGGGCTGGGCGATGTTAGATTTTCAACATCACAATGTATCACCAGCTGAACATCGTGATTTGGCAATGCACCACAATGCTGAAACAAGCTGCATTGGCCCCAGCCCATGATGGTGCTTTGCCGGGCTGGGGCCAATGCAGCTGGCTGCAGCCTGTTGCTTAGCCTGTGTGTGTGTGTGGAAAGGCTCCGCCCCCCCAGCTGAGAAAGCTCAGTGTCTCTGTTGCAGGGCAGGCAGCTGTGTGCCCCTGAACAGAGAAGTTTAAAGGAGTCCCTCTGCCCGTCTCTGGCTCGTGCAAGCCAAAGGCAAGGCTCTGTTACACTTGAGGGAGCTGCCTTTGCAGGCAAGGGTGAGCTACTTCTTCCTCCTGTAAAGGAGGCAGCTCGCCCACCCCCCACAGATGGAGCAAGCACTGCCAACCTGATAGGCTCAGTTTGTAGTGTTTCCTCCATCTCTGAAGATCTCTCAGCTGGGGAAGTGGGAGCACTTTAAAACAGAGTGCCCAAACCATCGCCGGCTCCGTAAAACTGCTTGGCTGAGGCAAGGGCAACTGCATGCTCCTCAGCCGAGCAGTTTCAAGAAGTGGAGGGAGGGACAAGCTGTATTGGTGCCTTGCTGATGGCGCTTGTTTCTCCTTCTGCAGCAGAAACCACCACTGCTCCTGAGTCCCTCTGCCTCCATCATGTTTCTCCCTTGGCACACTGGGCGTTGGTAGCAGAGGCAATTTCACCAGTGATACACCGCTGAGTGAAATTGCCATCCCACTCTGCCCCTCATACCAGCCCTGGGCAATATATACATGACTGCCACTCCCAGCAATAACTACATCACAGATGGGTGACTCAAGAGGCAAAGACCTAAAAACGCTCTCCAAATACTGGAAGGGCTAGCATGAAGAGGAGACTGAAGAGCTGCTCTGATGGCAGGACTAGGGAGTATGTTTCAGTTGAATATTAGGCAATACATAAAATTAAGTGCAGTTCAACCATGGAATTAGTTGCAGAGGATGGACTGCTATCTGTTGGGAAGGATTTCCTGTACTGAGCATCAGGACGGACAATGCTATAATTCCAACATAGCTTTGAATAAAGAAACAAACTTGAAGCAGATCCTGAAAGTCATTAAATGTGATTTGCATTTCTTGGATGTAATTTGCTGTATAACAAACATTTTACATATTGTCTGTGTGAAAAGAAACAAGAGGTTTTTTATCTTATCATGGATGCATTTTTTTAACCTGAAAAAGATTGGGTATTAAAGAAATATTAAAACTTCACTCACCAGTCGCAATGTGTCTTCTATTGCTATAATTAATTGGACAGAATTCAAAATATAAGTTTGAATTTATTGCATATTCTCTTTAGAAATTGTTGCAAAAATTTATGTACATTTCTAGAGGAATAAACTTCATCAAGAAACAGTCAGAGTCCCTCTGCTGACAGTCTTAAAATTAAGTTCTTAAAACTTTGTAACATAATGTCTTATTCATTTACTGATTTGATTTGCACAGAGCCTTCTTAAAATGCATTGAACACAAAATAAGGAAAAATATTTTCCACATTTCCTTGTATTTTGGTATATATGAAGAGTAACTAGAGGACCATACCTCCCTATTTCCTTTTGGCAATATGGGACCACTGGTTAGGCTATGACCCTTTGACAAAGGCAGGTATGGAGATTTGGGAAGTTTTCGTTCCTACCTTTGATGAAGATAGTCACAGTTTCCTTGGGCTCCCATGATTTTACTCCTTTTTTTCCTCTTGACACTTTCTTCCTTTTCTCTTCTGATTTACTTTATTCTTCACCTGCTTACCTTCATTTTCAAATTTAAAACAACTTTTAAAAAATAGCTTTTCCCTTTCCTGCTACCTTTTGTACCCCCACTGACTTTCTCTGGAGCCACCAGTAAAGAGCTACCACTCTGCACGCTATCATTCAAGGTCTTATTCCTTGTAGCCATCACATCTGCCTGCAAGAGTATCTGAACTTAACACCCTATTGGTGGTCCAACGCCCCTGCATATTCCACAAAGACAAAGACATCCTCCATACTGATCCTGCCTAACATCCTTCCCAAACTCCACCTACAGCAGGAACTGATACTACGTAGATTTCCCCCCAATCCATAGCACCTCTTGAAAAGGCCTGGCATTCCTTATACCAGAGCTTTCCAAACTTTTCACGTTGGTGACACACTTTTTAGACATGCATCATTTCGCGACACAGTAATTCAGTTTTACTAGCAAATTGGCAGGCCGTCTGCTCCCTTTCCAGCAACACACAGTTTGGAAAGCTCTGCCTTAAGATGTAGGCAGGTTACTTAAGGTCTATATAACCCATACCAAAATGCTTTGGCAATCATTCCACCATACTATGTTAGGTAGAAAAGTCACCCCAAACACACTATCCTGATGGATTTGCACCTGCATTACCACGGCATATGAGGCGCAAAGGTTACCTGTCCCTGCCAAACTGACAGCACATTCCTCTGGGGCAGCAGACGTCCTGGTGGCGTCCTTCACAAATGCCTCCCTACTGGAAATCTGCAGTGCAGCCACCTGCGCATCTCCCAGTACCTTTACCATACACTAAGACAAGACACCTGGATGTCAGCTGACACCACCATTGGCCAGAGGGTCCTCCAACAGGCCTCCCCGCAGTGGTACCCACCCTAGTTGGGAGAGCTTTGGTATGTCCCAACCAGTGGTGTCATGCTGGCAAAAGGAAATTGTACGGTTGGTACATACCTGAATAGTAGATTTGTGTTGCCATTGTGGGACCATCGGGGCCACACCCTCTAATGGCCTGCAACACTGTTTAATAGTTCAGACAGTTAGGAAAAGTTCTTGTTCCATAGGAATTCAGCTTTATTACTGTATGTTATTTGCTTATTAACTGATGAGACTCCATGGACTACTTGTGCTTAGTGAGTCTGCAATGCTGAGGACAAAGGAGCCATCCATTTCCTAAATTTTCACTCCTTCCTTCATCAAAGGGGCAAAGCCATAGCCCAACCAGTGGTCCTGTGCTGGCAACACAAATCTACTCTTCAGGTTAAGTACCAATTGTTCTACTTACATTTGCAAGTACATGGGCAACCCACTCCTATGCAAAGGAAGCATCCCTGAGCCTACTCTGATATAACGATGGGGGCGAATTCAATTCACTTTGCATTTGAAGCCAAATTTACACTTTCCAAAACTATGAGGACCAGAACGTAGCCACCCTTAGAAATTCACACTTACCCAAATTTTGTGATGCAATTCTCCAACCAACCAATGTTTACAAAAATGCATATAGTAGTTAAAAGTGTACATAAAAATTAATATTAGTGAAAATAACATTAAAAATGCATTATATTAAGGAGACATTGCTTGCAAAAATGTGTGCATTAGTCAAAAAGGCATACAAAAATGTGTTTTCTAGCAGAAATTCATATTAAAATGCTGAAGCACTTTCAGGAGGATATTTTCTAACAGAAAATTCACAAAATGCTGCATAAATGTGGAGGACCGAATTTAAGACCACAATCATGAGAAACAGAGAACCAAGGCTAATTGATTTGCTATCCCTACTCTCAAGTAAGCATGCACCGGGGTATAGCATGAAGTGTTTTCCAAGAATGAGAAATGCAAGTAGAATAATCACATGATAGCCTTGTTGGTATTGCATTACTTCAGACTGCAGGGTGGTGAATGTTTGAATGCTTCTTCCATTTAACAGAACACCCTGAATGTAATAATTTAAAATATTTCTGGACCACTTTTAAGGTTAAAACCCTGTCAAGTCAACTTACTAAATAAAAACCAATACAAAAATAACCACAATTAATAAATAAAAAACAGCTGATCCAAAACATAGCATCAAGTCCCAAAATATTAAAATCTAATACAAAATACAACTATCAGCCATCCATTAAGACAACAAGAGCATGCTAAATAGGACAAGAGACACACAAGAACCCTTTTTCCTTCATGTTCAAGTTTTATATAAATCTGGGAGTTTCTTGCAATGGAAACATTCAAATAGTTAACTCTCACCTTGCAGTCTGAAATGGTTCATTCCCAACAGGTCTGTTTCAAATGATTATTCTGAACATTTAAACTATGTTGTTCTCATTCCCAGTGCTCTCTCTCTCTCTCTGTGTGTGTACCACTTTCATTCACAATGTAAAAGTATTTCCCACAGCAAATGCTTGATTTGAAGCCGCCCACAGCGTTTTCTATGCCTCAGCTTTGAAGCACAATTCATCCAGAGATTGGGCAGTTCCAGGCTGTTGCTATTTCAGGTTGGATTCAATCACACACTGGGAAAATCAGGTTGCACAATTAGAGCGGATCTGGAGCTCTTTCACAACCCCACTTTCTCCCCAAGTCAGACTTTTTTGCAATAAGGAAAGTGAAGGGAAACACACCAGAAAGAGTGGGAAAACAATAATAATTGCTTTGATGCAACATCATCTAACCTCCCTGGAAACGAATCAGGATGAACACTCAATAAACATATCATCCGAAAGTGCCCTCCCTCAAAACATATCTGTTTGTGGAATTCCAGACTGTTTCACACCAAATTCTCATGCTTCCTTTTTGCCACAGGGCCTAGCCCAGACTTTTACAGAAAGTGTATTCTTTCAGCAACAGTGGATAATACCTTTGCCAAACAGTTAGCTCTGAACACCCTTCATGGCTAAAGATAACAACATGGGGATTGGGGGAGAAGATAAAACCAATACTGAATCCCACAAATTTTAAAAATACATGAAGATGTTAGCGTAGGAATGCTGAAAATAATGCCAATGTATTTCACATTTGGCAACCAATGTGCCCCTTTGGTTCCATATAGTACATGGGTAGACGAATCAAAAAAGCCCGGAACACAATGAGCTATGGTGGCTCATTTACCAGAAGTAATTTATTTACTACAGTGGACGATGAAGCCACTGGATTAGGTAATTCCCTCACCACGTTACCAAGGAGCTAAGAACTGTGGGAGGTAGGTGAAACATCTCTGCATCTTCCATAAGTAGTGCTGGGCACAGATTGTACCTTCATGCCGAAAGTACTTTCGAGATTCCATGTCCAACAGGAATCAATTCTTCCCACTTTCTGTCCTAATCCAAAGCACCCTAGAGGAAAGGCCTGGCATTCCTTAGGCGTTCATCGGGCACTAAAGCTGTACATTCATTGAACACAAGAAATTAGAACAACAGACTCCTTGTTTGTGTCCTTCCACCCTTCATCTCTGTGGAGGAGGGTTTCAAGTTCCACCCTTGCCAGATGGATACGGGCTTGCATTTCCGTAGCTTATGAATCCCTCAAGCTGCCCCAGCCAACACATCTATTTTCTCATTCAACCAGATCAGCATCCACTTCAGCGGCCTTCGCCGCTAATGCTCCGCTGCTTGATATTTGTAAGGAAGCTACTTGGTCTTCCTCAAGTAACTTCGCCAGGCATTACAAGCTGGACCAATTATCGTCAGCTTGATGCAGCATTTGGTCGCACAGTTCTTCATCGGGTACTTTGATCAGCTCAACTGCAGTTGGGGATAGCTGTGGTACATCCCAATCCAGCAACTTTATTGTCCACAGTAGTAAATAGTGACTGGTCTTACCTGAAGAGCAGATGTACTACCCATGTACTATCTGAAACCAAAGGGCGCATTGGTTGCCAGATGTGAAATCCCCCCCCCAGCTCTCCAACCCCACTATGTAGATTTTGAGCCCATGGAATTCCACACTAGATAGTAATTTCTGCATGCTCCTGGGAAACCTTGCCTAAATTATCTTCATACCCTAACTTACTTTCTTTGCCTGTGGTTGTGTCTATACAGCCTCATCCACTTTGTTTCTGATAATTTAATTTTAAAAAACCCAACAACCCTGTTCTTACAGTAAGAAAGGAATGATAGACATTCTAAGACTAGGATAATCCTTAAACTCTCGTATATAGGTGGAGTGTTTATCTTTTGCCCAGACTGACATCTGAATGAAACAAAGAAAGGTGAAGAGTCCCACTGCAAGAGAGAGAAAGAGAAAGAGAGAAAGAGAAAAGAGAGAGAGAGAGGTCAACGTTTATGAAATATTGTAGCTGGAATATTAGCCCAAAATTTTCAAACCAAGAATCTTATTCACCTGGAACGCATTGAGTCATGATAGTAAAACCAATCCATGTCCCCAGCTGTAATGGTGAAGAAAATGCAAAACTATTTCACACAATAAAAACTGCTAAAACAACCTAGTCCCCTTTTTAAAAAATACATACAAAACACATTTCTTTTTAATATCAGCTTGTAAAAACCTTAGTAATAAAACAACTGAAATACAATCAGGCACACAACCAAAGAAGTAACTGGAGCCATTTGGATATATGGACCAGAATCCACAAAAGCACAGCCCCCTTGTAGAGTTGTTTTTGCAACCTCCCCACACACATACACACTTCAATTTTGAAAAAAATTAAAATTATGAGTCTAGAATTCTAGAACACTGCATTTAGTTTCTGTTGAGACAGAATGGAGGCAGTGAGTGCAAGTGTCAGTCTCACACACCTGTAAACCTGGTCAGTCAAAATTTATGCAACCAGTTAGCCAGTCACTCACCTCCAAGACCTATGGCCTATACAGCTGTACCCCTATCCTAACCAAGTCTTTGCGTTCATATTTTTCTTCCTAAGAATTTTCCCAGTTTGGGGCATTTTCCAGGGAGTCACTATTTTGGGGGTGGGATTCAATCGCACACGGGTAAATTCAGGTTGTACATTTTAAGTGGATTTGACACTCATGTACAAAAAAGAGTTTTTTTAAAAAAGAAAGACTTTGTGTTATGGAAACAGGGACAACAGTGGTTTGATATGATGTCATACAATCTCCCCACAAACAATGAGGATGAATGCTTAATAATCTGGAAGTGACCTCAGAAGCTGCCCCCAACACTTCTTTACACTCTTCTCAAGTTAAAAAAAAAAAGTTTGGGAATTTAGTATGAGAGCTTTTAAAACAGGTACATGTACACAAACGTCCTCCTGACATCCTTTAAAAATCTCTCTCTCTGAATTTTAGGTGGTTGCTTCTGAAGGGAGTTCTCCATGGAAAACTCATATATGTGCACACATGCATTCGCTATCTGCATAGTAACTGCATCTGTTTTCGTGGTACATAATGCATTTCCCCACTCTTGCTCGCTCCATAAAGTCTATATTCCTACGAAAGTGACACTCTGCTGCAACATCCCTTTGCAGCAAATGACACTGCAAGTCTCAAGTAAGACAATGAAGACAAACAATAAATTCCTATGCTCCAAACGCAAAAGTCAATATGACGTAGAGACAGAGCTCAGAATATTTTGATGTCCAACACAAAATCCAAAGAACACGGACACACAAAAATGCAAGCAGCTAAGTAATTGGTACACTTTTTCTACCCTTTGCTAGTACTGCAAAGGTGGGCTGTGTCACACAGCCTAATTCAGGCATAGGCCAACTTGGCCCTCCAGATGTTTTTGGGACTACAACTCCCATCACCCCTAGTTAACAGCGCCAGTGGTCAGGGATGATGGGAGTTGTAGTCCCAAAACATCTGGAGGGCCGAGTTTGCCTATGCCTGGCCTAATTCATGGTAGAGCCAGGTCTGCCATAATGTGAAAATGTAATAGGACCTGCATAGTTGCACAATCCTCTCAACAACCTCCTGCAATACTCCTGTTTACACACTCCAATTCATTATCTGACTAATTTAGCTCTTTCACTGGGCAATTTTAAAAAAACAATCTTTATCTTACCCTTTTTTCATCAGTTTCACTGAGAGGTGCAGCTTAAACGCTGTTTCAAAGTAAAGGATGTGTTTGAGATGCAACTCAGCTGTGCTTTTGTAGCCAAGGTGGGGTAATAAAATACATGCATTTTACTGAGTTTCTCATCCCAGAAGTTGCCCCCATGAAATCCTGAACATTTCTTTACACTCCCCTACAAAAGCAAAATCTTACACCAATCCTTAAGCATAAGCTAAACATTAGCGGTCCATTCAGTTTTCAAACATACATACCTCATAAGTATAGTTAGGGCAGGACACAAAATAAAACAGCCATGTGAAAGGATTCTTCGTCGGATAAGGGATCTTACTGGTCTTGGATCCTATTGATTTAAAATATCCACAGAAATGTAAAACTAGTGGTACTTTCTGTATACAGACACATTTTCCCTATAGCATATGGTTTGACAGCATGGCTCTAGTTGGTAAATATAGGGGTTCTGGTAAAACCCAAAGTAGCTCCCGCAAGTCTGAAGTCTGCTCTTCTCTGGATTACAGAATGATCAGCTGTGGGATGGGATGAAAAGGACCATTCTATAATGAGCTAAGCTAGGAATCATTTTTCGCTCTCCGTAAGACTAGACAGTTTAGAGTAGAAGTCCTTTTTCCTCCTCCCTTGCCTTGCATATTTGGAAATCTTTTTTTAAAATGGCAATGTCATTAGCCAATAACCTATGCTGACTGACTACCTTCAGGCAGTTCCTGCAGTGGACTGTCTGCCTAGAATAATTGTAGCTTTAATCCAATATACTAATATGAACTAATTCTCTGATGCAAATCCTTTTGTAGCCAAAACAGCACCGACTAGTAGGTATCAGCAGGCTTGGAGGAACCTCAAGGATTGCAGAAGTATTAATGATCTTTACCAAAATAAATAAATGCTGAGGGGGAGGTCAGTTTACACCTTTGAAAGCCCACCCTAACTCAAGCCAATTAATGATGATGATGATGATGATGATAATGATAATAATAAATAATAATAATAATAATAATAATAATAATAGAAACAAAGCACTCAACTTTTACCATCTCTTCTCAAATTACTAAGTGCAACATGGATAGAAAAGTTTCCAGCTTCACATGTCTGCAATGAGACAGAAATAAAGACAATTAAAACAAAGACTGCATTAAATAAAGAGCCCTCTGAACAAATACAATTATGAGGATTAGTAGAACAACAATGTTCTCATTAGCCCACTCTACACTAAGCACCAGGATCATAGCTGGGGAGGGAAGGGATAAAGCTCCCCTCCCCGCACACTGTGTTCCATATAAAAATCCCCCTTAAAGTGGCATCAGTGGTTTAATTCATTGGAAGATTTCAGCACCATTTCAATCAGTTTATTTAATTTTGCATTTATAACCTATTATTTATTATACGAAAAGGGGGGGGGAATGCAACATTTCTTTTAAAAATCATTTTTCAAACCAAAAGAAATTGTGCACATGGTATTATTTAAATTACTAAATCAAAATTATTATTATTAAATTATTTAAATTTGTCAATCCAAAAAGAAGCAAGTCACCCATATCTCTATAAATCTATTTTCCTACAATCCTTTGCCCCTTGCTTGCACATATTAAATGAGTTTATATGTAATTTCCACATCCCAGATTCCCTTCCTCTCTACTGAAACTGGCATTTTAAGCTGCAGTCAGGAATATAATTGCCATTTGTACATCTGCATTTGCCCATTCCATATACTATCTAAAGTACAGCAAAGGAAATTTCTTACACTATAGTATTTATATTTGCAACTTACTCACCAGGAACATGATCAAAGCGAGATTGACCTGCTTTTGTCCATAAGCTGCAAGACAAAAACAAGGGAAGGTTCAATTTAGCTCTCGGTTAGCACCGTTAATGAAATGCTAAAACAAAATAAAAAGTAAAATGTTTGTTATGCTGCTACTTACAGGGCGGTGTGTAAAGAGGATGGTTGATATAATAAGCAAGCCAGGCAGCAAATCCCCAGTAATAGAAACAATTCTGTAAAAACAAAAACAAAAAAAGGAAAAGGGGGGAAGCCATTTATATTTGTGTTAATGTTTTACATTATGTGGGGCTATTGCTACGATTTAATCCATGTACGTTTGTGATGCATATCCATACCAATTCCCGGGTTTCATTTCTTTGTGACACCTTTATGTGGCTAAGAAGCAAATCCTAGGTAGGGGCTATGCAAGAAATGTCTCTGTTCTCAATGGTTCTTATTAAGTTCTATGGAACAAGCCAACAGAGCATTCCTAAAGTGATTGTGTGGTTTGCGCCATCCAGAAAAGGAGGAGAGGAGCACTTTCAATTCTCTCCTGTTGACGTTAATAGGTGAGGAACTGGTCTACCAGTTCCAGGGCTGGCCTTTTTTTTTTTGCCCTTTCTGGGAAACAGCAGCTTTGGCAAATCCAAGGCCTTTCCCTGACCTGTCTCTGGAAGAATTCAGTTTCTGGCTCTACCATTTAACTTTCTACCATTGGTCCAGGTTAATCGCCCACAGAGAGGGAGGTCATCATAATCCTACAGCCCCTCAGTCCCGGGAACACAAAATTGCTCCCTAAATTAGCAAGACAGTTGAGAGGAGGGAAAAAGCTTTCTCTCTGCTCTTACTCTGAGGGAGAGACACCCACAAAAATGTATGCCTAAGAACAGAGCATACGGAAACGCCTCATGTTTCTCCTGCCTTTATTGAGACAAGCCCACTTCCTCTCAGCTATTTCACTACGAAACAGAAGACCATTCCAATTATTATTGCCCAGTGCTATTTTTCAAGAAAAATTGTTCTCTTAGAACGGCAATGGCGCTCACTTGAGAGGTGCCAGAACTCAGTTCTGGCGAGTTCTGACTGAAACAAAGACCAGGACCTGCCCATTATTTGACAACATTCAGCCAAAAACCCCAAAATCTATAAATTTCAGAACAGAGGAGAAATTTTAAGGAAATAGCTCTTAAAATGAGAACATTTTCCTCACAGTTATTTGTTAAGCCTGGATTTGATGTTCATTTGCTTGTAGCACAGAGGAAAGTTCATAACTTTTAAATGCTTCTGACCCCAGAGTTAAGCTCCCTACTAGTGTTTATAATGCATTTAACGAGAGAACACAAGCCCCAATTTGTTATGTCTTTTACTCTAGAACTTTCTCTGTGCAGAAGGCACCCATGGGCTTTCCCCGCTAATGTTGGGAATTGTGGAAATCCCATTAAATGTGAATGAGCCACTGTTCTTAAGTGTCTTCAACCGAACAGACAGTTGCTCAAACGTTAATTTAACTTAGACCAAGGTAGGCTTCTTGTGATAATGTTCAACTACACATAGCAGAAAGAAACGTGGTGCCCAAATACACCAAATACACTTTCTTTTCTTTTCCAATGCTAAGATAGCCTAATGCACTGAAGCAGCAGCTAATAAAAGTGAGTGGTCCCCAATACTGGTGTGAAACTTGGCAATGCAGGGCCTTGATCCCAGGCCAACTTCTTAAATGCATCCACAGCCAAAAGCCTCTTATTCCTATCCAACAAAGCTCCACAGAGTATCATTGCTATCACTTATGTTTTCATTTACCCAGCCCCATCGCTTTAATAATTGTGATGCATTTTTGTATTAATGCATTTTTGTATCATTGGGAGAAGAATGCTCATTCACTTCAGAGACCTCCAAATGTTGCTGGAACGCAACTTGCATCAGCCACATGGCCAACGTTCAGTGATGGTGGGAGCTGTCCAATAACGGCGCCTGCAATGCACGGGGTTGGACTAGGTGACCCTCAGGCTCCCTTCCAGTTCTGTGATTCTAATATCTGAAAGGCCAGGTCAAGAAGTCCTAACTAAGGCCCTATCTGCACTTTATAGGTAAATCAGCATCAAACCACTTTAAACAGCCAAAGAATCCTGGAAACTGTAATTTGTTAAGGGTGCTGAGACCGGTTTACAACACCCCCTCACAGAACTACAGTTGTACCTTGGATCCTGAATGCCTTGGTACTCAGACGTTTTGGCTCCCAAACCTGGAAGTTAGTGCGAATGTTCTTTGGAACCCAAACGTCCAACAGGGCCTCTGTGGCTTCCAATTGGCTACAGGAGCTTCCTGCAGCCAATCAGAAGCAGCGCTTTGGTTTCCGAACATTTTGGAAGTCAAACGGACTTCCGGAATGGATTCCGTTCGACTTCCAAGGTATGACTGTATAATTACCAGAGTAGTTTAACAATCAATCCCTTTTCCTAGGGACCTCTACCGGTTTAAAAATATTATGTGTGTCCTCACTTTGCATTGCGTAACTGTAGACGGTTCCACACTGTGGAATCTCTCAGGTGAGTATGCTAGAAGAAGATACAGAGAGATTTTTTTGACTAGGTCCTGACGATAACCAAAGCAGCTACTGTATAGGAAAGCCATCAGTGGCTATGATTGTTCTCACCCAATCTTGATGTTCTTCCAAGACAGAATAAAAATACTTTTTAAGGATAAGTATCTGCATTGGACCAGATCGAACGGTAAATGCTGTAATTAATGTGAACTACATAATAACATAAACCAGGCTGTAGAGTAAGTGATCTCCACTTCACCCAAAATTGATAGCAGTAATAAAATAACTGGCCAGCTGCCACTAGCCAACTTATTCTTCAGATGCATTGTCATTCAGCATTGGGCTTACTAGAAGCACTTAAAGCACAACCAAAAGCGCCTCTGCAAACATCCCAGAGAGTTGTACTCTTAAGAGTTGTATCCTATCCAAGGAGATCTACAGCCTTAAGTGGAAACTAAGAAAAAGTGCATGGAAAGATCACAGGAATCTTGGGTACCATATAGGTGAACATGTTCATGTAAATAATCCTTGCTACTTTTTGTCTTTAAAATATTACCGTATTTTTCGCTCTATAGGACGCACTTTTTTCCCTTCAAAAATGAAGGGAAATGTGTGTGCGTCCTATGGAGCGAAGACGCCATAGCCTCGCGACCCTCTCCCGGCTGGAGAGGTGACGGGCGGCTATGGCAGGAGCTTCTACAGCCGCCCGTCACCTCTCCAGCCGGGAGAGCGCGCGCAGGGCTAAAGCAGCCCCCCGTGACCCTCTCCCGGCTGGAGAGGTGACGCGCGGCTATTGAGGCTCCTGCCATAGCCATGCGTCACCTCTCCAGCCGGAGAGCATGCGCGAGGCTAAAGAAGCCATAGCCCTGCGACCCTCTCCCGGCTGGAGTGGTGACGCACGGCTATGGCAGGAGCCTCTCCGCTGCGCCTTTCCGCTGCTCCCTGAACTGCTCTTTGGGGCTGGTGGTGGGCTTCCCCGCCAGCCCCAAAGAGCAGGTCGAAGGAACCTGAAGCCTGGAGAGCGAGAGGGGTCAGTGCACACCGACCCCTCTCGCTCTCCAGGCTTCCAAGGTAGCCGCCTGAACGCACCTTAACGGCACCTTGTTTTAGAGCGGGAAAACAAGAGGGGGAAGTTCTCCCCCTCTCTGCAAAGCGCCTCCAGCAACTGCGCTGAAGGGGCGCTGGGCAGAGAGGGGGAGAATTTTTTTTTCTTGTTCTCCCCCCTCTAAAACAAAGTGCGTCCTATTGTCCGGTGCGTCCTATGGTGCGAAAAATACGGTAAGTGGGGTTACAGGCAGGATGCAGCAGATCTAAGAAGAAAGAAACCAAAAATATTCATTTCATCACTGCCATAGCAAGCACATTTGGATCCATTTCATTAGTTAAAAATCACTAACTTTTCTCTTCATATAGCCATATTAACAGGAACTGCTAACGGTTCTATGCAATTCCATCAGCCATTCTACACAATATATATCATAGCATTTCCTAAATATAATTTTTACATGCCCAGGCCAAATAAAGTATTTTATTCAAGCTGTTTAATACAAGCTGTCATAAAACTTAATTATAAGCACGGGTAGATTTGCTGGAACAAGGCACTATGCGTTGCTGGTTCTATGGCCGAGTTCAGATGTTAACACCAGTCTACAACAAAAGCGCCTTGGGAATTGGGCTGCCACCAGAGACACATCAACGTCCATGCGATATGCACTCTGGGAATACCAGCATCTCCAAACATGGCCTTCCTACATGACCCACACCATGAAACAAAACTTAGTGACGAGACAAAAAACTCCCAAGTGTAGGCACTGTTTGTCAACCAACAGTGCTCCCATGTGAGTGGTTTCAGATCGTGAGCCCAGAAGTGGTCCCACATTTCCTGAAATCACCAAGGTCCTGTGGGTGCTACAAGCTGGCTCTCTAGAAGTTATTTCTGAAACAGGTACTGAGCACTGCAAGAAAGAGTAGTCAAACTGAATTCATGTGAAGGATACAGGCCTAGAAACACCAACAAGGCAGGCATTCACGCAAAGCAAGTTTTTTTCCAATTGCCACCTGACAGAACAGCTTAACCAACTATTTCAAATGCACAGTCTAACCATTCTTATTTGCTATCTAGGTGGAATTATTTAATAATACTCTGCTTCCAGCGTACGTTTAAGATAGCTAAAGGCAGATTTTCTGTGAAGCGCTCTGCACCTACCATTCAAAGATTTCAGCCAAGGAGGGTCTTTAAGACTCATAAAGACACAAGGAACATCCGTTTTGATATAGTGTCACTTCACACTGTAGGTGAAATATAATATATATTCTCCACTAAATAATAATTTAAAAAGCACCACACTAGATGAGGAAAGGTAGTACATAAGGGTAGTACACACACTTTCTCCCAGGTGTATTTTATTTCCACCTTGAATGAGTTTTTGGCATGGGAGAGCATTCAAATAATTCAATCCCCCATAAGCATTCTGAATGGTTCAGTTCCCCAAGGGCTACACCACATGATTTTATTTTATTTTTAATGTGAGGACTGGCCCTAGCATGCTATATAGATCAGAGCTTAAACCCAGAGTGTGTTCACAGAGAAAAGCAGAAAATGCAGAACATGTCTATGGGCTAGAAAACACCAGACGTTTCCTTCACAGGGTGGTACCTCAGAGCACATCAGTGGAAGCCACAGATCATGTCATGATGATATCACAATTCCCACTAACGTTATCAGGACAGAAGGGACCAATTGGGGAAGATGATAATAACTTCTATCCCTGTTGCTTCTCACTTGTCAGTCTGGGCAAGGACCACATGGGTCATGTCTCAGGGGGAAAGTGTGTGAGAGATAAGCAACATAAAAAGAAAATAAAACAACTTTCCAAACTGTACAGCGTTCACCAACAATTATTGCTGCAGTTCAAATTTCTCATTCTCAAAAACAGTCCCGTCTCCTCTTTCAGGTGGAGAAGACTAACAATGAAGCAACTGAGAAGACAAGACTATTGGGGAAACAAGTTGTGAAGGGAAACAGCAGCCCTAGAGAGTGGGGCGTAGGGAACCTGAACATGGGCAAGAGAAAGGCGCAAGGGCTCAGGCCATGTGGCAACACTGCGGAGATGTAGGGACAGAGAGGAGTGAAAGCTGGAAGGAATGTGGCAGAGTGGCTGGGAGAGGGTGCTTTATGTGTGGCAGTCGCTATGGGTTCTTGAAGGTGACCTGGAAGTAAATGGGGCTGAACTAGGAGACGCAACAGGACAGCGCAGGAGTCCCATGCCAATTTTTCAAATAGGTTTTACTGTGCAATGACATCAACATGCAGTGTGTTTTTCTGCTCTCATCAATGGCTGCAGAGACGCCAACTTGCAAGGGAGATGGAGGGCCTTGATGGCACGCATGCGCACATCAGAACAGAGGAGCCGGAGCTGAACATGGCTGTAGCGCAGCTTCAATGGCCGGTGGCTCCTCCTCTCTAACTCCTCTCCTCCTGCCACTGGCCTGGGGCTGCTTCCCGTCTTTCCCTTACACAACAGGAAGAGGAGCCACTAGCCATTGGCACCACACTGGGCTCCACGATTGGCCTCCTCTTCCCCTCATGGCGGGTGGCAGTGGCAGGTGGAGGAGTCAACGACTGAAGCCACGCTCAGCTCCATGCTTGCCCTCATATTTTTAACATTGGGGGTCCCAGTTCCCCCCCAAAAACATTATTGGCCCCCCACAAAGAGCTGGGCCCCTAGGAATCCAACAGGGGGGCTGTTATTTTCAACAACAGGCCTACATCAAGTGTCAAGCCCAGTTCCAGCTTGTTTGCTGCAATAAGCCCACTAGCTCCCTAAATGGAGCCAAAAGTAAGCTCAGGAGCATAGGAAACTGCCTTATATGGCACCAGGCCATTGGTCCATCTAACTCAGAACTGTAAACAAGGACTGGCAGAGGCTTCCCCTGATTTCCCAGCCCTAGGTGGAGAAGCTGGGGATTGAACCCGGGACCTTTGCTATGCAAAACACTGAGCTGAGGAAACTCACACTGTCAAGGAGGACCTTTGCGCCAGGCTAGAAGGGATTAAGTGGCTATAGAGCAACAGTCTATGGAAGAAATAAAAATGGTAATGTGGAAAAAACAAGCTTCAGTAGTGAGGTGTTAATGTTAACAGGTCACATCGATGTTAACATTTGTGAGTGGCAGGAGCCAGCACCGTGCCCCGAAAGCCGTGCCAGGGATTTGGTGACTGCCGTGCTGAAGGTGGCGGCCAGATCTGAATTTTACAGAAGGGCTGTGAGTAGATTGTGTGGCAAATTTACCTTAACAATATTCCTCAGTGGCATAGTCCCATGGGAGAACCGATGAACAAATATTGTTTCAATCAACCTTTTGATGTAGTGGAAAGAATGGCAGATACATGCCAGGCTAGAAACAGCAAGATAAAAGCGTTTCAGAAAGCTAGAGAGACAAATACGGCAAGACATTTCGGAATAAAGTTGCGGCAAACCCAAGAATTAAATCCTCTGGCCTTAGAAGTGCGACTTACTTAACTACGGGGTGCCGGCTCGAGGGAAACCTGTCATCCAGGCCATAGATAATAGGCATACGGAAATAAAACGCAAAATAGATGAACAATGGGCCCGTATATTCTATCAAGAATACCTGCAAAAAAGAGAGAGGTAGTTAGGTGGTTACCACGGCAATTCTCAACAGCACTGGATGCCAGGGAACAGGAAACTGAGGTCCCCAATATGGCACCTGTGGGGACCCTCAGACACAGCATCTGTCAAGGCCCCTTTATTTAGGTGTGTATTGGTGGGCAGGTTGCTTGTTTTGAGGGAGGTTGTTGTCTTGCTTTCTTGTGTGTTGTTTTTCATGGGTGGGCATAAAGCTGGTCTTGTCTGTTTTGGGGGGCAGGCATTTTGTCTGGGTTTATTGGGGGGGGAAGGGTCCTGAGCATCAAAAGATTTTCAAGTGGGCCCCTGGGGCAAACAATTAAAAAATGGGGGGGGGGGCTGCTTTAGTCAAGACGTTGGCCATGGCTTGGTTCCTTACGCCAACACTGTATGCTGTTATTCCAATCAGTATGGATGTCGAACAAGCATTTGCTATTTCATACACACACAGTTTGTTCCAGCATTTTATCCCTATCCATGCAAAACCACATTGAAGTGGGCATATAGCATGGATTGGATGAACGCCCCCCAAAGTCAGACAGCTTTATAAGGTCCTACATGATCTTTTGTGGGGTGGGGTGGGGACTGAGAACACAATTTGGCATGTGAGTAAACTAAGCTGCTTAAGGAATTCTGCAGCCTTCGTGTCTCTGAAGACGTGAATTGCAAGTTCTGGTGAAAACTCAGAAACCAGAGCGGAATATCTAGTCATCCAGCCTTTGGGTGCCTTATCCTTCCTCTAAAAAGTGCAAGTAGAATAAGACAACTAACGATGCAAAAACGCTCAAACTGCACAATTCACAGAGATTGTATAACTTGGGTTATCCTGGCAGGATGAAAGGCACAAGACACCTAGTCCTAAATTTGGCTCCGCATGAGCCACTTACTTCCTCTTAATGCCACGGATTCCAACACATTGCTAGTTCCTTCGCTTCCCCTCCTTCCCCTCTCCCCATGTCCCCTCTCACAGCATGTGCTTATGTTGGAACCCAGCCAAGGACGCCTCCATCTGTGCAGGAATGTCCAAATGAGAAGAAGCTTGGAAAATGAGAAACAGTTATGCCCAGCAGTAGAGAACTTAGGTGTGAATTATACTATTTATATACATATAATATTCACATTTCAAACTACTGCTTTCAGCTTTGTAAGTTACTAGCACTATAACAGGGCATATTAAAGAGGAAGCAGGAAGGTATTGGGGCAGGGGCAGGGGAGGGGGGGAGCTTTGAATAGCAAATTCATTATTTCCTGTTCCCACAGATTCTGGCTTTGCCTTTGTAAAAGCTCCCATGCTATCTTTTCCAATCAGGCCAATGTGTGTCTTGAACAGGTGTGACAGACAGAAGTCAACTGGGGAAATATCTATGTCCTTATGTCTCGGAAACACTTCACCTGTTGAATTTCTGCAGGCACCAGGGCTCAGTCAAAAAAAAAGGAAGAAGGAACCAGGGTCACTATTCTGTCGCTAACGGTCCTGTTCAATAGGACTGGGACGGGCAGCTGGCCTGCCTCTGGGTCTCTTGCCCTAATTTAGGAAAACCTGATCCCTGTGTTGTTGTTTCTTGCAACACCCCCTAATTGCCATTGCCTTCCACAAGCTGTGTTTTGTCGTGTTGCCAAGCAACCACTGCTGCTTTGCGATGTGTTTGCCTGCCAAGTATTTGTGGCAATTCTATGCCCCCCCCCCCGCCGCCCTTGGATTCTTCACCCCACCATCTTATAAATCAGACACACACAAAAAGGAGGGGAGAGCAAACGAGAGAGAAAGAAAAATATGGCAGGATTGAAGAGAGACTCCTACCAATTGTGCTAGTTGGCAAACCAAAGCACGATTGGGGACTTGACCACCAGCACAAGGAGAAAGTGATTCAAGGATGAATTAAGGCAAACATTAAAACATTCGAGGCTTTGAAGCTCACCATTGTCCATCCTATCTGGGGCCCTAAATCTTTAAAATAGAGCGTAGCGGTTGTGCCAACAGGGAGCAGCTGAAGGGCTTCTTCATCCCTCAGTGATTTTCCTTCTGAGAAGAAGAGAGGAAAAATTTAAGGGGCTTGACAGCCAAAGAGGAACTCTGAAGCATATGACTCCTAATCAAAAAGCCTGCATTTCCCATTGACCTAATAACACTTTTGCATTTATGGCAATCAGCCTTGGCTGAAAAGCAGCTTATTGCTCCAATTAAATTCCATGTTCACTCAGAGCAGGGGGCGAGGGAGTGTGAGAACTATATACAGCCTTACTGACTAGGGTTAGGCGATATCTGGTTTTCAACACTGTGGTTTATCCCCAGCTAAACATTGTGATATACTGATAGATCACGATATCTGAAATAAGGATAGAGCTATGTAGAGGCATTGGCTGGCTCCAGGGTTTGTCTCTTTTGTGATTTTTGCATAGCACACAGACACACACATCATGATTTGTGATATATTGCCAGGTCAAAAATTATGGAACGAGTATCATGATTTGGAATTCAAACCAGTTTGGGAAGATACAAGGATATACTGATCAGCCCTACCACTGACCCGTCTAGTGTAGAACTGACTACTCCCCACATGCAGCAGCTCTCTGCTGGCTCAGGCAAGGATATTTCCCAGTCCCAATAGCCAAAAAACCCTAAACACAAGATGTCAAGAGTTGACCAATGATCCTGAGAAAGGCAAAGCAATAGAACTATGGCCTCTCCCATAAGCACATTGTCTGGAGTAGCTTGAATAGCCGAAGAGACAAAAAGTGTAGCAGTAAGTGTTACATGACAACTGTTTTATATATGCACGCATGGTTTTGTACCACCACTCTTTCTCCAGTGTCCTGCCCAAGGCCAGCTGCAGATGGTAGTAAAGTTGGGTGTCTCCCAAGAGCCCAAGACGAGAAAAGCACCTGCTGGCCTGACAGCATCGCCATTCTTACTTTGCACAGAGAACCGAACAAGGACCGAAGACTGCAAGAGACATTCTCAGCTTGCATGGCCTGCCTCTTCCAGGTTAAGTCCTCGCTCCATCCCTTGAGCTCTGTTTTACCTAAGCATACATGCGATAAACATGGAGGCAACCATTGGTCTATCTACGACTGCAGGATTATAGACTTCTCGATTGACAGATCCTTTAATGTTACTGGAGTTTCATAGTGTCTGTGGCTACTAATTAACACTAATACATCTTTTGGATGTCACAGCAATATTGTAATGGGTTTTTGCTTTTCCTATAAACTGCTCCAAGATAAGAAAAGTGGTATTTAAATGAAATAATAAGAATAATACTTCACTATAAAATACTTACTGGGATCAAGCCTTATAGACTGCCTTGAGGGATACCACTGAGGATCTGTAGGGACAAAAAAAATCACACAACCTTAATAATAATAATAATAATAATAATAATAATAAAGTCTGCTCAGTTTCCTAGCACTGGGGCAGGGGTGTCTGTGCCACAAACAGAGAACTTCTGAATTTACAAATATTAGTAAATTACCAAATTGGTGGAAGGACAACCAAGGAAGGGGGTGTATAACTACTTTTTTGTACAGGTTTACTAGAATTGTTTCAAAGTGCATAAAATAAGATACATGGCTTGTATGACATCAGTGGCGCTGAGGCTCCATACAATGACATATAATTCAAGCATTTCTGGGAAGCTTGCCTCACTTTTTAAACAGATTCTTTTGAAAAATACATATACTTACATAATTTATGGAACATTAGCCTGATATCACTTATTGTAGCATTTGGCTCAACCTAGGTAACAAAAAATATATATCTATAAGCATGCAGGCATTCAAAAAAAGGCTTTTCAAGCTAATCAGTTCCTTTTTTACATTTTAGGAAACAGGAAATTAAGGGTGAGCTTCCCTATCTGTGATATGGAGGGAAATGATACTGATCCATCTCAAACAGGATGCTTTAAACAATTACTAAGAAAATATAACTAAAGCACACGGATCACTCAAAATTCAGTTAAATTGCAGTAATAACATTATGATTACTTACCTTTTCCAAAAAGCATAATTGTTGCTTTGTCTTCCAATCAAGGATTTCAACCTAAGAGAAAATACCAAGAGAATAAATCAGCTAGACCAATCTTGCCGTGACGGCTTCTTGTAGCTGTGTGAACAGGAAACAGTGATCAGACCAACAGTTGTTAAGCTGGTTGCTAAGCCATATTCTGCAACCAGGGGGTGTACATAAGCTTTTTAGCTTCACAGAATGTTAACTGTGATCCATAGTCACTGTAGGATAACAACAGAGTGGCACCTAACTAGCAAGTGGAAATTATTGGTCTTGGAGAAACCTGGTTTTCAACACCATGACGTATCACCAGACAAAAAATCTGAAATACTGATATATCACAGTGTCTGAAATAAGGATGGAGCTATGTAGAGGCATTGGCTGGCTTCGTGGTCCGTCCCCCCCTTGTGATTTTTGAATAGAGCACACACCATGATTTGTGATATATTGCCAGGTCAAAAATTATGAAACCAGTGTCATGACATGGACTTGAAACCAGTTTTGGGCAATTTATCACCCTGCTCTAACACACATCATGATTCGCGGTATATTGCCAGGCCAAAAACTATGAAACTGGTATCACAATATGGACTTGAAACCGGTTTCTCATGATATATGAAAATTATCCATGAAATTATCCATGCTGTGCTAAGGATCCTGCAGCGCTGAAGAAATAAGCACATGCTGTTGTGTCAGTGTAGTGTCTGGAATGGTGTAAGAAAGTTCATCCATTCTATGCACTGTTTCCAGCTGTATTTGCATTGTATATGAACTTGGTGTAACAGTGCCCTTGCTAGTGCTAATTATTATAGAATCATAGAATTGGAGAGTTGGAAGGGACCCTCTAGTCCAGGCATGTCCAAAGTCAGTTTCGAGGGTATAATCCGGCCCGCCGGTTGGTTCAATCCGGCCCCTGTGGTAGTTTATTTCCTGGGGTAAAATCCCTCAATCTTAAAAAAAGCTCAACAACTTTCAACTTTGGGGTAAAATCCTTAAAAAAGGTTAACTTTGACTTCATCAAATCTGGCCCTCTTTGAAAAAAGTTTGGACACCACTGCGTCTAGTCCAACCCCCTGCAATGCTAGCACAGAGGTGTTATAGTGCGCTATCTTGTCACCACCACGTTCCAGGTGGTTCCTTGACTCAGTGAACTTTTACATCAGCTTGATATGTCATTGCATCCCACCCTGAAATTTTATTTGCTGAGGAAGCAAATTCAAAAGAGCTTATTTCTGGGAAGACATGTATACCATATTACATAGGATTGCACTGCATGTATACTATTGTTACAGGAGTGGTATTTCCCCCCCTCATGAATTAGACCACATTTCTTTAGTACAGCATACAGTGGGACCTTGGTTCTTGAACTTAATCCATTCTGGGAGTCCGTTCAACACCCGAAACCATGCAAAAACCAAGACGTGGCTTCCGATTGGCTGCAGGAGCTTCCTGAACTCAATTGGAAGCCGCGTCGGACATTCGGCTTCCAAAAAACGTTTGCAAACCGGGACACTTACTTCTGGGCTTGAAGCGCTCAGGAGCCGATTTTTTCAACAACTAAGCCATTCGAGAATCAAGGTACCACTGTACAACGTATTTTCCCAATGAACCGCTAAGTCAAATTATGCTGCTATGAGTATGCAATGTTGTAAGTGGGACATAAACCTTGAAATAATTAAATTTCTCAAATGCTCATAGGCCTTTTTTTTTTTTTTTTTTGCAGTTGGAACTCGCCAGAACTTAGGCACCTCTCAGGTGGACGCTATTGCCATTCTAAGAGAACAAGGGAGGTTTTCATGGTAAGTTCTGGAACTTCGTTTTTCTAGAAAATGACATTTGTTTAAAAGTTGTAAGAGCAATTGCAGGAATACTGTGGGCCTAATTACCACCTCTTCCCATTTATGGTTAGCCACTTGGATCCCAGCCCTTTCCTGTTGCTAGATTGTCCTACTTGGTACTTACAACCAAATACCATATTGATTTCGCCCCCCCCAAAAAAAATCACTCATGAGAAAAATGCTTACTTTGCAATCTATGAACAAGCAGGCTGGGATAAGAGCAGTGCAAAGTGAATTAATCCTGCCTGTGCTGTTATAAAGTGCTTGTGTAAGTGAGCCTCCTTTTGATTTAATTAAAGCAAGAGCATTAATTTCTCCTTATACCCCAAGCACCTGATTACTTCTTAGTAGTCAAATTAATCTTTCCAAGCATTTCTCCATGTAAGTCTATTTTCAGATCAAAATTCCTCTGCCAGAGTTGGCAATAAACCATGCCAGGGAACTATTTCTTTGCAATTGTCTGTTGCCAAGCAGCAGCACTGGAGGAAATACAAACAGATGCTTGACTGGAACAGTTAGATGAGCATCCACTGAAGAAAGGTTTATCGAGTAGAACAACATCTGCAAAAGACCATCTGATTGTGCAGGGATCACTACTCACACAATGCACATGCACACACACAACTGTATATGCAAAGATGCAGCTTTGTAGACTGTCTAGATCACACAATTGGCGCTGTGGGTTAAACCACAGAGCCTAGGACTTGCCGATCAGAAGGTCGGCGGTTCAAATCCCCGCGACGGGGTGAGCTCCCATTGCTCGGTCCCTGCTCCTGCCAACCTACCACTTCGAAAGCACGTCAAAGTGCAAGTAGATAAATAGGTACCGCTCCGGCGGGAAGGTAAACAGCATTTCCGTGTGCTGCTCTGGTTCGCCAGAAGCGGCTTAGTCCTGCTGGCCACATGACCCAGAAGCTGTACGCCGGCTTCCTCGGGCAGTAAAGCAAGATGAGCGCCGCAACCCCAGAGTCGGCCATGACTGGACCTAATGATCAGGGGTCCCTTTACCTTTACTTTACAGTAGTGGGTTTTTCCTGTTCTATACTACACTGCAATATCTGCTGCTTGCAAACTTTATAAAACAATGCCAGTGTGGAACAAGCATCTTAACATTCACCCACACACCCAGACTCTTTGCCTTGGGTTCCAAGTGCCCTCTCTGCATTGTGCCATGTGTAGCAATGGAACCAAAACCCGAGAAAGCATACGATTCCAACCAACCCTTACACACTCCCAGATCTGCCTATAAATTCCCGCCTCATGCGCCAGCAATGTCCTGATGGAATACGGGTTACCTGGTACCAGCATCCCGCCAGCCTAGTTTTGTACCTCACTGGCACAGGGAGAAACCAGTTAGAAGCCATTTGCATTGGCACAGTTCAGGAGAACAGCCCTTTCCTACACAGGACGGGAGTGTAAGAAATTTGGCTGTGTTTTCATTTTTTAAAACTGCTGTTTTGGAAAACACAATTTGAGCCACCTCTCTCTAAAAAAAATCGAAGTTGCTATTGGTCCCAGAAGCTACGTGTCACCACTTAAAACTGCTATTTCTCCAATAACTTGAGCCCACCAATGATAGCAAACAGCTTTCCAAATAACTCAGCAAAACAAGAACCCCCCACTAATATCAGTTAGGGTAGCAGGGGGGATAAATTATTGAGGAAGAGCTTGCTTTTTATTCGTCAAGTACAAATGCTCTTCTTTCGGAAAGAAATGCGTGCACTGGAATGACCTATTTCCAAGCCTAGGATGGATGCAAAAGCCCTCTAAGGAAGCCAACACAGTGAATTCCTGCTCATTTAGTATTAGTACTTCTCATAATTTGCCTTTGGACTCTGTAAAACAGACCTACCCATGCCAAAATGCAGCCCAAATATGGCAACTCACCAGGCCTCTAGAAGACTCCTATTTTTCCTGGTTGTCTGGACTCCGAAAACAGGACACTTGTCAAGGGCCTGGCAAGTCACAATACATGACTGATGGGTTGAGTTCAACTGGGTTGGTTGGAGGTTATGCCAGGTCTCCTGCAGAGAGGCTTTCTTTGCAAGACACATGCTTATTAATTTTTATATTGTGTTATCCAGAATATAAGATTTCAGAGTCCTGATCCAGACAGCTCCAAACCCTACAGATGACTCAAGTGAAGTGCTGCTGCTCATAATGTTTTTGACAAAAAACTATTCAATGTATTATTGATGGGTTTGATTCCACACATTATGGGATTGGTCTGCATTATTTAGTTGAGAGGAAAGGCTAATCCCTTTTATGGGTAATTCAGGACTGTGTATCTTATTTGCAGATCACAGGCGCTTGTTAAATATCCTGGTAACTTATCTTTCTCTAGTAAAAGAATCTAAACTTTCTGAGCTGCAGAAAGGTAAACAAACAAACCCGAAGCAAGGCACATGCCCAAATGTTGGTCATAAAGGGTGCTTACAGACCGTCACTATTTTGTAGGTGGGATTCAGTGGTGTGCCAACAAATTCTGGTTCTGCAATTAATCTGGTGCTCTTGCACAGCAAACCCACTCCCAAGCAAAATTAAGGAGCAAAGTGTTGGAAATTGTAATGGAAAGTGTGGGATTAACAATTGTTTGAGACAGGAGTGCCTGGCGTACTCTGGTCCACGGGGTCACGAAGAGTCGGACATGACTAAACAACAACAACAACATTCATCACCATCTAAACAACAGTCTCAAGGCAATTTACTAAAGGTAATTAAAAATCATAATACATTTGAAAGAAAACTAAAACCATACAAAGCATGGTTCATTGTTGATTCATTATTGTGCATCCTCGTGTCTATTTTTTTCTTCACAGGTACTGACTATGCCTATCTGTAGAACACCTATGGACACAGCGTTGGTCCAAAATATGAAATATCTCATGTGCAAGTGCACACTGAAATGAACCACTGCCCTGTGAATTTTTCTTGTTCTCCAGTGTTTTTGCCAACTGTTATTATTTCTGAGTACAAATGTGTAGTATGCACTTCTCTTTGGATCAAGGCCTGAAATAGTTTGTTTTTTTAAGTGGGGTAAAGGTAAAGGCAAAGGGACCCCTGACCATTAGGTCCAGTCGTGGCCGACTCTGGGGTTGTGGCGCTCATCTCGCTTTACTGGCTGAGGGAGCCGGCGTACAGCTTCCAGGTCATGTGGCCAGCATAACTAAGCTACTTCTGGCAAACCAGAGCAGCACACGGAAACGCCATTTACCTTCCCGCCGGAGCGGTACCTATTTATCTACTTGTACTTTGACGTTATTTCGAACTGCTAGGTTGGCAGGGGTAGAGCAGGCAATTAATTTCCAATATTGTTTAGGTGCTTTGAAAAATATTCTATACAAGTATTTCAAGATTAGAAGCTGAGAACAAACTCACTGTTTTAAGATTGGCCACAGGATGTTATTGTTGTTTTTCTGAAACACCTTAAGTTGTTAAATCACCATGCTCAATTAAGATTACATATGTTCAAATGCAGCTCAGATTGCACAACACAAAACCTGACAAGGCAGGTGGCGGTTTAGTCTTCCAGGAAGTTGCCATCGTTGTGGCCAGTGCAACTTCACCTTCACCTATTAGTCTGAAACAAAATCTATGTTCTATTTTCAGTCATAATATACCCAACCCTCTTATAAGCACAAAAGACACTGTTAGCACACTTAGCATGCTAATGAAGGCATGTATAAGATGACAAAGCACAAAATTGGGAGATTTGCTGAAAAGCAGTAGTTTCGCCAATTTCCAAAACAAGCAACCAGAGATTGCTTCAGCACCACATTAAACAAAACCATGTTTGGGCTTAGTGTGTGGTTTGAACCCAGACAAAACACAAGCCATAAACCATAGGAGAAACTTTGGTAACCGACAGCCTGAGAGTCCTCCCTACCTCCTGGCAAAGGAGCTGGGATGCCAAGGAATGTTAACGAAAATCCCAACTTGTCAAACATAAAACAGTTGGCACGAACCAACCTCCTTTTGGAGTGCTCCTCGCGGGCACAGCTTCTCCTTCGATAGCGGAAGACAGGGCTAAGTGGAGGGACACCCACATTCTCTCCAGAATAGTTGATCAGTTGAATTGTTTTGCCTGGCTGCAGCAGCAAAGGGGAACGTCTGATTGGGTCCAATTGGATCTACCCCTTTCAGCCTGCGAGGCCCTTTCTGACAAGCTACACCTACCTGCCCCTACATCTGATGTCAGGCAAGCAAAGAGGCATGCTCACAGCACAAGGAAACATGTCAGGCAGAGGCACTCAATGGGTTTGGGTTCGGCAAGGAGCATGGCCTGCAGAGAGTCTGAAGGGCCAGTTAGAGGGGTGTGTTTGGCCTCCAAACCCAAGGTTCCCATCTCTTGTCATAAAAGCCCTTTGTTGTTCTTAGAAAACTAGGTCGTCAAAGGTGGCAACCATCTATTCTTCAAACACGGGCAAACGTTAGTGCAGCAGCTATTACTAGTAGGAAGATGTGACAGCCAAGTAGGCAGGTAATCAAGAAAGGGATGCCTGCAGATATTTATTACACAAATATGGATAGTCAAAGGAGGCTGCCTAATATCAAGTCAGGTCCATCTAGCTTAGTATTGTCAACACTGGCTGGCAGCAGCTCTCCAGCGTTCTGAGCGGTCTTTCACAGCCCTACCTGGAGATGCTGGGAGTTGAACCAGGACTTTCTGAAAGCAAAACAGTTCCTTTACCACTGTGCTATGGCCCTTCCCGGAAATCTGTAGTCCATGAATACAGTCGCATGCCTGCCAACATGCATGTGTTGGCTCACTCTTTTAGTGTAAAGGGTTTTTTAAGCTTCTTGCAGAGCAGAAAAAGGTACCGTATGTTTGCTGTGGCATGCAAAGTGTATACTCCTTTGTGCCATGGCAGTGGCTGCCCATGACCCAGGAGGTACCAGAATGCCAAGAAAAGTCATTCTCTTCCCACAGAGACATAGAACTCTTGGGCTTTGCTATAGCTATGGGAGACACCAGCACCTACAAAACCCCAAAACATCAGACAAGGTTCCTGCTCAGGAAAGGACACGAAAATCTGCTGGTAAGACACAACCCACCCTGTACCTCCCCCATCCCAAGCCTGATGGGTCAGGAGAACACAGGACCAACTAAAAGGTAAGCTGCAACAGCAAACACTAGATATCAGGTGGGTCTCCAAGTGCAGCTTGGTCTAAAAGTGGGTCCTCCTAGGTCTTCAGACTTTAGGAGGAGTTTAAAGGCCATGCCCCCCTAAGCACGCTGGAGAGGAAACAAGCCCTAGTGGTTGCAGCAAGACAACGTGTTTACGGATCCAGCGGCAGTGCCGGGTTCCGGCTGGCTCCAATGCAGAGAGAGCAGTGCTGCTCCTTCCCCCGCCCATCATCATCATCAAGGCACCCGCCGGCGAGGGACCCTTTGCGAGCCAGCCCAAGAATGGAAGGCGCAGGCGCAGCCTTCTTCCTTGCATCTCCGGAACCCTGGGTCCCCTTGGGGGTTTCTCCCCAGCCCCACTGACGCGTCCTCCTCCTCCCTAGCGCAGGCTCGCGGGGGACACCCACCTCGAAGAAAGTAATCCTGCTGCCCATTTTGCAGGCGGCCGCCCGGCCCCGACTCCAGCTGCCGGCGTAGGGGATGCAATCGGCACCGCCGCCGGCGGCGCCACCTCCTCCTCCACCACCTCCTGCTCCCGTCTGCGCCGCGGATGCACTTTAATTGGGGGGCCCCCGGCCGGTCTTCCGGCCGGTCAGGTGATTCCTTAGCCCCAGGAGGAGGAAGCCCTGCAGGGAAGAAGGTGGAGGGCGCGTCCAGACCGGGGCGGGCAGCGGTGCTCGGCCAGCTTACGCCTTCATCCATCACTCCCGCCCCATCCCCTGGAGGGGGAAGGATGGAGGAGGAGGTGGTGCCGCCGCCACCGCTGCTACTGCCGCTGCTGCATGCAGCCAGGGTGCGCTCAGCTCCTCAGCAGCTCCGCAGCAAAAAGGGGGGAAAGCAGAGACCCGGAGGGGCGGCGAAGGTTTGCTGCTGCTGGGCGCGGCTTTGCGCCACGCGCGAGGCGCACAGAAACGCGCGGGAACGTCCACCTGGCCTCTCCATGTGCCTTGGGTTTCCTCACGTGACTACTCACGTCTGGTCGAGTGTTTGTTTGCTTAATATGTCTTAATACCTCGCTTTTCCTCAGAGAAGTTCGAAGCAGCTCACAAACAAGAACCGGAAAATAAAATATGAAACACAACAGCACTTTTTTTTTTATCCTCCTGGGTTGCTTGCCACCTTGGTAATAAATTCAGCAAGCCCGTTATGTATTCACACAGCAACCACGTGAAGGAAAGAGAGACAGTGGCTGACCCCAGATCCACCCAATGAGCTTCCTAGCCGAGAAGGATTAAGAATAAAAGGCCTCCCCTCTCCAAATTTACCCCCAACTCTGCTACCTCGCATTGAGAGTCCATCCTCAGTTCATTTACCGAGGTAGCTGTGGTGGTGAATACGAATTCCTGTGACCCGCGTGTGGGGCTAAATAGCAAAAGAAGCGGCAGGCTGTCTGGATTCAAAATGTGGGACCTTGCACACTCTCCAGCAGGAGAGAGCCCCCAATAGCCCAGTTTAAACACGCAAAAATCAAGCAGTGGTATAGTTAGGAATACAGGTTTTTCGACCCTTTTATCCTGCCAGCTTGCAAATACAGCACTCTACCCTTTTGCAATCAACAGACCAGCTTGCAAATACAGCACTCTACCCTTTTGCAATCAACAGACCACACCCTATTAAGTAAATTTAAAACGCTTTACTTACAAAATGTTCCAAAGGTCAGATTCGTGCATTTATCCAAGAAGCAGCAGGATACTGGCAGAATACTTTTGGATAGAAAATACAGAAAGATGGCTTCAAACACATGCTTTAAGCTTGCAACAAAGCTTGGATATGCCTTCCTTGGTCAATTAAAATGCCACAGAGAGAAGAAACAGGAATTCCTCCTCATGGAAAAGAGGGGGAGTGACTTAGCTGAGACTAGGAATCCAGCTCTGTCGTTTTAACCCCTTCATTAGCACTCATGCATAGTTATGTATTTGACTGCAATTCCCCATACAGTACACTGGTACCTCTGGTTACGTACTTAATTCGTTCCGGAGGTCCGTTCTTAACCTGAAACTGTTCTTAACCTGAAGCACCACTTTAGCTAATGGGGCCTCCCACTGCTGCCGCGCAATTTCTGTTCTCATCCTGAAGCAAAGTTCTTAACCCGAGGTATTATTTCTGGGTTAGTGGAGTCTATAACCTGAAGCATATGTAACCTGAGGTACCACTGTTGTGGTAAGCAACACGCCTTTGGGTACTAGTGGAGATGCTGTAACTACTCATAGCCCAAGAGTGGGGATCCTGTGTCCCTCCAGATGTTATTGAACTACAGCTCACATCAGCTCTAGCAACTATGGCCAGTGGCCAGGGATGAGGGGAGTTGTAGTTCAGCAACATCTGGAGAGTGAAAGTTTCCCCACACAACTGACATAGATTCTATGTTGTCTATGTCATATCATCATCACATGTATTTTGTCCCTGATAGGACTCAAGGCAGCCACGTTGGCTGGCTGTAGCTCTCTGGAGTTTCAGACAGAGCTCTTTCCCAGCCTTACCTAGAGAAGCTGAGGACTGAACCTTCTTCTGCAGGCAATCCTGTATGCAACAGTACTGAGCTGTCTGCTTTTGCCCCAAATGCAGACTCAGCACCTGCATGATTGGAATCCATGTCAGGTGCTCTTGACTGAGGCCTGTCTGCTCCTCCATCCCATTAAGACCACTGCAGACTAGGTAAGTGTCCAAATTGGGCCTTGAATACTTGCAGCTGAATATGCAACTCCATGCACAGATGCAAATCATCACTCGATGTAACAGGCATAACACAATGAACATGCATGGGTGAGGAAGCCTAGAAACAACTGTCATATCAGTCTAACCAGATATTTATCTCCTTTTTTATTTTATGAATATTTTACAGAGTTTTATCAGTTACAAAAACATTAAACAAGGCACAATAAATATATGGTACAGGTTGGGATGTTAAGTAGTTCCAGTTAGTGGGTTGCATTCAACTAAGCTATACTCAGAGTAGAGCAATTTAAATAAATAGGCCTAAGTTTGTCATGTTCATGAATTTCAATAGGTTTACTCTGAGTAGGCCTAGCATTAGATACAGCCCAGTATTTTGCAGGTGGAATTTGAATGTATACAGTACTAGGAAATTCAGATTTGTGCAATTAAGGTGGATTTAAATGCTCTGTTGCCCTTGCACAATAAATCCTTTTTAAAAAAAGAAGCCATCTTTTTGCAGTTAGGTGAAATGCATTGACACGTGTGTAATTAACAAAAGATTAATGGGAAGACATATAAAAAGTCCCTCAAAGAAATCAGAACAAATGCTTGATAAAGACCAAATAAAATATAACCTCTGCTTCTGACCAGTTCTGCCAGCATACATTTTGTGCCAGCAGCATATTTCCAGTTCTGCCAACATGAAGCTGCCAGCACATCCTATAGCCCCCTCAAGTCAAGGGAAATCAAGTACAGAATTGGGTCCCTAATTGTGCCTCATGCCTACCAGAAAACAACTATCTAGTACTGATGTAACCAGATTTGGTGTATGATCAGAATAGTGTTTAAGCTCTGCTTTTTAACATCCCTTCCATGCAGCCTTCTGGGATGTTGCCAAGGTTTAGTTAAGCATTATTGGAGTCCAATGGACAGCGATAAATAGAAGCTTGCAGCAGCAAATTCCAAATACTGGAAGGCATTATTTGCATAGAATACATACAAAAGGGGGATTACTTATTCCAAAAGGGGAATATAAATAAATTAGGCATGATTTACAAGTCAGTTTTTGGATTTCATACAAAAAGTTATAGAACTCCTCGCATTCATAAGTTATGCCTTCTCTATTACAGTATTCATATGCTATTGTTCAGCATCTAAAAGCATGCAATTTTGTAAGGATCAGCTACAAAGGAAAAGGGAAATTTAAATAATATTTCAAATCTTGATATTGGAACTTAGTCATTTTCATGGAGGATACAACTGAGTGCCAGTGATTAGGCACTTTGGACTGATTCGCGCTAAGTTATGGAATGAACACAGAACTGATCGGGACGTTTGAGATTTTATTTTTGCATGGGAAAGGGATAGATGTTTCTGTGCTGTTTTCATTGCTTATCCCATAATATGTAGACCTTTGTTCATGTAAAGTAGGGCACCTATAGACTTGAACACGTTAAAACAGTATTGTCCCTGAAGCGTTTTTTTAAATGAACAGGATACAATTCTGTGACAGTTGGAAGGAAGTTGATCAATGCTACTTGGGAGTGATCCAAGTGGTAATCGTACACCCACTTATCTGGAGTAAGACCCACTAGGTTCAGTGGGACTTATGTCCAAGCAGATATGTAGATTGCAACTTGAAAGTTCCAGTCCCACCACCACTCTGGGAAAGAAGCAAATCCAGGGCATCGAATCACACAATGATACATTAGGAAACCTGCTCCTCAGACAGGTGCTTTGGATTCATGGAATACTTTCATAATTCAGTAATTTTATCTCTTGTTGAATGCAGTTAATTTCGCAGCACACAATTTAAAGAATCACAGCCTTCAAAACCAGCCACGCTGATGAATTCCAAGTTAACACAATGCTACACTTCTACCCTCCCTGACAAAGCAGTCTGTGGAAATCAAATTGTGCTCAGCTTGCGACACCCTTTCAAAAATAAACGCATAGTTGTCAACCGTCCCTTATTTGGTGGGAAACTCCCTTATCCCAGTGCCGTGTCCTGCTGCTGTCCCTTACTGATGATGTCCCTTAAATTTCCCGGGTTTCATGCTCGCCTGGCTCGGGAGGGAAGCAGCGGCTCAGGGTCCTCCGCCGTGAGAGCGCATGCACGAGCTGCCGTGTCTCCGTCTCTCCCTTTTCCCCCTCAGGGGCACGTTGTGAGGAGACGGGTGGCAGTGGGTGGGCAGGCAGCCCCTCTCTTGCGAGACTTCCCCCGCGCTGCCAGGGGAAGCTAGAGGCGGCGGCAGCTGAGGAGGCAGCCTGAGGGAGGAGGGGATGGGGAGGGATGCAGAAGGGCAGCGCTGCAGCGGCCGCTGCAACACCGCACCCACCTCATGCCGGGCTCGTGGGCGGCATTGGCGAGAGTCTCTCTCCCTCCCCCCCCCCCAGGCGGAGAAGGGCCAATGGAACTCCTCGCGCCAGGACGACGGCAGCCCCGACGTGCTGCTTAGCATACCCTCCAACCAGTGCAGCATCTTAATGTACTGATTTCCCCCTCTGCATCCCCTTCATAACTCTATTTTTATAAATCATTTTTATAAATCATTTTTATAAATCATTTGTCCATCCATAGTTCAAATTTTTACTACAAGTTTTCTGTCAATCCTACCAATGTATGTAACTCTTTACAATAGCTTTTCAACTAAATTATAAACTTTCCCCATTCTTTATTAAAGAGGTCCTCTTCCTGGTTTCTAATTCTGCCTGTAAGCTTTGCCATCTCGACGTCGTTCGTCAGTTTTGTCTGCCCCTCTTCTTTGGTCGGAGTTGTAGATCCTTAGGATCGTCTAGTCCAACCCCCTGCAAAACACAGTCAGTGGCAGCAAAAGCAGCATGGCTCCATCAGTGGCGGATTTCTGTATAAGCTAAGTAAAATCCCTTATTTTGGCTGCTGATCCCTTATTTTCGAGGCTGCTGGTCCCTTATTTTCAAATCTGTAAGTTGACAGCTATGTAAACGGGTCCGTCCAGGATCGCGTCGTGAGCATCCTTCTGGCGCCAAGGCGCACGAGTTTCCGTAGCTAAGCAGCCCCCCTACCTCACTCAACACAAGTTGCCCTTACACGGGCGGTGGGGGTGGAGAGAGAGATTAGAGAGGAGAGAGAGAGAGAAAGCGACTTCGTTATACACGGCTGCCGTAGGGCGTATGTTGGCGCGAAAGGAGTGTCTGAGACGGGCTGAGATCCTACGTTAACCGGCAGGGGGCGCTGTTCCAAAACACGCTCCCGGCGGAGAGACCGGGTGAGGGCAGAACGCATCGCAGCTGTCACGGCACATGCTCCTGACTGCTGGGCATGCGCACTGGCAGCAAGAACTCCCCTCTATGTGTGTGTGGGGTTCAGCTGGGATCAAAGCAGTTGGCCGCCGCCGTTGGGAGGGCCCCTTGCGCGCGATCCCCGCGCCCTTGTGGCTCTGTGTGTGTGTCCGTCCCGAGCCACGTGACCGGGGACGGTGACAAGGCACTTTTCCCCTCCTGCTGAGTCACCGTCCCTTGTCTGAAGGGAAAGCGAGGGAGGGAAGGAAGGAGAGCGGCGCCGCAGACTCTGCCCGGGTACCGAGTCCCTTCCTCTTCTCCTTCCTCAGCACTCGGCGGCCAGTGGCTTCCAGCGGGCGGAGAGAGCAGGCGACCAGCGGTCATGGGGACGGAGAGCGGCAGCGCCGGGGTGCTGCTGGGGCAAGCGGGCACCCTCAACCTGCAGACGGGCAACCTGCTCAACTGGGGGCGCCTGAGGAAGAAGTGCCCGGCCACCCCCAGCGAGGAGGTGAGCCTGCGGGAAGCGGGGAGGAGGAGACGCGTGGACGGGCCATTCTGACGACCCGCTCATGTTGGTCGTGAGAACGCGGGCGCGCGGATCCCGATTCTTGCTCTCCGCGCGGGATGAGCACCCCCCAAAAAAATACCCCACCAAAGCCAGGCCGCTGCGATCGACCGCTCCCTCATAAATTATACATATGGGGGTTGGCAGGGGTTTTTTGTTCCTCGTCGCGGAGCCTTGAAAGGGGTTATTTATTGTCTCCTTTCTGTGGCAAAAGCTGCGGGAGGCAGCGCTGGGTGTGTGTGTTCCCAAAGCACGTTGGTTTTATTGACTGGGGTTTTAGTTGTTGTTATACGTCTCTCTCGCGTTGAAAAGAAGAAGAGGAGGACCCCAAACAGCACGATGCTTTGAAAACAATGAGTTGGTATTAAAATCCAGATCTCTGTCTGAATCGGGGTGGAGGGGAATTAAAGCTTTATTGATTTCCTGGTTCTCTGCTCCGCTTTAGCTGGAGAGTTTGTGGGTTCAGAGCAATGTTGGAATCCCACCACGGAGAGTTATCTTTTTTAGAAGCCTCAGTGTTAAGTAGATATTTGTTTATGTTGCTGTGTATTTTCCTCAGTGCAAAAACAATTTGCTTCTTCCACTGTATTGTGTTTTTGTCCAATGCCTTACAGGTTGCTTCCAGGCAAACAACCTGTTTGTAGAGCATTCACCTGATTTGTTTTGCACAAAGTTTGTAGGCAGGTTATATGATGCCTCACCAAACAATTGTTATCACTTTCCTTACTGCAAAAAGTCTGATTTTGTTTGGAAAGCGCTTTGTTGCCCAGTAACGTGCGCTGCCGTAACTTCCTGGTTTGTCACTGATTCCCCATCTGAAAAATTGTGATAGCCTCAAAGCATCCTTAGTCTCTCTTAATAGCCTTAAGAGTAGGGGTTTTTTGAAAACATTGAAGCCCATCACAATTTGTTAACAAGTGCTTTTCTGCTAAATTTTGGACATGATTTTAAAAAACCCTCTTAACAAGCACTTAGGTGAAAAGACTCCCCAAACATTTCTACATAATGTTTGGTATACTGTCAGGGCATACACTTCCACTTTCATTTATTCTGCTATGTTTCCCCTAAACTTTTCTGAATCATAAGCAAGCAACTTTTTCCAAATCTCTTGCTAGCATTTTAGCAGTTTGATGAGCTGTTGCACGTTTGATCAGGCAACTTACTGGAAATTTGATAGGCAGTTATGCCTTTGACGTCAGCCTAACTTAACTACTCAACACCTTGTAGTGCTAAAGGTTTTTACATTAAATCTGTTTAGGCTTTTTGCGACCCCAAACTTGTTAGCTAAAAGCATGTCTAGCTTAGCAGTTAAATGTGAGCATCTTGAACTGTGTTGCGGCATGTAGCTGCAAAAACTTCCTTGCCCCACCCTGGTTGTAATTGACATATGGAATCCTGCTTGTAATTAGTTTGGCATCCTATTGTCTCTTCAGGCTATACTGACAGGCAGCACTGTATTGGTCTTATGCTTGGGGGTCAGTTCTTTTTAAACAGCCTAAAAATGGTCCTGTAAAACTGCATTTCATTCTAATCATTTTCTTTTTGTTTTATTACTTATTTATTAAATTTGTATACCATCCTTCATCCAAAGATCGCAGGGCGGTTCACAACACAAAAATACAAAATGAGGACACAAAATCCGTAATAAAAACAAGAACAAAAACAAACCAATAACTCCCCCTCCCACAAATACATTTAAAAGGACATAGAATTTTAATCAGCCTGATTAAAGAGAAACATTCCCCCCCCCCCGGCACCTAAATATATGTAATAAATATAAATAAATTTTATTATGGCTAATGCAATCTATTCAAAGACAAGATATCTTCTGGACTAAAGTGTTCATGTATCATATTGACCTAGTTATTTTCTTATAATTGTCAATTTCCTTCACCCCCAGTGTGCCATAAGGTGATGTATTATAGTATTTTGTAACCCAAAGTAGTCATCCTCAGCTTGAGGAAAGTTTTTCCCAAGCTTACTTTTATTCTCGGCTATCCCACAATAACCATTTATACTCAAAACAGTTGGTATTTAGAGGACTTTTGCTTTCAGATCATACTTCCACCTTGATATGAGAAGAAAAGTTTATCACAGCCACAAATCACAATAACCTTTTTTCGCCCTTTCAAAAGTACGCATAGTGAGTGTGTAACAATAATTAAAATTTGCTTTGTGACTTCTTGGGAAAGTACATTGCTAATCTATTGGGTAACTGGCTTGCCGTGCTGTTGTTTTTAATTATTATTCTAAAGATGAGGTTCAGTTCTTAGCACTGAGCATCTATAAAGCCAGCAGCTTAGTTTCAGAACATGGATTATGAGGCTTGGGAGCCATTGTTCTGCAAACTATAGGCCCCCATACCATTCTGAGGTAGTAATGAAGTTATGTTTGGCAGCTATCCCGTAGCCTGCTTGAATATAATGAAAGCCTCAGTTCAGATCAAAATAGAGGTGAGTATTACTTTTACAATAGGCAGGGTGGGAGCAATACTAGTAATAATAGTAAACTACAACACAGCTTGTGGAGTTTATTGTTGTTCTTAGTATGCTGCTATTAGGGAAGTTGTGTAATTTTTATGAATTTCATGTGCTTTTGTGTGAATGTACTGATATTATAATGTATTTGTATTATGCTTATGTTTTTAAATATGTTGCGTGTTGCTTGGGAAACCCTTGTGCAACAAGCTACTAACGAGTCTAATTAATAATACAGTACTTCCCTGAAGGGAACTGCTCTGACACGTGTAAAACATACGTACCAGAAGCATGGGTTCCTATTTTATTATCTTTTTTCCTCTGCATACAACTACAGTATTGTTTCTAACCCAGTGGCTTTCAAACTGAAAGCCAGAAAACGGGAGTTCCTCAGTGAGAATATCAGTAGAGATGGACAGGTTTTCTGAAAAGACTGTGCGCTACAACTCGTCTGGCCCTGTAATGTGTAGCTGCAGGGAAGGGTTGTGTGTTTTACAGGGCGTAGTCTCAGTTCATGCTAGGTGATGGTAAATGGCATTCACTGGCTGCCAAAAGATTTGGCCGGCAGCCTACAAAAACCGAGTGTGGCTCATAGAATGCACCCCAGAATCCTTTGGAAGATGTAGACCGCTCAGAGATTCCTCAGCACAGACCACTCAGTGGGGAAGGGGTTCCCCAAAGCTAGAAACTTTGAAAACCACTGTTTTGGTTTTACACCTGGGGAATTGAGTCAGATAATAAATTTGAAGCTTATTTCTATAGCTGCGCTTTTTACACTTTACAAACTGTCCAAAGCCATCACAGCAGGGAACACTAAATATGAGGGCTGTTAACTGATTAAAGAATTATTAGTTGGCCTCTTAACCAATTATTATTGGCCTCTTAACCAATGAAGTTAATTGACGAGATATGTTTAAATACCGTAACATGGTATCAGAATCTCAGTTAATAAGGTGCCTTTCTGAAATTCTAAAGAGTGTGAGGTAGCTTCCAATTCAATAGACAAACGCTACTCTATTCTAGTACTAAAAATCACATTTAGTTTTCTCATTCTGAAAGTTTGGCAAAATTAAACATGCCCACAACATGCTTAATATTTGCCTTTCATTGAATTGTTTCACAACAATTAAATCAGTCAAACCATTTTAAAGCTTTACTTAGGCTGAATTTGTAGCTTTTGCAAATGATCTTTGCATGAGAAATACACTACTACAAGACCAATTGCTAGATTTTGCTTCTCTTCCCTTTTTAAAAATAATAATGGAAGTTGTTGCTCATTCAGACCTGGACTCAAACTTCCCTATGCCTTGTTAACTGAAAAAGTTAATTGATCATTCCATTCAGTATCAGCAACCCTCAATTCAGATCACAGTGATGTTGAACAGGAAGTTGAAACTTGTCCAAAGAGACATAAAGAAGACAGTGGTCTATTGGTGAACCACTGGCCAATTTTTAGATGAAGGCTTATTGCCGACTGCTGGGTTTGCTGGATTCTGGTACAGAGAAAGACACTTAGTTTCTTAAGCAAGAGTTCATACCTGTGGTTCTAGCTTATATGTTACATAAACCACTGTTTTTTGTGACAGGAACAAGCCACAGCAAGCCTTACATTCTTGTACCCCTCCGCTGCCCTCCTCTAGCACAATTTTCCAGTTCTTTAGGTTTTGGTGACTTGTTCCTCCTTTTCTTTGCCCCCAAAAGTCATGAATCTGCTGCATTATTTGAGGGTTCCTCTCATTTCCCATCTAGGCCCCTGATGTGACCTTATGCAGGCCACCCACTTTGCCTAATGGGAGAAGGGAGCAATACTTTAAAACCAGCATGGTGAATTGCAGAAAAAATAGGATTCCTTTCCTTTTTACTGTTTCCTGTTTACATTTGTCCTCACATTTTTGTTCTATCCCTGTACCCAGATATAACTTGCTTAGTTTGTGTGCATAAGAGAGAAGATAATAGGGATCAGCAGAGGCAAGTTTAATTTCCTTTTCTCACTGTATTGCAAAATTGAAACCAAGCGGTGTTGAATAGTGAATATGTTGCTTTGCAGCTGCGGGATTGCATTCAGAAAACCTTAAATGAGTGGAGTTCAAAGATCAGCCCAGATCTATTGCAGGTAAGTGACCTTTCCTGTTTTGTGTTTCCTTGCTAGTATGCTTGTCAAATAATTAGAATTTTCTCTGGCCCAATCTCAGTCTGTCCTTGTTAAATGAAATTTATTGCTGGGGAGAGAAACAATATAATGAAAGTTATCATAGAAGAATTAAAGTGCCTTTACCTGGAACCGAAATAAAGTCAGAGGCAGGCATTCCTTCCCATTCCAAAGAGTAGGAATGGGCAGGTGGAGAGCTGACAGATGTCTGGTCACTGCCCTCCATATGCTTCTTTGTGACACAGAGCAGGACTTTGGAGGGCAAATGGAGTGTCCAGACAGGTTCCTGTGGGAAGACGTGATCCTTTAGGTAATTGGAATCCCAAGCCATTTAGGGCTTTAAATGTCCAAAGCAGCACTTTATCATGGACTGAATGGACACAGGAATGGTGGGAGGCACCAGCTGGGGAACCTGCAAGGACCCAGGGCTTGGTGGTGGGACAACAACGAGTCATCAGAGGGAGAAGAGGAAGAAGATTGGGAAGAGGTGTTGGAATCTGGAGAGGTAACAGGGTTTAGTGAGCAGGGAGAGTCAAGTTCCCCTCCCTTCTGGTCTCCCAGAACCAGAAGAGGCGTGAAGAGGGAAGAGCAAAAACAGGTCTGCTGGAAGTCTCAGATTGCTTGGGAGAGGAGGAGACTTAGGCAGCTGGGGTAAGGCAGGGACCTTGATTCTCCACAACTATATCATAGGGACAATATTTACCGAGAAGAGTTGCTGTGCTTATGAGGCCTGGCGCTACTGAGCAGACCTTGTTTCTTCTAATAAAGAGTTAATTTCGCTTACTCCATGTGATTTATTGCTGACCCACTCCTGCCAGTCCCATTTTGCAATTAGAATGGGACCAGAGACCCAGTAATTGGATGGTTTGTGTAAACATAACCCCATGACTGTTTTTATTTTCTTTTTAAAACTGTTTGTTGCATGTGTTTTTATTTCATGCCCTGCATTTTTGAGGCTGAATGCAGGCATAACATAAAACGAGGACTCTCAGAATATGTGTAGTGCTACAAATCTGCCTTGCATACTGAAGATGTGCTTTGCCTTTCACGCAGTTTGATGAGGTGCTTGTCAGACTTGCCCTCTGTGGCCTCCAGCTGTGCAGTGTGGACCAGGCCTTTTGCAACTGGGTGCCTTGGACAGGGGGATTCCAGAACTATTGTCTCAAGCATCTACTGCTGAGTTGTTTGCTCTCCCTCCCCCATATGAAAACAGAATTTTGATGAAGCTCAAGGCTGCTTTTTATATGTCTTCTCTAATGATACAATATGTGCTTAGCTGCCAGTACTGGTAAGCTTCTTCTGACTGTCAACATATTTATTTGCAGGAGCTGCCCGAAACCCTTGAATGTACTCTAGCCCAAGCAATAGAAAAGATCAATCCTGAAGAAAGGGAAGAACTGAAAGTTTCAGGTATAATTTGTTTGTTGACTTCATCGGGAGAGATGGGATGGAGTTGGGTCCAGTGTTAGTCAACCAGCTTCTTAGGTACAGAGAGTCACTTTCCTCTGGGGACTTATGGAATATTAAATTGAATAGGTTGGGGAATTGAGTAAGAGGTCCAGCATAGCACAGCTTAACATTGTTATGAATGAATGGGGCAGCAGAGCTGAAAGGCAACAGAGTCTGCCATTGGCCAGGAGACCAAAGCTCGTTTCTCTGCATATTATATGCTGCTTTTGTTCAATTGCCTTCAGTAAAGTATCATCACTTACTTTCTCTTGGGACTCTTATCTGCATTATTCTAGTCACTCTGCTGACAAGAATTGCAGTCGAGGATCTGCTAACTAAACAACCTGATGACTAATTCATAGGAGGATCTGCTAACTAAACAACCTGATGACTAATTCATAGGACAAAGCAATATTATTTATTCCCTTTTAATATTTTTATCCTGCTTTTCAGACAATTGTCCTCTCCCAAAGGAGATCACAGAAATAAAAAAGGATCGTTAAACCCTCCTTACCTGGGTGTATTTGAATTTAATATGCTTACTTCTGAGAAAACATGGTTAGCATTGCACAGTTAGTAGTTCATCTGCATTTAGGCTGTGTTTGCACCATGATTTAGCATTATGAGGCCAAGCCTTTGCAAGTCTCTGTCTTGCACACACGCGCACACCGCAGGTTTATTTATCTGGCTTGCTCTGGAGAACTATAGTTAAGAGTGACCCCAGTTAAGGATACTGTGGTTAATAAAAAATAGAAGCATAAATGCTTGATCGCCTCCTCACAGCCACACCAGAGGGGAGGGGAGAGTGCATGAGCCCTGGGCTTGCAGATGTATCCAAAGTGTACACCACCAGAACTTTGGTACTGCTTTGCTTATATATCATTGCATCCATATTGCTCTTTCCAAAGTCTGTACTCAACAAAAATCTTCAGGATCATATCATAGCCTCAGGCAATGCATATCTTTTTCTTTCTTTTCTTCCTTAAAGCAGCTGATGCCACTGTTGCAATGCTGGAAGTAAAATGAAAACAGAACTGGGACAAATGTGAGGGAATGGCCAATTGCATAACGCATCAGCCTGTGAGCTTCCAGAGGCCTCCGGCTGTTGGATACAGAATGGTGTGTTAGGTGGTCTCCTTCTGGTCTCCTTCAGTAAGGGGCAATTCTGAAGTTTCTGAAAGAGAGGGCAGACATTTCTAGGTTACAGCACAGTTGCAGAAGGGTCGTGGAACCATCCTAGTGCTCTGTATAGATAGTGGCTATCCTTGCATCCTGAAAATGAAAACAGTTGTTAGTTCAAAAATAGCTACATAAATATGAGTAAATCTTGCTGAGAGGTGTGTGCCAACCTGGGTCTCTTTTGGGCCTGGTATTGAAGTCACAGCCAATAATCTTTCATATATGCTTCCTGAACAACAAGTTAATGAACTACTTTGAACCAAGGTTTTTATCTGAGTTGATAAGGCAATCTCAGTTCCATCAATGATTCTGAGAGTACCTACCATAAAAAAACCCCCGAACATCTATTGTAAGTGAAATCAAGAAGCAGGTTTTTCATCACCACGTTCTAGGCTGAGCCATGGGCTAAGGCTAAGTGTGAGGAACCTTTGTCCCTCCAGATGTTGGTGAACTACGACTCCCATCATCCCTGGCCATCAGCGATGCTTGCTGGGGCTGATGGGATTTGGCTGAAGGACCAAAGGTTCTCCAACCCCTGGACTAACAACATAAAACAACATTTCTGCCATTCTTTAACTCATCCAGTGCGTCAGGAGCTCATTGGCAAAAATTCCTTGTCTTCACATGCAGAGAAATAATCTGTGGGCCGCTGTTCACCAAAAGGACCTGAGCAAACATGTCTTAAGTCAAATTGCTTTGAAATCTAACCTTTCTATAAGCTTGTTTTGCATTTCATCTCAATGGGAGGCTTGCCTAGAAATCTATAAACCTAGAAATAACCTAGAGCAGCAAATAACCCTTAACTCAGTCTCTGAAAGGCGGACATTGTGTAATATACGTCAGACTTTTGAATTGGAACAATTGGTGTTCTTGGGAATTAATTGCTTTTGGGAGGGGAACTTCTTGCATTTTTGTTGTTCTTGTTGCTTTATAGCTAAGTTGTATTTGTGCAAGACATCAACATAAAGAAAGGAGGAGGCTGCATAATTCTTCCCAGCCTTTCTAGGAGACTCTAGAATTTGAACACGGGACCTTCTGCATTCAAATTATGTCCTCAGCCGCAGTGTTTTGGTCATTCATCTGTGCAGATTTAATGTGCTATTAAATGGTCAGAAACACACAGTTGGGAATTTGCATTATTTGCAGGTGTTGCTTTCCCTTATTAACTCGTCTTTTATTTTCAGCAAAATTGTTTATCGCGGGATCAAACACTTCATCAATCAGAGAAGCAGTCAGTATGAGTAAGTTGGCAACTTACATTTGAACATATCCAAAGTTTGCAGGGTCTTTTCTTTTTCTTTTTAAAGCCTTCTCTGGCTCTGAAACAGAGAAGCTTTTCCTAGTCATGAATGTTTTAAAAATCTATTCACCTTTGTACCCTTTCCCTACTGTCTTTGAACAAAGTTGGCAGACAGTGAAATGAGGGCGGGGAAGGAATAACTTTCAGTCGAGGGGCTGCATTTCTCGTGGTTTCCTTTTCAGGGTCCATCTTTCAAATAATAGATGCAGCTAAATGGAAGGTGAGCAGGGCTGACCAGCGCATGCATACATACCTGAACATACCTCACATATTACATGTATGCTTACATATACAGCACACAACACGCACATAATTAGGTTTGGGGGGAATGTTTGCATTGGAGACAGTAAGACTTCTAACCTAAGTGCAGTTGGGTGAGGGTGCATTTCTAGCAAGGGGGTATGGCGGCTGTGACCCTCCTCACAATTGACCATGCCACATTTCGGCTTTGGAGGAGTGGGGCTCCTATTGGCTTTAATATTAGGCTTTTTTCAAACCTAATTTTAGTAGGCCAGAAGTGCACACCGACTTACTAAGAACTGGAAGAAATCCAGATTTTGCATTGCAGAGCAAGCTTCAATTCAAGCAAAAATTAGTCTTTTGTTTTTCTGATAGCTAAACTCTGAAAATAACCCTTTTGTGTGGTTTCCTTGTATGTATACTATTGTATGTTCAGAACAATTAAGAACTCTGCTTTCCTTCCTCTCTTTTCAGCATATTTTGCTGCAAATACCTATTGTATAGGTTCTTTCTTGTAATTCAAAAATAGTTTAGCTTGATCTTGTAAAATTGATTTGTATCTGCAGGGATTTTGTGGATTCAGGGAATTGAACATTTATACAAGGAGATAGAATAAGTGATCAGAAGACAAGTAGATTCGTGTTTCTTAAAGCCTCCTGTAAATCATTTTTATTCTATTTAAGCATGAAAGTTTCTCTCTTTTTTTTTTTTTTATAGCATGTTCTACCCTTGGTGTCGACCAGTTAGATTCCGTGATAATTGCTCCTCCTCCAACCGAAGACGGAATTAATCTTTCCTTAGAATATTTACAACCTTACTGGGCAGAGCTTGAAAACTTAGTTCAAAACAAAAAGATTGTTGCCATAGGGACTTCTGATCTAGATAAAGCACTGTTGGAGCAACTGTTCTTGTGGGCGCAGGTAAGAGGCAGTCTATTCAACTGAAATAACCTGGATCTGCTGCTTTTTCTGTTAATATGTTCTGCTGAATATATTATGAAATCAGATCCAGTTTTAAACCTGAGTACAATATAGACACTTTATAGCCAGCTGGGCAAGCATTTAGTTGCATCGCTATATTTGATATGTAAAGCATTTTTTAAAAAAATTTAGAAAACGGAGCAGCTTTCCATTGTCATAAAAAATGTGCAGTCACTTAATTAAATATAATGTAAGGCAAACACCATAGCGCTATCTTATATTTGAAGGAAAGCTGAAATTTTTAATTTTTTCTAGGTGAAACCAAGCAGTAACCAGGTGAATCTTGCATCCTGTTGTGTGATGCCACCAGATCTGACTGCATTTGCTAAAGAGTTTGATATCCAGCTTTTGACTCATAATGATCCAAAAGGTAAGGTCCTGTTAATTGCCTTGATAGAGTAGACCAAAGGTCTATTTATGCTTTGCCATTTTATGATCATTAAGAATTAGCTGTATTATCACAGAGTTAGTTCCATATTCTGTGTAGGGCACAATGTATACAAAAAGAACTTTTTCCTGGATGCCAGCTTAAATCAAAGCCAGAATAGCTCAGCCCAATGTTTGAGGACATGTGCATAAGGTGCACTGCCTGTTACCATTGGAGCAAAGAATTCATTATTCCCACCTTTTTAACAATGAATTTCTGGCTTATATCACTTGTATGTTTGGAGATTTTAAAAACTGGTATTGATTTGGACTTAATGCAGTCAAGGAACTCATTCAGCAGGCAAAACATAAAGTCATTTGTAGAGATAACATTGCAGCAAAGATGTGCATAGCAATAAGCCAGGAGATAAATCCTGCAGTGCACCTTATGGATTAGTTTGAACAAACCTGGACTTTTAAAATAATGTCCAAACTAACATATTATAAAAGGTCAAGTAATGAACAACTGTAGAAGGTTCTGGAGTGTTGGTCTTGGTGATGTTCTGGCATGTCAAATATCAGGACTTTCAACCATATAGTGTATTTGCTTTATTGTAATTACATATATACATATTTCAAATATGATTGGCATTCAGATTGGTATTCTGAATGCTGGTAGCTCAATTTCCTAAAAGCTTTGCTAATCATCACCTTCTCCTGTCCCTGTTCTAACCTTAGAACTCCTTTCCGAAGCAAGCTTCCAAGAAACACTTCAGGAAAGTATCCCAGATTGCCAAGTGCATGAATGGACTCCACTGTGGCTTCTGCGATATTCAGTCATTGTTAAGAGCAGAGGAGTCATCAAATCCAAAGGCTACATCTTGCAAGCTAAAAGAATCCCAGCATCTTAAGATGGACCTTGGCATTAACCTGTATCTGAAAAGCTCTGTCTCTGCTATATCATTGCACCAAGATGCAAACTGGAATTTGTAAAGACCAAAATGTTTTATTATCAAGTAGTCAGTGAAGCCCAAATTACATATTGGAGTAAGAGGCTGATACCATGTTTCTCTATCAATTTCCTTTTATTTCATACATGGGTGTTTTGTGTTGAGTTCAGCTTGCTCACTTGTGAAATATTATTTTTCATTAACTGTTCGGGTGATTTAGAGATGATATATAAATAAAAATATTTGAAATATTTTAATGACTAATATAAACAGAATTTGACTAGGTATATTTTGATTGAAATATTTCTGTTTGCAAGGAGTAATGTAACTTGTTAAACCTTATTGCTGCTAAGTGGACAGCAGAATAAATTTGGGAACACTGGTGGAATGAGCACTCTGATTTTAAACCAGAGATGTAAAATTCAGGGTATGCAAGTAAATCGTTTAATATATTCATGAATGTACTTCCCCACCACTCCTGTCATAATACAGTGTAATACTTGTATTATGTAACTTTTTTCTTCTATCATGTCTATACTACATTTCTCTTGATATGCCCAAGGAGATGGTGTTTCTGTATTGGAGAGCACTGGTCAAAAATATAATTAACTTTGTCAAAGTTTACCTAGTTTCATTTTGCCAGTGCTAAAGCATGGTTTACATTTTGAGACCCATAGAAAGATGATTGGCTTTATATATAACCTTGACATCACATACAGTATAGATCAGGGGTTCCTAAATTTGAGTCTCTAGCTTCTTTTTGGGCTACAATTCCCATCATCTCTGACCACTGGTCCTGCTAGCTAGGGATGATGGGAGTTGTAGTCCCCCCCAAAAAGCAGGAGACCCAATTCTGTCTGAAAATCAGAGCTGTCATAGTTAAACGAAAATTAGTTTGGGTTGGTTCCAGACTGAATAAGCGTATAGCCACTGAAATAAATGGAATTTGTTACTCATGACTGACTTAAATCCTGATGATTTACAGCAGGTCCACTCAAAGCATAACTAAGGGCTTATCCACACTTTTTCTTTTCCCACCACTTTATCCTGGGAAAACCTATACACTGCTGAATCAGAGCAGACGTCAATTGGGTTTTCAATGGATTGAAGTTTCCTCCGATTCAGTGGTAAAGAGCAGGTTTTCCTGGGGAAAGTGGCTTGGCAAATGGAAAACCACTTGGACCCGTTCAAAGTGTAGGCAAGCCCTTTGTGTAGCATCAACCCCTTGTTTTTGTCAACTAGTTTGGTGCATTCAGTGTTCTGGACTGCCTTTAACCTATGGAAACTTCTATAACTGAAGCAGTTTTCTAGTTTTTCATTTAGTGTATAGCCAAATACATTTTGGAGGTTTTACACCATTTGAGGAAGGTTAACATTTGTATTTGTATATGCATACCTATTTAATGCACTAATGACAGGTTTCATGAGGGGTGGTAAACTTTTATCTGAAGTCCAGAGTTTTACATTCTAATTAAAAATAGCATCATAATGGGTAGCTAGAAAGAGTAAATGCTTTTGTACTGTCTATCATATCCTGTTTATGTACTTTAATCCATTCCAGTGGGCAAACTTCTCAAGTTTTTATTAAGTTTTTGAATAAGGGGGTTTAAGCATGTGGTGATGTTTGGGTCCTAAAATGTTTTAAGTAAAGCTTCTCAGACAGGATTCTGGCGTAAACTTTGATTTGCAGCATAAATATCCAAATAATTCTGGCGATATTGCTAAAAATAGTATGTACGGAATTTGCAGGATGTCTGTTTATGGAAATTTGGGGTTGCAAAACAAAAGATGTAGACAGCTGCAGTTGTATGTAGTCTGCTTCAGAATTAACTGGTTTTATTTAAACTTCTGTACCTAATGAGCTTTTACTAGTTTGAAAATCATTGTTGATTTAAAAAAACCCTTGCTTTACAGAAATTCGCTGGTAACTGTTTCTCCTCTTTGTGTGCATCTCTATATAAATTTTCAAATAATATTGCAGGTTATGTTGTCCTTTTTTGGAGTTAGGGAGTGAGGAACTGCAGATTTTGGTTTGGATTTTCTCCAGCCAACATGAAGAACACTAGATGGAATGCTTCTCATAAAATGATACGATGAAATAAAACTTTAAAACAGATTTTAAACTATGCATGTTATCTGGAAAACATACACATATCCCAAATATGGAAGCAGAACACATTTTTGGTGACACTATGCCAAGAGAAAGATTTCCTTTCAGACAGGCCTCAGTTTGAGTCAAGGCTCTACCCCATCCAGCGCTTCTTTTTAGTACTTATTTTTTGTTCATTTTAATACTGTATTTCAGGTATTTCAGATTCAGTGCTGGAATAGGTGACATAACCAAATCCTTCCTCAACACATATTGTACTCTAATCTTAAGCTGCCATATTTCAAAAAGTAAAAACCAGGACACTCTGGTTTTTTTTAAATTGATTTGGCTAAGATCCAGGACAAAGCACCGCCTTTTGGAAATTCCCCCGGATGTCAATGCCGCCTTTGAAATCCTGGGAAAAGCCGGGTGTATGGCAGCCCTGTCTTAAGTGTTTGCAGATATACTTGAGTCTAGTCAAAAGGAATAAGTTATCTGAAACTAGACCAACCTTAGTTTCTGCGTGTTACTACCAATCCACACTAAGAGTAGCAACACTAGCAATGTTGCTAAATTTCCTTCATGCAAATTCCTTCTAAGTGCAGAAAAGACTTTTCCTTTCTGGAACATTATTTTTCTGTTCTTCTACTTCCATAAACCTTTCTGATATAAAACTATGAACAGCTGTTCATCCTTGTCTAAAAGAAGCACCTCTGTGATGCAAGTCTACCACCTCAATGAGAACTACAAAGGAGTAAAATCCTAGCTAGGTCTTTTAGGCAGTGGTTCACAATTGGTGTCCACGGATCCCAGGGTGTCCACATAACCCACCCAGGGGATCTGTGGGAGCAGTGCTTTTTTCTTTTAAAAATGTTTAGGGGTACTCTCATTTTCCTACTCATATTGAAATACTGCCCCTCAATGAGGCAAAACTCAGATTCACCAAATGTTTAGGGGTATGCATACCCTGCATCCCCCTAGAAAAAAAGCACAGTGTGGGAGCATTCACATAACAAAAACTACCATAGAGATGTCAAAATTTTCAAAAGTAGAAGCTCCATGGCTTGGTTTTTGAAAAACAGAGTCCTCAATAATTAGCTAATTGGAAACCACTGTTATATGGCATTGTTGGTTTAATGTTGAACTCTTAACTCGTGTGTGTGTGTGTGTGTGTGTGTGTGTGTGTGTCACACACCAGAGGCTTCCCAACAAAAATACACAAGAAAACTATCAAAAAAGCAAGTACATTAAAAAGTTACCAGAGATGAGGATCTGTAGCTCTCCAGATATTATTTATGCTACAGCTGCCATCCCTGGCAATAGTTGTGCTGGCTGGAGGTGATGGGGGCCCAGCAGCAGCTGTAGGGTCAGTAGGACATAGGTTATGGGGAAGAGAGTTGTGCCCCTCTTTGTATCAAGTTATCTCAAAAATTACCAGTCCCAGATTTTATTGTGCTTAGGCAGGTGGGATAGGCAGAGCACTATATAATTGATCCCAGGAGCAATCCCAGAGCTGCTTACAGGATTTGCAGCCCCTCCTACGTCATGGAATTAAGTGCTGTGATCTTCCATGTGTCAGATCCATTTGGTAATGTGCTTGCACACTACAATTTTTTTAAGCAGTGACTGCACCGGCTGAGAGGGAGCAGGTGTTTTATTAATCTCTCTAGGCTGTTCCATAACTATGTTCTTTTTATAGCTTGGAATACATCAAACATTGCAATTATAAAATATTAAAAACCCATAAAGTCAAAAAGTACATAAATATAGCAAACAAAATTCACTAAAGCTCCAATTATGAACACAGGTTTTGGGTTTAAAAGAGGTCCATGCTACAACAGTCTGGGTCTTTACCTATCAATAGAAAGGTGTAAATTGGTGCAAACTAAGCTTCCCTGCAGGGACGCGGGTGGCGCTGTGGGTTAAACCAGAGCCTAGGGCTTGCCAATCGGATGGTCCGCGGTTCGAATCCCCATGACAGGGTGAGCTCCCGTTGCTCAGTCCCTGCTCCTGCCAACCTAGCAGTTCGAAAGCACGCCAGTGCAAGTAGATAAATAGGTACTGCTCCAGTGGGATGGTAAACGGCGTTTCCGTGTGCTGCTCTGGTTCACCAGAAGCGGCTTAGTCATGCTGGCCGCATGGCCCGGAAGCTGTACGCCGGCTCCCTTGGCCAATAAAGCGAGATGAGCGCCGCAACCCCAGAGTCAGCCACAACTGGACCTAATGGTCAGGGGTCCCGTTACCTTTTAAGCTTCCCTGCAAGGGCTGCTCCCTTAGTGGGGTGCCACTAAAAGTTCCAGGGGGTGAGGGTTACCTGCCTCTCTTCATGTGACAGAGGCAAGGCTTCTGAAGTGGATCTTATGGTTAAGATAGGCACTTACAGTCCTATAGGTAACCCAGTCCCAAGCCATTTGGGCTTTAAAGGCCAAAAGCAGCACGTCTGGAAATGCATAAAGGTGTGGCGGTGATTAAGCAGCAGCGCTCGCTCAGAAAACATTTTGAAGTTGTGCCGCAGATAAAAAACAGAAAACTGTCAGTCCTGCTCTCAGGAAACGGACAAGCCTGTTCCTAAAAGCTGTTCCCCTTCCTTTATTAGAATTTCTCTTTCCCTGCTGAAGGAAATTTGCTTTAATTCCCACCCCCACCTTCAGCAGACCTCCTGCCTGCAGACTAAGGGAGCATTATTATCATAATCGTTTGTGGTTTTTTTATTTGATTCCTGTATTGCAGGGGTGAGACTAGATGACCCTCGGGGGTCCCTTACACTCTACAATTCTATGATTCTATATACAGCCCAATGCCAAAGGAGGCTTCTGAGCAGAAATATAAAGACCATCAAGATACACAAAAGCGTTGAGACATAAATATCCCATAGTTAAAATGTACGCTAAAACAAGAACACACAAAACAGCAACTAAGAGAACGGAAGAGTCGGGCGGGGGAAGCCCACGTGTGCGCCGATCTAGGCGAGCCGTTCCGGTCCGGTGCCGCTGACGGGAACAGTACGGGGAGTGGCAAGTTTTCACCCGGAGAACTTAGGAGAGCACACCAACCCGGAAACGAGCTGAAAGTGGCTTCCTTCCCATGCGTATTAAAGAAGAGAGAAGATGGTGGCCACGCGGCGGGGAACGCGGCGGAGTGCGCCGGAGAGCAGGGACCACCCTGGAGAAGCAGAGGTGAGAAGGAAGCGGAGCGATATCTAGGGAGAGGGGGGGGGACAAAGGGGCAGCCGGCCCGAGCGATTCTGTTTCCGGCCCGCGCAGCTCCCGCGCTGGAGTTTGAATGCGCAGACCCCTCAGTCCGTCCGGGAGCGCGCGTAGCCTCCGTGCGCGTGACCGGAGACCGTTGCGCCGCGAGCACTGCCGTGGATCCACTGCGGGGGATCACTGCAGCCCTGATGGCGGCGGCCGCGGGGCTCCTGCTAAAGTCCCCTCGCGTGCCTTGAAGCGGTCCCCCGCCCCCCACTCTACTTCACTGGGGGGGGGGGCAGGGCGGCGCAGATGTGTTTTGCATGATGGATATTAAGATGGGCTCGGAGCTGGAGAGATGCGGTGCAATCTGAGGCACCGTTCTGACTGCTGCCTCTCTGAAGGAAAACATTGCAGAGAGGAATCGGATATCTCATGGCTTATTCTTAGTGGGGCTCATTCACCCCATAGAGAAAGCTCTCGAGGCAGGACCACCCTCTGCCTTTAGGAGGGGCGGGGTACAGAGGTGAGAGATTGGGCGGCAAAGCTACCACCGCAAGATACGCTAGCTGTGGTACTGGCTGCCCTCACATATAGCGGAGGATGCTGTCCCATCGCTAGCGCTGAGGTAAGATTCAATGGTTTCCATACATAGAAGTAGGGATTGTCATTTTGTTGTTTCCCTCAAGCAGCAAAATGTCTTGGGCTCGCAGTGCTTGCTAGCAGATTGTACCTTGTTGGTTTTATGGATCCGTTTGTGAGGTAAGTGTAGCAGTATTTCTTAGAATTGCCTTTAGCTAGATAGTTGCCATACAGTGTGGATGTGTTGATGATCTAGTTTCTGCAAACTGCATGGTGCATGATGCTACCATAACATTTACAGCCATGGGGACTTAAATAGCACAGCCGTTGTCAAAATGGGACCACAGGAGTCCTTCAGACATAATGATGCTTTCTGGTGTTTTAGTAAAACCCTAAACTGCTGCTGAATTATGCTCCTAAGCAGATGCGTAAGTGTCCTCTTCTCCAAGTGAGAGTTACGGTACATTAAAGCAAACAGTTTGGGGGTCTTATCTTTTGAATTGTCTATCAAAAAACTTATAAATGGTTTTTGTTGGCAAGGTAAAACTAAGAAGATGACTTGCTGTGACAATTCGTGTAATATTGTTTCATTCTAACAATAGCTAATGGATTAAAAAGCCACAATGCATTGGAATCTGAGAGTGGAGTTTCTCATGTGGCTTTTGCCTGTGGAAATAGCTTTTACATATTATTTAACATTATTCTCTTTCTTACAGCTGGACTCAACGGAAGGCAGCACATCTGTCAGGACAACTAGGAGAAGTAAAGTGAATTTCCCTGCAAAAGTTGTTCCTGAGCCTCCTCTTGAGAAAACAAAGGAGTCTGAAACAAAAATGGATGCGGAGGAGCCTCTGCAAGCGCAGGCATCTCTGAATAGGAGAAAGGCTGTAAATTTGGCAGACTCAGTTGCTGAACTGCAGGCTGATGGGGATATTTCTGAAGCAGAATCAAATTGCTCCTCTGTGTCTGGTCTTCAGACACCTTTATTTATAAGAATAACAAGAAGGCGGAAAATTGTAGTTCCTTGTCCACCAGAGACGCCCACTAAAAGCAGGCAGAGCAAGAAAGCTCCTCTTAGTGAAGGAAGCAGATGTCAAGAAGATGATGACATATCTGAAGCAGAATCATGTTCTTCCACTGTTTCAGGAGTACGGACTCCAAGTGTTGCAAGAATGACTAGAACTCGGCAAGTCAAGACTACTGTTTCACCAGTGTGTGAGGCCCAAGCTGAAGAAGTTTCTGATACAGAATCATGGTGCTCCGGTATTTCTGCAGAGCAATCTGTCCAGTCTAAACGAATAACCAGGAGCATGGGGCTGAGATTGTCCAAAGAAGCAATGTCTCAGCCTGAAAGAAAAAGTGAAGCTGTGGTGGAAGAAGCAAAACTGACTGACTGTGTAACAAAATCTGAGACTATTGTAATCTCTGATTCAGAGCAACCTACAAATTCTGATTTAGATGTAGACCAAGCCTCATCTCTCTCAACTCTTTTGATAAACGAGAAACCTAGCCCCTGTAAAACAAAGGGCCATTCTGAATCTGTTCTCAACAATGATCCAAAACAGATTGTGTCAAGCAGCCCCCCACGAAAGGCAAGAGAATGCACAAAAAAATCACCTAAAAAAGACAAGACAAATGAGAGGAACTGTGAATCTGTGGGCAGTGTGGAGGTAAAGATAAGAGAGGAGAAAGATATCAAGGAATTGGTCACAAAACAAATGTTAGCTGATGTATATGAAATTGCGGAGAGCACAGAGGAAGTGTGTGATCTAACTTTAGAAAAATCCATAAAGGTAACTAAGAACCAGTCACCTATAAAAAATAATTCGGACATTTCTCCATATGATGACATAAAACTTGATCAGTCTAGTATGCTCCTGAAACAGACAACTGCTAATAAAAACAAAAGCAATGTGGAACCTCAAAAAATGGATACTGGAAATGTTACACAGTATCAAGTAGAAGAGGCAGTAGAAGTAGGCAAGCCATCAAAAATAGATAGCCCACAAAAAAATATTATCCAGTCACGAAATATAGAAAGCAACAGTGATGACTGCAGAATTTCTGTTGCAAGTTCAGACAGTGATGGAAGGCAAGATGAACCAGTTGCTGGATCATCTTCACATACAACCAAAACAGGCCATGAATCACATTTGACTGTGTCACTTCTTACAAGTGATGAGGGTGAAGAATCTGAAAACAGTGATTTAGAAGAAATTAATGAAGTAGAAACAATTGCCAGTTCGACAGATACTAGTAAAAAAACCACTACCACCTTACATGAATCACATAGTGAAGAACTATTTGTAATTGATAAAACTCCTGGCTTGGACTCCACCAGATCATGGTATTTAGAAGAGAAGGACACAGAAGGTAATAAACAAAGTGAGGAATCCTCTGAATTGGAAGACAGTGAAGAAGAATTTATAGATGAGGAGGAAGATTTAATAAATGAAAATAATAAAATGTAAGTTATCTCAATGAACTTAGTTATAGTTTATGTTAAGCAGTATTATTAGATGCATGTATCTGGGGCAGAATTGTTTATTATTTTACAAGGTCTGAGAAAATGGAAGCAGTGGCAGACATGAATTGTCTGATACATGATTTCTAGTTTTCCAGGGAATAGTCACCATAGTGTAGGGGCAAAAAAGCTGCTTAAAAGTTACTGTAAACTAGGCTGTTGACAGTCTGTGGATTTGCCATATGCATTTCAGCTGCTTTTTAAGAGCTTTCTGTTGGGAGTGTACCAGTGGCGTAGCGTGGGGGGTGCACGGGGGGGCCGGGCGCAACATCTGGGGGTTAGGGTTAGGGGGCGCAAATTCACGGGTTAGGGGGTGCAAATTACTTGCCTTGCCCCGGGTCCTGACAACCCACGCTACGCCCCTGGAGTGTACAACCTTGGTACTCTGTTGAAAGCTCTGTTGCAGCTCACATGCCTTAGGGAAAAGTTAAAACTTCAGTTAAAGAGTTGTCTGCATGTCTTGGTTCCTATGGGAAGGAGTTAATAGGTGTGTGTCAGTGCTTTTGAGACTGATTTGGTTTGCTCATTTAAATATTTTTCTGTAATAAGCTTTAGAAGGTGGTGTCAAAATGCATGTAAATTTAACATTTCTTTCTCTTCTAGTTTATCATTTTCAAGCAGCATTGATCCTGGTCTAAATGTTAAAAACCTTGGAGGCTCATATATTAGTTTTGATGCAGGAAAGCAGAAATCTGGCTTTCATAGAGTTGTGCCACTAAAGGAGAAAAAGAAAGATGAGGTAAAGTACCCAATGTTCACTGTTGTGCTAAAAGGTGGGTTAGAAGGAAGCCCTCAGTAAAACATTGGAGGAATCTACTCATTGTTTTTGCCAGAAAAACTGCATTTTCCAGATTTTCTTTTCTTTGATGCTCCTTTCTCAGCTTAACTTCTCAACTGTTCTGTGATTTCTACAAGTCCTATTGAGCCACTCGTCAGTAACCTTCCTGTGACTCAGTTTTTTGTCCTGACCTAGTCCTTAGGGAGCTTAACTTTTATTGTAACTGCAGTTTTCAAGTTTCCTAAAAATTCTTTTGTGTTCTGTCTGCTTAGCACTGTGTAGTAATTATGCTACTTTAATATACCTTTATAGCTTTTGAAAAAGAGTATTATAACTCCAGATTTTGAAAAAAAGGAATCTGTTCCACCTTTGAAAGAATCGGTCCACCAGTTGAAGAAACAACGTAGGGTAAGTAGAGCGTTACTGAGAAATGCTCAATGCTACAAGAATTGGGCTGACTTTATAGCTCTCTGAGGGCATGTAAGCACCCGTCACTTCACTTCTCAGCTTAGTCTGCCTTACAATGATTAGATAATGGGATTATTATTATTATTATTATTTAATTTGTATAGCGCCCTTCATCCGAAGATCACAGGGCGGTTCACAACATAAAAATACGAAACAGGAACACAAAAAGCAAAGCAATAACCCCTCTTCCACAAACACATTTAAAAGATCATAGAATGTTTAATCAGCCAAAGGGTGGTGACATATAAGCTGTTCTGAGCTTCTTGGAAGAAGAACAGAAAATATGACAAATGAAAGATGAAGAAGGTTGATAATAACAGGCTCTTCCTTTTTAAAAGCACTCTTCAGCCCTTGAGCAAAATGCCAGCGAAATCAGATTCAATCAAGTGCTCCTTAATGTTCATGTGGTTGCATGTGACAGCTGCAACACTGACTCAGTAGGTCTTTTTTACAGCTTAGCCTGTGAAGTCAGACAGCAGCATGTGAAGAAGACTTAAGAGCACATGGGTGCCAGAAGAAAGGGGCTTGCCAAGAGATTATGATTCCTGAAGAGACGAGGACTTGGAGGCTTTAGGATGGGTGTGGGGAACCATGCAAGAGTGAGAGGCAATAGCTTAGAGGAGGACAAAAAGGTGAAAGCTTAAGATTGGATGTTTGTGGATATTTGGGGGAACAGAGGAGGAAGTAAGCTTCATGTGGAAGATATGGCTACAATGAATGAGGAAAGAGTGATACTGTGCATATGGTGATGTCAGCTTGTAAGTGTGGGTTACTTAATATTACAGGAGCTTCTTGGGTATTTGAGTTTAATTTGGCACTAAAGTGTCATATTGAAACTGAGATGTATTCACTTGAAACATTAGTTAAAATTTAAAGGCTAATAACAGAGTCTGACTTCAGCCCATAGATGCTGTATTTCCATGCCCACTGCTGGATGGTGGTGGGAAGCTGTATTATCAAAACATTGTCAGAGGAAATCCAAAGCTTTATCTATATGGGGATAACACACATGCACACTCATTCACATCCACACACTACTTAAACACCTTACCCACTTCTTACCTGTATAATCTCTAAAGTACTTCTTTACTTTTAAAATAACACATGAAGACCTTGGTAAACTAATAATGTTGGTTTAGATAGTTACAGTTGCTTTTTTAAAAATTCATTGAAGCCTGTTTAAATACAAGGAAAATGTTTGAATATTGTGAAAACTGTCTTAATGTAAAGCTCTAAACGTTAGAATAACCTTTTGTTATATGTCCAGCTTCTAACACTTTTAATCATAAAGCTTGCTTGCAGTTCTTAACTAGCTGACTTTATTGCATGAAAATGCAGTTGTTTATTAGCAAGTGGACAAATACTGAACTGCTGTTTCTTGGTGTGTTGAATACAGGCAGAGCGAGAGAAAACAACAGGCAATGGTTGGTTTGGTATGAAAGCCCCAGAAATGACTGATGAATTGAAAAATGACCTTAAGGCTCTGAAGATGAGGGCAGCCATAGATCCTAAGAGATTTTATAAAAAGAATGACAGAGAAGGTCTCCCCAAATACTTTCAGGTAAGAAAATGAAGATATTTTCAACTGGTTTTGGGTTTCTGCTACACCACGCTGAAGTTAAGCATACTTTGGAACATACTGACCATTATCTACTTTCCTTAGGTAACAAATTTTGTATGTGCATGTCACCTTAAGAATTAAACACTGCATTAAAATATGCTCCAAAATCTGGGCTTATTGTATTCCAGCATATATCTTCCTTCCGTCATTCAGTTGCATTTCATTTGCTCAGCATAATGCTTTTTGCCTCCTGACTTTCAAATGTAGTATGCACAAAACATTTCTGTGTTCATTTTTTTTCATTGCTACTGCTTGAAAAAGAAAGTGCATGGCTCCCTGCTACATCCAAAGCTTCACTCCTTGTATATATTTTTATTGTAGCCAGTTACTAGAGTCCAGAGCACATATAAGCAGTAGTAAGTAGATGGTATGGTGGGGCTGCATTGCTCACCAGACCTCCTGATGGCTGAGTCCCTGCAGCACATGAGGGGAGTTGGTGGCTCTCTATTGCGCTGACATCACCCCCTCCACTCCACTATGCAGCAGCAACTTGACCACTGGGATATTACAGCTCCACAATGCTGACCATCACAACAGATAAGCATACTGAAGAGTCAAATGGATTCAGCTGAACTTGCACCATTATTTGAACTTAAATTCAGTAAACATGTTTAACTGTGTGCTAGATTTATGAATCTCCCCCTAAGATGAGCTCAATAAAAGTGTCTTAGCATGCTGCTTTTCTTTCTTTTATATCAAAACCTTTTCTGGATATTGCAAGTTCTTCACTGTGTTGTATGTATTTAGCAGTTGTGTTTGAGAGTGTAGTATGTACTGGGCATCACTGCTCTTTGTTTGTCCAGTGACGCCTCTTTTGTAAAAATAGCCCTTCAAGTGTATGTAGCAATAAAATAGCTTCTATTTTCTTTTCTCAGGTTGGAACTGTTGTGGATTCTCCAATAGACTTCTATCATGCCCGAATTCCCAAGAAAGAGAGGAAGAAGAACATAGTGGAAGAACTTCTGGCAGATTCTGAGTTTAGAAGGTATTTGGAATGAATTTCAATTGAAAACTTTATACAAGCAATGTGGTGATGTCAAAGAATGTGTTACGGTTTTACTAGCAATATCTGGAGGACCACATTACTCCCGTATGATCTTGTGCATTTAACATCAGAGGCCCTGCTATGCATCCCAAACATTTTCAGAAGCATAGTTGGTTGGAATTTGAGGCACAGGGCCTTGTCCATTTCAGTGCTCAGATTATACTGAAACTGTCTGTTTGGGGTTGTGTTTTTATTGCTTTGATGTCACATGAGTAATGCTGTAAGTGCTTTGTGTATATATAAAGAACGGCAGGGTGGGTTTCTTTATTTTTAAAAATGCATATTCATGGATACAGGAGAAAAAGACAATCCTGAAAAGTCGGCAGAGATACTTCATCTCTTTGGGGTGTTCCCAGTGTGCAAGCAGAATGGACCTATGCTCACAGTGGAACTTCACTTTTCTCTCCTCCCCTCATGAGTGCCATCAGAATCTGGTACAGTAGGTTGGAGCAGATTTTGAGGGTGAATGGGGAGCTGCAGTGCAGAGAGGAATGTGAATCCCCTTTGAACAAGCATCTAGTTATGCAACATTGGATTCCAGCCTCTGTCTTTGTAAGAATTGCATATTGCGGTTCATACTGCATGTTGTAGTAGCATCTTGCTTGCCTGTTAAGACAGAGCCCATTTTCTTCCTGTTTTAAGGTATTTATGTTGGAGAGACAATATTGAGATTCTGTGCCTGATTGGGACATGCATGATGATTCATTGCTGCCCGTTCAATCTCTTGTTAGGGTGTATGAGAAACAGTACTTCTGTTTAATTTTAATCAATTAATGAGTGTAATTTCAGTTGTGACTAGTAGAATTGGCATCATAGAATAGCTGTTTTTATACTAATATAAAACTAAGATGTTAGCTATAAAAATATTCCTTTTTTAAGTTTCTTGGAACTAGTTTTATTCTAAAAAAAACCATCTAAAATCTTTTCTCAGTTTTATTGTAGCTAGTAGGATCATACCAGGGGTCCTTCTAGTCCTGAATTCTGTTTGTAACAGTGGTTAGCCACCTGTCTTCAGGACGTTCACAAGGAGGGTATGAGGCAACAGCTCTCTTCTGGTGTTTGTTCTGGTACTCAAATGCACCAGCATTGAATACCATGGTTCATTTTCTCTATCGTGGCCAACAATAATTGCTATTACTAAATTAAATCTATTTTTTGGTTTGGTCTATAACTGATGATAGTCACTACGCTGCTTAAAGTTACTTTGCACCTGCATATTTTTAATGTATATTATTCATACCTTATAACATTATTTCTCTTGTTCAGATATAATAAAAGGAAGTATCAAGACATCATTGCTGAAAAATCAGCCCTTGCAGCAGGCAAGAAGTATCGGAAGAAGAAAAAATTCCGCACATAGCTTTAAAAAAAGGGGGGGGGGGCTGAACTTAAATTCCCTGTTAAAGATAAGATTTTACAACTACTGGACTCAGTTATCTTATCAGGAAGAAGAGGACAAGGCCGGTCCTGGTTTTCCAGCAATATCTTGGAAGTGGAATTGAAATATGTAAACCGCTTTGAGGTTTTCTTTACAAACAAGCAGTGCATAAATTTTGTGAAATAAAATAAATAAAAGATGATGGAACTAACCTTCAGAAAGAAAAAGATAAACTTATGCAATATTAAGCATTCTGAATATATATGGGTCAATTAAATAAAAAATGACAATTCTAATATAAACTTAAAAATCTTAAAATGAAAATTTGTGATGTTGGCATAGAAAAGTGTAAAACCTGTGTGTGCTTCCCCATTAAAATATTTCTAAGAATTCATGATCAGGTGACGTTAATGCATTATATTCACCAATGAATTTAAGAAAATTTATTTTGTTATGGAAATATTGTGAAGGTATGCTCTGGAAAAGGGAGGAATTCAATGTCACAGTCTTCTGATCATTCTGGCAGCACATTTCAGCTTGCCAGACAAAATGATCTGCCCTTTCCTTCCTGCTCCCAAAGTGCTGTTTTGGGTGTTCCCCAACCCACCCACCCCAACCAATTGGGGAGAGGGCATGGGGGAGAAGAGGGGGAAGACCTCATTGCGGAAGTTGTTGCACAGGGCTTCAATTGATGGGACTCAGATGAATCCTGACCCGAGTTCTATAAATGAATATGAATGTGAATATGAAGATCAAAGATAGTACCCTCTTTCAAGGTAAGACTTCATATTTAAAAGGGATAATGATCGAAACATTTTAAATGGGCTGTTCACATAACTCATTTCAGCTCAAAACAAAATGACATTACACTAGGCATTATTATGGTGTTAACAGGAATTTTAAAGATTTTTCATGTCACCAGTAAGAGTGTTATCTAGCACTTTGGGCCCCCCTAATCCACTACACCACACTGACTCTCCATGCTAGTCTTTCACATCAAAAGCAGTGAGCAATGTGGTCCCAGTACCTTCTTGGCAGCCTTCAACTTGCTGCAAAACTTTTGGAGTCATTTGTTTTTCCATTTTTTCGGTGGGTAAATGATTTTCGTAGGGTCAAACCCTGTTGTTGAAACAATGAGAAAGGTCAGAAGGAAAGCAAAATAATTACCATTTCCCTTCCAAAGGAATACCTGCCTCCTTACCCAATTAGTGAGATTCTCACTGGCCACACAATAATTTCCACTCAGAAGAAATTTCCTCACCTGAAGTATCTGGATCAGTCATGTCCGTCCCCTGGTCATTGGGCCTGATAGATTACTCTTATTTCTGGTTCCTTCTTGGAGATCATGGGATGGACTTTGCACCACCTGCTGTGTAGCCGTTTCAACCTAAGACAGAAGGGAGAGAATGTGATAAACTGGTTTGTAGTACCTGCACTGAAACTACTGTAGAAGGAGTACAATCCATCTGCGAATGTTAGCTTCTACTTACTGTTGTATTCTATTTGTATTTAGTTCAACTGTAAGCCTGATTGTTTTGTGACTTACAGGGCTTCGCTAGTGCACTATGCCAACTCCTGAACTCTAGTGGTCAGACTTCACAGGCATTTTTAATGCATTTGCGGTAACCCTTCTACAGAAAACTAAAAGGATTTGTTTTATTGTCTTATAATCATTCTCCCAGATGGGTTGAGAATGTACTTCTCAGTGATGACTCCATTTTGCTCTAAAATGCTTGACATCGCCAAATTATCCCTCCGCAGAGGCAGTGATGCAACACTGTTCATTGAATCTCATGAATATTTGGGACATTACATAAGCTGTCTGATCAGCAGAAAGTTGGTCATACAAAGAGATTCTTTTAAAATATCTATAAATAAAAAGAGGGCCCACTTAAATGTGCCAGCTTCAGTTCTCCTTTCCCATTGAAAATATCCACAGCTTTGGCTTGTCTGCCCAAATAGCCTGTTGAAAGAGCTTTTATTCTCTCCCTTGGGTCTGGGAAGGTCAAGTGGTTGCTGCTAAATAAGGATTGCAATCAGTTTCTCACAGTTTCTGTGGCCCCTAGCAAGGCAAGCTAACCTTGATGTCCTCAGCGCTAATTCTGCACTCGGCACTCTAGCACTGATGATGTAGGCATCTGTCTGGGAGAATGTGGAAGAGTGCGCCTTCAGGAGTTAAGTCAAACTGTTGGAATTACAGCGCCTGCTGTGGCTGCAGATACCGAGACAGGAGAGACGTGTTTTGTCGCAGATGAAGGCATCTGCTTGTGCTGCTGCAGATGCACCATGGCGTTTCTTCTTTCTTCACTCCTCCTAGCAGTCATCCCTCGTCTGGTTACTGCTGTGGATACACGACCTGACATAGCCTTCTCCAGGCGATGGGATTATTCCCACTGGTGGGGTTGATGTTGCTAGCCTTCCTGTCATGTTTGCTGACATCTTTGGCCTGCCAGTGCCCTAAAGCCAGACGCCCTTGGGGATCCTGCCATCTTCCGTTCTGTGCACAAGACCAAGCCAGCGTAGATGTCGCTGAGACAGAAATGCGGACGTGCTTGGAATTGTGCACACAGGCCTTGCCAAAAAGTTTTAGCTGAGAGAAATGGAAGAAAAGCAGCCTTTAAATAGGATAAAAAACGCACCAGCATCTCACTGCCCTATATCTGTAACTTGTCTCTTTGTTCACATGCATGCTTTCCTTCCTTTGCTTGCCTGAGAGCAAGACTTGGCGGGTCTTACTTCTGAGATGGCATTATGAGGGCCACTTGCTCACATACAAAAAAAAAGATCCTGGGTGGGAGACCAGGGTTCATATCCCCCCACTCAGCCCACCTTGAGTCAAACACGTCCCCCCCTCCCCGCGCTTTCTCTGCCTAACCTACCTCACAGGGTCGTTGTGAGGTACTAGGAAGAGGAATGCCCTTTTTAAAAATGTGTGTCTCTTTTTTGGGGGAGTGTAATTGGGCTGTTATTTTTAGTTTGCGTTTGTGGTTTTTATGTTGATCCTTTTATGTGAACCGCCCTGTGAGACCTCCGGGTATAAGGGCGGTATATACACTAAATTCAATAAATAATAAAGAACCACCTGCTGCGCCACTTCACTCCTTGGATCTGCGGGGGCGAATATTTTTATTTTTCTTAAATAATGTAAGCAAAAGAAATGAAGAACTGCTTCTAGGCTTTTGGGGGAGATGCTGTCGAAACAGTAAACTCCTGGTCCACTTTGCCCTGGCTGCGCGGGTAAAGCAGTGGCAGTTGCCTCAGGCCAGCCTTGCTGAGGCGGCCATGAAGCGGCTCTTCCTTCCCCCTTCAGCCTTGCAATGGCGGCGCAGGCAGGCGAGGAAGCGGACAGCCAGGGGCGAGTTTTGCGGGGACTCGTAAGGGTTTCCCTCCTCATGCCGGCAGTCGGAGAAACCGAGTGTAGCCCGGCGTAGCGAGGCATCCGCCCCATTTTGGCTCTGGGGAAGGCGGGCTTTTGGCGCTCTGAGGTAACTCGGCCTCCCTCGCCCCTCTGACTTTTCTCCCCTCAGACTCGGCCGGCTCGCTAAGGCAACGCCTCCCTCCTGAGGGGAAGTTCGTAGTCGGCGCTGTGTAAGCTAAAGGAAAGGGTTGGCGCTGCTGGCCTTCACGGCAAGCTTTCGCCGGCTCAGCAAATATTTATCCGATTTTAAGACGCGGAACTGCTTTCTGTTAAAAAAAAAAAAAAAAAAAAAGGCGAGAAAAGCGGAGCAAAACGAAACAAAAATTCTCCCTGCGACTCCGCCGGGACTCGAACCCGGAACCTTTGAATCCCTTCAACCCTCTAGAAGTCCAATGCGCTATCCATTGCGCCACGGAGCCACCTGTTGGATTCTTTGTACATTCGCTATACAACCCACAGAAAGACTTCGTCCCGTCCTTCGCAGCAGGAAAGGGTGTGTTCCATTGCTCTTTTAAAACTGAATTATGTCGTGGCGCCACAAAGAAAAGTTGCTATTATTTTTTCCTTGCGAGTTTTAAACAGCTCATGGAACTAATTTCCATATTAAGTGTGAACTTCAGTTGAAATCAATACTACTCATTATTGCAGGGCAGGGCTGCCAAGGACACCCTTAAAACAAATATTTATTGTGTACCAGAGCGCATGTAGCTATACTTTACTTTTTTTTTACTGTGTTTCTAAAATTGACTAATTTCATTGTGCATTAAATAAAAAGAGGGCTATATCTACTCAATGTGGGAATTGAACCATGTAGTGGTTTTAGTAAATAATTTTGCTGATCGGATCATTTCAAGCCTGCTGAATCTTACAATATTCCTTTTTCATTATGGTTGTGTCTTTAAATATCATTTGAAAATATTTAGCAATTGTTTGCTTGTATTTTCCAGTTTTTTTATAAAAACATTGAACTGGTGAGAGAGAATAATAAAGTAGTGCCTTTCACTGGACTAATTTATTGCGGCATAAGAATATGCAAGCTCTTTGATTACACAGAACTCTTCACCAATGTAAAGATTAATAATTCTTAATAATTTTTTTGCTAGAAGTCATTGGGTTTTTAAAATTAAATGCAGATTATTTTTAAACACTTCCGAAAACTGTCGGTCATTTAAAGAAGCAATTCAATCATTTCATGTTTCAACTCCATGTAAAATTATGCACTAATTTAGGAGTTATTTTTCTTTGTGTGTCAGATCCTTTCTTAAAAGGCCACTATTTTCCAAAGTGCACGGAAGAACTTTCACTCATCACCAGTAACTTTCCTCTCTTTACAGTGAATCATTGGCAGTCCATTTTGCCCACACCTTTTGCCAAGAGACATCAATTCAGTAAGTCATAATTTTATCTACCTTTTCTGTGGGGGTGGGGTGGAATTGATTGATCAGTCACCCCTCCACTTCAATAAGTTTTCTTGAAACAAACATATGAACCTGCTTGGGTTTTGAGATTATATTTCTACCAGGTTTCCATGCAGCCTTGAGAGATGCTTCACTGAAGATGAACATCCTTCATCTAGCCCAAGATACCTATACCTTACTTCCAGAATAAATTTTACATGCACCCTCTGCATCAGTTACCAGCCTCTGAGGACTCTTTAAGTGTAACACTGCCAGTAAAGTTGGGGATTTTTATTTGATTACATTAAAAAAACAATATAATAATAATAATAATAATAATAATAATAATAATAATTTATTTGTACCCCGCCCATCTGGTTGGGTTTCCCCAGCCACTCTGGGCGGCTTCCATAGAAACCAAAAATACACTAAAATATCACACATTAAAAACTTCCCTCAAAACAAAAAACATTAATGTGAATTCTTCCAGATTTTCATGCTAAAGCATACCCCTTATTTCTCACTCACCAGTAGATGGCACTGCTGGAAGTAAAATAAAAAGGCATGCACAATAAACATTATTTCCCAAAAATCATTTCTCCCCACCCCTTTGCAATGACTGTCATAGTCAGTACCAGCTATATGAATGACACAATTTATCTTCTGCACCCCTAGATAAAAGGAGAGAAGGAAGTTCTGGCAAGGGGCTAAAGATGAGCATGAAAGTGTTCCCATATGAAGTCAATTAAAGGGTCTCTGCTAACAACGATAGGCAATATCGGTGCCTGAAACTTTGGAGAGCAGCTCCTACTCAGCCCCTAGCTTCACTGAAAACACGAGTCAATTTTATCCACTTTAATTATCATAGAGTCTCCCCAACGCGATGGAAAAAGCAGCGGACACAGCTCAAAAAACTTAAAATCACTATGGGGGGGGTAGGTTTGCCCTCAAAAGCTCAATAATTTGTTTTTGTTCCCCCCAAAAAAGGCTTAACAATTTTTGTTGATTTCTTTAAAAAATGCTCAACAATTTTTGCATGTGTCAGGAATTTTACTTTTTGAAATATGGCAACCCTAGACAGATCAGGTATGGGGAATCTTGGTTCTTCCATATGTTTGCTGAACTACAACTCCCATCATCCCTGGGCATTGGCTACAATTGCTGGAGCTGATGGGAGTTGTAGTTCAGCAGTGTCAGGAGAGCCGATGTTTCCCCACATTTGTGATAGAGCAAAGCGTATTCACGTGCTCAAGAGGAGAATCGCCTTACTTTGGTTGGACAGCCATGCAGTTCTGTGCTTCCTATCTACTTTTTAAAGGGGATATGTCATAGATAGGAAACCTGTGGCCCTCGAAAGATCTTGGATTGCAACTCCCATCAACCTCAGCCAGCATGGCCAATGGTTAGCGATGATAGGAGTTGTAGTATGTTCTTATTGAACTCCAAGTTTTTCTAGAACAGGGTTTGAAAATGTGTAGAGCAGGGATGGGGAACCTATGGCCTTTGCAGTTATTGTTCGACAAGTTCCCATCTTTCCTGACCATTGACCATACTGGCTGGGGCTGATGGGAAGCGGAGTCCAACACTATCTTGAGGGCCAAGGCTTCTTCCGAAGTTCCTTGATCAAGGGGTTAATGGAGCAAGGTCATTAATCTCTGTTATCACCTTACCCTCACTTGTGCAGTGTGACACACACAGACATAAATAAACTTTAAAGTATTTGTGGGTTGGGAGCAGAAAAGTAAACATTGCAAGACAATCTGCCTGTGTGCTTAGAAGAATAAAGACTCCTGGTTTTTTGTTTTACAAAGGCAAACAGAATTTTCATTTCTACTGTGAAGTGTGAGGCTTCCCACCTTTTCCCAGTCTGTCAGTCCCAGAGCTTGCCAGTCATTCCAAGTCCATTTCAATCCATGTGAGAAATATGTATCTCTTTTGGAGACACTAACAAGGCTCTTCACAGGGATTTTTAAGAGCTAGCTCTGGGAATTGCTGAGGGTGTGTGAGAATAGGCATCATATCATCTGTGACATATCACCTTAGAGGCAGTGTGTGGCTACATGGAAAAATCTAGCCTACAGGGATGGGTACCTTGGTTTTTAAAGATTTGCTAATAAAATTGGCTAAAAAAACCAACACAAAAAACAACAACAGCCTAGCAAGATGCCACAGAACAGAGATATAATTTTATAATTAGTGAATAGGAGATTGTGTCATCTGTGTATAACAGTGTGTCAGTGAACATGTGAGCCCACTGTAATTTTGGCTAAATACTTTGGATGTTTACTATGTCTAGCCAGACATACTATATGTGGAAAGGAGAGGTCTGTGGAGTGGGGGAGACAGGAGAAGACAGGATCAAGCCTTTGCATGAAAATGAGTGGGTAGTAGCAACCTCTGCTTCTAATAAACTATTTGTGCCTAAGGTTATGACCCTACAATTTCTTACAGAAGTGAATAAGGCCCATGTAATAAAGTGGTGCTTATTTCCCAGTGAACATGCAGGATCAGTTTGCTTTAGTAGTTAATGCTGAATATCAGGTGGTAGAATATTATTCTAGGAGCTTGTATCCCTCTCTTCTGCCACAAAGGGGCAAACCCCAGATGCTACACAGAAGACCAGTTGTTTAAAAATTAACAGCAGTTGTCAGGGTGTGTGCGCACTGGGACCATGGTGTATGTAGGAGGGAGGCTTGACTTTTCCCATGTACCCTAAATGACCCAACTAAAATCTTTCTTTCTTTTTTTTTAATTTCTCTTTATTAATTTTTATACACACATATGTACAGAAAATAAATTCTTCATGGGGGAAAAAAACAATAATAAGAACAACATAACTTAATTATAAGAAGAAGAAAAAAACAAAAAAAAAACATGTAAGTTATTGACTTCCCTCCACCTCAGTTTTGGGTTATGTAATACATTTTTTCCCGCAGTTTTTCTTTAAAACTTTTGTATGTCGAAGGGTTATATTAAAATCTTTCCCCTGTTATTTGCTCCTTTGTATGATCCCTGTAAAGGAAAACTAACTGATATCTTACTGGTAGCTATCAATTTCTTCTACCCATCAAGAAGCAGATTCAGGGATTAGTTTTTAATCAGGGAGAATGGCATGAGGCAAGTGATTAAGTCATTCCATGGTTGCAGTTGGACAGAACAGATAGCTTTTTAAAAAATTCTTGCAGGCCTAAATTAATTGTTTCTTCTATTTAATTTTGTTTGTTTGTTTTTATTTTATTGATTTATACTTTGAATGTAGATTACACTACATTAGTAAAATACAAATCAAGAAAGAAAAAAATCCAACCTCAAAATCTGAAACAAGCTGATAAGCTAATTGAGACAGTAGCGGAATCCCAATGGAATCAAGATTCTTAAAAGGCCCACTTAAAGAATATTTTCACTGTCCACCACATTTGAGAATCCCCCTTCTCGGTCACTCACCTCAGATAGCAGTGGGATCTTTAGGAGACCTAAACTTAAATGAAAGTAGCAGGCAGGCGCCTACGGAGTGGGGGAATGGAGGCATCTGAGATATTTTGCTCCCAAACTTTCCAGGGGAAAAGGTGGGAAATTGTAGATAGATAGATAGATAGATAGATAGATAGATAGTCAAAGCCAGCATCTTAAATTCAGATTGTGAGCACAATGAGAGCCAGTGAATTAGATTCTTCTTTTTTCAAAAAAAAGTGAATGAAATTGTTTCCAGTAAATCCTACCATCCCCATGGGGTTTCCTCCTTCTCTTATTGTGGAAGATTTGCCCCAAACTATAAAACTGCACAAGCAAAATACATTTTTAAAAATCTACAACAGCAATCTAAAAAGTGAGTGACTATCTCATTCATATATATATATCCAGAAAACTGAAAATGTGTGCTGAACCTTTATGATTGCCTGACTGTGTGCTTTTGTGTACCTCATTTGCATGAATTTTTTTTTTAAAGGTATGCGCACAGTTGTCTTCATTCAGCTACCTAATTGGCATAATAAAATCAACAACTTAAAAGGTAGGGGCGAACAGCAACAGTAACACCGTCTGTGGTATGAACAGGAAAGATTGTGGTTGCTCCTTATATAGAAATTCAAATACATATTGGTGTGGACTATTTCAATCTTATTCAATTGCGGAAAAAGTGGATTAACACCCAAATGATGCTCAAATGTGGTCAAACCCATAATGCATAGTGTGGGCCTCAGAATATTAGTCCACCTAGCCCAGATCTGGCCAGGGTGAATGTTCCCCAAGGTCACAGCAAGCATCCTGTTCCTTGAGATCCTTTTAAATTGCAGAAGCTTTTAAATTGCATTGAAGCCTGGGACCTTTGGCATGCAACGCAAGTGGTCTCTGCTATTAAGCTTCAGTACAGTTGTGGCTGGTGCCCATTGGGATGCAAGGCAGGAGCCCAACACTAGGGGGAGCAAGAGCCAATAAGAGGCAGAGCCCAACTAATTCTGGCCTTGTCTCAATCTTCCTCCTGGCCAGTTTTCACAAATGTAGCACTGAGACTAAGGAGGAGGTAGTTCATTGCCAATGTCACCCTCTGGATGGGACGGAAGTAAGAAAGTAAGCAGGTGGGGGCTGGCTGAAGGCAGACAGAGGTTGGTGGGGCAGTGCCCTATTAATCCTAATGGACTATCCTCCACTGCAAAAGGAGGTGTCAAAAAAGACCAGTGCCTGTTCCCCAGGTCTGGGGGAAGTCTGCTGTGCATTCTACACCCACACAAGGGCTATACAGACATCCTTGTTGGGGCTGAGGACCAGTCTGAAAACCCCTGATATATGTAGAATGTAGGGATCTGGTAGGAACACACCTGATTCCTGCATTCCTCTATATTGCCTTGTAGCTGAGCCTCATATCATAATTCAGTCTCTGGGTTCAGATCCCCTTTATAATGCCCTGCAAGCCTTTCTGCGAACTGTACCGTCTATCTGCTTTGTCACACCTTTCCCTTTAACCTGCTGCTTTTGATCAATATTTTACATCTTGTCCCGGAAAGGTGGGCAGAAACAAAAGTGAAGATGATAAGACCACCGCTGAAGGGCAAGGGGGAGAGGAAGTAAAAAATAGTTTCTGGTGTCCTTTAAAATGCACCTGCATAAAATGTGCTAAAGTTCACCCTGCCGTTACATAAAAAAATAAAAACTTTGCACAAAAAGGTACAAGAACCAAGCTCCAAAAATAGCAGCAAAGGCTACTGCAGCTGAAAGCAAATTGGGAAAACTCTTACCTTTTTTTCTCCAATGCTTTCCTAATGCGGCGTTCTCCCTTCCCCTCCTTCATCCATGCACTCTGTGAACGGTTTGCACATACTAAACAAGGACTGTGGTGGAGACAGTGGTGCACTGCGGCGAGCAAAAGGAAGTCATTTGGATCAGCGATGTGAAAAAGGGAAGAAGGGAACAATCTGTGATCAAACAATCTGGGCGACTTTCTCCAGTCGATTGCATCTTTGCAGGGCACAGCATAAATCTGACAGGGAATCCAGCCCAGTATTTATTTCAGGAGAGCAAATGGAGTTGGCAAGACAAGTCTACATTGTGTGTGTGTGTGTGTGTGTGTGTGTGTGTGTGTGTGTGTGTGTAAGGCATTGATTTGATACTTTATTGTGCATTTATTTGTTTGTTCATGGATCTATTTCTCTATATAAGTGCTTTCAATGTCAACGTCCGTGGGGCATTACAGCATAACATAAACAAAAAGAAAAACGGTCCCTCTCCTGATGAGCATGCAATCTAAATTTAGACACGAGGGGAGATAGCAGAGGAAGGAGGGAGAGCCATACCATAGGAAATGAGCAGGTACTGTTCACAGACTGAGTCTGTGTACATGTTACCACTTACCCTGGCTCCAGCGGGCTCCCACCACCCGTATCTGAAGCTGAGAAGGCATGACCTTAGCCACAGACCATCTGTGTCCTACAGCGCTTGGCAAATGCTGCTTTGTGATGTGATTTCCCTTAAAGCAGCTTCCACCCAGTTCAAAAACATAAGCCATGGTCCAGCTGGGTTGTTTACCTGTTAGACGTCCATTGCACATGTGCAAATTACGCATGCGAAGAGGACAGTTTCGCCAAATAGGGGTTGGCAGGGCTGCGAGCATGGGGAAATAGATCAGGTAATGATACGCACAGCAGCCTAAAACACAACTTGAAACATGGAGGGGGAGATGGAGACGGCCTTGTTGCATTTCAAAGCCACTTATGTGTACATGCCCTAAGGAATTAATGGAGAAGGAGGCTTTGGGAAAGGGATTTTAGAGATGGCAAGGAGCATTGCATGTTGTTCTGAAAGGGAGTTCTAGATGTTAGGGGCAGCAGCCAGAGACAATGGCTGAAATCTTTGGGGGGCTTGAAGAAAAAGCTACAACAGGAAATCAACCACCCAAAATGTTAGGGTTGGGCATTGCTGAAATTCTTAACCTGTGTTGACAGTTTGAATAGATAAAAGGCTGCCATTCTTTGCACACTTGCATAGTAATAAGCCCCACCAAATTCATGGAGCTTTCTTTGGAGTTTCCCCCTTGTAGGATTGTGCTGCAAAGGACAATGTTATTATTGTGGTAAATATGAAAAGGCGAGGGGCTAGGAAGACCTGCCTCAGGAATTCTGAGAAAGAAGCTTTCCCCTGCCATCTTAAAAGGTGGCCAGAAAGCAAAGACATGGGCAGCAAGGGGGGACTCTAGAAAATAGCCACAAGTCAGGTTGTCACAAACTTGGAGGTAAATGGGAAAGTCTGTGTCCTGTGTTCTTTGTGCAGTGTTCATAAATGTGAGGCTCATGAGGAGTTGCCCATGAAAAGCCATCCCTTAGGGTCCTCCCAGCCCTCAGGAGTGACCTGGGGGTAGACGGTTTGAGGGGTTGCAGCTGATGAGAGATTCCCCACGGGGGGTGGGGTGGAAGTGGGTTCTGCTCATACACTGATGTGATTGCTCATACTGCACACCACCTCAATATCTAAGCAGTGCGAGATTCCAGGGTTTCCAGGCGCTAACTTATAGTTCTTGTTTCCTTCTGGAAAGACTGTGCTGCCTTTAGGGTATGTGATTTATTTGCGCATATATACAACATGAGCCTACTATGGAGGGGTTCACAGCGTTAGCACCCCAAGAGGGTCTTGTTTCTCCCATAGCCATGGCCTTGGATTCAAACATTGTGCTCTGCCCCTCTGGTTTTCAGCCTGCAGCTTTACTTCTAGATCACCCACAACACTTTCAAAAGTCGGGCTTTTGTCCTTCTTGCTGTCTGTGAGCGGAGGCTGCACCCATTTGCCGTCTCACACAGAGCCCCCTCGTCTTTGCTTTCTTAATGGCTCATCACCTTGTCTTTCCTTAATGGCCCATCACCCAAGTGATCGTTGTTGTTTAGTCATTTAGTCGTGTCCGACTCTTCATGACCCCATGGACCACACTCCTGTCTTCCACTGCCTCCCGCAGTTCGGTCAAACCCAAACGATTACCTGAACACAATAAGCTAGCCTGCCTTGATTAGCTTCTAACACTTGCTGAGTCCAGGGATTAGGTGTCGGGCACCCAGTTTAATACCCCAAGCCTTGATTAGATTCCAACACTTTACTGGGTGCAGGAATTTATATTGGTTTGGCACCCGCAAACTCGTAACAACACTTAGCATTTAAATTGCACTTTTTATGTGAACTTGTCACCTAATGTATTCCTCTTTGCTGTCTTTGTTTGCCAACATATAGTTCAATGCCTCCTTTGTGTGGCTCTCCCACTCTGTCCTTGTGCTTTCTTCCAGCCCGCCCACCTCACATGAAATGAATTCTAAGCTTTGCTCTTCCTGCCTCCACCTCCCTGAAAAACACCACTTGTATAAGACTCAGTGCCACAGCACGGTCTTTTTTGTTGACGAGGGATTCTTAGTGACAAAGCATCAGCTTTGCATGCAGAAGGTCCCTGGCTAAATCCCTGACAGCTCCAAGTAGGGCTAGGAATTTCCCTGGCTAAAAACCCTGGGGAGTAATTGACACCTCCAGGGGCGTAGCGTGGGTTGCCAGTGCCCAGGGCAGGGCAAGTGTTGTGCCTCTCTGGTGGACTGGGCAGCGTTCAGTGCCTTTGCCAGCTAGTGTCTAATCAAGGGAGTCTGTCCTTGCAAACTAGCCCTGAAATGGGAGCAGAGATAAGGCAGAGAAACGTGAAGCTTGGAGCACCGCTGTGTTGCCCCGCCCTCCTGTCCTTGCAGCGAGGTGCTCTAGACCAGGCACATGGCTCCGGCAGTGCTTTCCTGCCTTCCTCTTCCTCCTTCCCTCTTGACTGGCCCACTGGTGGGGTGCACACAGATGTTCCTTCACAGGCCAATAGGAGGAGACACTTTTGCCCCAGCACCGAATGGCCCTGTGCAATTAACCACTGCCTGGCAGAAATTCAACAGATATCACCATTTCTTGCCACATGCATATAGCAATGTGAATGGGTTCACATTTGAATTCTGTCTATCGTACAGCCTAGAACTTCTGTTTCCACTTTCCCTTGAACCCGCTCAGTCCCTGCTTTGTGTAACATCATCCATACATCCCAGGCAGCTTCAATTGCAATCATCCCTGTGATCGTAAAAGCCAGACGTAACCCCATAGGCTGTTGATGCAAATACAACTTGGTATAAATAAAAACAAATATTCAAGCCGCATTCAGTTCTGCTAGCAGGTTAAGTGTGATGAAATTGATTTCCCAGCTGACAACAACACAATGCCTCTCTTTGCAAAATGAGCACATGAAACACACGCACAGCACCTGGAATTATCCAGCAGGGATTTCTGTTATTAGAACTGCCTAGTTGCTAATGTAAACAGGATGCTCAGGCTAGGCAGATGTCTGAGCAATGTGACTAAACCTAAGAAAACACAGTCATATCAATGAGATAAGAATTGTGTTGTTTTCTATAAATTAAAGTTTCAGTTGCTTGCATTCGCTATTCTCAAAACAAAAGTTTGCAGATGGGTGCTTTACTACAAGTAGCAAGATAGCAGCAGCAGCAGCAGCAGCATTAGCAGCAATCAATTGAAACAATAACAGATCCAAGGCATTCATTGCTCAAGGTGTACTGGGCCTGTGACTGCTGGAAAAAAGAGGTCCCAGCCCGTTGCCAGGGCAGTGCGCTTGTTGCTTCCTCATTGTTGGATCCCACAGCAATGTTTGAGGTTTTCAACCTTTTTGGGTTTTGCAGAGGTTTTCAACCTTTTTGGTTCCACAGCTCCCTTGATCAACTACATCCTGTGGGGCTCAGGAGTTATGTCACCCCTTGGCTGCAGAGCTGGCAGCCTCTCACCCCTTTTCAAATACCCTCCCCTGTGGAGTGTTTCCCCAGCCTCCTCTCCTTGGGAGTTCTCTGGGCAGCCGCAGCTGTCACCCCTGGTCTCTGAGCTGCCCCCCTGCCCCACAGGGGCCTGGGAAGCACCCCCTGGCCAGCCCCAGAGGCACCATTTGCCTGGGAGCTTGTAACCAGGGCTGCTGCAACAAACAGCTGTGCAAGCCCTTGGGAGGCAGAGACGTGAGGGGGCATCAGAGGAAGGGAGGGAAGGAAAGAGGAACAGAGGCAAGTGTTGCCCACGGCACCCCTGGCCATCATTCAAGGCATCCTCAGGTGCCATTGCACACTGGTTGAAAACCACTGGCATAATGGAATCACGTGGAAGAGGTGTGAAGTTCAGGGTGGTGTGGTGATGGCGCGGAATGTGTGCACCATCGGTGCATCCCTTGTCAATCTGTTCAGTCAGGATCATACAAATCATCCCAGAGATCTCTCTGCCTGTTTCTACTTCCTCCGGTTAACACTACTACTGTATTAGAATAACTGTGGTTTGGATGCTTGCCAATGTTTACGTTACCAAATAATCCAGGTCCCAAGAAGGATTGCTTTTAAAATGAGCAACTTTTATGCAAGAATGTTTCCTCCAATTAAGAAGAAATGTCCTTTCTATGCTTAAAGTGGCACACTTGATAAAAGACCAAGACCAAGAAGGACGGGAGAGACTCTATAAATGCAGAAAATAGTATGAAAATTTAAAACTTTTTTTAAAAAAAGGAATGTATGTTGCGGTTAAAACATTCTCTTGATGGCTGAATCATTAATACAATTTAGGATGCAATACTATTCCTATAGTCTCTAGTGCAGGCTTCCTCAAACTCGGCCCTCCAGGTGTTTTGAGACTACAATTCCCATCATTCCTGACCACTGGTCCTGCTAGCTAGGGATCATGGGAGTTGTAGGCCAAAAACATCTGGAGGGCCGAGTTTGAGGAAGCCTGCTCTAGTGTAATACATGGACTCTGGTATTTGTAAGAAGTGCAGTTACAGTTAATTTCACTAGTTGGTGCTAGTGATAATAGAGCTGTATATGAAGAACCAAATAGTTGCTCAAATAGTGTGGTAGGAGAGCGGGGGGTGGGAATCACAACTATCAACCAATGCATCCCTTTTGGTTTCAGATAGTATAGGGGTAGACAAGTCTAAAAAGCCAGGGACACAAATTTTTACAGCCCTCTAGCAGCTATGGTGGCTCCCACTAAAAAAGGTCAAGGGACCCCTGACAGTTAAGTCCAGTCGCGAATGACTATGGGATTGTGGCACTCATCTCACTTTACTGGCCAAGGGAGCCAGCGTTTGTCCACAGACAGCTTCCACTACACACACCCAGAATCTGCTCCGGAGAATCTCTCAACCTTCCAAAGCTGATTTTGAGAGGGTGCAGGGGGACTGGAGGCAACAGGAGAGGGAGAGGAAGTTCTGTTGTTCACAAGAAGTCCCTTGTAGCAGCAGAACTGCAGTGTTGCATATGGACCTTAGTTTAGAATATACAGTGGTACCTTGGGTCACAGACGCTTCAGGTTACAGATGCTTCAGGTTACAGACTCTGCTAACCCAGAAATAGTACCTCGGGTTAAGAACTTTGCTTCAGGATGAGAACAGAAATCGCGTGGCGGTGGTGCAGCAGCAGCAGCAGCGGGAGGCCCCCTTAGCTAAAGTGGTACCTCAGGTTAAGAACAGTTTCAGGTTAAGAACGGACCTCCAGAACGAATTAAGCTCTTAACCTGAGGTACCACTGTAAATGTCCCTTTTACAGTCAGTTTTCAGATTAAGAAAAAACTACGTCTCTCACCTATTGGGGCATTCATTCCAATCTCCATTACACAACAATTGCATTTGTGACTGATTACCCTTCAGCAGTATAAACCTCTCGGTTACTTTCTCCCTGATAGGATGACATATATCAGAATTTGCCTCAAACTCATCACTCTGAGGAAGCAACAATGTGGGGAAGCTCAAAAACAGAACTTCAAAGGCTCTCTCTGCAGATGGCACCCAAACAAAGGCCTCTTTCTGTGAAGTGAATTGGCCACTTTCGTTCTTATGCTCTAAAAGCATGGCATAGTCCTACATTCTAACATAACACTGAAATAATGTCTCACATTGTTCCTTTGGACTTTTTAGAAAAAGAAATATTAGCGAGCAATGGATGTTGATTAAATAACCAAAAGTATTTTGTGAAGGGCAGAGTTCGTTGCAGAATATATCAGTGCCTAAAATTTGGTGAATGTCAGCAGTCCCAGACATTGTTGTGAATGTCCCAAAACTCAGAGACATATTGGTGATCCTAAATGGGAAGAATAGAGTCTTGCACTACCTGAAGATGAAACTTTGTTCTCCTTAGGGAGCAATCCCTCAAACTGCTAAGTAAAGCTACCCAATTTCATTCTAATTACTTAAAAAATAAAATAAGACGCACTATCTAAAATCAATCTCCATACCTTCTAATATAAAGCTTCTGTTTAATTTTGTTTTTCACCCAATGAGGTACCAGTGTGTTTCACCTAAGTATGGAAATGGACTGTGTAAGAGAGGTTTTGTATTTCCGGAGATGGGGGAACTGCCATTGTTAGTTTGTTTTTCTTCCCACAATTGTTGCTTCCAGATTATCAGCAATTCTAAATTTGCTTGGGGGTGATTAGATGACTGTTGCATCAAGCAAATGTTATCCCACACTTTGCAATGCATTTTCCTATCAATTCCTGCATCACAAAAAGTTTGTTGCTAAAAAGCAGCAAATCAGCTTTAATTGTGGGATCTTCATTTGCCAGTATAGTGACAGTCTGAAAGCATCTCCAGGCTTTGTGCATTCTGAAACCTGTATAGTGTCTAACAAAACCTTATTTGAAGGTCCTCTATCTCCTCCAGCGGGTGGCGGGACGCAGGTGGCGCTGTGGGTTAAACCACAGAGCCTAGGACTTGCTGATCAGAAGGTCGGCGGTTTGAATCCCCGTGACGGGGTGAGCTCCCGTTGCTTGGTCCCTGCTCCTGCCAACCTAGCAGTTTGAAAGCACGTCAAAGTGCAAGTAGATAAATAGGTACCGCTCTGGCGGGAAGGTAAATGGCGTTTCCGTGCGCTGCTCTGGTTCGCCAGAAGCAGCTTAGTCATGCTGGCCACATGACCCGGAAGCTGTACGCCGGCTCCCTCGGCCAATAAAGCGAGATGAGGGCCGCAACCCCAGAGTCGGTCACAACTGGACCTAATGGTCCCTTTACCTTTATCTCCTCCAGCACTCTGTCATAAGATGAATGCAGGCAAATATGGTTACACTACTGGTGATTTTTTCTGTCTCTCCACCCCCTGCTTTGTTTACATCTAGCCAGATGAAGAATTAAGGAGAACTTGTACAGTACAATAATTTGTGACATTTTGGTTGCGCTAATAAAGGTATAGCCCTAATATGAATGTTGATCCTAGCCTGAAGGTGATTGTCACTATTCACTGGAGTATGTCCAACAGTTGAGAAAAATGTGAATTTCAAAACATTAACCAATTTTGACTTGGAATGTCAACATGAATGATTGAAGGACTTTTCAGTATATGTCTTTCAACAAGAGGATATTTCAGTTTCAAGGGTATAGGAACAGGAATGTGAGTGGCAGGAATTACTTGCTTATCTGCTGTTGACATTCATTGTTGTAACATATTAATTAACCATATTATGAAAGCATGCCTGCAAATATAGACTACTTCATCAGGTCCATCCATTTATTTTTGAGGAGGTTTTAGCTATCTAGGATTCTCCAGTGGTTATAAAATGTCTTCTGAGAAGACATGCATAGGAGAGACGTTGCATATGTTCCTTGACTTTCTGATTTGTTAAAAGTTACAGATGAATCTGTAAACCAAGAGGAGACATTTGGCCATGGAGACAGTTCTTTAATTTTTTTAAAGACCTTCCCACTGAAGTGGGACAAGCTTTTCTCTCTTAAATCTCCCACTGCAGTGAAGTTTCTTGCACCAGGGTCTGTGTCTAGAAGAATGTTCTGCAATGTAGATGTAGCCTGAAAGGAGTATAGGAATATGCTCCTCCCCTGTGTTGCCCTATCTGAACCCCAATCTCTGCCTTATTTTGGCTGCTGCAGAGGCAGAATGGTTCTGTCAGCATAACAGGAGAGTTCTGCCGGCACATCTGTCAGCATCATATCTGGCGTTGAACCAGGGAGCACATCAGGGCTTCTGACATTTGGTAATAAGTTACATTGGGACTTAGAGTCATAGAATTGTTGGAAGGGACCCTGTGGATCATCTAGTCCTGCAATGCAGGAATATGCAGCTGTCCCATATGGGGATTGAACCTGTGACCTTGGCATGATTAGCACTATGCTCTAACCAACTGAGCTATCCAGAAGACCTTATTTCCAAGTATACAATAAGATAAGGACACATAGCTGCCAGCCTATGCACATTTACTTGGGAGTAAGTCCCAATGAATTCAGTGGGACTTATTTCTAAGTAAACATGTATAGCAGATTGCGGAATCTGTGGCCCTACAGATATTGTGGGAGTCCAACCCATGATCTTTGGCTGTGTAGCTAGGGCTGATGCGAGTTGTAGTTCAGCAATATCTGGAGGGCTACAGGTTCCCCATCACTGGCATATAGGATCAGGCTCTTATTGGCACTTACTCATGTCTGCATTATATATTATATGAATTTTTATGCATTTAGGTTTCTCCCTCCACTGCTGGCAGGAATTATTAGTTCAACATGACCCAACTGATACATAATCAAGGCTGTATTAGATGTACTACGGCATAACAAAAAGACAGCAATGGTGTTTTAAATTATGCATTGAAGTATTTCTTAAGATGTAAATAAATCTCTAAATTTGCTTGGAATGGGGAATATTTTTCAGAATTCAGCCCTCACAGTATGATTCACAAGTTGTTGGCATCTGAGTAGGTCTGATCTTTTATTGGTTGGGAAGGACTTTTCAAGGTATGTCTTTCAACAAGAGGACATTTCAGTTACAAGGATATATCAGTGGGAAATGATAGCCGATTGAGCAGGAAGAACGGTTGTGTGTTCTTTTCTGTTAATACTTAATGCAATAGTCTCTGGGTTATAAAATTTAATGAATGGGCTGATTATTGTTTGGTGCATATTAAGGGGATCTTTTGTTGAGCTACATTGTCTGTGAGAGATTTAAAATGCAAGAGACAGATTTAAAATGCTGCTTTAAGGAGTCTCAGCTAAGACATTTATTCTGCATTTGAAAATAGAATAAGCTATTTCACGCCTGTTAAAATAGCAAGTCCTAAATTTGTGCTTTATTGTCTTATGAGCCCGGCCTTGGCTGGGGAGGGCAGGGTATAAATAAAAAATTATTATTATTATTATTATTATTATTATTATTATTATTTACACTGTGTTCTTTGGGAGGTTCTCTAGACGTGCTGCTTTTGGCCTTTAAAGCCCAAATGGCTTGAGACTGGGTTACCTGTAGGACTGTAAGTGCCTATCTTAACCATAAGATCCACTTCAGAAGCCTTGCCTCTGTCACATGAAGAGAGGCAGGTAACCCCCACCCCCTGGAACTTTTACTGGCACCCCACTAAGGGAGCAGCCCTTGCAGGGAAGCTTAAAAGGTAAAGGAACCCTGACCGTTAAGTCCAGTCGCGGATGACTCTGGGGTTGCGGTGCTCATCTCACTTTTGTCCGCAGACAGCTTCCGGGTCATGTGGCCAGCATGACTAAGCTGCTTCTGGCGAACCAGAGCAGCACATGGAAACGCCGTTTACCTTCCCACCTATTTATCTACTTGCACTTTGACATGCTTTCAAACTGCTAATTGGGCAGGAGCTGGGACCGAGCAACGGGAGCTCACCCTGTTGCGGGGATTCGAACCGCCAACCTTCTGATCAGCAAGCCCTAGAAATGTATGGATTAGTTGACTTCATTTACTTACATTTGGATGTATATATTTAAACTTTCTCACAATAGAGTTGCAATGAAAAGAGTACAGAATGGGAGAACTGTACATACTAAAGTCCATAATTTGATATGGTTGGAAGATGATAGGAAGTGTTAATATGGACCCTGGCATTATGACGTGGTGCAATGTCTTTTCCCCCAATATTTTGACAGCATTATGGCTTAGATAAGTACCTCACATGATTCTGCTAACTAGAATCCCTTCTTGCCTTCGGCATCAGAAAGGAAGAAAACGTTGACGCAACATATAAATTATTGCATTCATGAATTCCTTCCTTGTCATCTGGATTACTGCGTAGGCAAAATTGAGATAGGGTTAGTAAATATGTATTACTAAAGGAAACAAAGTACAGGAACAGGAATGTGCATGTAAGTTATATCTTGCTGGTGTTGCATGATAAATGTAAGACCCAAAGAGCACCTGAAACTGCTCTCCAAAGTCTTAAGCAAAGCTCTTTCCCGTCATCTACTGAATTCGGTGCAACTCTTGCACACAACTTGTTTTCTTCCATGGAGTTAGGTCTGTTCCCCAGTGAAGAGGGATGATGATGATGATGATGATGGTTATCACCAGTGGAAAGATTTTAATATTGAATCTGTGAGCTTGGATGATCTCTCTTAAAGGTATTTCTCTGCCCTTGCGCACATCATTGTTCTCTGAAAAATCAGTCCTTCACCACAGCACTAACCTTACTCCTCAAAGCACAGAGAATGGCAATGAATGCTAGGTGCCACAAGAGGGGGCTGAAGTGCAGCATAGGCTTGAAGGAAGTAGATTTATTAAGTGTATTCCCAGCAGAAACCTCACCTTTTGTCCTAGGGCTAGGATTGGCAAATATGGTCAGTGCTGGAGTACAGTTTAGAAAGAGAAGCTGCTTCTAAATTGCATGGTTGTGTTATATTCAGAAAACATCATTTGCATTCCATTTTTCTGAAGCTGGTAGATCATCTGGTGGCTATTTTGCACATTAATATACAATAAATCATGTGTAAACAGACCTACACCTTCTGTGGTAAGCAGTTCATGGGAAGTAAGGAAGTGGCTGAGTCAGAGTTAGTCTGCCACGCTCACTTTCCTGGGAAAAAGACCAAACAATAGTTTAGGTTAGCTGTGGGGAACTTTGAAAGGTAGGGTTTAAAATGTGTGTGGGGAAAACAGTAGTAAGCTTTTTATATATATATAAAATAATCATTAGTTTCCAAGCTATTTTTATTACTAGAAGACTAATCTTGGCACTGGCAAACCACCAGCTTTCAAAATCACCTTATTGTTCATAACAAGATTTTGCTGATTGCACTTCAGCTGTGTCACTCAGTTTCCGTTAAGCTAGGAAAATCCTCATCAGCTCCAATCATCTGGTGAGGGAAAGTCTGAACAAAGAGGTATCTAAAATAGTCAAGGTCATGAAGTGATCTTGTCCTATACATCCATCTTCTTTGCACCATATTTTAGTTATTTTTTAAAAATGAAAATGCTTGGATCACTTTTCTGTAGAAAGCATTTTAAAGCAGGGGATTTAAACAAGAGGTGTAAAAGGCATTGGGTTGTGTCCAATGTTAGTTTTACTCAGAGTAGGTACATTAAAATTAATGGATTAAAATTAGTTGGCAGTTTTTAAGCAGAGGTTAAGAAGAACTAACATTGGACACAGCCCCTTAATTATTGTTATAGTGTAACGCTGAAGTCTAATGCAAGAACGAAAGCAAAAAATCCAACTATTTTTTCCTTAAAATAGTTATTATTGTTGTTATTATTTGTTTCTTATTTATTATTTGTTGTTATTATTATTATTATTATTATTATTATTATTATTTGTTATTATTATTATTATATTATTATTATTATTATTATTATTTGTTTCATTTCTATACAGCTTTATGTTTTTAAGGGGAAAAATAGTTGGATCTTTACAGAAGCAGATTTTAAAATTGTTTGTGTGTTTCCTGCCTGGGGTTCATTTGGTAACAAGGGTGTAATATAAATTAAACAAAAACAAACAAACATTTTGTTTCCTACAAAAATGGGGGCCTTCAGGGCAGCATTGCCTTACTGTTAATTTTAACCTACAAAGGTTTACTTGTTATTGTGAAATTATACACAAAATTATAGACACCAGAAGAAGTTGGAATGTAAACAATGTATGATTTGACCCTCTATAAGATGTCCTTAAAAAGAAGTTGTGAGCAGACAAGATAACTATGTTATTGGGTGGCCAATATAAATACTGCAAATGAATAAATTTTTAAAGGAAATAAAATTGTACAACAAATTGTACAACACGCTAACCATCTGCTTTTGCTGAAGGCTGGTTGCTCTTTATGCTGAAATAGTTATCAGATTAGTGCTGCTTTCCTAAATATGTCTAATCTCATTTGATTCAAGCAACCAGGAGTGAAAGACCAATCTAGCAAATGTACATTTCCTGGACAAAGCTTATTTAGCAATTTATCATGATAGCTTAACCATTTAATTAGCTAAGAGGAGTGAGTGGGAACTGTGAAGAATGGGTCTGAACTGGGTGACAGAATCAGAAGTTCTTAAGTTTTGATCTGAAAAGCACCCACTATGTTTCTATCTGCAATACTGTCTATCTGCACAAACAGTAGGGATAGTTTGTGCACAGGGCTGATGTAAGACAGTTTGGCACCTGAGGCGAACCACAAAATGCCCCCTGCCAGGGAAGAATGAGTGAGTGAAGATCTACATCAGGAACAAGGGTGGGAGGAGACGAGCAGTGCCTTCTATTATCCGAGAGACGCTTTTAGAGGTAGCATTGGGAGGGCAGCTGCTGAGGCAGTGGCAGATCTGGAGATTTGCATTCCTTGGCAGATCTGCATTTCTTGGACGCCAGATCTGCTGTTCCTGTGCATCCTGCCACCTGAGGTGGTCACCTTGCCTTGCCTCATGGGTGGGCTGGCCCTGTTTGTGCATAACTATGCATGTCAACCATGGAAGAACAAGGGAATTTAGGGGCATTGCAAACATTATACAGGGACAAGTGTGGGTTTGCCATCAAGTTACCCAGTGCTCCTTGACAAGTGCACTTGTACGGCACACGTATTTGCAAACACATGTTGTCACATTACCACTTAACAACTTTAGGTGTATCTTTAAGACGCTTTCCCAGTATGTGCCTAAGAAATCTACAATGCAATCTGATACATGCTTCCTCAGAAGCAAGCCCCATTGAGTTCAATGAGACTCACTGCCAGGGATAGAAAAGCTGTGGTATTCCAGATATTATAGGACTACAGCTCCTATAACCCCTGACCATTTTCCATTCTGGCTGGGTCTGATGGGAGTCGGAGTCCAACAACATCTGGCGAGCCACTGGTTCCCCATCCTGACTGCGCACGATTGCAACCTTCATGCTCGAACTATATGTACTTCTTACAGCGTTGCTTCATCAAGAGATGGGCATTTCTTTTGTTCGGTCTTTCTCCTTGCTATGAAGTTACAAGAGCCACTGTGTACTTTCCTATGTATTTAGGAAAATTCCAGGAAGCATGAGATCATGGATAGCTTCTGAGATCTTTTCATAGTTCAGAGAAAACTAGCACTAGCAAGAACACTCCGTGGAAAACATACTACCAGCTTGTAAGATGCAAGCCATTTGAAATAAAGCAGTTAGTTTGTCAAGATGACACCTTGCTTAGATTCAAGAGACAAGGTTAGTCCCTAGGCTCCTGGAATTTTGCATGGACCTTTCATACTGTATGGTGGTATTCAGGTTCTCTGACATATTTATATTTTGGGGGGATTTGATCTTTACTGAACATGGTGAGGCAGAGTTATATTGTACCATAACAGTAATTTGTAACTTTACAAATACAGCAGTATCTTAGGTTAAGAACTTTATTCATTCTGGAGGTACGTTCTTAACCTGAAACTCTTCTTAACCTGAGATACCACTTTAGCTAATGGGGCCTCTCACTGCTGCTGCGCCGCTGCCGCTCGATTTCTGTTCTCATCCTGAAGCAAAGTTTTTAACCCGAGGTACTACTTCTGGAATAGTGGAGTCTGTAACCTGAAGCGTCTGTAACCTGAAGCGTCTGTAACCCGAGGTACCACTGTACTCAAAGCGATGTAGCAGCTGAGACTTCCAGACATCTGCTTTGCTGACTCAGTGTGGGGATCCTTGAAGGTTTTGCTTTTATTATGGCATCTTCTGTTGGCTTTGTGCAGTATGGTAGCGCTGCAGAGAGCTTGCTGGGGAGACCATGCATTAAAAAGGGACTCAAAAATAATTTAAACAAGGTTTTAATAAGAAAAACAAAAACTCCTTTTACACTAAATACATTAACAAACAAACATGACCCAACCACCAACCCATCCCCCAGGGTAATGGGAGAGCTAGGTGCTGCTCCTTATATACTACACCCAATTGCCAACACAGCTTAATCAGTACAACTCGGCAGCACCTGCTATGTTTCACAGCTGTAACGCTGGGTCTCGTTATCTTGCTCTGGCCCTTGCTTTGGCCCCTTAAAGACATACACATCGGGTGGAACAGTGATGAACCTTTACATTTAAAGAAACCATTCAACATCTTCAAGGATAATACAAATGCAAAATTCTAAGACCTTATGCATAGAGAGGTGGTATCACCACCCCAGTTGTTTCCTTAACAATAGCAATTGATCTTAGGACAATAAATGTTTTACAGCCTACCTCCTAATTTGGAAATATTTTAGTCAGTATTTTATGAGGACCTATCCTTGGTACCATCTTCTTATGCTTTGGAAACTGCTTTTGCACTGGTCCTGGGCAGCTAAGTCCAGTTCATGCTCAGTTGTTTCATCTCTAAGGAGGGATAAATTTTTCTGGTTTGAGCTTCTGAAGGCAGCATGACAATAGAAAACACTTCACTGCTATCGTGAGTTAATAAAAACATTTTTGCTAGTTCTTTCTGCATTTTGTATATTACAAAACAACATGCTTTTTCCTTCATTGCTTTGGAAGCTGAATGTGCAAAGGATATGAGCTCAGATTTGACTCTAAGGCAACAGAGGACAGCACAGTCTTGGCAATTATACCAGAAGGGTCTGAAAAGCAGTAGGTCTCATACATGGCATTTGTATGTTCTGGCCTATAAGTGGGTTGCATCCTGTCGTGGAAGGCTTGGAGGACATTTCCTCAAGATGACAGACAAGGACTCTTTTATCACAGAATAGAAACAGGAAGGCATACCTTTGCCATTAAGTTAGTGGATTTTCAACGCTGTGCTCCTGGGGCTCCTCAAGAGCATATTGCGGTTCCTCTAGGAGCAGATACATAACAGCAGACAACTCTTCCAGAAAGACAACTTGCACACCACTTCTGATCATCCACAAAAGAGTGGAACTACAAGGGAGTGTTGGTTGTTCTCGGGCAGACTCCCATGAAGGGGTGTAACGAAGCTCCGACACCCTCCAAACTGAGTTGACCCTTTAGGACTTTCTACAGGATTCTCTGTGCTGTGTGGGTGGTTCCACGGCAAGGTGCATGGGGGGCGGGGGTGTCTCAGGAGAAATAACCTAGTTCAGTGGTAGAGCGGATGCTTGCTTGTATGCAGAAGATGCCAGTTTCAATCCCTGCTGTCTCCAGTTAGAGGCAGCAGGTAACGTTGAATATTTTTCTCTGCTCGCGATTCTGGGAGAGCCAGTAACAAAGAAGACCCTTTGGGAGAAGCGGTCTCAGCAGGTGGAAGTCTGTTTCCTCTGTTCCCCAGCAGACAAACTGGTGTGGCATGTGGAAAGGGAGTGATTTTGTTGCGCATGTAATGTTACTTGAATGTCCTGTACCTACCTTGCTTTCCTGCCTTCTGGCTACAGCACTTGGTTCATCTGAAATGAGGAGACAATTGTTTGCAATGCTTTAGTCATCTATAATCCACCTCAAAGCTCCCTAAAGGCAAAGGGAGGTTTTCCTCTTAAGCTTCAGCAGCCTTTGAAATACATTCCTGGGTGTTAAAATAATTTATTCTAAGGGAACTTTAGACTGCAGATGTTGCTGAATGGTTTTGTGGAGGAGGGAGGGTGCGACCATTTGTGAATCTACCCTGTATGATTGGTATGGGAGGAGGAGGAGGAGGAGGAGGAGGAGAAGAAGAAGAAGAAGAAGAAGAAGAAGAAGAAGAAGAAGAAGAAGAAGAGGAGGAGGAGGAGGAGGAGGAGGAGGAGGGGAAGTTTGGATTTGATATCCCGCTTTATCACTACCCGAAGGAGTCTCAAAGCGGCTAACATTCTCCTTTCCCTTCCTCCTCCACAACAAACACTCTGTGAGGTGAGTGGGGTTGAGAGACTTCAAAGAAGTGTGACTAGCCCAAGGTCACCCAGCAGCTGCATGTGGACACCAGATTACGAGTTTACCGCTCTTAACCACTACACCACACTGGCTGGGAGACCCCCAAAGGTTACCCAAGAAATCTTCTAAGCTCTTTGACCTTTGTCCTGATCTTTTCTTCAGATACTGATTTTAAAAATGTAAGGGCTTAGGTTGTTCTCTTTCTTGAGAACAGACAGAGGGCAAAAATATGAATCATTACACCAGCTTTCAGGCTCCTTCACAAAGGTAGTCGCTGAGCTAAAAACCATCAGTTAGCACAGGGACGTGTCCAGGCAAAGTTCTTGCCAAACCGATTCCTGCACTCTTCCTAACCCTGAACCTTTCATGCTCAAAATCTCTGGCTTACAAGACATCCTGAAAGGCCACTCAGACCCACCCTCAAACCCAGAGCAATAGTTTGAATCCAAACCAGAATTGCAAATTCACTTCAAACAGCAGCTTGGATGTAAGCTGTAGCATGTGGAAACTATAGTTTGCCCAATCTGGATGTCACAGCAAACTATGGTTAGCACAAACTAGGCAGTGAGAGGGGGAATTGGAGCAGGGAAGAGAAAGGGGGTGGAAGGAAGAAGCAGGCAAGTCCAAAGCAGATTCATAACAGCAGCTTGAAATCCCCCTCCACCATGCATAATATAAGCTATGGCATTTATTCCATAAGTGGGGCTGAATTTCCATATTTTTTGTGGGGGGCATAATTTGAGTCTTGAAGTGTGATGAAAGGATGCACCCAATTAGGCAGAGGGAGGTGGCCACTTCAGGCAGATTTTTGGTATCATGAAAAGGTAGCTAATAAGAATATTTATTCATTTCAAAAAATTCACACTACTTGATTGTTAAAAGAAAACCTCAAAGTGGTTTACAAAAAGGATAACAACAACAACTGCCAGTAAGGAGGAAAGGTCCTTGTGGCCATATCTGCCTCAGATGTCAAAACAACTTGACTAGTCTTGGGTGCTGTGCATATTTTCAACTAAGTTTTCCTCAGAGTAGATCCATTAAAATGAATGGACCCAACTTAGGCTTTGTACACATTCCCATTTACATACTACTGATGTCTGAAGTACACATGATGTTAGCCAGAATTCACCTGTATCCTTTGGCTTCTTGAGTAACACTCCTGCTGGATGCACTTTCCCTCAAACCAGCTTCAGTCCATCTGATTAGAAAACAGAAGCTGCAGTATTCAGCGCAGGGATGAAATAATGCGTATCAGGCGAAGACAGCCCTGCACCCTGGTTTGCATAGGAACATAAGAAAGCAACTTGAAATGCAGTTGAGGGAAACGACCTCACTGTATTTCAAGCCACTAACGTGTACATAGTGTTAGTTTTCTGTCACATAACTCTCTGTTCCAGTTCAGAGAAGGTTACACAGCGAACCCAAAGAGGCAACATATCTGCAGCATCTTCTTCTCTCAACGCCTAACCTTTCTCCTATTTTTGCTTGCCCCAAGGATCCCCAGCCAGGCTCCTGACTGTGAGTATTACCTCATCCCTAGTATATGTCTGCTTAGTCTGCTTAGGTAGGATAACTCTTTCTCTACAAATTCCTATTTCCCTTTTTCAAGGGTAGTTTTCCATTAGGGAGAGGAAGCCCTAGCTGTGCAAAACTGGTTAGGAAACAGAACTTTTGAACCTCTATTTTGCTTGATTATTTGTCCTTACACCCCCTTTTCAAAGGAAAATCCCGGGCTATGTGTGTTTTAGGCCTGGTTACCTTGACACACACAGCAAGGTTGTTGTTTTAAAGTTAACAATCCCAGTTCCAATCCAGCAGCACAACTGATTTCCAAGACAGGAAAATGGCTCGGGTTTTGGGATGGGGGGGCTTTCACCACCAGCATCTGCCACTTGAAGCAGTTGCCTCACTCTGCCTGACAGGCCCTGACACAAACCGCTAGCAGGCCATTTCCAGCATGCTACAAATACTCATCTGAGCATGAAGAACAATGGTGAGTCTTCTAGCAGATTTCCTGCCCAACAGGAGACACCAGAGTTCCAGCTGGGGGTGAGATGAGATGACTTAACTGTGTTGTTTTAATGATAGAGCTTTGAGAATATCACCAGGAAACCAAAATGTGTAGCAGCAAAGAGTCATGTTCGTACATGACTGAGGGGGGAGTTCGCCCAGTGGAGGGGCGAACGGGCAACTTCTAACACAATACCTTCGTAAGAAGCACCTCTTTATAATAATTGCAGCCTTAATTTTAATTCTGAAGCGGACTTGCTGATCCAAAGGGTGTTTGAAATGCTGAGGCAGTTGCTTGTGAGAAGGTATCATTACCAAAACATGGTCCTGAGTTGTGTTTCACCCTCAAGCTACTCTGCAGTATATGATCCAGTGAAACCGTGGGCATGAGCTGCATATTCAAGTCTGAGAGCAGAGTCTGCTCACCACAGACCATGTGAATAGTATCTTTTCAAGTGGCCAGAGTTTTTGTGTGGCAAACAATTTGTCAGGATCGTGGCTAATGGCCCCTGGTTATGGCAGCTCCGCACAATGATTTGAACAAAGTAAGTTTGGGGATTATAAAGTATGAATGGGGTTATTGATGGGCTGTTCGGTGAGTTATTTGATATGGCCTCTGCCTACTTGTAAGCAGAAGCTAAAGTACTCGTTCAGGCTGATCTGGGCTATTGTTGAGGAGGAGCGGGGAACCTCTTGTCTCATTTCAGACTGAAGAGTATGCGTAATGTCTGTGACAGTTTGAGCCCTCAGAGAAGCAACTGGTTAAACAGAGTAGTCTATTCAGATAAAGCGGAGAGATTCATTCAGATGGAAATAGCTTCTGCAAGCTGAATGGTTATGAAGTATAAGTGGAAAGAGCAAACAAAAGGGGAAGCTGCCTCAGATGGATGCAAATTTTCAGCGCCTCAGCTAATGCAGACAGGCAAGTCTCTTTCGCTTTGAGCAGCACTTTGCTGGTTTGTACCTGCCGAGATCTGACCCAGAGGTGTGTTTTTTCCCTGCATCATGACACTACAATTCCACTGGGGTAAGGCTCGGTGCTTCAGGAAGGCATTTTTTAAAGGAGGCAATTAAACAGTTGCAGGCCCTGTTGTGGAGAAAATGAAACTGCCTGCAGTTGAAATTAAGGTGTGCTATTGTTACGAAGGTTGCGCACCACCCCCAATCTCTGTTGAGTTGTAGCAAAATTCCAGGGAGTTCCAGGCTGTGTATCCATTGGGAATCAAGACGAGCAGGGCAGCATCTAATTCCAAGGCATCTCTGTATCTCTGTCCCAGCCTGCCTTCAGCCAGCCTGCGAAGATGGTTCGGACCTTCAGCTGTCCCATGAAATTCTCCCTACTTTCTCCTTCTTATTCCCAGAACACCTTGCCTTTCTGTCTGCTTGCCCTGCCCCTTTGCTATTCCAAGTCTAGATTTAAAAAGTGACCATTTTCCTGTAACCGTACATCTTCACTCTGCATAACCTTGGCAACCTCCATTGCCACAGACTCAAGGATTTTCCTGTGATGGGATATCAACACTGTTTGTTATGCTTAACAGCTACTATCCCCAAGTGAGACCCTGGACTGAAAGTTTAGCCTGTATTTTTCCACTGGCCTGCATCTTCCTTTCAATACACCAAATATTATCTAAATTCTACCATTTTAATAAGTTTTAACACTCACTAACTTTAGCAATTATGGTTGCCCTTGCATTCCCAAACTCTGTTACCCCAAATCTGTAACAATATTGTTAAACTCCACCCCCAGTCTCCACAGCAGTGCAAGATTCCAGACAGTTTCAGGTGCTTACCAAGTTTCCTTTTGGAAAATAATGAGGCACAAAGGAGACTCTGATGTCTTTATAATATATGGTTTATTTACACATATATACAACCTGAGCCTATAATGGAGGGGTTCAGAGCATCAGCCTTCCAAGAGGATCTCGAAAGCATGAGATCTTCAAACTTTCTACTGCCAGGGTCCACCTGAGATAGCTGAAGATTACCGACGCCCACCAGTTACAAAATGGTGGTGCTGGGGCAAATCTGTCACAAAATGGTGGCACATGGATGTAGAGTTTGGTATAATCAGCTGGCGATTACTGACATCACTTTCTGCTGATGTCTAATTCATCTTTGAAAACTTTGAAATTATTTGCCATGGCATGTTCCTTGTGGCAAGGAGTTCCATACCTCGGCTTTCCTCAAGCCAAGTACAGATATTTGCATTCCAAGTACAGTGGTGCCCCGCAAGACGAATGCCTCGCAAGACGGAAAACCCGCTAGACGAAAGGGTTTTCCGTTTTTGAGTTGCTTCGCAGGACGAATTTCCCTATGGGCTTGCTTCGCAAGACGAAAATGTCTTGCGAGTCTTGAGATTTTTTTTCGCTTCCCCCCCCCTTTTTCTAAGCCGCTAAGCCGCTAATAGCCTTTTAGCAGCTAAGCCGATAAGCCGATAAGCCTTTAATAGTCGCTAAACCGCTAATAGCGCTAATCCGCTAAGCCGCTAATAGGGTTGCTTCGCAAGACGAAAAAACCGCTAGACGAAGACACTCGCGGAACGGATTAATTTCGTCTTGGGAGGCACCACTGTATTATGATTCAGCCTCCTAGTTTTAGGCAGAATTTGCTGATCCAAAGGTTCTAAGTAGAGAAGACTTTTTCATTTATATATTTTTCCCCTTCCTACCCCCACATGCTTCTTAAACTATTTTCACCCATCTCCTGTAATTTCTTCTCCCATTCTCCTTTCACATTCAATTTCTACCTTAATCTCAGTTTGACTGTGATTGTGGATGCCCTGCACTTTCTTTTGAGGGAGGCCAGGAAGTGTTTAAGCTGATCTTGGGATAAGATAGTGAAGTGTACCAAAGAGGGCACAATCTGCACCTACACGTTGCACTGGAACTTGAAATACAGATCCAGATTCAGTGCAGTTATTGCATCCAGCACATCTGCAGTATGGACAAAGGCATTTTCACAGTTCACCAGTCACAAGGAAAGGTCTCAATAATGAACCAAACCCTCCGAGTGCCTTTCACTTCTCTTTGTGGATATAACAACCTGAATGACTAACTCTGCTCCAGGGTCCTTGATTATTCCATTGAAGTTTAAGTTTCAGAAGCCAATTTTTCTCCTTCCATTTTTGGAAGTGCTTCTAATTTAGGGATTTGGCTTCATTACAGCTCTTTTCCCCATTTATAATTATTGTTCCTGCCTAATCAAATCTCTTGTGGAGGGAAGCGGTGCTTTATTTAGAATCTAAAACGTTTCTCACACTGCAGCCTAAAATCTGCTGTCTTTTGCCAAATGTTTCCAAGGCAATTTCTGTAGTGCATTTCGAACAAATTTATAGTCTTGGTGTGACGTGTAGGAAGAAAATGCATTGCATGCCTTTGGGTTTATCCATTTGGCAGCAAATGCTGAGCTCTGATGAGTATGATGCTGTCTCAGCTTCAGGGCGTACAGAAACACTTGAAAAATGTCTGTCTAAATCCACTTAGCATGCTTTGCTACTTTATGGCCAGCTTTTGTTTTTTAAAAAAGCTTTTTGGTATGCATGTCCAGGACTAAGGGCATGAAGATATTTTATCCATTTTTCAAATACTTTTTGTATAGAAGAGATATTGAATCTTATTGAATTATATCATGGGCAATATTCTACTCCAGTGATTCTGAAATGTTTTATATTCAGGCACAATTTTATTTTTTTACACTAAAAAATGTCTACATTCTTTCAAGCAGTGTTGTGCCACCACATTTTGAAGAAGTACACATTTTGGAAAGCACATTGCCATCTAAATAATCCCCCCTATTACCTAACTGCATCACTGATCTCAGTCAGCTCTTAGAACTACCATTGCAACTGTGTGATAAACAAGTTATAATTGGGCCAGTTCGGATACAGGGATACTGGTTTCATATGAAGCTGGGAATGACTGTTAGCCTTTCAAGTTCATTTCTCATGCCTTCCCTCTCTCCTTCCTCATATGCTGGTTTTAGCACTTTGATCTCAGTTAAAGCAAATCCATTTCCTAATAAATCCAACACTGGAAACTCTGCCTTGTGGTGGATCTTGGGGTCTCAAATTTCAGCGGTGCCCTGTACAACGCCAAAACCCGGCACCTCTCCACCTCTTGCAAAACTATTGTAAATCATATTTGTGGGGTCCCTGGCGTTGCCCCCAAGACTCAGTGCCCAGTGTGACTGCACCAGTCGTGCTCCCCCAAATCCTCTTCTGCTGTGGCTAACCAGGATCTGAAACCAGGATTAAAATGTGATTTCAGACCCTGGTTAGTAAACTGAAAGTAATGCTACAGTTTCTCATTTCAGGCATAACAGGGAAACCGTGGTTTTTTAAAAATATAATAATAATAATAATAATAATAATAATAATAATAATTTATTTATACCTCGCCCATCTGGCTGGGTTTCCCCAGCCACTCTGGGCGGCTTCCAACAAAACACTAAAATACAATAACCTATTAAACAGGGCTGCCTTCAGATGTCTTCTAAAAGTTTGGTAGGTATTTTTCTCTTTGACATCTGGTGGGAGGGCGTTCCACAGGGCGGGTGCCACTACCGAGAAGGCCCTCTGCCTGGTTCCCTGCAACTTGGCTTCTCGCAGCGAGGGAACCGCCAGAAGGCCCTCGGCGCTGGACCTCAGTGTCCAGGCGGAACGATGGAGGTGGAGACGCTCCTTCAGGTATGCTGGACCGAGGCCGTTTAGGGCTTTAAAGGTCAGCACCAACACTTTGAATTGTGCTTGGAAACGTACCAGCGTTGAAGCCCTGGAGCCAGTGCATGATGGGTAAAAGTGCATCGGCTCATTGTCTCTTAGTGTTCCACCTTCCCCTTTGCCCAGTGAGTCAAAGCTTGGGTGTTGCTATTGTGCTTTCTCCCCAAGGCTGAGGCTTCTGCATCTCCTCTTATGTGAGCCTGCTGTTGTACAGGTAGCACTAGGGAGTCTGCCAGCAGCTCTTCATGGTCTCCATTAGCAGATCCATCCCTGCATGGCAGGGACTGAGCCTCAGGCCCATGAATGGCAACACATTATTCTATTATTTAACTGCCTCTCTGCTGGTTATTGGCGCTTAAATGATGCTCATCAATTACAGTGAAAATAACGATCCTTGTGGCAGTTTCTCCCATGAGCTCCCATAAAAAAATGCCTTATCCTATCAGCTGTTGCTCTAAGGCAGAAGCTACAGTATAGCACAGAAGTCAGCAAACTTTTTCAGCAGGGGGCCAGTCTACTGTCTCTCAGACCTTGTGGGTGGCTGGACTATATTGGGGGAGGGGATGAACGAATTCCTATGCCCCACAAATAACCCAGAGATACATTTTAAATAAAAGCACACATTCTACTCATGTAAAAACAACAGGCAGGCACCACAAATAACCCAGAGATGCATTTTAAATAAAAGGACACATTCTACTCATGTAAAAACAGGCTGATTCCCAGACCGTCCATGGGCCAGATTTAGAAGGCGACTGGGCTGGATCCGGCCCCCGGGCCTTAGTTTGCCTACCCATGGTATAGCACAACCAGTTGCTGCTGGAGGTTACCAGTGGAAGAAGGAAAGAGGAATAGGATTGGCTGGATGCTGTAAAAACAAAGGAATAAAGTGATCTGTTGTTTATAGTTCACTTAACCAGTATCTTCTCTGCCTTTGGCCCTGAAGATTTTCGGCAATTTGGGTTCCGTCCACACAACAAATTTAGTGTGACTTCATTGTCACACATGTCAAAGCCCAATGTGGACAGTGTGAATTCTTTTTGGGTGTTTGGGAGAATCAACTGCATAACCTACTTCGTATTTCTTTTCTTTTAAAGAAATGTCCATGCTGTCTTCACAGCTGAAGCATAGTTATGCAAAACTGCATAAACTGAACTGTGGGCCAAAACGGACATGATGCGGGTGCTCATGTGAACAGGGTCTACCACATTAAAACAAACAAACAAACAATCATAGCAGCAGTGGGCAACACTGATTCAGACTGAGAGTGTGGCAGTGTGAAGGAAGTTGACCCTATTGGGGTGTCGTGAACCCCTCCACATCATAGCAACAGCAACGACACCCTAATAGGGTCTTGTTTCTCCCATAGCCACAGCTTAGGATTCAACCAGACATCAGACATCATGTTCTGACCCTCTCTCCAGCTTGCTGCCTTTACCAGACTGCAACCTTTTACCCCTCCAACTCAAACTCTAAACCCTGGCTTTTGTTCTTCTAACCATCTCTCTCACCTGAAGGAGGAGCCCTACCCAACTGCCTTCTGGCACAAAGGCCCCACTCATTCTGCCTTCCTAATGGCTGATTGCCTTCTTTTTGTCTTCCTAATGGCCTCTCACCCAAGGCAAGTTATTGGTCAGGAAACTGGCCTGGCTTATATTTAAACATTTGTTTTGATTAGATTCTAACACCTACTGGAGCCAGGGAATTTAGGGTGTATAGCACCCACAAACTCATAACAGTTAAATGTGGTTACCCATGTGCTTTGCTTAGCTGAGCTAATAGCAACTCAGAAAATAGTGTGCAGGTGAAGGGGTTAACACATTACCCCATGCTGGTGGGGTAGCATGGTTGCTATTATTTATTTATTCCCCAGGCCACACGTCCTTCTAAGCCACACCCACTCTCTCTAGGCCACATGTGTCCCCAACCTTGAAGTATGATGACATCCTTGAAAATCTGGTAACGCCTCTTGCTTGACTGCATGGAGGATAGAGAGGAGTACATGTGGAGAAACTATCCTACTGTACAAATATAAAATTTATATTCATTTCTCTATCCACAGTTGTCTCTGGTTCACCTCAGAATGAAAAACATTTCCCATTCCCAAAACAGAGGATGCCTTCAATTAGAGGTTTGTTCTCCTACTGTTCTTGAAGTGGAGGATTGTTGTCTGTGAAGTGCAACGAACATGGTCATCCAAATGCATGGAACAGACTGCAAAATGTGAACAGCTAGATCAGCTTGTTTAGTTATAGATAGAAAGAATCTTTATCTGCTCTGGGTATGGAAAGCTGCAAGTGTGGGAAGAAATGCTCCACAGAGCATTGACACGAAACAGTTAAGTATATATAGAAAGCAGAGTTTTGTGAGGCCTAGCCATAGAGCTCTTGTATTTATTAGATTTGCTTTTGGGTTTTCTTTAGCACATTAATAGCAGAGCAAATGCAGCTGGCCCTGGGAGATTAGATAGCTATTGTTTATTATTTCATTCATTGTTCAGTATGTGCTCTTTTCTGTAAATCCTCCAATTCCTTTGGCATTTCTCTTTGTCCCGAGGTTAAAAGTGCAGCAAATCTTTATACAAACTGCAGCAGATCTGCATTGCAAGTGTTTGTCAAGCATGAGGGTTGCAATCCTCAACACACTAAGAAGGGCAGGTCTCATACTGAATGCCACATACTTAAAAAAAAAAAGCTTTACATTAATAAACCTAAAATACAGTAAAATTCGTTGAATCCAATTGATCTGTACAGGACATTAACATCTTTGGATAAAACAGGAGTGTGTGGGTGGCGGGTAAAATAGTCAGGAGAGGAGGCACAAAACATGTTAATAATTAGGAGCTTTGGAAAACCAAGGTTTTTGGATCAGACACCCACATAAGCATTGCAACTGCCTTGCTGGAAGAAACCAAAGTCCACCTAGCCTGGCTTTGCAATTCCAACCAGCAAAATGCTTCTGGAACCTCACAAAGCATCAAGGCATGAGGTCAGGAGAGGGAGGGAGAGGGAGAGAGAGAGAGAGAGAGAGAGAGAGAGAGAGAGTGCTGTGGGATATACAGTGCTCAAACAAAATTAATCTGGGCCTGGAGCAACTTTGTAAATACAAGACCCCGTCCCAAAATCCTTTGTCTGCCCTTGAGCTTCTTTGGGTCCTTATTTTTTGTTAAAGCTTCTTACATCTTTGGCAAATAAGGTCAAATGACATTTAGCTGCTCTTCCCTTGCCCCTGGATCAAGGGTCGATTCTCCTATAAACTCAGGAAACTACAGGCCCCAACTCACACATATTTTGGGGAGCTGTAAATGTTATCTCAGTGCCCCTAAATTACTGATGGTGCTGCCTACTGCTGTGTTCTGATGTGGCCTCTACCTGCCCATGCACAGAAAAGACCAGCAGGAACTAAGGAAGTCTGGGACTTGTAGTTCTTGGAGAGCGTGTTGCACATGGAGAGGCACAATAACTCTGTGTAGAGCTTGATGGGTTAATTGAAGGCATCTGAAGGCAGCCCTGTTTCGGGAAGCTTTTAATGTTTGATGTATTATAGTATTTTAATATTTTTTTGGAAGCCGCCCAGAGTGGCCGGGGAAGCCCAGCCAGATGGGCGGGGTATAAATAATAAATTATTATTATTATTATTATTATTGCTCACTCTTCAGAATATTGCTTTATTTTGTTCTGAGAATGGGCAAAATGTGATGGGGGGTGCTGAGGATCATTTGGATGGACTTGAACTGCGAATTGAACATGGACTGAACTAGTTTGTTTTGTAAAGGGACGAATCTGAACTGGAATTAGTTCATTTTTGGACACCTTGAACTTGAACTAGAGCTTGTTCCTTTTTGAAATGAGCTCTGCAAGCTCTGGTGATGCCTATCTGTTGGTGCTGCCCTTAGATTCATGCATCTACTACCTCTTTCATTTCATTTTATTTTATTTTACTTGCCTCTTTGCGAACAACTGAGTCAGCAGTACCCCATATACGCACTTGATGAACTTCAAGCATGTCTATAAATGTCTCGCTGGATCAAGGCCCAAATGCTTTAATGATTGAGGTAAAGGTAGACTTTGCAACATGCCTGGAAGGTTTAACTTTTCTGAACTTGGATGAAGCAAAAGGATAAGAGAATTGCAGGGCTTAGTGTGGGGTTTCACTGCATAGTAATTTATTTTCAAAATTTGTTTTAATTAAGAGGCTTAAGGGAAGTGATATTTAAAGGCTGTGATTTTGACATCATCGTACACCCCTGGCGGGGCAGGCGAGATATATAGATTTGGTTAGGAAGCGTTGGTTAGGACTTCCTTAAGTCCTCCCAGTGAGAAAGATGAATGTGAACTGCTAGAAATTGTTAAATGCAAATGGAAGGGGAGATGAGAAAACAGGGGGAATCAATTGTGCTTGCTTCCTAGGACTTCCCAGCTAAATTTTCTTTATGTTATAGGTATATCAGAAGTTGCCTTATTTCAAGTCAGACCAGTGGTCTGTTTTAGGTCTGGTTGTAATCCTTGGTGGCTTCCAAAATATTGCTAACAGAGCTGTCATTTTTCTTGCTTGAATGCTTGTTCAACATTTCCAGTAATAAAGGAACCATGTACTTGGAGTAATCTTGAAACTGCTTTATGTCATGCCTTCCTTGAGCTTCCTCCAGCCCTCAAGTCTGTTTAAAAATTGTGATCTCAGCAGTGTGGGCTGTAACGATGTTTTTGACACGTTGCTGACCATATGACATCAGCCTGTGGGCAAATGTGTGTGTAACATATTTAGCATGTAAGCAGGCTAGAACAAGTGGTTTTGATGCCAAGAAGCCATAATTTCCTTAGTTTTCTCTTTTTGCATAACAGGCAGAAAGATTTTTGCTTGGGTAATGGACAAAAGAGGCAAATCTCGAGGCATGAAGCAGAGCAGAATACATTTTCTGTAAGTGGAAGCATGTTTCTTAAAGCCCAGCAGCTCAAGCAACCAGGTTGTGTAAGGAAAATCAAACATTATTCACATGTAAATAGTGGCAAATTCCAGAGTAGGCATTTAAATCAGGATCCGTACATACTGTTATTTTCCCCCAACACCAGATATAATGTAATTCAAATCCTGTAACCCTCCCATTTGTTTCCCATAAGAAAATCTCTAAACTTTATTAGTGAGTAAATCCAGCTACTGTAGTGTGATGTCTGCCAATGTGCTTGTCCTAGCCATGACACTATTTTTGTGTTTTAGGGCTTGATCTTTTTGCTGTTTGCAGGGAGGGTGTGCTCTCATGCCACTTTCCCTGAGTTCTGGTGGCCCTGCAGCTGATTCAGATGCAATTTGCCGTCTTTAAAATCACAGGAAAGAAGGATTGATTTGAGCAAGAGAGATTTTATCTGCTTTAATCTGTTAAATGGAGTTGATTTATTAACAGCGCTATCTGCCCTGTCCTGTAGAACAGAGACAAGGAGCTTCTGGTTCTACAGATGTTGCTGGACTCAGCTAGCATAGTCAGTGGTCAGGAATGATGAGACAACATCTGTAGGGACGCAGGTTCCCCACCCCAGCTGTAGAACCTTCCCAGACAGAGAGACAATGGACAGTGCCCATCTGGTGCTGTACATAAACTGGGGCTATTTTTATTTGCTTATTTATGTAGCATCATGTATGTACATAAACCTTAGAAAATAATGAGAGGAAGAAGACAGATCCTAACCCCAAGGAGTTTACAATCTAAGAATAGACACAAGGGAAGCAACAGTTGGAGGGGAATGGAAGTAGGTGTAAACAGACGAAGAATATGTGATTGCAATGAAAATAATCACACATTCTTCCCCTGTTTACACCTACTTCCATTCCCTTCTGACTGCTGCTTCCCTTGTGTCTCTGTTCAGATTGCCAACGACTTCTTGGGGAAATGTAGGCTGATAATCTAGACTGATGATTAAAGACAAAATGATTTCAGAGATAGCCTTGAGTCAGTACTAGCTTCTGAAGGGTGGGACACACACACTTCTTCTTCTTCTTCTTCTTCTTCTTCTTCTTCTTCTTCTTCTTCTGCGATTACTCATAGGCGAGTAAGATTGTCTTCCATAAACATGGTTTTAACAATGAGTCCATAAGTGACTGTGGAGGCCAATTCTGGAACCACGTGTCCTTCCGTGTGCCTTCCTCTTAGCACATTTCTCCCTTGCGTCCTGGGTTCGAGTGTCTTCAAAGCCCATGACACCTTTGGTAAAGGCTGTTCTCCAACTGGAGCACTCGCAGGCCAGTGTTTCTCAGTTGTTGGTGTTTATACTACATTTTTAAAGATTAGCCTTGAGACAGTCTTTAAACCTCTTTTGTTGACCACCAGCATTACGCTTTCCATTTTTAAGTTCGGAATAGAGTAGTTGCTTTGGAAGACGGTAATCAGGCATCCGCACAACATGACCAGTCCAACGAAGTTGATGTTGAAGAGTCATTGCTTTAACACTGGTGATCTTTGCTTCTTCCAGTACACTGGTATTAGTTCGCCTGTCTTCCCAAGTGATCCCTCCACACCAGAGAGTTCCATTCTTCAATAGGTAGGCAGTCAACATTGTGCAGCATTGGACTGGAGAATGTTTCTTTCTTTGAGATGCACACAAAAGGCTGCACTATACAACTGAAGAAGAGAAAGATTGAGTTCACACAGACAGCAAACTGGAAGATAATACAGTATGCACAACAGAAGTGCTTTCATAGTTAAATAGACCAGAACCTTTGCCTGAGGGGGTAGGAAGGTAGGAATTAACTGTTCCTCCTTGGTTGACTAGTGTGGCATCCTGGATACAATGGATTTGTTCAGTGCTTGAGGTCATTCTTCTATCTATGAACTATCTTACAGTTTTAGAAGCTGTTTCCTTACTGCGATTGCTCCCAACCCTGTGCCACACGAAGGTTTTATAGTAAAATATAATACTAAATGATTAGACATTTTCAAATGTGCAAGTCTACCATTATGTTCCAGCTTTTTACAGGTCATGGAGGTTAAGAAAATTAAGTGGAGGATGTTTCCTAAATGAATTGGCAGCTCCTTTGTCCAGTCCACCAACTTCTGGGTGGCTGGGTGGGAACAATTAGGTTTTTCAGATCATGGCACAATTTAAAATAGAAACTGCTTGCAGGTGGTTCTTTGCCATACACTGACAGTAATTAAATGGTGTGGTCTGTGTTTTATGGCCCTACAGCTTAGATGCCAGTTCTTGTAAACAAACAAACAAAAATTCTCCCCAATAGACCTGGATGTTAAGAACTCCTTCCTCAAAGTAAATTCCAAAGAATGTGTCTTTTAATGATCCTCAGAGACAAGGCACAGAGCGAGAGAGAAAAGTGAAAAGTGATAATGAACTAAAAGAGTTTCTCACAGTGATTTCAAATGGTTAGGAGGGTGGTACAAATAAGTAACAAGAATTAGCTATTGAAAAACAACCTTTTGATAACATTGTATTTTGGCAATACATTCATTTGTTAGGTGTTAATTCTTAGCAGTAACTATGGAAAAATGAGCAGTGTTTGTTATGTTCTGGGATTATGTTCTGGATGCTTTTAATTTATGGTCATAAAATGTTGGATCATTTTTTTAAAAGAATATTATTTCTTAAAAAATGAACAAAGTCAATATTTTCTCATCCATCTTCTTTTTTGTTGGGCTGGTTCCAGGATTTGCTCCACCTGACAAAAGCTGAACTGAAGAAAATGGGAGCTGAGGATCAAATCCTTTCTAACATCTTGCTCCTTAAGGAAACAGAAATAAAAGATGGTAAGAAGTAGGTTCTATCTAAAATTAATTTGTCAGTCTTATTGGTGAATTTAAAACGAACATTTCGTTACTGGCTGCCAATTCATTTCCGTGGTCAGTTCAAGGTACTCACATTTGAACACTAAATGACTCAGGCCCCAAATGTCTGAAAGATCATCTCCTTCCTTACAGACACTCTGGAAAATTAAGATTGGCAGATTGGGGCCTTCTTGGTAGTTCGTTCACCTTCAGAGGTTCAGGTAGGTAGTCGTGTTGGTCTGACGCAGGTGAAATTAAAAAATTGTCCAGTAGCACCTTAGAGACCGACTAAGTATCTGAAGAAGTGTGCATGCACACGAAAGCTTATATCCCAAACAAACTTAGTTGGTCTCTAAGGTGCTACTGGACATTTTTAAAATTTATTTCACCTTCAGAGATGTGTTTTAATGTTGTAACCTTCCCTGAAGAAGAACCAGGATAGATTCCGCAAGGGTAAATCCAGTTTCTCAGATAATCCAGTCATTTTATGGTATATTAACGGTACAATTGTTTATCTTTATTGCTTGTAGTTTACTTAGTCCACAGTCTGAAATTCCAATGATCAGCCCATCAGGGAGCATTTCAGAAGTGCTGCACACCTGCCTTCTGAAGCGCCAATGATCAGTTGATCATTGGGAGTTTAAAGCACAGAACAATGCTCTTATGTTCTTAAGGTAAACAGTTAGGATTAAATCACTTTAATCCTCTCTTGTGCTTTTAAAGTAAGTGTCTGACAGCTGATAGTGGGGAAGAGAGGCATTTGTAATGCACATGAACATTCTGATGCATAGGTTTCATATACAAGTTACACACTTTATTTTGCATCCTGTTGGAAAGATGATTGTGATTCTGAAAGACACAGCAAATTCATCTCCTAATAGCATTTTGATTGTGCAAACTGTGGATTAACAGTCCCTACCAGCAAATCAGCCTTCTTTTTGCATTACTTCGTCCCTGCCTCTATTTTACTGAAAGGGGCGATTGAAGCTGAGCAGAGGAAAGCACAGAAAAGAGACTTATCATGCAAGAACTGTCCTGAACAAATGTGAATGTTGACATCCTCTGCAGATTCAGTGCCAGCTTAGGATCAACAAACTCAAGAGCTTTCCTCAGGAATGCAGAGGAGAACTTTTAAAAAACAAAACACATAATCACAGAGGAGTCCTGGGCGATAAGAGAAATATGAGAAAATGAATGCCTCTCTGCAATTAAAGCCATTATCAAAAGGGATAGTGTGTGCTTTGTAGGCACTATTTATCCATCAAATTCTTTTTCCATCGATCTGTGGTTTCATATTAATTTTTTTCTTGAAAACTTTGCATATATATGTGTGTGTGTGTGTGTGTGTGTGTGAGAGAGAGAGAGAGAGAGAGAGAATGGGCCTCCCTGGTGAATTTTTTAATCCCCCTTCCAGCTTTCAGTAATGTGCTGCCATGCTGCTTTTGAAACTCTTCTTCAGAAGCAATTTGCCTTATATTTTAGTCTTACTAAAACTTTGCTTTGATCGAGTGGTGAGGGTTGGCAGTGTGTGTGGCCTAGATGGCACCATTCGGATTGTGGGCAGTTGCAGGAAGTGTGGCAGTGTGAATTATGTTGGCTTGTTACAGGATAAGGGGGTTAGACATCTGAGAGCTCTACCTCCTTCCAATCAGCTTCGGCCTTGTATACCTGAAGGAGCGTCTCCACCCCCATCATCCAGCCCGGACACTGAGATCCAACTCTGAGTGCCTTCTGGTGGTTTCCTCATTGCGAGAAGTGAGGTTACAGGGAACCAGGCAGAGGGCCTTTTCAGTAGTCATGCCCACCCTGTGGAAGGCACTTTAGCTGATGTCAAACAGATAAACAGCCATGTGATTTTTTAAAAGACACCTGAAGACAGCCCTGTTCAACCTGAAGGCACCCCTGTTTAGAGGAGTTTTTAGTGTGTGGTATTGTGTTTTTACTATTTTTTGTTGGGAGCTGCCCAGAGTGGCTGAGGCAACCCAGTCAGATGGGCATATAAATCAATTATCATCATCATCATCATTTTCCCAACAACATGTCAGTGGGTGCCAAGTGGGCTTCTCTGCAGGACCAGAATGGGAATGGCAAATTCAAGCATCCTTGCTGAGGCCCTCTCGTCTGTTGCAGATCAGGATTTCATGGTCTCCATGACAACAATATCTGTCTCGATTGATATCCGGCCTCTTTCATTTGGCTGGTCATACACTTGATTTGGTGTTATATTCTGAACAGGGTGGTGATCATGGGTGGAGAAGTTTGACATGGTTCCCTTGGCATGGATAGAGCTCTGCCTGGCAGGTTTTAGGCTTACTGAGTGGAGGGCTTATTAGAACAGTCTGCCCTAGAGAAAAATAGATCCAGTCCAGATTAAGTCCTGCTGGCTCTGGGGCAATGTAATGCTGGCAGTCCTATCAAAGCACTTGATAACATCTGGAATGGGGAAACTACATGAGCAGTTGCTATGTTCACTCCAGAGTGATCTCTCTGTTTGGTGAGCCCGTGTGGCTCCCTAGTTTTCTGAGCAATGAAACTTTTCCCTTCCAGCAAAGGAAAATGCATGATGAATTTGACTGAAGTTGGGCTAAAGCTCATTTCAGAGCTCATCTCATGGCAGCGATGGTGGAAAATAAATCTTGGTTTTCTGGCACCATTTTGTCCGTACAGAGTTGTCTGGCAGAATTGTTCCAAGTGGCTCCTGAGACGTGATGGTTACCTGGTGTGCCCTATTTGCCAAGCACTTTGTAGTCAACATCTCTGATAGACATGTCTGCCTTGACTCCAAATTGAGGGCAGCACCAGATGCAGCTGCTTCTCCTGTTTCTATGGATACTTCTTGGTTTGCATAGCCTGTGGATGTAGACGGAATTATTGAAGTTGGGCGCTTCATCACTTGGCATGCTCAATCCTTGCCCTTCCTGGTTGATTAAGGAAGCCAGCGCTGGGTAGGCTGATTCGGTTGGGGAGCAAAGGCCATCGTTCCAACAGTATTGAAGGAAGTGGTGGTAAAACCAGTATGGAAAAAGATCTTCCTGCCCTTTATAATGTTCATCCAGCAGCATCAAACATCTCACTTTTGGGCAAGGCACTCAAGAATATGGTGAGAAATATGTGTGTGAAAAAGGAGGGGCTGGGGAGTTCACAATTCCACATCCTACTCCTCATCTCTTGATCACAGCTAGAGAATAGGATATTATGTCGTTGCTGTGCATGCTGAGTCCCTTGTTTGTTGATAAATATGTGGGAGTTTCCTTAATTGCACATCTTATGTCGCATGTGCAAATGAGAGTGCCTAGTGTTGACTGAGGGAACTCAGAAGCTGGAAGGGTTTCCACCTTGATGAAAAGCAGTAGAATCAATGGCAGGAACAATTTCTGCTCCTGTTTTTTAGACACAAACTGAACTACAAGTTGTAGAACTAAGATCCTGAACTACATCTTTGCCTTGTTTCACAGCATTGCTGGTGAAAGAATAGGTTCATCCTATTCAAAGGGCCTGGGAATCTTGCTTTTAAATAGATCTGTTGTGTCAGTTAACTGTGACTACAGGCTATTGTTTTCATAGTGGGGATGAGAAGCTGTTATCTGGTCTCCAGCCCATTGTGAAGAGTTTTTGTTTTGTGTCTGCTTTGGATAAAGTGCTGTGTCTAGGAGCAAGAGTGCATGATCAGTTACTCTGGGAATGCTTGCTTTTAGCACTTGAACTACACTTGAGCATCAAATTATTGTTGCTTTTTATCCTTCTGTTTGCAAAATATATTTATTTAATTTTTTTCTACGTAAAGTTTTCCCAACACTGCAGGATAAAATGAATAGATTTTTAAAAAAGCATACTGTTTCTGAACCCAGTTATTTCAGCAAATCCGTACCGAACTGAAATGTAAAATCTCTCAATAAATTTCAGGTAGCTATGCTGATTCATTTGAAACAAATCCAAGAGCAACAGCAACATGCTGCTACAATTGTAGCATTTCAAAAACAATCAAGTAAACATTCATAGCAAAGTAGTGATCACCGTCTGTTCTTCTGATAATGTTTAAAATCCTCACTATCACAGCAAGTGTGTGTTTGATTGGCTTTGATTTGCAGATTGCAGACTGGAGCCAAGCCCTCTAGTAGCTTTGCCAGCCAACAGAACATTCCACTTCAAACTCTTCCATATTATTATTCATCCAAATATTCTATCAGTACCTGTGTGGTCTTCTGAAGTCACCCTTCACAGCTATCAGAACTGGAGACTTCTAGACCATCTTGTTACCTTTTTTTTAGAAGAGCTGAATGCGTAGACCTAAGTTGCCAAATATGTAAACAAACAGATCTGGCTTTTGTATGTCGTTAAGGAAGTTCTATTTGGGGTGGGGTGGGGAGACAAATGACTCTACTATCCTATCCTTTGAAGATTCCAGCTGTATCCTTATTTTTTTCTGTTTAGAACCCTACTGAGCCACATCTTTGTGGACATCACAAACTGAGTCAAAAATATCACTGACATCTTCACACACAAAGATAAGCTATTGCTCATTTTGTATTACAGTGGTACCTCGGGTTACATACGCTTCAAGTTACAAACGCTTCAGGTTACAGACTCTGTTAACCCAGAAATATTACCTCAGGTTAAGAATTTTGCTTCAGGATGAGAACAGAAATTGTGCAGCAGCGGCAGCAGGAGGCCCCATTAGCTAAAGTGGTGCTTCAGGTTAAGAACAGTTTCAGGTTAAGAATGGACCTCCAGAAGGAATTAAGTATGTAACCAGAGGTACCACTGTATTGCTGGGAGAAACTGAAGCAATTTCTATCCTTGCAAGATATCATGTTTCTCATTCGAAGTTCCATACAGTGAGAGAGAGAGAGAGATCCAGCCATCCTTCAAATAGTGGGAATATCTATAAGGTGGTCATTATGACACGCTGAGCTTCAATCTTGAGTTGCCCTTTTGTGAATGGAAAGGAACTGTGACCCAGAGTCCAATTCCTTTTTTAGATGACGGGGACGGTAGCCCTGAGTTGAAAGCAATAGTCCCATTCTTAACTCTGGAAATGGTGCAAAGTCCTCCTGCATTTCATTATTTTCATTTGCAAGTACTAATCTGAAGAAATGGAAAACTAATAGGAAGTAATGCTGCATGATTTGAAGAATGATATGAGTGATACATGATCACATGACCCGAGTAATTGTCATCATTATGTTGCACTTGGTTGTTTCATGAGGAAGTGTGGTGTTTCTTTTGCTGTACTCATAGTAATGTGACCACTGAAAAATCATATGATATACCAATGTGTGCATTCAACGAACTGGTATTTTGTACCATTTATTAACTGCTTTTAACTAGTGTATTTTTAGACTGTGTTGATGTATTACATTTTCTGAGCCACAGTCTCATGGTCACCAGACCACAAATGCAGAAACACGGGAAGGTGCCTTATATCAGGTCAGATTGTTTGTCCAACTAGCACAATATTGTCTATTCTGGCTGGTAGTGGCCCCTGGAGTCTCAGGTGAGATCTTTTGGGCAAAAGATTCCTGCATTGCAGGGGGTTGGACTAGATGACCCTCGGGATACCTTCTAACTTTACAATTCTCTGTTTCTTTTTAAAGAAAGTTTCTTTTGCTCAATAAGTAAGCTAGCCATGACTCATTTTTAATTGATGTCAATGGATTGTGGCCTCTGTCTTTTTATCATGTTTGCACCACATATTAATATTGAATTAATAGAAATTTTCTGTTAAATGTATGTGTTCCACTACAGTTCTGAATTATACCAGCAACTTTCAAAAATGAACTTCTGTATAACAGCTACTGAGTGCCAGATGTCAGAATGTTATACGAACTTACTCTTCTATAAGTGTGCCAAAAACTGTTTTGAATTGAGACATAGGCTCCTGAATTCTTACACAACTCCAAATGTTATTTAAAGCAATTTATCCTAAATAATCTCCTTTTGCTATGTTGGAACTTTGGAAAGGAGCCATTTCGCTGAGACAACATGAGATATTTCATTATATTAACTTGAATTAACTTCCAGAGTGAGTTTATAAATTGAGCCAGGCACAATTTATGTAAGAAAGGTTTTTTTTGGTTGTTTGTTTTTTAAAATAAATGGTTGTTTTTCAGACATTTAAAAAATGAGAACTATTCCATCTTCTTTCTGGGTATCTTCAGATATGCTTCTAATGAACTCTACCCTGCATGAAATCCACCCACTAGGCATTTCCTTTATATTTGGGGGCTTCTTGTAAGTGCAAATAGGAAAAATCTTGTTCACACAATATGTTCACAGAGATGAGAAAGCTCTGGCCCTCCAGATGTTGGAGAACAGTTCCCATCATTGCTGACTATTGGTCATGCTGGCTGGGACTGATGGAAGTTGGAGTCTAACAACCCCCAGAGCGCCATAAATTCCCCATCCCTGACTATATGGAACTCACCGTCATAAGATATAGTGAATGTCACTAGCACCGTTGGCTCTTTTAAAAAGGATGTCACAAATTTACACAAATAGGTCTATCAAAGGCTTTAACCATTATAACCAAATGGAGGGGCCCTCTGGGTACTATATGCTGGTAAGTAACCATGAAGGGCTGTTGCCTTCATGTACCAGCACACAACTTGGGACTGGTTTGGAGTCAATCAGACAAGGCTGGGTTTGGGGCCATTTACTTGTGACCCCGGTCTGAATGTTTGATTATTCAGTTTGGTGGGGGGGGGGGTGGCACAAAATGTGGCTTTGAAGCACAAAGTGGCACAAAACGAGCACAAAACTTTGACGGAGAGTCACTGTGGTGTAGTGGTTAAGAGCGGTAGACTTGTAATCTGGTGAACCGGGTTCGCGTCCACGCTCCTCCACATGCAGCTGCTGGGTGACCTTGGGCTAGTCACACTTCTTTGAAGTCTCTCACCCCCACTCACCTCACAGAGTGTTTGTTGTGGGGGAGAAAGGGAAAGGAGAATGTTAGCCGCTTTGAGACTCCTTCGGTTAGTGATAAAGCGGGATATCAAATCCAAACTCTTCTTCACCTGTTTGGAGACAATGGGACAAGGTTGCATTTGCTGTGTCAGTTACGGGGTCACAAATTAATGGAGGGCCTTCATGTCCTGATTCTGTTCTTCCTAGAGCAGTAGTTCTCAAATGTTTTTCCTCTGGGTCACCCTTTCAGAATAAAAATTTGCTCGCGCCCCTCCGGATTTCTTATTGATGAGAAATACATTGCAAAACAAGAAGAAAGAATTCCTAGCAGTGCCTAATTTATATACAGTGGTGCCCCGCAAGACGAATGCCTCGCAAGACGAAAAACCCGCTAGACGAAAGGGTTTTCCGTTTTTCGATGCGCTTCGCAGGACGAATTTCCCTATGGGCTTGCTTCGCAAGACGAAAATGTCTTGCGAGTCTTGAGATTTTTTTCGCTCCCCCCCTTTTTCTAAGCCGCTAAGCCGCTAATAGCCTTTTAGCTGCTAAGCCGCTAAGCCTTTAATAGCTGCTAAACCGCTAATAGCGCTAATCCGCTAAGCCGCTAATAGGGTTGCTTCGCAAGACGAAAAAACCGCTAGACGAAGAGACTCGCGGAACGGATTAATTTCGTCTTGCGAGGCACCACTGTAACATAGAACACAACTACTTTATAATATGATCATGGGACATGCAGAAACTATAAAACAATGCAGCTACATAAGAACACGAATCATTCCTCAAATATAATGTTGATTGTCCTCAAATCTTCCTGCCACACTTGCCACCCTCTCCTGCCACACCAGTGTGGCGCACCACACCCCTTGAGAACCACTGTGCTAGAGACAGCATGCTGACTACCGCTTGAAACAGATTTGGAGGTTGGGGGGGGGATCTCTTTTTTGTGATGTGTGGAAGAGACAGATCCTCCTCTTGAGATGCCCGGCATATGCAGCAGACTTTGGGATTGGTAGGAATGCAGTCCCACACATGGCTCCAGGATTTGCAGAACTAGGGATTATTGCTTTTGTTGAGCACCTCCAAATCCAGGCATGAGGTGAGAGGTTATTCCGTAGGCCCTTCCTCTGGAACTTGGAAAAAGGGGCAATTTAAAAAAAAACATTTTTAAAAAACAAAAAGCAAACAAACACCCTACTATATGTCATCCTTTTAAGGTGATTCAAAGCAACAAGATGTGGGGTTTTTTGCTACTTCCGAACACTTGCAAATATCACTACAAAATTAATAGCTGGCCCTTCCATTCCCTTGAATACTCTCAGTACGCAAGAGGACTCAGGTAGGGTAGGGTTGAGAGAACCGCAAATAATGGCTAGCTACCAAGGCCAGCTAAGATTTGGAGAATCCCCAAAAAACATAACAGAAATGTGTTGCATGGTGGGTGCAAAAGCTCAGCTTACACACTGACATAACTAGGGACTGGCATTCTGCAGTGGAAGGAGCAGGTACAGTCACTTCTCCCCATGGTGCATATAAGACATTACATAAACCGGGCACTCCAGCCATTGTCTTGTACGTATGGAGGTCCAATGCATATGGTTCTTCCTGCTCCCTAAGGGTGGGAGGAAATCGTGCCATTCAAGTCTACGTATGCTTGGGCCTGTGTATAGCACACCTGTGGGAATTACACTCTAGTTCCCATTTAAACTCTAGTTCCCCGGGTCTTTTGACCCTTTAATTAGTTCCTTTTTCCTCGTACAAAAACTATGCAAGGCGCTCTCTTTTAAAGTTTAAAGAACAAATACATTTTACTTAGCATACTTGCACTTGCAGAGTAAAATATACAACGCAGATAGGCGTTGCTTATGTTGCCAAGACATCTTACATAGATGTGCATCCAAGATAAATACAGACTAACTCTGAGGCAGGCAGCAGCACAACAGAACATACCTGCTGCTCAAACTGTTAAAAGACTTTCCGTAACTGCCGTTAACTGTACCAACTGAAATAACTGCCTCAGGCATATGACATCACACAGTTCTATAGCCCTTGTGAGCATTGACCCTTTTAAACTCGGCATTTGGGATGCTTTCATCCCACAACACCCAGTTTACAAAGTGCCTTATTTATGCCTACACTATCGACCATGGTAATCCTCAAGCCAGTTGAATCTGTGAAGTGGCCCAGTATAGTTCCCATAAAAAAATTAAAAAAAAAGTGTTGAGTTAACTTCCTAGTTGAACCTGAATGCTGGAAGATTCAGGACAGACAAAAGAATGTACTTCTTCATGCACAGTTAAACTATGGATTGTGACCCCACTAGTGGTGGGATGACTGTGTTCTGTCTCTGCTGCTGGAGGCACCAGGTTTCCGAAGAGCAGTTGCTAGAGATGGCAGGGTTGGGCAGAGTGCTGGTGCACTGTGGTCTTGCTTGCGTGCTTCCCATAGGCATTGGGTTGGCCACTGAGAACAGGATGGTGGGCCTTTGGTCTGATCCAGCAGGCTCTTATTATGTTCTTAGCGATAAGTTTTATTTGCCCTCCTTTCATCCCTTTGTTTCGAAATCCACTGGAGCTTCCTCTTTCCTTTGCAGATGAATGTTTTGAAGGTAATTTCTGTCTACGTTCCATATTTAGTTCAATACTTCTTTGAAATTTACAGTTTATCATCTTCAGCTACTTTGATTTATTTTTTTGATGGAAATATTAAAACAGAGTGTTTGATCCAATTCTAGATCATTTGGGTAAAAAAAAAAAAGACTTAAGGAAAGACAATAAATATTTTAGGCTAAGTGCAAAGAAGATGAAAGAATAGTGGAAAGGTGACACCTGAGGTGAATTAAATCTACTCTCCAGTGGTTTCATCTGTTTTACTGCCCTTGTGAGTGACTGTATTTATAACATTCTTACAGCAGGAATCAGCTGTCAGGATCTTGTTATCTTGAAATAATTGTCCTTGCCTCTCAGCTGCTCTCACTTCTGTGACAAGTTTGATGATGAGGCAGGAGCCTGTTAAAGTGAAAACAATCTACTGTTCAATGACCCTGATAGTCCGAAAGAAAAGACAGCAAAAAGTGGAATTCTAAAATAAGCAAAAAAAGCTTTCCTCCTCAGCACACTGATATTAACCCAAGAAGTCTTCCATCAGCCATGGGTTTCCTGTTATGTCCAAACTGGGAAATCATGGCTACTAGTTTCAGAACAAAGCAGGATCTTAAGTCAAGTTCAAACTGTGGTTTCAGATTCTGACTGCTTGTGAACCTGGTAACCATGGCTTTCTGGTTCAGATGTAACAGGAAACTGCAGTTAATAGAAGCCATCTGCATTCTGGATGAGTGTTTTTTCCCTTTGCTGGTTTGGTTTTGGTGTTATTTTGATGCTATTTAAAAATGTTTGATTTTATGTCTATGCTGTATCCTATATTTTACGGTTTAAATAAATATAATCTGAGCAGGCTGAGGAGGGAAGAGGCAACATGAGGATGGAGCACACAGGCACAAAGCCAAGATTTGTATGTCTCAGCCAGCTCAATGTGTGCCTTTCACATACCCTTGACTCTTAAGATTTCTGGTTGACACAATTATTATGTTCACCCACAGTTTGTTTTAAAATAATCATTGTGATCATGGTACCCTTGAGATAGAGTCAACAGATCTACACAGTTTGAATTTGATTGTAGTCATTTAGCTATAGCCTGAGAAGAAAACATTCGTTGGAATAGCTTTCTGCGATGAAGAGAAAGATGAAAACAACAGGTTCTGGAATAGAAGTTGTTAAAAAATATTGTTATCTTAAAAAGCAGTCAAGACTCCTGACAAAAGTTATGGAACAGTATTTGTTTAAAAACCATTGTTTTATTTAGAAATATAAATTGCTGGCTAAGGCAGAATTATTACCAATGTAGTAGCAGGAAAGCCTTTGAGCTCCTGGCTTATGAACTCAGACAAAGGAAAGAAAGTAATAGAACAATGTTAAGAAAAACTTTTGGGGATTACAGAAGACAACACAGCTGCAGAATGTCAACATTCAAGGAAAGAGAGAGGCAACTCTCAGGCAGTGCGGGAGTTTTGAGGAACTGGTAGCAAGAGGACATAACCTTGAATAAGATGAAGCAAATCTGAAAATACAAATTCTTTTAGATTATGAGGTGTATAGAAATGTCCAAAACATATAAAAGAATGGATTATTGATAGGCATTTAGCTTAATCCCAGAAACCAAACACAGAGATTATATCATAGGACTGATTCATATACTCACATGGTGAAAGGAACTGATTCATATATTCACATGGTGAACTCCAGTCCATGGATCTAATTCATGCAGTGTTTTCCTCCCTTTAATGAGGAGGAAGGATCATGCAAATTGGACTTCTGTGCTTAGGCCTAGGCTAGAATAAGGTGCACATGCCTGCCTGCTCCCTCCACCACAGAACAATGATAATTAGCTGGGTAAGTGTGTGAATCATTAGAAATAAAGTCTACAGCTATTTGAATGGAAAATAAGGTCCATGCGGTTGCGGGCTGCATCTAAGTAAGAAGGTGAAGTCCTGTGGGCTAGGTGATGGCAAACCTTTGGTTACTGCAATACATTCATGAAGTAACCTTCCAGTTCATTGGGAGAAGCCATGTTAACTCACAGGACAATATGAACTGGAGTTCCTTGTAATTCTGGGCTGTAGAAGACTGATAGGACACTGCCAAAGCCTCTAGTGACCAACTCAGACACTTTTATTTTGCTTTCTTTCATTCTTTTGTTCCCCTTCCCCGTAATACTTTATTGATTGTCCTCACAATACCCTGCGAGGTAGGTAATAGTCACTATTATGCTCTTTTCAAACAAAGCTGAAAGATACTTATGGTAATTTGCCCAAAGCCACATACTTGAGGTCATGGCAGATGTGTAATTTCAACCCAGAATCAAATTCAGTTCTCTTCCTGCAAGACCACATAGATGAGTGCTATTGCAGGAACTATTTGCAAAAAAGAGCAACACATGAGAAGACAGTAGAACTTTTCTTATCAGAAAGGGCTATTAAAAATTCTAATTTTATCTTATTTTGAATTATATATTAATAGTACATTCCCCATGTAATGTATACTTTACCCTCTGCTTTATCAGAAAGCATGACTATCTGAAAGACTCTTATATCTCTTCCATGCCTTATGAATAAACAAGGCTGTACAGTAATTCCTAGAATTAAAAAGAAAGAAAGTCCTTTTTCTATTTCTGGGTGAGGCTGCCTGTGGCTGTCTTATCTCAAAATTAATGGTTTCTTCTTAGGAAGGTTTTTTTAAAAAGTGTACTCACATAGTTTTGCAAAATAACAAAATATACATATATGGAAAATTATATACTGTATTTAGATACAACACTAAGCCATAGTTTAGTGTTACATACACAAACCTCAGGCCCATATACCCCCCTCCTCCTCCAGTATGGCTTAGAGGAAATTGGAAGCATTTTCTGCTGTTTTTAGCTAACCACAACTTCTCATGCCTAACAAATGATCTGGTTAAGACAAAACACTAAACTACCTCAGTTTCAGGTACTCTCCCTCCACCAGCACATGTATGACAGGGAGTGTGGAAGCAGTTGCTTCCATTTTAAATTAACCATGATTTATCCAAACCGCAAACAATGGTTTAGGGAAAGAAGATCGTGAACTGTCATTTGAAGTTGGCATGTTTCCCTAAATCAAAGTTAAGACTAACCACAGTTTACCTGGGTTTCAACATAGTGAGTAACTGTGGTTAAGTAAACAGACAAGCCAAAGATTCAGATTTCCCCCTCACGTCCATGTGAGGGGAGCTTCTAAGCCCAAAGTCCGCTTACTAAGCACTAAACCATTATTTAGCATTCTGTCCAAACAAGCTCAGACTGTGGCTAGTGTTAACTGTGCCTTATTGAACTAAGCCAATTTCAAACCATGGCTAAGTATTATGGTTTGTTCTTCAGGTGGCAGACACTGGACATTGTGTATGGATGTTGCCGTCTGGCAATTGCCGCCCTCCTGACCTGATGCTGGTTAGATGCTTGTTTGTTGCTGGCCAGCTGTCTTGCCCAGTTGTATTCTCCCAACAAGTCACAGTTGGTGCTATTGGAAAAGGCACCTGATCAAGCAATCTGGCGGAGGGGCAGCCCGCCCAAGCCCCCAGAGAGCAATGGCCATTGACTTAAGTGGGGCTTATTCCTGGCACCTCGCCAGAAGTGAGAAGGCAAGTGAGGTATTGTCTGAAGTTCCTACCTCTGGCTTGCTAGATTTAGACTGCAGTCCTATGCACCTAGCTTTTTGGGAGTAAACCCCAATGAATTTGATGAGTAAACATTTACAGGATTGCGTTGTTAAATGCCCAGTTTAAGGGTCATTTGTGATTGTGAATTATGCCATGTGAGATGGGTTTGCACTCATGCCGATACATCTCCTTGCTAAAAGAGCAAGCAAACCCAGGTATGCCTCTAGTCCCAGCTCAGTCCGAATGACAACTAATGATGATAGTTCCTCTTGGCTAAGCCATATACAGTAATCACATTTTCTACATGATTACCAAAACATGACTCGGGCCTGGATCCAAGCAACTAGATTTATAAGCACTTGAATTTTGGAATGGGCAGTTTTTCATGCTGCAAGGCAAACTCCTATTGAAAATGAGGAGACTTTCTGAAGCAGTTTGTGATATGATAGGGGCTGGGGAAGGGATGAGCTGACCAGCTTCTCTACGTAAAAAATCCTCCTGGGTGTGCCAAAGTCCTTGTGTGCTCATAAAGTAGTTATTTAGATCAGAGTCATGCAGAAAATTCAAACGGTGTTTCCGCCATGTTGATACACCTGGGACTCTAAAGGGGGGAGAGGAGACCACAGCCCTCCTCCCCCCAAGATGGACCAGGGGGATTGAGACCCCCACAACAATGCCTGCTTTTGTGGTCAGGAGGCTAGTTGGTAAAGGAGAGGGAGAGATTTAACTCTAGGACTCAGAAACAGACTGTGATGCCTTGCTTGCTGTGCCTTGGAGCAGAAGTTAGTTGTGAAGGGAATGCATTGAGAGGGAGGGAGAACTGATGTTGACAGTAAAGAGGACAAGCTCCAAACAGCGATCTTCTAGTTCTTCTACAGATCTCTAGTATTCCTAAACTGTATTTTCAGTATAGTTGGGATCTCTTTTCAATTAACCTTGGGCCTCCTCGAAGAAGAAGAAGAAGAGTTTGGATTTGATATCCCGCCTTTCACTCCCTTTAAGGAGTCTCAAAGCGGCTAACATTCTTCTTTCCCTTCCTCCCCCACAACAAACACTCTGTGAGGTGAGTGGGGCTGAGAGACTTCAAAGAAGTGTGACTGGCCCAAGGTCACCCAGCAGCTGCATGTGGAGGAGTGGACACTCGAACGCAGTTCCCCAGATTACGAGACTACCGCTCTTAACCACTACACCACACTGGCTCTCCTTGAACCACCTACACCTTGCCTTAAATATACTTCTGTGGTTCCTGTGATAAATATTTTAATTAATAATGATGATGATGATGATGATGTATAAATATATAATAATAATAAATGCTGCTCTAAATCTAATTATTATTATTATTTATTTATACCCCGCCTATCTGGCTGCGTTTCCCCAGCCACTCTGGGCGGCTTCCAACAAAAGATTAAAAATACATTAAAACATCAGTCATTAAAAACTTCCCTAAACAGGGCTGCCTTCGGATGTCTTCTAAAAGACAGATAGTTGTTTATTTCCTTGACATCTGATGGGAGGGCATTCCACAGGGCGGGCGCCACTACCAAGAAGACTGTCTGCCTGGTTCCCTGTAACTTCGCTTCTCACAGTGAGGGAACCAGAAGGCCCTCGGAGCTGGACCTCAGCTGAACAATGGGGGTGGAGACACTCCTTCAGGTATATGCGCTGTTATAGATGGACCACTTGAATCCTTTGCTTCGAACCGTGGCAATAATATGACCATTCGGAGGCAGCCAGTATTGCGGCTCAGTTTGACCCGTCGGATATCCACATTTGGTGGGCGGTGGTATAAATTTCTCTTCTCCTTAAGCCTGGCGAAGGATGAAATCGCACAGGGGTGAGAGGCTGTCTTGTTTATTGCTTTCCTCACCTGCTGTTTTAATTAAGCGTGCTTATTTGCTGGTATGCGGGCCCCTTTGGCTGACACGGTGAATAGTTTTTGACAAGAAGACCAAAAAAAGAAGAAAGGAAAAAAAACACCCACCACAAACTATGGCTGGGAAGATTGGATGCCAGTCAAGGGAGGGGCTCAAGGCTAATGAAATCAGCTGCGCTTAACAGCCTGGCCTGACCTAGCGGCAAAAAATAAAAAAAAGGTTGCCTTTAGGAAGTAGTAAATCATGACTTTTCCAGGGAGCTGATTTTAAAGGGAAGAATTATGGGGAGGACTAAAGGAAAAGTTCTCGGCGCGGCAAAGGGCAACGGGAGGTCACCGTATGTAAATAGCTCCTCTGGAGGGGGCTCCGGCGGCGCAGGGGTGTGGCTGTGGAGCGGCTCTCAATCACTCCCGGAGCGCCGGCGCTGCCTCGTGTGGGGCTTGGCCGCCGTGCCTGCAGCTGCCTGAGTTTGCAGCGCGCGCCGCCCGGGGTTGGTTGGAGGCTTGCTTGCTTGCCTGCCTGAGCTGCGAAACTCTCGCCTCGCAGCAGCACTACCGCCGGCTCAGCGGTCGGGGAACCATGCAGCGCTCCTGTCCCGGCCAAGCCGCTTGAAGGTGAACGACGGAGCCCGAAGAGACCCTGCGGAGGATCCGCGCCCGACGAGCGGGGCGGCGTTCTAAGTCTCACCGGCTGCCCAAATTGGGGCGAGGAGTGCGCGGCTGCCGAGTTTTCCCCTTCCAGCGCCGCGAACCAGCATCCCCTGAGGTAAGAGTGGCGCCTTTTTGGTTTTGTGGAGCGATGAAAGAAAACTTGAGCAGGGTGGTTGGTTTCCAAAATAATAATAATAATAAAAAATACACCCCGGTGTATTCCTTTGAGGAAAGTTCCGTTCGGTGCAACAGCAAAAAGAACGCCGGGTTGATTTAAGGTTTGCGGAGCTCGACCATGCTGCTGGAGTTTTATTACTTTATTATTATTATTATTATTATTATTGACGGGAGTAAATTGTGGTGGGAGGGGAAAGAAGGCTGTGTGTAGTCCGGGCCCATGTTGCATGTTTACTCAGAAGTAAGCCCTACCGGATCCAAGAGACTTGCCTACTCGCCATTGAAGTGCGCACAGGGTTTCTGGCTAATACAGGGGTCAGCAACCTTTTTCAGCCGTGGGCGGGTCCACCGTCCCTCAGACCATGTGGGGGGGCGCGGACTATATTTTTTGGGGGGGAGGGAAATGAACGAATTCCTGTGCCCCACAAATAACCCAGAGAAGCATTTTAAATAAAAGCACACATTCTACTTATGTAAAAACACGCTGATTCCCAGACCATCCGCGGGCTGGATTGAGAAGGCGATTGGGCCGCATCCGGCCCACGGGCCTTAGGTTGCCTACCCCTGGGCTACTACATCAAGAGGAATGCTGGTTGGTTTGTACAGTGGTACCTCGGGTTACGTACGCTTCAGGTTACAGACGCTTCAGGTTACAGACTCTGCTAACCCAGAAAGATTACCTCGGGTTAAGAACTTTGCTTCAGGATGAGAACAGAAATCGTGCTCCGGCGGCGCGGCGGCAACGGGAGGCCCCATTAGCTAAAGCAGTGCTTCAGGTTAAGAACAGTTTCAGGTTAAGAACAGACCTCCAGAATGAATTAAGTTCTTAACCCGAGGTACCACTGTAGTTAGGAGGAATAGCTTCCATTCTGAAATTGCCTACTTAGGTTTTAGAAGAGAATGCTTTTGGGGAACGAAATTGATTTCTATGGAAAGGCTACACAAGATTGTTGAATGCAGATCCCTTCATAACCTCAGTAGGGAGAGCGAAAGGTTGGGTTTTTCATCACACGTTCGAGTCATGTTGATGGGGCATTAAAGTGGAGAGCATGATCAATGGTTTAGTTCTTGTGAATACAGGTTGATACATGTTTATAGATATGGCATGTTTATTTCTCCCCTTTCCCCCCAAAAAAGATTAATAGAAAGACCCTTGAACGGAGCTAACTTAAATGTACAAAGTCAAATAACTGGTAAATACCAAAACGTCTAAGATTGATTATTGACTTACATTTGGCAAATAGCACACATGATGTGGTTTACTAATTGTGTTAGAGTTGGAGATGGTTGTCTGAAGATGTAAAGAAGGGGTGTGTGTGTGTCTGGAATGATTGTCTAATATGTCTTAAAAAATTCAGTTGTCAAAGATTATCCTGGATAATATGGTAAAATATTCATAACTGATTCCCCCCCCCAATCCACTTGTCTTATTATTGTAACATTCCGCATTGTGAGAGTCAAAGTTCGTGGGTTATCTTCCCTTGGCATAGGAGGTTGGAGATGGTCTTTTAAGGCTTTTAAATTTATTTCTGTTATTCATCAGTGTATAGGTATATAATACTGTACTTCCTGTGTCTTACGGGACCACCTGTGTACTGTTCTTATGTCCCAAAGAATCCTGGAAACTGTACTTTAGCTCCACACAGAGCTACAATGTTGATCACGCATAACAAACTACAGTTCCCAAGCTGTGTTTTGATCTGGGGTGTGTGTGGATGTGCTTTAAAAGTATGGTGTGTTTGCAGCCTAAGCCTATATATGTGTAACAGCAGCAAGCACATCTCCCTCACCTCCACTTCACTTTCCTTTCTCTGTCTTCATGTGTTGAATTTTTGATTGCAAACTCATTGTGGGCGAGGACCTGCCCTTCTGTATTTTGTAAAGTACCGTGAAGTGCTTCAGAAAATAATAATCATAATTATCACCAGCTTTGTTGTAGTTTTCAGTGCCAACCTGTCTCACTTGTCTCTCCAGTATACAAGATTCTAATGTTTCCAGTGTATACGGTATTCTGCAAGGGTTAAGCTGCTTATTCAGATGCCTTTAAGATGTTTACTAAACCTTGTGCTCTCCACTATGTTGGCTTTGCTTAATTTGACCAGGGATTCCTTTGGACTAGAAAGATGTTAATAATAGAGAGCTTTTATTAAAGAGTTGCCAGCAATTGCGTATTTTGAGTTGTAAAAGGCAAGTGTGTCTGTTTAAAAAACAGGTTACTATGGTAGTAAGAATGTGATGGAATTTGCCCATTATACATCCCAGCTGATTTTCTCTCAGCAGACACAACTGGCATTGAAGTACAAAACATTCCTCTTAAAGTAAGTTTATAAAATGTGCTGGCCTTTTTTAAAAAAATTACCTCTTTAGTTAGGAGTCCTATCAAATAGAATTTTATTCTTAGAGTTGGGAATTGACTAAATTTATGTTGCTTTTCTCCCCCTAACCTAACCCCTTTCACTCGTTTTACTGATTTGCACCCAAACTACCTTACTGTTGAACTGCCCAGGAAGCCTTGGCGGTGTTATATGGGCAAGGCTTAAGTGAAGGCAGGACTTTAGGATGGGGCTGGCTTCCTAACTAATTTGTTTTGGAAAGTTAGTAAAGAGTGAGAAGTGGGCTGCCTGTGTAACTCTGCTGACAACATTGTTCTCCTGCTTTGTTTGGCCAAAGAATGAATAGCTGGTTGTGTTTGTCCCTGAGAGGAGGAAGGGAGACGAGAAAAGCCCACTTCTCTGGATATGACTCACCCTGAACTCTCTCTTTGTGAAGAACTGATGTGAATCTTAAGCTACTAAGAGACAGAGAGGCTGTGGAGCCGATAGGCAAGGAAATGGCTTGAGATTGGTAAAGAGGGAGAGAGAGAAAAGATGAGAAAAGATTCCACTCAATTTTTAGTATTTTTTTCAAAGCAAAAACTGAAACTGCATTTGATGCAGTAATCAAGAGGATCTCTGGGTCTCGCAGCCTAGCCTACATCGCAAGGGTGGCATGAGAAGGTATAATAGAGGATTAGGGGATGGGGCAGGGAATGAGAAAAATGACAATGGTGTGTCCCATCTAGTCAAAATTAAGTGTTTTAAAGTTCTTGTATTCCATTGGGAGACATTTAAGGATGTCCATAACTCTGGATTGTACCTGAAATACATTCCACTTTTGCTAACTACATAGTTAGGCTGTTTTAATTGGATGAGTAAATAAAAACATACTTTGATTACATCAATAAACCACTTTGGGCTGGAATCATTCTCTCTCATTTTCTTTATTTCCCTAGAAGTCCATTATTTCAAAAAAGGGTGTTTAGGTTTACTCTTAGGAAAGTTATTTGTCTGGGAAAGTTCACATGCATATCCATGACAACTCTCAGAAATCATGGTAACGGAACGGTGGGAGGACAATGGATGGACTCGACATGCAGAAGAAAAGAAAAAAGTCTGCCTAGTTGCAAAAGAGAGGCAGAAGACTTTTTCTTTCTTTTTTTAGTTGGTCACTAGGTTTAATTTTTTTTAGGTCCAATGTGAGTCCTTACTAAGGTTGCAATCTTAACTATGCATACTTGGATGTAAAAATGGCAAAGTCTTGTGGCACCTTAAAGACTTAGCACATTTTGCCATAGTCTTTAATGGGCTAGAGCAGTGTTTCTCATACTTGTGTCCCCAGCTGTTGTTGGACTACAACTACCATCATCCTTAGCTGTCAGGGATGATGGGAGTTGTAGTCCAACAACAGCTGGGGACCCAAGTTTGAGAAACATTGGGGTAGAAGGTCACTAACATGTGCCCCTCCAGACAGCTGATGTTCAGGGATGGTGGGAACTGTATTCCAATAACATCCTGAAGCCTATAAGTTAGCCACCCCTGGACTAGAGCTTGGTTAGCCTGTGTCTAGGCTGTATCTTGCCATATTTTCTGCTGGAGACTCACATGGCAAATTTTCCCCTTTGACCACCTTAGTGAGAATGAAGCTAGTGAAGATTGTTGATGTATGACTGTTTGGCCTGGTTAGCACATAACTGTAAACTTTGTTTTTTTAGCTATAGCTTATTAAATCATGGGTTAGTGTTACGTGAGAATCCTGCCCAGAAGCTTACCACAATTGCCACCAGCAAACCACAGTGTGAAGCCATGGTTTATGGTTTGCTTATGTGTTTATTGTTTGCTTATGTGTTTGCCTTATTGCTTGGCATTATGCAGGAACCCAGCACCGTTAACTATGGTTTGTTGGCCACTCAACTCCAGAGGCTCAACAAGTAATAAAAGGCAAAAGTTGAGAATGACTGGAAAACAAAAGAAGCCTTGGAGAAACAAGCTAGAATATAATCATGTGGAGTAATTTGTGGTTTGTTAAACAAACCACGACTTAAATCAAGAGTGAGGAACCTGTGGCCCTCCATATTTTGTTAAGTGCCAGCTCCCATCAGCCCTAGTCAACTTGGTGAATGGTCAAGGGTTATGGGAACTGCAGTCCAGCAACATCTAGAAAACTACACTTTAGCAATCCCTGGCTTAAACAAACCATGACGTAGTGTTATGTGCAAACCAGGCTTCTGTTTTGTCTGCTTAGTATTTCCATGATCTCTCTCATGCATCTGACAAGGCAGATAATAGCTTATATCACAGTAAATTAGTTAAGTCTTTCAAGGTGCCACTGGGCTGTTCTGTCTGATTTTATTGCAAGAGACTAACATAGTGGTCCTTTTAGAATCTGCCCTTACCTTTAAGTAAATCTGATAATAAACAGCTGAGTAAGCTTGCACTGGACTGGGGAGTTTGCTGCTTGTTAACTGGTAAGAATTACAGAGCTCTCACTGTAAACCAGAGATGACCAACCTTTCAGCAATAGGGATCCTGTATTTTCATAGTTGTATAAAAGAGGATATTTTGGAAGGTGTGGCTTTTTAAGCTGTTCAGCCCTGTGGCGTGACTGAAGTTCATCTGTCCAAAATTCATTTTTCTCTACATAGGAATTAAGGGTTTTGGAGCTCTGATGTTGAAAGGTTGATCATCCCTGCTGTAAAATGTCTTGACATGTTACTGAGTGACATGCTATTTGAGAAGGTTAAATGTAGTTCCCTTCCTTCAATATGGAGGGAACCTTTCACAAAGAGTCATATAATATGATCAAAAGAGCTAAATCATGAATTGCATTCCTCTCTGAAATCTGCTTATTAGCTCTTATTTGAGCTGTCAGCAGAACGTATTAAGTTAAGGGCCTGTTTTTAAGCAATCAATGGATTAAAAATAAATGATAGTATTTCAGTAAAAGTGGCAGGAAGCTTCTTAAATAGTATTAGTTGCTTTTTGACTGTATAATGTTATTTGTAGTGTATTTTAAATTCACTCTCAAAAGAGATGCGTATGGTTTAATGTGACAGTCGTATAGAATCCCATTGACAGGAATAATTCATATTAAGAATATGTAGGTCCAGTAATTTGCCTGGGAGCTCCAATTGCTCTAGTGTTGATGGACCATGTAATTTGATCAGCAACCTGCATGGTAGCCTCACATCAAAGTAGTATAATAGTAAAAACAATTATTTAAAACAATCAAGATATGAATAAAATTGTCACTTTAGCTGGCAGTTAATAGATTCAGGGATCTTAACACCCATATGAATGAGCAAAAGGTGCTTAGGCTTGTAGGGAGAGGGGTTGCTGATTTTGTGTGCTGACGGAAGCTTTTGCATGTTGAATCCCACTCTGGATGGTCTCCTGACTTTAGAAGCAACTGCAGGAGGCATATGGAGATACCAGTGGAAAAGGCCTTTGCACCATGCTGTGTTAAGAACTGTGATTCTAAAACTTGATCTTACCAAGTTCTCTCCAAGACAAGAAAAGGCTTCACTTCAGGGTGCAGAATTGGTCAAAGCAGTTTTTGGCATACCCTCATTACCTGGGAGGGCTGTGGTGTCATTTCATCAGGTATTTTGTTCTGCCTCACTTAAGGTCTGTTCTTCAAGAGGAATATTTCCCCAGGATGCTTTAGTCGGTGGATGGGAAAAGCTGAAATGCCAATTGAGCAATTGTAGCCAATAACAGCACAAAACAGGAGAACCTGTCATTGATCTATTAGAGGTTCCCCAGAGATCTATTGTATAGATCCCAAGAAAAAAGCTACCCCAAAATAAAAGTGGGATTAAAAGTGTATTCTTTGTTGGTTCTCAGTACTGTTGGTCAGTGCAACACCAGAAAAGATACACAAATTTATTAGCGCCAGAGCTCAATGACAAGGTGTCCTGGGGTTGAGATGCTGGCGTTGGAGGAGAATGAAGGGTAGAGGTAGCACAGACAAAAATGTGACTGCGTATGAATGGGAGAGAAGTCTGCTCCTGCCCTAACCTGCCTAGGAAGCCTCACCAAATACATTCATAACCATCACAATAAAAGTTCCCACACTGGGTGACTCAATTATTTGTATCGTGCTGCTGCTCTGGCTTTTCCTTTTGTAAGATAGATTGCTTTGGGGCTACACATTGGCTCTAAAATTACTTGGAAAATAAATCATTAATTCTTATGATTTTGGCTGGCTCGGCATGAGTAATGAGTAAAAAAAGGACAGAAAGAAAAAGAGTTCGCTCAGGCAACTAAGGGCTACCCCCACAAATGTGTTCACTTTTGGCTTGGGGTAGAAATTAAGCTGCCATGCTCTGATTCAGAACAATGCTGTCATCATGGGGAGCTGCTCCAATGTGCTTTCAGATGTTCATAATGTATGTTAAAGATGAGTCAGCATTTTTAATTATAAAAAAGGTGTAGTGCCATAGACTAGTTCTGGGGGGAACTATTGTACTCATGTTATGCTTGTGGGCTTCCCATAGGCATCTGTTGGTCACAGTAATAACAGAATGCTGGACTAGATCTGGGCTGGAAAGGTCCAGGGTTCTTGTGTTCTTTACACAAAGGTGGAACCCTTTGATATCTGGAGTTTTGACAATTGGCAGACACACTTGTTGGTGATGGAATTAAGCAGACTTTTTGCTTTTGGTGTGTTTATTCCCTCCAGATAATCTTTTATCTTTATCAGGCTGTGTGTTCCACAGCCCCTTTGTATTCTTTTTCAAAGGTTCATTTGTCAAAAAAAGGAAGAAGCAAGCCCTGGATTTCTTCATTGCAGTGCCTATGTATATTGGAAGACTGTGCCTGTGAAAACAGAAATGCAAACCAACTTAGGTTGGATCAGGCTGTTCAGCCTTTTCTGTTGATAGAAATATTAGCTGATATTCTTGCACAGGCATCTTCATTAGACCAAAATATGGAAGAGAAGTTGATCTCTAGAGCCTGGGTGTATATAGACCAGAATATGGTTAGTAAAGTTTAGACAGTTAATCTGTCCTCACAGATTATCCAAAAGAGTAATGGCTCAAAAATTTAATGTCATTTATCTATAGGGAGCTCATGATTTTCAGAATCTATATTTTCATTAAAATTCTTTGATCCTAAACTTTTCACTTGGAGGCTCAGTTGAAATAAATATGTTTAGGATCAGTTTAGAAAGCCATTTGGCTTTACCCTAATAATGGCACAACTGAAGCAGGTCATAGTAGGGACTAGGAGCCAGAGACACCTTAGGCTTCATAGAACAGTTAGATCATGGGTAGGCAGACTAAGGCCCGTGGGTCGGATCAGGTCCAATTGCCTTCTGGATCCGGCCCGTGGATGGTCTGGGAATCGCTGTGTGGATCTCCAGCACGCGTGCGTTCTTTCCCTCTCCCTCACACGGCGGTGGCGCCTCCTCCCTCCCTCCCTCCCTCCTGGGTTCTTCCCGTCCTGCCTAGAGGAGGAAGGGGACTGGGCTTTGTTGGTGCCAGCAACAGCAGTGCTCGAGTGGCCACCATTTTAAGCAGCCCCTCTCCAGAGCCCTTTCGCGTGCCGCTCATTGTCCTGCCGCCAGCCCCTGCCGCTCACAAGACACAAGTAAGCAGCCACTGGGGCTCGTGGTGCTCTTGCATCATTTCCCTTCCCCCCCCCCAAAAAATAGTCTGGCTCCCCACAAGGGAGGGGACAGTAGACTGGCCCCCTGCTGAAAGTTTGCTGACCGCCGAGTTAGATTGTGGAAACGTAGCTGATCTTAGCCTAGCCCGTATATGGATGGAAAACTACCTGTGAATTTCATGTAAGCTGCTCTGAACTTTCCAAAGGATGGATGAGGCATATGTTGTAAGTGGTATCCCTAGACTCAAACTGTGTGTGAAAGGAGTTCATCTGGTACCCGAATGTCTTTTAAAATAATTTTAGTCATTCTTCCTCCTATTGATGACAAATTTAATTGCAAATGAGTTACCTTTATTGTGTTTGGCTCCACAACATCATTTCCTTTAATATAGTTATTCCCATATTGCAGGCAGTGGCTCCTCCAAACTATATCTTCAGAAATATCAAGTAGCCCTTAGCATTGTGCCATTTCACAATTCAGGTGTGTGGGATTTGATGTTTTTGGTGATTCCATGTATAAAAACTCTTGGCACAGATTAAAAACAAGCACATCTGGGAGAAGGTTAGGCCAAAACCATGCTCCCTGATGTGGTAGCTTTGTGGGCAAGAAGTTTTAGATGTTTGGAGACAGTGATAATGTGATGTCTACCACAACCCCCAATCTGCATTCTCAAGTTGCAGGGTCCCAGCAGTGCCAGACTATGTTTAGTTTGAATAAGTGGATTGGCTGGCAAATGGATCTGTGGTGGAGATAGATTTCAACCCAAGTCTTCCAGATCTAAGTGTAACTTTCTACCCACAGACTGTAAACTTAACTGCTGGTGTAACAACCTGTTTCTCTGTGAGTTTTGAGGTTTTAACTTCTTTTATCTCTTCCTTGTAGCTTTCTGTCAACAAAACTAGCCTTAGGGTTAATGACCATGCTGCAGATATAATTCTACTGTGACATATTGAAAAGAAAAGATACAAAAGAAGCAAACTAAAATAATACTTTGTTGTTTTTGGAATCTGTTTTTGTTATGGTTTTAGGCATTCCCCCAGCTAATAAGAGAACATGTTTCTAGAGATGCAATTTAAGTCGTTTCAAGGTTTTGTTTGTTTGTTTGTCCCAGAGCCGAATCCCATTTTTATTTGATCTGGATCCCAGTATTATCCAATTTCATGACCCAGCAGTGTCTGCAAGATGCAAGGCTGAAATAATAAAGATTCACTCTTCCAAACTTTGATCAGGTCAGCTCTGTGTACACTTGTTCAATGATCCTGCACCATTGGACTAGCTACTTGGTTCACACATGTTCTCGGTGGTGCAATTAAGTAATTTTAGATTCTTTACTTCCCTGATGTTGGGAAAGATGGAGGGCACAAGGAGAAGGGGACGACAGAGGACAAGATGGTTGGATAGTGTTCTCGAGGCTACCAGCATGAATTTGACCAAACTGCGGGAGGCAGTGGAAGACAGAAGTGCCTGGCGTGCTCTGGTCCATGGAGTCACGAAGAGTCGGACACGACTAAACGACTAAACAATAACAACAACAAGATTCTTTACTTAATGTTCTTTCTGCGGGGGCGCTCTTTTGATGGCAGCATGTATTAATTTGCTTCAAAATGTGATAAACTAGCTCTTGTACATTTTGGGAGCACCTCTTTCTTCTGTTTGGTGAGGCACTGGCCTTCTGCCCCAAAGTCCTGCCCTGATCACTGTGTGATCACTAAGTGGGAAGCTCTCATTGGAAGTCTTGCTGTTCATGAGGAAGTAGCACCCCACCCACCCCCAAGATGTTGGCCATCCCTGCCTTGGAATGTTTGAATGTGGAACAGGAAATAAGGTGTATGTCGAATTATTATTTTTTTGCTCCTGAACTGAGGACAAGAGTGAACAAAAAGATAGCCCTAGATACTGGTGTAAAACTTTCAAAAGGGTGTGATAGCATGTTTAACTTCATTTCAAACAACCTTGCCAAGAAGCAGTCAAATCAAAGAAGATAAGTAGGGCAAGGACACTAATGATCTCATTTGAATGTTTGGGACTGTGCTTTGCAAACCTTTAATGAGCGTAGATTGAACCACAGTACTGGCATTCAAGAAGATTTAACAGTCTGCTTCATAACTTTTCTTGTGGTTTGTAGTACCTAAGCAGTGATGTCACTCCAGTCTATCCCTGTGGGTGTGCCCAACAACCAGAGTTTTGATGATTGACATGAGTCTGTAGTACTTCATACCTGCTGGTTTCCTTAAATGGACTCGAAACTGATTAACAATGACACACATTAATCATTATCCAACAGGCTCCTTACATTGCATTTATTCTGTTTACTCTAACATTCTAAGGAAAACAGGAAAAAAACGGTTTCCTAGGGTTATTTTTGTAGTCATTTTCTTGATGAAAATAATAATGTGAAAAGAATGTATAAGCATGTCTACTCAACCAACATTGGTGGGTTTCCCAGTCCACACCTTGATTCATCACCAGGTTGCCAACTCATCAGGAAAAAAACCCTGTGATATCACTTGTGCCTTTTAAATAGCAGCTTAACATGGAGAAATCAGTGTGAACAGTTGTAAAGCATGGAGATAAATGGTCTTATTTTGGAGGCTGGTTCAAAAGTTGGTAGCTTTAACTGGAGACATCATGGAACTCCTAGATAAAAATTGTACCAAGTGACCTTGTTCTCAGAGTTTGAAGCTTTGTAGTTGATCGCACTTCAGCAAAGACATGCAAAACTTGTTTCCATATCTTTTTGTAATAAACCCCTCCAGCATCTTGATCCAACCTTTGAAGCTGGTTGACTGAGCTGACACTGGCAGAGAAAGAAGAAAAGAATATTTCGTAGCAAATCTGCTTTTTCAGCAATACTCAGCTCTGAATTTAATACTATATCCTTTAAGGCATTTTGAGATCTCCCAGCTGTGTAGTGAACAACTTCTGCAACTGCTTAGGCTCAGCAAAAAGCCATATTTGTGAACATTTTATGCTGGTTGCCTGTATTAGTAAGCATGTCTTGGATGTTTTCGTGCTGGGATATTGGTTTGCATGGGGAATTCCCTCCGGGGGAGGAAGATTCCTTCTTGAGCCTCCTGTAAGGGTTACATAAAACCATAGGGCAGGATTCACCTAACAAACCCTGTTGGTAGAAGCCCCATGCAAGGGTTTGGGCTTGCTCAAAGGGGCTCCACTCCACACACCCCTGAAATTGGCTTGTTGGGAGGGGGACTCAGGAAAACCCCCAGAAAACCAGGGAAAGGGGATAATTTCACTTGGCAAGCTAATATGCTTTCACAGGTGGGGTGTTCAACATAGTGTGACATTGAATTCCACCCATGGTGTTTTTAGGATAAAGTGTTGCAGGAGTGTGTACCTTAAGGGGAATAACACAGAATATGAATAACCCTCTTACAGTGTAATTCTGTACATGTGTACCCAGCAGTATGTTCCATTTAGTTCAATGGGGTTTACTTCTAGGTAAGTGCAAATAGAGCGCAGCAGCTACAAATAGTAGAGATAAGGAGACATGTATGAGAAAAGTATACGAGAAGGTAATTTTGTGGCCTGTTTGTACAATTTACACTGATAACACTTAACTTTACCGTGGGATAAATGCTACAGGTTTTTCCCCCAGCCCAAAACTCAGATTTTAACAGTTGCATAAAGTGGATATTACAGTGGTGCCTCGCAAGACGAAATTAATTCGTTCCGTGAGTTTTTTCGTCTAGCGAATTTTTCGTCTTGCGAAGCACGAAATCCCATAGGAATGCATTGAAATCCAATTAATGCGTTCCTATGGTCAAAAAAAGTCCAAACAAAGCCAAATTTGGTACAACAAGAGTTTATTAACTGCTCCTTAAAGTCACACATACTGTAAAGAGCATTTCAAAAATTGAAGGAACAATAAATTAAGTTTCTAAACATGACAGGAAAAACATTTAAAAATCAACAAAGTGTACATTACATTTTCTAAGACTCTGGGGACCACTCGAAGAAGGTTCCTCTTCCACTCTTTGCTTCTTGCTTAAGAACCTGTCCATGGTCTGCTGCTTCATCCGCCTTTTCAGCACCTCCCTGAAAGACGACATGACCCTTGTATCAAAAGTGTTCGCAAGGTCACGTGTCACGTGCTTGTCAGGGTGGTTCCGCTCTGCAAAAGCCTGCACATCCTTCCACTTCAGGCAAATGTCCCTCAGTTCTTTGGAGGACAGCCGTTCCTCAGTTGCTTCTTCCTCTTCCAGCGAGGCCTGCTCCTGCGCAGCCTCTGCCTGCAGTTCGACCAGCTCCTGGGTGGTCAGCTCGTGGTCGTGCTCCTCCACCAGCTCGCTGACGTCGTCCTCTGTGACCTCCAGGCCCATGGTCCTCCCCAAGGCAACAATGTCCTGCACCACTGTTGACTCTGGTGCATCAGAGTCACTTGGTGCCACACAGTCCGGCCACAGGCTGCGCCAAGCGCAATTCAAATTTCTCTGGCTGATCCCTTTCCAGGCCGTGGTGACCATCTTCAAGCAGGTGACGATGTCGAAGTGGTCCTTCCAGAATTCCTGCAGGGTGATGGTGGTGCAATCAGTCACCTCGAAGCATCGCCTGAAAAGCTCCTTGGTCTAGAGTTTTTTGAAATTGGCGATGACCTGCTGATCCATCGGCTGGAGCAGTGGCGTGGTGTTAGGCGGCAGGAACATGATGTTGATGAAGCTGAACTCCTCCAACAAGTCCTCCTCAAGGCCTTTAGGATGAGCAGGAGCATTGTCCATCAGAAGCAAAGCCTTCAGCGGCAGGTCGTTGTCCAGCAGGTACTGTTTGACAGCAGGGCCAAAAGCAAGATTGACCCAGTCCACAAACAGCACACGTGTGACCCAAGCCCTACTGTTGGATCGCCACATGACACTCAGCTGCTCCTTGTCGACCTTGTGTTTCTTGAAGGCCCGTGGGTTCTCCGAGTGGTACACCAGCAGGGGCTTGATATTCAGGTCGCCGCTTGCGTTGGCACAGAAAAGCAGGGTCAGACGGTCCTTCATGGGCTTGTGGCCAGGCAACTTGGCCTCCTCCTGAGTGATGAAAGTCCTTTTGGGCATCCTCTTCCAAAACAGCCCGGTCTCGTCGCAGTTGAAGACCTGCTGTGGAACGTAGCCCTCCGTCTTCACAACCTCCAGGAACTCCAAGGCAAAGTCTTCAGCCGCAGGAACATCAGAACTGGCAGCTTCTCCATGCCTGACCACGCTGTAGATTCCAGATCTCGTCTTGAACCGGTCAAACCAGCCTCTGCTTGCCTTGAAGACTTCTGGCTCGCCTGAGGTTCCTGGCTGTTCCCGGATGAGGTCTGCGTGCAAGGCCTTGGCCTTCTCACAAATCACGGCCTCAGTCACTGTATCCCCTGCACGCTGCTTCTCTTCTATCCAGATGAGGAGCAACTTCTCGACCTCCTCCAGAACAGCTGGGCGGTTCTTCACGATCCTGGTGACTCCCTTGGCTGCATCAGTCGCAAGGATCTTCTCCCTCATCTTCAGGATGGTGCCGATGGTCGATGGGTTCCTGCCGTACTCCCTGGCGAGGTCCGTCACACGCATTCCACCGTCGTTCTTCCGGATGATCTCCTTCTTCATTTCCAGCGTCACCTTCTCCTTCATCCTCTCACCCGCCTCTGCAGCAGCAGTCTTCTTGGGTCCCATGGCAGCACAGCTCCTAGCTTCGTAAACTCAGAAAAATAAATAAAAATCAGTGATTCAGACCCAAAAAATTCAAAAGCACCCAGCCACCCACCACACAGGAATTCAAACCCTGAACCAAGTCCTTGAATTCCAAGCACCCAACCCAAAATCCAAAAAGTTTTAAAAGTTTAACTTAACTTATGAAATGGCTGCAAATCACCAAAGTCTTCAAAATCCTCAAATGGCTGCAAGAGAAGTTTTGGAAAAGCTTTAAAAATCGCCAAAGTCTTCAGAAACCTCAACTGTTCCCCCAGCCACCCACCCACCACACAGAAATTGCAAACCCCTCCCCAACTGTTGCAAACCCCTCCCCAACTGTTGCAAACCCCTCCTCAACTGTCCCCCCAGCCACCCACCACACAGAAATTCAAACCCAGAATTTTTTTTTTGAAAAAAACAACATGGCCCAATGGTCACAGAAAATCATAAAAATTCAAAAAAAACCCACACAAGCTCCCAGATTCTTGCAACCCCCTCCTGAACTGTCCCCCCAGCCACCCACCACACAGAAATTCAAACCCAGAATTTTATTTTTTTTAAAAAAGTGCCCCAATGGTCACAGAAAATCATAAAAATGCAGAAAAAAACCACACAAGCTCCCAGATTATTGCAAACCTCTCCCCAACACCAAGTCCTTGAATTCCAAACACCCCAACCCAAAATCCAAAACCCCCCCAAAAAAGTTTTAAAAGTTTAACTTACCAAACAGCTGCAAAAGAAGTTTTGGAAAAGCTTCAAAAATCAGCAAAGTCCTCAAAAACCTCAGAAAAGGCTACCACACCGCGTGCAATGTGTTGCTCCTCGAAGTCAAGTCGCAACTGCACCTCTTCCAGCAATGCACCCTGGGTATTAACGGTTTTACGAAAAAGGAAACAAACTTGCAAGACGTTTTCGTCTTGCGAAGCAAGCCCATAGGGAAATTCGTCTTGCGAAGTGCATCGAAAAATGGAAAACCCTTTCGTCTAGCGAGTTTTCCGTCTTGCGAGGCATTCGTCTTGCGGGGCACCACTGTATTTCTTTTGATGTGGTCCACAACTATCCCTGCCCTCCATTCATTTCACTCAGATGTTTTGATTTGTGTTGGCATTTGGATGCTTGCAACTGACACCTCTGTTATGTCCTTGCTTACTTGTGAACCCTATTTATATCTATTGTAAGACTGCAATTCCTTGGCTGCAGGTTTTTGAGAAAGTCTCATTCCATTTGTCAAAGGTCTTTTGATCCAGCATAGACTCCTACAGGTAGACGACAGGGACACTCTTTTTGCCAGTTCCTCCTTTCCTTGCATTCCCACTTCATTGTTCTGGAAGGGCCCCTACAGATTTTCAAGGGGATAGATAATCTGAAAATTGCCTCCCCCGCTTACGCTGGAGGGAACGTCCCATGAGCAGAGTTTTGCTCACAGGAACTCACGATCCAAGCATGTGTGTGCATTTTTTGTTGACAGGCATTTAGATACATGAGCATACCTTTGTTTCTCAAGCTGCTTTCTTGCAGCACTAAAGATATTTTTTTCAAATGGCACCCCTTGCTGAGCTTAGATTTGTAATCTCTTAAATTGAGGATAGTCTGTACAATATCAGTCTTTTCTGACAGCTTAGCTGTAGTTAATGATTCTTGGCTGATGTTTGACCTGCCTAAAAACTTGGGGGTTAAAAAACAATTAGAAAGATAAATGTTGTCGGTAATAACAGCCTAACCTCCAGAAATCCTTCCGAACAATCACGTGTATGTTTTGAGTCTCCAGCCGTGGGTCTTGTCATGCATATTGAGCCAACCCTATAAACCACTGTACTGGCAAAGCAGTGTGTGAGATATTGTGCCAGTGGATGAGACCAGTATACAATTGCAATTTGGTGAGCTGAGCTGCTCTTGCATTGGATATCAGAGCAATAGTAGCCATTGACACTACTATTGCAGATTTTCCTCTTGTTTTACAGAATTTTCAGTTACCTTTATAAATAACCGCTCAGTCATCCCTGATAGCTATCAGCAGCTACCCATGCTGTTCCTATTCCAACTACACTCTTCCATCTAAATTTTTTCAAAGTCTTGCCAGTGCAATGTTGACTTGGAAGTCACAGTAGCTACTGTGGTGCAAGCCAGGACACTAGAATCTAAAACTGGGTATATTTGTGGCAGCCTTTCTTGCTTTCAGAGCTCTCAGTTGCCAACCCTTAATTGTAGGGATATACGCTTTCTTTTTTCCTTTATGCATCTAATATACATGAGCAACTTGAATAGAAACAAGTGATCCATGATTTAGCCTACCCTGATCCAAGAAGTTAGCTTTGGTGTTTCTTTAACTTCCATCATGCACAACTTTTGTTTTCTAGAATTAAGAATGATAGCAGCTGGGAAATTTGCAAGTCTCCCAAGAAATATGCAGATGAGCCATGAGTTCTCGCTGGCATCTTCTATGGACCTTTTGAGCAGCAAACCATCTCTGGCAGACCATCGCTCCCATACCTGTCAAGATGTTTCCATTCATGGCACCCTTCCGAGGAAGAAAAAAGGGACCATTCCTGTTGGACCCTGTGATGTTTTTAGCCACATGGGGACTTCGCCTTACTCCAAAGCACATCGACCCCAAGAACCTTTGATGCAAGGTGTTATAGGGGAGTATTTCCAGAAAAACCACAAGAGTGAGAACTTCCACCACAGGTAAATCATGTTACATTTTAAACCTGCTGTGGGTGCTACCTAAGTTTATTGGTATTTCTAGTGATGCTTAAAATATTGCAATGCATAGGTGAACACATATTTGTTTATGCTCATCATAAGTAAATATGCTGTCCTTTTACAGATGTTGCTTTATTTGCTTGCTTATAGCAGCCATTCATATGTAAATAACTTGAACTTTTTTTTTTTTTAAAGTGAGTAGCAGGCACAGTGGCAGAATAAAAGTAAACCATCTTGCTTACCCTGCCCATGCCTAAAACGACCATATCTATTGGCTCTCTTTTTCCCCTCTATGCATAGCCCTGAGAGGAACCAATATTACATTTGATGCTCACCCAGCAGTAACTGTAGCAATGTGCTCCTTTTGCAGTGCCCAGTTGTTCTTTCTTATGCATTGCGGTTAACAAGGGAAATGATTTTTAGCCTTAAAAAAAAAAAAAAAGACTAGCAGATGTGGCCGTCTTTCATCTCTCAAACAAAAGCAGCAGGCATCTGTCACATAAATTGCTTCTTTGTCTGTTTTGGCCTCCGTTTGCAACAGCATGTCTTGTTTGGTTAAACATCTTTAGTTTTGATTTGACACATTGGGAGCTCTGTCTCATTAGAGATACTGCTAGGTCTCTCTGCGTTGGGGGACAGGAAAGTGAAGTTGGCATGAAAAGACTGGGTTGTGTGCAATGTTAGTTATACTCTGAGTAAAAAAAGTAAAGGTAAAGGACCTCTGACAGTTAAGTCCAGTCATGAACGACTCTGGGGTTGTGGCGTTCATCTTGCTTTACTGGCCGAGGGAGCCGATGTTTGCCCGCAGTTTTTCCAGGTCATGTGGCCAGCATGACTAAGCCGCTTCTGGCAAAACCAGAGCAGCGCATGGAAATGCCGTTTACCTTCCCGCCAGAGCGGTACCTATTTATCTACTTGCACTTGACGTTCTTTCGAACTGCTAGGTTTGCAGGAGCTGGGACCGAACAACAGGAGCTCACCCCATCGCGGGGATTCGAACCGCCGACCTTCCGATTGGCAAGCCCTAGGCTCAGTGGTTTAGACCACAGCGCCACCTGCGCCCTGAGTAGACCCATTGAGTAGACCCATACTCTGAGTAGACCCATTGAAATGAATGGATGCGGCCAGTTTAGACCCATTAATTTCTGTGGATCTATTCTGACTAAAGCATAGTTAGAAGAATTCATTGACATCACCATGTTGCAAATATTTATTCCAAAACTTAGCAGCAAAAGGCACAATCCACAAAACTTTCTCCCTTGCCATGCACCAATGAAGGCAGTTGAGTCCTGGCAAACCGCTGGCGTACCTGGCATTGGAAGCACATGGGGTGCAGCTGCTGTTCAGCAGCTGCTCCTATTGCTGTGACTGGCTACAGCAGCTGCTCTTGGACTGTCCAGGAGCTAAGATGCTACAGGCTGAAGACTGCCGCCTGAGAGCTTTTGTAACTGAGTTGTACAGTCTCTGAATACCTGAAGTCTGACTAGGTTAGGTGTGTCATCACTTCACCCTACAGCAAGGTCTAGGCAAGGTCGGAAAAGATGGGTACATTCCACAAGGGCTTGGGCCCAGCCCAGGCTGCAACCCGTCACTGTGAGGAAAAACTCTAAGGCTGTGCTTTATCATGCTTGAGGATATTTATGCAGATGTGTGTATCATTGTGGGATAATGTATAGATAATCTTGTGGGGTTTGCAGAAAGCAGCATTCAGACAGAACAAACAACTTTATGAATGGTTTGCTGCTCATCTAGGCCCTTCCCTAGAACAGAGAGTGAACCATGGAAACTCTAGGGGTAGTAATCTGATATACAGAGGGATGTGTGCCTCCCTGTGTTATACTTTGAACTCTACTGGACAGGAAACAGGCTGATGACCAATCTTTTTTATAAAAAAAAGAAAAGGGAGAATTCAGCAGATTACAGGCTGGTCAATCTGACTTCATTACCAAGGAAGATGCTAGAACAGTGGTTCCCAATTAGGGGTCCAGGGACCCCTGGGGATCTGCGGAACACACCCAGGGGGTCCGGGGCCCCATCCCTTGCCTCTCCCCCAACTAATTTTTTCTCATTTTTGCATGGTAATATCACGAATTTTATGGTCTTTTTTTTTTTAGTATACCTAAAATCCTTTGCTACCCCACATTTTGTTTAAAAAAAATGCTTTGCAGAGCTAACTACCATAGAGTTATCAAAATTTTCAAAAGTAGGGGGGCTGTGGCTTGGCTTTTGAAAAATAGGGGGTCCTCAGTAATTATCTAATCGGGAACCACTGTGCTAGAACATGAAGTCCCAATAAGCATTTTGTTGTAAGCATCTTCATAACAATGCAGTGATTAGCAGAAAGCCTAGCATGGATTTGTTGAGTGTAATTTCTGCCTGATACCCCTGCCTCTCTTTGGGTTAGTAGTGTAGTTGATTATGGAAATGTGGTGGATGTAATTTACCTTGATTTCAGCAAAGTTGGTTGGAAAACTATACTCGGGGATCACCAATGGTTCCCCGTCAAACTGAAGGGTGGTTTCAAACTGAGTACTGCAGAGCTCTGTTCTAGACCTGGTTCCCTTTGACATTTTTACCAGCTACTCAGATGAAAGCGATGGAGGGGATCTTTATTCAATTTTGCAAATGACGCAAAACTTCGAGGTATCTTTTCTTAGTCTAAAATGTTTTAGTTTGCTCAACTTGGTACTTGGATTGTTAATGCCAAGTATCTGTTCACCATGGAACTCATTATTCAACTTTTCCTTAAAAGCCACAAAGTACTATAATGTGGGACAGTGGTGGGTGATGTGTTCCTCAGTAATATTGCTTACCACAGCCCAACAGCTATTGAGTCACCAAGGGAAGGTTGTGGAATCCTTAGCTCTGGAAGCTTTTATAAAGTAGCTGTGTATAATCATCTCTTGAGTGGTTTGTGTTAATCCTATTTTCCATGCAGGTGGATAGACTTCAGATGATGAATGTTGGAGAGAGAGAAGGGTGTGGGAATTGGATGACTTCTAGAGACCTATTTGGACAATAGTTCTATAAATCTGTGATAATACATCTTTTAAAATACGGTGTTACATTTACTGCACTGTAAAGAAGAAAGAATGGCTTGCTATTATAAGTGAGGTACTATTTCTCCCTGAACTTTATAATATGGCTTTGAAAAGGGCTTGAAGAACAGGCAGTCCAGATACTAGAATTCACAATGTTAACAGTAAATATATGGAAGTTTTTTGTTGTTGAATGTCAACTTACGTACATGAACTTTGATTGAGTTCAGACACATTTTGTAAACATCCAAGTGTGACTCAAATTGGGTCTACCAGACCCCAAATTTTTAAGCAATGTAGACTAAAGTCGCTTCTGGGGCTCCTCCTGGATTAGGGCCCCTGAAGCTTAAGCTTCATTAATTTCATAGTAGACCCGCCCCTGTGTTTCCCTCCATGTGATCTCAGTTGCGTACGGACAGCAGATTAGCACATGCTCACCCTGTGTGTGCTATTGTCTGTGCCCCCACCCTCACACTTGTCAACCTGTCAGGGGAAGATCTGAAAGGGGGAAATCCAGCTGAATGGATTGTAAGCTGTCTCCATGAGCTGTATGTGTAAGATAGAGCCTACACATGTCATTAGCTATATCCTCTTCAGACCGTCCTCTACCACGTCAACGGTTTTTGGGAGGAGCTGTCATGAAGTACAATTGTGTGGTGCAGAGGGTGCATGGCCCTGCTGTGCGAGTCTTCTTGATTGAGATCACATGGAAAGAAATGCCCTAAGGAGGAGGCTTATTGTTGTTGTAGAGCAACCTTATCAGAAGGTTGCTGCTTGTTTGAGCTGGTTTATGAACTTATTGCCTTGTCTAACTTTTGCTATTTTACTGGATGGTACAAATAGGCAGAGATACTATCAGAAGAAGAATGCTCTGCTGCTGGATTTCACAGGCCTTCTTTCACGTAAGCAATCTAGTGTGTTGATATAGTGGGGTAAAGATTGCACTTATGTCCCCAAGCAAGCAAGAATGTAGCTGTTTAAGCATATTATTTATTATAAATGCAGGTGACTGTTTAGCTTGTACATAAACAGTGGTGTTTTATGCAGCCTTGGCAGTTGGAAATTGGGAAGAGCGCAGGCATAGGTTTTGCTTAACCCAGTATAATAATTCCAAACTCTTCCTGGGCACAATAGTGTGCCCTAAGTTTAGTGTGTCTTAAAATTTAATTCACAAACGCCTAGGATGCCCCCCCCCCCAAAAAAAAACTTGCCTGCCAACACAAAAGACTGTTTGAGTCACTGTTTTAGCCATGTCTCCTCTTTAAAGAAAGAAATACAGTGGTGCCCCGCAAGACGAATGCCTCGCAAGACGGAAAAACCGCTAGACGAAAGGGTTTTCCGTTTTGAAGTTGCTTCGCAGGACGAATTCCCCTATGGGCTTGCTTCGCAAGACGAAAATATCTTGCGAGTCTTGAGATTTTTTTTTCGCTTCCCCCCCCCCCTTTATCTAATCTGCTAAGCCTTTAATAGCCTTTAATAGCCTTTTAGCAGCTAATCCCCTAAGCCTTTAAGCCTTTAATAGCCGCTAAACCGCTAATAGCGCTAATAGCGCTAATCCGTCAATGGGCTTGCTTCGCAAGACGAAAAAACCGCTAGACGAAGACTCTCGTGGAACGGATTAATTTCGTCTTGCGAGGCACCACTGTATATGAAGTAATAAAGAACAGTCCCAAGTATCTGGCATTTGCAAGCTTATATGGTGAACATTATGCTGCTGCTACATGCTTTTCCACTTTCACCATCAGTATAAGCAAAGCAATCTTGTAGTTTTAGAAAGTTTGAGATGCAGAGAAACAAAAAAAATCCTTCCGGTAGCACCTTAGAGACCAAGGTGCTACTGGAAGGAATTTTTTTGTTTGTTTAGACTACGGCAGACCAACACGGCTTCCTACCTGTAATGAGATGCAGAGGTTTGCCTTGAGTTGTCTTTATTGACACATTGGGCCAAATCTCCCATTGCTGCCAGTGCTCAGATACATGCCTTTTATATATTTTTGTATTACCACTCTGAGGTCTTTATGGAAAGGGGTGGTATATAAAATTATTTTACATAGTAAATGTAAAATGCCTTATCGGTAGTGGCACCCTCCCTGTGGAACACCCTCCCTTCAGATGTCAAGGAGATAAAGAAATAGAAGACACCTGAAGGCAGCCCTGTATTGGGAAGTTTTTAATGTTTGATGCTTTATTAAGTTTTATATATTCTGTAAGCCGCCTGGAGTGAATGGGGAAACCAGCCAAATGGGCAGGGTATAAACAATAAAATTATAAATAAATAAATAAATAAATAAATAAGACACACACAAAAGAAATAATACATGAATCATCAAAATGCATCAACAGTTTAGTATGACGTTTATATTTTGACACTTGTCCCTTCCAAAATATATTTGAAATGGGGACATCATAGCTTCCTCATTGTTGCTCTCATATGTTTTCTTTTTTGATGCTCTGTAAAATACATATCCAAGCACGTGAAGCAGACATGCACGTTCTGTTCAGGGATGTGTCCCGGGCTGCAGAATGTAAAATCAGTCCTGAGAGAAGCTTTTGTTACTGGCATATCTGAGAGCACATATGGTTTGTGAGCTATGACAGAGTATTATAACTTGTGTACATTACAGTTTTATTGAAATCTACCTCTGAGCACGTTCCTGAGGAGGCTTGACCAAACCAAGTGTCCTGATTTCAACTGTTGTTGTTTGGCTCTGTAACTCTCACAGGAAACCTGTAGAGTTGATTGTGTAGTGCAAAAATTCAATTTGGCTATAATGCAGGAATGCTCTGGTTGCAAAATCATGATACATATTTTTAAATGCAAATATACACTGGCACTCTAGAGCGAAAGTAATGCATAACAGAACTTAACTCGCATTACAAAGACATTAAAAATGAGAGAGAAGCAGGGAAGAAAAATGCAAGTAGGTCTCTGGAATGTGCAGTGCTCTTCAGGCAACTTATGCATACGGATTTCAATTTTTTTTTTACTTTATTTAAAAATTCCTTTCTTATCTCATGATGCTCAGTCAAGTCATCATTCAGTATCAGCTACTCAAGTATTTAAAAGTATTTCAAAAGTGCATAGCGAAGAACGGCTGCTGTGAGAATGCAGAGACATAAACTTGTTGATAATTTTGTCCTGGAAAGATTTATGGCTATTTAAAAGGAGCAAGCATGCTTGTTAAAGGAGGGGGTATAAGCATTTGAAACACACAGGGCTTGTTTAATTCTGAGAGCACTGATGTGCACATTGCTTGGCAAATGTCCATCAGCTACATGGATAATTGAAGCACCAGCTATATTGCTGTTATGGCTTAGGAAGCTCTGTCGCAGCTGCAAGTGAATGGTAGAAATTATTTTGAGATCAGCTGGGAGTTCTACTGCTTTGGACCTCAACAAAATAGAAGGCAGGCTCATTAGGTGACTGAAGACTGCTTGGTAGGCTTTGTCTCCTGGCTCTTTGACTTCATGCCAAGCTTCCCTAAGCCTCATCTGACTTGGAATCTTGGAGTTGGAAGGTAACTCAAAGGTCATTTATTCCCACTCCCTGCCAATACAGGAAATTACTGTTGCAGCACCATTTGGTAACGCTACGTCCATTGCTGATGTAAAAGAGGAGCAAAATGGGGAGGGGTTGAGGGAGAGCATGACTTGGATCCTGCAGGCATGAATAACTTCCATTCTGACCTCTTGGCATTTGAGATCACTTCTTTGCATTTGAGCTAAAAAGAAAAGAAAAGTGAATTTTCAGAGAACTGGAAGCCACAAACAGTTTCCTATGAGCACAGTGTGGTCTGTTGCAATGTTGGTATATAGAGTTCACATACCAGCATTCTTCTTTGGTAGATGGATAAGATACCCTGTTGACCTTGTTGGGATTTGCTTTGGCGTTTGAATCCTAATGTATTCCTGAAGTCTTGGTTGCACATACAGGTATAGTTTGGCAAATGCTCAAGTCGGGCCATATACCGGTAAGTCCAGTCAAGGTCCTTCTGCACCTTAACTGCAAACATCCTAACACCTGCTGTTCCCCACACCTGCTGTTTCCCACACCACCCCTGACATGCAGATTGTGTACAGGGGGAGTAGAGCTGCATGCTGGGAGCTTGGGAAAAATAAGCACAGTGACACCAAGGAACGATTTGTAATGGCCTGCCCCAGAACTGCAGTAAGTTCAGAAGCTGCTGGCAGCGAATGCTGTACTGAAGCTCTATAGGAGTTCTGTTTGCACAGTTCAGGTTTGAATGGTATTTTAAGGAACTTAATGAACAATATAGTTGTCCCCCAACCACTTGGTTCTTCTGTTTTAAAAAGGCTTCCGAGATCCAGCTTCACTGCAATGCTCTGTGTCTTAGCTTTCACATTTTGCTCTGGTGATTTGGGTAGGGGAAGCCTTTCAAATTTGTTTTACACTTACGCACTTACTCAGTTTCAAATCTCCAGAACTAGTGACTGACACACACACGGACAACTCTTTACTTGTGAAATGAGCACATGCCATGTACTCGAGGAGTGGTACGTGTTGGTTAAGTTAATTGACAAATACCAAAATGCCAAAGAATGCATTCTCATCTCAAGAGATTTATGCATCTAAGAGCCATCAGAATGAGCATTGATAATGAATTGGAGTCCAGCTGTGTAGTGCTTGGTAGATGACAGAAGTGGAGCTATTTGAAACTGCTTTTTAGCTTTTATTTTTGGTGTGAAAATGCTGTTCAAAGACTATTCAAATATCGTGTGCAAAATGCAGTGCTAAAATGCTATTGATTATTGTAACCAGTAGAAATGTGAACTCAATTTACTTGATGCAAAGTTTTAGAGGACAATTTTTTTTTTCTTAGATCAGTCTTGTGATGAGCCACTTGCACATGTAATGTTATGTAACTCTTTATGCATGATACTGATGAAGTTAAGGAGTTCTGAAATTCCACTGACATGTGGTGGTTATGTGCCCTAGTTGTTTACAGTTCTCTGTTTGAATGGTTGTGTGGTTCAAGTTGATAAAGAACCGTAAGAAGGGAGAGCAGGGTTCTTGGAGCTGTGCATTGACATTCTGCACCTTGACAGCAGACCGAACAGTTGTACAGCTCACCAGGTCAGTCATCTCCAATTGGTCCTGAGAAGGACGTAAAAATAATACATTTAACCAGTGCTTTTTTCTGGGGGGACGTGCAGGGGGACGCATACCCCTAAACATTTTGTGAATCTAAGTTTGACCTCATTGAGGAGCAGTATTTCAATATGAGTAGGAAAACGAGAGTACCCTTAAACATTTTTTAAAGAAAAAAGCACTGCATTTAACCAAGATCAGTTTTCCATAGGTTACCATGCATTTAAGGTGGTGCAAAATGGTTTTCCCTTTTTACATGCAAATTCAATAAAAGGATATTGTAGTTTTCCAAATTTGTTTCATTAATTTCATTTTATTAATGCTCTCATCTTGTACATTAACAATATAAATTATGAACACAAATAAACTGGGCTGCCATCTATGGGACATATGTCTCAAGAAAGGCTCACTTTAGTGTGTGTGTCTTTTTCATTTTTGCAGTCACACCAAAACTTTGTCAACTCAGATAGGGACATGGAGTGAAAATTGTTAATCAATTTTTGTATGTATGGAAGGCGAATATCTCTTCTTCCAGCACTGAAGCACCACACCAAGACTTCACCCTAAAAAGGGCTTACAACTGAGTTGTTCTCTGGATCCAGCACAACTGCAGTATGCTAACATACTAACAGTAATGTCTTTGCTGCTTTGAATAGAAATATCTCATTTAGTAGCAGGATTTGCAAGTCAGAGGTATGTGTGTGAGAGAGAGATGCTTAAAACTGGAGGGAAATGTTGATGCCTCCAAAAGGTTAGCACTCTAAAGCATGGGTAGGCAAACTAAGGCCCAGGGGCCGCATCCGGCCCAGTCGCCTTCTAAATCCGGCCCACGGACAGTCCTGGAATCAGCATGTTTTTACATGAGTAGAATGTGTCCTTTTATTTAAAATGCATCTCTCGGTTATTTGTGGGGCATAGGAATTCAGTCCCCCCCCCCAAAAAAAAATATAGTCCAGCCCACCCCCACAAGATCTGAGGGACAGTGGACTGGCCCCCTGCTGAAAGTTTGCTGACCCCTGCTCTAAAGGCAAGCAGCATTGGGTTGTTTTGCCTCTAGTGTGCAGTTTCTGAGTGTCTGTGATGTCACCCCAAATAGTTCCTAAATTGATGCTATTCTTCAATTGAGAAGCTGCTTTTTGTTATAATTGTTCTCTTATCTTCTAAAGAACAAAACATCTTTTCCTTTCCAATGCTAATGAGCTACTCTCTACATCAAATGCTCTTTTGTTGACATGGAAATAAGACTTATCTGATGACTGGGAAGCCAAACATACAGTGCAAACTCTACACTTGTGTGAGCCCCACGGCTTACTTGATTTCATCATATATGCAAGTAGAAAGCAGCCTGTAAGCAAACAGCTAAAGAAACCCCAGGGAGGTAGTGATGTAGGTGGGTTCTTACAGAAAGTTAAGATCCCTTTTAACTAGGAACTTTTTATAATGGCAGATGAAAGATGGCTTATTAAGGCAGCGAAACAAGCTTTCAACTGCAACTGATACTCAAGGTCTCAATGAGCAGCTGTGTTTGAGCACAGTTGTAATCCTGTTGATTTATCTCCGGTGACCCCATAAACATGGCTAATTAGAATTGGTGGTAAGAGACTGTAACAGTGGCGGTTTGTTTTCTTTATTGGTCTCTTTAATATGTTGCTTGCAGAGAAATAAATTGGGGGGAATTGTAGCTGATAACCTTAAGAGGCACTGCTCTGGGAATGTTTTCACATACATATGCAAGCCTGTAGCCAGCTGTGTTTGGTTTGTGGGGTGGGGAGATAGATGGCAAGTCAATGTGAAAAAGCTTATTATCAGGCTTCCTAAACTTGGCCTTCCAGATGTTTGGAGACTACAATTCCCATCATCCCTGACCACTGGTCCTGCTACCTAGGGATAATGGGAGTTGTAGGCCAAAAACATCTGGAGGGCCGAGTTTGAGGAAGCCTGGCTTATATAGGTAGGTAGGTAGGCATCTATCTGTCCTCTGTCTGTCCTGAGAGACAATGGAGGAGTGTGCCTTTGTGAGGTCAAACCGTTGGAAGATTACAGCGTCTTCTGAAGCTGTAGAGACCGATATGGGAGAGACATGTTTCTTTGCAGCTGGGGCTGATGAAGGCATTCAGTTGTGCAGATGCAGATGTACCATGGCATTTCTTCTCTCTGCGCTCCTCCCAGTGGTCATTCCTCCTCTGGTCACTGTTGTGGATACGCAACCTGACTGATCATCTCCAGGCACTGTGGTCATCTTCAAGGGCTTCCTGCATGGCAGGGTTGACGTTGCCAGCCCTCATGTCACATTTGCAGACATCTTTGTAACGCAGAGTTGGTCTGCCAAAGGGTCTGGTGCCTGAAGCCATCTCCCTGTAGAGCACGTCCTTGTGGATTCGGCCATCTTCAATTCTGATACACACACACATGCATGAATTCCTCTCAATGGGAAAAATGTCAGGGGACAGCTCAAAATAGAGCTTCGTTACAAGAAATCATTTCATTAAAACATTGCAACAATAAATGGTACTGTAAATTAGTAACTTAAAGGAGTTTATTGGAGGATAGCCTTATCCTCCATGAAACCATCAGTGGCTACTCATCATGATGGTCATGTTCTGCCTCCAAAGTTTGAAGTAGCAATGCTTCAGAATACAGTGGTACCTCGGTTTAAGAACAGTCTGGTTTAAGAACAATTTGGTTTACAAACTCCGCAAAACCGGAAATAGTGTCCCGGTTTGAGAACTGTACCTCGGTCTAAGAACGGAATTCAAACTGTGGAAGGGCACCGGCTGTGGGAGGTCTCATTAGGGAAAATGCGCCTCGCTTTAAGAAAAGTTTCGGTTTAAGAACGGACTTCCGGAACGGATTAAGTTCGTAAACTGAGATACCACTGTACCAGTTCTGCAGGAGGAGAGAACTCTCCTGTGCTCAAGTTTTGCTTGTGGGTTTCCCACAGGTATCCAGCTGGCCATTGCGAGGGCAGGATGCTGGACTAGATGGGCAATTGGCCTGATCCAGTAGGTTCTCTTTATTTTCTTGAATAAGACTTGCATACAATCCAGTGACATCCAGGAACAACAAAGATGGGTCAGGTGCACTGGGTGGACAGCAGTGGTGAAGGAACCCTCTCCGGCTCCCGGGGCGGTGCAGCCTGTATGCACTGCGCATGTTTGGCATCCCTTACGGTTGCCGTGCGAGAGGCACTCATACTGACTGTGGGCGTCCTTGGTCGCTCTACAGCTGGGGGGAGGCAGGCGCCATCTTGTCACCCCTCCCAGAGTGGCACCTGGGGGCGGATCGCCCCCTCACCCCCCCCCACATCACTGGTGGACAGGGAGCTAAAACATGCTCTTGCTCCCCAGTATGGGCCCACACATGGGGCAAATGGGAGACATCTGTATTTAATCTGGTCCAGTCTTCGATTCTACTCTGAACTGGTACCTTACTCTACTCTGCTGCTACCTTAGTTTTGTATCCTAGCCAGGACAGAAGCTGTGCACATGTCATTTAACTCAGATGAGCATGAATATTGGACCTCAGTTTATAGACTTCTGGATTTTGGAGAGCTTAAAATAATCTTTCCTGAAACAATGCAGAGACTGGAAAACAGAATTCCTTATCAAATTGGCTCCAGAGAAAGTAAATTGCAGCCCATTAAATTTTTTTGAACTTGGATATCAAGTTACAAGCAGAAGATCAACTTAACAGACGTCTTCTAAGAAGATGCTTGTCATACAGCACAATCTGTCCTAAATGTGTTTACCGCAAAGTAAGGCCCTCAGATTTCTGTGGGATTTACTTTCATTGCCGCCTTAGACAAACAAACACATTCACAGCTGGCCCTCTTCATTTTTACTCCAGAATAGATTAATTTGAACATCCAAATGAAACTTTCACAACACAAGATGTTGTGGTGTGGCGCACTGAGTTGCCGTTGGAAGGGTGTGTTATAATACTTTTGTTACTGTTTGGCAGGATGACTGTAGTAAGCCAAGCTTCCTTTGGACAACCTATATTTGAAGTAGCTTGATCATCTGTATCTCAGTGCCAAGAGTTAAGAATGATTTTATTGCTCTGCCAAGTGCAGATATGTGATAAAATGTGTGGTAGAAAATGCAGTAAAATGATAGCCTGTGTATACAATTAATTTCTAGTTCTTGTGGTTCTGAAGAATTAAGACCATGGGTACAGTCCACATCTCATTTGTAACTTTTGGCATAGCTCACTGTTTGTTTGAATAGAACTAATACCATCCCATGCTTTGTATAAAACCCATAGTCAACACAGTAAGTTGAAAGCAAATATAGAATTCGTTCTATATTTCTGAAGAAGTGTGTATGCGTACGAAAGCTCATATGAATAACAAACTTAGTTGGTCTCTAAGGTGCTACTGGAAGGAATTTTTGTTTATTTTGTTTCGACTACGGCAGACCAACACGGCTACCTACCTGTAAATAGAATTCGTTATTGCATCGTTTCCAGGCCTACCTCATGTGTATCTCAGGAGTTTCTTATTTCGAGTTAAGAAATCCATAGAAAGGGCTTCAGTTACTTTTGTGTGTTTATTTTCAATATGTGTTGACATTTTGACAATACAAACTGAATGTGTGCCAAAACTGTGATTTCTATTTCACTTGGGGAAGAGCTTGATCATCAGACACATTTAAAGGCCCTCTTGGATATATTCAACTTAAATGGCCCCTTCCCCAAAGTGAGAGAGACTACTTCTGTGATGGTTTCCCTTTATTATTACAACACAGTACAGTCCTGTATTTTTCTGATGTGTGCCTTTGATATGTATGCGTTCATTTACTTGAGTAGTTTCACACCTCCTTACATCTGGTTTTTAAAGAGATATAAATGAGAGACATGCAGTCTTCAGTATTTTTTTTCTATTTGGCCATGGCATCCTCATATAATCATCTCTCTAAAAGGTGAGCATGAATTGTAAACAATCATATAAAGTGGTTGTGTAAACTGGTTCTAATTCTGCCTTTGAATACGATAAGATGAACATGATCATGATGTATGTGAATTATAACAATGGCAGATAAATAAACAGATGCTCTACGGTTCCTAAGCTTTCAACTTGTGTGTGTAGTGTGTTGCATTATTCATGCCACTTGATCCAAAAAGCAAATAAAATGTTGATTTTGTTCTAAATCAGACAAAACCTTTGTACTCATTGCTGTACTTCTCCTTTGCAGAGATCAGAATGCTATGGACCCAGCTATGGAGTATGTAAAGGTATGAAACATTACTTACTTCCAAGTCCCTGTAAAAAAAAAAAAAAAGGCTAAAATTCATTATCTTATTAGTAAATGCCAATAATTGCAAGTGTATCTCTTCTCTGGTTCATTGTTCCACAGTATTATGGTGATTTGATTCCTAAAGAAAAAAGGGGTGGCTAATTAGAGTGCTTGTATCAAACAAGTAGAAAGTAGGTAAGGTCACTTTGTGACCTTGGTAATTAATCAGCACTGTCACTAAGGGCTTTTTCATTTTCTTTTGATTATATTCCAGTATTCATGGTCTTGCATCTGCAATTTGATCCCTGGTGCCACAAACTGCATTGGGAACAGGGCACTTGGAGTAGAGTCGAATACTGACCTATGTAGGAAAAGGGAACATTTTATTTTTATGTTTATACTTTTTAAAAATACATTTTGTTTATATGTTTATATAAACAAGCTTTATATGCCATTTGATGGCTTTACAAAAATTTAAAATAAAACATTAAAATTATTGATAAAAACAGTTTATTTGAAAGCAGTCAAAAGATGATTAAAAACAACAGTAGCTAAAAACACACATAAGCTTCTACATGTCTGGGATGGCTTGCTTGAAACAAAACATTTTAAGCAGGCACCAAAAAGAATACAGGAAGGACACCTGCCTGATGTCAGTAGGCAAGGGGTTCCAAAGTTGCAGATGCTGCCACACTAAAAGATTGACTTACAGGTGTGGAACAGGTGTTATGAGGCATCTGTAATAGTGCCAGTTCCACAGATAGATAGCACTGGGGATTGAATAGTTCCCCAGCCACACCACATAACATTTCGACCGGGGGTCAAAAAGCACTCTCCTGTTAACGCTTTCTGGACTTGGTCCTGTAGACAGGACTGGAGCCACTGTAACACAGCGCTCTAATTCCCTTCCTGCAGAGCCAGTCCAGGAAGATACCATGGTCAATGGCAGCAGTTTTCAACCAGTGAGCCGTATCACCCTGGGGTGCCTTGAATGACGGTCAGGGGTGCCACAGGCAACACTGACCTGTCCCTCTTTCCTTCTCCGATGCCCTATTGCATCTCTGCCTCCCAAAGGCGTGCACAGCTGTTCGTTGCAGCAGCCCTGGCTACAAGCTCCCCAGGCAAATGAAGCCTCTGGTGCTAGCCAGGGAGGAGGCACCTCTCTTTGGGGTGGGGGCAGCTCAGAGACTGGGTTGGTAGCCGCCCGGAGGACTCCCAAGGAGAGAGGAGAGGAGGCTAAGGGAACACTCCGCAAGGGAGGGTGTTAAAAAAGGGGTGAGGGGCTGCTGGCTCTACAGGCAAGGGCTTCTGGGGCTCAGAGCATGTTTCCGCACAGAAAGAATGTAGTTGGTCAAGGGAGCCATGGACTCAAAAAGGTTGAAAACCTCTAGTCAATGATATTGAAAGCTGCAGAAAGATTGAGAAGCAGGAGCAAGATTGCACTCATTCCCCTTGGCCCTACTCTCTGTAAAGGTCATCCATCAGAGTGACCATGGCCAGAACTGAACTCATATTGAAATTGATATAAATACTGATTTAATTCTGCTGAACATTAATAGTGTATAGTTTTGATATTTTATAGGGTTTCAAATTGCTTGCCTGTTTTAAGCCACTGTGGGATATATTTTATTTCTATAAATAAAATTCTAGAAGGTGCAATTCTAGAAGGGAGTCATTTTTCGTATGTTGTGAGGCCATCATGTAAAAGGCCTTTAAAAAATGTCCTAGGCCTTACAGGCTGATAAGTTACTGCATCACACTTGGAACCTGCTGCAACAACATTATTACCGTATTTTTCGTCCCATAGGATGCACCTAATTTTTTTTTGGGGGGGGGAAATAAAGGAAAAATTTTTTCCTTTATTTCCCCCCCAAAACCAGGTCGGGGAACAGCGGGATGGCGGCGCCGCGCCTCCCTGCTGTGCCACGAGCTTGTGGGGCTGGCCGATGTCTGCCCGGCGCGCGGGGCGCTCTGCTTCAGGGCACCCCGCACACCAGGCGGCAGGCTGCTATCCGCAGCGTGGGGAGCCCCACGGGAACTCCCGCAGGGCTCCCCACGCTGCAGATGTCTGCCTGGCGCGGGGCGCTCTGCTTCAGGGCACCCCGCGCGCCGGGCAGCAGGCTGCTATCCGCAGGTGGGGAGCCCTTCGGGAACTCCCGCAGGGCTCCCCACGCTGCGGATGTTTGCCCAGCGCGCGGGGTGCCCTGAAGCAGAGTGCCCCGCGCGGCAGGCTGCTATCTGCAGCCTAGGGAGCCCCGCGGAAACTCCCGCGGGCTCCCCAGGCTTGATGATAGCTTCCTGAAGCCTGGAGAGCGAGAGGGGTCGGTGCGCACCGACCCCTCTCGCTCTCCAAGCTTCAGCGAAAGCCTGTATTCGCCCCATAGGACGCACACAGATTTCCCCTTCATTTTTGGAGGGGAAAAAGTGCGTCCTATAGGGCGAAAAATACGGTAAATGTTTCTCCAATTGAAACATCTGGCATGGGGTATGTGTTTAAACGACTGCAGATAGCTGCTTTTTTCCACTCATAGCAAACATCTCCATTATGTGCTAGTTTTCTAACTGCAGGGAGAGTTTGCATATTTTAATATAATGGAAAGTGGAGCGTGAAGCACTCTGTCATTCTCGTGATTTGTGTATTTGAGATACAGAGCATCAACTTACTTCAACTCTGAATTAGTTTTGCATACACTCAGTCATAGGCTTGTGTGCGCGCGCGCTCTCTCATATATATATATATATATATATATATATATATATATATATATGTGGTAGTCATTAACAGAGTTCTGAAAGCAGACAAACATTGGCTTAGGGAATGTTGCTGAAACATGGGATGGAGAAAATTATTTCAGTCAGTATTTTAAATTATTCAGTTCCACTTTTATATGTACATAGCTATTAAGCCAGAGCACAAACTTCTTCAGATTTTGCAATGCACTTTCGATTACCCCCCAAAAAAGTGTGAGAATGAATATTCTCCAGGAAAAAAGATTAAAAACCATGCATTTTAGGGGAATGTTCACCATTTACATATAAATTTCATAGTATTGTGTGTGTGTGTGTAATTCAAAGATAGATAGATAGATAGATAGCCCAATAATGATAAAAAGGTTCCATATGTTATTTGAACTCCCTTTCTGAATTAGTGTTGACAGTCAGACAATAGCACGGTCAGATCCTGAGGGTGCTCAGGTGTTTTTTTAAAGTAACCAACTTTTATTCTCCCTTCGTTTTGTGTTAAAGTTGCACAAGAAGTGCAGTTGCAACTGATGCACAAAGTCTGCTTGTTTTCCATGAGCTCAGAGTTAAATCGCATTCTGGGCTGTCTGTTGGTTATCTCACCTCTTCCTTTCCGGTAATCTTTTTATAGAAATAAACAACTTCGATAAGAAGCTAGTCATAAAAATAGGCCTTCAGCTGTAGCTCTGTGTACTTACTTGGGAGTAAGCACCACTCATTCCAAGTAATCATGAACAGATCAGACTGTTAGACAACAGTCCTGCTTGGTTGCAGAAAAGTATCACTGCAGCAATTTGTGTCTCTTACACACGGCAGATTACGTTCATGGGTGTTGAAGGATGTGGTTTGGACTGATTCCAAATACATTAAGATGGGATGGGTTCCCTTCCAGCCCGCTGGTGTCCCAAAAATGTTCTGTAGAGCTTCCCTCGGCAGGAACCATAGCATGGATGAATGATGTCTTCATGACACATCAAGGGCGTGAGAGGATGTGCACGGGCTTATAGTCGCATATGTGCAATCAATGGATTTCACAGACGTCTGGGTAAATTATTCATTTGCTTAAAGCTATAGGTCAGAGGGTCTCAGACTTTGACCCACCAGGCCAAACCCAAGTTTGGAAGTTAGCTATTGAAGCCTTCTCAAGTGTAACTAATGGGATATCTATGCAATAGTTCCTCCTAGTTTGACCCACTTTGGGACTAATTCTCTGCATGTGACAGGAAGAGTAAAAGCTCTTGCAGTGATAAACCTTGGGACAGGCACTTGGCAAGCTTTGCAGCATCTGCTATGGTGTGGATCCTATAGCTGTATCATACGTGTGCAAAAATTAGGAGTAGGTACAGTGCTGTCACTTGTATCTCAACTTACTTTTTAATTTATTTATTTTTAAATTAAAAGCAAGGTTTCCCTGCTCTTAGATCTGTTCAGAAGTTTGAAGGCAATAGCTAGTGGAATGGGGAGAACTTCCCTGAGTAGGATTCCTAGTGTTTGTAGGGCCGGCCTAGAAAAGCGCTTTCCTCTTTCCCATAACTAGCAGAGTGAGAATAAAGAATGCAAAGCAAAGGAATATTTGCAAATTTCTACTGCAAGCTTAAGAACCCAACTTCGTCATTTTCAATGTTTTTTACTTATAAAAATAAAATTTTTCATTAGTTCAACTCTTGCATTGGCCAGTCTCAGTCTTCTTTATATTTCAAAACATAGGAAGATGTCCTGTAGTACAGATTCTCTAGGTCTCAGCTCATTGCAACCCAGTCAGATGAGTGGGGTATAAACAATAATATTCTGTGTCTCAGTTTTCTCTGACTATGGTTCCTGTTTCCATAAATGAGGAAATTCAGTATTTTTTGTTAGTGGTGGAACAATGGCAGAAGAGTCAAAACAACTAGTACCAAGCAACTTTTTCACCACCGATCTGATATAGGATCACATAGTAGCATTTAATAGGATTAAGCCGCTTTAGAAGCTAGTGTTGTCCTGCCAAATGCCTAGGAATCTTGCCACCACTACTGGCCCACTTCCAGGTTGCTTATCGGCAGCAGAAATATGGGTAAGATTCACTTCCACATCTTGGCGGAACAATGCAACGACTTGCTGGTCCGATGTTACTACTAAGCAAATGGTCATGGCATCTGCCTTCAGTGGATAAAGTGTGATCTTGCCAGACTTATTTGAGTGAAGATAAAAGTTTCTCCAGTTTTTAAGAAAATAATTACAGCCTGCATGTGTCTATGCAATAAACAGTACTGAGCTATGATGGCCATTTAAACTCTATTTATAGTCTCTATTTATAGTCTCATTTTGAACAATACCTTTCATCATCTGTGCTTTCCTCTAGTTTGACAAATGCTTCTCTGTGTCTCCGAAGCAAATTATTAGTCTTGCTTTTTGGATGTAAATTAAGAGCTCTGCCTTGGATACAGCAGTGGAGAGTGAAAGCAGAAGGAATTAATGTTGCTCAGGGACATGTGGGGAGGGATATTTTTAGCCTACTCATTTTTTTCCTGTTGTTGCATAGATTCTTGGGGAGGAGGCATTCTTAATGGTTCTTTAGGTCGTATGTGTTAGCGTTAATAGCTGAATGCAAATGAATGCATTTTATAACCTCTAAAGTATTGATGCATTAGGTCATTCTGTGGATTAAAAAAGGAGGCTGCTAATTATACAAAAACCAGTCTCGGGAACAAGCGAATGTACTGATCTGCTGGAGTCTCAGTACTGAGAAGTGGCCATATGACGGGGGCTTTTCCTTTGTTCTGTGAGCTCTGATGAAACTGGTCACAGTTAAATGGCTCTTTTAGAGTTGGGCTTTTATTCCCCAAGTGAAAACAGGCCAATCTTCTTTGGGATGGCTGCTTGCAAGGAGCTGTGAAAGAAATTCTGTATTTCCTCATGAAGGAGAAATGCTTTTTAATAAGGCAGAATAATAGCAATAGTCAGATGCACCTTAGAGGTTTTGTTTTTTATAATATGGAAAGACAAACTGGCTTCTAGAGGATTTCCTCACCCGTCTGCCTTTGCCTGAGACTGCACATGAGCAGCTTAAATGCCTTCTCTCTGTGGGGGAGAGTAGCTAAGACAGTGCCAGCTGTGAGTGCAGAAGAGAACAGTACTGGAGCATTTGCAATAAAATTTGCAGAAGCGCTCTGGCATGGCCTCCCTCCTCGCCCACTGTCAGCACTGAAAATCTGTTTTGCATAGAAGAAGGTTTGTTTCTGCTGTGCATGGATCTGGAGAAAGGAAGGTGGAAGAATGAATCCCATCACTGCCTTAAAAGGAAATATTGCTGTTGAATACTGATGTTGGGCGCAAGCTTTGAAGAATAGTTCTTTATAGATGACTTGGCGGAGGATTGTCTGATGGGATAGAACTGCAGAATTTATTACAGTTTCCCCAGTGATTACAGTCAGAAGGCATGTTCTTAGTTTTCCCACTGGCATCGCTGAGAGCACCTGTAGGGATGTAACTCTTCGAATTGCCAGTTGTTGTGGAATCACAAGCAGGAGAATGCTATTGCCCTTGTTTCCTGTGTGCAGGATTCCCAGAAGCACCTGGTTAACCACTCTGGGAAACAGAAGATCCTGGACTAGATAGGCCTTTGGTTTTGTCTAGCATCTGCTCCCAGTAAAGTGATCATAACAGGTTTCTTTTTCTGAAATCTAAAGATCTCTAGTGCACATGCAAGGAACATTTTAAAAAGTCACTCCCACAAAATGTTCCCCCAACAGCAAAACAGGGACAATGATACTACCAAGGAAAGACTTAAGTGAGGACTGCAAATTTACTGTCCACAGCTTGGAAAAGTTGTGTTAAGCCCTTGCAACATGATACAGTTCTGCATTCACTTTCAACTGTATGCAGAGAGGAACCAATCATGAAGTTCATATGGTCCCTTGTGATAATACCCAAGACACCCACTGGTAGAATTCTGTATCTTGTTGAAGAAGAACCACATGCTAGTCTTGCCCTCTTCCTCAGATGGAACTTTCCGTTCTAAGCTTTTCTTTCACACATTGATTCTGGACAGAGATAGCTGGGCCCCTGTGATTTCGGTATTGGTGCTCTCAAGACTGGATTATGCAGTTGCTCTGTGTGGGACTTCTCTGCAGTTTAACTTGGAAGCTGCAGCTGGTTCAGAATGCAGCAAGCTAGGTTGTGTTGACTGTGGTGCTCCATTGACACCATATTTACTCATTCCTCTGCTAAAGGAGCTGCACTGGCTGCAAACATGCTACAGGGAGCAGTTCAAGTTTCTGCTTTTAGCATTTGAAACCCTAAACAACTTGGGACCATGATATGTAAGGGGCCACCTTGCCTACTCTGTCTCTGGCCAGCGACTGCACTCCTCATATGGACCGCTGCTGAGAGTACCGTATTCTCCATAGGTGCACTTGGCCTATACTAGAAACTGAGCTTTTAGGTTTGCAGGTCCAGCTCTCTGGAATCGGTTACCAGCTGTAATCAGACAGTAATGTTTAGGTGCCTGCTGAAGTCAAACCCATTCATTATGGAAGATCAGTTTAATATCTGATGAAATTGTTCAGCTGGGCAGCATTCACCTAAGGAGCCCCACCATGGAGGCCTTCTACAAGACCTTCTGCTTGAACAGGGGGCTTCCTTTCTCCACCCTGTGCCCCCAAACCCAAAATGGCTTGGAGGGGGGAGTTCACAAGACAAAACAGCATATGTGTATGTGTGGGGATTGTTCAGTATGTCACATTCTGTTTAGCTGAAACGCTTGGGCAGATGGAATAATCACAGTAGCGTGACATTGTATTCCACCCATTGTGTTTTTGTTGTTGTTGTTGTTTTGAGTTTGTATGGAAAGTTTTATTGTTTCGAAGTTTGCGGAACTGATGTTATTGTTCTTAGAGCTTGTGTACTCTTGTTTTTACCGTGGACATCACTTTGATGGCTTTATGCTGTGAAGCGGTCTCTAAATTTGTATAAGAAAAATAAGAATTGTCCCTGATGCCCATTGACCACCCACCCTCAGCCTCGTAACCCACCCACCCAGTTCCCGCCACTCATTGTTGGTTCTGCCCTTGCATTTCCTTTGGGAAACATTGATCCGCATGGCTTTGCAGCCCAGGCTGGTGTTTTATAGAGCCGACCTCCCCTGTAGGAAACATTGGTACTCATCTAGTGACATTTATTGGGTGGTAAATCAAGAGAGAACTGAGAGCAATTGCTTTTATTACTTTTGCCAAATTAAAGCTAAGCACATTTTTGCAACTCATTGGTTCTTTGGACAAAGATTGCACTCGTGACCGGTTACCGGCACTAATCTTCTTGCCATTGTGGGTCACACACCCACATGTCAGATTAATGTTTGTGCCAAAAAAGATAAACTGAAACAGTTTCTCTGTTGGACACGGAAGGTTGGCTTTTTCTGAAGCTCATCTCTTTGGCGTTACTAGATTTTTAAAGAGGGTCATATGAAATCTATTAAGAATGGTACTTCGTGTGAATCACGAATAGCTTTGAAAACTAAGTAGAGAACATCTTGTTTACTGTTTCAAATTATTTGTAGTTTATATTTTGGTCTTCTAGAGTAAGTACTCAGAGCAGTTTGGGAATTGTACCTCTGTAAAGGTTCTCACACCCTTTACAAACTTCAGTTCCCATGAATTTTTGGAGAAAGCCATGACTGTTAAAGTGTTATAAGAGTGCTTTGAATGTGTGATATGGATGTGACCTTAGAAAATAAAGAAATAACCAATTACATAAATACATGAACATGACCAAGCACTGTTTTATTTTTAAAACCAAATATAGGAGCATCACATTCTTGTAATAAGGATAGCCTATCCAAATTTCATTTTATCGAACTTTAGAGTAATGCATGCCTGTTCTGGAATCTGCACATCATCCACAGTTGCACCATTTAGATTCCCTACACATATTTAAAGTGCATGAAGGTAACCGATGATGGAAACTAGGAGGCAACAACTTTAAACAAGCATGGGTATATAAAATGAGAGTTGTCATAGTGATCCATAGTTAAAACTAGAAGTCTACAAATGTGTCCTCTTTTTTTGGTCTTCAGAATATGGCAACCCTACTTGGCTGGCATGACAATGCTTCTGCTTCTATCTGCCCTTTCCTTGTGATGCTGGTAGTCTTAAGCACTGCTATGGTTGTCCATCCCACTTGTCCAGGGTGCAAGCCTGGACAGTGTGTATGAAGGTCCTGGGCTGCCCAGATGACAAGACCCCCTCTCTGTCTTGGTGTGGTTCAAAGAAAAACAGAGCAAAATGTTTGGCACCAGCTTGGCTGCAGAAGTTGCTAGGAGGCAGCATACAAGGCACCATCCAACTGCCTTAGGGACATCACTCCAGGTTTGTGTAGGGTTTACTCCTTAGCCTTTTCTTCTCCCAAAGATGTCCCACAAGGCAGTGGGTTCAGGTTTTTCCTCGGCCTTTACTCCCGAAGCCTTTCTCACAAATAAGTATAGCCACAAGGCAGTACAGGTTTAGAACCAGAATTTTCCTTCTCCTAGATGGGGCTACCTTCCCAAGTTGATGAGCCCCATCTGCCCCTCAGTCCCTCGTTAATCTAAAAAGGGATATGTATATGCCCACAAACGTTCAAGTGTGTGTGTGTGTGTTTTAATTTTCAGTTTAACTGCTCAGTCTTTTTTAAACTTCTGAAAATGGCAGACCAAGGCAGTAATTGACAGGTGACTTATATTGAAATGGTTGAACATAAATCACTGTGGTTTAGCTGTTGCTAGATCCACTTATGCAATGTTCCTTGTAATACACTGCCCTCTAGTGTGATAAGTAGAATGATGTTCCCCACACCACCACCGTTGATACAAAAGAGAAAACAGTTATCTGGTGTTAAAATGTGAGATACTCTGTTTGAACTTCACTTTGGACTTGGACAGATTCTCTGGAAAAGGATAATTATAAAATAACTGCTTTAACAATAATTGTTATCCAGCCCATAATGATAATACTAATACTGAAATGTTTAAATATTTCTTTGATTGTCATTGAATCTTCCCGTTTCACTTTCTATCTTCTCCTACCACACCCTTGAGAAACGCAACTCTTGGGCCTCAGTAATTGATTGCCCTTACTAGCTCACAGGGTTATTTAAACTGCACATCTGATATGGGTTAGAACTCCAAAATTTAGTATGTGTACGGTTCGTTGGTTCAACATTATATTTAGTCAGTTCTCTCTCAATACAGGTTGGTTGGTTGGTTTTTAAATAGACACAGGTTCACAGATCTGCATATCCTTCTGTTAGGGCAGATGCCCAAGAAGTAGTGGATAAGAAACCTAGGAAAGGAACAGGGATAAGAACTGCACTCCTAAGTGGCAAAGGTATTTCTAGGCACTTCGGAAAGCTAACATTTGGGGCACCCTGGTTACTAAAAAGTTCTGAAAATAGAATGGGACATTTTTGCACCTCACTCAAAACCATTTTGCTGGAGATTCAACCTTGGCAAGTTTCTCAGCTGCTGCTCAAAAGAAGGAAAATAAAGGAGCTGCACTGCAGTGTTTCGTTTTTAAAACAAACTCTCCCAACATATTATTGTTATCCATAGGGGGGTGCCAGAGTGTAATTTCTTGCCATGTGGATACTAGATTCAGACTCTTAACACAAAAGAGGTGCATTGTGTTCCTCCATGCAGCAGGGCCATTTAGTTAGCAGTAGCATGCATATAATAAGCTTTGTCAAAACATTTTTACATGTATTGTCCAGATTATATGCACCCTATTTCATAGAAGAACAATTGCTTCCTAGAGCATGGGCAACACCCATTTGTTTCTTGTCCTTTAATAGAAAACAATAGCTGTAGTTGCAGTTGCCTTCGGGGAGGACAATATTGCTTCTTGGGAATGAAAACTTCCTTTGCGACCTTATGACACAAAGATATATATAGCTTAGAATTTAGGGATTGTCCTTGTACCATTTATTCATCTAGCTCAGTGGTGTTGCTTATCGGAGGTGGAAATGGTTCTGCAGCAGTTGTGGGGAACCTGCAGCCCATGTGCCTAACCATGCCTTCCAGGTTTCTGAATTTGATCCATATGGCCATTTGGGGCAGAGACAAACCTGTGCTGCTGCCTTTTACTCTCAAAGAGCATGAAGAGGCTAATCTCCATCTTAGCAGAGATAAGGCTTTGCCTTCACCCAGGGTATGACTCTGCTGGTGTCATACAATGTCAGGTAAGCGGCCCTGCCCACCTGTCAGAATGGCCTGTGAAGGGTCAGCCAGTTCTAGATTTGGCCTCCTGGCCCTGTTTCTGAAGGTATTTCCCACAACGTACTACCAGATCCTTTTAACTGGAGATGCCATTGATTTAATTTAGGACCTCCTACATGCAAAAGATGTTTCTTACAGCTGAGCTGTGGTCTCTAACTAAAAATATTTCTCTGGGCTGTCACTATTTTGGAAATGGCTGAGGCACAGAGATGAAACTCATGCTTTGCATCTTCAAGGTTCCTAGTTAAATCCTTGGCATCTCCATTTAAATGATCCAATGAACAAGGGTGGGAGATACAGTGGTGCCTCGCAAGACGAAATTAATCCGTTCCACGAGTGTCTTTGTCTAGCGGTTTTTTCGTCTTGCGAAGCAACCCTATTAGCGGCTTAACGGATTAGCGCTATTAGCGGTTTAGCGGCTATTAAAGGCTTAAAGGCTTAGCGGATTAGCTGCTAAAAGGCTATTAAAGGCTTAGCGGCTTAGATAAAAGGGGGGAAAAGCGGAAAAAAAAATCTCAAGACTCGCAAGACATTTTCGTCTTGCGAAGCAAGCCCATAGGGAAATTCGTCCTGCGAAGCAACTCAAAAACGGAAAACCCTTTCGTCTAGCGGGTTTTCCGTCTTGCGAGGCATTCGTCTTGCGGGGCACCACTGTACTGCTAGTCAGAGCAAACAGGATTGAGCTAGATAAAATGATGATTTGACCCTGTGAAAGGCTGCAGATAGACATAAGTTGACCCATTTGTGATGCGAGTCCTTACAAAGTCAGAGGACACTGATTGAGCAGTATGTTACAGAGTGTGTATTGTGTTGTGTTGTTCCACAAGGTGGGGAGAGTTGGGAGGGCAACCAGTGGAAATTGGCAACCCCACATGTCGCGAGCTGGAAGCGGCATCCATTTGCACCAGGAACCTTCTATTTGGTAGCAGTGGGACAAAAGAATATTCATGTACAATGCACCATGAACAGAAAAGCTTCTCATACCACCATTATTGTAACTCGCTCTACGTGGGGCTGCCCTTGAGACTGACCCAGAAACTCCAGCGGGTGCAGAATGCTGCAGCGAGACTCCTTACGGGGTCTTCGCTGCGAGATCACATTCACCCGGTGCTATACTAGCTGCACTGGCTCCCGGTGGAGTACAGGATCAGGTTTAAGGTGCTGGTTTTAACCTTTAAAGCCCTATACGGCCTAGGACCCTTGTACCTACAGGACCGCCTCTCCTGGTATGCCCCACAGAGAAACTTACGGTCTTCAAATAAAAACATCTTGAAGGTCCCAGGCCACAGAGAAGTTAGGCTGGCCTCAACTAGAGCCAGGGCTTTTTCGGCCGTGGCTCCGATCTGGTGGAACACTCTGTCACAAGAGACCAGGGCCCTGCGGGACTTGACATCTTTCCGCAGGGCCTGCAAGACAGAGCTGTTCCACCAGGCCTTTGGCCAGGGCACAGCCTGACTCCCTCCCTCGGCAATCTTCGCGGAGCTCTGGCCCAATGGTTGCCAGTGGCTTGAATTAATTAATTTTATAATGAATGATTTTAGAGTGTTGTTTGTGCTGTACTTTTGTACTGTTTTATTGTTGTTAGCCGCCCTGAGCCCGGCTTCGGCTGGGGAGGGCGGGATATAAATAAAATTATTTATTATTATTATTATTATTATTATTATTATTATTATTAAGTCACTTAAAAACTGCTGTCTGTGTTGAGCTTCACTGTGGAAACCTTTGTTTTCTGCTGACCTATAAGCAGTGGCAGCAGTTTTTTAGAGGAGTGGTGCAAGACTTCAGTGGTGGAGTCATATCATTTATGTAACGTGCAGAAATGCCATGTGAATGCTACAAAAACAGGGCACATGCAAAAGACTATATGTTAGTGCATGCATACATGCATGCATGGAATAGCACATTGCTGCCTTCCAACCTGCCAAGATGCAATTTAGATTTTGCTGAAGCAGATCTCAGTGGAAGCATGTTTTTAAATTTGAAACCAGTGGGATTTAGAGGTCCTTTGTGTTCATCTTCTGACTTACTTTACATGCCAGTCACTTGGCTTTGACTGTACAGTCATACCTCGGGTTACAGCCGCTTCAGGTTGCGTTTTTTTGGGTTAAGGACCGCCGAAACCTGGAAGTACCGGAATGGGTTACTTCCGGGTTTTGGCGGTCGTGCATGCGCAGAAGCGCTAAATCGTGCTTTGTTCATGCGCAGAGGTGCTGAATTGCAACCAGCGCGTGCGCAGACACGGGTTGCGAAAGCTGCGGGTTGCAAATGTGCATCCCGCATGGATCACGTTCGCAAGCCAAGCGTCCACTGTATTTAAAATAACAGTAGCTTGATTTTTGCAGCCATGTAAGTGCTGTTTTAATTCTGAATGGTCACGTTAATATGAGGTGTGTTGTTAGAATAGTTTCTAGTGTTCACCCACTGTGAGCTCGAATCTACGAACAGATGCTTTCCTCTGACTGTTACATCCGTATTCTGGCAGATTATAATTGAGTGCTGACTAGAGCTTTTCTGTTGGGTAGATCTGATGCTGTACTTTCATGCAATACACTTTCAGTTTATTTTTATGTGTAGAGACAACAAACCTCCTACACCAACTGCTTGCCAGACGAATCTCAGTAACCAGCTATATCATCACAATTAGTAGGCTTAGGGAATATATGACAACTGCTGCTTTGTTATTTTGCTCATGACCTTAAAATTGACCTTTGAACCTCCCTGGCAGTTTGTTCCCATCTGTGTATATTGTTCCCATGGGATAAAAAGCAAGAGACCTACTTTTAAATCGAATACAAAGTGACTTATCCTAGGTTGGTTCTACATTCACATTAAAGGGACAGGAAATGCAGAGATACACTTTCAGTGTTGTGCGCCAAATGCCCTCAGTGGATTTCGTCTGATGCAGAAGCCCAATCCATTTTGTGTGAAATTGGATCAATAAAGTAGGCACTAAGTGGAAACAGTTGAGATGTAGAATGGTCATGTGTTCAGCTTTGCAGAGGACAGTCCTATTTGAAAGGTTGTCCTGGTCCAAGTCAGTTTTAAAGATGAAAAACCATAAAAATGGGCCCGTATTTGGAGAGCAAACTGAGTAGAATAGAATTGATCGATTTTATTTGCGTTTGTCACAATGACAATTACAAAACAGAGGAATAGTACAGATACCAACCATCACAAATTAGTAGCAGATTAGAACTCCAGCTAAGAGAGACACCAGAGAAACAGGGACAGAAAATAGCACTCATAATATATGACACTAATAATTATCAATACAAACTGAGATTAACAAGAACATCAAGCATACTATTGTGAGTGGTCCTGTTTGCTGTTCACAGCAGAAGTCTTTAGGAAATTATAGTGATTTTTTTTTGAGCTGCTATTGAAAAAAATAGCCACCTTGTTTGTAATGGCTTTATTGTGGCCTGCCAAAAGATCACAATTGGGATGAGTGAGGGTCCAACCAGCTGTTGCTCTCAAAAGGTTTCCCAAAAAACAAGCTCTGAGATCTCTATATAAGGTCATAGTCTTTTCCACAATGGTGAGATGCATTGTATTTCTGTTTAAATTAAAACAGTTATTTTTAATTTTGCATCTGTCCATATAACTTAAGAGGTGTACATTTATGCAAATCTGTGTCCTCTTTCTTTCTATCTTTCTTTTACAATGCATAAGTGACCATCCTATTGAATTATTGTCATTTTTAGCTGTTCTGAAAAACACTTTTTGTTTTGTAAGCTATTGCAGGACTCTCTTGAGCTGAGCACTGATGGAATATGAATATACCAAAAAAAGATGTGTTTCTCCTATACTTGCAAAGAAATGTCCCTGCAAGCATCAGCAAAACTTTTATCACATCACCAGTAGGCCTATAATCAAAATCTGCTTTCCTGAGCATCTGTTTGCTGACACAGCAGGTTTAGGGATTATAATAAATCATTATCCAACTAGATCGTCTCAGTTTCGTTGCAGTGTTTCTTATTTTGGATTAGTTCAGGCTTCCTCAAACTCAGCCCTCCAGATGTTTTGAGACTACAGTTCCCATCATCCCTGACCACTGGTCCTGCTAGCTAGGATCATGGGAGTTGTAGGCAAAAACATCTGGAGGGCTGAGTTTGAGGAAGCCTGGATTAGTTAATCCAGCATAGCTCTTCTACCCTGTCTGCACTTAGAATTTCCATCAGATACAGTCAGAACAACAGGAAAAAAATATTCTTTACCGAAACTATGGAACAAGGCTGTTAGGAAGAGAGCTGTTCCCATAATCCAGCCCCTGTCTGGCTGCTCTGTGAACACATTATGGACAAGTTATGCATCTGTTTGGCAAGGGATTTCTGGTTCCATCTAAAATTAAACACCTAAAATTAAACATTTGGATGTTTTCAAAACTATATATGGCTGGTCATGTACTTGAAACTATTTAAATGCTTGCCTCATAATAAACATATTGTGGTGGAGAATTCCAGTAACTTTTTATAATGTCAAGTGGGAGGGGGAGATGACTTCTTTCATATTGCCTGCATTGTGGAACTTTCATGTTCAAAAAAATATTTTCTGGCCTGTACTCTGTTTCAGATGTTTGGTTAGAAATCACAAGTTGGAATGTTCCCACCACATTTAAAAACAACCCTGTCACATGTATCTAAGCACAGAAAACTGGAATTGATACAGGATGCTATGCAAGAACTCTTTTATTTACAGCATGCTAACTTTCTACAGGCAAAGGTTTTTGACATGGGAGTGTATTCAAACATGCAAATCCTTGCTCCACTCTGAAATGGTAAGAGTCCAGAAAGGACTGAACCACATGTTGTTTTTTTAATGCATAGATAGCTCCGTTACCTTTTAGGCTGCAGTCTTGTAGCCACTTAACCTGAGGGCGGGATTTGCTTCTGAATAGAAATGTATGAGGTTACGATGTTAATGTTTCTTAGTTATAGTGGAGGATTCCTATCTACTACAGTGGTACCTCGGGTTAAGAACTTATGGTAATTCGTTCTGGAGGTCTGTTCTTAACCTGAAACTGTTCTTAGCCTGAAGACCACTTTAGCTAATGGGGCCTCCCGCTGCTACCGTGCTGCTGCTGCCCAATTTCTGTTCTCATCCTGAAGCCAAGTTCTTAACCCGAGGTACTATTTCTGGGTTAGCGGAGTCTGTAACCTGAAGCATCTGTAACCTGAAGCGTCTGTAACCTGAGGTACCACTGTAGTTCTATATTAACTGCCTCAGCATTGGGACAGGATTTTAGATGGTGTGAAATTGCACCAAAATGTCATTTGACATGACTTGGTAGGTGAGTTTTGCTTAGAGGTCTGACCATTGTATTGCAGATTTGGAGTGGCTTTTCTTCCAGCTGAGAATCCACCGTGTGCTTTTTATATGTACCGGTATGTTGTTTGTTCTTTGAAGTATATGGCTTGGATCACTAACTTGACACATTTGGGACCCTTTACTCTGCAAGTTCCTTTCTACAGGCCTTCCACTTTCTGCTCACGGCGCATTGTGGTCTGGATTCTGCAATGCAACCTATAATTAAAGGAAAGCATTGAAAGGGATATGTTTTAAAAGTGCATAGTGCCTTACATAATCCTTATTTGTGTTGAGCTTTTTATGTCCAGAACCATAGGGTATAGACTGACCTTTATTTCTGGTCTGCCAGCGACAAAGTTTAGCTTAACTTGTCTTTTCAAAGGAACTTGCCCCCACCCACCCCAGAAGCTGAAATCTCCTGTTTCAATTGAAATCAATGGCAACAATCCCGTGGTTTTTCAGTTGCCTCCTACCCAAAGGCTGCCTAGAGAGCTGTAGTAAGTGCTTCTTTCCAGAAAGCTGCATAATTGTGTGCACCAGATCTTGCAATTGACCGACTTATCTTCTAATTAAATAGCGGAAGGCTGCGTTTGCTTCTATGACGCTAGCAGCTGCTGTGATGATGCTACTGGCTGCGCTCTGTTGTTGCTGCATGACAGGTTGTCAGCAGCTTCCTATTTCAAGACAAACAGTCTCGACTTTTTTCCCTTGGTTACCTGTGCGCTAGGATGTAACAGTGTAGATGATGAGTAACAGAGACATGCAACCCCCTAGGCAACCAACTGTTCTCCCCCCACCCCTGAACCCTGCTTATCAGTCGTGTACGTAGCAATGTTACTGATGCAAGCATGGGCATTGCTTTTTGTGTGTGTGTGGCTGCAGAGGTATAACTGGACTTGGAAACCTTTCTGGGCCCAATGACTCAATATATTACGTGCTGAAGAACAAGGTGATGATTTTTTTGCTGGATTGGGGATTTGTGGTTTGTAATCTGGGGGATTCCCAAACAGAGATTCGCTCCCTCCTCTCCCTCTCTTTGAGGGTTAGGATTTCACTGGCAAGCTGAATGAAGTCCCATGATGATTCTGATCCATTGCTGGAAGCAAGCGGGAGATGACCTTCTTAGATGACAGGATCAGCTTTCACTGAGGAAATGGCCTGGGATTAAAATATGAGGTTGGGGAGGGCGGGGGGAAGTGTAGAAGACCCAGCAAAGCAGGAGCTAAACTCAGTGGGAGCTCTTGAAAGTAGCTGGGAGGGACCATTCCTCTTGTGTGCCAAGGGAGGTTGTTGGTCTACGGGACAAAAGATCTGAAAATGCCGAAAGATTCCAATGTTCTTCAAACGCTCATAGCATCTCTCTGCTGTTTTTATCACCGCAAGGCCATTATTGGTGTCAAGGTAGGTGGTCTGTAATGTTAAGGAAGTGTGTGTGACTGATATCACTATTGTACTTACACGTATAGTCTATCTACAGATCAAGAAAAGGTCACATTTTTATGTTGTTACACACTGTTGTCCAGGCATAGTTGTGGTGTAGTGGATAAAATGTTGGAGTCTGCCACAGAGACCTGTGTTCAAAATCCTGCTCAGCCGCATAGCTCGCTGAGTGATCTTAGCCGAGTCTCTCCCACCCTACCTCACAAGATTTTGTTCAGATAAAATGTGGAAAATCCCCAGGTATGCCACTCTGAACTGCTTGTGGATAGAAATGGTATAAGGACTACTAGTAGCTGAAAAGATAAATAAGAAAAAATAGTCTTATTTTCAGTCTGGGTAATTTTTGCATTCTTTTACCCACAAGTCCTTTCCATGCCATTTCCACAATTAATCTGCAATTTTGTTTTAAAATCTGCATGAAGACTCATGCGTATAACATTTATATGCATCCTTTCTTTCCAGATATACTCTTCTAAACATACTTCCTTTTAAAAGATGCCTTTAAGAACATATTTTGATATGTGGTCTTGATCTTTGAAACATTTGGGAAGGGTGAATAAATATTTTCTGATCCATGCTTTTTTCTTTGTGCTGCTTTTATTGTAATTATTGGTATGTTTTCAACCAATTTTCTATATTTACATAGTTTTAATTCTATTAATGTTTAATTGTATTTTAATGATTTTTTGTTTTTATCTGTAATCCACCTTGAGTTCCATCAGGGAAAAAGATGAGGTCTGAATAAATAAATAAATAAATAAATATGTAGTATTAATAATAATAACAATAGTCTAGATTAAAGATGCATGCAGATCAGGTCAACTTTCATTGAAATTTACTAAGACTGAATTATTCAATAATCCCTGTTTTAAACTTTAGGCTGCCTGCTAACCTGAAGTTGTAAACAGACAGAAGGTTGCATCATAAAGAAAATGTGAAGTCAGTAGTTGCAAAAAGGATTTACAAATTGGATATCAGATTACATAAAGCATTCAAAACATCTCTCCTTTTCTTTACGGGAAACTGAAAGTGATATGCTATATGACTAAAAATAATACACAGGCACTTAATATAGAAATTGATAACACAATGTACTTTCTTTTATCAGATACCTTTTACTGAGTTTCATGAAAAGGGTCTAGCAAAATATATTTATATACATTTTTTTTAAAGCGCTGTGTTACCAAAATCTCAGATCTTGTTAAGTATGCAACTCTAAGGATAATTTTATTATTAATAATAATCACTGTCAAAAGATGACGCTCATAAACAACAGTGACTCCATCCCTCAGTTAGGAGGTCAGGAACATGCCATAGATTCATATATTCCCTTTGTGAATTTTGCCCTCCTATTGTGGTTTTAATTGTTTGTGATCTATTCATTATGTGATCGATTCATTATGACCAGGGTTTACATAACTATCTTCAAATCCTGGTTTCAAACTCTGGTTATGAGGGAAATCCTGGTTATGATTCAGCGTCGTTTAGTCTGGGTACAGACTTGCATTGGGGGATATAGGAGCCAACTCCTAGGGAATCAAGGGCCCTTTGCCCGTGCCCCATAAAATATTTTGAGGGGGCCAGGCCTCCACAAAGTTGATGGCCATTGCCATTCAAATGGTGTGTGTACACTGCGTTTTGTGATGTGGGGTGGGGTTTACCTGGGCCCCCTGACTGGGGAATGGTGATAGGGCAAGCAGGGTGGCAGGGAGTATTTCATGACCCAATACATTTTGCTGCCTGAGGCAAAAGGCAAGATAGTGTCCCTCTTCTGTTCCAAGGTACAGAAGGTGACCAGAGTGGAAGCAGAATTTTACTTCAACACTGGTAATGGGGCAGAATCTTAGACCACACCTCAGTGCAGCTGGCTAGTTTAGGGGGTGCAGGGCAAACCACCCAGCATATTATTATCTCACCACTGTTTGCTGCCCCTGCTATCAGCTGCCCCCCCCCAAATCAATCATAATCAATCCAAATACATAGCTAACTGAGGTTCTGCCCCCCCCCCAAAGGCCTGCCCTTCCCAACAAAAATCCTGGCTATGCCCATGCAAGCCACTATATTTTGATGTTGAGGAAAACATGTTGAGTTTTTGCTGTGCATGCAGCTGTTAAAGCCAGTATGTCAACATGTCTTGGAAGGCATTTACTCACAAGGAGTCCCCTATGCTTCTCTTTGTGGAGTAGACTGCAATTCGCAGAAGAGCAACTTAGGAATTTACTGCAGGGTGATGTAAGAACAAATGGAAAGAAAGCTGCTGGTTCAAACACGCCGCTTAAGAAGGGGTTTTAAGGTCATGATTAAGGTTGTAAAAGCCATTATTTTAGTCTGGCTGGTATAAAAACTTCCATGTGAATTTTGAGGCTTAGTGTTCATTATCAAAGTAGAATTAGAGCTACAGTTCTTGACTACGTTGTTTATCTTGGCACAATGGCCTAATACCTAAAAGCATGCAGCATGTTGTCATGGTAACATTCCATTGACCCAATCCACATGTCCTCTGGGGAAACAGGATGGGGGGGGCATTATTTTTATATAGAAATCCATCTGGCCCTGTTCAGAAATAAGATTCTATTTGAGAGGCTCCCAGCTCTTCAAAATAGGCTGGTTATGCACTGCAGAACTTTTGAGATCTCTGCTGCTTCATGTTCAGTAAAGTTCTATTTTAAAGCATTTGTAAGCATAGAAAAAGAGGGCCAGAGATGACAACTTAACTTTTGCTCTCGGGGGCTACTGTTAATGAGGATATAAGTTGAAACGGATAATAGAATCATAGAGTTGGAAGGGACCCAAGGGTCATCTAGTCCAACCCCCTGCAATGCAGGAATCTCAGCTAGATCTGTGCTGACAAGATTGTAAGGCAGGATCTTAGCTCTGACCAGAGCCAGTACATTAGTTTAAATAGAAACACGCTAAGAATATAGTTGTGAAGCTTGATGGATGCTATGGAGCTTAAATAGGTTTGTATATTGTTATTGGTTGTGAGCCCTAGAAGACCTGATCCCTGCCCTACAGGCCTTTTCTGCCTTGGAAGTATAAACTTTGATGCTAAGGAAATAAGATTGCAAGGGATAGCTTTTTATTTTCTACAGGCCCAATCAATATTGCTAGGCCCTATTGCATGGTAGCAGGAGATTTTGAAAGCATATGGAATAGCCATGCACCTCAGATGAGCGATACCCAACATGCCTTTCAGGTGTTGTGGCCTACAACTCTCATCAGCCCACCCCTGTTCGCTAGTGGTCAGGGATGTTTGGAGCTATAATCCCGTAACTCCTAGAACAGGGGTCTCCAACCTTTTAGACAAAAAGAGCCACTTGGACCCGTTTCCGAAGGAAAAAAAACTGGGAGCCGCAAGACTCTTCATTATAAAAATAACTTTTTTGTCACTTTTTTATTATTTCTTTGTTTGACCCCTCAGAATTACTCCTCCTCATAGAAATAAACGTTAAATTAACAAGTTACCTTTTTGTGTGTGTGTGTGTGTGTTCTTCACTCCCCTTCAAAACAGTGACCAGCGTACATGCCCCCTTTCAATGCAGTGACCAGCGTACATGCCCCTTACAATGTAGTGGGCGGGCGGGCGGGCGGGAAGGTGACGTCGGGACGGTGCGTGACTAACGCACGCACCGCCCCCATGCGACATCATAGCCAGTACAGCGCCCGCCACAGTGGGGAGTGTTGGGGCGCACAATGCGCCTCCTCCCCTCGCTAGTATCCGCCCCGGAGCCGCGGCAAAGGTGTAAAAGAGCCACATGTGGCTCCGGAGCCGCGGGTTGCAGACCCCTGTCCTAGAAGGTGCCACATTGGCTGCCCTCTGCCTTAGATGAGCATCATGTTTGTACCGTGAGCTCCACCCCTTTACCCTCCCAAAGCTTTGTCTTTAATCCTCTAAGGTCTTGCTCTTGATCTCATGAGCCTCTACCACAAATTCTTTCCCCTCTCTCTTAGAAATTGGCAGCACAACAGTCAGGGTGGATTCCAAATGAATATTCATAATTATGTGACATCATTTTATATTCTTGTCTGTGCAGAGACAGTGCAGCAGTTATGGTACAAAGGGGGATGACCTGTAGTAAGCAGGTTGCTGTTTGTGTCTCTTGTGGGCATAAGCTGTCATTTGGACTACCCTTATTTGGGGTTGGTTGGGGGTTTTTTTGCTGCTTATTTATGAAAACATTTCTGTACCACCTCACACATTAATCATGAGATAGTGTACATCAATTGTAAAATACATATCTAACACTAAAATAACAGCAGCTAAAAAACCCTTGGAACTCAGGGAAGAGCTTAAAAGTATGGTGACTTGCTAGAGTGAAGCAACAACAAATGCTTGGGAGGACAGAGGTGTGTTTCGAAGGTGCATAAACATCATCATTGTGGGCAGTTGCTTAAGCTCTAAGGGGAGATGTTTCCTCAACAAGGGAGACACCACAGAAAAGGCCCTTCTGCTTGGTTGATGTCAATCACACTTCCACAGACAGCAGTACAGGAAAGCCTTATCAGCTGATTGTATCAATCATGGGAGGCAGTAAGGGAGAAGGTACTCTTTCAGATATTCTGGTCTCAGGTTGTTTAGGACTTTATAGGACAAGACTGAAACCATGTGTGTTAGTTTACTAACAGCCAATACAACTGCTTTAAGAGCACGATAAGATGAGCACAATAGGCTCATGCTTCAGCTTCTGGAGCAGCTTTTAGGGCAGCCCCCACAACCTTATAGTATGCTCAGTTTCTTCTTGTATTTTGCTATTTAAATTATAATAGGCTCCTTGGCCTACTTGCCTTGTGCATTTTGCTACTTTTTACTGCAAGCCGTTCCTAACTGTGCATCTGTAGGATCTGCAGTTTAGGAAGATTCAGAGTATTCTAAATATGCTGCATTCTGTCTCATCATAAATGTGAAATCTGCTCACGGAGGTCTTTCCTGTCATAAGTGAGAAGCCCTTGACTGGCAGCTCCTGGGGTTAATTTCAGTGTATCCTGGCAGGGCTCTATGCATAGCAGCAGGAAAGGCTGATAGCCTACTAGGAAGGCAGAGGACATCAAAATGTTGCACAAACAGCTTACTCAAAATCTCATCAGGGTTTCAGGTTTCCTTTTTTTTTTTTAATTATAGAGAGCAGGAAGCCACACTAATTTTTTAGGTACGCTAGATGTAAATAATACTTTACGAAAGAGATGGAGAAGATTGCTAATGCATTCCCCTAATGAGGAGAGAGAGACTAGAGATTATGTACAAAAAAATTGAAGTCACTGTCTTGTTTTCTTTTATTTCACCAGGGGCTTTGTTGTTGTTGTTGTGAGAAAAAACAAACCCAAAATAAAATGAGATTATTTTCAGTGAAGGGTTCCTCCAGATGACCCGTTTATTCCTAATTTGCTTGCACAAAGCTTACACAATGGTTGTACAATGGCTGGTCTTTATTGAGCATTTGTTCTGTTTTGTTTACAGAGTGGTCATACATCAGTGGCAGTTCATTCTGCATTTGTCCTGATTTGCTTACAGGGCATTTACACAGGTTCTGATTACTCATCCACCCACCCCACAGTGCATTTCCTTGTCACTTTCATAACACTTTCACCACCACCATCATTTATACCCTGCACATCTGGCTGGGTTGCTTGTTTTGTTGTTGTTGTTTTTTTAAGTGGATTTGTTGGGGTAGGCCACTGGAGTGCTTTAATGCACTTAAATTGTGCAACCCTTTGTTCATGTTTTGGTATCTGTGTGAATCCCTCCTGAAAAATAATGGCAATCTGGAGACTTTCTAAATCTGGGAGGCGCAATTCATAATTTGGGGGTGGGGTGAAGAAACTTGTTGTGAGATTGGAGTATTTGTTATGTGATTGGAGTGTTATGAGATTGGAGTGTTTTATTTAAAAAGCGAGAGGTGCCTGGGTTTAAGCTGCCTTGGGGGCTACAGCCTCTGGCATGGGAACCTGCCATACTTTACACATGTATAGGAGCACTTTCCCATCATTTCAGATGTTCCAAGGCTGAGCTCTGACATTTAGAGCAGGTTCAGTTGCTGGTTCAAGGCTGATTCAATTGCTTACCTGGCTGCTTCCTTTCTTGAGGGTAAAACTTGTACACGCAATGTAATGTGAATGCATGTAATGTACAGTAATGTGTAATATGGGCATGATTTACACAAGGCTGAAAAGGGAGGGGAGAGAGGAAAAGAAGGGAACTGTTGAGAATTGTACCTTCAGCTTTATTGTCTCTGCACCACAGATTATAATGTGAATGTTGGAGAGGAAACAACATTATCAGCTCGATGTGATGTGAACTTTCAGCTTTACTCAACCTCTGCTGTTTTTTACAGCTGCCACTTTCCTCTCAGTGCTTCTCCACCCCTGCTTTACTCAAACTTCTGCCTTGTTCAAAACAGCCACTTTTCTCCCTTTCAGTGTCTTTCCCTTCTCACTTTACCCAAGCTTCTCCTTCTTCCGTTCCTTAGCTGCCTTATGTGTGAGAGAAGGATGCAAAGCACTCAAATATTCCATAGCACTTATCCACCATTTTCCTCTGTCCTTTTTTTTTTACTGATAATTTTTATTTGGTTTTACAAGTATGAAATTATAACAATACAAAATGCATATCCATATTTAGAGATTCATCCAAATCTCTGGATTTCCCACGTTCCCCTCCATGGGTCCTATTGTCAACCCTTTCAACTGCATATTATTCAGTAATCCATATTTTATGTCACTCCATTTTGTCCATAATATTTGCAACAACAAATGTTGTTGTAATCCTGCTAATGTTTTCATCTGCTTACAGTGGTCTTCCAGATAATTTTTCCCATTCTTTATAAAAGTTTTGGTATTTTTGGTTCCTGAGCTTTCCAGTCAGTTTTGCCATTTCGGCATAGTATGATAATAATAATAATAATAATAATAATAATAATAATTATAATAATAAAAAAAAATAAAATAAAATTTACTTATACACCACCCATCTGGCCAGGCCTCCCCAGTTTGCCATTCTTCTCTGGTAGGGACTTTGTTTTCTTTCCATCTCTGGGCTAGTAACATCCGTGTGGCCGTTGTCTCCATTTTCCTCTCAGTTCTTTCCATCTCTGCTTTACTCAAACATTCTTACTATGTAGAGAGAAATACTAATCCTTTTTTACAACAAAATGGTGCAAATAAATGTGTTTACCATCAGGTCAGTAAAAGGAAGACCCATTTTATTCCTGCAGCCATGATGGCACTATGACTTAAGTCAGGGACGGCCAACTTCCAAGAGACTGCAATCTACTCACAATTAAAAACTGGCAGTGATCTACCCCTTTTGAGGGAGTTCAGGTCAAAGTTAACTTGGTAGAAATAAATATCCAGTGATGTGAAATAGCATTTCTAAATTCTGGTGGGCTCCTAACCTGCATCATACATGTATATAAACTGCTATCATTTGGTGATGCTCTCCCTGACCCTTGACTTTAAAGCATTGCTCTTTGAAAGTGAAACACAAGAGGAAAACCAACAATAGAGCCAGCCTTGACTCCCATCGCATTAAAAAGGTCAGCTAAGAACAGCAGTCTTTCTTCTTGGCAATGTTCCACTTAGAACAATGCTCTCTTAACGGTATGGCCAATTACTGGTAGTTTAATAGACTAGCGCACAAGGGAGCAGCACAACGAGGAAGTCTGTAGCAAATGCCTCCTACAGTGCATACAATGGAGGATGAGCTCTCAAGATCAGAGCTTTCATAGTAAAAGCTAGATTGGAGGATGAGTACTTGCATCCTTTGGTCTTTCTCAAGTACTGCAGAGATGCAGTCACATCACTTTGAGGCCTTGGGGTTCATCCAAGTTACTAAGAAGAAATGCACAGCCATTTGTGAGGGGAATGTTTCTGCTGTTGTTGTTGCATGGTAACGCTCTACAGTCAATGGGGTCTCCAACTCTGCATCGCTTTATTTGTGCTGCTGTTTTTGGAAGGAGCAAGCAAGGATTTATTTAGCAACCAGCAAGCTGCTGCAGATACCCAGATTTATAGATACAGATATAGGTGTGTGTGTATAGACAAGTGATAGACACTGTGAAAGTACCTTTTAAGGCTAGAGACAGGCAATATTTTCTTTTTAGAAAAGAGGACCAGGCTGGGGGAGGGGAGTGAGTGCACATGGCCTTTTGTTAAATTGATGGCCATTAAAAAAAATATTTTTAAATGTTGCTTGTGCAAATGGCTTTAGGGATCAGATCATGTGATAATAATGCCGTAGCGTGCCCAGGAATTTACTGTTATTTATTGTGTGTGACTAGCAGAGTCTTGGGAAACACAGGACCAGTTTCTTGCATCAGTCACTGATTTGATGAGAGAGTTTCTTCAGTTTTTGGCTGTGTTGTGGGACCAGGTCACAGCATACAAAGCAAAATGTAAACAGTCCAGATTGAAAAGAAAGCAAATATGTCTGGGTGGGGGACAAATCATTGTAACGGATACCTTATTTTTGAAACAAAATCTGCAATAATAGCAGCAAGAGAGCCAGCTGGGCTTAATTAAAATGCCGCTTGAAGCCTTGTGAGCTGTCTGTTTGAACTAAGGGAGCAGGCATAGACTGGAGGGGAGAGAACAAAGATGAGGGATTAAGCTCAGCTCCCACATCTTTTAATTTAACCCTGCATCTCCTAATTCAGTGTTCGTGAAGAACAAAGCAGCTGATCCTTAATCAGAGTGCCAGAGATGAGAATCTCTCATTGGACAGGTCACTGACATCATGCCAAGAAGAATTGTGGGGATATTTCAGCCAGAGCCCTGTCAAAAGGGAAGATGATGACGAGAGAGAGAGAGAGAGAGAGAGAGAGAGAGAGTGTAAGCGTGCGCTACTTGACACAGTGAGGGTGGTGTGTTGAGAATGTGAATGAGAACAGTCTCATCTAAGTTGTGTACTGAATGAACTGGCATTGTGTGATTGCTCCACTTTCAGCACATCTCCCAGTGTTGTCCCAACAACTGTGGCTCAGGGACTTATTTTCTTTGTGGCAACAAATTTTGTGAGTGAATTATGGGTTGTCTGTGTGTTCTTGAGTCCATTCTGAATATTCTGCCAATCATTTTCATTGGATGACCCCCCAGAGAGGGGGAGAAACATCTTTGTGCCCACACCACAAATAGTTTTATATATCTGTACAGTCGTACCTCCGTTTACGTAACCCTCTGGTTACATAAACTTCAGGATGTGTGCGCGGCAAACCCGGAAGTATTTTACCGGGTTTTGCCGCGCATGCATGCACAGAAGCGGTCCTCAGGTTGCGGAAACCTTGGGATCCGACCAGACCTCTGGAATGGATCCTGTCCACAACTGGAGGTACCACTGTATCTTGTATCTCTGTAGTTTAGTTTAGTTTTGTTTTGTTTTATATATTAAAAATAAAATAAAATCCCTAAACATGGTAGCGTTGGGTTGCCATTTGCTCTGCACTGTTTTTATAAAAAAATATGTCGTGACTAGAAATGTATACAATAAGCGAAATGTGTTTTCTTTCCTAATAATCCCTAATACTGAACACTGCTACACTTAGGACAGAATATAGGTGATAGGAGGCTGCATTATTGTGGAGGGGGGAGAGAGAGAACTGTAACCCCCTCTGGCTTTTATTTGTTCCCCCCTTTCTTTTAAAAAAGGGGGCACTTTGGAGTGAGCTCTAGGGATGGACCATAGCTCAGTAGTGTAGGTAAAGGACAAGGTAAAGGACCACTGGACAGTTAAGTCCAGTCAAAGTTGACTATGGGGTGTGGCACTCATCTTGCTTTTCAGGTTGAGGGTGCCAGCATTTGTCCACAGACAGCTTTCTGGGTCGTATGGCCAGCATGACTAAACCTCTTCTGGCGCAATGGAACACCGTGAAGGAAGCCAGAGCACATGGAAACACTTTTACCTTCCTGCCTCAGTGGTACCTATTTACCTTCAGTAATGTAGAGTGTGTTATTTGTACAATTCCCAGATTCAGTCTCCGGAATTGCCAAATAAAGAAGCCCAAGACTCTAGAGTCAAGGTAGACAGTTCTGGGGTAGACACACACGTAGTATGACTGGGTATAAGGCAGTTTCCTTTGCTGGAAAATTGAGCTTTATCCGTTTGGCTTCTGCAATCCAAAGTGGGAAAGTGAAATTGACAAGACTCAGTTTCACAGGAAGAAGTAAAACTGATAAGGATCATCCACAAATAAGCCAAAACACAAATACCTTGTGCTATACATGACTTTAAGCTTTGTAACAGAAATATCCCCAAGCCCATTTATTATTTTATATGCAGATGGGGTCCAAACCAGCCGTAAGTGATTAGGAGAGATAGCTAAATGGTTGCTGAAGGAATTGTAGGAAGTGTCACAAAGGAAAACAATGTGATTATGGTGTACTTTGCAGGGTCATATGAATCAATTTTTGATGTACCTTTTTCTTCTTTTTTGGCAATAATCATTAAGGTGTAATGTGTAACTTGTGTAAAACATGGAATTTTGTGCTGGAGCTGCCTTATACTGTTCAATGACAGACATCAGCTCTCCAGTGGTTTCAGACAGGAACTCTCTTCCAGCCCTCCTGTAGAGATGCCAGGGATTGAACCTGGGGGACCTCTTGCATGCAAAGCACATAGCTGATGACTGAGCAATTATGGCTCTCCCAAATTGGGATCTTCTTTTTATTCCTTTCTCCATAAAGCGTTATTATTGCAAAGGTACAGAAATGACTCAGCAGGCACGCCAGTTATTATCACAAGCATCCAGGTGGGACATTTTACAATATCACCTTGCAGCATGTAATCATTACCTAGCTTCTCACCTGGCAGGAGCTTCCACAAATACTGCTTAGGGATCAAAGGCTCGTAAAACGTGGCGTGCGGATTTCATTGGCTTGTTGCGAGTCTCATGGCACATGGGGCAGAATGAAAGTTTTGAGCAAGATAAGGCGTTCCGTCAGGCCTGGGGTGATCAAGTCTCCTTTCTCTTTCCCTCTTGCAGTTTTCCAAGGAAAAGCATGTTATGGACAGGCTGGGTATGGAGAGTTCCCCAGAAAAACTCAAGAAAGAGCTGGAAGAGGAGCTCCAGTTGAGCAGTGAAGATCTGCGCAGCCATGCCTGGTATCATGGACGTATTCCACGACAGGTGTGTCCCTTTTTGGTCTCTCTGTTGGGTAATTCTGCCAGCTTGTTTTCTTTTCCTGTTCTTTCTTCCTTGCTTGCTAAATCCAGGTACTTCGCAATTCTATCTCAAGTCTTTCACCACCACCACTGGTTTTCTTCTTCTGCAAATCGGTTCAAATTTATAATGAACGCGCTTGTGCTCAATAGTTCAAATCCAGTATTTATGGAGCATGGAAAAGAAAAGCGAAAACCTGAGGATGTTATTATGAGAGGAGGAATTGCATATATAGAGGGAAGTGCAGAAACCTATCCCCGTCCTGACTCTGAGCCTCGATCCAGTTCAGTCACGCCTGCTACCCACTTAGAGCGGTCGCAAATGATACGGAGGAAACCTGCAAGACCCCAATTTTACTCTCCCTGTAATTATCCCTCAGCTTGTTTATTTAATATAAAGATTATCTTAAAGAGACTCGCAGGAACTGTCATTTAGTTAGTTTTTGAACCCAATTATATCACCAGAGGTTCAGTGCTAAAATACACTCCCAGGTGACGCCTTAAGCATAGCTGAGAATATAGCTATGAGAGTTGGTCACACAACCGCTAAATCTCCTTTCTGGCACAGAAATTGACACTCCAATCTATTCTGAGAATCTTTACTATAAAAAACAACAAACAAGGTGATAGCTTTCACAGCTTTGATAATTTTGCTGTTCTTTTCTTGCTCCCTGTCAGTCCTATCCTGGAGAAAAGGGATCCATGTTACTGGAAAATGTGACTAAATTTATGTAAAAATCAGCCAGATATATCTAATTTATTTCATTTATCCCTGACTGCAGGAATCGGGTTTTCTGGTTAGCAAGATTTTGAGCACATAATATATGCTCTAGCTACAGAAATCGCTTGATCCTTACTGGAAACTGAATAATGTTATAATGATGATAATTTGGGAATTAGGACATGTGAGGCCATTTTAAAGCATTAAGCAACAAATTGCTTTTTCTTGCTTTAAACCATATTTACATGCATCTCCACATCTGTCTGAAAGCAGACATTATTATTTTAATCTAATGCAACTGAAACAGCATGAGCTAGTCATCAAAGTGCAGACCTCTGGAAACCATTCAGAGATAGCAGAATCTGGTGGCCATGTGAAGTACATGCTTATTGGCTAAAGCTTGTCTGATGAAAAAGACGAGAGCCCTAAAAAAATTAGAGTTATGAGTAATTGTGCCAGATAACGGTAAAGAAAGCCAGTATATTGAACCCACTGAAGAAAGGCGTTGATGAGGTCACTTTTAGGGCCAATTTAAATAAAAAGTTCTACCTTGATGGTAGCTGAGCCCAGCTACGGTTTTGGTTGTGTGGAGGATACTTTATGACAATGGGCACAATCTAGAGAAAACAGAGTGAATCGGATTGTATTTGCGAGTTTTCTAAAGTTGTGCTTACCAGAAAAATTTCCCACCATAGTAAAATACATATAAAATGCCATCATTTGCACATTTTTTCATGGGGTGAAAACCTGGTCATTACTGTAGTTGCCATTCTAACTATCTCTTACTTTTTATTTTTATTTTTCATTTTTGTAATTGGAAAAAGAGGGAGTGTCAGAATTAATTTGTGGGTGCGGAGAAAGCTGCATTTATGTGATTGTAAGATTAGGAATAATTAATAATAATAATTTTATTATTTGTATCCCACACATCTGACTGGACAGCTTCCAACAAAATACAGAAACACAGTGAGACATCAAACATTTAAAAACTTCTTCAGATGTCTTCTAAAAGTTGTATATCTCCTTGACATCTGATGAGAGGATGTTCCACAGGGCAGGCACCACTACCGAGAAGGCCCTGTTCCAGCAAGCCATTTTGAGAAGGTGGTGAAATGCAGCCTGCCACAGTTGGTGCTTTTGGCCATTATGTCTAGTTTCGCCCTCTGCTGGGGACAAGCAACAGCAGGACTCACTCAGATTCAGAATGCATTTATTCTGACACAGCCACTTGCTATTGTGCTGGTTTGGCTATGTCAGGGGTAGTCAACCTTTTTATAGCTACCGCCCACTAATGCATCTTTCTTGATGGTAAAATTTCCTTACCGCCCACCAGTGCTCGAGGGAAGGAGGATTCAGCTTGTGGCGTAGAACCCCCTACCACCCACCTAGAATCCTGAAACGGCCACTAGTGAGCGGTAGGGACCAGGTTGACAACCCCTGGGCTATACAGTCATACCCTGGTTGTCGAACGCCCTGTAACTTGTACGTTTTGGGTCCCGAACGCCACAAACCCGGAAGTGATTGTTCTGGTTTGCAAACGTTCTTTTGGAAACCGAAGGTCCAACGGGGCTTCTGCGGCTTCCTGCAGCCAATCAGAAGCCGCGATTTGGTTTTTGAGCATTTTGGAAGTCAAACGGACTTCCGGAACGGATTTTGTTTGACTTCCAAGTTACGACTGTATAGCAAAGAAACAAATCTTGCACGTACAATTAAGATTTCAGAAATTGTTTCAAGGGGGAAAAGCATTTCAAATATCAAATATTGATGCCACAAGGAAGTCAAGCATCTCTGTTGTAATCAATAGCATTTCCATTAATATTTTAGTATTAATGCACTTAAGCAGTATGCAAGCAGGAAACCTCACTGTCCTGGATGCAGAATACTTATCCATGTCTTTTAGAAGGAACAGGAATTTATCCCAGGAAGATAACCCATCTTTGAAGCTAGGAACAGAGAGATGTATTTAGTGCAAAGTTCTTCACACACCAGTAGCAGTTTTGGAGTGGGCACCACCGCAAAGGGGAAAAGGATTAAACTTTCCTTCACTATACCAGTGTTCCTTCTGCTGCTTGAGTTCTTTTAAATAATTGTATATGGTTCTTTTAAATAATTGTATATTAATTTATATTCACACAATTAACGTCACACCTATTTTGTCCCTGACATGCAGTATGTTGGGAATATAGGAGACTAGCTGGAAAGAGAGAGCCACTGTAAGCTCTGTTGGCCTTGACTGCATTGTGTAGTCACACAGCTCTGCATCTTTTTAGCTTTGGGATACTGAAAGTTCTTTGTGTTCTGATCACGTCATGATTTTTATTATTATTTTGCCTTTGCAAATTACAGTTTGGTGTGCCCGTAAAAATCCCAGAAGCGTATTTTATGTTTGTTTTGTAGCAGCTTTAAAAAAGGCTTTGTTTTGTTGTGTGGAATCTTAAACTGTTTTTGGTTTATTGTGGTTTGGGCTCCTGCAGGCTACGGCCTTCATAATTAGCTGTGTTAGGTGGATTGAAAACACAGCAGGTATCCTCATCTGAGCTGAAAACAAAGTGAATCAGTGGGATGCTAAGGCTAATGAGACACTCTCTGACTACTTAAGCAGTACACAGTTGAGTACAGTACATGACCACATGGCACTCAACTGTTCTTATTGAGAGAGCCATTCACAATCCTTATTCAGGCTGCATGCACACTTATGTTTACTCTGCATCCAGTGTGCTCCCACCACTGGTATAGGAAGCAGTGTGCACATGATGCTACCCACAACCCACGTCTATCCTGTCTTTCCTTATGGAATACCGCAGTTTTATGCATTTCTCCATTTCTTCCATCCTAATTGAGAAAAGGAAAAACCTAGCTGTGTTTTAAGCCTGTAATGTGTCCATAGCCTCAGTGTTAGCAAGAAGGAATGGAGGTGTCTTGGCTTACAGTCCAGATCTCAGTGTGCCCAGTAATTCAGAGTTGTGAATGAGGAACCCCTTTCCTAATGTTGGGGTGCCAGGTGCCTACCAGAGCTTCCTTTTGCTACAAAGGATTCCATGACCTTGTTTCCAGATGTAAACAAGAGTAGGAATTTAACTTCACTGTGACAAGGTATCCTATGGATTCTACTTATATTCCTAGGCTAATCAGAATTTGGGCTGCGAAGCTGATCTTAGTCTTTTGCAAAGTCCAAATGTAAAAGTAGCAGTTTGAACTATCTTTGTCAGGTGCTGGAGCCTAAGCACAATACCAGAAGACAAGAGTGCCAGGTTGAAGTCTTCCGTATCACTGAGATGGAAAAACTGTATGGGAAGCTCAGAAAAGGGGAAGGGCCTGTGGCTTAGCTATGTTGAATAGTGGTATAGTCCTATTCCAGAACTATAGCTGGACTACAACACACACCAGCCTCAGAGTGAATTGTCAGGGATGAGGAACATCTGGAGGACACCAGGTTGTGGGAATGGTTACTCTAGGACAGAGTTTCCCAAACTTGGGTCTCCAGCTGTTTTTGGACTACAACTCCCATTATTTCTAGCTGGCCAAAACACTGGTCAGGGATGATGGGAATTGTAGTCCAAAAACAGCTGGAGACCCACGTTTGGGAAACACTGCTCTAGGATATATCTTAAATGTTTTGCCATTTTATTTAAATGCAACAACTTTTGTGATAGATTACAACGAAGCATTGTAACTTTAAACAATATATATATATATACGCTGAGGTTTTCAGTAAAAGAAAGTAAGGGTACACTTGTCCAATAGTGGCTAATCTCATTCTGATTTTCTCTTAAAGGTGTCTGAAAGCCTTGTTCAGAGAGATGGCGATTTCTTGATCAGGGACTCTCTCTCTAGCCCTGGGAATTTTGTCCTTACCTGTCAATGGAAAAACGCCTCTCAGCACTTCAAGATCAACAAAACCATCTTGAGGCTCAACGAAGCCTACTGCCGTGTTCAGTACCAATTTGAGGACGAAAGTTTTGACAGCATCCCTGGCCTGGTCCGGTGCTATGTGGGGAATCGCCGGCCAATCTCAAAGCAGAGCGGAGCAATTATATTTCAGCCCATCAACAGGACTGTCCCATTGAGGTGTCTGGAAGAAAAATATGGCACTTCCCCAGCCCTGCAAAGGGAGGGCAGCATTCCGGAAGGAAAAGTGGAAACTCCAAAGAGACTGAGTCTTAATATGTGCACTCGCCAGGCCAGAGAGCAGAATTCAGTCCGAGGAAACCTTCTAAGGTACGACTATCATGCGCCATCTGTGAGAGTTTGAGATGAACGCCCTACACAGGAGATCAGAATGTGGCTCTAATTATACAAGGGAGGAGAGGAGAGTATACATGATCAAGGAAGCTCTATCCCTTCCCATCACACTCCACGTTGAAGAGCAATTGTCTGCCAAGAGGAACCCATCTGCTCTCATGGATCTGTGTGGAAGATCGATGATTGGGTTTCTTGACTTTTTTTTTAAAAAAAAGCCTAAAAACAGCTTAGGTTTGTCTGAAATGGCTGGGGGAAGCCTTACTTTTTAATACTGTAATTTTATGTTGTGAACTGCCCTGAGATCTACAGGTATAGGCCGGTATGCAAATGTAATAAATGCTACTACTACTTGGGATGGGCTCTTTAACCCTTTCTCCCTGCCTGGTTCTCTTTTAAAATCTATCAACCCTTTGCTCTTAAAAAATCTATTAGCCCTGCTTTGGGGAAAAGGCTGGTGCCTGTGTTTTTAACTCCTCTCCCCCCCCCCCCCGCCACCCAAATGAGCCTATTAGTAGCTTTGTGGCAGTGATTTCTGTCGCTGGGAGAAAGGTTAGGCACCCCCACACCCAGTGCTGCTGCTACAAGCCCATCTCCCTGTTTCCCCCCATCCTCCAGCTGTTTAAGGTTCTAGAGATCCATACATCCTTATTCCTAACACTGCTTTTAAGTAGCATTGCAAATCAACTAAATCCACATTCATTAATATCACTCCTTTTGCTCACAAAGTTCAAGCAAGTGTACATTGTTCTCTCCCCACCTCATTTTATCCTGATAACAATCCTGTGAGGGTGGCTTGGGTTCAGAGTGAGAATTGTGTCTATAGACATGGTGGTAGGGACAGACTTTTTCGTGGTTTTGTGCTTTGGGATCATCAGTCAAGAGAGTCAGATGCCTGGTGGCCTGGCAATGAAGAGATCAAGCAGGGATGTGCAGCCTACAGCTCAAAGAGTATGGTCTGTGTGCAGAGGCGTAAAGGAGAACTTAAAAAAAATTAATTAACATTGTGGCGTTCCTCCCCTTTACAGAAACAAGGAAAAAAGTGGTAGCCATCCAGCCTGCTTGGACCATGTTCAGGAGAAGAGATTCCCCCTGAAGGCTCACCAGTCGGAAAGCTACCTGCCCATCAGTATGTGTCAACTGAGCTATGTGTGTGGAGCAAAACGGAGGGTGTTGTGGGCTGCTGTTCACTGAGCTTCTGTTTTAAACATGTCCTTGGGGAATTGTACACTTTTTATTGTCTGGGCACAAGAAAACAGCAAACACATTGTGTGTGCATAAAGTACATGCCACCCATTCATTGCATAATCCCTGCCTTTCTCTTCTATCCCCCAATTTTGAAGAACCAAACAAAGAGGTGGAAGTGTTGGCTGGACTTGCCTCACAAGACTTTGGAGAGCGTGGGACATTGCCCCCCTCTTGCCCCCCTGCTTTTTCCATCTAGCAAAAGTTGCCCTCAGCAAAATCTCACATGCCACTTGGAGCTTTGCATCTACAATGACGGGATTTGCATGTGCCTTAAGGTCTTTGTAGGTATTTTCCTGCATTCTGGAAACAATTAGCTTTACATGAGCTATGCTCTGAAATCCATTCCTGTCATAACTCCTTGTGCACTCAGGTTCCCTTTTCGGAAAATGTTCTTTCCGTGCAAAATGTGGGGCTATTTATTGTGAGTCACAAGCTCTCATTTCTGCTCTTACCCATCAGATTCGGTTACAAACCAGTTCCTATTCCAAGCCCTGGAGATTTCCCACTTCTGACTGTACAGCCCGGAACATTATCATACTCACTGCAGAATAATGTGACAGTGCAGCTGCTCTGTATATCTCTGATTTTTTGGGGGGGAGGAGGACCTGTATATTGGTGGAGCTTTACGCTTCACTGTCTCTAAACTATGCATCTTAAGTATGTGGCATTAGGAAGAATGCAAGGCATCCCAGATATATTGTTTGGTTTGTAACTATGGTATGTGTATTTGTGTTAACTGCCCTGAAATCCTCAGATGAAGGGTAGGATAGAAAAACAAACAAACAAACAAACAAACAAACAAACACAAACACTTTAACCAAGGAAATAATGAGTTGACAAAATTAGCTCCAGGGGTGACATATTCATTATGTTCAGATATGAAAAGTCCAGCATGGAAATGATGCCTCTGTGCAAGAGTGCAACACTTGCCTGAAGAGCAAGGCCTGGTTGGCTTGACAGGACCCAGTTTTTTTCTCTCTGAACCCTCCTGCCTCTCCAGACAAGGGTGTACCTAGGGTTTGGCCCAGTTGCCAAGGGCACAGGCCCAGAGGGGTGCAAAAATTATGCCTCTCCACTCTGGCTCAGCTTCTCTAGTAAGGGCACAAGGGAGCCTAGTACTCCTTTCTTGTTCAGCTCCAGGACATTACAGAGAATGACTGGTTTGTGCATCCCTCCCTCCTCTGTGCTCTTCAGGGGACTCCAGATCTCGGATGTGAGTGCACAGCGCACAGAAGAGGAGGCAGTATGGGCCTGGGGGCTGCATGTTGCCTGCATGCCCCACCCTTCAAAAACCAGCCAGTAACTTGTTGCGTGAAAACTTTCACAAGGCCACTTCAGTGTGTGAAAACCTGATAGGGGTAGACTGCTTTGTGATACCCTTTTGTGTGAGTGAATCCTGAGGTCAGCCACACTTGTGGCCTTTCAACACCTTGCTCACCCATCACCTGTGCAATGACTGGGATGGAAAGGAAAGCCTGCCATTTCTTGCCAAGGCATGTGGCTCTAGATTTTGGAAGTCTTCTTCCTTCTCTGTCTCGCTGACAAGCGCTGCTCCCTTGCCGTTTGATACCTCCTCACCTGCCTCCTCCTTTTAACTTCCAGGTTCAAGGTACCCATCTCAGGGAACTGAAGTTGAAACCAGCCCTTGTCCAAAGTCGCCAGCATTCAGGACAGGCAGTGAGCCCGCACTGAGCCCTCAGATGTTCCGGAGAGCTGCCTCTGAGTTGCAGCTCATCGATGCTCTCAGGGGTTCTGACAGCCAGCTGTACCCCAGGCCTCCGCCCAAGCCCAGCAAAGTCCCCTTTCTGAGGCCACCGCACGGTTCGGAGGCCCTGTATTGTGAATTGAACGCAGCGTTTCCCACAGACTGCGGGGTGACAAAGCAACCTTTATGCCAGAAGGACAGCTTTGTAGAGCATCTGGCAACGAGGGAGAATGGGACACATTCATCCAGGCATTCCAAAAGGAGCTACTTGATCCTGGGCGACAATGATTCTTTGCTGAGCGCTGCGGACCCACTCGTGGCCCAGACGGAGATGTGCAAAGAGGGCAGCGCCTTTGTCGCGCCTGTTCTTGAGATGTTCTCCAGTTTCAGGCCTAACGATTTCGAGTCCAAGCTCCTTCCCTTGGAAAACAAACCATTGGAGACAGCCATGCTGAAAAGGGTGAAGGAGCTGTTCACAAACAACAGTGCAAAGAGAATCGCTCTGCATATGCTTAAAATGGACTGCAAGGTAAACTGTCTCTTTTTAAAAAAGTAGTAGTAGTGTATTGGCCCAAATATAAGCCACACTTTCCCCCCAAATTTGGGCCGTAAAAAGTTAAAGTGCAGCTTTTATTTGCGACCTTAATACGCAGCTCCCCCGGCCCCAGGAAGCAGCACGCTGACTGCCCGCCACTCCCAAGCCTTCCCCAGCCACCTAAGGAAGGGGGAAGGCTACTGGCAAAGCTGCACGGCTCCCCCCCCCCCCACAGAGCAGCCCTGGAGCGCAGGGCTTGCTGCCTACCCGCCACTCCCCAGCCTCTCCCAGCGCTGGCTTGGGGAGTTAGTGCCAGGAGGCGGGCCGCACCCGCAAATAAGCCTTGAATTTTAAATGTGCGGCATATTTGCGGGTACGTCTTATATTCTGGCCAATACAGTAAATAAGGCTAAAGGGAAGTATCCTTTCAAGAGTAATAGCCATTTTAGATCAAACCAGGAGTTTGTCTAAACTAGTAACCTAGGAAAAGGGCATTTCGTTGTGGTGGATCCGTCTTAATGACAAGGAGCCAATTCGCACCATACATTTAAAGTACATCCAGTGCACATGTCTCCCCCCCCCAAAAAAAGAAAGAATCATGGGAACTGTAGTATAAGGGTGCTGGGAAGTAATAGCTCTATGAGGGGAAACTACAGTTCCCAGGGTTCTCTTGTGCTTTACATGTGTACAGTATGTTCTTTAAAATTATTGTGTTGGTGGTTCCACCGCTTGGTGCCGCATTTCGGACCAGTGGCAAGTTTTCAAATGCTGTTCAAAAGCAGCCTCGCATAACACGTGCATTGCAGTAATCCAACACGGACCCTAACACAAGCAGGATAGTGTGGCAGGTGAGGATTCATGCAGCCTGTGCACCAACTCATCTGTGGTGAAAGGCATTTTTTGAGCCACAGAATACATGGTGCTTGATTTCTGCTTCTGCACGCTCAATGCAGAACAGCATAATGCAGCACATTTGACTCCAGGTCCGACTTAGCAGCTAGAACAGCGTAACCTAAGTCAAATCATAGCAATTAGAGGGGCAGAAGGGAGCTGAATTTAGACCTGCCTCCTCTGAGCTCAGCCGGTTGGTGCCGTTGCTGATTTGACTGTGGCTGCATTCATATATATTCATATATGGACAGATCAAGGCTAGTGGTTTCTGGCACGTTACTTGCCAGGAGGAATTGTGACTGTCGGGAAGTGGATGCACTATATGAAAACTCTTCCTTCTGGGCAAGTAACTGACTGCAAGTCTGCACAAGAGGAGCGCTACCATATTGGTTGCTTGGGGTGAGGTGGTGGGAATCTCAATATTGTCTGATGAAACTTAAAGGATTTCTGGTCTTGAGAGAAGGAGCTGGGCTAGGTGGCTGTGTTTCTGTGAAAGACATAATGGCTCAGGAGACAGCAGTCGTGCTAATCAGCAGAGCTCCAGGAAATAGTTTTGTGCATTGTAGCGGCAGAAGAGGCTGCAAGAGCTAGAGAGGAATGCTCATTTATTGTAGGAGTATTGATCTCACTTTAGTTTTGGTAAAAGCCAAATCACTTTCAATTCCCCATGTAGCTGTCCCAGGATGCAGTCAGCCAGCAAGGTAGCTAATAACTACATAGACGCCACAGCAGCTGGATCCAAGATTCCTGGCATGCCAACTCTGCCCTCTAGTGGAGCTGTCTTTGAAATAAGTGAAGCTATCTGTGTTTGTAGCAACAAAGAATTTAGATCCTCCTGGCAATTATACTTGGGAGTAGGCTCTCGAGTTTGCCAATTTAAGCAGCAGGTTTTTGCAGAGGACAGGATTCCTTGTGATAGATACCACTAGGAATGCCACAGGGAGTCTAGGAATTATTATTTTTTTTAATGAGATGATATGATAGCCATCTTCAAATATCTAAAGGGCTGTTACATGGAGGATGGACCAGGCTTGCTTTCTCCTGCTCTGGAGGGTACTGCCTGAACCAATGGATTCAAGTTACAAGAAAGGAGATTATAACAGGAGATGGTGGACTTCCTTGGAGGAGATTTTTAAGCAGAGGTTGGATAGCCATCTGTCATGGGTGCTTTAGTTGATATACCTGCATTGCAGGGGGTTGGACTAGATGATCCTTGGGATCTCTCTCAACTCTACAATTCTGTGATTCTATGGGCTGGTCATGTTGCATACTGCAAGAGCCATGCTGACGTGCTTATCCAAATGTCCTGGCAGGGTGGGAAGACATGGCAACAGCTGTATACAAACCCGCAGTGGTCACTTCAAGCTACTGTGATCACAAGTACCTCTTCTAGGTTTTATTTCATGTTTAAAGGCAACTGTTGGCTGGTGAGCTTGCTATATGGAAACACCCTGTTACTGGGATAAGCTTTGTTTTTATTTGGGAGATGGGGATTAAAAGCAGTCTTTTGTGCTGCAGCACATCTTCCCCACTCACTTTCTGTGAGAATGACCCAGTACTTCCAGTCCCTGCTTGACACCACCCAGGTGTCAAATGGCATTATCTACACACAGCTTCACAGCGTTATCTCCCCTCTTGCTGTCATCGGTCCAGTGACACTCCTTTGAATGCTTCCCCCTAAAGCTATTACAGGCTTGTTAGAATCAACAGCTTCTTTGAGGATTCGGTAAATCAAGTTGGCATCAGCTGCAGTCCATTGCACCAAGAGGGACGGTGAGGACCTTTCCGGCACTCCTCATTACTTAGAGCACTCCACTCTGAGAGCTTAATCTATATTTATGTTCAGTATAAACCGGGCACTAGAGGAATTGCCTGTCTCCTGACATTGCATTTGCCCCGGTCACAGGAGGGTCTCCAGATGAGATTGGTTAAGCCAAGTAGCATTTGGGGCCCGTTATTAGAGTGAGTGAGGATAATATTACTAATGACACTTAGTGCCACCTGCCTGCAGCCCAGAGGGGCTAGAGGTCCCTAATGATGATGATGCTGGATACTTCGACGATGCTGTAAAATATGACGGCCATTATGACTCATCAGAGATTTCTGGCGGATGTTGTAAAATGTGCCAGATGCTTCTCTTGTCTGTTGGTGATAAAGCTGGGAATGCTGTCACAGGCCTGCTGCTGTAACACATCTCCTAGTGATGATCTTGGGAAGGGGGTGAATGGCTAACCCAGATGATCTCACACAGGGCCTCCCGTATGCACAAGTGACTTAAGTGTTTGGGCAAATCACAGTAACATGGTGGTCACCAAGGAAGAGACAATTGTGCATACACCTCTTTACAGTCGTACCTTGGGTTAAGAACTTAATTCGTTCTGGTCCCTTCTTAACCTGAAACTGTTCTTAACCTGAGGTACCACTTTAGCTAATGGGGCCTCCCGCTGCCACCGCCGCGCGATTCCTGTTCTCATCCTGAAGCAAAGTTCTTATTTCTGGGTTAGCGGCGTCTGTAACCTGAAGCATCTTTTGTAACCAGAGGTACCACTGTATTTCACCGGCATGCCCCTTTTGCTAGCAGCGAGGGTCATGTCACATCCAACTGATGCGGGTTGAATGGGTGGGGTTGCATTTGTGTATAATATGGCTACTATTAGCAGAAACCCTCTGCCTTGTGGGACATCTTTGTGAGAAGAAAAGGCTAAGGAGTAAACCCTAAACAAATCCAGAGTGGAGTCCCTCAAGTGGTTGGGTGGCACCTTGTACACCTCCTTCTGGCAACTCCTGCAGTCAAGCTGGTGCCAAACATATTGCTCTGCTTTCCTTTGGACCACATCAGCGTGGCTGAGGGGGAGGACATGTTTGGGCAGCCCAGGACTTCCATATGCATTGCCCAGGCTTATGCCCTGGAGAGGTCACTTTGGTGCTGCTAATGCAGCAGTTATGAGTTAGAGGTCTCTGCAGCCACAGTGATTCTCTAGTGGTTTGACTTTACCCCTGGAGGTGCACTCCATTGTCTCTTGAGACCAGTGGATGGCAACAATTAGCAGAAGGGTTACAAAAATGCTGGAAGGAGGTGAATTTGAAGCAGTTTATTGAAAGGCCCAAGTGCTTTTCAGAGCGGTTGACTTGTGGGCAACCGTTTAATCAAGACAGCCGCCAGTAGCCAAACCCAATTCCTTAGGGGTTCTTTTAGCCCTGAAGAAGAGCTGTCTGACTTAAAACACGCCAGGCCTTAATAAACTGCTTTAAATTCACCTTTTGAGGTGCATTTGCTTTGCTTCATGTCATTTAGTGCAACAAATGTGCTGTGTTCCTGTGCGGGAGGTTAAACAAATCCTAACAAATGTAGATTGATCTCTTGATTGGTTCACCTTTCCACTGGCAAGCCTAGAGATTGCTGCCTTTCTGTTTGGGCTTTTTCTCTGTCTCCCTCTCCACCTGTAGTTAGGGTAAATGAGAAGGCCATGCCACTGTTTCTTATGCTTGTAACCTACCTTCCATGATGAAACTTAGGATCTCACACAGAGGGCTCTCTGGTAGTACCTCTGTAGCTTCAACAAGGCCAGCCCTTGGGATGTTTGACAACACCCCATTGTGCGTGCCTTTTCTATACCATGTCCTGGGACTGCCTGCTAGGATTAAGCTGTGCTCAAATGGACAATTTTTGTTGATTACTGTTTCCCAACACAGCTGAAACAAACCTATAGCTTAAACTGTAGGCAGCAGAAATCTAAAAAACTTGATTATATTTGCTTGGCTTTTTAAAAAGTTTCTAATTCAACTAGAGAAACAGTCTTATTGAGATGCTAAAATTCGTTGCAAAAAGAATTAAGTGTTAAGATGCGAAAGGAACTGTGAGCTTGGTAACAGTTCCACCCAAGCAAGGACCATGGAAGGAAACCTCAGTGGAATTTTGTCTATGGGGAACAGCTCTTGAGGTTCATGATGGGCTGCAGTGGTATGAGGAACGGCAAGGAAAGGGGAGCTTGGGGGTTTGCCAGCTGACTGGGGGTGGGGAGGAGCAGGGAAACTGACCTGCTCTTTTGTCGCTTTAAAAGTACCTATGTATAGAAATCAACAGGTGAACTCTTTTACAGTGTGGAGACAAGCGTCACCATCTGATAAAAGCAGCTATTAAAAGCACAGCTTCAGTTGCAGGCTGAAAAGTTGGCAACCCTAGCAAGAGCTCTGTATAACCAACACTGGATCCCCATGAAGCATTTGAACGGAACAATCGTGTGTCCCTTGGAGAGAGAAGCTGCTTTACGTTTTATGAATTGCTTGAGCAAGCTGGCAGCCTTTGGATGGTAGCTGCTCTGGCATGTAAAGCAGCAAGGAGCAATTGGGGCTGCTGAGGGTTTTCAGCATAAATGTTGGTTAATGTTCAGGCTGCTTTGTCTCCACCCTGACTCATTCCGTACGCACTCTTGCTGCACTTGACAGGTTGCTAGGATACTGGAGGTCTCCGAAGAGATGAGGAGAATCATGGGAGTGAATTCAGGCCTGGAACTTATTACGTTGCCGTATGGACACCAACTGCGCCTCGACATAATTGAAAGGTAAACGCTGTTATTGCTACCTTACAAGTTTCCTTCCCCTTGTAGGCTCTGCGGAAAATATCAGGCTGCCGAGGAAAATTGTCAGGGGTTCATTGTTGTTCTCTGTAAAAAAAGTATTTGTCAGTTCTGCCTTTCCTCCCACTATTTATCTATTATGGCATAGATTCCTAATGGATGACATACTAATAGATTCCCAGTGATAGGGTGTGATTTTGGTGGGCTGTTGAGAGGCTAAGCACCTTTTACAAAATGACTATCCAAGGAAAAATTTGAACCTATTATTATTATTTTATTATATTTTTCAAGGCTTTTGAGCACGTTTACATGGACACCAACATTGCAGGGGTGGGTTGGGAAGCATTTAATCATGAACTGTGAGCAGGTTTTTGTAAATAAACCATGATATCAAGGGAAGTAATTTTTTTTTTAATGAAAGATATTCTTAAGCAGGAAATAAGTCCAAAAAGATCTGTAGCACGACCTGAAAAACTAAATGCCTTATGTTCCCACATGTCGCCAGCAGAGATAATCCCAGAATCTTAAGTGCAAAACATCTCTTCAGGGACTCTGAAGCCTCCTTTGAGGCCTACAAAATAATACCTTGTCTGCATTTAAAGCCACCAGGCCGCCCCTCCTCTTCAAAAAGTTGCATGCAGTGGTTTAGAGCTTTTAGCCAACCATGCGGTTGCCATGGTTTCCTGCTCCAGATCAGAGAGAGACCCATTGCACGGAATGGTCTGACTGGCAAATAGCTCCTCCTGCTCCTCTTACCAAGCAACGAGACGACCCACTCTTGTGCTTTTGTCACAGACATCTTCAAATTGCTTTGCCAGTCTTGGCACCTCTGCTGCCAGCATGGGGGCTGGCAAGTTCTTTCCTCCCAGGCCCTTCCAACTGGGCTGGCATTCTTTTGTTGGCCTGTCATGCCTGGTCACAGGCATTACTGTCTCTCCATCCCCTTTCTTCTTCCTTGAAAGGGAGGGTAGCTACGATGAGAGTATTGTCAAAATGATCGTTAGGCGTTGAGAGAATTCACTCTGAATGTTCTCAAACTCACTGCTGGAGCTTGCTTCAATAGCCCCAAAGATTTTGAAAAGCTGCCAATTAGGTTGATGATTGGCTAGTTTTCATACTGAAACAATGGCTATGTTCCCACATCATGGTTAACCATAGATAATGGCTTATTGTAAACATGGAAAGGGCTCCCACTGCACTCCTTTCCTAGTGCAAGCAAGAGTTAACAAACCATTATTCCTGGATTGGCATGCTTCAAACAAACCATAGAGTAAAGCCAATCTTGGTTTGATTGAGCGGAACAGATGACAATTCCGATTTTGGATGTAAATCTAAGCCCAGGGATCATGGTTTGCTGCATGCACAAAGAAATGAGCTAAGAGGGAGCCATCTCCACATTTATAATAAACCATTAATTAAGCCAATGAAAGCTGGAAGATTGATTATTCTGGTGTGATCCTTCTAAATGAATATTTTCCTCTTACATAGAGATTTGTCACGCTGTGGCAGATTGATAGAAATGTATTGTAACAATACTTGCAATTTTTATTCACTTAATTGACTTAAATATTTTGATCGGCTAAATGATTAATTGGACAATTTATTTTAGGGACCAGTAAGAAGAAAAGCATTTTTAAAGCCATAAAAATAATTTTAAAAATTCATCCTATATCCACTTTCAGAACGTTCCTCCAGGAAGGAAGGAACTTTCTAAGAAAGTGCCTGCTTGCGAGTGTGCTGTGCAACCTCTAAGAACAGAGAGCACTTGTTTTCTTCAGACCTCCTGCTTTATTATAAATAAATGCATGCTGCATGACGTCACCACAGTACTTTAAGGTCATATTCGTGCTTGGATTCAGTTCCACGGGCAGCTTGAAATCTCATGGCTCTCCTGATATCTTAAGACTGTTTCTGATTTCTTTCCCCCTTTAGACACAACACCATGGCAATAGGGATAGCAGTTGATATTCTCGGCTGCACAGGAAACTTAGAAGAACGAGTTGCAACGTTAAACAGGATCATCCAGGTCGCTGTGGAACTCAAAGACTCCATGGGGGATCTGTATGCATTTTCAGCTATAATGAAAGCTCTGGAAATGCCTCAGGTAAAAGGAATTCCCCACATTAAACTATTAACATGCAATCTTAAGGTGTGGGGAAAGAGGAACTGCCTTTTGTGCTGAGCAAGGCATTGGATAAGGTTCTGGCATTCTTCTGTTCATTTCCTGTTCTGGAATACCCGACTCTCCTCCTCCCAACACCCTGGCTTGACCAAAGAGGTGTCTCCAACATTGGCTCTTCCTCTCTGATATTGGATGGGTGGATCCAATCTATCCTATGACTCCTGGGACACCTTGCAGACAGTAAGATTGCACCCACGTGAGGGGTTCACACACAAAACTAAGTCATTGTTTATTAAATCACAGCTTACCATTATGTCTGAACCCATCGCAGCAACTTAACTATCGTCTACTAACTGTGGTTTAAGTTCACTCATTAACCAAGGTTCATAGTTGGCTTACTAACCTTAATAAATAGCATGTAAGCCTGGATTTCCTCAACTATAATTAAGTAGCCTTTTGTAGTATAAAGAATTAACTTGTAGGCAAAGAGCTACAGACCTGTGAGTGAAGAGCAGCAAAGAATCCAAACTGATTTCAGTGCTACTCTCACTGGCAGGTAAAAATGATCCACAGGGCTGGGTAAAAAACACACCACCTTACTGTCAGGAATGGTTCTCCAGATTTAGTCCCATCTTCCCTGATCATTGAGTGGGGTTGGCCAGTGTTTGCAGTCCTGTGGCATTTCTGTATTTGTGGCTGTCCTCCTTACCGCTCACGTTTCTATCTTTACTAAAATATGGGGAGTAAACCTAGTGCTAGAGGTTGAGCCAGTGACGAGTAGACGTCTTTCCCATCCTTGTGCACAGTGCTTCTTATTCCGGCACCGCAGAATAGCATTTACAATTGTAGTTCAAGATGCACAAGGATTCCTAACAGGCGCTAAGAAATATGCTGGGTGATCAGCGATCCGCTTCCAGATTTGCAAATTCATCATTTATACAGGAATTAGCTTTAGTGTAGCCAAGCTCATTAGATCTTACGGGTAATGCCCATCCACAAGTAAAATGACAGGCTGGAGGGTTTGTTGAGTTGAACTGCTGACTTGGGAGGGCCCAAGCCTACTGCTAAGAAACAAGTCCTTCCAAAGTGTGGCAGATTTTCTACACCCCTTTGTTGGGATCAGATCTGATACCTGGCAAGAACTGTTTTTACAGGGTTTTCCAAACTTGGCTCCCCAGCTGTTTCTGGACTACAATTCCCATCATCCCTGACCACTGGTCCTGCTAGCTAGGAATGATGGGAGCTGTAGTCCAAAAACAGCTGGAGACCAAAATTTGGGAAATCCTGATGATCTGATGAGTAGAACAGGTTGGAGGGCCCAACCAAGCTTACTGCTAAAAGGGAGTCCTTTCAAGGAAGCAGATTTGCTGCAGCCCTTTGCTTGGATGAGCTCTTTTTAAACACCTAGCAGGGCTGGTGGCTGGGACGGCTTCAGCTAACAAGCAAATGTTCTAGTCTGCCACTTCATACAGCATGTTAGCGCAGTTTCCCACAGGCAGCTTCTGCTTTCTGAGGATGCAAACTGCACACTTGATGGTACAGCAGCAAAATGTTGCTGATTTGTATGAAATACCCCTTCTTTTAAGTTGCACCATGTTCATTTTGTGTTGTTCAGGGACTGCTTGACAGTTTAGCTATTCTTCCTCTGCAGGTCACAAGGTTAGAGCAAACGTGGACCGCTCTGAGACACTGCTACACACAAACAGCCATTATATATGAGAAGCAGCTAAAGCCGTTCAGCAAAGCCTTGCATGAAGGAAGAGGTAAGTTAGGGCAGCTGCATCACATTTATCATTGTCATCATCAATGGAGTCTAATCAAGTCCATAGGCCACATCTGTTATTGCATTAATGGAGAGTGCGGGAGAAAGCCCAAGTCCTAAAAGTGATGGTAACGGACAAAATGCATTAGATGTAACCACATCCTGCCTTACTCATGGTTCATTCCTGTTGTGTGGGAAAAATAACTCAGGAAGGAGGGGTAGTCTATCATTCCCTGTCACTGAAATGCTTTGAACAAAATAATCCATGTGCAATGCATGAATTAGATTTTCAGGAACAGTGAATAATTTCCACTGAACATCTAATTTGCTTCTCTGGTGATGCAACAAGAAGAAACCTATGGCCAGGTCAACTTTTTTTATCCACTTGCCAAACAAAGAACACAAGTCATGGTTAGGGAGAGGAGGAGGAACCAACGAAAGGGGTTGTATTTTCATCAGCCAGCATTTTGCTTGGGTGGTCATATTACAGAACTGCATAGCCAGCAAATTAATGAAATCCTGCTTGTGTATGACTTGAGATAGGCTGGTTCCTCTAGCTAGCAAGGGGACAAAATGTAAATGTTTGTTTGTTACCTCCTTTTCAGAGGCAACCTGCGTTCCACAGAATGTGGTCACTGTACCCCTGCTGATGCCTCTTGTTATGCTTCTGGAGCGCCAGGTTGTCGTGTTTGATGGAATGGACGTGTGGGAGAACACGGACCAGAGCTGCGAAATAATGCTGAAACACTTGGCGACTGCTCGCTTGATAGCGCAGAATGCTGACCTGTACAGCACAAATGCGGAAAGGATGTTAGCAGGTAGGAGGGGAATGTACTGCTGTACACTGTTCAATTCCACAGAAATGAGGGGGGAGGGAATCACATCCAGGGCTGTTGAAAACAGGTCTTGTTTCTTAGATCTTCCGTTGCAGAGTGATGTTGCAGGATGGATGTGCATCAAATGCACCACCTGGTATTTGCAGTCTGCATAAAGTAGCAGCTTGGGTGTACGCTGTGCTTGTTGCCGATGTTTATACAGTGTTGTAAGCTGGAACCAGCTAAGTCTTGCAAGTAGATTCAACTGAGGAACAAAGTACCTGCCCTTTTTAGGTACTTGCCATGACTAGTTATATAACACAACAACTTCTAATTGGGCCTAAGATACTGATGTTTAGGCTTTGTTGTAGGTGAGATACATCTATGAGAAACATTTCTTATTACCAGGTTTAAAGTATGGTTGGATGAATAGGTTTTTAAGATGGCAAAAGCATTATGGGATGAGATTGGCAGGTCCAGAACTAGTTTCCTTGTTTATCCAGTTTGGTCACTGGGGGTGGGAGGCAGCCCTCCACTTTGGGTACCCTCCCCAAAGTGGCTAGTTTTTTATATGAAGAGCATCCCCTAGGGATGCAGTCATGTGGAAGAATGATAATCTGACCCAGTGGCGTAGCAGTGGCGGCTCCTTTGCCTTATGGGAAGACTGCAACAGCAGCTTCACTCAGGTGGTATATCGTGGGTGAAACCGCCACTGCTCCTGAGTGCAGGTCCACCCGTGATATACCACTGAGTGAAACTGCCCTCACACCAGTAAAGACAGAGGAACAAGCTGCTTTGGCAAGGCGCCAATACCACTTGTTCTTCCACCTCTTTAAACTGCTCTGCTGAGGAGCACGGCTGTCCTTGCCTTAGCCAAGCAGTTTTACGGAGCCACCAGCTTGCACAAGGTGGCAGCTCTGTGAAACTGCTCTGCTGAAAGGTGTGTGGTTGCTGCTTCCCTTAGTTAAGCAGTCAAAGGAGCCCTGTGCAAGCCAGTGGAGAAGTAGGAGAAGGATTGGGTTGCGAAGCTGCTTCCTCACTGGGGCGAAACCGCCTCAGTGATGTCACTCTGACACCTTGCAGCGCTGTGGGAGGAAAGCAGTGTAAATAACGTGGTTTATCACCAGATCACGATGTTTGCTTCTACAGATGCTCCTGCATAGAAGAAGCATTGCCAGACTTCTGAGCTGGCCTTTTCAGTCCGTTGCAGTAAAAGGTGCTTGTCTTGGATGCCTTCATGGTGAGAAGGCTCTTTAATTTATTTTCCATTTCCTCCCATCAGGTTTTCAGCCAGATGACGAGATGAATGAGATCTTCAAAACAGAATTTCAGATGAGATTGCTCTGGGGCAGCAAAGGAGCACAAGTTAACCAAAGTGAAAGATACGAGAAATTCAACCAGATCTTAACTGCACTCTCCCGAAAATTAGAACCCCCTTTAGCAAAGCAGATTGAGCAGTGAAATGCTCAATGGACACTCAACTATATAGTTGGTTCAGTTACTTAACTTAAAGAAAATACACTGTAAAACAGGCCTGCATCAAATGTTTGCCTTTCCCTATCCCCTCAGAGTAAGAAGAGGGTGCCTTTTGGGGGGTGGGGAGGAAGTACTTCCTGAAAAGTATTTTCCAGGAATATTTGCATTCCCTGACAGACTTTTTGTTTGGCACATTCTTAAAAACTGTTTCTCCTTACTGGCAGTAGTGATTCTAGCCAAAACAGGGAATGCACGGCCCCTTGAGAAAAAGGGTAGCGCTTTCTGGATCATAATCAAGGATGAATTGCTGAAGGGGGTGTGAGAGTACTTGTTGCCACTGCCAATCGTGTTTGCATACTTTTGCTGTATGCAGTTTCATTTGCAGCACCTTCGGGATTTGTAAATTGCACCATGTGCATTTTTTTTTATTTAGTTGCCTAATAAGATTTGACTACTGATTTACAAAGGAATCATTATTTATTTATTATGGATATCTTTAATTATCTCTCGCTCAACAAAGACACTGTCCTGTTACGTATAGTATTGCTGACACAGTGGTTTTATTAGAGTATTTTTAGTCTTGCATCAAATAATGTTATTAATAAACTGTTAATGTAAGTAAGACTAGAAGTTACAGGAATGGCTTTGCAGAAGGTATCAGTTGTATGATATCCCTTAAAATGGATAGGGAAACTTGTACATGTGCTTGTGAATTAAAGCATCTCATGGTGGAAGTATTTTGTTTTGTTTTTTGCCTCAGTGAAATGGGAGTGGATAAACTGAGGGGCCCAAGCTGAACTGACCTCATCTTTCCTCCTGAACTTTCTTCTCTCTCCAACTTCCATCAGCCCCAAGCAGCAAGGGTAGTGATAAAGGATGATGGAATTGCTCTCAGCAGCCAGAAACATAACTAGACACTGCAAGGACCTATCAGGAATGAACACAGACCACTGGTACAAAAAAGTATGGCAAACTGCCCTATTAGAAAAGTTGAGTGACAAACTTAACATTAGCACAGGGACAAGCAAAGGAGGGTGCCTTCACCCCAGTATGGTTCCCCTTAATCACATACACAGGACAATGACCTATCCCCCCCCCCAAATCATTATGGCTGACCTGACCCCCCACATCAACACTGCAACCAAGCAAGCTCAGGACCCTCCTCCAATCTCTCACAATATCAATGAAAAATTAATACATAAACAAAGAACCTACCCACATGATGCTGACACAAAACCCTACACTAGGCAACAGAACCCCCCCCCCCACACTTTTTTTTCCTCCCAGCCACAAGATGTCTGCAACAAAAGTATCACTAAATGTAAATGAAGTGGCAATGATAAATGTACCCCTGTCTGTTTTGTAACACAAAATCCTTCAAAACTAATTACAAAATAAAGGGTGCTGGAAGTTGCATCCAGCAGCATCTGGAAGTTCACCACGTCATACAGCATTGTAATTCTGGCCCCCTTCCTTGGCTAAAACTGCTTTTATGTTCTGCTCTCCTGCCTTGAGAGCCCTCAGTGCCCTCTGTCCACAACTGTTACCACAAATGTATTTCATTACTTATACCGTGTAACATTTCTCAGATCCCCTGATGCCTGAATCAAGCCGCCTGCAGAGTATATGGAGAAAGAGCAGACAAAGGCTTGGGAGGGAAGGTGACTGGATTGTGGTACTTCATAAAGCACCAGCCACACTATTGTTTATTTAAAGTATATACGTTTCCCCCTTGTAAAGTATCAGGGAACTATACAGGCAAAAGCATTCTCTCCCTGCAACCAGTTTGTCCAACAATGGCTCAAAGAAAAAACAACCATCTATCTTTCTGCCTGTATGCTCGAAGGCATGGTGGTGACCATGACAGGAATCCCAAGACAGACCAAACAACCAGGCTTAATTAAAAAAGGCACTCGCTTCTACCATGGCCTGCTGCCCACAGCTTTTTATCAAACTAGCGAAGCTGGGAAATGTGACACTTAAAAAAGAAAGAAGTAAAGCAAAATAATGGCAAGGTTTTTTTGGATAGCTTTCACACTCTAGTGCATTCCTCATTGCTTTCAAGCACATGCCCTGCAATAATCACAAGGCATGTCTTAATCTGCAGCTTCCCAGTCAAGAGTCACAAAATTCTGACACAAGTTTCCACTTCTTTGGCATTAGAAAGCTAAGGAATGAGCACACAAAAGGCCCGCTCTGGATTTTGAAGCCAGCAGAAGACGAAGGAGGCAGCTGCCCAAAGGTCTAGCAAGGAAAGCAGGGCTCAAACGGAGAATGTAACTGATCTGCAAGCATGCTGGCTGCTACTCCTTGGCACGCATACAGACGGCACTGGTTAAGGGAGAGGGGGCTGGGTAGACACTTGCTCCAAAAAACTTAGGAAAGCTCCAAAGCTCTTGTCTGCGTATGTGGAACTGCACAGAAGCTCCAATGACAATGTCCCAGGCTATTCCATCCTCCCAAATTCCCCAACCACCAGCTGCTCCCCCCCCCCGAATTCTGTACTCCACCCACCTCTGCATACCAGATAAAACAATGCTGCTTATTTGTTATATGGTCACTTACCCAGGCATGCTGAAAGGCTCTGATGTTACTAGAGGTTCTTTGCCCCTCAGCCTGCTCCATCCTCTAACTCCTTCCTAAAGCATGTGAAGAAATTCAAGTGGAACTAAGTTAAGGGTTATAGAACTGCAAGCTAACCGATCATGTAAAGGAATTGTTCAGGTAACTTGGGGGCTTAGTTTTTGCACCAGGGATTAAACCTGCTTGTCTGAACTGGGCCCGCTAACAGGAAAACGGGGGGCTTTGTCCTTCTAACCAAATGAATGCTCTTGCCTTATTCCAAGAACGAGCATGTTAACATTAAAAGGGGGGGGGGGCACCTAAAGCCACCTATTCCTTCGCCTGCAACAGAAGACAAGGAAATTGTCCGGGCCATGAAAAGGTTGCTTTTAATTCCATGAAAATATTTTCAAGAGAACCACTATTTTTTAACAAAGCATTTAAACATTTAAAAATCAACACGTGCACAAAAGATTAAAAATTACTGGAAAGTTGTAAGACTCAAGACAATTCATCATGTTCAAAATTTCAGCATGATTTTAGCTAACTGTGCAAGTACAAATATTTCCCCCCCTCCCTTTAAATGTAATAACCCTCATAAATTCACTGTGCCTTATACCACAGAAAGAATATCTCCTGAGGAAACAAATCCTGTTCCTAGAAAAAACAGTAGCATGAAAGAACGGTTATTAGTCCTTTGCTATGAGTTATTTAGTAGAAGCCCATGAGTTCATTAGGCAAAATCTACAGGGCTCTTGGCTGCAAGTTATATTGAGAACATTTTCTCATTATATTTAATTTTGAAATAATAATATTCTTTTTAAAAAAACAAAACACCACTAGGTTGGTCTTTTAAAAACCCAAAAGCTGAATGACTAATACAATGTAGTTTTGTCAGTAATGAGTAAAGAGGTCACATCATATAAATAACCCTGTTTACAATATCCGAAAAAATCTAACCTTTAGTGTTTAATTTCCCCCCCCGCCCCGCCGCCCCTGCAAATACACTATGTCATTTGCGTAATAGTGGCACACTTAATAATAAAAAGAAGAGACCACAATAGTCACACAGATTTAGTTTTACTGGTAGTACAATTCCTAATAACACTGAAAAAAGTTCTAAAGGAATCCAGCACTGCTGTGTCCAAATATTGCTTCACCCCCCCCACCCCACCCCTAGAAAACCGGTTGGTTTGTTTTTAACATTACCACAAACAGCAAAAAAAGCTGGATCAATGAAGCTTTTAACTTAAATGGTTCCTCCCTCCCTCCCTCCCTCCCTCCCTCCCTCCCAACTCCCCATATTCTAAGATTCCCCTATTCATTTTAGATGTAGGGATGATTTCATTAACAGAACTCACAAATGGCAGACAAAACAACGTGGGCAATATGGGGTGTGTGCTGCAGACAACTATATTTACATGTATAAACATTTCTCAAATCTCAAATGTTTACAAGTAAAAGTGCACATAGATCATTACAAAGTATCACTCCAATTTTTCAAATGGTCCTTACAATGAAGCGTCACTTGGAAACAGACTAGCACTGCAGTTAATTAGAAACTGGAGTCTTTCCCCAACCCAACCCTGCCCCGCCAACTCAAGAAATAAGAGACAATCAAGGAAAGAAAGAAAAAAAAAGGCTCCATAAAAATCCTATTAAAAACATTCATTAGACATAAAATGAAAACGATACATGTGTTTTGCTTCCAATGCATAAAGTTTACAATGCACCATGTATCATGTTGAGGCAGAGGCCCAGAAAGCATCTGCCAAGGCTACCAGCAGCTGTAGTACTGTAGAAAGATGCAGGAGGTCATTCGGAGCAGAGGCTCAGAGCCCTTTGTGGGATACTGAAGTGGTAAGCGTTGGCAATCAACAGATTTAGGCACTCAAGAGTTTTAAGGCAGCATCTGAATGGCAAGCACTTCTGAAAACAGTCGTTTTGTCTTGTGGTGGAAAAAAAATCTGTGCTGTTAAATCTCAGGCTTTTCAGTGCTCACAGGTTATTGAGGTGCTGAGGATGGGCTGCTGGGACACGTTCCTTTCCCCCAAATCAAAATGAATGTTAGGTTTTTGCACATCAGTCGCAACACAAAAGAAGAACTGGAATGTAATGATGATGGTCATAATGAGAAAAGAAAGAAAAAGAAAAAGGTAACAATAGCAGCATTAAGTGGAAACTGAAATGAAAAGGAAAACAAACTTTAGTGCTGGAGATAACAGAACTACAGTAAAGTGGGGTTTTGCTACGAATGCAGAAGAGGAGGAAGAGCTATGGAAATACAAAACATTAGGCAGGCAGTCCTGATACGTATCTAGACATGCAGGAGGAGGTTAGGGCGAGAATGGAGGTGGCACAGGCAGAGACTGTGAAGGATGACATGGCTTCAATTCAATGCCAGCTCAAAATGGGCATGGAAAATGAGGCAGCCGAAACAGCCAATAGGCAATGCAACGGGCAGACAGCAAAAGGAGGGCTTTTTCAGAACCACGAAAGGAATGCATTTTCAGGTGGTTTGGTTCTGCTGAAATGGAGCTGTGGCTTTACTGTAACGATTTTGAATACACAGAGGGATGCTAACATGGTTAGTGAGTCATGTTTGCCTGCATGCCTTCATGCAACTGGCTTTTGCCCATCTTGCTGGGCCTAACTCCCTACCCCCTTCCTTCCCTCGCCCACCCCCCTAAAAATAAAAAAAAGCAGCTGCATGTAACCTCCTTCAACATCTCGCCCATTTTCTCAGAAACCCGCTTCAGGAACCTGCAGTCCAAGAGGAAAAAAGAGAAGAACAGAATTACCAGAGGCCTTCAGAGAGAGAAGTGTGTTCATAGAATAAAGTAAAAAATAAAATAAAATAACCCCTCTAAATGGTTAGAAAATAAATCCTATGCACAGGTAATGGCACCAAGCCTTTTCAAGCATTCCTAGCTTCCAGACAGCAGCTCATCCAGTAGCAAATTAGTGCAACTTTGCTACCAGAATAACTCCCCAGCCCAAGTGAAAATGTACAGGTTATCTAGTAGCACTTAGAAAATTCTACTTCTAGAGGTGCATCAGCAACTATCATCAGAGTCCAGCGATCTATTCCAGGCCCGGGCGCTCCAATGTGCACACAGGGATTTTCATTTGAGCAAAGGGGAGCTCATCAGCATCCACCTTCCTTCACATATGAGATATGCTCCTTCTGGTGGACTGAATGGGGTGGTCCACACCGAATCTGTGCACATGAAATGGAGATGCAGCGTTGCCTGGACTCCTGGAACAGATATTTCCCAGGAGAGATGTTTTTTCAGTGTCAGTGCAAGAGAAGAGGAAGTTGCCTTTTACCGACAGAATAACCTCGTCAGGAATCCCAAGGAGAAGGAAGTCATTTCAGCAACCCGCGTTACATTCAAAGTTCTTAACAGGTAGGAACGAAGTCAAGAGGGGCACATCAGAATGCTGCCCGCCTGTGGAGTCCCCAGTTACTAGCTATGCACACCCCCGGCTACCTTCCACATTCATCCTTTGTAGGATGGGAAAGTGCCGCTCGTTGATTTTTGCAAAGTAAAAACTGCAATAATGCGTACGCGACAGGCATGTTTGTAAACGTTAGCAGCAACCTCTTACACCTAAGCAATGGTTTGTACATTCGCAGCAGAAACGGTTTCTTTGTTTTCTGAACTGCACCTCATTGCACTGGATTGTCAGCCGTTTTCCATGCACAATGCAGACCAGGGCAAGAGAACAAGGAAGAAAGGCTTGCATTCAGAAAAGGAAAAGCAGATCTGCTTGCCCACTTTATTTGCAGCAGGGCCATTTTCACTGCACTGGGCTTATAGTTATTAGCTGGGTATTGGAAAATGTTTTTTTTGGGGGGGGGGTGGATTTGGGAAGGGGGCAGGGGTTGGCTAATGGACTGTATACACTGACGCCATGGAAATAATAGTAATAGTGATCAATTTTTAAAAAAACATTTAAGCCAGTAAAAAGTTTTCCTCCCCAAAAAATAAACCATCAAAATCATAACAGATTAACCATTGATTGTAGGATAATGCTTAGAAGCCCTGAAGCAGACAGAGGCAGAGAAAGAAGACTTATGGACATGGCACTGGCCAAAGCTGTGTCAAGAGACTCATTGAAAGGCAGATGTTCTTCCAGCTTCAGTACAGACATCCCCGGACGAGCTCACATGGTGAACAACAGATTGAAAGGCTTCCCGAACGCTCTTAACACTTTCCATCCATCTGTGTGCTTCAGGATTCTTTAAGGAATGTTCATTGTTAAGCCGACGGGCTGGAGGTTAGATATAGGTTACTGCACCTTTACTGTTCTTCTCTAGAGTTACATCGATGTAGGATGTTGGCACGTATCCTTCTTCTCCGTTCTGCCTCCGGGCTCTAGTCCACCCATCCCCTTTATCTTCCTCTATGATGTACAGAATCTCCCCTTCTTTCATCGCCAGAGTGCCTTCATTGTGACCTAGAAGGAAACGGGGATACACAGACACACGCACACACAATAAGAAAACCTTCGCCACAGCTCTCGCAGGGTTTAAATGCAAGCTCCCTCGGCTCTCGTTTTCCACCCATGGGAGGATACATCAAATCTGTGAAGCGGAGCATATGTTCCAATTGTAGGCCAGGAGACAAAACATGGTCTCTTGTTGCAAAGCTGAACGCGCGCCAATGGCTGTTTTTCTAATCTAACATATTTGTTTTGTTACCACGCTGCCGCATTTTTCTGCCGTTAAACAAAAATGATTTATGGCATGATTTCCCAGAACCAAAACCAGCTGCTAGAATCGTTTATATGCAGACAATTATTATCTAGGTAAGGCAAAAGGTAATTGCCATATATAGGATTCACACACATTTTTGCGTGTGTGTAAATATATTTCCCTTAAGCTAATCTTACCATCAAAAGGATAGATAGCTTTGCAGTGTCCTATGGCTGGTAAGGGATCGTCATCTTCAAACTCGTCGTCAAATTCGTTATGGGGGCCGTGCTGCTGGGGTGGGCTTCGAACTTCTTGGTTGGCATCATCAGTGTAGCTCCCTTCAGGGCTGCAATGCAATGGTTGAGACAAGGGAACCTTCACACTTTGCAAACCAAGAACACCAACATTTCCCATACGCTTATCATAACATTTGCTGACTCTGTTTCAGCTCATAGTAACTATGCATGGCAAACCCTGACATAAATACTTATTGCTACGGATGAATACAGGCGTAGGCAGGGAGTATAGATAAGAATCCAAGGACAGTCCTTAGATGAAGAAGGAGCTCTGATTTCAGAACAGAGCCTATTAGATCAAAATAGGCAGAATACAGAAACACTCTTTTAAAGCTCTGTCTATGGGAACAGAATTATGCAACTGCTATCATTTTCTCCTCAGAACCATGCATGGCTGTGAGAGTGGAGAAGACAACTGCATGCATGCTAATACAGTGGTACCTCGGTTTATGAACTTAATCTGTTCCAGAAGTCCGTTCTTAAACCAAAATCGTTCTTAAACCAAGGCGCGCTTTCCCCAATGAGGCCTCCTGCTGCCGGTGCCCTTCCACTGTTCGGATTCCGTTCTTAGACCAGGGTAAAAGTTCTCAAACCGGGACACTATTTCCGGTTTTGCAGAGTTTGTAAACCAAATGATTCTTAAACAGGACTGTTCTTAGACCGAGGTACCACTGTACTCATGAAGCAAGAACATTCACAGTCCTTGAAGTTTGCTTTGTTGGCAAAAGATAAGGTATGGGCTCTGTTCCTCATCGGCTACCCAAAATACAAATTGTACGTGTGTGGTTTTCATCTTTTTGATACAGCTTTCTAAATCAGAGGCCACATTCCTTGGCTCATTGCTGGGACTGTCTAAGCCTCAGTTTCACCTTGCTGGTTACAAAAAGGTGAAGAGCAGTTGTTCCTTAACTGCAGCTAAGGAGAGCTAAACACCTCACTGGCCCTTTTAAGGAGAAGGGAGGGAATAGGAAACTATCTGAAGTTGGGTGCAATTCTTTAAGCAAATAATTCATTTTAAAAATGGATACTGCTCATCTTAAAGTGTTGCAATCAATGAAAAGATACAATAATTAAAAAAGCATTCCAAGGGAAAGCCTATAAATTTAAACACTCATCACTCAAATTTCAAGCATTCAAACGGTCATAATTCAAAAGGTGTACAAAACGAACACTAAAATGTGCTGGACACACACACACACACACACACAGAGAGAGAGAGAGAGAGAGAGAGAGAGTTACATGAGAGGTGAAGACAAGATTTGAAGAGGAAGTCCTAATTTATCTGCAATTCCACCTTCTCTTTTCAGCTCCAGCAACAAAAACATTGCTTTTGTGTAACACAGCAATTACAACTGCAGTGCCTAGATGAGAGGTGGGCAACCCATCAACCTCTAGCTATTGCTGGACTCCAACTCCCATCAATCTTATTCACTCGCCATGCTGTCTGGGACTGATGTGAGCCCAGCAATATGCAGCAGACCACAGGTTCCCCACCCCTGGGCTAGATCTCTGGGAAGTAAGGAAAGAGAGGGAAGAGGGCAGAAAACCAAGTGGAAAAGGGTTTGGGGAGGTTCTGGGGGCAAAGGCAATACTTATTGTTTAATCAAATTCTAGATGGATGCAGTGACTGCTGTTTTAGAAAACGACAGTGGCAAAGACAGTGAACTTAAGTTTAAAAGATAAATATAGTGACCTCTCTCGTCCTTGGGTTACGAGGTGGTTGATATCACTGCTGTGTCTACGGTCTCCTCTTGCTGCTACTTTACCTTCAACTTCAGTAAGCCAGGCCTTGAGACAGAGACAGACAGACAGAGATCATTTGGCACCAGTAGCAAAATAAATGCTTAAGAGACCAAACACACATCTTAACTGTTCTCAAAACAGATTTGTATTCTAAAGCAATATTCTGGAACTGTGAGTTACCAAATTCACCACAAGCAATATGAAGGGGCACAAAAACTGGGATACCATCTTCCCGGGCTGCACTCCTGCACGTCACATGACCCATACAAGTTCGTGGCTCCTCCCAAAAGGGCTTTTTGGGGCACAGCACTCAAAAATGTGCGTTTTGCGGTGCCATGCCCGAAAAAAGTGCAGCCGGAGATTGTGGCGGCCATTTTGGTTGCTGTCCTCTTGCAAGAAAAAAATGGGATGTCCCTGGGGGGGGGGCAGTTGATGGGTATATACAAGTACCACACGCCACCAGTACTATATTAAAAATTCTTCAGTTTCTCTTAACTCACTCATCTGTTCAGGAAGTCTCCCAATCCATACCCATAAGTGCACGATTTGTCAGCTCTGGTACCACAGATACAGAAAAACTGAATCTGCAAAAATATTTTCAAACCAGTGCTCTTCCGGCTATTTGGTTCTGTAGAGAATAGCTACATGCTTCTTGTTTCAGGGCTCGAACATCTCTAAAGGTACAGGCAAGGACTGCCATAGGATTTTTACAAATCTCTCCTTGTTAACTAAATTGGAAACATTAAAGCCAGGTGGCTTTAAAGTGGCAGTTGTTGTAAATGGATGGAGTGCAAAAGCAACCAGGATTTCCCCCACATTATGAATAACCTTTCAGAATTTTTTGGAGGATTCCTTATCTAGAGGCATCTGAAATCTTATACCAGCCTTCTTTCGAAATGTCTTAATAGATTTTAACCTCATTCTTGTGAATTTCCATTCGAAGGCGGTCCATGTTGCTCATAGTTTCAGCCAGCTTTGGCTGAAGACTACTCGGATCACCCATTTGCGGGTTTTTCTCATATACATCTTTCATTTTGATGAGCGCATCTCTGTAGAAAGAAAAAAAAAGTATATCGAATTAGAAAATTGTTTTCCTTGCAACAATGAAACTGAGGAGGGAGGAAGAGAAAGCAGTACAATTTCCTAACACTCAGGACACCCCCAAAACTATGGGGTTTGAGAGGACTCATGAACAACACAGAGAAAATTAAAGACAAATTGATGTTTGCAGAAGAGACATCTCGATGCCTAGGAAAAGAGCAGTAAAGATAAGGTCAAGATACAATAACAGAAAAGCAAAATTACTTCTGATCTGTCTCTTTTTGTAGTTCTCTGTTAAGTTCATCAATTCGCTGCTGCAGTTTTTTCCGCCTTTGTTCTGGAGGCAGGTGGCTGAAATCTTCTTGAGCAGGGCCCTGAAACCAAGTGAAAATACAACCCTCAGAAAGTGCAGCTACTTACATTTCTGCTGGCACCTCACACATAACCAACAGGACTTCCTCACTGGAGGAAGAACTGTTTTTTTAAACACCACAATGCTGCAAAGCATAGCTCCAGGGCGGGGGGGGGGGGCGGGGGATGCACACATCAGACTGAATTATTTTCTTGATGGTCTGTGATTCCTCCCCCCCCCCCCAATCTGAGATTTTCAAGATGTTACAGATTATAAACAGTTCTTCCATGTGTTAAATAATCTTGAAATCTTGAAGGGAACGCAAATCCATTTCAGAGGCAATAGACTCAGAAGGGGTGTGTGTGGAAATATACTAGTGAACCAGAATGAAAAAAGGATCTTTAATTTGGGGGGGGGGACCCTGCAAAAATATTTCAAATGCCTGAATGAGGGGAGTGCAGGCTCAATCGGTGACACTGCTGGAAAACCTCTGGTCGTTATGGAACAAGCAGTTGCAAGACTAGACAGGTTTAGGGTAAATTATGGTAAAAGTAGCCATGTTTAGCCTCTTGTAACAAACATTACTGCTTCTGATAAGACATCTACCCCTCAAAATCACAAGCCACAATGAATCTGAAGTGTGGCAAGACTCTCAGTCTTGACATGATTTTTGACAGACACGTTTCCAAATTATTAAGATTTTAACAGAGCAACATTTTCATTGCCAAGTTCCATAGATCGCCTTGGGATTTTCTATTGTTAATAAAAAGGGCAGTCAGAACCAAACTGGGAATTACAGGGAATTTGGGCAGTTTTTAAAAAACCAAATCATGAAGAAGTTGCATTAGGAGATGTAAAACGTGGCTGATAACCACGTAAAAAGTAACTTAAATCGGCCCAGGCTCCCCTAGAACCTCAAACCCTGATAAAGCTTACTCACATTGTTCCTCCCCACCACTGAAGACGATCCCCACAGATTATTCACCAATTTTTTCCAATAGGAAAGGAGGAACTTCTGGAACACGGAAACCCCTTTCCCAACAAGTAATGTGACGTAATCAATGTCATAAGGAGCAGCGATGCCAGAAATATCCAACATGGTATTCTCAACAGCGAGCTTACTGGGACAACATGAAACTATTTGTGCCCGAAAGTACTAGCAGAGCACAAAATTATTGGATCTGAACATTATTAGAGCTGCCAAATTCCCAGTTCAGGAGATTTTCTACCGATCTATATGGGCTTCTAAATGTCAAGCCAGCCTCATCACAGAGAGAAGGCAAAATTTCATTAAGAGAACCCGTAAGGAACTTGGGGATGGAAAACAATGGGTGGGGGTGGGGAGGAAACAGGCTGTGAATATCCAAAGAGGTACAGTATTAAAAGCTGGCATAATAACGTTCTTCCGTCTCATCACCTCCTGGCAAATAGAAGGGGAAGAAATGGAGGCAGTGAGAGATTTTACTCTCTTGGGCTCCATGATCACTGCATATGGTGACAGCAGTCATGAAATTAAATGACGCCTGCTTCTTGGGAGAAAAGCGATGACAAACCTAGACAGCATCTTAAAAAGCAGAGACATCAACTTGCCGACAAAGGTCCGTATAGTTAAAGCTATGGTTTCCCCAGTACAGTGGTACCTCGGGTTAAGAACTTAATTTGTTCTGGAGGTCCGTTCTTAAGCTGAAACTGTTCTTAACCTGAGGTACCACTTTAGCTAATGGGGTCTCCTGCCGCCCCGTTGTTGTTGTGTGATTTCTGTTCTCATCCTGAAGCAAAGTTCTTAACCTGAGGTACCACTGTAGTGATGTATGGAAGTGAGAGCTGGACCATAAAGAAGGCTGATCGCTGAAGAATTGATGCTTTTGAATTATGATGCTGGAGGAGACTCTTGAGAGTCCCATGGATGCAAGAAGATCAAACCTATCCATTCTTAAGGAAATCAGCCCTGAGTGCTCACTGGAAGGACAGATCCTGAAGCTGAGGCTCCAATACTTTGGCCACCTCATGAGAAGAGAAGACTCCCTGGAAAAGACCCTGATGTTGGGAAAGATGGAGGGCACAAGGAGAAGGGGACGACAGAGGACGAGATGGTTGGACAGTGTTCTCAAAGCTACTAACATGAGTTTGACCAAACTGCGGGAGGCAGTGGAAGACAGAAGTGCCTGGCATGCTCTGGTCCATGGGGTCACGAAGAGTCAGACACGACTAAACAACTAAACAACAACAACAACAACAAAGCACTAGCAACAGGGATGTTATTAAGTGGCTTGCATTGCATACCCGCAGGTTTAAGCACAATCTTATTAAACAGATCTGAAAACATCCCTGAACTGTGCACATTAAGTGCAGGGATGGCTGTCTCAGGGTAGTTATCCCATAGATCTATTCAAATTTTGAAAATTCTTTGGGAGGAGACATCATTCCTAGAGATGGCTTGGATTCATTAAACCTTTTGCCACAACATACATTTTTTAAAAAATGCATTTCCTTTGCACAGATGAAGTGCTGGCTCCCTGCTAACTGAAAGCCATCCTGAGGCTTTCCTCCCCAGTGAGAGCAAGTTCCCTTTCACCTGAATAGTGGCTAAAAAGTTAACTGGCACCCAAGTTAAAACTTTTCAGCACTGCTTAACCCAGGGATCTGAAATGTCAGTTTTAAAATGGGCACCTGACTTAAGGAAAATCCTGGTTAGGAGTAATGATTGTTAATCTCTTTGCCAGGGAATTGTGATAAGAGAGGGATAAGAGAGGGGAAATCGGCACCGGGGAGAGGCTGCAAGGAGGGAAGCAGGCCTTGTAGCAGAACCAAGCCTATAATACTCCATTTCCTAAGTTCGTTTTGCCAAACTGTGGTTTTAACTCATTTTCAATGGCGTTGAAATAGGCAAACATGGTGACAACAAAGTGCTCTGCAATTTAGAAACAGCAGAATACATTATTAGGTTTCCCAGTTGCACACAACTCATTATCCTGTTGAGAACGCTCCACAAATCCATTCTCCAAGCTTGCTGTGGCAACAGGCCAACCTCCCAGAGGTTCTCTTCCATCACGCTGAAATCTGGAGGAGAGAGAAGCTGCTTTGCCACTTGGAGCTTCCTTTGAAGACTCTCCCCAATAACTGGCATTCCATCTCCAAGATGAGAGGCAGTGCTCAGCCATCCACTGTCAGTTTGCCATCCACAGATTTCTCTAATCCTTTTAAAGCCATCTAAGTTGGTACCCATCGCTGCATCTTGTGGTAGCCATCACAGCATCTTCATACTATATCTAAGTTTATTCCCTCTATCCTCTAACCACAGGCTATATCAAAAGCAGCATGAAGTCTACATGAAAGTCTGATGGATCAGAAGTTAACTTATTCCCTTTACCACTTGGTTCAGAATACAGCTAAGAATTATTATTGATATTCACTAGAAATAGGTCCATTGTGTTTGTTTGTTTTTTCCAGGGGGTACTCAAGGATTCGCAGTACTGGCACCACTTTTTGTTGTTAAAAAGTGTGGAACTTACTGTAACAATTTCAGAGTGCGTACCAGCACCTATTTTTCTAGAAGAAGAAGAAAGCACTGAATAGGCCAACTAAGATTTCTCTTGCCAAAATCTGCCAAATATCAATGCAGACATGCTCAGAAGCAAATGTGACGATTTACCTCCAATTTACCAAAGTCTTGTAAAGTTGCTTCCACCAAAGTCAATGCAAAAAGTTCCTACTACATCCAACATTAGTTGGTTTGGACTATAATTAACAAGTTCTGAGCTACAAACAGGGTGTTTCAATGAAAAGGCTCACAAATCCACCTACTTGAGCACATTTAATAAGTTAACTATAGCACCAACCAGTAATTACAAGCTAAACAAGAATTCAAAAGTCTGTTTGTGTTTACGGTTTGCCATCTGCTCAGAGAATCTGTTTCAAAGGGCTGTAAAACAATAAGGTCTATTAAGTTAATTTCCCTCCAAAATCTCATACTAATCTCCTTTTCAGCAGAGTTGTAAGCCTTCCTTTTAAAAGCATTGCTCTGTGTGTTGAACTTGTGCTAAACAGCTCCTACATAAATCATGATTTTAAATGCAAAACTATAAAATTATCATGCATTGTGTATTATATTAAGTTGTTCTAATTAAGAACAATGAGCTGCATTAGGGATTTTAGGTTTGTGTCATTCAAGGTAGTTTATAAGAGGTAACTTTTGCTCTCACATAATTGTCTTTTATTTTTAAGCATAATAAAGGCCTCACTCAATATACTCAAAGGAGAAACTACGGAAACAATCTCGCAAAAAATAGGCATTTCTAATTTCCATGAGAATCAATGGAACTTAACCCCTTAACTGTTCATTTCCATTGTACTTTTGCCATAATTCTACCTTCAAACCTTATTTGAAATAAAATGGAACTGTCTGCAATAAAGGAGCAAAATTTGCCACCAGCTTCCTGCCACAGAAATTATTTTGTACTGAACACAATTAAAAATATGAATCTATATGTATAATTTTAATCTATTGAATTACTTTATTTTCATTTATTGTTAAATAGCAGTGATTGTTGTAAACAGCCAGGCGACTTCATTTTAAACAAACCACCATCATTGGCTAAAAGTTTTCAACAGCAGTTTTGACCAAGTCCTAATAATAGTGAGTGATACCTGGCTAAGCCACAATAGAGTATGGCTGTTGAAATCCATGGATTTAAGTTAAGTCAGTGGGTCTACTCAGAAGATGACCGCTTAGCACATTCATTTGTTATTACCTGGCCATGAAAATCCATCTACTTTGCATGTGTAAGAGAATGTGTTAAGTGGGGTGGGGGGATCAGGTTCTGCTGTCTTCAACAAAGACTTTCAGGAACGGTATTGCGATAACTACCATGGTTATCAGTTATGGACTAAATGAAATGTTTTTAAAATATAAGACTCAGATAGTATAGCTCCAGGCATGCACAGGACTGACTCCCTTGTAGGCCTCGTTCATAAGCACCTTGTAGGAAAAGGAAGCTCTGGATTGAGTAGGTATCACTCTCATTTTATGGAGGCAAAACAGGAGTACATCCTTGCCTATTGGTTGAATTCCTTTCCTCTGTGCAATGTCAGGAGTCTATTTTGTTCACACCAAGCACAAATGGATAATGAGACAAAGAGTGACTAAGAATACGCATCTGAATACCAATTCACTCAAAGCAACTATGAGATGGACACGATTTCAATAAGCTACTTTCATGCTGTTGTTACGAAGTTTACAGCGCACAGGCCTTACCGTCTTCACAGACCACTGACCGGTACAGTTGAAAACAGAAAGAAACAGGGTATTATTTTCATGCTACCAAGCATTATTTAGAAAGATTTATATATATATATCTGCATCTTTTACAGCCCAATCCTTTGCATATTCATTTGGGAATAATCCCCAGTGGGGCTTGATGCCAAGTAAGATTTTGTGTGTGATATTTTAACCTTAATTAATAGAACCCCATAAAGTTCCCAACATTTTAACTATTGTCTAAGGCACTGCAGAATTGAAGAGCAGCCACAATTCAAGCCATGGGATGACGGCCTATGGCTTGAAAAGGTGCAATACAGTATAATCTTGTTGAACTATTATTTCTTTAACGTATTTCTACATTGAAGGAAACGACAACAAAGCACACAGGAACACTACACAAAGCAGAAGCGTTTGACAATGGCAATGACCTGGTTTACTGTAAACAGAGTCTTGTTTAGCGAAGCTCCGGGAGCAAAACAGCAACGCTTTATGATGTTCTGAAACCCGGTTTTTCCTAGTTTCCACAGTTAGATTTCATCTTTTTGGGCAAGTAGCTGGCCGGCCAACACAACTGTCACTAAGGTGGATATGGCTGATGTAAAGAAATGTCGTGGCCAAAGAAGTCTATCCTCTTAGGCAATCAGAGGACTTCCATCATCCTTGCTCAAAAACAGATTCAAGTTACCGGTAAGGCTCAAATGAATAGTTAGAGGAAACAACACTTTTGCAACTGAATAACTGGAAGACTATTTCCCAAAAGCCCATGTGAAAAATCTTCAACACTTTCTAATCAAAGTGATTCTAGATCAAAATATTTATTACTGGAGGCTATTATAGAGTAATACAGTGGTACCTCGGGTTAAGTATTTAATTCTTTCCGGAGGTCCATTCTTAACCTGAAACTGTTCTTAACCTGAAGCACCACTTTAGCTAATGGGTCCTCCTGCTGCCGCCACACCACCGGAGCCCGATTTCTGTTCTCATCCTGAAGCAAAGTTCTTAACCTGAAGCACTATTTCTGGGTTAGCGGAGTGTGTAACCTGAAGCATATGTAACCCGAGGTACCACTGTAGTCTACAATTCTACATATGACTGTGTATACTTTATTATATACTCAAGCGTTACGAAACATATCATTTCTAAATCACCAATAAAAATGGGGAAAGGGTAAAAAGACATACACAGATTGATTCTGGGGCACGATATCTTTTTTTGAAAAAGACACAGATGGCTTCTTATCTTATTCTGGCAGTATCCAATTTTGCTGAAAAGCACTGGGAAAAGCCTTCCTATTAAGGTTCTTAATTAGCAACCTTGTATTATGATGTGATAACAGAAAATGCCAATGATTTGTTTTATAAATGACACCATTTAAGGATGCTTGAAATATGGGTTAGAACAAGGAACTGTGAAACAATCAATTGTGAAAACTGCTTTGGACCATACCGAGTGATGAAAAGCCAAGGCTCAAAATTCTGGGCAATATGTTCTATCTATCCAAGCAGCATTTGGAGGTTTCCCCCAAAAACAGCACCCTTTTGTGCCGCGATGAAAGAAAGCCACAACCGAGGCATAAGCCTTTGGGCACACCCAAAATATACATTGGAACCCAGAATTTGGAGCTTGTGACTAAGAGGGTGTACCACATAATATGACCATATGGCAGAGCTGTAGACCCACTGCACTAAACATTGTAGGGCAATCTTTGCCAATCTAGTGCCTCCCAGATGTTTCAGACTATAACTATAATCAGCCCCAGACAGCATGGCCTTAGTGGCTGGTGCTGATGAGAACTGCACTCCAAAACATCTGGAGGGTATCAGTTTTGCAAATGCTGCTGTAGGTGACGCACCAGTACAAATCTTTAGACTTGGGATCCCAGGACTCAGTAGAAAACATGGCTGAGATTGCTCTCTATCCTAGCAATTATCCTTGGAGGTTATTGCTTGGCAAAACTGGATGAAATGTTAAGTCACTGTGATTGGGAAAGTTCATGGATCACACCATGATTACAATTGAGTCTTGTGGTATAGGTTGGCTGTGTGGTATACAGGATTGCTCATTTAAAAAGTCATCATGACTGCACACTTAAACTGGTTTTCTAAATCTGGTGATTATCTTATGAGGATGAGGGAAGAAAAGGAGTAGCTTTGTGCATAGAAACGTGTGATCTGCCCAATTTCTAGTTTTTCCCCCTCCCCCAAAGAGTAGAAAGATAACAGAAATCAAGCACACTATTTGTTCATTTGGCTACAACTTGGGTCAATTATGGGATCCTGTGTGTGTGTGTGAGAGAGAGAGAGAGAGAGAGAGAGAGAGAGAGAGAAGGAGGGAGAGAGAGAATTATTAAGTTCCAAACAAAAGTAGCTCACAACTGGGGCCAATATCCAAACCAACACTTGCAGTATTTTTTTGTCTCACTGGCAAACTGAAGCACTAAAAGTTCCCATGTGTAAACATTTGGAAATTTTCCTTTAAAAAAAGAAGTAATAAACAAACAATAAAAATATTTATCCATCATATCTAGCTTTGTGTGTCATGTCGTGATTTCTACCAAATGACATCTGCTACATTTCCCTCTGCTCTTTTGTATTAAATAAAAAACAAGGCCTACAGCTGTATTTATTATTACATTTGGGTGGACAATGTCAACAATTCAGACTTAAATGCCCATGAAGATTTCATTAGTTTTCATTTCTTTTCTGTATGCCCAGCTGCTGCTGGATGGGACTCCTGATGGATGAAGCAGAGAGCAGTTTAAGAGTTTATGATGTTCCAGCGTCTAGAGTAATATTTTATGCAGGCAGAAGAAGTTGAAATACTTTGCTTCTCAGGTTATCCATAAACCATCTCACTTGCGACTTCTACTAATATTTTTCTTTTTCCTTTTAAAAGCCTTTTAAAAAGCCTGTTAAAACACTAATGTACTAGAAAGTGGGGAGGCTTTGCTGTCTGGTCTCTGACCGTAATAAAGATTGATTGATTGATTGATTGATTGATTGATTGGGAGGCTTTGACAAATTTAGCCCCTACCAGCAAAACTATGGATTGGATCCTAAGATAACTTAAGAAAGGTCCTAGAACGAAAGTATCCCACCCTCTTCTTCCTCCTGCAGTAAGGTCTCACTGGAAGTTTGGAAGACCATCTTAAATATCGTAGGCAAGGCATGGAGTTGGGGGGCGAGGAAGAAGTGACAGGAAATCAAGACCAAACTGCAGCAATTATCCTCCCCACTTCCCCTTGTAGAAGCCTGATGCCTGATCCCCTAAGAGAGGCTTTTTGGAGGGCACATATGGTAGCAAGAGCAAGGAATGAACAGAAGCTTTCCATCCATTATTTTGCTTATATAGCATGAATAGTATATTACACCAAGAGAAATAGCTGGAACACAGTACACATCTTGCATGATAGTAACATCTTCTGTTTAACATGCAGTGCCTATTTATGCTCTTCTAAATCAAGGAACCTCTTTTATACCTGCTCAGATATTACAAGTCACCGGAAGGTAGCAGAACTCCAGCCCTCACAAACTGGTGCTCTACGTGTGAGGTGGGGCCATTGGTTCAAGACAATAGCCCGACTGCTTACATGAAGAACTAATCTAATCCCATTTTAATTATCGCCAAACAGCAGGCTTGCTTATGGGAATTTTAAAGACCAGTGAGCATGACGTAGCAGGCACCTATCGAGAATAGAAACGATCCCCTGAAATGCAGGACTCTCATCTGTGATAGATGGCTACTGAACCTCTGCTTAAAAACCTCAAAGGAAGGAGAGTCCACCACCTTCTGATGGAGTCCATTCGACTGTCAAGCAGCTCTCATTGTCAGAAAATCCTTCCTAAAGTTTAGTTGGAATCTCCTTTCTTTTAATTCGAATCCACTGGAGCTGTAGAAAAAAAGTTCTTAGCTAGAAATCCCTAAGGATTGAACCTTGGGTTTTCTATATGTGCTCAGTCACACCCCTAAATTCCAGGGATTTTGTAAGAGGTTAGCTAAATTACAAATGGTCTCCAGGTCTACTTGTTTTTCCCTATAAGATTTTCCAGCCAATAGCATTCACACCAAAATCTCTATTTGCAGATTCTGGCAGGGAACTAGTGAGAGATAATACGTGTGCACTTCACAAGGCAGCTCTGGCCTGAACTTGTTCCATTAAAGCAAAGGAAAAAAAGATTTGGTTGCGTATTTCAAGGGATGCAACGTGACAGGCTAGTAACTGCTGATAGTAATTTGATCAAATTTACAACGCGATGACAAATTGTTGAAATAAAACTTACCGTATTTTTCGCTCTATAAGACACACCAGACCACAAGACGCACCTAGTTTTTGGAGGCGGAAAACAAGAAAAAAAAAATTCTGAATCCCAGAAGCCAGAACAGCAAGAGGGATCGCTGCGCAACGAAAGCAGCAATCCCTCTTGCTGTTCTGGCTTCTGGGATAGCTGCGCAGCCTGCATTCGCTCCATAAGATGCACACACATTTCTCCTTACTTTTTAGGAGTATAAGTGAGTCTTATACAGCAAAAAATACAGTAATTTCAATCCCATCACCTTTTAATTTTCCATGACTATGTTAAAAAGAATTGGTAGCCACTTCCTCATCTATAATGAAGCAATAGTAACACATAATTGCAAATATATCCAGCAGGATCAATCGATAGGAGAAAGGAAGAACAAGTGCAACAGGAGCATTTTCAGCCAACTTCCAAAGCAGCTCATTGAGGATCAGATTCTGCTACTGTGCTAACAAGTTATTATGCTAAGAATGGTCCTGATCATGAACACATGTTCTGTGTCCTGAGCATGGCTTGGCCTGTGCGCATTTGCATGTCTATGGATGTGCAATTTGAGCATAAGATCTAATATTAGTGCAGAATCTGGCTAAATATCCAGTTCCATGGATTGTGAGGACACCCTGAAAACATATTAACTCCAGCTGTCTCCACTTCTTCCTTACCAACAAAAATAACCCTTGCCAAAATTACTTTCTCCCTTACCAAAAACGTATCCAAAACTCTGAATTTTGAGCACATAACAAGGTATGGAAATGTAATAAAATATAAGCAACTCTCAATTTTTGCAATAATAACAATAATTGTAATATTAATTTTTTAATACCCCGTCCATCTGGCTGGGTTTCCCCAGCCACTCTGGCCGGCTTGCAGAATATATAAAACATCATAAAGCATCCAACATTTAAAACTTCCTGATAAAGGGAATATATTGCAAATGCAGAATTAAGAATTCTGGGGTGTAGAGTTAAAATCTTTAGGAGCACAGATCAAACTGCTGAAAAGAGATGTTACCATGCTGTGGTGCTCCAACTTAAAATCCACAAGTTAAGGAACTGCCTTGCCATAACAGAGAGAACTCCTCTAATCATTAACCGGCATTGCTTAGGATATCTATGGACTATGATCTGCTTCTCTAGAACAACATGCCCCAGCTAAGACTGGTATAAAGTATTAAACTGCAATCAAATTGGTGTGATTTTTCCTAATTATAATTTATATTGGCATACTTGTATATTGGCAAATGCATTCAGCTTCTGGTTATCAACAGCCAAAAAAAGCAATTTCTCATATACAAAAGACTGTATTTTATAGACCTAAGGAGTTACTGCTGGTTCATTTATCATGACATAATCATCAATGTTTGGCAGTCACTTGATCCCTAGAACAAATGCTACTTTGCAGAATATGCCAGTATAAATTAGTTAAGTATACTTCCTTGATTCTTCTCAAAAAGTGGCATTTAGCAGTTATCCAGGAATGGAATGCAGTTTAACCAAAAACAAAACCAACGAAAACCACCCAAAGCCCCCAAGAAAACAAATCTAAATTAAATGTTTTGAGTCAAAGTACATTGCATGAAAAATCATACTACATTGAAATAAATTTTTTTAAAAAAATTTTTTAGGTATATGTACTCCTATCAGTTAAATTGGCTTACTTTTCTGAAATACTTTCCCCAATAAACTGTGTTTTAAGTCGGCCGATGCAATCTGTCATCTACGAGACGAAACGGCCTGCAGAGACTCGCAGAAGATGCCTTAACATACTGGTTAAATTAACAATTTGAGCCATTTACTAACATCCTTTTTTTAAAAAAACAAACAAACACATATGCTCTGATAATGGGGCATTGTCAGTGGGTGCATGTGCAGAATGTTGACTAGGAAAGAACTGAACTCAAATGCCCACTAGGGGGCCAGTTCATAAAAGATAAGGAAAAATAACCCTGTGGTTCTGCCTTCCGCCTGAGCTCTGCTGCACGCACTACAAGAAAGAACAAATATTATAGAAATTTCAAAAGGTCCGAGCTACCTTTTAGTGGATTTTGCAGTTAATGGCTGTGGCATTTAGGCACAGAATGAAACTTTTACATTTGTGGTCTGTATATGCTTTTTGTTATTTATTTAATTTTTATTATTATTTCTGGTTTAAAAAAAGATTAAAACTTACACCGATATATTTGCTAGGTATTGTTAATTATCGCTATCATTATGAAACTGTGACTGCGAATGTTGATTTTGTGGTACGCTGTTGCTCTTCATCCAATTGTAAGCTGCTCTTATAGTGTGTGCTTTTTCTGGAATTGGCAGCTTGCAAATAAATTGACAACGTGTTAATGAAATCCACGTACCGATGTTAGAAGGCAGCCCTATATCAGGAGGCTTTTAACACTTGATGTTTTTAGACAAGCTGTAAGCCGCCCAGAGTGGCTGGGGAAACCCTGACAGATGGGAGGGGTGTAAATAATAAAATTATTATTATTATTATCATTAGAAAAAAGAGCAAACTAATTATTGTTCTGTTCTTTAAAATGGCCTGGCTTCTCCTTCCCCCAAACATATTATGCATTAAACACACTCATGGCTGCGAATGAGAAAATTGTGAGAACACGGACCCAGCACCCTTCGAAGAGCCAGCTATTCTGAACAAGGAGCTACAAAGCACAATGACCTCTGACAGGATCTTCAGCCTTATGATGAGGGTGGAGAAGACTGGGAAAAGCCACACACCACAAGCACACTGCTCATAGCACTATCATGCACCTAAAACCCGTCATAAAACTTACCCCTCTTTTGAGGCTTCTGAAAGAAGAAATTCTGGGCTTCCCTGTTTTTATCTCACTCATGCAATAATGGACTTGTTCAATCGAGCATAAGGGATACTGGGAACCATTAGAAGTACTGGACGTGTATAAACTAGTAGGGGTAGGGGGAGGGGACTGCGGCTGATGCGGAAATAAAGAAAGGAACAGATAAGGCAAACATTGAACTGAAAATTCTGTCTCTCCCCCCCCTTTCAATACAGAAGCAGACCATCGGTCCCAGCCGCCCTCCCCCCACCCCATAACAACCACCATCAGATATTATAATCAGAAAGCTGACGGCATAACATATGTGTTGGGTCTTTAAGGTGTCACAAGGCTCTCTGCTGTTTTCACCATCAGAAATATACAACACAGTAAGAAAATTAAAAAGTAAGAGAGGGAGAATATTTAGTTACGACGTTAAAATGGTTTAAAATGTCCTTTTACATGCGAGTTTCGAAACAACACCAAGAGCCACCCTTCAGATAACACACATTGCTGAAAGATAACAGGCTTTAGATTTATTTGTTTTACATCTAGGAACTTTTTGAAAGAATAAAAACATATCCCCTACAAAAAAAAAAAAAGCACCCCAGTAAAATTTATTCTAAGTGTTCTAATGTTAACATTCTTATATCCTCAAATCGTATGGGCCGAAAGGAAGACTTAAGGAATGACATTCATAAGGTAATGGAGATGTACTGCACAGCTGGAAAAGGAAGGTTATTCCGTTCTCATGTGTTCTACACAATTTTTTCACACACTGCATGAAATTTTAATTAGTGGTGTTGTTTTTAAAAAAGAATATTGCTTATGTTATTTGTTGCTCTCTATACTAAGAACTTCTGCAAAGGTAAGGTGCAATTTGCCTTCACATCATTATTCTTTCATTATGTCCAAAGCAATATATCACCTGCTTTGCTTTAACCTTCAAGTGCCTTTGAATATCTTTAAACTGACCTGCCAAAACCATGCACTTCGAACGGAAACATCAGTTTCTAAAATTGCACATTACAGGCAGGATGCAAGTTCCTCCAGTACCTAAAACAATTAAATGGACCACAGCCAGAAGGCGGCTGAATCTCTGATATTAAAGAGATGATTGACACACCCATCAGAATCAACTGATCTGATCTCCCTCCAGTTTCAACACAATAGCAAAACTCCAACATATACAGAGGATACACAAGCCACAGAGGATGCTATTACTGGTCAAAATAGTTGCAGCAGGCTCCTTCGCAAGACCTGCGCTTGAGTATTGGTGGAACATGTTACCAGGAGTTTGCAGTTCCTGGTCACTAACTACTGTTGTAATTGCTCCAGCAAAGCCAGCAGCTAAGTTACTGTGCGGCATTTTGCTACCCCAGTTGTACTGGTTTCCTGTGCTGCTAGAATACTATAGCTGAGGTGGAGCAAAACAGACATATAATACCAAAACCAAGTTCCTAAATGGACAGTTGGGGCAATGCAAACTGTCTTTCAAAATTATATAAGGTCAAAACGACATTATTTTGATCCAAAGGACTACATTTGATCCCTTAACCACAAATCCTGAGTGTGTTCTCATGTGAAATATATTTTAAAAGTTGTACCTTTGGTTTCTTTCCAAAAAGCCACAGCTTGCCCTTGGCCTTGCCCACGGTGGTTTTTGCATCGATTTTCACCCCTTCTTGCTTTGGTGTACTGATTGTTCCGTCAGAAACAGTCCTGTAAATGTGCTGGCTGTAATCTTCAAATGGAAAGTCTCCAGGAGGTTCAAAACCAGACTTGAAGGAGTCTATTACTATTTGAGAGTCCTTGATGGGAGAGATGCAATGTTTATTTAAAAAAAATGATTACTCAAGAGAGCTGATGGCTTAACTGAAATGATATTATTACCAATGCAGCAGATGAAAAATGAGTAACTTAAAACAGCAGGAGAAATTACTGATCTTCCAGAAAGAATTAAGTCCGTTTACAGAGGGGAAATTGCAGACTACCATCTACAGGGCATTTGCAGGGCATTTGCAGAGAGAACAAACAATGCTTGTGCCCTGAGCATCCCGCTCCTCCACATCCCATCACATCCGAAATGAAATTTTTGTATATACAGTGGTACCCCTGGTTACGAACTTAATTCATTCCAGAGGTCCATTCTTAACCTGAGGTACCACTTTAGCTAATGGGGCCTCCCGCTGCCGCCAGCATGTGATTTCTGTTCTCATCCTGAGGTAAAGTTCTTAACCCGAGGTACTATTTCTGGGTTAGAGGAGTCTGTAAACCAAAGTGTTTGTAACCTGAGGTGTTTGAAACCCAAGGCACCACTGTACCTCCATCCAGGAAATGCATAAGCTGCCAAGGTGAAGTCCCAAACCCTGGGATTACTCAGACTGCTGAAGAAATTTCATCTCAAGATTAACAACAAAGTCTGCAAGAACAGACTTGTATAATCAACTGTAATCTATAATCTATAATCAATAAAGTAATCTATTATTCGGGCATCGTAAATTAATAAGAGGAAGAGGGAGAGAGGTTAAAGAGAGAATGGGTAAAAAAAAAAAGTCTGAATAAAACACAGACTCCTTTCCACAATTACTTGCACTAGGTCTCATGACCCAACAAAGCTGTCTGCCAGAGAGTTATGGCACGCAAGAGACTTGATAAACCCTCTGTTGGTTTGGCTTCATGGAACACAAGTTTCATAGGCTTGATCAGCCTAATTCCTTGCCTAGTTGTGGTAGGACATGAGCAGACCCACAATTAGTTAGATTTACTTCCAATGCAATGAGTTCTACACTGATAATCTGAATCCTACAAAATAAAGTCAACTTACCCTGCGTTCATCAACCGATTTTGCCGCAGCAGTCATTCCTTCTAAACATTTCGAGACTATTGGGATAACTCTGCGCTCAGAATCTGCAAACCCCTTATAACATTCGCTAAGTTTGATGGTTCTTCGTTCATCCATTTCCTGAAGATGCTACAATTATAAAGAAAAAGCCTGAGTATTCTTATGACAATACAGTACTATACAGATACTCGTATATTTGGGCTACATTTCCTCCCAATTTTGTTTAAAGCATCACCAATTTGCTGAGTTTGCTTTCCTGTACCAGATCATTTAATAAAGAACCTTTACCTAGGCTTGGTGTGACATAGGAGTGTACCAAAGTTCATTTTAACTGAACCCATGGTTAGGTTAACCTAACCACGGTTTCCTGTTAGGAAAATAAGACCAGGGCTCCCTTCCCTCTTTAGCATCTGCAAGGCAATGAAAAGATTCCACTTTCAGTTTCATAGTGAGTTAGTAATAGATTCATTCATTTACTTATTTCTTTTTATGCTTGAGAAAAACTATTGTTTATAAATGTTAAATGTTGTTTCAACTACCTGTCATCTATAGAAGATTCATTTTACATCATAAATAAAAGGCTCGTTTTTACATGTACGGAATGCAGACTTTACTGCTGCAGCTTCTATATTATCTTGTAACAAATATTTTGTTGAAAATTTGCTCATGTTTATGAAGCAAACATGATTTTCTTTCAGAGTATTTCCTTGTAAATGTTACGATAGCCTTCCAGTGGAATTTTGTTCATTTGCAATGGCTTGTCGGTACTGTATTAAAACAAGATGAAGAAAAAACCCAAAATAATTGGGGGATGTGGTTAAGAACCTCAGAAAGAAACCAGAGGCTGCAATCCTATGCACACTTTCCCCTGACAGCTACCTCATCTGCTCCATTGCAAAAACCAGACTGAGGGGATGACTTATATGTGTTGGCCCCACAATATATTGAGACAGCTCCATGTTTGTTGCGGTGACCATGAAGTGCTGAGCTAGAGCAGTTGAGGCGGACCAGGTATGGTCCCTGAAGTCTTGCAAGACCACCACAAGCAGTTCTGTCTCTCTGGCCCAACACGAGGAGTTGTAGCTCACATCTGGCTGCCAGGCAAATAGGTTTCTTGGCAAGGAATATCGTTCTCTAACCTGGCATTTAACAACAGAACCACCAGGTGTGAGAGCACATTGACGTAGCTACTCAGGTTTGGTTTTTTTTTGGGGGGGGGGGAGCTCAGAAGAGGTAACTTCTTTCAGCACTTGATGCCCCATCTGCTACAATGTATGCCCTTGTGCAAATTAATTGAAACAATGGATGTTTTCTATCTTACTTGTAATCCTGTACTTAAAACAAACACGAAAAATCAGTTGATCATTATGGTGTCAGAAGCCTGCAGCCAATAGAAGGAATGACGCGCTCGCCACAATATATTGAGGTTCTACGAAAGAGAGTTATTCCAGAGCTGGAAAAGAGGTATCCTGACGATACTGGGATATTGAAGCAGGACCTAGCCCCCTGTCACACATTGAAAGTGGTGAAGAAATTCATGACAGAGCAGCAAATGCAGGTATTTGATTGGTCAGGGAATTCCCCGGATGTAAATCCCATTGAGAATTTTGTGGGCTATATGCAAAAGTCGCCTCCGTGCTGCAGACTGTATGACTATGGAGAAGCTCATTCAGGTGCTGATTCAAGTGTGGTACAGGGATCCGAAAATCAACAGTGCCTGTTCGAAACTAGTAAACTCCATGCCAAACCATCTTCAAATGCTGCTTAAAAATAGCGGCGGTCATATCCGTTACTAATGTATGTATATGTGAGTTTTGTACAGGTATATGTGAGTTTTGTACACTAAACTGCATTGTTTGTTTCAATTAATTTGCACAAGGGTGTAGGTGCCCCTCAGCAAACATTATACTTCCCTTGCCAATAACCCAATGCTAAAGAAAACATCTAGAGGATCTGTGCGAACTTAATTACATAATGCTAATGAAACAGATATGAAGATGGGGAAAACCTGAAACTGTCTTTATTGGTGAGAACCAACACAATAAAAGTCTGTGCACTGCCAAAATTTCCTGCTCCAAAATCTCAGGCCAAATTATTCAAGAATGGCAGAAACAATGTATTTATATGGAATGTTAAAAAGAGCTAAGGAACCTAAAAATGTAAGCTGTAAGGCATAGAAAGAGGGGGATTTAATGGAGCTATTGTAGAGCTGGAGTCCTTTTGTTTAGGAACAAAAACTCTTATTATATAGACCAATGGAAGAAACAGCAATGAATACCACAGTAAAGAATTTATTATGAATGGAAGCACTAGGAAAAACTGTTGTAACAGATACAATTATGTTACTGGCACATGTTTAAAAACCTGGGATAGATTTAAAAAGAAGTGCTAGCATCAGAAATTTCCCCTTTAGCATAATATTAGTGAAGGAATGTTTAATATGGGACACAACTAGGGAAGTTCAATGTTTGGGTAAGTGGCATATATCAGGCTGGGTGCAGATTAATACAAACAGTTTTTCTATTGGTTCATCAAATGAGAACACCCTTGAACAGATTGCAACGTAAGCGAAGGATAAACAGAGGGAAACCGAGTTAAAAAATTAATATAAGGAATGAGAAACTTTGGCTTGCAAAAAGGTAGCTGTGAAGGCTTTTTTGCTTTTAAAAGGAACACAAGTTCCACAAAACATACAAACTCATTTTAAAAAACAATGATACATGCTTAGAGATGTATGGGCCAGATGATGTATGCGTTGTTTTTTGTTTGCTTACTTGTTTTGGGTAACATTCTCCATAGTTGCAATCTATGCCACTATTATTTATTCAACTTATACACCACCGTGTGGATGTGAGAGCTGGACCATAAAGAAGGCTGATCGCCAAAGAATTGATGCTTTTGAATTATGGTGCTGGAGGAGACTCTTGAGAGTCCCATGGACTGCAAGAAGATCAAACCTATCCATTCTTAAGGAAATCAGCCCTGAGTGTTCACTGGAAGGACAGATCCAGAAGCTGAGGCTCCAATACTTTGGCCACCTCATGAGAAGAGAAGACTCCCTGGAAAAGACCCTGATGTTGGGAAAGATGGAGGGCACAAGGAGAAGGGGACGACAGAGGACGAGATGGTTGGATAGTGTTCTCAAAGCTACCAGCATGAGTTTGACTAAACTGCAGGAGGCAGTGGAAGACAGGAGTGCCTGGTGTGCTCTGGTCCATGGGGTCACGAAGAGTCGGACACAACTAAACAACAACAACATACCCAGAGGTTTCAGGGCAGTTCACAACAAGGCCACAACATATAAAATCAAACCAAAAGCAATAACCCAATAACCCCCACCTCCAAAAGCCACATTCTAAAAGGGTGTTGGATGTCAACAAGATCAACCAAAGGCCGGGTTAAAAAGGAACATTTTTGCCTGGCGCCTAAAGGTGTATAATGATAATATGGCCACAGTCACCATGGAAGTTCAAAATGCTGAAGAAAACCAGAGAAAGTAATTGCTAGTTTTGTGTAGAAAGAAAAGGCGATATTCATCATTTGCAGTGGAAGTACCAGAAGGTGAATGATTTTGGGACTATAGTAACTTAATAAAGGATTTATTTTCTTTTTTCTTTCCCCTCACCATCTCAACCCTTATCTGCATGGTTGCTTTGTTCCACAAATATATCAAACAAAAGTACTACATATTTTAGCAATGGCAAGAATTTTAAGTGCCAAGGAAATAAGAACCAGGGAGTTGTGGGAGCAACTGAATACTGCAAAGTTAAAAATAAGTATACAGGAGCAGCAAATGAATGGAAATCAATAATCTACTTCATTTTAAAACAACAGGGAATGTCAGGAAGCAAGACAAATGATATGCTACTGTAAATATCTTTTCAAATATTGTATAACCATAGTTTAATGTAAATTAACAGTGAAGGATTAAAGCAGAACAGGTGCTGATAAAACATTTATAATTTTTATGTTTACAGCAGTGTTCTCAAACCATCTCAAATCTAAGCATGGGTCCAAAAGGATTTTCCTGCCACTTTCCCCAGGAGAAGTGGCTGTTTAGCACTGAATGGGAACAAACGTCAATTGAGTTTTCTTCAGACTGATGTTTGTTTTGATTCAGCACTAAACAGTGGGTTTTCCTGGGGAAAGCGAAGGAACAAAAGGAAAACATTTCTGACCTGTGCCTAGAAATCATGTGATGAGCAGCAGTGGGAATGAGCTTAGAAGTCACTGTCACACTTTTAGCAGTTTAAATAATGTTTTCCCCTCCATGTATTTAAAATTGTAAAGTACTTTGGGCACCCAGTAGAATGCAATAAATAAAGATTGAAACAAAATTTAGATCTAAAGCTCACCTTATAGATTTGAGGAATGACAATGTAGAAATGCTTGTGCTGTTCACCATTGAAATTTTGCAGCTGGGCAGCATATTCATTTTTGTTCTCATCAGCCATGTGTGTACGGAGATTTAATTGCTGCTTTGCCTAATAAGAGACAGTTCAATGACAGTGTTTTCTAGAAGTCTTCTGCTTAAACAAAATCTTACTTAGCAACATGGTCATTGTAAGTGAAATGCCACCACCTTTCATGAGCCCTGGAGATGCCCTTGTATCCTTTACCTTACATTAGCATTTGCAGGATCAGTAGACAGTATTCAACTATATAAATGCATGAGCGGAATGACTTTTCCAGCTTTTGTTCCCCTGTGTATGCCCCGTGTTGTACCCAAATATGCTTCAGTGGATTGGAGGAACCACAGGACTTTGAATACAACCTAAGGTATATAAACTTCTCTTTATAAACATTCATAACCACTCCAAAACATTTGTAGTAGCTTGTTCTTATTTAGAGAAAAGCATCTTTTAAGCTGGGCATGTACATCTCTCCATGCTATTCTCAAACAAAACATTTTAAAATGACCAAAAATAAGGAATTGCCATGTACACATATAGAAAGAGAGACAATATGTGACTGTCTCACCAACATTAGTTGTACAATTCCATTCATTTCAAATGACAACAAATACGGCACACAACCCCATATTGCTGAAAGTTCCTATTTCAGCCACTAAATTTTTCTTTTCACCAGTGGCAACCAAGATGATACCATCCAGAAAACTGCAACTTCCACTGGACAAAACGTCCTGGTCGATCAAGCCACAGTTCTCTGCTGCTTCTGAATCGGCAAACTATGGCTTTGGCAAACCCTCCAAAACAGAACGGCAAACCAAGAGCAAACTGTGGCTTGCGATTCTGGTTTGAAGAGATTGCACAAACCACGCTCTGGCAATTCAGATGTAACAGCAAACCGTGACTTGATCAAATGAGAAACCGTTCTAATAAACTAGGCCCTACGAAGGTGGTGGTGTTGGGACACGTACACACAGAATTTGTTCCTGATCCTCCGAACCTTTGGAGAATAACAAAACATGATGTCTGAATGCAGCCATTGATTCACTGTCCCCTTGGCTGGCACATTAAGTTTTAAAAAGATAGCATTATTTGAAAAAATGCAAATACCATAATAGGAATATAATAATAATAATAATAATAATAATAATAATAATATTTACCTTTTCAACATCTGCTTTAGTGGCATTAGTATCATTGTCCAGTCTCTCAAAACATTGCTGTGCTTTTTCTGCTTCTCTGCACTCTCTCTCAAACTTCTTTTTACTCTGCAATGGTAACATCATCATGTTGTTGTTGGTTTTTTTTACAAATTACTATAAAAAGACACGCTAAAGTTGACATGTGTATACCCATATAAACACTCATATACTTGCTCTCACTGAACTATTTAATATGGTGGAATCCCACTAATTTCTATTAGTATACTATGACTGACAACTTTTAAACAAAAGTGAGGTTTTGTCTTACGTAGTTCATTTTGATTTTTATGCAAAGCCAAACAAAAATGTAAACGAACACTGAAGTTATAATTCAAGCCTAATAAAAGACACTTGCAAAATCCTCACTTGTTTTTAAAAGATCCCGAAAGCAACATATATTTAGATCTGCCATTCTACTGTGCTGGGGGCTGATTTCAGCAACCAAGTTAAGAATCATAGAGCTGGGAGGCATTTTCAATAAATTCTGACATAGCTGAAGTCTGTAAATCCTTCAAGGCAGAATTCCTGCTGAGCTGCACACTGAATTGCGCAATAGGTTGCACACTTAGAAGTTATGGGCTGTTATGATCTCTGCAAACACAGCAATCTATCTGGTCTATTTAACAAAGATAACAATGATAACAAAGGTAATCTTCAGTTAATTTCTTTAACAATTGCCCACCAAACTTTGTAATCCTAAAAGTAAACAGGAAAAGATAGGGGCGAGAAGAGAGAAGAAAACTTACATTATCCATCTGCTTCCAACACATGTCAAGATACTGCTGAGCTTTTCGACCCTCTTGAAGGTGCTGCGAAATTACGACGAGAGGGTTTTAATTTCTTTTTCTTTCAAAATCTGATATGGCATTTACAGTCTTTTACTTGCGTGTACTAAAGAAACCCGAACAACAACAGTGGCCTAGTTTGCACCTCAAAGTAAACCTACTTGGGTCTGTTTATTTCCTCCTCGCTACTGCATGGAGGAAACAAACCTGTTTCAGCAAACCACAATGCACATTGCTTCCTCCAAAAGAAAAACGTTCCACACTTTCCACTGCTCTCCAATCTACTGAAATACAGCAGAAGGAACTGGATTTCCACCCATTTTGTTAGTGAAACAACTGGACAAACATCAGTTCTACTTGAAAATATTACCTTATTTCTATGGTGACATTATAAATGTGCACAAGAAAACTGCACCATGAGTGCAGTGGGGGTTTGTCTTTTAGTTTTTGATACCGCATCTCCTGTGCCTGATGGAGTCAAGCTATTAAAACTCAACAGCACCTTCATAACGGTATCATTGGGTAGCGTTTTATTCTAAAAGCACCTAAAATTTTCTAAGCACCAGACAGCAACATTCAAATCTACCAGGGTCCAGGCTCATGACTTTATAATCTGAATAAAAATAACTTGGCGTACAGTGGCAAAGACCAGCGAATGCACGTGCAGCTCCCTTAAATGCATGGCTCTGGGCTGTGACACACGTTTTAATTCTCAGACCAATGTGTGAGAATTAAAAGATACAGTCGTACCTTGGTTCTCAACCGGAATCCGTTCTGGAAGTCCGTTCAACTTCCAGAAAGGTTCAAAAACCAAGGCGCAGCTTCTGATTGGCTGCAGGAGCTTCCTGCACTCAATCGGAAGCCGTGGAAGCTGCGTCGGATGTTCGGCTTCCAAAAAAGGTTTGCAAACCGCAATATTCACTTCCGGGTTTGCGGCATTCGGGAGCCAAGACGTTCAAGTCGCAAGGCGTTCCAGAACCAAGGTACGACTGTACTTTAAATGCCTTTACAACAGACAACAGTTGTCCACAGAATCAAAAACACAAAGTTATTTGTTTCAGTCGTTTGTATTCCGACTCTCCATAACACCTGAGGAGGCATACAATCGAAGTATAAAAAAGGCTGCAATCCTAAAACACACCCGAGTAAGAGACAAGCCATTATTCCTGAATGTTGTGCAGCGCGACTGGCTTCTAAGCAGGCACCTGGAGGAATGGACTGCACAAACACTAACATTCTAAAAGGTAACATAGCAAGCAATGCTTTATTAAATTGGGTGGCCTTTCATTCTGTTCAGAAGCATACGTGCTTTTGTGGTACACTGTTCTCTTGTCACAGAAGTATGGAAAAAAACCATGCAATTCAAATTTGTGCACCACTGCTACACCGAAGAAGATTTGGTCCAACAGACGAGACCTTGATAACAGTGAAAAGAATAATCGCATAAATTCTACAATCGTGAACCCCTCGTGATTTACCATTTTCCTTTCTGTTTTGAGTTCATGGGAATATCTCATCAGTTCTCCATATACCCTATGTCCCAGTTCTTCTGCTACTACTTCTCTCTGTCCCGCGTAGTCGTTTAACTCGTTAAGGATATTATAAAAGGCTATACATGAGGTAAACCTGGCAATACACAGTGAAGAAGAAGGAGGGAAACAAATGTCATCTTTCTATTTATCCGGAAGTTACAGCTTTTGTTCCATAAACGGACCATAAAACATGTCACAATTAGCACGGGGTACAACCTTGATAAAATGAATTGCAGAAAGATGCACAGTGGAGATGCCCCAAATAGACTTCTCTTCACGCACATTGCTTGTTGTTTTTTAAAAAATGAAAACAGATTTCAAAAGGTAGAAAAGAATAAAGAACACTACCTGGAAAGCCCTGCAGTATAGTGGTATCTCCTAAGATGCGAAATGGAAGAAGGACTGAGCCTAGGAAAGGACTTAATTTCCTAGGCTTGGGAAGCTGAACTTGTTGCAGAGATGATTTTGCTTGATCTTGAGGGTGGAACATGCCAACCATGCCACTCCTATGCACCCCGATGGATGGATCTACTGAACAAGTTTGCTACCAGCTCTGAAGACAGCTGCCTGTTTGCCTGCTCACCTCTTTGGTTGGAGGGGAAGGGTGCCACACTATTGCTGGCACTAAAACAAAGGGGGGAGCAGGGTGGGAAGAAGGAGGAAAAAATAAGGGGAGAAAATGTGTATGGAAGGGAGAAACAAACAAACATGTCACTGTATTTTTTTTATTTTTGTATAAGACCTCATAAGCCTGTGGAATGTTTGCCATCTCTTTTAAATGTTCAGGTCTTGAGCTCCATATCAGCTTCTGGAAGTCCTGTCATCTAGGTTTGTGTTTTGTTTTGTTCTTTAAAAAAAAAAGGTTAAAATGAAGCAGAGGGGCTCAAAATGATCTTCCATGAGAAATAATGTTTGGCTAATGAAACTTAAATCTCATCAATAATTGGATTTTGGGCTAGATGACCAAATTTGGTCTCTTGTAAGCCAGTGAATACCGTCTTCCTTCAATGATGGACTTCAATTGTAAAATCAGCCTTGAACAATCTCTGACCAGGGCATCTGAAAAAAATTGATGCTTCCTGTGCTGTCCACACTGGTAATAATGGAATAACCTGAATTTCACGCCCCCCCCCCCCCCGTGTTAAGGATGGCCAAGCAATCAATGTTAGTAGGTTGGTGGTGGTGAGTGTTTGCTATTTTCTCCCTTATACTATGCTGAAAGACAGTTAACTATATAAAGTACAGAATAGAGAGAAAGTTACTCCACCCAACAAGCCAAGACTGACAAGGACATACAGCTTTGCAGCGTTCCTCTATAGTAGTTTTCAATGTACAGCTTCAGAAAGGAACCTTTTCCAAAAATAAAACAACACTTTGCAGCACTCAACTCACCGCCTTTTAATCAGGGGGCGCTGACACTGCAAAGTGTCACCATACTTAAGTTTGGCTTTGAGCTAAAGAAAATTAATGTGCCACGGCTGGTGTCTAGAAATGCAACAAAAAGAACATTGCTAAAATAATGAATTCAGGTCTAGTTGGCAAAACAGCAAAAATGAGGAGATAAAACGACTTCTGGACTTTACCTATTTCAGATACCGGATGGGGGATTGTGTGGTTCGGCGATTCTCCCTATGAAACACTTGGTGATATTGAACCAAGTGCTACTTAGACCAGATCCGCTGAAATTTCTCAACCTAAGTTAGCCATGTCCATTAACTTCAGTGGGGCTACTCATGAAGAGTAGTACAGTGGTGCCTCGCAAGACGAAATTAATCCGTTCTGCGAGTCTCTAAGCACGGCTATTAGCGGCTTAGCGGCTATTAACGGCTTAGTGGCTATTAACGGCTTAGCGGCTTTAAGAAAAAGGAAACAAACTCACAAGAACTCGCAAGACGTTTCGTCTTGCGAAGCAATCCCATAGGGAAATTCGTCTTGCGGAACGACTCAAAAAACGCAAAACCCTTTCGTCTAGCGAGTTTTTCGTCTTGCGAGGCATTCGTCTTGCGGGGCACCACTGTAATGCGGAATACTACTGATTAACTCCATAAAGAAAACTAGATGCCAAGGGAGAAGAATTCTAGCATTCTTCCCAATATGCCAGTTTTCTGCACATGGAATTTCTTTTGTATGGTAGAGCATTCAGCCATTACTTCCTACCTAAAATATGTGGTACAGCCCAGAGTCTAATTTACTTCCTCATCTGCTGTGTTGTGTGTGAGAACCAAGTCTTAGAATTCACAGCAAAGCTACATGGGTATAATGTTAGGGATTCTCAGAAGAGTTAAACATGATCTCAAAACTTAAATATTCAACATCCTTTGGAAAGCAGTGCAGAAAGTTTTAATAATGTCTTCGCTTTCTGATTTCTGAATACAGAGACAACCCTTATATTTGGTCATTAAAAACCAAACTCTAATGTAAGCTGGTATGAAATTAATGGAACAATCCTAACTAGGTCTACTTGCAAGCAAGTCCTATTGAATTAAATTGAGCTTACTACCACACAAGTGGAGGTAAAAAAACACACCAGCCTATCACAAAGGTACACAGATATGTAAAAATATTTAGGACGGAGGCCCTCGTTCAAAGTATTTCCAGAGAATAAGAGTCATTGAACACTGTGATATTTCTTTTCCTGACAGATAATAGAAAACTAATGTTCATTTTACCTGGGTTCTTCATCTTTGGATGAACGTTTAGGACAGTACTTCTTCACCAGATTTCTGTTAAGGGAAGAAAATAAGGACATTAATAAATTTATGTTAGCATTTGTCTAAGGATCAGTCTCAAACTAGGTGAGTAAGAAAACAGCCCTTTGTCCTCAGTTTACAGTTCACATATCTCCTGTGAAGAGGATCAACTTCAATAAACACCTTGTGATGTAATCATTTCTGAATGCCAGCACCTCCGTCAGAATATACCTCGATTCCTCACAACATTAAGATGTTTTTCTTGACAATAAATAATTTATCAGAAACAAGGATCCCGGAGTACATGCTAAAGATGTAGTTTATGATAATGAAACAGTCACAATTTATTCTTCTCAGAAACCAAAACAGAAAAGAAGCTTATTTTCCTGCCTACAATATTATAAGTTGAGGAGCTGTCGTACAAGAGAATGAAGTGATTGACGAAAAGCATCAAAGTGAGGTGCATGTTTTAATATCTATCCGTTTCTGGACAAAATAAACACACAATGCCCTTGGTTCTAATAAACATGGGTGCCTGAATTCTCGCAAATGTTGCAAGCAGGAAGGAGTGAAAATTGTTCCACCGCTGAGCAACTAGGAACAAGGCCAACCTATTGTTTTTATCTTATGCTTATCCAGAGTAGAACGACTAAAACAAAGACAGGGGCCAAAAACTGGGGGGGGGGGGGGGAGAGAGAAGAGAGAGAGAGAGAGAATGAGAATTGTCCTATAGACACTGCAAATTAATTTCTAATGAATAATTATAATATACTTCTTAGCAGCCTCTTTCCAGTATGGTAAAAAGATGCCTTGTTTCAGCCAGACAGAATAGGCTATTCTCCAGATGATGTTAAAGAGCAGCAGCAGTAACAGAATGCCTAGTTTAATACATTTTAAAGAGTTCAGCAGGAATTCCAAGGATTCCAGAGGCCTCAAGTTACTTCACTGCCCACAAATATTCCCACAAAGGAATAATGTATATATTTCATGTTCTTCAGCAGGAAATCTATTTTCTTTCCCCAAGCGATGCATTAAAGAATGGAACTAAACTTCTGTACAACTTTCCCCTTGGGCTATTAGTCCCACTACGGATCCTGGTTTTATTATCAAACCTTAAAGTCAAACTCTCTTGCTATACTCATTGGGTATATAAAAGTTATATTGCGTCTAAACACTACAACATTCACATAATCCCAGGGAAAGAAAAGTCACAGAAGTTAGCAATGAAGAAATAAAGAGGTTTTTGAGTTATTTAAAAATAGAAAGAGCTGATGACAATAGGAAACTTTCCCCACAAAGGGAAACTATGGAAGATGGTTTGATTTAAACGTTAACATATGGTTAACACATTCAGTTTAAGAGGCCATGATAGAATGTTGATGAAAATGTATTCTGTTATGCCAGAGATCTGGGTTCTCAACCCATCTCTTCAAAAAGCACTTGGGTCTACTAGTAATAATAATAATAGTACAGTTGGAAGTTGAACAGAATCCGTTCCGGAAGTCCGTTCAACTTCCAAAACTTTCACAAACCAAAGCATGGCTTCTGATTGGCTGCAGGAACATCCTGCTGGATGTTCAGCTTCCAAAAAAACGTTTGAAAACTGGAACACTCACTTCCGGGTTTGTAGGGTTCAGGAGCCAAAATGTTCGAGAACTAAGCTGTTTGAAAACCAAGGTATGACTGTATATGAAATGTAAAGCTAACAGCTTTGTTTGGGTTATACTAAAGAAAGAACTGTATGATACATCACAACAAACAGTGATGTTTAGTTCCCTTTTTCCCTATGGGAGTAAATTAGTTTTCTTTCCAAAGGGGAAGTCAGTTGGCTATGACAAATTTAGGAAACCCTACTATTGCAGTATGGAAGGCCCACTCCAAAGCTAAGACTCCCACAAATCACACTTTTGTTTAATGGCATTATGTCAGTGCCAAATAGTTTCTAGGGCAATATAGATAATGGAAACACAACCATGTAATGCAAAGAAGGTGCAGCTACACAAGCAAGACTTTCTGGAATTTATCAGAATGGAATGGATGTCAAGAACGGATGCAAGCAGATTTATAAGATCCGGAAACACAACAACACACACAAACATGCCAAAGTAAATTTCATCCTCGGGGAAAATAGCTGCAAACTTGACAGTACTTTCCCAGGAAAATTCTGAATTTCTGACAAATCGCTTTGTTTGTGCAGCTGCTTTTTTTCCGTGACCAAGAACTAGCACAGCCAAGCCAGAAGCATGAGAACCTAAGTTGGTCCACAGTCAATGTAAGGTGCCACAAACCCAATCCTACTGGGCTCAGGAGGAATGTCAAATATAAGATAAGGGCAGGGATTCCAAATATATTACACAAGGAACAGACAATAAGGTTATCTGGATGCTCACACTTACATACTAAGGGGAAGGTAGGGCAATGTTCCAATTTAATGCTATTTGGGGGGAAACAGGCACCAACCCTGCTGTAACAACAACAACAATAATGGCTTGGAAATAATAGGCTAGTTTTAATGTTCAACAAACCAAGTACGTGCTTGTCAGGGATAGAAGGTAAACTATATTGTTTCGTTCACTTGAAGAAAGAACTGAGTGAATGAAACACTCCATCTTCCACATGTGTGGAAGAAAACCATGCACTTGTAACATATCAAATTAAACAGCAGGGCCGTCTTATGCATAAGCGCTAGGGGTGCAGGGCACCCGGGCCCCAGGCTCTCAGGGGCGCCAGGCCAAGAGTCCGGGGCCGGAGAGTTGAGTCTGGAGAAGAGCCCACCCGTTGGTCGGAGCGCCGCTTTGCACCAGGAGTTCAGGGGCGACCAAGCCAGTGAGATGCTGAGGCGGACGGGCGGCTCCACCCTCCTGCACGCCCGGGACTGGGCAACCTGGGGGGGGGGGCTGTGTAAGACAGCCCTGTTCAACAGGACCAATGTAACCTAACAACACTGAATGTGCACCACTGAACAAAATGTAAACGATTCTCAGCTGGTATTCCAGATTCTCAGCTGGTATTCCAGCATCCCAAAGGTTTGAGTCATCGCTGAATGCACATAGTAGAGTTCACTATTATGCAGCAATTTGAGTGGGCTATAGTTTTGTGCATTTAAAAATTCAGATTATACTCTCATGCTTCAGTAATATACAACAGGGAAGTTACCTTACACAAATAATGCACTGAGCCGTAACAGCCTGTGCATTTTGCAGGCGTGATTTTACTTGCAAAAACAAGTTATTTTTAGAAGGAGCTTGTTAGGTTTTTTTACCTTCCTTAATGGTGTAACTCGGAATGCAAGTTTTAATCAGCTTAGTCTGTTGACAAATCAAGGTTGGAGGGGGTGAGACAATTTTAATCAGCAAGTCTGAATGCTAAGGACACTTATGTTATTTTTCAAGGCTCCTTGGGTTCTGATATGTTACTGTAAGGGGAACAATTTTTCAGCTATTAAAAGACCTTTCTTAAGTAGTATCTCTTGTTCATTAGGTCATACATTATATTAACACCTCCTTTAGTATCTCAAAAGGCACCTTTGTGGAGGCTTTGTTAATAGAAAGCAACCGGCAACAAAATGTTGCAGTGTAGCCTTACCTCTGAACAGGAGTGCTCCTGTTCAGCTAGGCAGCCACCCTCCTTTGGGATACTCTATTCTGTTTCCCCACCCCATGCCACCTTCCCATCCCACCCACCAAATTTCTAGGTAATTGACAAACTGGCAAAGACGAAAATGATAAATCAGTTTTAACAAACCTTTAGGTGGCTGACAACCCCAGCTGAAAGCATTCCCATGGTGAAAAAGGTTCTGGGGAGGTAGGCACAACCCTTTACAGCAGAGTTTGGTGACCTTATCCGAGGATGGGTGGGTCGACACTCCGGCCGTTGGAGGATGGGCCGGAGCGTGTGTGCATGCGCACTCTTCCGGGTCAGAGGAGCGCCCGTGCACATGCACACAAGCTATTTCTGGCGCTCCTCCAATCCGGAACTGCACTGAAAATAGTGTGTGCACATGCGCACTTCGCCGTCCCGCACATGTGCGCACGCTATTTCTGGTGTACATCCGGGTCGGAGGAGCACCCGTGCGCATGCGCACAGGAGCCATCAACCCAGAAGACTGTCCCCACGCTGCGCCGGTAAAAGCAGGCAGTGAAGGTCTCCATGGGCTGGTTAGACAAGCCTCGTGGGCCTTAGGTTGCTGACCCCTGCTTTACAGCCTGCTATGAAATGTGTCCCCGTAGAATTTGTTGGGTATTTATTATCTCACCAGTTTCCCCACCTACTAGATACACTGTTATGACAAAGCACATGATTCTGATGCTTCCCTCCATATTTCAGGAAGTCTCAGTATTGAGATTTTGATAATAAAAATCATATTGCCAAATATAAATATAAGATTTATTATGGCACTCTGAATATATTAAAGAATTTTTAGATACTGGACTACGTTGCTTGTTTTGGGAAAACATATACTAAAGGTAGACGACGATAGATCTGGCCAAAAAGAGGGAAATGTCATTCTTAAGCTACCTAAAGCCATACCTTTCTACGTTACGTTATCCATCTTTAATCTCTATGTCTGCTGCACAGAGCTGAGCAAAGTGGGAAGGCTTAAAATCTAACTCATTATTATTCAGGAGACGAAACAATAATGCTGTAACCAGGCAACTGCACAAGAGAGTCTTTTGAAGAGATTTTCTGGTGTGTTGCAGATAAGAATGGAAAATACTTACCAGGAAAGCACACGCATGCATACTCCCTGACAGACTGGACTGACAGTGGGGGAGGGTCACAACTGCAGATTACTAATTGCCATGCAGACAGCTAATCCAGGTTCTGCCATTTGCAATACGGTAGTATTGGCACTAAATCCCTAAAAAGGCTGCAATGCATAAAAATGCACCAGGGCAACTAGCAATCCAGGCCCGGCTGCTCTGGCTGCCAATTAGTTTCAATGTGCTGGTGTTGACCTATAAAGGTAAAAGGGGCAAAGGCGAAAAGGACCCCTGGATGGTTAAGTCCAGTCAACTATGGGGTGTGGCGCTCATCTCACTTCAGGCCGAGGGAGCTGGCGTTTGTCCAGCAGGACTAAACCACTTCTGGTGCAATGGGGTACCGTGAGGAGTGCCACAGCGCACAGAAACACTGTTTACCTTCCCGCCACAACAGTACCTATTTATCTACTTGCACTGGTGTGCTTTTGAGTTGCTAGGTTGGCAGGAGCTGGGACAGAGCAACGGGAACTCACCTCGCCACGTGGATTTGAACCGCCAACCTTCCGATCGGCAAGCCCAAGAGGCTCAGTAGTTTAGACCACAATGCCACCCACTCCCCTATAAAGCCTTACACGGCTCAGGACCTCAATACTTTATAAAGACTGCCTCTCCCCATATGAGCCGACCTGGACCCTGTGTTTGTCACCCAAGGCACTCTAAGTCCTCAGGAGATTCAGAGGGTGGCAACATTATAATGGGCCTTTTCTGTGGTGGCTCCCTGTCTGTGGAATGCTTTCCCTAAAGAGGCTCACCTGACACCATCATTACATGTCTTTAAGTGCCAGGCAAAACATTCCTCTTTACCCAGGATGTTGGCCATTAAATAATCTATGGCCTGTTAAAGCTGGGGGGCGGGGGGCAGAGACTGTTATGGTTATTTTATTATTATTTTTGTATTATGCTTTTTATTATGTTTTTAGTATTATGCTCTGTAAGACGTCTTCTTAATGTCGTACACTGCCCTGGAATCTTTGGATTTGAACACTTAAAACAAAAAAATTCGGATAGAAGCTGTACTATTTTTGCTTGTTCAGATTCAACGTCATATAGAACTCTCACCCGAGATTTCTAGTTTGTGATAGTCACAAATCTAATTTAAATGGTTATGATCAGAGTTCTAGTACTATTGTTATCTACTGCATTCACAAAAGAAAAGGAACGCTAACTAGTGGATTTCACTTTGTACTGTTACATAGTAATGAATCAGATGCACCATTTCATAGCTGAATGGTGACTAAAAATAGGGCCTTTTTCACAGTGGTGTCCTGCCTTATCTCCAGAATCCTCCATGGAAAAAAGAATTTGTCACCGCCACTGTATTTAATTAGGTTTCACTGGAAGAAATTTAAACACTTGCTTAACTTTCTCAGTGAAATCAATAGGTCTTCAGAACCAGCTTTGGCTGGATTGCGCACTGCATGTAATAATGATGATAATAATAGTAATAATTTTATTATTTATACCCGGCCCATTTCTGAAGGAAATCAGCCCTGAGTGCTCACTGGAAGGACAGATCCTGAAGCTGAGGCTCCAATACTTTGGCCACCTCATGAGAAGAGACTCCCTGGAAAAGACCCTGATGTTGGGAAAGATGGAGGGCACAAGGAGAAGGGGACGACAGAGGACGAGATGGTTGGACAGTGTTCTCGAAGCCACCAGCATGAGTTTGACCAAACAGCGGGAGGCAGTGGGAGAGAGGAGTGCCTGGCGTGCTCTGGTCCATGGGGTCATGAAGAGTCGGTCACGACTAAACAACAACACCCGGCCCATCTGGCTGGGTTTCCCCAGCCCTCTGGGTGACTTACAGAACATATAAAAGCATAGTAAAACGTCAAACATTAAGAACTTCCTGATACAGGGCTGCCTTCAGACGTCTTCTAAAAGTTGTGTAGTTCTTTATCTCCTTGACACCTGAAGGGAGGGTGTTCCACAGGGAGGGTGCCACTTGCCGAGAAGGCCCTCTGCCTGGTTCCCTGTAACTTCACCTCTTGCAGTGAGGAAACCACCAGAAGACCCTTGGAAGAGGACTTCACCTCAGTGAACGATGAGGATGGAGACACTCCTTCAGGTACACTTGGCCAAGGCCCTTTGGGCTTTAAAGGTCAGCACCAGCACTTTGAATTGTGCTCGGAAACGTACTGGGAGCCAGTGAAGATCCTTTAGGACCAGTTATATGGTCCCGGAAGCTGCTTCCAGTCACCAGGCTAGCTGCAGCGTTCTGTTCATGAAACAAAGGCATTCTACCTCCGATAAAAACTTTTGTAAATAATAATGGGGAGGAATAACTTTCAGCACTGAATCTCTTTTGAATAAGAGTCCATTTGCACAGTTGTTCAAGGAAAGTCTGCCACATCTACATTTGGATAATAATCAACATCTTATGTTTTCAATTTCAATTAAAGAAGAACAGCCTTCAGAAACAAGGGCCCACATCGTGACCATTTGTTTCCAATTTAGAATTCAAACTAGTAGAGCATCCAGACAGCTTGCCAAGTTTCTAAATATAGTCATTTAGGTAACTAAATCTTCATTTGGCTGTGCACAATTACATAGTTTCCCACTGCAGAAGATAATCAAGCCATTTAAGCAACTTTCTTCAGCTTTCAAATCCAGGAATTCCCTCTAGATACCTTGCTGTATCGTGTTACAACGGAATTGTCCTTGACTGGAAATCTAGAATATGGAATACACATTACTCATTTATTCAGAGAAAAGAAGTCAGGCAAACTCGCAAAACTTTTGTCTCCTAGCCACTCGGTTATTATGAAGATGAGCGTTTATATATACAGCTCAACAAAGCTGCACTCAGGACATGAGTATTAATGTGAAAAGAACAACAACAGTTGCTTATAAGAAGAAAGTAAGTTAGCCTTTAGAACACTTAGCTGTAGTCAAGAGAGGAAGTAAACAGAACAAACTGTTTCCCCTTTTAAATCAACATTGGCTACTTTAATCATAAACAACAGCTGATAACTTGATGTATCCTTATGTATCTAGGATTAGAATGGATAATTGCAAAACAAAAACAAAACCCCCACAATGGAGTCAGGTCCTGTTTGCAACTGAATGCAGACAGAGAAGGTAAGAGCAACTGAGGCTCAGATCCAGAACTTTCTGAGATTCAAGACTGTTCCCCATTATTTATCTTGGAATTCCCAATTTTTCTTTAGAGTACTAGCTTCTAAGACAAGATTGAAGTAAAAATAGAGCACATCGGCATACATCCCAAATTACTACCATTTCAGAAGAAACTACAAGCCCAGGTTACTTGAAAGGTGAAGTCTTTTAAAAAATGCATATATAGTAGATCAGTTAACACCGAAAATTAAGATACGCATACACTTAAAACAGTTGTCGCTTTTTACCTATGGACCCCCGCACAGAAAATAATACATGCAAGCGGATTACTTGTTTACACTGTTCATGGAAAAGAGGCTTAAAATATATCGGTTAAGTTCCATGTGGAAAAGTTCACAGCCAAAAGGCCACTCAATAAACTGGTAGAGAAAAGCAGTGCACACACTTTATTATGCAGCTCTACATTTATTTTTCCTGCAATTCTGATAATACAGAGATACAGACTCTGCATGTGTCAAAACAAGAAAAGAATATTGAAGCTTCGTTTGCTAAGGCATGATAGGTGGTAGTCAACTAATTTTTTCTCATGGAGCAGACCAGCTGAAATGAATCAACATTACTATGTTGTCCATTCATTTCAATGGGTCAAATAATTTGATTCTATGCCAGGGGTCGGCAGCCTAAGGCCCATGGGCCACAAGCAGCCCACAGGGGTCGTTCAACCAGCTCACGAGCAACCCCTGAATTGAGCCACCCGCTGCGCTAAACTGGTGCAGCGCGTTGCGGGGACTTGCTTTCGTGGCGCAGGAAATCACATCTGCACAGACGCTGGAAATCATGTCTACGCAGACAATCACGGGCGCACGTGCAATGCGGCCCACGGAGGGATCTCCACTGGAGTGAACCGGCCCAGGCAAGGTAAACCTTGCTGACCCCTGTTCTATGCTTTGCTGTGCATATTAAAGGACTGGGTCTCCAGAATCTATTACAAGATTCCCTGCCGATCTTCTATGCTTCTACATAAAACAGAAGTCTTCAGCACTACTGTTTTGACTCAGGGGGAGGCTGTCTCCATGCAGTACTGCAGAAGGGTTTCTTCCAGAGCAGGGTCACTGCTCAGTGCCTCTTACAACTCACCCAGGAGAAACATGTCTACAGTTCCCAGTACATGCAAGGGGAACTGGCTAGAAAAACTAGAGCAACAGGATTTCCCCTTGCTTTCCAAAGGTGGCCAGTGGTGCCTACCCACAAATGAAAATGAAGATAGTAGAGGAAAATGCTGAGGTTTCTTTGATGTTTGCACCACATGCTGACGGAAGCACAAAAGACAACACAGCTTGCCTCTTCAGCAATACAAAGCAGCTGCAGTGGATGCAGCAAAGCAATTCTGGATGCGAGTATATTTACGCCTTTACACACAGATAAGCTTTACAGCCTTAAAAGAAAATAAGGGAGCACTCGAATTTTAATTCAGAGGTTTTTCGAGCACCCCCATAGCAACCATAATGGAAGAAATGTGAGCCACAGCACCAGTCCTCAGTGTAACACAGTTAAGGGGCTCCTCCATTCAATGCATATTGATCAAGACAGTCCATCTCTGCCTTGCTTGCTTTGCAAAGCATGCTATGCTACTTGCAAGCTTGTGTTGAATGACAAACATGTCTCTACTTTTGCTGCAACAGGGGGATAAAAAATCATGTTGCCCGTGAATCTGTAGTAAGGAGTAACCAATTCAGATGGAAAAGAAAAGGTGATTTTAGCTACGTGGATCAAGTATGGCTATTTTTCCAGGACAACAATATTTGCATATTCGATTTCTCCTACAGTACGGGAACTACTTTTAACTAAAAATATAATTAGGAAATAAAAACAAAACACCAAAACAGTTTAAAAGGTAATAGAAGTTTGAAGGGAAATGGAACTTGTAAAATAAAGCTTACCTCAATTGCTTTGCATAATTCTGTTCAATCTCTATCCTTTCTTTAACGAATTTTGCATATTTTTCCAGGAAGTCAATGCCCCACTGTGTGTGCTTGTCTAAATTGTCGAACTGATCCTGTAAAACACAAGCCAGGAAAAAAAATCTAAATTGAACAAGATGACACACACCCACATTGCTTTTAGATACTACGTTCTGTCTTCTACTTATTTAGTGAATTGAAAAATATAAATATAATCACACAAAGAAAACAGATACTAGGATACAGTACTTCAATACAGAAGCTACTTTTTTGTTTTTAGAAAGACACAATCATAAGAGCAGTCCTGCTGAATGAAATTGACAGTCTATCTAGTTCAGCATCTTTTGAAAACGAGGTCCAGCTGGGGGTCGGGGGTCAAGATTGAAGGAACTGAACTGTGGAGCTTGCAGTATATATTTTAATCCCAGGCTCTGTTACTCTTTTGCTGCTGACTTAGCTCCCCTGTTCCCTGGAAGAGCCATATTCTTCCCACCCCCTTGCTAGGGACCAAATTCTCATCTCTAGTTCAGCAACCCAATGTCCATCCTACATAGTGAGTCACTGGAGGTTTCTGTACCAAGTGTATCTATTTATTTTATTCTATTTATTGATCAATTTTCTATACTGCCCTTCATCCAAGGATCATAGGGCAGTTTACAAAATTAAAACACAAAAATATGTAACATACTTAGAAACAAAAACAACCCCCCCAACACAGTTTTAAAGGAGCCACCAGAGAAAAGGCCTCTTCTCATGTTGCTACCCTCTGGGCCTCTCATGAAGGAGGCACATGAAGAAGGGCCTCAGATGATGATTGCAGGGTTCAGGTCTGTTTATATGGGGAGAGGTGGTCCGTGAGGTTTTGTGGTCCTGAGCCATTTTAGGCTTTATAGGGGAGCAGGTGACATTTTAACCAGGCCCAGAAACTAATTGGCAGCCAGTGCAGTCAGGCCAGGATGGGCATTATATGCTCAAACCTTCTCACCCCAGTGAGCAACCTGGCTGCTGAATTCTCTCACACAGCACTTACATATCTACCGTATTTTTCGCCCTATAGGACGCACTTTTTCCCCTCCAAAAATGAAGGGGAAATCTGGGTGCGTCCTATGGGGCGAATGCAGGCTTTCGCTGAAGCTTGGAGAGCGAGAGGGGTCGGTGGGCACCAGCCCCTCTCGCTCTCCAGGCTTCAGGAACACACCCGCAGCCTAGGCAGCCCTAGGGAACTCCCGCAGGGCTGCCTAGGCTGCGGATAGCAGCCTGCTTCCCGGAGCGCCGGGCGTGCTGAAAGCAGAGCGCCCGGCGCTTCGGGAACACATCCGCAGCCTAGGCAGCCCTGCAGGAGGTCCCGCAGGGCTGTCTATGCTGCGGATAGCAGCCTGCCGCCCGGCGCGAGGGGCGCCCTGAAGCAGAGTGCCCCGCCCGCCGGACAGACATCGGCCAGCCCCACAAGCTCGGGGGACAGCAAGGAGGCGCAGCGCCACCATCCCGCTGTTCCTTGACCTGGTTCGGTTTCCCCAACCTGGTTTGGGGGGGGAAATAAAGGGGAAAAAAATTCCTTTATTTCCCCCCCCAAAAACTAGGTGCGTCCTATGGGACGGAGCGTCCTATGGGACGGAAAATACGGTATATATTACATAGAATTACTACAGATTATAGTACATATTTGAAATATACTCTAGGATTCAGATAGCTGAGCATGAAGGAAGCTTCTATTGTGGTGTTCCCCAAACTTGGGTTTCAAGCTGTTTACGGACTACAATTCCCATCACCCCTGACCACTGGTCTTGCTAGCTAGGGATGATGGGAGTTGTAGTCCATAAACAGCTGGGGGGCCAAGTTTGGGAAACACTGTTGTAGTGCTTTCTGAGCTCAGACGAAGTCCCTACTGGATTCTCTCCTTAGTAATGGCAGTGGAGTTCACTTTGGCAGATAGCGCCTTCTTACCAGTGTTCCCCCACTTTAGAAAAAACACTCAGGCCCTACAGTTGTGGCAGAGTTGTGGCTGTCGCCTCCCTCAAACTCTACTTATGCTTATCTCCTGGCCTCTATGTGCCCCCAACTGTTCCAGTTTTAAACACGCCACAGTGTGGTGAAGCTGAGTGGACTCAACAGAGAGGAGCAAGCCGTACACATGAAGTAAATAAACCAAGGCTCTGCAGCTACTGTTTGGGCCACAGAGAAGAGGAAGATGAGACAAAGCGAAATCTCAACGCTTCAGTGCACAAAGACTACACTTGAACTGTTCATGATTGCCAAGAGGCTTTGTTCTAAAAGCATGCCCATAATTGAAACTTGCGCTTCAGGCTCATTTCATTTTTATTAGTTTGCCTTGTTTACGACGATTGCTTCAACTGCAACTTTAGCTTTAATGTTCAACAAACCTAGTAATTAATTGTTTGATATTCAAAACATGTGCATGGTCTCAGACTGCCATTAAAGCCATTTTACATTACATGCAATATATTTGAGAATATACATAACACCTGAAGATTAGATGATACATAAAAATTAATGGCAATGGTAGATGGTAAAGCGATATGAGGCAGCAAATGGAAGCCAAAACTCAGCCTTAAAAAGAATGAAGGCTATCAGGTTTCTATTATTATTATCTCAGTCATATCCAGCATACTGGGTAAATATTGCCATATATTACATCCCAACCACATTATAATTCATCTACTTCTTCATTGCAACCCAAGTATGTAGACAAACACTGCATCAATGAGAAGGAATGTGAAGATGTGCTGCTGACAAACTCAAAACACTGGATCCTTAAAGACCAGCTTGGCCACTGTAGTGCTCTACTCTTCAATAATATTAAGCATTTCTAGCTTGAAGACGTTAATAATCCAGGAACCTTGTTCTTTGCAAACGATGAAGCATTTTGGGGGTGGGGGAAGAACAACAGAGCATCTCCGTAAATCCATGGCCTCAACCACACAGAGATGTGATACATCTGCACCACACAATTTAAGTGAAAACCTAGCTTGAAATATGGCCATATTTTTGCTAGAGCACCATCCATTCTTGGACAACAGCTTTGTCTGTGCTGTGTGATACGGTACTAGCACATCACTATGGATCTTAAATCACGAGTCCAAGTATGTGCTGGGAAGTAGGCAAGGCAATGTTTGGGTGGGGGAAGGTGTAACATCGCATGTATATCTTTGAAATAACTATATCATCCATTCATCATAATGCATTTCATTAAGTTAATAGTTACTAGAATCTGGCTATTCTCCATTTTGTTCTGCTTTATCCATTTGCTTTAACTATTTCACCCTTGCACTGAAACTCCAATAAAGTGCTCTGGAACTGAACCAACAGTCAGAGACATTAGAACAAGCTTCCTGCCGTGAACACAAGAACAATGCTTTTGCTGTCCTAGTTTGGACTTCTTAGTTCACTGTTCTGACACACTGCCAGGTCTGTGGAAAACTAGTCAAGTGCCATTTTTAAAAACATTGCTAGATCTCCTCACAAACAGAACTCAAGCAAATTGGGGGGAGGCAATGTAAGCAATTACCGTATTTTTCGCTCTATAAGATGCACCAGACCACAAGACGCACCTAGTTTTTGGAGGAGGAAAACAAGAAAAAAAATATTCTGAATCTCAGAAGCCAGAACAGCAAGAGGGATCGCTACGCAGTGAAAGCAGCAATCCCTCTTGCTGTTCTGGCTTCTGGGATAGCTGTGCAGCCTGCATTCGCTCCATAAGACGCACACACATTTCCCCTTACATTTTAGGAGGGGAAAAGTGAGTCTTATAGAGTAAAAAATACGGTAATTTCCTGCCACTGGATCCCAAAGCACAACTTGATGAAGACAAATTTGATTAATGGAGTAAAATCTCATACCTTAGAACCCAGGAGAACCTCATACCTTAGAACCCAAGAATGTCACTCTTAGAACCCAGGAGAATTCTCATCTCATGACTTTGCCTCTGAATACCAGTTGTTGGGGGACAGCAGGAGAGGGCTATTGCCCTCAAGCTCTGTTTTGGGGCTCTCCAGAGACAACTTGCTAGCCACTGTGAGAAAGAGGATGCTGGGCCAGATAGCTGCTTGGTCTGATCCAGCACTGCTCCTCTTACATTATTTTTGTTAGAAGTTGAAGTCACCAGCCTCACTTGGCAGCAAAGCAAAGATCAATCTACACTGCACCATGCCCAAGGTAACTATTGTTATATATTATCACAAGATGAAATATGTATAGTGGCTTTGTCATTTGTTAGGGTTCACTTCCTACTCTAAGAACTGGTGTTCAGTTTTATCCCCAAACAGATTCCATGTTCCCCTGTGATTAGAGATATTAGACCAGGAGCATCTCACCTGTGGTCTTCTAGATGCTGCCTCACTACAGCTCCCATTAACCTTGACTGTTGGCCATGCAGCTGGGGCAGATGGGAGTTGAAGTCCAGCAGCATCTTGAGGACCACAGGTTGGCCACCACCAGATTAGTCTGAAGGAGGACTGGGTATACACATATTGGAGTTGAGACATTGGCAATAGAAAACATGTCTCAGAATTCCTACAGCCAAACATGGCATTCATTACCATTGAGCAGAAGAAGGTGGTATCTTATCACACAAATTTTCTACTGCGTAGAAAATAAGCATGGCAAAGTAGAAGTAGAATATACCCATTATTAATATTACAACCACAAACTGAAATAGAATATAAAAGCAAAGTCAACAGGGATTGGCATATTTTGCAACTGCAAGTGCAGAGAATTGCTTTAATGCATGTAGGAAGACTAGAGGTTCTCAAACTATCAGAAGGAACCATAGGGCCATCCTATATGAAAATTGAATATTAAGAACTTCCCTGTAGCTTTCAAAAGGAAGTACTATACAGTGGTGCCCCGCAAGACGAATGCCTCGCTAGACGAAAGGGTTTTGCGGTTTTTGAGCTGCTTCGCAAGACGAATTTCCCTATGGGCTTGCTTCGCAAGACGAAAACGTCTTGCAAGTTTGTTTCCTTTTTCGTAAAACCGTTAATACCCGGGGTGCATTGCTTGAAGAGGTGCAGTTGCGACTTGACTTCGAGGAGCAACTCATAGCACGCAGTGTGGTAGCCTTTTTTGAGGTTTTTGAAGACTTTGGTGAATTTAGAAGCTTTTCCAAAACTTCATTTGCAGCCATTTGGTAAGTTAAACTTTTAAAACTTTGTTGGTGGGTTTTGGATTTTGGGTTGGGGTGTTTGGAATTCAAGGACTTGGTGTTGGGGAGGGGTTTGCAAGAATCTGGAAGCTTGTGTGTTTTTTTCTGCATTTTTATGATTTTCTGTGACCATTGGGCCACTCTGCTGTTTTTTTTATAAAAAAAATTCTGGGTTTGAATTTCTGTGTGGTGGGTGGCTGGGGGAACAGTTGAGGAGGGGTTTGCAAGAATCTGGAAGCTTGTGGTTTTTTACCTGCATTTTTATGATTTTTTGTGACCATTGGGCCACTCTGCTGTTTTTTTAAAAAAAAATCTGGATTTGAATTTCTGTGTGGTGGGTGGCTGGGGGAACAGTTGAGGAGGGGTTTGCAAGAATCTGGAAGCTTGTGTGGTTTTTTTCTGAATTTTTATGATTTTTATTGTTCCTTCAATTTTTGAATTTATTGTTCCTTCAATTTTTGAAATGCTCTTTACAGTATGTGTGACTTTAAAGAGCACTTAATAAACTCTTGTTGTACCAAATTTGGCTTTGTTTGGACTTTTTTGACCATAGGAACGCATTAATTGAATTTCAATGCATTCCTATGGGATTTCGTGCTTCGCAAGACGAAAAATTCGCTAGACGAAAAAACTCGCGGAACGAATTAATTTCGTCTTGCGAGGCACCACTGTAAGTGCAAGGCTTTTTGTTTTTGTTTTTCTTAACCAGGGCGTAGGAGTTCAGCCTGTGCTGAACAATGCTGCATTTTCCCTTTATGGTGGTAGTGATCAATCTTTGTCTACAGCTACGCAAGTGGTCTCTGCGGTACAAAGCAGCTTCCACCAACATCATCTGGTGCACCAACTGCACCCTTTTATGGATAAGGATGATCTTGCTGCAACGATTCATGTTCTTGAAAGTCAATGTAAGGTTGCTATGATGTATAATATGTAGCGCTGCCTTCAAAAAGGATCTCAACCTTCACTTGATACAAAAAATATATATGCAGCAAGGTAATGAACAGGGACCAAGTATAATCATCGTACAGTGGTTCCTCCGGTTAAGTACTTAATTCGTTCCGGAGGTCTGTTCTTAACCTGAAACTGTTCTTAACCTGAAGCACCACTTTAGCTAATGGGGCCTCCTGCTGCTGCCGCGCTGCCGGAGCACGATTTCTGTTCTCATCCTGAAGCAAAGTTCTTAACCTGAAGCACTATTTCTGGGTTAGCGGAGTCTGTAACCTGAAGCATATGTAACCCAAGGTACCACTGTATTACAATAATATAAAAATACATGCAGTGGTTTTTGTACACATCCCTAAGATGGTAGTTAGGCCAAGGTGCACGCAATATATGTATTTACCACTTTCCATAGAACCTAATAATGAAGCTGAACCCAAGACATTTAGGAACTCAAGCTTGGATATTTCATTTCTGGAAGAATTTCTCATTGGGTTTATCTAATTCTAACTCTTATCCAACTAGGTCTATCTAACCCACTAGGCCTGATCCTTTTAATCTTTTCCATTGTGTACCTCAGTTGTCACAGGTAAAAGAAAGGACTTATAAAGAATGACAGCGATATGTACACCTGCAGAGTATTTATGATCCTGGATGGCTGATAACCTTTGCAGGTGTGGCTTTTGGCCCCCTTTTTAGGTCGCCCCCAATATTAATCCTCAAGGAATTTAAGACTTAAAAGACAATCATGTTCCTTTGGAAACTAAGTTAAATAAGCACAGATGAAGTGGTCTATTCACCTGCAATACATTCTGAGTGCTGGAACAAACAGCAATGGGCAATTGACTAACTGACAACACATAGTGACTGAAGTATCTGTTTTCCAAGAATCTTAAACCAGCACGAGGCATGTTTTGATGAGTACCAAAGAGAGGATTGGGGGGGGGGGAGAGAGAGACAGAGATAGACAGAGAGAGAAAATTGTGGAAAATATTGCTATGGTTAATTATACTTGTCTGCTATTGCCAGAGTTAGAGCATAGCACCTCCCCAGCTAATACAACACTTATTCCTAACAATAAAACTATAAATTGTATGACTTGTTAATTAATGTTGCATTTATTATTATTAAGTCACTTGGGCTATGATGATGAGCCCTAGCAGATATTTAACTTCAGCTTTCAAACAGAATGAAGTTCAACGCTTCCATACCAGAAGAGAGAGTCATAGTCTACTAAGGCCTATAATGAATCGCAGAGGAGCATTCAAAAGGAAGTACTTTAACTGAGAATTTACATTTCTGCAGCTGTTTAATGGTTTTTGGAAAGGACACGCTTAAGAGTCACTGTTCCACAATTTAGACTATTTGAAAATGTACACATGGAACTAATATGCACAGTCCCTTTATGGCTCACTTGTTGTCATAGGAAGTAACTATGTTGAAAGCGTTCCAAAATACCAACATCTGCCCATCCAAAAAGACTCTCCTGTCAGGAGAGACTAAGAACAGAATACAGCGTTACCACCAAAAATGGTATTCCTATTATCGTAAGTTAGTACACTTGGTCATGTGTCTCACTACATGTCATTGGCAGAAAGATGTCCACCTTAATGACACCAAATATAACCATTAAGTTATATCAGCACTCCACACAGGGCTGCCACTCTTGCCTTATGTAGCTCCATCTTAATTCAAAAATGAATATATGAAATATCCCGTGCTTAAGTTTTCCAGAAAAGAAAAACATTTTAGTTTTGCAAATCACTTTTTGATAATTGTGTTTTTCTTGAAGCTCAGATCTGGATTATCCAATGCATAGGTCACTTGGATGCTTCAGAAAACATTTTATGGCTGCTCCTGTTCAAGATAACCAATCCAGAAATAGTGTGACTTCTTAAATACAGTGGTACCTCGGGTTAAGGTCCTTAATTCGTTCTGGAGGTCCGTTCTTAACCTGAAACTGTTCTTAACCTGAAGCACCACTTTAGCTAATGGGGCCTCCTGCTACCGCTACGCCGCCGGAGCACGATTTCTGTTCTCATCCTGAAGCAAAGTTCTTAACCCGAGGTACTATTTCTGGGTTAGTGGAGTCTGTAACCTGAAGCATATGTAACACGAGGTACCACTGTCTCTAAGACAGGTTTCTAGATCTATCCTGTTCCTTGACTTCAATAAAACATTCAAAGGCCCTGATGCCTTCTTCCCTAGTGGCCTTTAAATTCACATCTAACTATATATACAATATATGTTGGGAAATGGTTTGTCTGTTTGTGCTCTATGTGTCTGGGTGACTGTCAGGATATCATCACCAAACTCAGCATAGGGATTTCCGAGGCATGGGTGGTGGACTTTGATGTCATATGGACGCCAGGCACCATGCTGAATCAATATTGTGGAGTGAAATGTCACTTTGGCATGACTTCACCTGTTTTCTGGCATAGGTTCAGCTGCCAAATTTGGCATGAACTGAGATGGGGAGTGCCAGGTGCCATTCTGAATCAAGATGGTAGACCGAACATTACCTGTGTGTAACTTGACCTGATTTTTGACATTACTACTACTACTATTGTTATTTATTCAATTTATATACTGCCCTTCATCACGAAATCTCAGGGTGGTTCACAGAATAAAAATACAAGATAAAAACACATTACCTGACAGGTCAAAATCTACAAATTATATTATCCTTTTAAAAATCACAACTTTGAGGCTTCTAAGAATACCCTGGCGGCACTGGGCACTCAGTCCCTGCTAGGATTCAATATTTGTCAAAACTTTTCTAATTGTACAATCGTTCTGTACCGTACCAGCTCTCATGAGTCAAATCCTACTTTTCGAGATCTAAGGCACAACAAATGAAACCTCGCTGCCAGATTCTCTCTCTTTCCTTCTACACTAAGTGTTTGAAATATCCAGAAGTCACTAGTGTAAACAACTGTATTATGTAGGCTTCTCAAAGTTCAGATAGTTATATGTTTAAGAGGACTCCCTCCAGGTCTGCCTGTTTAAACTTGCACTCTCTAAAAAGCCCAATGGTAAGTCATTGTCAAGCACTTATGTAAAACCTTCTATTATGGAAAGCCAGCTGAATTCACATTTTGTTTTCTTCTGAAGTCTGCTGACTGACCCCCAGTGACACCACCTCTGTTACAGAATATCTGAACCACAGCCTTGCCAGCCGAAAACCAGGTCAGCTACACAGAGTTCTGGTCCTAAAGTTGTCTGGTAGGAAAAAAATATTTTTTTCTGAGAGACTGTGATGATCATTGTGTTGTAATTTTACACATTACGTTGAAGTGAGTAAGATCTGTAAACTCCTTCCAAAATGTCATCTTTGGAAAGAAGTCCTAAATCAGGAATGGCTTCTTATGCTGTTTGCTCATAGTTTCTCAGTTCATTATTCACAATTTTCCTTCACGTTGTTCAGAGGATAGCTATCGCTACGGAAAATTACGCAAGTTATATTGTTTAGTGGTAAAACTCCTGGAGTCAGCTTTCCCCCCCTGCCACGCTGAACAATATAACTTACTCTGAGAAATCATATCTCAATAAAAAAGGTGCCACAATACAACAATTACTCGGTCAGAAACTTGTTAAATGATCCATATCAGCACTGCAACTGCTGACAACTAAGGTCTACATCTCGCATAACAGAGTTTGTTTTGAGACAAAGTTAATGGTGGCTTGGATTTATTCTCAAAAGTGATTAGTTCTTAGCGCTTGTTCAGATATTACTTGGCTCTCCAAGATGAGAAGTGTGCATCTTGTTTTATGCTCCCTCCATGGGGGTGGGTGGGAAGAAAGTAACACATTCAAACCGACACAGGATGCCTGCATTTAAACAAAACACAGAAACTCCCAGCTGACCTGTAACTTTCTTTCCAGAATGAGTCAGAGAAGGGATTATAAAGGACCACTGAGGTCCACTCTCAATTTTACCTCCAGGCAGAATATTGGGGGTCAGTATCTGATAGTGCCTTTAACATCTTAGCCACAATGTGATGAAAACTGAAAATCATCATTGCCCTTAATGCGTACTGAGAAATTCATAACCTATTTACACATGCTAATCTTCTTAATACCAATGTCAAGAGTGAAGAGAAAACACCCTTTGAATCACCTGTGGGAATTACAGCACTTACAATAGAGTTTAAGAATCTGTTATGTCAAATTTAATGTTGTTTTCTCTCCCTAAGTGTCAAGAACCTTTACTTGCAGGGAATAGGAGCAAATACACCGATTCCTGAGCGGTCTGAAAGTTAAAATAAAAAGTGAGCAACAAAATCATTTTTAAAAATAAATTGCAAAAATGTTGATGTAAACTCTGCTAAAAGGGGCTGCAAATGGTCAAAATATCACATTCATCAACCCATTGTGCTAAGAAAAGCTGGTATGTTTGTAAATCCCAGTCAAGCATTTAATACAATCTCTGGTTAAAGGAATGGTAGAGTTATTTCAGTGTTTCTTTTCTCCTCTCGAAGTAGCCTTGGGTTCTGCTTTACTGAGCTGAGGTGGTGTTCTCTGTGCCACAGTTAGCACTGCGGCACTTACAGAATATCAAAGAGAAAGAAGAAAATTGGCAGAGGCATATTGGATAATCTTTCGTAATATAGCGCCCAGTGCAAGGCCAAAATTTTGCACCCCCCTCGGCTCAGCACCCTGAGTGGGAGAACTACTACCCTCCTGGCCCTAAATCAGCTGTTTCTGTACCAGCTGCTAAGCAGTTTGAGTTGGGGAGATTTAACCCCTGCAGCTCAGTTGTTTGGGAAGAAGCTGAACAATGGCAAAGTGGGAACATACACACACAGCCTGACTAAGGCGTAAGTTTCAGTGGGTGTGGAAGGCTTTGCCTTGCATGCTTTTCTGCTCTTCCCTCTCGCTCACCCCACTGCTTGGTTGGGGAAGCTAGAAGAGATTCTGATTTGCATTTCCAGCAAGCTAAGGGGAATCTGTCAGAGCAGTTCTGGACATGTTAATTGTTCTGTCCGCACCAATAGCCCTAGTAATGCAAAGGTATTTCCCCAAGTATGACTCTGATTATGCTGAGTCACTTGAAACGCTGCTGCCCTTCTCCCTCCCCTGCCCACACACCCCAACGACATCCCTCCATCTCACCCACAAAATTTTGCACAGCCCTAACCAGCATTCCTATATTTAGCAGTTTCCTTTCCAACAGCTGGTGCCTTCCCCCGTTGCTCCGCTTTGCTTGCAAACTTACTAGGGATATTTCTGGCATTTCTACTTTTTGGACAATTACGTTTCCAAAATATCTTGCAGACTTCCTTGTCTGCAGCAGAAGTTGCAGGAAATTAGCAAGGAGAATAGAAGTTGAAGCACCCAAGTTTAGCAACGGGGGCAAGGAAGCCAGGGCAGTAACCACACCACCTCTTACAAACCCCAGCTTTCCAACAGGAACAAGCTCAGCAACATAAATTAAGTTGCATGTTCTGAATGGCTTGTTCAATCTCCTGTCGTGTTATTTTAGAGTTCAGGATTGTCCTATTTTCTTGTGACAGTTTAGATAATCCATTTTTTGCCAAAAATTGTTTAATCTCAACTTCGTCTTGCGGCCCTTGGGTATATAAGTTTAAAATATCTCTGGAAACACTTTCTAATGTCCACTGGATTCTGAATGTTTCTTCCATCAACCTCTAAATTTGTAACCGTGTTTAATCTTTGTCTTCTCTTCAACTGCCAAGATAGCAGTTTTCCACATTTATTCGCCGACTCAAACGTTTTTGGTTTCATTAATTTGATCTTCCATTCAATTTCCTGATTTATCAATTTAGAATACTGTGTTTGATAAAGTTTAATTTCTCTCAGAGTTGGCTGTGACTTTGGATTCACTCTTAATTTCTTCTCCAAGTCTTTTATTTTATCCAAAATTTTGTCTTTTTTCTCATTTTGTGTTTTTTTCTTTACTACATTCTGTTGTATCAGAAAACCCCTCATGACAGCTTTGCTTGCGTCCCAGACGATTCTTTTTTCCACCGAATTGTTCATATTTATCTCAAAATAATCTTTCAAAACTTTTTGGGCCTTCTTGGTAATTTCCTGATCTCTAAACAAATTGTCATTCATCTTCCATCTAAAGGATCCAGTTGGTAGTAGTGTCATGTCCATCTTTACTGCGTTGTGGTCAGAACAGGTCTTTGGGCAGATTTCCACTTTTCTAACCCTAGGTGCCAGGCCTCTAGAGATCCATATTTGGTCGATTCTTGTCCAGGTCAGTTGGGCTTCAGAAAAGAATGTTCCTTCTCTACCTAGTGGGTTTTTGTTCTCCAAATGTCGATCAAGTCCATATTGTCAGTCATTTCAAAAAGGTTTTAGGTAGTCTGCCATCTTTTGTGATGTTTTGACTTTGCGACTTGTCCATGTTAGTTGACACGACCCCGTTCATGTCTCCCATCATTATGATGTTGTTGTAATCCAGATGATCCAGCATTGTCCCCTGCAACTTCTTGTAAAATTCCGATTTCCCTTCATTAGGCGCATAGATTCCTAATATCAGCAATTTCTCTCCTTGATATTGTATCTCAATAGCCAAAATCCTTCCATGTTCATCTTTAAATAGAAATTTAGGTGACAGGCTCTCTTTTGCATATATCACCACTCCTCTCTTCTTCACTTTATCCGACGAAATAAATTCCTGGCCCAATCTTTTATTTGTTAACACTTTTCTGTGGAGCCTCGTCACATGTGTTTCTTGTAAACAAATAATGTCCAATTGTTCTTTTTTTAATATATGAAAAATTTTCTTCCTTTTCTCCGGGATATTGCAACCATTAATATTCCAGCTCAACAGTTGCAGAGACATCCTGGATCTATCTGGTTATTTCTCCTGGGGTGGTGTCTTCTCTTGATCTTCAAGTTCCCGAGGTGGAGGTATTGATGCTGGCTTTGCCTCAGGCCCGGAAGGTAGTTCAATTCCTTTATGTAGGTCCTCTCCGTGTGTAGCCAGAAATTTATCTCTCTCTTCCAATGTTCTAATTTTAACCTTTCTCGCTCTAAAGGTAAAAGACAATCCCTGGGGAAAATCCCACCTGAATGGAATTGCGTTGCTCCTTAATAGTTTAGCTAGTTCAGAATAGGCGGCTCTAAGATCCAACAGTTGTCTTGGGATATCTTTATATATCTCAATTCTTCTATCCAAAACTTCCAGTGACTTTTCGTAATGTAGGCCCAAAATCTTATCCCTTTCCTCCTTCGATCTCAATGTAATCAAACAATCCCTGGGCCTCTCCTTCTTTATAAATCTTCCAAGTCTGAAAGCTGACACAATTTTAAAGTCCTTTTCTTCCAAATTCCAGAACTTGGAAAGTTCTTTGGTCAAAAACTCAGTTAGATTTCCTTCTTCTGCCTCTTGTAATGATCTAATCCTCAGATTATTCTCACGATTTCGCAGTTCTATCATAGAAAGATAAATCTGATGTTCCCCAACTTGTTTAGTGAGTGGTCTTACCTCTTGCTCTAAATTTTCCAATTTTTGTCTGGTGTCCTCAGCCAATTTTCGATTTTCTACTGAGGCCTCCGTCAACTGTCCAATTGCTTGTGTATTCTGTCCCACCTGTGTAGTTAATTTGTTTAGACACTCTGTATTTTTATCAATCTTTGCTGATTGCGCATCTACTTTCTTGTCCAAAGCTTCCAATTTTTCAAAGATTTTTTCTAGCACAGAAGCAGATGCTCCTGAGGCCATATCTTCCAATTGTAACTGCTCTACTTCACCCTCTCCCTCTTTTGCCTGTGGCAAGGCAGCTTCTTCAAGTTGTACTTCTGAGGGCAAAGTAGGCACAGATGATCTACGTGTCTGCGAGGCTGAGGTTAGATTTGTTAGAGTTGTTTGTCTAACTCTTCCTCTTCTTCTTGTACCACTCATTCCAATGTTATCTATCAGTCAAGGTCACACTGAGTTTTTCCCACAGGAATAGAGAGTCCCAGAGCAAGCAGACAACAAGAGAATCGAAAGTAAATGTTTTTATAAAGTCACTGTTTTAATCCAATCCTCTAGAGGGAGCTTAAAATGTCTTTTCAGAGTCTGATTTAATGTCCCAGAACCTTCCAATATAAGTATTAAGCAGAGTTTAAAGGTAATCACTTTGTTGCAGACAGTGCTTATTTGTCTCCAAAAAGAATGTTTCAAATTTAAAATGTCTCAATGCCCTCAAATTGTTGCAACTTCCAGTATACAGTATCCAAGTCAAACACTGACAGCCCACTGTTACAATGCTCAGGCAGTCCTGACTCTGGGTTTCACCTTCCAATTTGTAATCCAATAAAAGGGGAAAGTCAAGTGCAAATAAAAGGTCCAAATCTTTAACTTGCTAATTTTACTTTAAATTGTAAGTTCCATAGATGCTTGGCTGTGTAGAGTTTAAAATCTCTTTCTTTCAGCCTCCACTCCTCCACCTTAGTTGCTTTTTTTTTTTCCAAGTTCAATGGCAGCGGAAGACGGACTTCCTGTTTCCACGTCTCTCCGCTTTCAGCCAAATTCAAGTCAATTTAAACCTTCTCATTTAAAATTTGTAATTCCAAGTGATTCAGTCTTTACTCACGAGTAAGTTGTTTTCTTCCAGGTCCGAATTTTAACAGGAAAAGGGATCAGCGCTCACCGGCAGCAGCAGCGCGGCTTCACTCCGCTGACTGTGAAACGGCTCACAGCGCCGCAGCCCCCCCTCCACGCTCCGGAGCCTCTTACGAGGCTCCTTCTGCAGTTGGAGGGCTGCTCTTGGCGCCCGCCGAGCCTCAGGACCCCAGGCTCTTGCTGCCTGGGGTTTTTCTCACTGGGTCTCCGCTTCGCCGTAGCGGACGACCCGGTTTCAGCGGAGCTTCTTCTCCGGTCGGGAGAAGACCGCCATTACCGTTCGCGCCGCCCCCGGAAGTCCCCCCAGATTCTCTCTCTTTCCTTCTACACTAAGTGCTTGAAATATCCAGAAGTCACTAGTGTAAACAACTGTATTATGTAGGCTTCTCAAAGTTCAGATAGTTATATGTTTAAGAGGACTCCCTCCAGGTCTGCCTGTTTAAACTTGCACTCTCTAAAAAGCCCAATGGTAAGTCATTGTCAAGCACTTATGTAAAACCTTCTATTATGGAAAGCCAGCTGAATTCACATTTTGTTTTCTTCTGAAGTCTGCTGACTGACCCCCAGTGACACCACCTCTGTTACAGAATATCTGAACCACAGCCTTGCCAGCCGAAAACCAGGTCAGCTACACAGAGTTCTGGTCCTAAAGTTGTCTGGTAGGAAAAAAATATTTTTTTCTGAGAGACTGTGATGATCATTGTGTTGTAATTTTACACATTACGTTGAAGTGAGTAAGATCTGTAAACTCCTTCCAAAATGTCATCTTTGGAAAGAAGTCCTAAATCAGGAATGGCTTCTTATGCTGTTTGCTCATAGTTTCTCAGTTCATTATTCACAATTTTCCTTCACGTTGTTCAGAGGATAGCTATCGCTACGGAAAATTACGCAAGTTATATTGTTTAGTGGTAAAACTCCTGGAGTCAGCTTTCCCCCCCTGCCACGCTGAACAATATAACTTACTCTGAGAAATCATATCTCAATAAAAAAGGTGCCACAATACAACAATTACTCGGTCAGAAACTTGTTAAATGATCCATATCAGCACTGCAACTGCTGACAACTAAGGTCTACATCTCGCATAACAGAGTTTGTTTTGAGACAAAGTTAATGGTGGCTTGGATTTATTCTCAAAAGTGATTAGTTCTTAGCGCTTGTTCAGATATTACTTGGCTCTCCAAGATGAGAAGTGTGCATCTTGTTTTATGCTCCCTCCATGGGGGTGGGTGGGAAGAAAGTAACACATTCAAACCGACACAGGATGCCTGCATTTAAACAAAACACAGAAACTCCCAGCTGACCTGTAACTTTCTTTCCAGAATGAGTCAGAGAAGGGATTATAAAGGACCACTGAGGTCCACTCTCAATTTTACCTCCAGGCAGAATATTGGGGGTCAGTATCTGATAGTGCCTTTAACATCTTAGCCACAATGTGATGAAAACTGAAAATCATCATTGCCCTTAATGCGTACTGAGAAATTCATAACCTATTTACACATGCTAATCTTCTTAATACCAATGTCAAGAGTGAAGAGAAAACACCCTTTGAATCACCTGTGGGAATTACAGCACTTACAATAGAGTTTAAGAATCTGTTATGTCAAATTTAATGTTGTTTTCTCTCCCTAAGTGTCAAGAACCTTTACTTGCAGGGAATAGGAGCAAATACACCGATTCCTGAGCGGTCTGAAAGTTAAAATAAAAAGTGAGCAACAAAATCATTTTTAAAAAATAAATTGCAAAAATGTTGATGTAAACTCTGCTAAAAGGGGCTGCAAATGGTCAAAATATCACATTCATCAACCCATTGTGCTAAGAAAAGCTGGTATGTTTGTAAATCCCAGTCAAGCATTTAATACAATCTCTGGTTAAAGGAATGGTAGAGTTATTTCAGTGTTTCTTTTCTCCTCTCGAAGTAGCCTTGGGTTCTGCTTTACTGAGCTGAGGTGGTGTTCTCTGTGCCACAGTTAGCACTGCGGCACTTACAGAATATCAAAGAGAAAGAAGAAAATTGGCAGAGGCATATTGGATAATCTTTCGTAATATAGCGCCCAGTGCAAGGCCAAAATTTGGCGCCCCCAAATGCATCTTCTTAATTATGGATCTTCTCAATTTTGCACCCCCCTCGGCTCAGCACCCTGAGTGGGAGAACTACTACCCTCCTGGCCCTAAATCAGCTGTTTCTGTACCAGCTGCTAAGCAGTTTGAGTTGGGGAGATTTAACCCCTGCAGCTCAGTTGTTTGGGAAGAAGCTGAACAATGGCAAAGTGGGAACATACACACACAGCCTGACTAAGGCGTAAGTTTCAGTGGGTGTGGAAGGCTTTGCCTTGCATGCTTTTCTGCTCTTCCCTCTCGCTCACCCCACTGCTTGGTTGGGGAAGCTAGAAGAGATTCTGATTTGCATTTCCAGCAAGCTAAGGGGAATCTGTCAGAGCAGTTCTGGACATGTTAATTGTTCTGTCCGCACCAATAGCCCTAGTAATGCAAAGGTATTTCCCCAAGTATGACTCTGATTATGCTGAGTCACTTGAAATACTGCTGCCCTTCTCCCTCCCCTGCCCACACACCCCAACGACATCCCTCCATCTCACCCACAAAATTTTGCAGAGCCCTAACCAGCATTCCTATATTTAGCAGTTTCCTTTCCAACAGCTGGTGCCTTCCCCCGTTGCTCCGCTTTTCTTGCAAACTTACTAGGGATATTTCTGGCATTTCTACTTTTTGGACAATTACGTTTCCAAAATATCTTGCAGACTTCCTTGTCTGCAGCAGAAGTTGCAGGAAATTAGCAAGGAGAATAGAAGTTGAAGCACCCAAGTTTAGCAACGGGGGCAAGGAAGCCAGGGCAGTAACCACACCACCTCTTACAAACCCCAGCTTTCCAACAGGAACAAGCTCAGCAACATAAATTAAAACCAAAAGCAAATTGTGACCAAAATGATTGGGGAAGTTGACGCAACCAAGGAAAATTAAAATGTTTGGGGGCTTTTTTGCTGAGAGAAAAAAAAAGGATGAGTAAGGAAAGGCATAATGGATTTATTTATAACATTATGCATGTTGTGAAGAAAGCTGATAAAAAATACCATTCGATGTAACTGAATGGTAGGATATTCAAGACAGATTAAAAAGAAGCGCTTTCTTTACACACAGCACGTAGTTAAAGTGTAGAATTTGCTTCGAATAAGATGAAGCGACGGCCGCAAGTTTAGATGCCTTTAAAAGGGAATCAATATAAATTCATGGAGAATAAGGCTACTGAAGTGCTACATTCAGGATCAGAGGTAATATTTCACTGAACACAAGTTGCTGGGAGACCACAAAGGGACAGGGCCATTGCCCTAATGTGCTGCTTGAGGACTTTCCATAGCTAATTGATTGTGAACTCTGAGAGCAGGATGAAGAACTAGTCTATGGGTAGGCAAACTAAGGCCCGGGGGCCGGATGCGGCCCAATCGCCTTCTAAATCCGGCCCGTGGACGGTCTGGGAATCAGCATATTTTTATATGAGTAGAATGTGCCCTTTTATTTAAAATGCATCTCTTTGTTATTTGTGGGGCATAGGAATACGTTCATCCCCCCCCCCATATAGTCCGGCCCCCCACAAGGTCTGAGGGCCACTGGACCGGCCCCCCTGCTGAAAAAGTTTGCTGACCCCTGATAGTCCAATCCAGCAGAGCTTTTCTTACATCCTCTTTTTTTAAAAAAAGAACCCTATCTGCACTTTTATTCCGAACATCAAAGTAGCTGACAGCAGCATTTCTTAATTAGAACTGCATCACTGAGGATGAAGCCCCGTTAAGCAAAGAAAAGTAAATAACAACTGAAAGAAAAGTAAATGACAATCTGTACTGTATGATGTAACATTCTTTTCAGCTACTGTCATACTACTCAGAAGCAAAGTTCAGTACTTTATACAGCCTTGTATGATCACCTTGCATTGTTTTCATAACACTGGTTGTTATGAAAAAGGCTTTGTATGCTTTGTATGCATCTAAAGACATTCCCAGATAGGGCAGTCAAGCAAGCGTATTGATTTACTAACTTTTTAACAGCAAGGACAGTCTGTTGTAGAAATCAGAACAATGTGTTAAGCATATTTAGTAGACAATGAAAAGACTAACCCACGTTGGCAGCTGTCAAATTCTGAATTGTTTGTTGAACAAGATTTTCCAGGGTTTAGCTGAAACTGAAATAAATTACTAAAGCTAGTCATCTATTTGTCAGCTATATTTCATATAGCTTCCGTTCATGAAACTATCCATTGGTAGGTGTCACAGAGCACAGAATTATACAAGACAGTCTGGAAGATGTGTCCAAAACTTTACCAGCCTACTGGTCTATTATATATCTGGACAGAAAAGGGATTTTTGAGGGGTGGATATTAGCAAGTGGCTCACTTGAAGGAACTGTTATTTGGTCCATCTGGGTTCCATTCCATTCAGATTACAGTGGTACCTCAGGTTAAGTACTTAATTCGTTCTAGAGGTGTGTTCTTAACCTGAGACTGTTCTTAACCTGAGGTACCACTTTAGCTAATGGGGCCTCCTGCTGCCGCTGTGCGATTTCTGTCCTCATCCTGAAGCAAAGTTCTTAACCCGAGGTACTATTTCTGGATTAGCAGAGTCTGTAACCTGAAGCATCTGTAACCCGAGGTACTACTGTATATACAATCCTAGTTTGGAGCAAACATACCTGAAAAATTTAGCGTCACTCACTATTCCATGACACTTTCCAAGAGAGATAAACTCATAGCACCATCTTAGGTATGTCTACTCAGAACTCAGTTCCACTGAGTTAAGCAGGACTCACAGTGTAAGCCAAACCATGTGTACTCAAAAGTAAGACCTACAAAATTCAATGGAGCCTACTCGTGGGTAAATGGATTAGTATTGCAGCCTTAGTAAAGGTACCCCTTGACCATTAGGTCCAGTCGCGGACAACTCTGGGGTTGCAGCGCTCATCTCGCTCTATAGGCTGAGGGAGCCGGCATTTGTCCACAGACAGCTTCCTGGTCATGTGACCAGCATGACTAAGCCGCTTCTGGTGAACTAGAGCAGTGCACAGAAACGCCGTTTACCTTCCTGCCGGAGCAGTACCTATTTATCTACTTGCACTTTGACATTCTTTCGAACTGCTAGGTGGGCAGGAGCTGGGACCAAGCAATGGGAGCTCACCCCATCACGGGGATTCAAACCGCCGACCTTCTGATCAATTTGACATCATGACTGCAAGTGCCTACATAAATATTAGAGGCATCCCCACGTTATTGTGAAATAATGACCCCCCTCAAAAAAAGACTTACAAAGCAATCCAGAAGTGTTAAACTCATTTTTATCCCAGCAGTTAGGGACAGGGTGGGTCACTTTAACAGCTGCAATGGTATTAGTCATGTTAATGGTGTTCTATCCTCCCTGGGCCACAAAGTTAAGTAAGTGCCTTATATTTCTTAGTCTCTGGGACTAAATACAGCAATACATCTTCCACATTCCTTAGTCTGCTGATTTTAACGCATTTAGTAAGCCTTAAGAAAAGAAAAAGTCAGTAAGTTTGCTCTCCCAACTCCACTTGAGCATGGTCTCTTAATTTAAAAAAAATAAAGCTCTTTAGAATGGATGCGGGTGGGAACCTCATTTTTCCATCCTAAAAAAGCAATGGCTTTCTATGCAATGCATATAACAGCGTGGTGTGTTGTAGACTTGAATGTGTGAGAGTTTGAATCCACTTAGTTTCACATCCCACTGGGTGGCCTTATCTGAGCCTTACCCAGATAGATGTTGCAAACCATTTCATGCCTGAAGTTCTAGGCACACAAGCAGAATATTACTACATTATACTGGCCTGCCTGGCAATACTCCCATCATAATCTATACGTGGAGTGAGGAGTACAATAAGCAGGACTTGTGTGTGTGTGTACACACTAACCAAGCTACCATGTGGTGCAACCAGGCAATACCATTTCTCCATATTGGCCTAAATGACTCCAGCTGTTGCTGTTTTCACCCCAGTGCTGTTGAAGTTGCTTAATATATCAGGAGTAGAACAGAGCAGACATGTAGCCCAACTCCTCCTGTGTCTTACATCAGGCTTTGAAACTTGTAACCCACCAAGCTAGTGAATCACTGCAGTCAACGTATGCCAGCCTCCTAAGGTCACAAAAGCATTATTATTATTATTATGGCTACTCATGTAATATTGCAAAAGGTTGGAGTAACTTATACCAATCAAGCATGTATTTTATAGCCAGATGTCTTAGCTGGCTTCTTTAATTGTAGTCCTACCCATCTCTTTCCCAACCAGTCTCACACACAAGCACATGGTAGGCTAGCAGGCTTCTGACCCACTGGCCCAAATGATTACTCATCTTAGATCCCCCACTCCACCCCCATTTGGACATCAATAGCTATGTCAAACACGGGTGACATGTGGTGTCGTTAGTAGTCCCAAGGATCTCTTTCTTTCTTCATTCTTCAAAAAAGCAAAGTGGGAAAATACTGCTACCAAAATCAACATCTGCCCAGAGACTATAAACAGCTCCTTAAAATATAAGTTAAGATTATGCTTTGGACTAGAAACAGAAACATGATATTATCTTCCTTACCTGTCCCATATCCAACTGGAGTGCTAAGGTGCAATCATTCACTCCTATCCATAATTTAAGGAGATTCAAAAACCTTTCCTTAAACTACAACAAATTAATAATAATCACATTAATATATAAAACAATATAATTAAAACAGATACCAGGTACAGAACTAAAAACAGGCCAACTGTTGAACAGGGTACCTGACCAGGAGTACGTAGTGACCAGGGCTATGCTTCCTCAAATTTGAATTGGTGCTATATCTTGAAACCTGGTGGACACAAATGATACTGGGTTAATTTCCTATCCAACAGATTTCAGTAATATGTGGGAGAGCACAGACTTCTAATGCTCACGGTTAACTATCAGTTTTTCCATTTTATCTAAATGTGTTAAGACTTTCCTGGTTCACAGTGGGAGTTCTCATCTGCCTCTCTTTGGCAGCCCATCTTAACATTGTTTTGGAAGATGTCTACAGGTTTGACAGAAAAGGAAGTGGTACATTAATCCACGCTGAGCAAATTTGTATCGATCATGTATTTTGAACAGTAGATCCATTTCTTAATGTGGAGCTAAGTCAGCATACATAACGCTTGAACCAGAAGTTCCGTTTAATATTTAATCAACTGCTGTGATATTAACTATGCTGCCACCAATTAAACCCAACAACAACAACTGTAGGATGAGTTGCTTACATTTAACTTATTTGTACAATTGATTAAAACAGGCTTAAGCTTGTCGAACACAGACGGTGTTCTAGTCAAAGATTTATTAATAGCACAACGTAAAACTCTGTAGACTCAAACAGAGCTACATACACACACACAAATACACGTGTGCTTCCCATTTTCATACATTTGTCCCCAAGGCACAGAGAGGATTTCCCTGGCTCATAGAACAGACTAAAGGAGCCTACAAGCACAGAGGCAGTGTGTGCTCATTGCAGCCAATGTGTCCATTTTTTAATATGGTCTTTAAATGCACAACGACAAATAAACCCAAACCCATGAAATGCATGCCGTAAAATTACCGGTGCCAGCAGGACCATCTCAGGATAGGCTTGGCTTTGCCGGGGACACATTTACACCTCCATTGAAAGGACTCCCAAGACCAATACTCTCTTCCTCTTACGTTGCCCTTTCCCACTGAGCAGCAGACAGCTGTATATTGTAGTTGTAGCTGCTGATCTCCTTGCTTTTTCTGCTCATTAATGTGGGCGCAATCAGCATGCAACACTGTGCTCAACTACTAGTGATAGAACTTCCCAGGATTGTGGAACTAGCTGTCAGTGTAAATTGCGGTTTCTGCAGCTATTGCAATGATGTAGATTCCGCTGCTGGCTGAACAGCCCTGTTACTACATTATGCCAGCATCAGAACAGGGTAGCAGCTGCCAAGAGTACAAAGACCGTAGAGTTAGTCTTATTACTTATGTAATAGTTAATGCTATAAATATGTTCGAGAGTGCTTTATATATCCATAATTTAGTTATCAATGGCCTCCTCTATTAGCAGTTGGCAATTTGCCTCACAATGGTGGAAACATGCAAATCCATTAGAGTTTGAATGGAACATTCATGAAGCATTATTTGTGGCGCCCAAACCTCTGTCACATTCCCTCTCTCTTCAGCAAATACCAGATAAGCGCAAGTGTTAAAGAGCAAATACTATGTACCAGAAAATAAACCAGTTTATTGAAACAGACGATATTTTCAATGGCTGATGTTTTACAATGTGTCTTTTACGAGAGTATCATACAAAGGAAGTGTTTGATTCGTAGAACAATAATACCCAGTGTGGTTTCACAGCACACAAAACAAGAGCAAGTAAGCAGTGTTTTGAGAACAGAGATCCAGGGGTCTGAAGTCTTTCATATGTTGGACTCGAACTCCCATCAGTCTCAATCAGCATAGCCAACAGTCAGAGAGATGGATTTGCAATCCAATAACATCTGGAGGACTGCAGATTCCACACCCGTTTCAAAGTTATGGAAAATCTATGTATTTGAGAAAACGTCTTTCATTTACCAAACTTGTGTTTGTTTTTTTAATGAGGTACCATTTTGGTGATTGGAAATGTGAGGAGCCCTGCGCCTAATACTGCTGTTTGACAGCTTTCATTTCATCAAGGATCACCCTGCTGCTGAGCAACACTTATTATAGACGGAACTACCGCTACAAAGATCAGCCAAGATTCTGTACTTTGGGGGACCAATTGCACTGGGCAATAAAAGTCAGTACAGAGTGCGTGCATTTAATTATATCCTTCTGTCCCCCCCCCCCCCTTTTGAAGATTTTATAGAGCTGGAAAAAATGACAATTGCCTGAAAGGATGAGTACACAAACTTTCTGCCAAGGCACCAAACAGAGCTCACTAATAAACAGCATGTGACGCTGCAAAAATCTGGTGCCATTCAAATGTTTTGGACTATAATTCCCATTAGCTCCAGCCAGTGTGAACAGCATGGGCTATATATGTCTGCAGCTTAAACTTATGCATACTGCAGAGCTCAGAAGGGGGAAACTTTGGTGACTGAAACTGGATAAAGGGTACTATGCACTAAAAGACAGCATTCCGTACAAACGTTAAGAGAACACTGCAAACTCCAAACCACTTCAAGTGTACTGTCAGACACGAGTCCCCAACAGCATCTGCCTATGTCTGTGGACAGAAGGACAAAGCGCAAGTAACCAGGGTATCTCCCATGTCTCCCTCTCTCTGAAGTGTATGCTGTCTTCACTAAACTGCAGTGGTGGAACAATGCTTTCTCACTGGGATGGATAGCTCTGCTGAGATTAATCTCAGAGTCATGGGTTCTTGAGCCTTGTGGTCCCTTCCAACTCTACAATTCTATGATTTTAACAGCTAGTACCAATGTCTCCCACAGAGATGGTGCAAAGGTAAACATGCATGGTGCAGAAGAAGGGGAGGGGAGGGGAAGCTGATGGATACGAAACCTCACAAGCAGGTAATGTGCACGCACTCTATTCCAACCACTGCTACCGCTGGCCACATACTCACAACTGCAGAATCAAAGCCTGGAAACATGGAACTGAACGGACACAGTGTTTCATTGAAACTAAAGCAGGAGGGATAAAGTCTCTCCACAGCCACCAATGGCCCCATTCTCCCAGGGGAAAGAGGTTGGAGGCTGCTTACCTCAAAGTGGGTGAAGTTGAAGCTCACATCCCATTCTCACACACAGAAACTTGGTTCCCCTTTAGTTGACACACAGCTCAGAAATACCAAGCAGACCGTGGAGGAAGAGAACCGTGTCCTTGTTGCCGGTCAACTTCTTTGCTGTGCAATGCTGAAAGGGCTAGCGCTGCGCAGCATGGAAATGCAACAAGGTCCCTCTGTCTAACCCACTGTTTTTATCTCCAGTTAGCTGATCCATGCCAGGACAAAATTCTAAAAGGGACCTGCATAGCCTGGATAGCTCAGCTGGCTAGAGCATGGTGCTGATGACACCAAGGTTGCAGATTCAATCCCAGTATGGGACAACTGCATATTCCCGCATTGCAGGGGACAGAGGCGGGTGGGACTAGATGATCCTCAGGGTCTCTTTCCAACATTACAATTCTATGATCCCATGGACCAGGACAGCCACCTGGGTGCTCAACCTCCATCAAGCTGCTTTGTGCCTACAGGAAATACTCTTTTGCTGTTGCCAGTTTAATCATTTATTATTTTACTTGATGAACTGGCTTTATTCCAGTAAACCATTCTGTGATTTTAATGGTGCATAAATAAATTGAGTAGTAGCCATTACAACCACCACCTAGGCCCCTCCTTAGACATGAAGGGATTGCTAATTTCCCCCTCTTCCGGATGCAACTTTTCGCAATGCAATGAAAACCGCTCAGGTGGCTTGCCTGGCATTCAGAACTGGCTTTTCAGAGCATACAAAGGGCTTGGGTGATCATGGTGGAGGGAGAGTTTGAAAAGCTTCAGTGCACATCCAGAACACTTTGTGTGGCCCTTTGGATCCCAGCCAACACTCACAAATCCTGCTGTCAGAATGTATTATTTGTGTTTCCGCTATGCCATGGTTTCAAGCTTAATTTGATATTAGCCTCCCTCATTCTTTCACCCCCAGCTGTGATGGAATAATTGCACTTCAGTGGTCTCAAATATGCCAGATATTTTGACAGGTAGCTTCTTATCAGAAATCTTTTAATTCTTAAGAAGCAGGGGGTTGTTAAGTGTAGACAATCTAACTTTAAAAAAAGAAGCAAAAAATGAAGCTACGTGGTTTTAGTAAAGTAAAAAAATGGGGACAGATGGTATTATTTTGAAAAATAATACCATGTCCACTTTGCAAATAGTTCTGGGAACTACTGAGCTAGATAAACTATAATTGAAGAGAAGAGTTTTTACTTCAGCTGATAAGTTAGAACAATTTGGTTGAAAACCACTGGAATATCCCTGTCAATCTGGAAGATTTAACTAACGGAGAAAAACAAAAACCCTCAGGATCAGTGATTCACGTTCCCTGGAAACACATGTCCATGGACTCAAACAACTGCTGGAAAAATATTGACTAACAGGGTGAAGTAAAACAAAATTCAGTTGGAACAGCAATTGGCCTAGTAAGTTGCTCCCCCCCCCCCCATTACATTTTCATGCCTCAACAAACTTTGCCATTCTAGAGTAAGGTAGCATTACAGTTAGCCAACTCACCTGTGGGCAATAACAATTCCTTCCAGGCAAGTAACTCACCTAACCTGTCACTCAAGCTGCCTCTACGGTATGAGCAGGAAAACTGGTAACATTTCTGTGGGCTTTCTGTTATCTATCCACAGCACTGAATCTAAGGGAGTCGGTTCCATTACGGAACTTGCAGAGAAAAAGCCCTTATCTAAGAATCAGCTCAAGTCTGAAAGCATCCACATGAAATAAATAAATAAGAAACACAGTTGAAAAGGTAAGGCACTCACTCAAGAGCACACACACACACACACACAAAAACTTGCATCATAGTCCAGAGTCATAACGTTTTGCAATACGTGGCCGAGAAATCTATCTGCCACAACCACATTCCATTATAGCTTCCTACTCTTAAGCACAAGAGAGCATTCCAAAAGAAATTAATAGATAGAGTTACAGTTGCTGCATTTTTCTTTTCCAAATACACTGTCGCCGTGGGGGGGGGGACGACGACGACTAGTAAAATGTAAGTTAAGCTACAAGTCAAAGATGGATTCCTTAGGGGTCTCGTCAGGACCCTTTCAGATGCCCCAACATGGAGGCAATTTACAAAGGATTTACAAAGGATGCTGTGTCACCTTAAGCCTAGGTTAAGGTCCCTGCCATAGAATGTCTAGGTGCCGCAATGGCATTAATTATTGTTTTTCATTTCATTTCTACACCGCTTTATATTTTAAAGGAAAAAAATCTCAAAGCGGTTTGCAACACATTGGAACATCAAATAGAACAATACAGAATGAAGCCAATTCAGGCTTCAAGGAAAATATTTCAGATCCTTCTTTAAGTGGCATTTTGCTTTCACCCTATTTATTTACCTGCTTAATTTATACAGTGGTACCTCGGGTTAAGTACTTAATTCGTTCTGGAGGTCCGTTCTTAACCTGAAACTGTTCTTAACCTGAAGCACCACTTTGGCTAATCCCGCTGCCGCCACAGCACGATTTCTGTTCTCATCTTGAAACAAAGTTCTTAACCTGAGGTACTATTTCTGGGTTAGCAGAGTCTGTAACCTGAAGCGTATGTAACCTGAGGTACCACTGTATAGCTGCCTCATAGCAGAATAACTCTAGGAAGCCAGTGAGGTGCAATGGTTAGAGTGTCGGACAAGGTCAGGGTTCAAATCCCCACTCAGTCGTGAAGCTTACAGGGTGACCCTGGTCCACTCACAGCCTCTGAACCTACTTCACAGGGGTGGTATAGGGATTAACTGGGGGGTGGGGTGGGATTGAAACATGTACGCCTTGGAGAAAAAGGTGGGAATCTACATGCAGTAAATAAGCTGTTCGGCAGATCTGCTTAAGAAAGATGGAGGAACCAGCCAGATGAAGATGTCAGTTCCCAACCTCGCATCCGGAGATTTCCATCTCTGGTCACAATTGGACCCATGCCAGTTGCAAAAAGCACCTGGCGCCTGGCTAATTTCTAACACTGCTTGGGAAATCAGTGGGGTTTACTTTTGAGCAGGCGTGCATTTTAATATACTGTAAATGTGTTAAGCCCCTGAGCTAATTCTCAATCATTTGTTTAATTACAAAGCGCAGGATTCATGTAACAAGTCCGGTTACCAGGAGCCCTGTGCAAGAACTTTTGCCCCCACTCCTCCACACACTTGCCTCCCCTCATTGGTTGGGGGAGCCAGGAGAGGAGGTAGAAGGAGAGGTGGGATCATTGTGTCTAGCAAGCTGAAATGCTTGCACTGGTGGAAAGTTCACCTTGGCAAATGTTGAATTCCTCCCAAAATAAGGTAGTGAAATCGAGGTAATGAATATACATCATTTGTTGGTACATAAAAAGCAAAAATAAAAACATGGTCATGGGGGGAGGGGAAGCAAGTGTGTACAACACACCAGAGATTAAGCCATTTCAGGGAGTGCCTATAATCTGTGGGGACACACATCTCAAAAGAAGCCTTGAAGCCATTTTCCTGCACTATAAAGAAACAGATTTATAGCTTTCCAAAGGTCAGCTGTGAAGTGTGTCATTATCATTTTTGGAACTTGCCAGACTCCAATTCTGTATCAAAAGATACAAAAATATCTAAGTATTATGAGCACACAGTGCAAATCCTTACACATAAAGCACTTGTTTTATAAGTAATGTTATGAGGCACAAAGTATAGCCAGAAGAACAAATTCATAAAGTGCTTTTAAAACAAAAAACCCCAGTAATCTACAACAGATATACAATAGCATATGCTATTAGAAATACAGATACAAATTGAAATTTATCAACTCTCATTGCAAACACATCCTAGACAGTTATTTAAAGACAAGCCAGGTTGAAAGCTTGTCTGCCACCACAATTCATGACATGTCTTCCTTTGCCATCAATGTTATCAAAATCTGCAATCCTTCAAATGTCTAATTCATCATTATTTGTGCAAACGGGAGCTAATCCTAATTCTCAGGTGCACAGCGGATTTTTTCTTGTTCATCTCCCATAAAAGTGTTGGAGCAGCGGAAGAGCCCCACGTTGGGCAAAAAAGAGCCCCATGTTTCAGGGGGTTGGACTAGATGACCCCCGTGGTCCCTTCCAACTCCACAATTCTATGATTTTCATAGCAGGACTTGAGAAAAGCTATTACTTTTACATACTGGTTCTCTTCTTTACTCTGCTTTAGAGCTCCAATTCTGTCCCAGATACACATGCTGATCCCCATCATAAATTAATGAGACACACCTGCTAATGCAACTGTCTTCAGGGCTAAAGACTAAATGTTACCATGATATAAATTAGACCAAAGATGACATGTTCTGCCAGAAACCTCAATCTTTGGCCAGTACACAAGGGTTCAGGGGTTAATATGGGTGGAAAGCTTTTACTATAACTCCATTGTGCTGGAACATGGAAGAAGCAGGCTAGGAACTCAGGTGGTTCCAAAACTGTCACATAAGGCACAAGTATTTCCAGCTATGGTTGCTTCCAGCTAAGGCCAGTACTCCATATTCTAGTACGCTCGGGTTGCGAACGTGATCCATGCAGGAAGCACATTCGCAACCCGCAGCGTTCGCAACTTCCTGCAGCCAATTGGAAGCCGCGTCTTGGTTTCTGAACGTTTTGGAAGTCGAACAGACTTCCGGAACGGATTCTGTTCGACTTCCAAGGTACCACTGTACACAAAAGCAGAAGTGGCACTGGCAGCAGGAGAACTCTATAGTCGGCAGGGGATATTACAGATGGTAAACTCACCTAGCAGATTCGATACTGCTTTCTATTATAAAGGCTTCATTTACCCTGGCCTCTGGCGCTTGAGGTATATATTTTCAGGACCCACCCTATTTTTTTGTGATTGCTTAAGTTTTAAAACTATTTCTAATGATGCATTTTAAATTGTTGTGACCTACCCTGGGACCATAACAGGTGAAGAGTAGGTGATAAATAAAAATAATACAAGCGTAAATAAACGCCCATTTCTACTGGCTGTGCAGAAGAATGCTTCGTTGCATTTGCATAAATATTTTTTATCTGGTTCCAATTAATACTGCATATGCCAGCATAGTAGTGCTACTTATGATCGTCTTCCAAAGCACCTACTCTATTCCGAACTTAAAAATGGAAAGTGTAATGCTGGTGGTCAGCAAAAGAGGTTTAAAGACTGTCTCAAGGCAAATCTAAAAAAATATGTAGTATAAACACTGACAACTGGGAAACACTGGCCTGCGAGTGATCCAGTTGTAGAACAGCCTTTACCAAAGGTGTCATGGGCTTTGAAGACACTCAAACTCAGGATGCAAGGGAGAAACATGCTAAGAGGAAGGCACGCTTGGCAAATCCACACCGTGATCAACTCCCGCCCGGAAATCAATGTCTCCACTGTGGAAGGACGTGTGGATCCAGAATTGGCCTCCACAGTCACTTACGGACTCATTGTTAAAACCGTGTTTATGGAAGACAATCTTACACGGCTACGAGTGATTGCCAAAGAAGAAGAAGCTGCTGCTACTTGCACTACTGCCCAATAGCAATATATATTGACAGAGAAATGGCACACTTTTCCCTTCAGAAACTGTTACGACTCAGGAGGCATAGAACAAGACAGGACAGGGTTTTAGAAAGGAACATATCAGCAGATCATCTACACAGGTCAAGAGGGTCTGACAACCTGAAACAAATGGCACCAAGTCAACAGGAGGAATGGTAAGCATTGTTTTTTTGGCAATTTAAAAGGCATAGGCTTAGGTTTATTTCATACAGAAAGTCAAGGAATAAACGTAGGCCTAATTTTAAGAATAAACCAAGTGTTTTAGAACGTACTGAAAGTTCAGGTTTTTTATTTGTGTCTTCAAAGGATTTTCCAGGTCAGCTTTAAATCCAGAAAAACAAGAAAACGATAAGAAAACCTGAAAAATCTGGTAAATGACATATTAGAGAACAAAAGCGTACATGTTTTGCACTGTTTCTTCTGAATAAAGCCTGCCACTATGTCTTATACTGCAGTCAGGTACACACAAAGACACACAGTAAAAAAAGGTGAACTTTTACCTAGGGCTACTTCAAGTAGCATATTATGGCAGAATCCAATCAATCAGACTGTAATCAACCAGAAGCAACTCCTATTGAGTTCATTGCAGCTAACTCCCAAACAGGGATAGGGTTGCAGATTTGCTTGCCATATTCTAAATGCTTAAAGGTAAAGGGACCCCTGACCATTAGGTCCAGTCGTGACCAACTCTGGGGTTGCAGCGCTCATCTCGCTTTATTGGCCGAGGGAGCTGGCGTTTGTCTGCAGACAGCTTCCAGGTCATGTGGCCAGCATGACTAAGCCGCTTCTGGCGAACCAGAGCAGCGCACGGAAACGGCGTTTACCTTCCCGCCGGAGCGGTACCTATTTATCTACTTGCACTTTGACGTGTTTTCGAACTGCTAGGTTGGCAGGAGCAGGGACTGAGCAACGGGAGCTCACCCCGTCACTGGGATTCGAACTGCCGACCTTCTGATCGGCAAGTCCTAGGCTCTGTGGTTTAGACCACAGCGCCACCCACGTCCCTCTAAATGCTTAGCCTGATTCCTTTACCTATCCCTCAAAAAGAGGGGTTATGAACAGCCACATTTAAAGCTTTATTGATGCTGCCCGCATACACATAAAATATGTATTTTATTTTCAAACCAACAGGTTCGAAAGCACTATAACCTGACATGACACCAACAGGCTATAAAATGTTAAGAAGCTTACTCTTCGGAAACATGAATTCCTTCTGTAGCTAATGTAGTTTCGTGAACAAATGCATGTACAGTCGTACCTTGGATCCCAAATGCCATGCGACTCGAATGTTTCCACTCCCAAACGCCGCAAACCCAGAAGTGAGTGTTCCGGTTTGTGAACATTATTTGGAACCAAAACATCCGACGCAGCTTCCGATTGGCTGCAGGAGTTTCCTGGAGCCAATCAGAAGCCGTGCCTTGGTTTCTGAACGTTTTGGAAGTCGAATGGACTTCCGGAACGGATTCCGTTCGACTTCCGAGGTATGACTATACAGTATTTCTGTGTCCTTATTTTGCTAACGGTGTGTATAAACACTTGATATAATGCTAAATTTTGTAAAAATGCTTATTGGAATATAATGCAGATGGTGACGGGAAAATCTCTGTAGTCTACTGGAGCCAACATCAAAGTACCCCTTAAGCTAGAGCCAAGCATAAGCACTGAATGACAGGGCTTGCTGATAGCCCATACACACAACAAAAACCCCTTTTTTAATAGCTCTACGTCATTTTTATTCGTCAAAGTCTGTCATGCACCAGCCACTATATGGTTCAGACTTGGGCTTCAAAATTATTTCCCCAACCTCAAAAGTTCACCATGACCCTCTTTCCATTTATTGAACCAACAGAGGGAGTGCTCATCTGTACAACGGACCAGTGGCAGCTGGTGCCTTAGGCACTATGTCATGTTGTTGGCTCCATGGAGCTGTTTTTACCTTGGCTTTCCTACCCTTGTAGCAATCAGCAAGCTCTAAGTAACGAGGTTTTCAAGAAAGGAAACTGCGTGCTCCTGAACAGCAAAACGAACCGCTTGCCTGCTTCTCGACCCACCCAAGGATTTGTCAGAAAGCACCGTAGTACTATGCACAAAATTTTCTGCACCAAGGAGCAGCGTCTTAGAATGTTAATATATGGGTTTTCCCAGTGACTCAGACCTGCCTGCTTGACCTGCATCAACAATAAGACTGCAATTCCTCTGACTTTAGCCCTAGAGTTCGAATGAACGCAAATAAAGGCTGGATCTGCAACTTGTCTTCCAAACGGAGCTTGCAGCGCCCTCAGCAAAAGCCCCTCGCCTCGTCTTTTTTCGACTCCCCCCAGCACATCGCTTTCTCGTCGCAGCCCTTCCCTAGTGGCCCAGTATTGTCTGAAACTCTTCAAGCAGGATCCAAGGCGCAGCTGACTCACACCAAAGGGAAGCAATCAAACCTGAAAGTCATTTTCACCTTTATTTTCTTAAGCGGGGGGAGGGGGGAGGGGGGAGGGGAGGGGTTCGCTACACACACAAACTGCGCGCAGAGCCACCGGCTTATCTCACCAAGCCGTGCATTCAATGTGCCACTGCTGCCTTGTGTCCGAACACCTTTCCTTTGTTTAAGAAAGAAGACAGAGAAAGGGGGGGGGACCCTGCATGGCAAGTAAACCGGAGCAACCCACGCACCGCCCCTAGAGGAGGAGGAGGAGGGGGGTGCCGATGCGGGGGTCTCACCCGCCTTTCACCGCTCCCAGGGTCCTGAAATGAGCGGCACCCCGCTTTACACGCCAGCAGGGGAGATTGGGGTGGGAGAGGAATAAGGGGGTCGCCTCCACCAAGAAAATCACAAATGAGGATTTGTGTGGTGTGTGTCCCCCTTCCCCAGCCCTCTGCTCGCCGATCCAGGGGAAATTCCCCGACCCCCCCCCAAAAAAACCCCACTCGCCTCCCTTCAGACCCATTACCCCCCTCGGGCGCTTCCCCACACCACTTGCTCCAACAAAGACCACCCGCGCATCCCCGGGCACGGCGCCTCCCCAAATGAGCGGTCCCCCCCCCCAAACGAAGCCGTCCTCCCTCTTTTTTCTTCCCTCGGAGCGTGGACCCGACCCCCCCCCCACCAGACACAATGAAAGGGCGGACTACTCACCCACAGCTCCGTGCCCCAGCTCATGGCGACTCCGCAGGCGGCGCAAAGCTCCGCCGCCGCTGGCGCTCCTTTGTGGCGCTTCTCGTCAGGGCGCTGCTGCGGCTTCGGCTGCTGCTGCTGCTGCCGCCGGAAAAGGCGCGACCCCCGCCGCCCCTTGTTTGTTGCCCCCGCGTCGCCCCCTCGAAAGAAGCACCGGGAGGGAAGGGGGTGGCAGTCTCGCTTCGGGCGCCTGGGAGACGGGCGGAGAGGTGGCGGCGGTAGCGGCAGCCGAAGGTTCAATCGCCAGCTCCGCCTTGCTTGGGGATGGGAATTGGGAGAGGAGGAGGAGGAGGAAGGCGGGCAGCCGCGATGGAGGCTGGGAGAGGGGCGGGCTCGGCCACCGCCACCGCCACCGCCGCTCCTCAGGGAGGCCCTGGGACAAGACGCGAGCCGAGGCTGCGGCTCCGTCGGGGGTGGCTTGGGCGGCACGCTTCCTGTTCCCGCCCGAGGGACGCGCCCTCCGCGCGCAAAGCAGCGCCGGGAGGAGGCGCGGCAGTGGGAGGTAAAAGGAGGCGGCAGCTGGGTCGCTTCAGGTGGCAGGTGAGCGCAGGCGAGGCGCGGATTGCGCTCCTCCTGCGAGCAGACCACTCTTTGCGCCTAGGAACTTCGCGCGCCAAGCAGCGCAGGTGGCAGGCTCTTTTGCGGCAAGGCCGACTGCTTGCACCCCTCCAAAATAATAAAAAAGATCAGCTTCGGTTTTCAAAAGGAACGTCTTTGTATGAATTCCTTTAAAAGTGATAAAAGTATTCGAAATATAAAATGGACTATTGTCAGAAATTTATAAGAGGCAACAAAAAATAATCCGTATAATGCACACTCTCCAACATTGCTCCGTTGAAAATAGGGAGGTTCTATCCCGTAATAATAATAATAATAATAATATTTATACCCCGCCCATCCGACTGGCTTGCCCCAACCACTCTGGGCGGCTTCCAACATACTAATAAAACATTAAACATTAAGAAAATTTCATTATAAAGGGCTGCCTCCAGATGTCTTCTAAAGGTTGTATAGTTACTTATCTCCTTGGCTCTGGAGTCGCATAACACTATACCGGCCAACATTTCTCCAATGAAAATAGGGATGTCCTACCATACCCTCCAACATTTCTCCAATACAAATAGGGACGTCCTAAGGAAAAGCAGGACATTCCAGGATCAAATTAGAAACTAGGACGGCTTCTGTAAATCCAGGACTGTCCCTGGAAAATAGGGCCACTTGGAGGGTCTGCATAACTGTGCCCCTCAAAAGTTAGTACTGAGCCCTTCTGAGGTCTGTGCCCAAGGCTGATGCCTAGTTAGCCTAATGATGGTACTGGCTGTGACATCCAGGTTCTAGCACACAGACCGTTCTCTGCCCTGCTGCTTCCCTAGTTAGGTGCTTTGGGGTTCTTGTTTTTAATTAGAGGGGGCATTCCAAACGTTGAGTGGTAAAATCCACGCTACGACCACCTTAAACTCGGCCACCTCGTTTTATCTGAGCACAGTCAGGGACTGCGATAATGCCTCAAGGTGAAGGCAGGCAGCCTTTTTCAACCAAGCCCTTGGCCAAATTTCAGAACAGGAAGTACAGGTTCTAGCCATTTTTGAAGGGTAATGTATCCGTTGGACTTTTTTTAAAGACAGAAGCTAGTAATCTTCCATTTCAGAAAGAAAGGTCACTCTGCACATGCTTAGAAACACTCGGTCTGGAATAGGTTCCAGTAAAAGTTGCCACGCTCAAGGAGGAAGGAGATGGCCAGGAATTTTTTGTAGCTGCTGGAGCAAAGTGAAGAAACAAAAATGTTGGCTGCTAATTGTTGTTTTGAGTGTGGAAGTCACACTACCTTCAGTGAAATCTAAAATTCAGTGCACTCAGTGCATTGCTTAAGATAAGCAGGGTCCCTGTTCAAAGTGGCTTCTCATCTAATAGCCGTAATACCAGGGATGAAGTCCCACTTTGAAAAAAGCTCCATCATTGTATACCTTATAAAAGTAAAGGTAAAGGGACCCCTGACTTTTAGGTCCAGCCGTGGACGACTCTGGGGTTGCAGCGCTCATCTCGCTTTACTGGCCGAGGGAGCCGGCGTACAGCTTCTGGGTCATGTGGCCAGCATGACTAAGCTGCATCTGGCAAACCAGAGCAGCGCACAGAGCAACGCCGTTTACCTTCCTATCAGAGCGGTACCTGTTTATCTACTTGCACTTTGACGTGCTTTCGAACTGCTAGGTTGGCAGGAGCAGGGACTGAGCAACAGGAGCTCACCCCGTTGCTGGGATTCAAACCGCCGACCTTCTGATCAGCAAGCCCTAGGCTCTGTGGTTTAGACCACAGCGCCACCCACGTCCCACCCATACCTTATAAACCACCACACAAATTACCATAGTTTGCTTTTGATTGCAGTGAAACATTGTTATTCCAGGAATAACTGTTTGAGAGAAAGTAGACCCTCCTGCCTTCCCCTGTTCAACATTTGTACTTGTGAATGAGGATTGTAGGAGTGCACACTTTTTGGTTTGCACTCATTATACTTCCAGGTCTGGCCTGTTCTTCTGTTCAAGGAATGAACAGAAAAGGAAGTGGTTTCTTTATGCTACTCCCTACACATCTGCACCATTTTAGCAATGTCAAATGCAGCCCATCTTCCTTTTGTCCAGTGGGGGGAACATGAGTAGGACCACTGATTGAATGCATGGAATGACTTGGTGGCTCATGAGAATTAGAGTACTAAACAGCATAACTGTTTGTGTGAATGTAACCTCATTCTGTAAACCTCAAAACATTCAGTTCCACAGAAGTCAGATTCAAGGTGCTCCAGGGCTAGATACTGTATAGTAATGAGTGAATAAAAGGCCTCTCCAGATGTGATGCGTTCTTGATACAATAATAGCACATTAGTGGTGGGTTTATTCTGCTTTATTAGTTGTTCTGTGATGCTTCCCCAATTTTATGTTTTCACTGTCTGAAAAGACTGTTGTGCAATGAAAGCAGGACAACACACCCACAGCACATTTGTAGTATGAAAAATTACAGGATTTCAGCATTAAAAGTTACAGGATATCCACTGATTGGAAGTGAAGCAGTTTGATAACTTGAAAACTTTGCATTTGCACAACCATCCTGTGCAATGGTTAGTCTAAGAAATAGCAACTGATGCTAGGTCTCTAATGAACTTCATGGTTGCATGGGGATTTGAATCTTTTGTCTGCACACGCCCAGTTTTAAAGATTGGTCTTGGGGGTGGTATTGGTCATTCATTTTTATGGCCTGTGTTCTCAGTTTTATTTCTGGTTTAGGCAACTTATCTGAAATAATTTATTGTGGATTTATAAGGATTTTTATACCCTTCATGGACACTCTTAAATCTTGTCACAAACCCTTATCCCCAAATGCTCAGTTTATCTAAATGTGGTACACGCTAGGGGAACTGTAACATCTAATACAAAAGTAAGTAAAAACAAATCAAAACTGGCATTGTATGAGCTACACAGGCACAGTTAGCACCCCTATAATTTTTTTGCTTTTAACCACAGGAAACACAAAGCGTGAAGATCAGAAATAATGGTTTTAACTGTTAGTGGAAATTCTTTGCATTACACTTCTTCGGGGGGGGGTTATCAAAATACTAAGTAGTATGGATTGTCTCATACAGGTGAGTTAATGGGCACTTCCATTTTCTTAAAACAAAAAAGGAACAGTGTAGTAGTGAGATTCTTTAATGAGCAAATTAGAAAATACCGTAATTAGGAGCCATGTGAACAGACTGGTAATTAAGTAGAACGTGTTTGGTGCTGTATCTTAAAACAGCCATATTAAAACAGCCCATTAGCAATGACCATGCCTTGAATTAACCTCGTTTGTTACGATACTGCCCTGGCATTGACTTAAATGTAGAGGAATGTATCCTGGGCCTCTTGTGACCTTCTGAAGAGAAGTGGGACACTTGTAGCTCCAGAAATTTGAGATACCAGAGGGCAATATGAACACTGGAAAGGGTTGGCAAACCATAGGACAAATCTTTTTATATGTATATATAACGAAACTCTTTGGGTTGTGCCCAATGTTGGTCCTACTTAGAGTAGACCCATTGAAAATAGCAGACATGACTACCTTAGGTCCATTAAATTCTAAACTGCAGAGGTAGCACCAGAAATATATATTGGAGGGGGTGGGGCTGCGGAAAAGGTAAAGCGCATTTATGGGGAAGCAAGTTTTGTTTCCCATGTTGGATTTCTGAAAGAAAAATAGCGAGATTTGTCTGAAGAAAGTTCTGTTGGCTTTTGTGCAGTTGACTTTCAAGCAGCAGCGTAGAGGTAAATCCTGGAACACCGACTCTTCTTGAGAACCCCTGTAGCTATTCAAAAGGGAAGGGAAGGGAAGGGAAGGGAAGGGAAGGGAAGGGAAGGGAAGGGAAGGGAAGGTGTAGCCAATGCAGACTGCAGTTGGCAAGGGGAAAGCAAAAGCAACTTGTCTGCCCAGCACCACCTCTGGCAAACAGGTAGAAAATACATTGAAAGGGAAATCCTCTCAAACGACATTTTTACAAGAAAAACATCTTCAGCCTTATCAGTGACATCTTTTCATTGCTAGACGTCCATAAGTGAAAACATAGTTCTCAGATAATTTTCTCCAAACTGTTGCTAGTCTGAGGAAAGATGCCACCTCGCTTACTTTGTGCATTTAAACGAGGGGTAGATTGCAAAATAGGAAAACAAACGACAGGTAGGTTGAGTCATAACAGAAACTTATGAACTACTCAAGCATGAGCAGATAATTAGATGATGATGAGTCAATAGCTAAAATTAAGTTGTGTGATTTGCTCCAGTGGGGCATATCTGGGTCATATAGCTTAATGGTTTAAGTAAAATATGCCCATCCCCCATCCTGAACTCTTATGACTGGCTGTCCTCTTTTCAAGACAAGTCACATATTTCCAACAAGCCCAATGTGTGCCACAATTTGGCCTACTTGTAGCTGTGCCGCAAACTTCAAACCTATCCATCACCCAACCACTTTCCAAGTCCCTTGTTTTGCCTTGCTGGATATCTTAGGACAGGGGTCAGCAAACTTTTTCAGCAGGGGGCCGGTCCACTGTCCCTCAGACCTTGTGGGGGGCCGGACTATATTTCAGGGGGGGGGGGAATGAACAAATTCCTATGCCCTACAAATAACCCAGAGATGCATTTTAAAAAAAAGGACACATTCTACTCAGAATTCATTCTAAACAGATTCCCGGACCGTCCGTGGGCCAGATTTAGAAGGCGATTGGGCCGGATCTGGCCCCCGGGCCTTAGTTTGCCTACCCATGTCTTAGGAGAAGAAAAGGCTAAGAAGTAAACCCTACACAAATCCAGAGTGGAGGCCCCAAGACAGCTGGATGGCGCCTTGTTCACCTCCTTCTGGCAACTGCTGCAGCCCAGGACCTCTGATTTCCTTTGAACCACATCAGTGAGGCCAAGATGTGGGTCTTGTTGTCTGGGCAGCCCAGGACCTTCATACACACTGCCCAGGCTTGTGCCTAGGAGAATTCACACCAGTGGTGCTAACGCAGCAGTTTGACTTCACTGCCGGAAGAGCACTCTATTGTGTCTTGAGGCAAACAGATGCCAACAAATGTTCTTATAGGTTTTCTTCTTGAAACCCACTTCTTCTGTGGTCATTGGTTTATTCCCTTAATCCACATTCTGAATAGCAACTAAACATCAGCTACTATATTTGCTCATTTTCATTCATCCTTACCAGTGTCACTACTTTTCTTCCTTTTTTTCCTTCCCATCATCTATTAGATTTTAAGCTCCTTGGGGGACAGGAACCAGGGGCATTGTTGGGGGTTGCCCAATGGGGCCCAAGCCCAAAGTCTTTTGTTCTGGACCCCAGATCTTAAGTCTCTTCCTCCCCCTTTTCAGCCACTGCTTACAAGGTGGCTGGGCACACTACAAAGCACCATGCCAATGAGATCCCAGCCACCTGAATCTTCCCAGAGACAAAACTTTGTCCTGTGCCATCCCAGATCTTTTAAATACCTAGCAGCACCCCGGTAGAAACCCATGTAACTCTGTACGGTGCCACTATATAGGCTTGTACGGATAAACCATAATCATAAAACAAAGCAAGACAAATCATGTTTTTAAAGAGAATAAATAACAGATACAGTGAGAGAGAGAGAGAGAAGGGAATGGTAAAAAAGAATCATGAGTCTTGTGTGTAATTTACCACCCTTTAAAAAAGAAAGTTGCATTTTTGTACAGCATCTCCATGGAGGACTGGATCAAATCTCATAAAGTAAGGAATGTGGAAACAAGGACATTGCTAACTTGGGAGGAAGACCTCTAAGAAAAACAACACATTGTGCAGACTAATTAAAGGAAATATGCATGGGGAAGCTAATCCCTTGGAAGCATGCCAGATTCAAGCACACCTACACTGGAAGAATATTTTGTTAAAATAAGAAAAGATCAGAAAAACCAGTACCACAACAATACTTCTGTAAAATAGGAAAAAAGGAGAATAACTGAAGCCCCTGATGTGACATTGTAGAAGCGCATTGAAAAAAATTGTGTTAGCTGTGTCAATTCTAAAGAGGTGCGGTCTCCCTTTGGTCTTCAAAGCGTTCTTAAACAAGGGGTCTTTGCTCACACCACCTCTCTCTTGCTACTAGACGGGAGGAAGCAGGAGTGTTTTCCTCCTCCCTGCTGCTGAGGCTGGCGGGTTGTGCTCCATCTTCATTTCTTCTGAGTCTTGTCCCTCACCTTTCTGCTTGAACCGTTTTCTTCTGGGACTGAACAAACTGGCTGTTCTAGCCCCTTGCAAACGAAAACTCTGGGAAGTTCTGGCACATCTGAACGTTGGCAGCTTTTCAGGGGCAAGTTATCACCAGGATACATGCTGATTATTCTTTCTGTGAGGCTGCCATTATTTGGCAACCTTTTGTTTACAGTGGAACATTGCTCGGGAGCGCAGGCGATGCGGACAGCTCCTGTTGTTTGCAGAGAAAAGGAAGCAGGCCACCTCGACCCTTCCCCATGCTAGGAGGAAAAATGAGGGGTGTGGGGTACCATGCTTCTTTTCAGTCCTTCTTCACAACCCATATAGCACACCATTAAAACAGATAAAAGTGGCATACAGTAGAAAGGTACCATTTTACGCGGAGGGGGGAGCTGAAAATGCACCTCATCTTCCCATAACAATCTGATGATTCATAACAAGGGAATCTCAAAATCCTAATGATACAATTTAAGTATGCTTCCTGCTGATAAGATATAATTCTCTGAGAATCAAGGAACTGGAAGTACCTTGTTTATGTGCCTGGATATTGCTGTCATTACTGGATTAGAAGCCTGCTCTGATGAAATTATACTGTTTTTGCTGCTTTATTTTTTTGTTTCATGTTGGCGTTTGAAGGATTTAATAGTGTAACCCGCTCTGCAATGCCATTTTGGTCGTGAATAATGGCCTGCAAATATTTTAAATAAATAAAATGTACAGAACCACCGCTGAAAGTGGAAAAAATATATAGCTTCTTCCTCCTTTTCTTAGATCTAGCAGTACTCCCATGTTTCTCAAGCAAAAGCGCACACACAACACTCGCTTTGAAATGCACAATCCCTTTTTAAACTGTTCTTTTAACAGTGGTTCGCATATGGAGCATGACATCAGCTGTCATGCTTTGTAATTGCCATGTTTGATGTAGATGTATGGATGAGGAGTTCAGAGGCCAAAATGTCAATCGCAACATTGGATTAGCATAATCGGCGCACATTTCTTGCTATGATTTGCTTATAGCTTTGTGCCAGAAAGCAGGGATTTGCATGTGGTATGGTTATAAGAAATCTCCCCAGGAGATGATGGAAATCCCCAGTTGCCGAGGCAAAGTTCAGGGAAATGCATTAAAGAGGAGCAGGCAATTATAGATCACAAAGTAAATAGATCACAGTGGTTTGGCTGGCAAACGACGTCCAGTATAAGCCATGCATGTTTCTGCAGTGCTGCCAAAGACACAGAATGTGTCCAGTGCTGTTGACACCCTTAGAATCTGTTCTGGGGGTTTGGTGGACCCTCCAGAAAAGATTTTGGGAGTGCGTGGGGGGGTGCAGGGGAGAGGAGAGGAAGGTGAAGTTCTATTGTGCTAAGCGGAAGCGTACTCTTGCAATACTGTATCCTATCCCATAAGCTATGCTACCCATATATCTGATTCTTCATTATTAGGAAATTTTTATTTGATAATCAAAATGTATTTAAAATACATAGGCTGGGGGCCAAAGATGTCTGTGCATAAGTGCAAAGATATTATGCAAATGTACGGGGAGACAGCTAATCTAACTGACTGTCAGTAACCACTAATCCTTTGTTGAATTTTTGATTTAATTTTTATACCCCGTCCTGTATTGTAGATCTCGGATCAAGAAACCAAATAAAGTGAGTGCCACTCTGGGGTAAGAATAGCCAGATCAGTCAAATTCTAGTCTGTGTCACTTTCATATGGACTCACCCATAAGTCTGTTCCACTGCACTTTCATTTTAATTTGCAAAATAATAATAGAATCATAGAATTGTAGAGTTGGAAGGGGTCCTTCAGGGGTCATCTAGTCCAACCCCCTGCAATGCAGGAAAAGGAGTAGTGTGCCTGAAGATTCATATGTAGATGCATATTTGTAAACATGTTTCCTCTACCAAATATATATATATTTCATTTCTGTTTCCTCTGTGGCTGTTCTTCATTTTTACCCTCTCTGCCTAAACTAAGGGGCACAGGGTTTGGCAAGCCATCCCACCAACATAGCAGTGCTATCTCTCTGAACTGGTGAACGCTAAGTATAAGATTGCTCAACCCACAATCCCCTGGACTTTGTTCAGTGTTTCTGATGCAGATTTCAGCTTTAAAGAAGTATCAAAATGCATTCAGAAAGGTTGGGTGGTAGTGACGTAGCTCCAAACCTCTAATGAACAATAAATATAGAATTGCTTGTTTCATTATTGCATAGAATGTGGACGTGTGTTTCAACCTGGACATCAGCTTATCACTGATCTTAATTATGGTTCAATAGTTGTTTTTAGCTTTTTTATTATTATTACTGCCTTGACATTTTATTACCACCAAGCAGTATATAAATCTCGTGAAATACAGATAAATTTCAATTTCTTACCATTCAATGTGCAAAAAGGCTCATAATGAAGGGGCCAGACTCACTTCTGTGGGGAACAAATTTAATAACTATAGGGCTTCCACCTCCATTCGCAACTAATTTAGTGGTGGAACTACCAACTGGGCCCACTCGGATAGTCTTTTAACACCCAAGAGGGCTTGTAGAAAATGAGTTGATCTTTTGGATATCTTTAACATTGTTAAAATCAATGCTGAGATTAACGCATATAACATTTTAAAATACTCATACTTATTATGAAAAAATATCCCCGTTTTTCTTTAAAGTTAATCATCAAACCTTTGTAATAATTAAAGGAAAGTTTCCTTAAGATAGAAAGTTTCACTATGAAACGTCATTTCTCAGGCAGCCGCAATAAATTACTGTGTTAAGCATGAGCACCACCTAGTGGTACCTAGTGGGGCAACATACTTACAGCTGTCCACCCACCCACCCAAACATAACTAAATTTGAAACACACAAAATAATTTTTCTCGCATGAGTAGATGACAGTAGTTATGAGTTAGTCTCTGGGGAGAGTGGAGGCTCAGTTGTAACGACCAATCACTTTTGCTGTGCAGCAGGTCCTGTAACTTAAACCTTTGCAGCAACAACACTGGCCAGTAGCTTTCGAGTGTTCAGCGGGAACTACCGTATTTCTCGCTCTATAGGACGCACCCGAGCAAAGGACGCACCTAGTTTTTAGAGGAGGAAAACAAGTAAAAAATATTCTGAATCAAATCAGTGTCGGGGCTGAAAGGGGAAGCCCGGGGTTTCCCCATAAAGCCCCGGCATCCCCAAGCTAGAACGGCTTCGGGGACAGCCTTTCAAGCCTCCGCAGGGCAGCGGGGTGCCTTCACCCCGCTGTCCTGCGGAGGCTTTGCGCAGCTAACCCTGAAGCCTTTGGAGCGCAGCACGAGGTCCCGCTGCGCTCCAAAGGCTTCAGGGATAGCCACCGGAAGCCTTTGGAGTGCAGCAGGAACTCGCGCTGCGCTCCAAAGGCTTCGGGTTCCTTTCACTGAAGCCAGGTGCGCACCGACCCTCTCGCTCTCCAGGCTTCAGCGAAAGCAACGCGTGGCCTCCAGAGCGCGGAGGGAGCGCTCCCTCTGCGCTTTGGAGGCTTCGCGTTGCTTTCGCTGAAGCCAAGGAGCCTGCATTCGCTCTATAGGACACACAAACATTTCCCCTTCATTTTTGGAGGGGAAAAAGTGCGTCCTATAGAGCGAAAAATACAGTAATTGCACTCAAGACATCCACAAAATGACCCCAAACAATTTTGTCCTTCAGGAAGCTTGTGCGAGTCAAGATATTTCATGAAAGCATTTGCTCTTTTCAACAGACATACTTGAGCATTTCCCTCCAGAAAACTGCTAATCAAGTACTTGTAGCTCACTGAGTAGCCCAGTGTTATTTGTATATTAATTATAGCAATGAACTTACAGCATGACGTTGTGGAATTAAATTTATGTATAATAGTTGTCGCAGGCAATTGCTCAAAGCAGGAAAGAAACGTACGGCCCTAGTTTCACACTTACTTTCTAGTTCATCGCTTTTGAAAACACAGGCTGATCACTAGGTGGAGCTTCTTCGCTGATTACTTTTAAAAGAAACAAGACGGGGGAGGAGACACAGAAGAAGTCAGTTAATAACATGTACCATATATTGAAGAACTAAATAAATTTAAATTTTATTTATGTTTAAATGCATGGATTTGAGTGTGATTTTCCTTGAGCCACTCTTGAGAAGCTGAAAGCAGGGTAAGGGTAAAGGTAATGGGGCCCCTGACCATTAGGTCCAGTCGTGACCGACTCTGGGGTTGCGGCGCTCATCTCGCTTTATTGGCCGAGGGAGCTGGCGTATAGCTTCCAGGTCATGTGGCCAGCATGACTAAGTCGCTTCTAGCGAACCAGAGCAGCGCACGGAAACACCGTTTACCTTCCCGCCAGAGTGGTACCTATTTATCTACTTGCACTTTGACGTGCTTTCGAACTGCTAGGTTGGCAGGAGCAGGGACCGAGCAACGGGAGCTCACCCCGTCACGGGGATTCAAACCGCCAACCTTCTGATCGGCAAGTCCCAGGCTCTGTGGTTTAACCCACAGCACCACCCGCGTCCCATGAAAGCAGGGATGGGGCTGCTTAACTCTTCCCCACCCCTCTTGCTGTTTCTGTGCTGAAAATTATATACCCACCCTTACGCATAAAACAGCTGCTTTCTGCAAAGGAGATAAAGGAAGTCCACAACATGTCTCGCTTGGTTCTTTGTGGTGGAATTTGCGCTGCAGAACACACAGCATTCATTTGGTACAAATTTCTGCTCTTGCTAAGATTACTACTTTACTTCAGGAGAAATGGGGTCCACCACTGCAGGAGACAGAAAGCTAGATTGACCCAGCAAGGATTTTTTTATATTAAGTAAAAAATTCTGACCCTCGCTTCTGCCTGTCTGTCTCTCTACAAACTACCCCTAGCTCAAGGCTTGGGCAAGGAACAGAAGGAAAACAAATTAAATTAAATTGAGAATTCATCTCATCTGATTTGGGGATAAAGCTTTTTGTTGTTGTTAAAAGGCTGCTTGCTTGGTAATGCACATATTCCTACATTAAGCAGAGAAAATGCCCTCCTGTGTGAAAACAGGACAAGGGCTGGAATCCAAAAAGCGACTTCAGGCACACCCAAGGATTTCGGCACACCCAGCAGGATTGTTACTGAGTTGTTTTTATTGCTTTCTTTGAACAGGAGCCTCCCATTGAAGACAAAAAGGAAACCGCTTCTGAAAGTCCTGAGTTTGCCATGTGGCAGGGAGAGGTTCTGTTTGAGGATAGCGAGTCCAAAGGCCTCTCTGAGCACAGAGGAAGTACTTGCGCAGCATTTTGGATCCCAGCCAAGGTCTTCTCCTATGCAAGGCAGCGTCATGCTTCCACACCTTCCCAGGCCCCAAGTTCTCATTTCAAAGCATGCTTGGGAACGTTTAATTATGCCATCACCACCCTGGGACTGATCTTGCATTAACCTTTGCCTAGTGCACTGCAGCCAGAAAAGCTGTTATACATGCCAAGCAGCAAATATTAAATGCACACCCAACTCAATTTATTAATAAACTGCTTTGGAGATGGATGTGGAAACAGCTACTAACCTGAGCCCAAACCACACAATAGCATTACTGCAATTATCACTAACATTACTTAAGATGAAGGCTGGGAGTAGTGTAGGAAAATAACTTCAGGATATTTTATAATTTCTTACTTTGCGATTTCTTTCTGTGCTCTTAGCATACTTCTAGTTCTTTTTCCAGTCACAAGCGTTGGAATTCCGCAACCAAAAATGCCCGTTTCCATACATTCAACTCCAGAAGCTGAGAAATTTTTTAAAGCAGCGCAAATTAATACCAGAAAGGAAATTTTAAATAGGGGATCCAAGGAGAACATTTGCACACAAAATGTAAGGAGCTGATTACTTTGCCGGAAACTGGAGATTTTCCAACTCTGACATTGTCTTGCTTCTATTGCAATTTTCTTTTAACACAAGACTATACAATAGCTGATATACTTGTTGAATTATTCACAAATCCGGTATTTATTTGACATAATGTTGTATTTAAGAGAAAACCATTAAAACTGACATGAAAAAAGTGATCTATCTTGCATTCTATACACAATGAATTTAATCCTGCTTGAGATGAAAATACAGCACATACATATTTCTGAATACCAGAAATTTATCATGGAGAAGACTGGAAGCTCCCATCCGGGGAAGTCTCCATATATGTACTGGATTTTTGGATCATAGCCAGTAAGTCATATCAATAACACTTTCTCAAAATATCTAAATAGTCATCTCAAAATATAAAAGTAAATTAATGTGGTTCCTTAAACAAATTAAAAAGTACTTACTTGGACAGATTTGTTTTGAAAAAACAGCACACTCCTAACCATGTCTTCTTGGAAGTCCTGTTGCGGCTGACACCCAGGTAAGTGTGATTAGCATGGTAGTCCAAAACGTGCTGAAATGGTACAGGATCTATGAGCAAACTGTACGTGATGCGACTAGACAGAATACGTTCTGTCCCTGGAAGAAAATTATGCAAATTGAAAAGAACCAGCCCTAACACGAAGGACGATTATAGGCATCTCTTTGGTGAGAACATCTTGATCCCGTGAAGTTTGCAAAGTTGGTTCATGGCAGAAGAAAATTAAGTTTCTCTTATTATATGACAAACCGTGAAAGTTGGATATTGAAACATGGAATATAAAAACACATTTGAATTTTATTGCTTGAGGAATACAGCATATGAAAAAGCACAAGAATGTCCGAAGGAAAGGTCACAGGGATTCAAACATATTATGATACATACCAGATGCAGTAAAATATTAACCTGAATTCTGCATCAGAAAAGAAGGGTGAAAATGTATATCTGTCTTTAAAAAAAGAAGACGACTTATTTCAAATAGGAAGGTCAAGGGTGTTACAGTACAAATTAGAAAAGCCAACACTGCACATTAACATGGTTTTACTAGCCTAGTGTTTCTACCTTTGGTACTTCAACCTTAATGAAGACAAACTTTCACCAGATTTTGCCCCAATACTTTTCCTGCTGAACCCACAAATGTGTCTCAGCTTAACATTCAAACTAATTTATCTCTCAGCTACCAGTGTATAAATAAGGGTGCAAGTTATTTCAGGTGAAGCTCCATAAAACTCAACTAACTGCAATTCAAGATCGTAATTTGACTCTCAGTTTGGCTCCCTGCTTCAGAGACAAGACTTTCTCCATTCATTCTCAGCTCTTGCATAATTTTCTATAGCCATCAAGGCTGTGCTAGAAAGTTTTTTAAAAATGCAGTCTTGGTAATGTTGCATGATGCATTAATATGCAATGCATGAGATTCTACCTCCCTGCAAGCAAGGACCAGAAAAATATGCTGATGTATCTTCAAGTATATTTTCAGATTCTAAAAAGGACTCTATTGTTCCTTATTATCAACACAAATAACAATCTAAGCATTGTTATATATATAAAATCCACACCTATAATGCCCCAGAATAATTAGGTCTTGTTGGTCAGTCTTGGGGCTCAGTCACCAAACTGAACTTGGAATTGCAACACTTAGAACTAGTACCCTACTAGTTTCTAATGTAGAAGCAGCCAGTTTCACAGATAAAACGTTTCTATTGGTACACTAGTCTTGAAAACGTCGTGTTAATATTGTGCTGACAAAAAAAAGTAATTTTGAGTTAAATGAAGATTCCTCTCATTGCAAGCATGCTTATTAGTTCCAATATTTGCTTTCATAGACCTGACTATTTCAGCATTCTGAGTCAAAACAGAATTAAAACAACTCTGTTCCACCAAACTCCATTTGAACACTTGGAACATGCACAATGCATGTTAATACCACCTAAAGTTAAAATTAAATGGCTGTGAAACAGGAACAGATTTAATTCTTCAAAGCGGACAATATTTGAAATGAAATATTAATGTTGCTCATGACACTGAATTGATGACATAATAAAGTATTGGGTTTGTTTTCACCTCTATACAAAAGAAATTCAATCTGTACAACTATTAAACATACATTTTCCTAGTTTGGCAAAAACGTATCATTTCTCAAGATTGGTGGTATATGAGCACAGAGTATATATTGCCATATATATATCGTTTTTGAAGATAAAGAATTCAATTATGCTGAACCCTTTGCTTGGCTGCTCCGTTCCAATAAACCAAAACAAAACCCAAATTAAAAATTTCTACATAAGATTCTATGGTTAAAAGGGAAGAGAAATGCAAATGTGAATTTAGAGCCTCTGTATAAATTTTGCTATATTTTATAAACTTTATTGTAACACTGTTTGTTGATCAAATAAGTGACACACTGCTATCTAAAATTTCCATAAACACCATTAAAAATCCAAAGTTGATATGATACTGAACCTTAAGTCTTCAAGAGTTCAAAGAGACAGTTTCGACATGTACAGCACACAACAGCAGACATCCCTAAAATACCAACGGCCGGTCCAAGATGCAGACAAAAGTTACGGGTAAGCATTCATGTCCTGCACAGCAAAACCAGCGAAAACTATTTCCTTGCGGGGACTGAAACTCAGCCCAAAAGATATCAGATGTCGTCCTCATCATCTTCATCTTGAGAAGAGCCTGCCTGGTTGGATGCACTGGCCGAGGCAGCAGCAAGCTGTGCTTGTTGGGCCGCTTGCTGCATTTGTAGCCATTCCTGCTGGGCTAGCTCTGCCTGCTGCTGTCTAGCCTAGGGACACAAAACCGTAAGTTCAGTGTCTATAGCTTGACCTAACACAGTTGCGCACAGACACACACATGCACATGGGGAGATCAGTGCAAGAGGTAAGCCAAGAACATTATGGCATCCTCTCGTGATCTGTTTTGAGAGAAGAAATTAAGAGCACTACTTCACAAGTGAAACAACAACAACATCCGTGGGTCCATAGGTTGCCTAACCTTGCTGCACACTTGAGAACTTCCCGTCGTGTTTGAAAAAAGATATTGCTGGGTTTGACACAAACTCCAAATGAAGGATGCTCATGAGAAAAAGTCTTTCCAAAGGTACAGAACTTTAGGAATAATTCCCTAGAGCAGAGTTTCCCACACTTGGGTCCCCAGCCGTTTTTGGACTACAATTCCCATCATCCCTGACCACTGGTCCTGCTAGCTAGGGATGATGGGAGCTGTAGTACAAAAATAGCTGGAGTTGATCAACCCATTGATTTAACTTGAGTATACTCTAAATGACTAAGTCCAGATGCAACCCTATATTTTTGCATTGACACATTATTTGATGTAGCTATTTCAAGCAAGTACTAATACATACTGAAACAGTCGCATCCATTTATACCCAAGCTGAATGAATCAAGTTTTGCATATTCAAAGAATGAAAACTTAAGTCATTTCCAAAATTTAGATTTGTATGCAATATCCAAGTCTAGGATGCGTAAAAGGTAAAGGTACCCCTGCCCGTACGGGCGAGTCTTGACAGACTCTAGGGTTGTGCGCTCATCTCACTCTAGAGGCCAGGAGCCAGCGCTGTCCGATGCTTAGCTGATCCCATCTTCACAAACTGTGTATCTTTCCACAATTAAATGTGGAAAGATAAGCAATGCATATATTGTTTCCTCACTTACTTTTGCAAATAACTCTTGTTGCTGCCTTAGGAGCTCTTCTTCAGGAATGCCAAGATTTTCCAAACGATTATTAGCCCTTCTTCGCTTTAGTGCTACGGTTTTGCATTCTTGTAAAACTTCTTTTACCTCACTGATGTAGGAGCCAAAACCTAAGCTTTCAAGTGCTAGGGTAAAAAAGGTTTCTAGTTAATAAAATTCAAGCATTTTAGGCAACAAGACACCAACTTAACCTATCAGACACAATTGCCACTACCACAAAAAAATACAATGATTGCTATATAGTGTTACCTTCTGAGGGAGGGAGTAATTTTGGACTACAGAAATCCACAGGTTGACATATCTAAGTCAGGCCACTTCTTTTAAAAGGACAAAGAACATATGATCTGAAGTTACAGGTAGGTAGCCATGTTGGTCTGCCGTAGTCAAAACAAAATAAAAATATTTGTTCCAGTAGCACCTTAGAGACCAACTAAGTTTGTTATTGGTATGAGCTTTCGTGTGCATGCACACTTCTTCAGATATCTGAAGAAGATATCAGGTATCTGAAGAAGTGTGCATGCACACGAAAGCTCATACCAATAACAAACTTAGTTGGTTTCTAAGGTGCTACTGGAACGAATATTTTTATATGATCTGAAGCTTCACTTAAGCAAGCTTTACCTTTTATCAAAAACAATTCCTTATACTGGGCAGCACTCGCAAGTAAGTGACATATTATTGACTTCTATCCCTCTACTAGCTGAGTAACAATCTGTTATAGACTATGTATGGTGCGGATATATGCAAGCTGACAGGGAAGCCTTTTCTACTTTACCAGCAATTTGGTACATGAGATGGCACTGTTTAGCGGCGGCTGCTGCACAAAGGCCGGCAAATCAGACTACCCAACCTGCGGTGTTTTTCAAGATGGGGAGAGAGAAGGTGGGCATTCTGCAGGCAGTAGGCTGTCCAATGACAGGCTGTTGCTAGTGGGGATCACCCTGAGGGGGAAAGTCCACAGGAAATTACCCCTCTGGTGCCTCCCCTTCATGGGGCACAACAGGAGGCAAGTACCCAATGAAAATGGCAGACTGATGGTGGAACAGTTCTGAGTGAGAAGCAAGGAAGTGAAGATTTCCCAAAGTGAGAAACTGAGAGCAAAGGAAAGATCCCAGGTGAGAGCTGGGTTTCTCATTTTCTGAGATTGGGCAAAGAGATTAACAGCTAGTTTTGTGCAGATAAGTATATGTACTTGTATACCGTTTCTGCACTTTAGCTATTCTGCTGCTGATTTCTCCGTGTTTTTTCAGAAGCCTGTTGTTACTAGATATGAATTATGTTTCATAATTGCACCCGAGAAAAGTAGGTAATAACTTATGCCATGAAACACTGCATTTTACAGGCGTTGTGGAGTTCAGTGCTGGGATGAGTAATAATAACTAATAATTATGTATTATTTATTAGTATGAACTGTTTTTATATAACTGTTCTGGTTTTCTTGTATTGTACGGATATTAGGTTATGTACTGACATATATTGCTTATCATGTTGTATGTTATAAACTGCCCTTTGGTCTTTTCATGAAGGGTGGACTATCAATATTAAAAAATAAAATAAATGCTGACAAATGGGGGGCTGATATTCACCAGATCTCCCTTCCCTATGCAGCCCCCTAAAAATCTGCTCTGGAGGATTGCGGAAACCCTCCAAAACAGTGGGATACGATGCTGAGGGTTTGCAAGGGAAGTGGAAATGAGTGACAGCAGCGAATTGTCTTCCTCCAGTTGCAGCATCCACTGGATCTAAGTCCCTTCCATGAAAGTCTGGATTCAACTTTAAAAAAGGTGTTTAACACTGGGAAACATGAAAATGGCCTGAGAATGCCTGATGTGTTGAAGCTAAGCATGTGTGGATCCAAGAGAATTATTGGGAACTGCAGGATATAATAAATATTTATTTCTAAACTATGTAGTAGCAAACCTAAAGGAATGCACTGCTGAATGAGTGGATCACTCCATAGAAACACATTCACAAAACTGTAGAGCTGGAAGGGACCACAGGCTCATCTAGTCAAATGCAGAAATCTTTCATCCAGCGTGGGGCTCAAACCCACAAATCTGATATTAAGAGACAGTTAAAAGTCTCAAACTCTACCAACTGAGGCTATCCCTCCTTATTTTCATGGTGGGCAAATTATATCCAACATATAAAGAGTTAAAAAATCTAATTTAAAGAGAAGAAAAATTAACAGCAGTGACTACATTGAGCATTGTCAGACTTAAGTTTACCAAAGATGTGTTGATAAATGCAAACAAAAATGACTAAGCTAGATACAAAGAACTTTCCCCAAAGATAGTATAGAATTCGACATGTGGTAGCACGCAGTTGAAAGGGAGGAAACATAAGCTCCAAACCTGCAGAGAGATACTGCACAGCTTGTCTTGGTGTTTTAAGCCAGGCACAGTGAATATAAAAAGTCAAAACCAAAACTGAAAGTGCAGTGGCCCAATTTGCTCAAGTTTGTGGTTTAGTGGTAACACCATTGGAAAGAGTGAAAAACAGTTTACGGGACAGACACCATAGTGCCAGCCGTTCTCAGTTGATTGTCTGGGATTTGGCTGTGCATGGTTCTCATCAAGCCCCAACAAGCTGAGTGGCTGCAGAAAGCCCTGCACTGCACTTTGAGGCCCAACCAGCTGTTAATCAGGATTTCAAATAACCCTGCAAAGGGCTTTGCAGATGCCTCCAATCAGCTGCACCCACAAATCCTTTTCTTGGTCCAGACACTTTACCTCTCCCACACCTGATGTCAGGTGTGCAGCTGATGGGCATGGCCTGGGACGGCTAATTAGGCTTCCTTGCTGAAAGTTCCCCAACCCCTGTAGCTCAGTCAGTAGAGCATGAGAATCTTAATCTCTGCGTCATGGGTTCAAGCCCAATGTTGAGCAAAATATTCCAGCAGTGCAGGGGGTTAGACTAGATGACCCTCGTGGTCCCTTCCAACTCTACAATTCTATGATTATTAGTTCTGTAAGTGGTCAAATACCAATGCTTCTGTGGCCAGAAATTAGAAAGAACCCTATGTTCTTTCTAATGGCATCAGTTATCCACTGGGGTGCTCTCTTAGGAGGTAGTACTTGTTATTTGCAAGACGATGGAAGATCTTAAAGGTGAATTAAATAAGTCAGCAATTTTTAACCTTTTCAGACCTGGGATTCTCCTTTAACCGAACCATCAATGTGGAAGCCCTTAATATTTTTACCATGTATCTGTATGATGGCAGTGCTGTTGTTGCAACCCACTTTAGATCAGGCAATGATCCAGTAGCGGGTGCTGAAACCTATAGTGTATATTGCACCTATATATGGAAACCTTGATTCTACTCATTGATCATCCAACCCAGCACAAAATGATGAGTTGGAGACTTTACTTACTGAATGTGTGTGGGCCCTGTGTAGTTTTCTACAAGCCCGTTAACTTTGTACTCAGAAGAATCCAGAGCTTTCTGTGTGTTCTACCAGAAAAAAAATGCAGAATTTGATATCGGGTTCATATTTCAACATCCTGACTTTAGTTTTCATTTTTGGATATGTGTTTTCAGTTGCAAAGATAAGCATTCAAAAACAGATGGAACTCTATAGAGCAGCTTTCCCCAGCTGGCTGCCCTTCATCCCTCGCCACAGACCTTGCTGGCTGGGGGTGATGTTGGAATCCAACAACATCTGGTACAGCAACAAATCAAATCAAATATCTTTAATACGGTCAATGACCAGGAAGGGTACAGCATCAGTTGGGAAAGGTTGCTCTACAACAGCCAGATGAAACTAAGCAGCCTAACCAGTCGTCATCGTTTCAGTGCCCATAATTTCTCATTGTTTCTCCTATAACAACAGTTTGCAATTATGCAAAAGAACCTTAGAAATTAGCATAATTTACATATGTCAGGGACACAAGTGGCACACAACTCTCAATACAGGGTGATATCCAAATATTTCTAAGCCCACTATTTCAGTGGGTCTTGCTTAGAATGACTTAACATTGTATATCATCCAAAGTATCTTCCCGTACTGTATTAGGGTCTTCCTATTACAATAAAAAAAGTTTAAGAGCTATTTCCTGTGCTACAGCTCTGTGCATGCAACAGACTTCTGTTCATGTAGCAGAACTTCCTCTCTCTCTCCTGTCCCCTTCAACCCTCCCTGTGATCTCAAAATCAGTTTCAGCGAATTGAGGGGAGCTCCAGAGCCGATTTTGTGGGGGCATAGCTGATACGAATGTGTCATTATGAAAGCAGAACTTCTCTGGTGCAGCACTGCACAAAAGTCAAGATGAAGCAGTAATACCATGAAAGGCTATCGCTATCAACAGCTACTAGCCTTGGCAACCATACATTACTTCCAGGCCCAGAGGCAGCATATCACTGAATACCAGTTGCTGGGAAATGATGATTATCTTCATATTCTGCTCAAGAGCTTCCCAAAGACACTGGGAAACAGGATGCTGAACTTGACAGGCCCTTGATCAAATCCAGCTGTACTGCTCTTACACTCTAAAAACAGGGTTTTCATTTTAGGCATCTTACATTTCTTAATGCTGAAAGTAGTATCATTAAGCAACAGCTGAATGAAACCAAGACTCCGGTTACTTTCACTTTTGCTGTTCTGAATGCTGAACTGAACATGAGTAACATGAATTTTAAAGGGAAAGTAACATAAAACAAAGTAATAGCCTAATGAAATTTGCCCTCCTTTTTTGTAGGAAAGAGCAACTATATATATTTGACTAAAATCCTCTTGTTTTATAAAATGGAAACAATTAGATAAGGAAATAAAGAGAGGGAAAAGTTGTTTCCAACAAACTGCAAGGAATCTATAGTAATGTTGGCTATAATTGATGTCATTGACATCCTATGCCTTTTAAAATGTGTTTTGAGGGGGTTATTGGGTTGTAGTTGTTTTTATTTTGATTATGTATTTTGCGGTTTTGTATTCTGATTTTATCCTGTGAACTGCCCTGAGACCTGCGGGTATAGGGCAGTATATAAATTCAATAAATAATTTTTTAAAAAAATTAATATTGTCTGATTGTCTGGAATTTTAACATATTGTATTTTATTGTTTTGATGTAATTGTTGTAAACTACCCTGGGATCTTACAGGTCAATCCTAACCACATCTACAAAGAAGTAAGTCCTATTGACGTAAGCGGGGTTAGGATTGCAGCCTTAATTGATGAACAGTGGTTTAGAAATCGAGCTAAATGAAAAGTAGTGGAAAAAATGAACACGTGTGAGAACAATTGCATAATGGCGAACTCCCCTCTCATAATACTCTTTAAACTCTTACATCCTGTTTCTAAAAAAACCCCAAAAAAACCAAGAGGCTTTTACTTTAACTCAGATTCATGTAGCTAAACACAAAATGCTCACTTTACTAAACCTATAGCTATAATTTGCAAGGAGTTTTAAATAACTTTACTTGGAAGTTCAACTGACATCAGCAAGTTTCTCAGACGTGCCTGGGAGTTTATGACACAAACAAAGAGATTCTGCGTTTCTAGCCCTTAATGAAGCTGTAGCTCTCAGCAAATGCTACGCAGTTGCCTGAAGGGGTGAAATGTTTATCTAGTCTACAGCTCACCAGAGTCCTCCAGGCAATCCACCCTCTTGTAATTCTCTGCTACACAGCACACAGTAAGAGTGCGGCGGTGGTTGGATGCACCGCTTCACCAATTCTGAAGTTGTAGGAACAGAAAGCCTACAGAGAATCACAGAATCGTAGAGTCGGAAGGGACTCAAAGGTCACCCAGCACAATCCCCTGCAATGCAGGAACCTTTTGCCCAAATGCGGGGCTCGAACCCACAACCCCGAGATCGAGATGCTCTACCGATTGAGCTACCCCACAGCAGGAGACCAGAGGGTGGCAAGTGAAGGGCTTTCCTCCGGTTGGGCACTAAAGAGGTAAGAGAGCAGGCTGCCCCTTGCCTTGGATGACGTGCTCCGGGGAGATGGTTTTCTTCTCCGACTTGTTGCAGATCTCGTTGGCCTCGGAGGAGATGAGGTGGATGAACTCGGTGCAGCAGTTGACCACCAGCTCCCGGGCGTCGTTGGCCACCCGCACGTTGGGCAGCGTCTCCTTGATCATCTTGTTGATGGCCGCGCGGGGGATGGTCAGGTCGTCGTCGTTCCCGGAGGAAGAAGCCATCGCGGGGAAGCCCCGTCAAAAGCCGCCCAGGCAGCGCCTCCTCGAAGGGGAAGAAGGGGAACGGCTCCGGGCCGGAGACGGCTGGGGCGGCCCAACTGCCGCCCCGCGCCCAGGTTGCCAGGAACGGGACCGAGAGCGACGCGGGAGCCTCGGCGGGAAGCGGCCACCCCCTCGCCGTCTCGCCCCGGGCGGCTCCTCCACAGCCGCCGGCGTCACTACAGCAACGGCGACCACCGGCGCCGCCTCCGCCACAACATCCCTTCAGGCGCCCGGAGGCGTCCCGTCTGCGCTGCCGCCTCAGAGAGAGGGTGGGAGGGAGAGAGAGGGGAGCTGGGATGACAGACAACCCGCCGCCGGCGAAGAAGGAGGCGCGAGCTTCTCCGCGTAGCGCCGGCAGCGGTTCCCTCCCTCCCTCCTCACGCGCCGCGCGACGGTTGCGGCAGTGAACGAGGCTGCCGAAAGGCTCGCGAGGGGCAGCCAACACACAAGGCTGCGGCGCGCGGCACTTCCGCCGGAAGCGCTTTCTTTGCGCTTTCCTCACCCACTCTTCTTCTCCTCACTCACGCCGCCAGTTCCGCTTCCGGTCTGGCCCGGAAGCGGCTTTGTGGTACTCGAACGGGGTGCGGGTCTGGGCGCGGTTGTGAACCCCTGTCTGTCCCCTCAGTGGCGCTTTAGGCTGCTTCCCCCTCCCCCCCCATCACAACTTGGGCCTTTTTTTTTTTTGGACTACAACTCCTATCAGGCCTAGCTAGAGGACCAAGTGGTCAGGGCTGATGGGAATTGTAGTCCAATAACGGCCCTGGGGAAACACTGGCAGAGACAGCAGGAGTGTAGCCGAAGCCCTTCCGGATCGCCGCCTCGGCGGTGCTGGAAGTCCCGGACGACGGTTTGTTGTCGGAATTTCGCAGGCGCAGCAGCTTAGATCCGGGACTACCTTGGAAAGAACCGTTAAGGCCACAATGCTACTGTCTGCGATTACGTCGCCTGGGAGTAAACTCCATTAAAACTATAATATTGCGCTCTATGGTGTATCCTTTTAGTTGTGTGATTTATTTTGAAGTCAGTATTTCTACTCAGTCGGCGGAACGTGAGACTCTTAATCCTCAGGGTCCTAGTTTCGAGCCCCAAGTTGGGCGAAAGATTAATGCTTTGCACAGGTTTGGACCAGATGACCCTTCTGGTCGCTTCCAGCTCTAGAGTTCTATGATTTCTCTTGTCTACTGTTGTGGAAATCTAAATGGGAAAAGAAGGTGGACTAGTGAAGCCTAAAACAACCCTGCATGTGCCCATGAAGAATTACGTATGGCTGTTACCAAGATTTAAAGCCATGAACTTTTTACTAAGATAACTATGGGCTGGGCATCTTCTCAGCCTAATCTACCCTACAATGTTGTTGTTAGGAGAAAATGAGCAGGCAGAAAACTACCTTGCATTTGTTGGAGAAAGTAGCATTTAGTGGTGGGTTAAAGTGGCATTTAATAATGGTACAATAAAATATGTCATGTTCTCTGTTGGCTGTGTGTGTTTGTTCCTTACCCACGTGTGCATTTAGGCACACACATCTGATATAATAATAATAATGGTATAAAAGGTGTAGCAGGAAATCTGGTATCTTTTATAGAAGCAATGCATGTGAATATTATCACCATTAAAAGTAGAGTCAAGTCATTAGGCAAACTAGTTTTTAATTTTTTAGAGCTAGCAGTGCCAACAGTTCTCGTCCTTGAATGATAACCCCATTCACTGCACTGTGCAACACAGTTTACTTATTTGGTACATACACTGCCAGCTCATCAGCTGTTTTTCCTTCTGAATTCTGATTTATTCAGGATTAATAATCTAATAACTATTAACAATTAGAAATATTTGAAAAGCATAAAATGTCTTCAGTACAAGAATGATTACATTTGACATTTACTAACTTGGTGGATAAGATTATTCTAAATCCAGTTTAAGGAAAGCCATATGAAAAAACACTGCATCAAGAACCACAGGTGAAACCTAGACATTCAAGAGTGCACTACATCTCTTTCAGCTGAATGTACATTTCTAGCCACATTCTGAACCCACAAGTAACATGTAAATGTTTTTAAAATGTGTGAATACAGCTGGATTAGGTTACAAACCACAACATTTCTTGCAATCTCTGCTAAAGCAATTTGTCTTCTACCCATTTTCTGTACACACAGTAAATTATATACAGTTAGCTATTTTGGAATTGGTATGTACCCAGGATCCTAAGAAGTTTGTTATGTGAATTGACCTTTATTGTAAGTGCCACCAACAAACAGTTGTACTTTCTGTAGAGGCAGCATCTAGAAATCCTCACAAAGAGATGAGAACATGGTATGTTGTGTGGAAGGTATATTCATAGCTGGCAACTTTACCCTTTTTTTAAGGGAAATTCCCTTATTCCGAATAGGATTCCTCGCAAGAAAAGGGGAAAGTTGACAGCTATGGGTATATTTAAGATAGAGTAGGAGAGAAGCTTGAACAAAGAAACTGAAAATTGGTTGGAGCAAAGCATATGAGACATAGAGCAGCATAGTCTGCTGTGCACGAGAGGGTTATATGCAGTAAGCAGGTAAAAGATATGTTTGGATCCAAAAGGCTTCATTTAAAGACACTATGTGTGCTTGGGGGCTTTTAACCTTTTTTATTTTTTATTTTTGTAGCTTCATCCTTCCTCTGGATAAGCTGCCCTGACAGCTCTGGAACAGCATGTTGAAACTTGGTCTGATCCAGCTGGGCTCTTCATACGCATAAAGTGTAAGGCTTTTAGGCTGCTGGTGAGAAGAATTGCATCTTTGAATACTTCTCTAATTAAAAACAGAAACCATTTCACATAGAAACATAGTCTGTTAGGGAGACTGTGAGGCATGATAAACCCTTTCCCCTGACATGCTACTTTTCCATGTAAACGATTCCCCCCACATGAGGAAACATTAAAAGTGCAACATGTACACACCCATTGATAGCCTAAAGTGGTATATGTTGCCCTTAAGCAGATAATTTACACAAAAGCGCTATTTGATCTTTCAATAGATTTCACATTACGCCTACCCAATTTTGCAGGTAAATGAAAGTATGTGTTGGAAAAATATTGAGGTGGTCAGAATAGTATATGGACAGACTTAAAACGAAGAGATTTGGACATACGCCTGGTAAAATTGGCAGAAAGCCAGATTTCCTCCATTTTGGGACATGTAGCTTATAATTTCAGTCATGAAGAAACGAAAGCGAAAGACATGGAAGAAGATAAACACCCACACAGGAACATATTGTTTGATTTAACTTGCTTGCTAGATGAACTCGGAGGCTGTGAAAAATGAACGAAGGATTAACATCGGATTGATTTATGGGAATCACCTGGACTAACTTAGAAGGAGAGCAAATGTGAGATGATCGCCACCCCCTGACCTCAGAGCATGGGAAGTCAAACAAAGATGTATAAATTGGCATAATATTTGGACTGTTCGATTATTTTATAATTTGGAATGTTTTTAATGTGGCTTTTATTGGATTGTTAAATTGGAAAACTTAATAAATATTATTTTAAAAAAGTAAGCCCCACCAACTTCAGTTGGACTTGCCCCCAAGTAAGGATTGTGTATAGGACTGTAGCTTCAGTCAGGGCTATTTCATATGTCTCCCATCCCACACAAGCACTTACACATAAGGAAACATGGAAGTGTGTGAAATAGCCCACATGGCAGCTGAAATCACCCATTTGCTCATTGGGAGGATCTTCCTCCTCCCAAGTCAAAGCTTTTTCTGCTTTTCCAACGCAGCATTTTAATGAAGTTAAGACTCGCGCTGAAAACCTTATCATGCTGAAAAACCATTTTGTAGAAGGTATCAATAGGCAGGTCTCCATTTGGATCAGCATATTTCAGCGTTGTAATTGGAGTGTATAACGTGTTGGTCTGGTGGCGAAAAGGAGGGTTTTCGGCCAGAATTATCTTCACTGTATGCTGTAAGGATGAGAAAAGAAGGCATGATAACATTCTGGAATTGCACCAGACTGCGTGTGTGTGTGTGTGTGTATGTATGTGTGTGCAAATATATTTGGAAGTGGGGGTGGAGAACACAAAGAGAAAAAACTCTGGGGAATAAAATCAGCACTAACTCAATATTGCTGTTTGGGTTGCTTATGTTGTTCCAGCAATGATGTTTTGAAAGTGAGCTTACTGGAAGAGCAGGAACAGTTTAAACACACCTCTGACTATTTTTAATCTGAAACTGCTATATCAGTGACGCTCTCAGAACATTCCTTCAAGATAAGTGTCCCCTACCAGTAATAAGAGTACTCCTGGATTCAAATGTGTTATTTGTTTCTGGAAAAATTGAGACCGAAGAAATTGAATGAAGCTTCCACTATCACCCGCCTACTCACCATCAATCGTGTGCTCACTACAGCCATTGCTAACAGTTGCCCAAGTTATTGGCCACTGCCAATCTCCTGTCCGCTCACCACCACAACCACCAATCCCCCGCACACTTACTTGCTGCCAAATGTGCTTTCGCCAGTCATCGCCAACAATCGCTAAAGTTATTGAGCTTTTTTGGGGGGTCATAACTGATCCCCTGCCTGCCCACTTGCTGCAGAAAATCGCCACCATGCCCCACTCTGCATTCAGTATCCGTGTATAAGACGACCCCCAATTTTTGCCTAACATTTTAAGGCCAAAATCATCATCTTATGCACGGAAAAATATGGTACATAACATAGTCACACACACACACACACACACACACACCACCGTTTAAAAAGGTCATAGACTGTTAATTAGTCAGAAACCTGGGAGAAAAGGAATGTTTTTGCCTGGCGCCTAAAGATATGCAATGAAGGTATTATCCACTTGAGCTCATCCTGAACATGCAAGTGATTTCGGTAAGATGCTCAGACAAAGGTTGGCCCATTGCCTAGTTACATTTGGCGTTGGCTAGACTCTTGCTGCCTACAATGTTATTACTCACATTAACAGAGCCTTGTGAGTACAGATATTTTTAGACTTGGCTGTCACTTCCCCCCACTTTCATTGGATTGTAATTTCATCAGAAGCTGATGCTGAGCAATTGCCAGTCACATAATGTCTCAAGGCTGGCGAACCATAATTATGTAACCCAGTCTTAAATTCCACAAAAACCTTCTAATGCATTACCTCTGCTATGTCTTCAGCTGTTTGTCCCAGGGTCTGGAAAATTTGCTTGTAATTTTTCAGGTAAATCTTTACAAACATGTCTGCTGTTTCTTTATCTGCAGCTGAAAGATCCATGTTCATCCCATCTTCAAACACTTTTCTTTCAAACTCTGTAACCACGGGCCCTGGTTCTATTAAACTTAGACTGTTTGGGAAAATAAAGAAACAGGATATATTGTGTAAGTCATCTACTATACGCATAAGATGGTAGATGCAAACCCTTAGTTACTGGGCATAAATTAGCAAAGAGTAAAGCCATGCAACATAGTGCTTGATTTTAGCATTAATTTTAATTCATATCCAGAAGTGAACATTCAAAATCACGAGTTTCTTTTCTTGGATTTGCATCTTGCATTTCACCCTTGGATATCCTTAGTAAAAGGCTAAAGATTTATACGATCTGAAGATTGTATACGAGTGGATGTGGTTTCCAGACCAGGGGTCGGCAACCTGAGGGGTTCGTTTAACCGGCCCATGAGCTGCCCCCGAATTGAGTCCCCTGATCGGTGAGTCTCTGCGTGCTGCGCTAAACTGGTGCAGCACGGCATGGGGACTCGCTTCCATGGTGCTGGAAATCGCGTCTGCGCAGATGCCAGAAATCGCGTGCGTGATCCAGCCCACAGAGGAATCTCCATTGGAGTGAACCGGCCCAGGCAGGGTAAACCTAGACACTCTGCCAGTCAACATCCGTTTGTCTCAAGAGACAATGGAGTGCACCTCCTGGGGTGAAGTTAAACAGCTGCTTTAGCAGCACCGAAGTAAATTTAAATTAAAGTACAGTAATAAATGAGCCAGGCTGATACTTACTTAAGTTTAAACTTGAGCGCTTGTATGGCTAAACTTTCACAGAATCCTTCCACTGCAAATTTAGATGCAGCATAAACATCATTGAACAAAATCCCTATAGATTAAAAAATTAAAAAAAATAGTGAGTTGCTAATCTTAATATACCCTGGGCTGATGATGAAACCATCATGTAAGAGTCTCCTGTGTACCATACACAACATCAGATCAACATCATTTTAGTCTGTCAGCATTACAAATGCTTTTTTATTTAAGGAAAATTAGAGTGAATCACTGTCAAGGCCAAGAAGAAGGTTCAACGAACGTATATTTATTTCACCTCTTGCCCAAAAGATTTTGCGACAAAGCTCATTTACTAAATGGGATGAATGCACATGCCATCCTTCTTTCAAATCACCTCCAGTTTTCAGGAAAGGGGATGGAAAAGGCACCAGATGGTTCCCATTCCTTAGGTTAGGCAAATGTTTCTAAGTCCATGCAAACCAAAAGCGTTTCAGATAACATTTTGGATAACACGCAGGCAAGTAAACTTCAGTCTTGCCGTTGCTTCACCATAAATCTCCAGCCCAGTCCTTTCCCCCAGAAGGGCTTGACATAACACTTCTGTACAGTCTTTGCTGTTGCTACACACTGTGGCACAACTCCATTGACACAATGTTCTGGGTTACAATGCCACAAATAAGGGCATAGTGTTGCAAGAGCAGACTTTGCTCTTTAGCTGCAGATTGCAGCTCAGTTGCCTATAGGACTAAAATCATTGTCGTCATTGATCTTGTTTCTTGCCCGAAAACCACAAGCCAGCTATCTGGCATTCCTTTACTTGAATAAGGGAGGGAGGAAAAGCCACAAAAATCACTTTCTGCTGAATCAGGAGCAGAAGTAACCAGGGCTGAGATGTTTCAGCGTTAGCAAAACTTCAGCTGATGCCAGTGTTAAAAACTGAGGTATGAAAGCTAGGAGCTAAAGGGCATATTAAATCTAGGTTATGGGCGCAACAATGGAATGTCTAGGCACATTTTTGTAACAAGAACATAAAGCTGAAAATGAATGAACTGCAGCTAAAACATTATGTTCATTTTTCACATGATCTAGTCCTTCCCCTGCCCACCCCAATATTCTACGAGGGTCTTTTCTCCAGTCTTCCATGAGTAGCTGGAAGTGGGGAGACAGAAAGAGGTCCTCCTTCCCTTCCACTCTGCAATTTTAATCTGAAATCTTGGGTGCAGTACTGTGCCCAGAGCTCAGAAACTGCTCGTGCTAATGAAATTCCCTGATGCAAAATGTGCCACCCTAGAACAATGGGAGTTTCAAACACTGGCTGATGCAGAATTAATTCTGGGGAAGTACAAAGGGCAAATCTAAAGGTAGTGTTACCTTTAAGCCACTTAAAATGGGATAAAAATGTAGGATGAGATGGCTCTTGAATATGGGAACATAAGAGCCTTCTGGATCATTGAGTCCAGCACCCTGTTCTCACTGTGGCTAACCAGATGCCTATGTTAGATGCCCATAACCGGGAGCCTATTACAAGATTCCTCTCCTGTGGTTTCCAGCAACTGACATTCAGAAGCATAACTACCTCAAGCTGTGGGATCAGAGCATAGCCATCATTAAACTGCAATACACGCTGCATTAACAAATTAGATGCAATATTACTTTGCCTTGTACTCCCATGACACTGCTAATAATTACGATATGGCCGCTTTTTCTCTTCTTCATGTCGGGTAAAATCTCCTTCAGCAGTCGCACCAACCCAAAGAAGTTTGTATCCATCACGTTTTGCATCTCTTTGATAGTCTGGCATTCAATAGGTCCAATGAGTCCCAGGCCGGCATTGCTAACTGCATAAATGCAAAACAACAACAACGACCAGCCATCACTTGCCACTCAAGTTGCTCTTATTCTTTTCATGTGCAACAAACGTGTGGGACCACCTATTAACCCAGGTCTCTGGCCAGTTTACAACAATAAATAAAAAATGTAAAACAATAAGCACCATTGCAAATCAGCATCAAAATGCTAGTATGAACACAGCAGCATAAAATCATTTTAAAACAAGCAAGGGGCGGAAATTAAGAGCATGAAATGTGTAACTTGAAAGGGGAATAAAAATCTTTTCCTTGGCTGCCTAAAAGACTATAATGTAGGTACCATTAAGCCTTTATGGGGAGGGTATTCCATAAACTGGGATGCAGGTGGTGCTGTGCGTTAAACCACAGAGCCTAGGGCTTGCCGATCAGAAGGTTGGCAGGGGTGAGCTCCTGTTGCTCGGTCCCTGCTCCTGCCAACCTAGCAGTTCGAAAGCACGTCAAAGTGCAAGTAGATAAATAGGGACCGCTGCGGCAGGAAGGTAAACGGCGTTTCCGTGCGCTGCTCTGGTTCGCCAGAAGCGGCTTAGTCATGCTGGCCACATGAACCGGAAGCTGTACGCCGGCTCCCTCGGCTAGTAAAGCGAGATGAGCGCCGCAACCCCAGAGTTGTCCACGACTGGACCTAATGGTCAGGGGTCCCTTTACCTTAGGGTAGTAATACAATCAGGAGCTCCCAGAACAGGCCAGTTATTGTGAGGATGAAATGAGTAGGAAGAGAACTACCTTGAGCTCCTTGGAGGATTGGTGGGATAGAAATGTAACAAATAAATAAATATTATTTTTTACTTTAAAATATATACATAAAATGAATGTTCCATTGGTATTTATTACTTGCCTAGGACATCAATACGCCTTCCTGGGATGCTACTGACACACATTTTAATAGATTCATCACTGCACACATCCAGCTGTTTAATCTCTAAGGTGTTTCCAACAGTATTGCCTGCAGCTTCTATCAGTTTATCCTGTTTGGCCAGATCCCGCATTGTAGCATAAACTGCAAAAAAAGGAGGAAAATAAATATCACAAACAGCAGTATTTAGCCTTTCCTTTCAGAAGGGTTATGAAAATTAAACACCGATTACATAAACCTTCAGCTCCAGACTCTAAGGTCATAGAAACCCAACTATATTTCCATTTGATAGAGGCTCCAGATTAGAAGAAAATAAAACAGCATGGTCGGAAACCTAACACACAATTAACCCATTGAAACCAACTGGTTGCAGCGTTCAGGGCTTCTTTTTGAACAGACATGTATAGAATTCCACTTCCTGAACACTGCAACCAGTTGGTTTTTCTCTCTTTTTAAAAAATGGCTTACTTCCATACAAGTGGATAGAGGATTGTGGCCGTTTTTTAAAAAAAGAGAGAGAAATAATCAGCTGACATTAAAAATAGAAATATTCCATCAATTCTAATTTAAACATATAGATCAAAATAAACAGCTCCTGTGTAGCTTTGTTTTAAGAGGAAGCCCCACTGAACTGAGTGGGACTTACTTCTTAATAAGCATAGGACCAGGCTGTAAAATAATGCAGGCTAGTGACATTTGGCTTCTCCAAGAAAGAAAAACCCTTACACTTTTCTTTCTAAAATTAAATTGCAGAGCCTGCAAGGATGCAAGGTTGCATCATGTCACGCTATGTAGAGCTTTACTACTCAACATAGCTCACACTAGGTAATGTTCAGCAACACAGGTGAGCAAAATTAAAGAGAGAAGGTGTTACCTTTGAATCTTTTCTGTTCATCAGTGGCCATTTTTACAGCCAACGCCAGCCCAATTCCTGAGGAGCAACCTGTGATGAGCACTGTTTTCTGAGCCATTGTGGATGGTAGCAGATGCGCTGGAAGGTTTCCCTTAGACAGTCTGGATAGTCTGGTAGCTTTGCAGGACAAAAGCTTAATACTCCCCTGGATGCTTTTATTCACAGGACTTTAGGTGTCAGCAAATCTAAAGGTGCATACCTATGCATTACAGAGCTAAGAAGATAATCTCCGTATGGACAGCAATAAACAAAAATAGATGTTTGGGCATGGTTATATATGAAGGTTGCATAATCTGGCTTGATGATGCATTGTAGGGAAGTTAGGCTTCAAGGTTTCAGCAGTTTTTAAACTGAAAATTTGAACAACAAAATATGAAAGGTGGGTTATCATAATTTAAAGAGGTAACAGGACTGGAGGTCAACTATACCAAAACCTAGAGGACAATACTTTGCCCAAGTTGTATTTGCAAATTGCATGCATCCTTCAAAAAGGTGCTTTAATTTCAAAAGATCTGAGGCAACTCAAAGTCAGTTGCCTCCTTAAAAGAAACTCAATTAGGGCCTTCAGTCTTGGCAGTCCCTATAACTATCATTGTTGGGCACAATCATTGTGGCCAAATTACATTCTTGCTGAAGCTACCCTTTGTATCAGGCAGTACTGGTGTTAATGGCTGCTTGGACACTGAAGGACTAGCAGAAACCTATCAAGGGGTTCCACAGCAGGGAGACACCATCAAGGCTATCAAAGAATGTATGGTGGAGGCAGGCCGGGCTGGGGGTCTCTTGGTCTTCCCAATTTAAACATGCGCCATGTAACACTTCACATTCAGCATCTAGAAGAGGAAACAACTTGCCTTCTGTTATGTGCTGCAATATCTGTTTTCTGTTAGCTATTCCTGTTGACATTTTTTAAAAGGCCATGTACTTCAAAAAGAGATTCATCATGAGTAAAGGGGGCTTGTTGGGAGCAAAAGGACATATGTAATAGCCCTTGATCTGAACGTTATTGCTAAGGGAGAGGCAGACATGAGAGGCTTATAGAATTATGAATAGCATGGCTTGCCCAGAGACACAGTACATTCCTCTGATCTCTTTCTCATAACTGTGGGTCACCTGATAATATTAATTTGCATTGGGTTCAGAAAAACAAAAGGAAGGACTTATTCACACAATCCCAAAATTCCCAAAATTCCAATACCACAAGGTAAACTGGTGCCTTTCAGTTTTTAAAAAAAATAAAAACTGGACAAATTTATGGATTTCCCCCCCTCACATGGTAACTACAGTAGTGGATATGTAACAGAAAAAGCAAGTAACACAATGTGTATTGTTTGTTTATTAATTCAATAATAATACATTTATCTGAAATATTCAAGTATCAGGAAAATAGTTTTTTAAAAAATCCAGATCCTTCAGATTTCCCTTTAAGAGAAAAAAAAACCCACCACACCTTTATTACTGTACAAATTACTTCAAAGCAGTAATAAAAAAATAGAATTGGGATAAATAGGAAGGGATTATGAGTCACTATGTTTCTCAAATATATACAGGGTTTGTATAAAATGGCACATCATTATATTCATGAAGACAATAAATCCATCTGTGGTTGACTGCTTGCCAGCACACTGTTACTTCACAATCTTTGTTCCTGAAACAGATATTAACATAGGCATTAACAAATGTGAAATTCATGCAGACCTCAAGTTCTAGTTAAAATGAATTACTGGTCTCACACTAAGTACTTGAACAAGCATAATAATCACCCAACCGCCCTCCCCTTATTTGATACAGAGAAGGCCTTTGATAGGATCCTATGGTCTTCCTGCGTAATTTACAAATAGGATACTTTCCCCTGCCCCACTCATTCCTGGTAAGGAATGGAATAAGCCTTCTTTTTTTATTTGTGTTTGGAACCTCTGACCTGTGCAACCCATGGATATACAGTAGTGAGATCAGCAGTATCCATGCAGCTGTTAGGGAACAAGAGATAGTCATATTTGTGGATGACGTGCTACGCACTATCACAAACCCAGAGAGATCCATCCCTACCTTGAGAGCTCTCATATATGATTTTGGACACCTCTTGGGAGACAGCATTAACTGGTCTAAATCAGAACTTACGCACTTGATGATATCCTAATATCTATCAAAAGCATTGAATTACATTATTCATAATGCTCTGTTTGCAATTACCATCAGGTAAAAACTAGTCCTGAAGAAAATTCCTCAAAACGGTTTTCAGGTTTAGGCTGCATTCCTATGCACACTCACCTGATAGGTAAGCATTGAACAGTGGAACTTACTTCTGCAAAGGATCATGCTTTTTATTTTTGATTGAGCTCATGTCCTTAAAAAAAAAAAGGGACCCTATATGCACTCTTGATACATTTGTAAAGTCTGTCCTAGAGGTACATTAATTAGTTAATACATCTTAGTAGTCATGCTTGCTCCACAAAATGTAACTCAAAGAGGGAACAATATTATCATTTCCCTGCCCCACCACCAGACAAAGTGAACTGTGTCCTATTTGCCTAAGAAATACTATGGTACAGAAATACATACTTGAATTGTCCTTTACATCAGGTGAAAATTATGGAGAATTTTCAGAACTCATCTCTTTGTTGATATATTTTAGCATGCCACTAAGAGTTTGGAAGTCACTGCTATCACAAGTCTCATCCTCCTCCACAATGTGTGTCAAAGGATCAAAGGACGATTCATCTGGACTTTTTGGTGAGTCGTGAATTGTGTCTTTTGGCTTCCTACAAATTACCAAAGAATTGGTTGTAAAAATGTTTTTCGGTTTTAATAGATTTCCATCATCTTTAAAACTTGGATCATTAGTGCTTGCAGATTTTCTCTGAGAATGCCTGTCAAAGTCTGGCTCTTGATCTAACCATTGATGAGTGGATATGTTTTGTGGGGCTGATAGTTGCTTGATGCTTTCTGTTCTTTCATGGCCTGCAATTCTAGCTTGTAGTCTTGTTACTTCAGATTCCTAAAAATGTAATAAAAACAAATAACTCAACACTTTTATTAAGAAAATATTATGCCTTTCACATTAGCTTAGCACTTCATTCGGTGACAATGTTTTCAGCATTTCCCTGTCCCACTTCATTGGCTGCCATCTACAGAGGGCAGGAAGACACTGAACATGATTGGGCTTCCTATTTCTTATTCTAGATATTATCCAGAAAATGGGAACACATAGGTCAACAACAGCCACCCCCTAAAAATGTCTAGTCAGGCTCCAAACCAGGGGTGGGGAAATTTTTAAGTCCCATAGTTGCATTCCCTGGGGTTGAACACCCATCTCGAGTGCAGCTAGAGGCAAAAGTGGGGGTGGTCCAAGATAGAACTAAGCACAGCAAAGGATGGGACTCTTAGCTTTGGATTCCATCATGCAAAAACCAGAGGTTGGCACCCCCCCCACCTTTCCATCTAGCCAAGCAAGAGGCATCATCAAGGACACATTCCAGCCAAGCAAAGGCACTCTAGGATGATACAGAGTACGGCCAGTGAGAGGCAGGTTCTGGGGAGACAGGATGTGGTCTGGGGAGAGTCTCCGTAGCCAAATAGGCTCGGAGGACCATCTTTGGCCCTCAAGTCTCACAAAAGCCTAATTGCTAATGATCTTTGGTAGTAAGTATCAGTGAAGTTGGATAATTTTATTAATTTCTCCTTGTACAGGAGATTTTTGCCACGCTGCCTTGTATGTCAAGAAAACACATTCTTGTGCTTACTCACTTTGAGAAGCAGAGCTTCGTTTGCTGCATCAATCATGTCATTTCTGGACTGAAGCTGTTCTTGTAGATTACACACGGTGCCTTGTGCATCTTCCAGGTCTAGCTTCAGCTGCTGCAACTGCCCATAAAGGTGATGAGATTTAGATATCGACTCCTTCCGTTTTGTTTCCTCTGTTTCATGTAAGAGTTTCTGAAGAGATAGACAACAAAATGTATTCAAAACTTTTATGTTTTAATTTATGTTTAAATAAACTTTTTATGATCCGTTTATTTAAACTTATAATAGAGGCATGGAACAAATAGCCTTATTAAGCTAATGTCCCAATTGATACATAATTACGGTATTCCTTGTTCAAATGACAGTCCCCAAAATCAAATGTTCTGTTGTTAAAGTCACGTCTATCAGTGTTGATTTAGTAATTTGATGAAGGTAGCTGAACTTATGTTTGGGAAGGGATGAGAAAGATGAATGGTCCTGAAGCATTTGGGGAAGGCCTATTGCTGAGTAGTACAGCATCTGCTTTGCATGCAGAAGGTCACAGGTTTAATCCCCAGCATCTCTAGGTAGGGCTGGGAGAGAACGCTGCCCAAAACCCTGGAGAGCCACTGCCAATCACCGTAGGTTGGCCAATGGATCTTCCTATGTTCTCCCTTATTTGCAATGCCAGAATCAAAAGTTTTCCTTTTAAACCAAGGTGTCAAGCAAAACCTACGGCCAGTCTCTAAAATTCCAAGATAAAAATTAACTGTTCAGTTCTAATACATCTAAAAATACAACACATGTTGGGAAGAGCAATTTTGTTTTTACCTCTGACGTATAAGACTGCTTTAGAGAGTGTATTTCTGCTGAGAGCCTCCTAATCTCCGTTCGCATTCTTGCTTCTAACTGGGCTTCCCGTGCCTGAGCTGCCCCTAGTTGTTCTGCCAAATGATTTGTACGACTTTCCTAAAAGGCAATTATGAAATGAATAATATCAGCAACAATATATTTAAGCATGTAGTATATAGTCCTCCTTCCTCCTTTCCCTTTCTGCTTGCAGGGAACCAATGAACCCCCATTAAAGTGAGGAAGCCATTGTTGCCCAATACACATTAAATTGGGTACAGGAACACTCCTGTATCGAGCCAATTCTGTTGACAGGAAGAACTATGAAAAACGGTTACTTTTTCATGTGAGAGGTGGTTCACTTCTTCCAGTTCAAGAGAGAGCCTATCTACATCTCTCTGAGCTTGAGCCTGTTGACGGCGACTTTCCAGTAGCTCCAAATGGACCTTTTTCATCTGTTCACGTTCTAGCCTCAGCTGCTGACCCAAATCAAGTATTTCTTTGTGCTGTTCTGCCATGAACCTTTCCTGTTCCTCCACCTTCTAAAAGGGGTAAACAATGTGCATTAACAAAACTTAAGCATTTTTACATCCTTTTTTTTCATTTTTAACATACCATTCTGCTGCCATGCCTTATCAGATCCATTATCTGTGTAGCCTTCTGTCCTCACTATGATAAATAATCAGTAGCATATTATGAGACTTAAAAGACCACCATGAGATGAAGGGAAACAAACAATGAGGCCACAATCCTATATAGACACTTACTGTCAAATTGATGGATCAAGAGTACAAAAAGCTGCTTGCATGGGAAGTAATATTTGCTAATTACTTCTTCCCCACCCCATCACAGCCCTTGCACTTATAATATAAAAGTCTGCTGTGAAGAGGTGTGTGTGTGTATATTCAGCAATAATTAAATAAATAAAAATTCAGACACCCCTTGCTTCCTCCAGCAGGAGCCTTCTGTTTACTGAAGAGCAAATCTGGATTCAACCCCTTATGAACAGGATGCATTTCTCTCTATCCTTTATGGTTTAGGCTGATGAAAAATCAGATAGTGACTATAGTCACAGACAAAAACCATTATGCAAATAAAAAACTTACTTTCTCAATATCTGTTACTTTTTCCTGTTTTCTTCCAGTTTCCTTTTTAAGACGATTTATCTCTTGATCTTGTTGGAGGATGATCAACTCTTTCTCCTGAAGTTCACCTTTGGAATGCTGTAGCTTGCTCTCTAAACTCTCAATCTGGCAACAGGGTGTAGAACAGCATTACTTATTAAGAGAATTATCTATTTTAGGAATTGTAACAAAAGCCCCACAGCACATCTTATATACATTATGGGAATTAAACTCTACAACTTCTGTTTAAAATCTACAGTTGGTCAGTTGTGCAGATTCTGTGACAGTATTTAACTCTTCCACTTTAGTTAATGCAATAGTATTTTTCATTAATTGTGGTTCAAGATGGCTCCTTCCCTTCCATTTTTTACCCTCATACATATGTAGTTTCAGAAAAGTCATCCTCAGAATGGGCAGGGCCTGCAACTGCTGACACCAATAAAAGGAGAAGGGGGTCACCTATGTGAAGGGGGAGTCACCTATGTGGTTGGTACAAAAGAATGTTGCAGCACCAATGTGTTTCAGGTAACTGTTTTGTCAGGTAACTGTTCTGCAGTGGTAAAATATATTGATTGTGTACAGGCAGGTAACATGTCCTGTAAGCCTTCTTGTAACTCACTTGTGATTATGGCACTGTTCTACTTGTGCAATTGTTATAATTTTATGTACATTAATGGCACAACATGTATTGCTATGTTTAAAAAACTATATTGTTAGTTAAGATACACACAGCCCATATACTGTTTCATGCTTCAAAACTTCCACAAGCTATTATATTAGTAAGGGTTACATTTGACTTCAATACAATAATTTTTTTCCAATAACAGATAATCAAAGCACCTGTCTGTTGCATTCCTTGATCTGCAACTCTGCTTTTTCCAAATTTCCTTCTAATTTAATTATTTTTTGTTCCAATTCTCCCCTGTGCTCACGGATTGACATATCCAACTGTGTAACCTAAAAAGGGAGAGAGATTGAAGGCAGAAACATGAAACAAGAATTAGAAGTTGCTTATTATGTATGAAATTATGCACCACAGAGTTGTGGTTATCACTTAGGCCCCCAAAACATGTATGAAGCTTCTCCAAATTCATAAATTATACTGATAAAGTTCTAACCTGAGCTGCTCTTTGTTTCAAATCCCAATTCCTTTCTTTTAGTATCTTTTCCATCTCAAGGAGTTCTTGCCTTTTGTTCTCAAGTTCATCCTTGCAGTCTCTGCAATTTCAATTTAAAAATAAAGCATAAGGTTTCCAAAGTACTAGTCCACAATGGTGATGCAGCTAAGTAACAAGGGTTCAGCCTACCTTAGTTCTTCTGTTAAATTCTCGATAGCAGCATACTTCTCCTCCAGAGCCAACTGTGTTTCCTGTAGCATATTCCGTAGTTCTTGCAGTTGTCTCAAACTAGTTTTTAGCTTCCCAGTGGCATTCTGCAGGTCAGTCTCCAGCGTTCCTATTTTCTGCTCAGAATCCTTTTGCTGTGTCTCAGCTTGAAGCAATTTATCTTCTAACTGTTTCACTGTAGTGCATATGGAAAGCAGAAAAGGATGTTAAGTGTGTGTGTGTGTGTGTGTGTGTGTATATAGGTGTGTAGACTGAGGACTACATACTGAATTCACGGCTCTGTTCTAGCAGTGAAAAAGCTAGCAGCTGTGCTAGTCATACATATTAGACAGCTCTGCAAAGATTCTACAGCCCTGTTCCCTGTCAGTTTCGTTCATGTAGGCTTACCATTCCAATGTATATTATCCATGAGAAACACATCACATTCATTTCAAAGTAGTTATGTGTGGCCTTTGCATTGAAAAAGCACAGTAAAGAGCCTACCTTGCTGCGTCTTTTTCTGCAGTTCTTCATGTTTCTCCTCCAAAGTCATTTCCAGGTGGCCCAGCTGCGATGCTTTAGCGTGACCATCTCGTCTTAAGTGAACTAACTCTTTCTCCATGTCTATTAGCTCATCTTTACATTGATCCATCTCTATCTTAATTTGCCTAAGCAAGCAGAATTAGAAAATCTCAATCAGTAACTGAAATAAGCATGTTCATCATGCTATTCTGAGCAAAATATAGATCTACGGCACACTGAGTTTGAACTTGAGTATTTAAGAAGTTGGAACTATGTAGCTGTCTCCAAATAAGATGGGTATGTAACAGCACAATAGCTTATACCAGCCTTCCCCAAACTGTTGCCCTTTATATGTTTTGGACCCTAACTCCCATCAGCCCCAGCCTGCACAACTGATGGGAGTTGTAGTCCTTGATGTCTGGAGGGCAGCAAGTTGAGGAAGGTGGGCTTAAGCTAGGTAAAGGTAAAGGTAAAGGTAAAGGGACCCCTGACCATTAGGTCCAGTCGTGGCCGACTCTGGGGTTGCGGCGCTCATCTCGCTTTATTGGCCGAGGGAGCCGGCGTACAGCTTCCAGGTCATGTGGCCAGCATGACTAAGCTGCTTCTGGAGAACCAGAGCAGCGCACGGAAACGCCGTTTAGCTTCCCGGCGGAGCCGTACCTATTTATCTACTTGCACTTTGGCCTGCTTTTGAACTGCTAGGTTGGCAGGAGCAGGGACCGAGCAATGGGAGCTCACCCCGTCGCGGGGATTCAAACCACCAACCTTCTGATCGGCAAGTCCTAGGCTCTGTGGTTTAACCCACAGCGCCACTCGCGTCCCTTGGGCTTAAGCTACCAGGCCCTTAATGCTTGAACTAACTTGCTTAAAAAGTTCTGTTCTGGAAACCTCTTCTTTCAAAAGATGATACATTCAGAAAAAGAATTTAAAAGTAATGATATATGCAGTATAGAGATTTAAAAGGACAGATCCACAGAAGAGTATTCTGAACCTACCTGATTGTGCCCGTGAGTTCTGCTATTTTTTGTCTTTTCAAATCAGCTTCTTCAGAGACTAAATGGAGATTCTCAGTAGTTTTTCTCAACTCTTCCTCCATAATTTCCTTCTGTTTTTGAAGTTCTTGCTCTAATTTTAATACCTATTTTAAAAGGATTTAATAGAGGTTAGTGTGTAGACATACACAGAACAGCACTGTTAGGCTATTCAATATTTATTTCCTTATCCAAAGTTTAGAGAGAAAGCCAAGAAAGAGCATTTGCAGGTATCTATCCCCTGAAACCACAAACAAATATACACGTGTGCAAGTTTGTGTATCTAGCTTTATCTTAAAGGCCTTTGATTACTGTTTGCCCAATGGATATAGTTCCTCTCCTTTGGAAACAATTGTTTTCAAGATACGTGTCCAATAACAAAAAATAAATGTCTGTTCACCTTCTGATTCACAGGTATAGAGCATAATTCTCCAGTAAAAAGGCAACTAAGGCATAAAACTAATGAATAATAATAATATAATTTTTTTTTTATATCCCGCCCTCCCCAATCAAAGCCGGGCTCAGAGCGGCTAACAACAGTAAAATATTACAGCATTCTAAAATCAATTCATTATAAAATCAGTTCAAATCAAATTGATGGCAACCATTGGGCTAGAGTTCTTTCAAGAATTACCAAAGGCTGTGCCTTGGCCAAAGGCCTGGTGGAACAGCTCTGTCTTGCAGGCCCTGTGGAAAGATGTCAAATCCCGCAGGGCCCTAGTCTCTTGTGATGGGGCGTTCCACCAGACTGGAGCCACCAGAAACCAGTTGTAACAGAGAAGTTAATTTTAATGTAACAAGACTGCTGTGGAACTGATGGCTTGGAGACTGCTCAAGTGGTAAAGGTAAAGGTAAAGGGACCCCTGACCATTAGGTCCAGTCGTGGCCGACTCTGGGGTTGCGGCACTCATCTCGCTTTATTGGCCGAGGGAGCCGGCGTACAGCTTCCGGGTCATGTGGCCAGCATGACTAAGCCGCTTCTGGCGAACCAGAACAGCACACGGAAACGCCGTTTACCTTCCCGCCAGAGCGGTACCTATTTATCTACTTGCACTTTGACGTGTTTTTGAACTGCTAGGTTGGCAGGAGCAGGGACTGAGCAACGGGAGCTCACCCCGTCACTGGGATTCGAACCGCTGACTTTCTGATCGGCAAGTCCTGGGCTCTGTGGTTTAACCCACAGTGCCACCCGCATCCCTGCTCAAGTGGTACCACTACCCTAAAGTCAATTTTTATTGGTATGAATGAAAAGTATAAAGCTTCCATATAATGAACACAATGCATTATATGGATTATAAAACATCACTCAAACAAAATGAAAGTAAAGCAGGGAAGTGCATATTTGCACATTCCTAAAAACCCTTAACCAAGGAATAAGCTCTAACGAACACAGTGGGAGTTCTAAATAATCATGCATAAGATTGTACTGTAACTATAGCAACAGGCTATTAGTATGCAAATAAGCTCTTACAAACTTCAGAAATAAAAAAAAAAAGTTGTGCCATTTGCCTAATCCTGTGTACGTGAATTTTGCAAATCTGACTGCAGGATATAATGCGTACAGACCTATGCTGCACTTGTGCCTTTATAGACCACATCCAGTGGCAAATATCTAAATAAACAAACTAATTCTATATGGCCAACAGGGCTTTAGGCACGTGTTCCTCAAACAGTAGCCCCTCACACTTCATAGGAAACTATTTTGATAGAGAAAGCATTTTCAAGAGCAGCATATGTCATAACATAATTTTGTTTCCCAAATATACATGATACATGAAAGTGTATCAAATAGTAACATGGACAATATAAACCCTTTACTGATCATTATGTACCTGTTGCTGGAGCTTAATTTGGCTGTCTTCTAATTCACAATTCCTAATGGTTTCCTGGTTTAACATTTGCTGCTGCTGCTGCAGTGTTTGCTGCAGAATGAAGTTTTGTTCACTAGTTGACTGAAGATTGTTATTTTTCAACTTTATTTCTTTGTGCAACCGCTGTATCTGGAAACAAATAAAAACGATGAAGTATTAACTTTGAGATACATTCTCAGCTTGCTCCCATTTCATCATTCATAGGAGAGCAGCCTGACAACATACATAAGTTACTACTAAAACACATATGATCACAGAATTTCATTATAATATAAAATCAAATTCACGTAGTATAGTCTATATTTAAAAATATGCTTCTATCTAAAAAAAAGGAGGAACTTTGGGAAAAACCTACTTATATTTTAAAATAAACCATCCTAAATTATTATATCTGCATACTGCTGGCACACTTTCTATCCTAAGCCACACTGAAGATTTTAATGCTTCTGTATTTCCTTACATGTCCTACGAGTAAAATATTTACCGCAATTAAGCCAATTCTCAAGTAAAGCTTTTTTCTGAACAAAGATTCAAATGCCACCACATGGAGCTACCATGATTATGGCCAACTACATGTCTGCCACCTTTAGGCGGGATATAAATATAATATAGTGTGTGTCTGTGTGTGTGTGTGTGTGTAAATTTATTATACACTTACTACTAAAATAGTTTTGAGAGGACTTACGATATAAAAACACAATATATAAAACGCAACAATTAAAACTAAACAAATTGTAATGTACAATTCTAAGAAGCAAAGCACCCCCACCTTCTCTGCAAAACATTAACATAATCAGAACCATCTGAAAGGGGGGTGGCAGTTAAAATGTCCAGAAGAACACTAAGTTGTTAACAATCGAAGAGCAATGTCTTTGTCTTGTGCATAAACCCATGTGCACACCCACAATGGACCTCTGGTTTCCTGAACTCGCAAAGGGTGGGAAAGTACTAAGCGAGGGGAAGAAACAGCAGATAGCATGAATACACCCCAGCAAGCACCTCTCACTAATTTGAATGAGAAACATTATGACAGATTTTGGAAACATAAAATTGAAAGCACTCACAGGTGGATAAACCTGCACAAATGTGCTCACATAAAAATGGCCCATGCACACATTAATGCTCTAATGTAGGCATTAATGACGTAGGCATCAAAAAAGTTTACCTCGTCATTTTTCTTCGCCAGCTGTTTTTCAAATAACACTTTACTTTCTTCAAGATTACTTAAATATACCGCGAGATCTTCCTTGCAGTCATCTAGCGCTGCTTGTAGCTGTCTGACCTAATGAGAATCAAAGGGAGATAAAATTTGGGAAAGAACACCCCCAGAACCTAAAATTGCAATCAAATATGCTACTTTTTGTTATGGGTACAAAGCCAATGTAGTTTTAGTTAATAAACTGGCAGAAATGTAAACCAGTTCTTTAAAATAACAATATCTGAGCATATCTTTGAGCAGCACAACATTTTAAAATGAAGCCGTAAGAAAGTATTTGCATGTTTGCACACCCACGCCACAAATGTTTTTCACAAATTAAAGTTGAATGTGGTGCAGTACTTATTAATTTATTATACCTCGGAGATAGAGAAACATTTCAGCTGTAGCTCACCTGCACCTCTAATAGCTATGCAGCAGAAGGAATTCATCAGGAGTAGCTTTTCACAGTGCAGTATTCCAGGGACTCAAAAATAACCCTGGTATAATCTCATCAATGCAATGAATTAAAATTACAAGAACCCTAATGTTGTGATTCTTGTCTGTAGGTTATACAGACAGAATGTTATAGGATGTCTCATTCTCTCCCTCAAACATACTTTTCTGTGGGTTGTGGGAAATGGGGCAAACTTCATTTTAAAGTATCATGTGATTATGTTTGGAACTCTCTCCCTGATCGACATGGTGCTACCTTTGTCTCTTCTTTCAAATTCATCCTTAAATCCACCTTTCCTCAAGAACCCTATTGGTTATTTAGCCCTCATCCATAAGGAAAATAAATGTATGTGTACATTTGTTCATATTGATTCTTAATCACCCTTGCCTTTCTTCCCTCCCCATTTTTTGTTGCCAGCTCCATGACTCAAAATCTAGATTGTAAGCTCTTCGGGGCAGAGGCCTGTCTGTGATGATTGTTAGCATGTAAAGTGTTTTGTACTGTGATCATGCTATATAAATAATAAAATTAAGGATTAGTTTAATAAACCATAACAGATATAAGTATAAACATAGAATCACAAAGGGTTTTTCTTTACAAATTTAAATAGCTCAAACGTTACTTTGGTGCCTAAGAAAAAATCATTTTAAGGTACTCACTCTTAAATTCTTCCCTTTCATAATGAAATAAGGAGAATAAATGATGGGAAAGAGAGCCTTCAGTATAAATAGTCTAAAGTTTTGATCAGAGAAAGGAACAGAAAGCCTACCAAGATGCTTAAGAAGCTAATTAAATTAATAAGTCAATTTTAATCTGTTTGTATGTTAACTTTTGCAGGTTTCAAAATGCAGTAGCAAACTTTTCTTGATTTTATTGCTTAAACTTCTTGTAAATCATTTTGAGGGGTTTTTTTAGGAACAGAGGTGTATACATTTTATGAAATAAAATATTGCAAGACATGAGAAGTCACAAGAAGTCAAAAAAGAAAAGGAAGTGTACATACCTTGATTGTTTCCTCAGTAAATTGGCTCTGTAATATCCTTATTGCTTCCTCTTTCTTGGTTTTCTGATTTTCCATTTCCTGTTTGAATACAGCATCAAAAGAAGAAAACATACCACCTTAAAACATGATTTTACAGTTCACTTTTAAAAAATACTAGTCCACCAAGAAAAATAAACTCAACAGGAGTGATGGAACTAATAAATCCTGACAGAAGCAGCCCTGTGCAAGGACTGTGTAAACTTATCTCCCCTCCCTGAGGAAATGTTAAGATTTTGCTGCTGTCACAGAGCATGCCAGCAGCACTTTCTGAAGCAACAACACACAGCACCGGGAATGACCATATGAAAAAAAACCCCCGGGTATTTTGCAAGCAGCCCGCACAATAAAAATAAAAAATACCTCTTTGCTTTCTATTAGCAGTAGATCTAGTGATTCAATCTGACGTTGTTTACATAAGATATCTTGCTGTAAAAGTGACATTGTGTTCTCCTGCTCATGGAATTGCTGGCATCTCGTTTCTAGTCGAGACTCAAGCTATTAAAAAGAAGAATTAGTTACTGACCCATAAAGTATTTGTTAAAGGTAAAGGGACCCCTGACCATTAGGTCCAGTCGTGGCCGGCTCTGGGGTTGTGGTGCTCATCTCACTTTATTGGCCGAGGAAGCCGGTGTACAGCTTCCAGGGCACGTGGTCATCATGACTAAGCCGATTCTGGCGAACCAGAGCAGCGCACGGAAACGCCGTTTACCTTCCCGCCGGAGAGGTACCTATTTATCTACTTGAACTTTGACATGCTTTCGAACTGCTAGGTTGGCAGGAGCAGGGACCGAGCAACGGGAGCTCACCCAGTCACAGGGATTCGAACCGCTGACCTTCTGATCAGCAAGTCCTAGGCTCTGTGGTTTAACCCACAGTTCCACCCACGTCCCTATAAAGTATTTGTTAGAGAATGACAAATAATATAGCTGCAACAACTGGTTACATTTATTGGCTACATTGACATGATACTCATTATAACAGGGTCGCCAACAATATATTTATGGGTGGCATTCAAGTAAGTTTTATTTTGAGTAGACCTGTTGAAACTAATGGGCCTAACCAAGCCATGTTCATTAATTTCAATAAGTCTACTCTGAGTAAAACTATATGTCTGGAGATACTTACTAAAGAATGTCCTGCAGCTATAAGTTCTGTGGTATGCTGAATTTAGGGAGAGAGCTGAAAGTCCTCCCTGACATTTTCATTTTTTGATGGAGTTGCTTCTTGAAAGTGCAGGGGAGATAACAAATTATCCATCAATGGAAGTAGGTTTGTGCCTTTATGAACATTTTTGGGAAGGCTTTCCCTTCACCCAGCTCAATGTCCGCAGCCTATTGCTGCTTCAGAATTATTTTTGTAGCTGGAAAGAACACCAGGGCAAAATCCGAGCTAACTCTCAGAAACAACTTGCCAGCTGAAGCAACTTCCTTACACTTAAATTTCAAGTGGCCTCTTACATGTGACTGATCTTATATTTATGCATCGAGCACAAAGGCAGAATGGGAGAGACACTGAATCTTTTATTAAGAGATCACCAAAATATTTAGGAACTGGGGGGAAAAATACTATACAAATTAGAAGCTTACCAATTCAATCTGCTTTTCCAATTCTTTCTGATGCTCGTGATGAATCATCTTTGTTTTTTTAAGCACTGTGGCTAAGTGCCCATGTTCCTCATTGAAGTTTCTTTCTAAGCTGTGAAGCTGAGCATTCACTTCCTAGGAAAAACAACTTCATTATTGAGCTGCATAAATTAATGCTTCAGTGGAAAATTATATGGATCTTTCAGTGCCACGTTATGTCATATTACAAAGCAAAGTGCAGCTAAAAACAGTATAAACAGAAACTGCATTGTACTGAACTGTTTGAAAGCACTTAAGGTAAAACAATTTGCTTGTTAAAAATCACGTTAGAGGTAAACTCTGAAAACACTAATGCCTGTTGGCGTATTTAATATAACATTACGTATGTAAATACATCTCCTTCCATCCCAAGAAGCTGTGAATAGGTAATAGGAGTTTTACCACTAATTCCCGTTCCAGCTCAGTATTTTTTTCAGCAGCAGTTGTGTAAGCAAGAGTCTTTTCTTCCAACTGTTTTTCAAGGGCTGAGAGCCTAGACGATTTCCTTGCTGCCTACAAAGAAATATATAAACTGAGAACACACAGTCTAAAAAAGATTTTCAGCATAAACAATGGTGAAATTATTGAAAGTGTTTCCATGAATGTCACATGCGCTTCATAAAATGTCAATGATAATACAACTTTTTCTGCCCACACCTTAAAAAAAAAACTTTGTGCAACACATATTCACAAGTCACCTCATCACCCAGTAATGCTCTATTGTTTCACTAGACATTTTCCATTTCCCACAATCAAGTATCACGGGTGAAATGGATTGCACCTCGCTCCCTGGCATTACATGCGAACCAAATATATTGCTACTGTATTGCATTGGGTCTTGTGGGACTATGCCACAAACACTACAATGTACTTTGGGCATTCTTTGTCAAGAATGCATCAAGTTAGCTGCTAGCTGGATTATAGGTGACCAACCTCAGCAATCCAATTCCAAAAGGAACTATCACTGTGAAAGAAGGAATGTTCCAAGGATAGGATCTCTAGATGAATTACTGATGAAAAAGAGATTTATAGAAGGCATGTTTCTGTAACAATGGAGCCCTTTGGGGTGTTGCAGAGGTGCTTTTCCTGTAACAATCAAAGAGGTGCCACTATATGATTAGGGCCATAAAAATGGTTTTATTAAAAGATTTTCATGGATAACAAAGGTACGTATATCATATCTGTTTCAATTCAGAGTCCTTTCTACATGTCATTTACATTTGGTGTGAAACACTATTACATAGGCATTTTGAGGTTGGGGAGGGAAGTGGGGAGAGAGAGGTGGGAAAAAGAGGGGGCTAGTGATTTTTCATTCCATTGCATAGTGTATGTGCAGAGTTTTTGTGTTAGCATCACATAAATAGGTTGATTGGTTGGTTGTTTTTGTTGGCAGTGCAAGAGATTGGAGAGCCCAGATCATGGCTGGTTGCATAGTTGATTGCAGTGACTTTTGTGGGGGGAGGGATGTTGGGTCAAATTAGCCATATTGATTTGTATGCTGTCATTTCCTGCAAAAACAGCATAGCCTTTCACAGTAGGAACTATATGAAATTAAAAACTGTGGGTTGTACCTAAGGCGTTGTACGTGTACATGCAGAGAGCCTTCTTGATAGTGGCACCCACCCTGTGGAACCCCCTTCCATCAGTTCCCAAGGAAAGGAGTAACTTTCTAACCATTAGAAGACATCCCTGTATAGGGAAGCTTTTTAATGTGTCATGTTTTATTTTTTTATATATGTTGGAAGCCACCCAAAGCAGCTGGGACAACCCAGTCAGATGGGTGGAGTACAAATAAAAAAAATGTTATTACAGTCTTATAGTTCCAGTAGCAAAATTATTGTTGTTGTTGTCATAATCATCATCATTTATTAAATTTGTATACCGCCCTCCATTTGTAGATCTCAGGGCAGTTCACAACATAAAAAGAACTTGTTTTCCCACACGCACATCCAGAATCTCTGGAAGGTCTCCGCACCCTCCAGCACTGATTTTAAGGGTGTATAGTGGGCTGGAGGGAACAGGAGAGGAAGAGGAAACACATGGCTGTAGCACTGGATAAGGCTCTAGAGAGCTCCTAAGAATACAGACTTCTTCATTTCTACTTACTTCTCGTTCCAAGCTACTAGATTTTGCAGCTTTCTCCAACAGTTCATCCTGTATTGTTTGAAACTGACTAGTTCGCTGGGCCATGGTCTCCTTCAAAAATGAATTCTCAGCTTCACATTTTTCCAGTTTAGTACGTAGTTCTTCTAACTGTCCATGCAATCTTTGCTTGACCTTTTCAAACTGCTTAGCGACAAGTTCCAGTTGTTGGTGTTTTCTCTCTTCACAAAAGAAACACATGTGTCTAAGAGTACCAATTTATAAAATCTTTAAATTACAGGAGCAGGCATGCATGCTCTTATCGCTCAGCGGATTGTTCTGAAGCAACAATCCATACCAGAAGAAACTGTACAGTTTCAACTATTGTATATCATAGTATGCATACCTGTTTGGTTTCCTGTCAATTTTACTGGTTCAATTTCTAGGCCATTCAATTCTTGTCTCTCACTTTCATCAAAGAGATCTTGACATGGATTACTGGTCATAGTTTCTGCCTGAAATTGCTGAATCAATGCTTCTTTCATTGTCAGCTTTAATCTAGGAAAAAGAAAGAAGGGAGAGCAGTTTTATTCTTCCTTTCTTTTTTGACACTCGTTACAAATGCACACAATTACTTCAGCTTAAAATATAATACCTTAGCTCTTCTATCAGGGATCTACTTAAATCACAGCAATTGGGACATGATGCTTCTTTAGAATGATGCATGGAATGACTAGCCTGCAAGTTTAGGGGGGAAAGACACATAAAAAGGTTGTTTATGGCACAATTGGTCATTATTTGAGGAACTTTAATCTCTACCACCCAACCCAAACTAAAAATGTTTAAATTCTCCTTATCTCAGCAGAGTTAGGGTTAAGCACGTGCTCTTTCACTGAACCTGGCAGGAATTAAAAGTGCCTAACTCTAGTGAAAAACTTTGACGATGTTTCAAAATTAACATAAAATGTGACATAGATGGGAAAAGAAAATTGCTTAGCTTTCTCCACCATTGTCATTTCTGATCTACTTCCCCCATTATTAGCTTTTGCACTTATGCTAAGATTATAAATCAACATCTGTGTGACCAAGGGACTGGGATTGTGGTTGATATTCCATCATCTCTGCCTCTTGATTAGCAGATTGGCTTTTCAGACAGTTGCATCGGTTGCAACCACTGGTGTAATGCATCCTAAGAATTTGTTCAGGGTGCACTGCTCTATTTGAGAGTTATAGAAGCCCTATTCAAATAAGGGAAGGATGTGTAGCACACAAAGCTAGGTAAAAATGAGAAATGTGGGGATTTTTCCTTTGAGGCAAACCTTTCAGGGGACAATGAGAAGAGTTATTCAACATGAGTATGTGAAGTATCAGAAGCCCTCCCTCAAGGAAGAAATTGTGGTCTATTCTGGAGACGTCATTGCTCAATTATCGCTTCCTAGACTATATAACCAAAATCCAAACTAACAAACCAATTCTGACATCAATGTGCTTACTATGTAGATAGACTGCAGTGCTTGAAACAACCCTTAATAAGAGTAAAAATCAATGAACACTGTTCCAGTGCAAGGTCCAATAAAACAGGTTACTCTATATTCTTTTAACACAGCAATAGTCAGTCCAGTGCTTGGAATTTAGATGAATGTTCTGTTCAAGCAGAGGTCCCTTTAAAATGTATTCTTCTTCTTCTTCTTCTTCTTCAATAATGAACTATAAAAACTTTAACAAACACTGGAGTGTTCTTGTATGCAGAGGTGCTTATAAAGCTTCCCCTTTAAGAAGCTGCCCTCTGTATCCTCCCACAGTTCACTTCCAAGTTTGAGGACCCTGTGAAATGCCTTGCATAAATTACAGGCGGGTTACCATTAGAAGACATTTTTGCCCCTTCCTCTGTGCATAAATAGAAGTGCTCCTCCCTTGCACACACAGGCTTTGCATTTCATCCAGTGTATATTTAGTCTGCTGACAGTAACAAAAAACAAAAAGGTTACTGTACCTCTCTTGGTGAACTTTGAGACAACTGGGAAATAATGTTTTCTAAGGTTTTTAGTTCAGTTCTTGAATTCTCAATTTCTTGATGATACAACTTGAGGTGATCATTTTGCTGTGCAACAAGAGCTTTTAAGCTAGCAATTTCATGCAACAGGGTATTTTTTTCTTCAAGTACTGTGTCTTGGACCTGAAGTTTATTTTCGAGCTTCAGGATAGTCTGCTGAGAGTGCTTCAGTTGCACTTCCATTTCAGCACATTTGGCTTCCACACCTCTGAGATTTTCTTTTCCAATACTATTCTCTTCAGTTAATTGTCTAAACGAATACAAAAGGAGAAAGGTTCAGGGGTGGAAAAACCAAGAAAATCTACTGCACCAGAAATACTTTATTTTTTAAAAAACTAGCATGTTTCTGGATTTAATTCTGCATATTTTCTAACTGCAAATACCATGGATTTAAAAACTAAAATTTAAAACAAAAATATAGGGTGATGAAAATCACAGGGAAAATTTGAGTATAAATAAAAAAGCGAAGTGGATAACAAGCTGGAGCATCTCAACAGTATTAAGTTCAGCTTCCATAAGCCAATTTAAGCTAGAAAAACTGTGCTTCAGTTTCTTGTTTCAAATGTTGAAATCTATTTTTATTTTTGCATTTGTTGTCTTACAAGAATGGATTAAAAAAAAAAGCTTTTGCGAAATAGGCCAGACTTTTGCTTTCTTTAGGACAATATGAAGATGGGGTGCCCTGTGCTGTACTGGTGAAAGCATCAAGCCACCATTGGATACAATCCGTGATTTCTTATTAAAATTCCAAAACCTATAATTTCTATCAGAAGATAAAGGAAGAATCAAGCTGGGGGCAGGGGGAGCGTCACTGTAGGGAAGGGTCAATCAGAGGTTCCATGGATTGATTATGTTTCCTGCCTCAAGCAACAGGAAAACTTATTATCCACTTGAGAGTGACATCGTGGCTGCTGCCTACAGGCAGAGCAGACAAGAACTGAGAAAACAAATCACTTCTAGTAAAAATACATGCCGACTGTTGGACTAAACAGTCATCCAGTTGTTCCACTGGGCAGTCAAACGGATCCCTCCCAATGCGAGATGGGTTGAGAAAACTTTGTTTGGAAAAATCAGTCACATTACAGCTTTGCTGCTTTGTCATCTGTCGCATGGATTGAGCTGGTCACATAGTGTTGTGCCATTAGCTCAAGGTCAGAGTATTTCATGATCGAAATACCTATTAATAAAATGATCATGCATCAATGTTTTCCATGTGGAGGTGTCAAAGGTGAAACGTTTTACCTCACTTGTTCCTTTGTGCTTTCAAGCTCACTTCTATAGCTATTGCATTTTGCGTGCAATTTTTCTTTCTCTTTCACACAGTTCATTAAATTTCTTTCTAAAGTTTGCTCTTCTTCCTGAACCTGAGTACAAAGAAGACAGTTATCAGCAATACTTAATCTGTTATTAGAGGGGGAAAGTTAAGGCTACAGTCCTGTTTTCAGAATCTTCTTCAGTGAAAATCTACACTGGTGTGGGAGGGAATAGAAATGTTCTGTCCCAATGTTCCCACTACCCAAATTATATAACTACAACTGGAACCTAAGATGTACAAAGATCAGAGAATTGGTCTTTGTGTTTGTCCAGGTCAGGAGACAGCAACCAGATAATTTACCTTTTGCCACTTTGCTATTGATTGCATCAGAATGGCATCTTGGTAATGCATTTGAATTAGTATAATCCAAAGCCTGGACAAAAAGGTTTCAGGTTCTGCATGATGCTATTTTGCTATTTGATGTAAATGAAGGGTTTGCCCCACCCCCTGACCTCCAAGATATCACTGGAGCAGGCACAGGATTGCCTTTGCCTATAAATATAATTTTGCATTTGTAGCTATGACATAGTATTGATTCAAATTTTATTGGTACTAAGACTCAAAAGGTTGTGTCAGCACTGAATTTGCTCAGCAATAATTAAAGTTACAAGCTGTCTAAAACTACAACTATTCATAATATGTGTAAAGAAAACCATTTCTTCCAATGCAACTGAATGGGCTGTTTTAGCTAGAGTTGCTTCCCTCCAGGACTAGGTTGTGCTCCTGTGCCCTTAACAGTGAACCTGGGAATTATGCTCTTCTTGGCACAAAGATGATTTATGCTGGTCAGGCTATAGTTAAAGACATAGGAGCATGCTAGAAGAACATAAATAATCATAGACATGATCTTAACACTGAGACAAATACACATAAAACGCTATTAAAATGATTGACATTTTCTAGTCAAATCTTACCTTTTCCAGTTTCTCACTTATTTTCTCTTTGTATTTTTTAAAAGTTCTTGTCAGCTCCTCAGCATTAAACAAAGCTTCATTTCTCTGACATTCAGTTCTTTAAATGAAAAAGGTATGTCAGTTTTAAACAAACCAAGTGAAGTAATGGTATAATATTATACTCACAATATCAAAACTTTGGAACATAAAACATTGTAAACAAACAACACACGGTAACAGACATTTGCTTTTAGCCTTTAGTTTCATTCAACTGCACCTTAATAAATGGCATTATAGATTTTTTACACGACAAGGTTTACAGATGTAAATATTTCATTGGAGCATTAACAGTTAAAATTAGTATATGCTGAGCATTTCCTTCATAGGAACAGGTAAGCATTTCGATGTCATGAAGCACAACAGCGTTCTCCAGTTTGAACGCTGAGAAAAACATGTATGCCTTTCACTGAATGACAGCAATGCATTAAGTAGACTGGGTGCATTTTATTTCTTCATCATTTTCCAAGCAATAAATGATTCAACCACTAAAGTTAAAGGTGAAATACATCACATCTAAAATATGAGAATAAATACTCTCTGCAATACTGAAAACATAAAACTCTAATTAAGATAATTATGCACCGCTAATTTATTTCCACAGCACTGACAGATATATAGAGGTAATGGGGATATGCAAACATAGTTAAAGCTAACAGGGAACGCTGCAAGAACCCTGATCTACTCTGTCTAAGGCTGGGGAACTCACAGCCTATGGGTCCTATTCACCCTGCTGATCAATTTCATCCAGAATGATTTTTCCTTCATTAAAAGGGACACTCTGGCTACAGCAACATCCGATCCACTCTGGGTTCTGGCTGTGGTAAACATTGGGCCACAGCCGGACACTCATCTCCGTAACTCCTTCTGGGCTCCTCCACTCAGCCTGTCCATTGGCACAACTTGTCCCTCAGCCTATAGCATCTGGGAAGCGAAGAGTGGGCTGAAAGCCAAGCAACAATTTGGCTGGCATGCTTTACTTGGCACACAGGAGGGCACAAAAGGCAAAGCAGCAAGTGGAACTCAAATTGCACCTTGACTGCCATCTCCTGTGCACACACAGAGCACGAATTAAGGATTCTTGTAAACCTCCCACTTTTGGCTCTGTCTCTGTCTACCACTGGCTCCAACCCAATTGACTTTTCCCATGGCTCAATGGCCATTCAAATAAAAAAGGCTCCCCACCTCTGTTCTAAGGTTTTGTTCTGACATGATTTATTTCCTGGAAATTGGGAGTGGGCTTCATGAACATGCTTTATGCAGTCCCTTCCTCGCTCTTGACACAAGAAGAAACCAGGAGAAGATAGCTTTAACTTGATATCTCCCAGATCCATTCATGTTGCACTGTAAGGGAGACTCAATGGTCAACTTATTATGGAATCTATTGGTTCAGTCATTCCCTTCTCCCCATAGGGAGCCGAATAGGGCAGAGGTAGAAACACACAGGGGTGTACTCAAAAGTAGTGCTAAGTAACTTCTTGCACCAGTGAAATGACCTCAGCTTGTGCAAGGATTCTTTCCCCCCCTCCCCACATACCTCTTAAATTTGTTCTGGGGAGGGGTCTACCAAGCCTCCAGAATAGGTTTTTGGATAGCATGCAGTGCCCGTGAGAGGAAAGGGGGAGAGTCCCATTGTTCAAGTGAAGTAGTTCCACTTGTGCGTTTATTTATTTGAATACCACTCATATACCACAGACTAATTCCAGTATCTCTCCAGGAGGAAATGACCTCTTAACAGCCTTGATGTATCTATGCATAGGCAACTTTATTTCCATTCAGGCCTTTTTGGATCAAGGTTTGAAATGCTTAAACTAGGATTTACTAAATGTAATATAAATGAGAAAGCAATCTTGCAAATACTAATTTCTATTCAATTTGAGAAGCTGTTTTAATCTGTTCCAAAAGCAACCAGCCTGAAAATTTGTTTTAATCTGTTCCAAAAGCAACCAACCTGAAAATTTGTTTAACGGTTAAAAAAAAGTCATATACATCTATATGACATGGTACCAGTACAGTGGTACCTCGGGTTAAGTACTTAATTCATTCCGGAGGTCTGTACTTAACCTGAAACTGTTCTTAACCTGAAGCACCACTTTAGCTAATGGGGCCTCCTGCTGCCGCCATGCCGCTGGAGCACGATTTCTGTTCTCATCCTGAAGCAAAGTTCTTAACCTGAAGCACTATTTCTCCGTTAGCGGAGTCTGTAACCTGAAGCATATGTAACCTGAAGCGTATGTAACCCGAGGTACCACTGTACTGCCAGTCATTCCACTTTTTTCCTAATTTAATTAGATTAATTCTGAAAGAATGTTGTAGGTTTTGTTCAACATCAGACAAAGCATCTCACAACAAAAAATTTGGAGCAAGGAGATATGTCATCAAGCTATAAGAATAAAAATCAAGCTCTTGTGTAATTTGTCACCTCTTTCCTTGTTTGCATTGTTCAATTAAATCAAATCTAATTTCTTTATATTCCTCCTTCAGCTTCTGGAAAGAATATTCTTTTTCCATTAGCCTTTTCTGGCTTTCCTCTAATTTATCTTCTGCTTCTCTAAAAACAAATCAGAAAACAGCATTTTAAACAACACATAATACTCACAGATGTGTATACGTAATAACGTGTATGCGTAATACACAAATAACATGAACGTATCTGGTTAAGATCGTCAGGTAATGGAGAGCATTTCCCCCTTCCTCTAGCACACAAATTTGAGAGAAGTGGCCAATCAGGTATCCTACAGATCAGGTTTTTTAAATTCAAACTAGTATTTTGGTGGGTATATACGGATGGTTTGGATCTTGTTAGCTATACCAAGTGCTTGCCTGAATGAACAAACAAGTTTTACTAAGCATTTTGCCCAAAGCAAGCAAGCCACAAACTTTCTCCTTTATTCCTCCTAACAAGAGATTTTAAAAATCGAAAAACCTGATCAAAACTAATAAACATAGAACTTAATTTCTATTGGAAAAACAGTAAGTTCAAGATGCAATCAATCTGCATAAGTTATTGGGGAAAATAAAAATATAACAAATATCAATTTAGTTGTTTGGTGGGATAGAATAGAATGATAGCATAGTTACATTTGATGGGTTTAAGGAAATAACATTGTATTATTTATTAAATATCAAGGAGTTTTGTGAGTAATTATTACAATTTAGAATTTTATGTTAATTTAAAGCTGTGCTGAGTAGCCAACTAAAACTATCATGCTATGTTGAATGCTTTTAAGCCATTATGGTGTTTTATGTCCTACTATGGAAAGTACGGGGGAAACCTTTTTGAATAACAAGAATAAGAAAAAAGTATGATCAGAGCAACACAGCAGATCTTTCTGATCTCCTCATCTGGACTGTGAAAGAGGTGAAGAATAGAGTAGACAAGCCTGCAGCTCACCATGGCTTTGGTGAGCTACAACCAAGTGTAGTCAAAAACCATGGTTTACCATTGTGTCTTAACTGGACCTAATTGCATTTGCCTGCCTAACACTATGACCCTGTTTGCAATGAGTTAATTTCACTGAGGTCAATAGAATTGTAAGTCAGAGGTTGGAGATAAGTGTACAAGTAATTCTGATTTTGCTGTGAGTTTTCCAAATTTGAAAAAATAATAGCATAAACACTCCTGTTTTTAGGAGATAAATCACATGAAATCCAAGACTCTTTACTCACCCTCAATATGAGGTGCAATAAGTGAGCTAGGCTATCTATTTTAGGATGAGGGTACCACATTCAAACAAGCATTATATAGCCCCATTCTTCCCGTGGCAAGGAAAAGGATCATGTGTACATCTGAGACCCATGCCAAAAAAATGGATGAACCAACCCTGAAGATTTGAAAAAAAAACCAAATAAAAAACAAAGGGTTCACTACTTTAGAGCTTTATCTTGTGCTTGAACTTCTGCTTCCAAACTTGCTATCTGTTCTTCTAACATTGGAATGCTGACAGAGTGTGTACTCAAAGTAGATTCAAGGAAAGATATCTAAAATATAAATACAATAAGGAGAATCCATTAATGAGTTGCCTCTTGACTTCTGAACATCATAGTCACACACACAGCCAATTGAACAGGAGTTTCTTTTGAAGAAGGCTATTTCTTCATTAGTTCCCAAAAAGCTCTCTTTGCTATACTGTGGGGTTTTTTTAATTAAAGAAAACTACAAATAGTCCAATCATTGAAATGAATACTGATCAATTATATGTAATTGACCAGAATGAAAATATTTTCTGTATTTTATTCTCACTTCATTGTATCTACCCAGTATTGTTAGTAATTAGTAATCACTCACTAACATTCATTATCAAAACCATAAGCCAGAGATCTGAAATTTGTTTATCTACATAGTCCAAGGCAAACATAACTACTAGGAAGGGGTTGGGAAGTAATTTGAGAACAGGATATTTATGCATTTCTTCCCCAAAACTGAGGATTCCAACTGTCCCCCAAAATGATAGTGTTACTCTAATGTTAGCTAGAACGCTGGTATTTGATAAGCCTGAGGGAAGGGGGCTTATCTAAGAATTTGGATATCTGAAGCTCTTTCCCTCAAACAGTAGGGCTCAAAGTATGCCTTCACATGCTTAAAATATTTCTAGGGTGGTGGATGATGCTTGAGCAACATTATTTATCATTTCTTAACATATGCAATCCTTTCTGCTATGCAGGGAAAAGGTAAAGGTAAAGGGACCCCTGACCATTAGGTCCAGTCATGGCCAACTCTGGGGTTGTGGCGCTCATCTCGCTTTACTGGCCGAGGGAGCCAGCGTACAGCTACCAGGTCATGTGGTCAGCATGACTAAGCCGCTTCTGGTGAACCAGAGAAGTGCACGGAAACGCCGTTTACCTTCCCGCCGAAGCGGTACCCATTTATCTACTTGCACTCTGACGTGCTTTCGAACTGCTAGGTTGGCAGGAGAAGGAACCAAGCAACGGGAGCTCACCCCGTTGCGGGGATTCGAACCGCCGACCTTCTGATCGGCAAGTCCTAGGCTCAGTGTTTTAACCCACAGTGACACTTAATTGCTATACTATAAAACAAAACTGTAAAAATCCACAAGTTATTATTGCTCCATAGATTTCTTAGGCACATACCTAAGATTTAAATGTAAGCCTAAAATAAAAACTGTGAATGAGATGAACTTGTAACATACAATTCCCAATCATGTATACATAATGCTGCAAATCCACATATGCATAATTGCCTTCTAACTTTGTGCAATACAACTTTTGGGTAACACCCCTGAAGTAATAATTTCATGATCTCAACATATGGCTCACAGGTTTACTTTCATAACATGTTTTAATGATTGTCATCCCCATACCCCTGATCCTGTAAGCAAGTATACAAATATAGAACTAGCTCCTTAACTCAAGTTAAATTAGAATAGTATCTTTAGCAAATCAGAATGCCTCAAAATTTTATCTTATTCAAATACCTACCCGTGCTCTTGATTGATTCAGTTCATAGTTTATTGTTTCAATTTTATTCATTAGATGATGGTTCTGAGAAGTCAAGGATGCATTTTTTTCGCGGACTATATTCAATTTATCCCTTAGTATTTCATTTTCTTCTTCCAGGGTTTTATCCAAAGACAGCGAGTAACACTAGAAGGCAAAGAACAATATTTGCAACAAATACCAACCAAAGTGATTCATTCATCTTATTTTTTTATGATTAACATTATGAACTGACCTATAAAACTAACTCCATAAGAATATTATATACAAACTGTCAGAAAGAACAAACAAACGTCCATCAAATTCTGAATAATTACTTTGTTCTTATGTTTCCTTGAAGAATCCCTGTTATGCCAAGGCATTCTGCTCAGAGAAGATTGAGTTGAACAATTATGTAATTCACTAGGATCAGTGAGATCTTCCATGGTTAAAATCTCAAGCGTGTCATCAGGATTATATGAATTCGTACTAGAGGAAAACAAAACAAATATCAACACCTTCTCTTGATTTTTGCAGCAATTTTTTCCAACCGACTATCAAAATTAGGACAGTTTGCAGCAAATATATTTGTAAACAAACACAGTAAGTTTTACCTTTGGACACATACATAAAGCTCTTCTCCTAAGTCTTGTAAATTTCTTTCCGTTTTCTTTAGCCGACTCCTTAATGACACAACATTTGCAAACAAGTCTTCCTCATCCGTATTGTGATCATGAGAAGTCCATAAGTTACGTTCCATTGATATTATACATTTGTCTAATGTAAAAGATAACTACAAAAACATATCAATAAAGCACCTTCCACCTTTTGAAGAAGAAACCCTTTAAAATGACAGAGAAAATAGCCCTCTGTTTCAGATTTTGGATTTATAGTATGGCAGAATCGTGATATAATGCTTCCTGCAACCAGTTTGCTAATTTGTAGTTGGCCTCTTGAACATGTACTTCCCTAACACTCTCCCCTTCCTGGCATTCACAATGGCCAGAACAAATTAGGCTTCCTCCAATACTGCTTTGTCTACTGTCATTTTGGCTATTTTACTTTCACATAATTACCACTGTCCTTTTTACATTTCATTTCAGGCCTCAGAATTTGCTCCACAGTGTGTCCATATACACCAATTTAAGATTACACTTTTGACATCTGATGAAGAGGGCAGTCTACAAACACTTTTCCCACAATAAAATTTGTTAGTCTTGCAGGTGCCACAAGTCACTGCTGTTTTGTCGCAACAGACAAACACAGCTAACCCTCAGGGGAGAAAATCCTCCTCATAAACACTATTTGCAAACAAGCTTCAGACAAGATTATAATGTTTAGTTTGTAAAGGATCTGTGGCTTGTGCCTCTGCATTCCAAACACAAACAAAAGTAAGTTTAACTTTGGAAATTGAATTGTTCTGGGAGAAGGCAAGGGGTGAGAATTAAATTCACCAAGCAAATCTGCAAACTGTATTTTGCAGAAAGCCATAGCAGCACTCAAATAAAGTTTTGTTTGTTTTTTGCTTGCCGATCTGTATGCTAATGCAGCATGACTTAGCTGCTCCTTGCTCTTCTGAAAAGAGCATTTTAAATCCAAATTTTAAAATGACATTTTTGAGGGTGCATTTCCATAAACAAAGGTGTTGGGAGACCAAGAACACCAGGGTGGCAACCCTACCACCCAATGGCGACCCAATCTTTTGCCAACTGCAATGCTGCCTTTTACAGCATCTGGAGCAGTTCATCTGGAACAGCTCATTTCTTATACCCAGCTCTTCTGCGGTCTGCTGTGACCCTTACAAAGTATTTCTCGGTATCTCCAAGGCAAAGCATTGCCATGTGTGATGTGCTATTCCAGTACTCCCCTTTGCCTAGTTGAGGCTGACCCGTTACTAGCGGCGTTTTCTCAAGCTTGGGTCCCCAGCTGCTGTTGGGACTACAATAATACTAATAATTTATTATTTATACCCCGCCCATCTGGCTGGGCTTCCCCAGCCACTCTGGGCGGCTTCCAACCAAATATTAAAATGCAATAATACATCAAACATTAAAAGCTTCCCTAAACAGGGCTGCCTTCAGATGTCTTCTAATCCCAAATCCCATCATCGCTAGCTAGCAGGGACCAGGGGTCAGTGATGATGGGAGCTGCAGTCCAACAGCAGCTGGGGGACCCAAGTTTGAGACGCACTAATGTTTTACTGGACTGCAACTCCCATCAGCCCTGACCCAACGTTGGTCGGAGCTCATGGGAGCTGGAGTCCAGAATCACTACCAACCAGCCTCAGGCTGCCCTCACCTACTTATTTACAGCCATTCAGCATTGTTCCTCGGCCCCCACCTGCTGTCGCTGCTCTTCATCCTGCCAGTCCCAGAGAGCACCAACCCTGCACAGCTTCTGCCCCGGGAGGCAGGCTGACCTTCTCGCCTCAGGGGCCACCCTTCTCTCTAGCAGGCGGCGGCATTTTTCCAAGGAACCGCCTCAGCCGCGCGGGTTCCAGGCCAGAGTGCTTCGTGTTGCTTAGCAACGCTGCCTCCACGCCTCTCCCCCTCAAGCATACAGGCCTCACGCCGTCCCACAAAGCGAAGGCGCGTCGCCTTGGTTTCCCTATTATAACCAGCCCTAACCGTTTAGCTACTGCACTCCGCTCCGGACTCAATCCCTTCAGCCAGAGCGGCAGACCTTGCTTACCAGGCCCTCTCTGAGGAAACGCCTCTTTCAATCAGTGCGGCCCTGTCGCTTCGCGCGTTCCGAATCGCGGTCCTCGGGGCGACCCGTCTCTCCTGCGTTCGAACTGCGCGGGCCGTAACCTGACAGGTGGGGGGAGGAGACGGTTGCCGGCGAAGCGGCGGCTTAAATCCTTCCGCGCTAAAGCTCTCGGGAGCCGTAGTCTCTCCTCCCCGCCCTCCCCGCTTCGCCCCTTCCGCTTCCTTCCCTGCTCTCAACTACATTTCCCGCAGTGCCTTGCGGTGTCGAGGAACCTCCTGTCGGCGGCAGCGGGCACGCGTTTTTTTCAAAACGAGGGGAAGTCGCTCCCCTCGCGCTCTTTCCTCCCCTAGGCGGAGCTGCGGCGCGCCGTGCATTGTGGGTACCCAGCCTCGTTCTTCGCCTCAGAAGACCTGAGGCGGGCGGGCGAGCGAGACCGGACGGCGAGGAGGTGCCGTCTCCGGAATTTCCCGCTTCCTGGGTGTCGAGGGCTCGGCGGCGATGGAGGCGGAGATGCGGCGGTGCCTGCTGGCCTCGCTCCTGCCGCTGCTCTTGCTGCTGCTGCCTCCGCCGGGCGCCTCGGCTTTCGCCACCGCCTTGGACAGCGACTTCACTTTCACCCTGCCCGCCGGCCGCAAGGAGTGCTTCTTCCAAAGCATGCAGAAGGAGGCCTCTCTGGAGATCGAGTATCAGGTGAGGGACGGAACCGTCGCCCTTCCTAGTTTCCTCAACTGCTTGGGGTAGGAGCGCACGTGTGAACGCGGGCACCCGCGCCCAACGTGCAATCTCGTGTCCGGGAGAGGACCAGCTCGCGTGTTCGAGTCGTAGGAAAATCCATTCCCTCGGCTGCAGTCGGGGTTGCCTCCTGCAAAGCGAGTGGAAACGCACACAAACGCCCTGCATGTCAAAAAGAAAAAACGCTTTATTGTGTGTGCCTTTTCTGAACCTCCCTTACTTGCTGCACAGCCACATAGAATCATAGAGTTGGAAAGGGGACCCCAAGGGTCATCAAGTCCACCCCCCGCAAGGCGAGAATCTCATACGTGACAGATGGCGAGCCAACCTCTGCTTTAAAACCACCAAGGAATCCACCATCACTCCTGGGAGGTATTGTTTGGGGCTCCAGTATGCAGACCTGTGTCTGTTAACACTGTATGCAAAGAGGCTTATGTCCAGCGAAGCGTGCTTCGGATGATAATTTGCGTTTTGTTTTTCCATAGTCTGGTAGAGGTAGTAATGCTGGGTCCTTAAGAAGAAAGCTATATGCTGTGTTTTCTGTTGCCGTGGAGTAAAACAGGACCTTAACTATAAAAGATGGGGTGGGATGGCATGAAAGTCACCTTTAGCCTCAAAGTACAACCGGAATATTTGGATATACCTGCAGGATCAGAACATTAGGGTATAGTTCTGAAGGGCCAGAAAGAAAGCCATGTGAGTATTACTTCCCTCTAGCTTCAGAATGACAATTCTTTTCTTTCTTTTTACATGGAGGAAACAGGCTAGATAAATGTCATGAAAGGCTGGGTCAAACTGGTTTGGGAGCTTGATCTGATGACCTTAGCCAAACAGAGGACTTCTGAAATTTATCTAGAGCCACGTAAGCCAAATATGTTGAAATAGTGCTGAATGGAGGTTTGAGACAAGGTGGAAATGAGCAGCATTTCTGCTCTAGTTGCATAGAATGCAACTGGTACATGTTCCTGTGATGGTATTTAATGGAGCATGATGTATGGATGTAGAAATTAGGGGTGTGGGGAGGGGGCATGCCTTGGAGAGAGGCCCAAGGGCCAGATAGAAAAGCATGGAGGGCTGCATTCAGAGGAGCCTGAGGTTTCCATCATCACATTGGGAAGTAAATAATAATACAGTCATACCTCGGGTTACAGCTGCTTCAGATTGCGTTTTTTCAGGTTGCAGACCGCCGAAACCCGGAAGTACCGGAACGGGTTACTTCCAGGTTTCAGTGGTCGCGCATGCGCAGAAGTGCTAAATCGCGCTTTGCGCATGCCCAGAAATGCCGAATCGGAACTCGCGCGTGCGCAGACGCGGGTTGCAAACACTGCGGGTTGTGAACGTGCATCCCACACGGATCATGTTCACAACCCATACGTCCACTGTAATAATAATGAGTGCATTTATTTTTACTTGCTTTTCATCCTTTTTGTCAGCATATCTTCCAAAGGCAAGTAATGTTTATAAAAAAAATGAAGAGGTCTTCAAACTGTAATCTAGAAACTGTGTTAAATGTTCCTGGAGATCACAGTTGCTACTCAAAGGTGGAAGGTCTTATGTACACTGAGACTCTTTCTTAAAACATCTTGTCTATGAATGTAGCCATTTGTTCTTTAGTGGTGTGGTTGATAGTGAGTACTGAAGTACCAAGCACTATCTGAATGCATTGAATAAAATTACAATATAGAGAAATGGGGAGCATCTCTCAGTCAGCTCTGCTGAGAGATCACCCACCTCCTTTTGACTTATGTTCCTGAACTGTTTCTATTCCAGCTGGTTTGCTATTTTGTTCCTCCCCATCCTTTTTCCTTTTGTGTCACAGCTTTTTAAATTGTAAGCTTGAGGGCAGGGATAGTCCTGATTTTTATTGATCTCTAAGCTGCTGTGGGATACTTTTCGGCCAAAGAGCAGGGTAAAAAAAATCTTTAAACAAACTGCTTTTGCCAACTGTATCTATAGTTTCCTAAAAAGTTAAAATACATAGTAGTAATCTTAGATAACATCTCAGTGTGTTCATATAGATCCATGTAGATTTGTCTTCAAGTAAGATTTGAGTATTAAACATGATTCATTTTAGGTTTGCCTTTTTCAACAGATACTACACTTTGCTCATATACGCTGTTTGTTGACTTTACAGGTTCTCGATGGAGCAGGTTTAGATATTGATTTCCATCTATTATCACCAAAAGGTGAAGCACTGGTTTTTGAACAGAGAAAATCGGATGGAGTCCATACGTAAGTTTTTAAATGATTTCATTAAACGTTAGTTAAACCATTTTTAGTGGCATTCTAAGAGCTTAGTAATTAAGACTTCATTCCTGAATTGTACGAATGGGACTTCACCGGAGGGGATTTTTCTGTTCCCTCTTCCCTTCCTGCACTCATTAAAGTGTAATGTCTTTTGTGTTTACAGGGTGGAGACAGAGGATGGTGACTATATGTTCTGCTTTGACAACACATTCAGCACTCTGTCAGATAAGGTGATTTTCTTTGAACTGATATTGGATAACATGGGAGATGAAGAGGAAGATTGGAAGAAGTATATCACTGGCACAGATCTTCTGGATATGAAGCTAGAAGATATTCTGGTATGTATCTACAATCCTTTTTAAAAAGCTATGGAGTGAATGGCTCTGTACGCTTGGAATTTATTTGCTCTCCCATCTGCTACTACTTTTCAATAGGATCACCCTATTGAAAGCTGCACAACTATCTCTAGTGGCCTTAAATTGTGATAAGTGTATTATTGATTAAATATATAGCCTAAATTCTGCAGCATGTGAAAAGAAAGGGAAGTGTACATACCTCAGCTTTGGAAGTAACAGATGCAAGTTCTCATTTTGAGGCTTTGGAACTAAGCACGGTGACAAGGAGTTGGGGCTCACAAGGTCATTGCTATATTTTGTAGATGAGTCTGCTGTGTTGAATTGTGTGCTTCTCTTTTATTTTTCTAAAACTAGTGTTTTGATCTTTATTAGGAATCGGTCAACAGTGTGAAGTCCAGGCTAAGCAAAAGTATCCATATTCAGACCCTGCTCAAAGCATTTGAAGCTCGTGATAGAAACATACAAGAAAGCAACTTTGACAGGGTAAACTTCTGGTCCATGGTCAACCTTGCAATAATGGTGGTGGTGTCAGCTGTTCAAGTTTACATGCTGAGGAGTCTTTTTGAAGATAAAAGGAAAACTAGAACGTAACACCAGTGTCTTAATAGCATTAAACAGGGGGAAATGCAATACACTGCTAAAGAAAACGGAGATTTTCTTCCCAGCTTGTTTTGAATGAACAGTTTTTAACATTCGTTTGTGACTTTTTAATATGAGCAGAATGCTTTTCTTTGCTCCAATAAATTGCAATAACTTGGTTTATTAAGATGGTGGATAACTTAAAACTTGCCTGAATCTCCTCAGCCATCTATACTGCACAATTTTTTTTTGCAACAAATTCAGATTTTATATTTACCAATATTTGATACTATGTCTTAATGACTGCTAGCCTAAAGGTAGTATTTTAAAAAGAAAAAAGATTCATGAAGTTATGAATTGAATTGTGTATTTAGTATTTGAGTCCTGCCTTGGATATGTCAGTTAAATGGAATATTTGCTACAGCAAACTATGCTGTTATTTAGACAATATTTTAAAATGGGTGTAAGTGAAGACTCATGTGCCTTATTTGTACTAATTAGCAAACTTATTCAACAAAAATTAACTGGCATCTAAAATGTATATTGCATCCAAATTCTTTCATTTTCCTCACTTTGTGAATTAATTTTAAGTTCAGATCAGGGTTTGTTTTCATGATTCAGAATTGCAAAAACACAAACTCAAGGGTGCTGAAAGGCACCATCTTTTTCCTCTGGATTATTTATGTAACACAAACCCTGCAAGTGCCTAGGCATATTAGCAACCAGTTTTGAGGCCGTGTAGCCACTTACATGCATACATGTTTGTAAAAGGACTCATTATACCCAATTTGGGGGACTTCGTGAATCGCTTTTATTCTACCACACAAATTAATAACATTTGAGTTTTTTATACACAGGCACATCTAATGTGTTTCAAACCAGGTTTACTATAATAGCACATTCCCCTCATACACCTGTTGCTTTGCCAATGTCTCGCTCCCATTAGCTACAGCCAGTATACTCCATTGTTAGAGATAACAGGAGTTGTCATACAGCAACATTTAGAAGGCTAGAATTCATAGCTGTCAACGTTTCCCTTTTTTAAAAAGGGAAATTCCCTTATTCCGAATAGGATTCCTCGGAGGAAAAGGGAAAAGTTGACAGCTATGCCCTAGATACTGTAGTTCTGAATATGTGAGAGAGGATGGAGATAGAATGCTCCAATTTTCATGGTTACTGGGTAGGGTAGCTGAAATTGACTTACAGCTAAAAGCCCAGTTTCCCTTATTGTGATTTTTAAAAAACAGCAAGTTTTCACTATTTCATTATGCAGTGGAACTTGGTTCCTAGTTAATGGGCTAAGGGTTACAAACTTTGATTAAAGCAGTTAACAGTTGCTCATCAAAATGCCATGCATGTTTGCATGCTGAGATGGCTCCTATGGCTGTAATCCAGCAAACCTGGATGTCCCAAACTGATTTCTGAACATGCATATGTGTATATATTCCATGCTTAGCATGGTTAACATGTTTTGGGTTTGTTTTTTTGCTTGAAACTACACAAATAGCATGTCGGCTGCTGAAGTTGATATGCAGATATTAATTCAATTCCCATTATGCTAAGCAGCTTATGTGGGGCTAAGTGTAGAAATGCACCTCAAACATAGCTCAAGGTTTTGAACCACCAGGTAATAATTCTTGTGAACTTGAACCTATTTTTCAACAGTATTAGATGTCACATACGGTACTTTTGCCATAAAGTTAATACTGGTGTGGCTAATGATACATAAATTGTTACCAGTTTATAAATGTAAAAATTATTATGTGAACATATAAGCATATTAAGTTACAGGTAGCAGACCAAGTAGTTATTTACAGCTGCTACAGTGGTAGCATCTATGCTTATCCTCTTCTGCCCATATTCATATTTTTTACATACCATTGGGTCAAATAATTAGGCTGATTTAAATGAGTCTTAGTACTAGTGACCCATTGCTATACATTTTGAGGCTGCAGCAATGGGATCTCTAGCTGGCTGTAGTTATCTACTAAATATCAGCAGAAATGAAGTCTTAAAGCCAATTATATGAGAATTATTCCCAATTTGAGGCAACATAGTATTAAATATGTCATGCAAATGTGGATGCCAAGGTTTCAAAATATACGATCTTTTAGCACTGTAATGTTAAAAAGTATGTTCACCAAAAAGCTGTGACTAAGCCTTCTACCTCTCAGTTTATGCTAATGCCAATTGATCTGTCCTTTACAGTTCTGGTTTCCAACAAAACATTACATGTATATAAAATAGGGTGATAGCCAACTACATCATACCCATTCTCAGTCATCCTCAGTAGACCTATTAAAATCAGTGAACTTAAGTTAGTCGGATACCATCCACATTGCTGGGGACTTAACAAATTGCCTACTATGGCACTCATGGTTGTGCTGTACATTTTCATAATGCTGCAGAATAGTGTGTGCAATTCCACAGGTAAGAATGAACACAGCAGTAAAAATGAACACGACGGTAAATGGATAAATTTCTGGCTGTGAAATGGATTTAATAAAGGAATTCTAAACTTAATGTGTATTCAGTGTTTATTATTTGATTTCTTACCCATTTCACCTAAAGTCCCAGGGCAGGTCATAACAACTTAGTGGTAAGACATGCAACATTCAAATGCATCTTTTGCCTACAGGACAGTGATATCCCTGCCACTGACACTAAAGCGAGAACCCTACTCATTAGTATGCATTGGGCATGGTGTATAGAAGTGGGAAACCTTTTTGGCTCCACGGCACAGATCCTTATCAGAATCTGCCTCAAGGGCAAATTTATCTCCCCCACCAAATAAGACTACAGCAAGATTGCTCCTCTCCTTTTAAATCCTGCTGCCTGGGATGCACAATCCTGTTTGTTCCTGCAGGATAAAACCATGTCCTGCCACCCCATTTACTGCTGTAAGCAGGTGGGCATGGTTTAGTTGAAATTGCCTGGCAGGCCAAATTGGGGACACAATATTGGCTCTCGGGCCATAGATTCCACATCCCTGTTGTGTATATTATCAATTCATCCCAGTTACTCAGACTGCAAAATTTAGAAAATTCAAATATGCACAATCATTATATACTCATGAAGCAACCAGACTTATTTTAACTACTGACAAGTAAGCAAGCATAGCAGCACTTGGCAACAGAATCTGATTAATAATCCCCCCCCTTTTTTTTACAAGTGGAATAACTGATTTATAGCAAGAAGGTAAGCAGCAAGCAAGCAGAAATGCTATATAGATAATTTTTCCATTTAGTCTTTGAAGTTAGGGCAAATAATACAAAACAGGCTGCTATAAAATCAAGTATTATACAAGCATGGCTTAGTTTTCAAACAGTGATTGTGGGCTGTGCCATCTCCAATTTCAGGTTGGGACTCATGACAATATTTTCTACACTCAAAAATCTGCACTAAATGGGATATTCTCTTAATTCTGAAGCACGATAGTCCAGCAACTAGGTTTCTAGCATGGCGTAGTAAGCTATCAACAGCACAGTTTAATTTGTTAGTAGACAAAACAAACTGGGAGCAATGACTCTATCTCGTATGAGGAGTTCCATCTGAAATAGGAGAAATGTTGAACAGCCATAACAGCCAGGCAAAATTAGTACTAACTAATGTCTGCATTATTAACAAAGCTGTTCTTGTGACCCCTGGGCAACATAAAATTCCTGTGCCATTTCCCCTCTCACCTCAATTTGTTCATATGGCCTCTGCCGGTGGAGCGGGCAAACACTGGTTACATTTATTTCACGGAAGGACGGGCAATTCCCTTGCTCCAATGCTATGACCTCAAAACAAAGTGTAGCAGCTGCCTCCATAAAAATTGATACTGGGTGATTTAGTTCCGTCTGCTTGCTAAACGCGGGGTCGCTATTTTTAGCACTGCAACTTATGCAGACCATTGAAAATTACAGTAGTTATCTGGAAGCTACTGAGAATACCTAATTAATGAAGCAAAACTATGCAAAGATAACATCTTTAAGAATACAACTCTATAAAAACGCAAACAAGCATTCAAATTTTGTACAGCAGAATATAATTCACTAGTTTGTTTGAAAAGGGTCTCACTAGAGATTCTGAACTAATAACAGAAATGGATCCAATTAATGTGGTCTCAACTATGGCATACAGGTGCTAAAACCAATACTGAATTGTGGACTACTCAGTCTAAAGATTAAATAATAACAATCACCATCATTATCCACCTATCTGACTTGGTGGCTTAGAATGGGCTATTATTTAGTGGTCTAAATAGTTTTCTCACATTTGTCACCTACACTGCCAAATTTGATGTCCTGCAGTTTATAAAAGCTGAAGGAGGTTATATAGTAGTCAACATGCAAGAATGCTCTTTCAGGCACTAGAAAGGGAGGAGCAATGTTCAGATAATTAGCCTCATTCCCATATTTATGCCAAAATCAATCCCACTGAGTTAAAGGAGACTGCATTGCCAAGCTGTTGTATTCTTGCATTTGCACTTGTCTGAACATGCCTAGGATTGTGCTGTTGCCTAAATCACTTGGAAGAAAGCTACACTGAAGATTGGAGTAGGAAACCTTGGGACTGGGCTACAATCCACATTGCTTAAATCCAGAACATGTTTATAAAGTCCCATTGAACTTACTTAAAGAAACATACTTAAATCAGGCTTTAAGATATAACTACAGTTCACACCTGTATAACAAAAATAGGGACAACTTCTTAAAAATACACACATTTAATGTTGATTTTAAAAACGTGAGAACAGTTTCAGCAATACAAACATGTCAACCACTGTGACAAAATGAGAACAAAAACAGCTAAAAATATGTTGATAGTTTGTCAATTTCTCTCCCCAACTAAATTCCAACTGCTGTCTTTGTATGGAAGCCCTACTGCAAATACTGCTGGTGTTTGATGTGAATTACAAAGATTGTGAAAAAGAAAATGAATGAAAATCTGGTTGTTAACATCACAACTACAATTTGCATTGTCCCAAGCGACCAACATTCAAAAAGTAACCTGGGTCTTATCAAAATATTGCAGCTATAGGCAAGGCAACTTTAACTTAATAGCCAAGACTGTGTGAGGGGAAAAGAGATTCATGTTTCTAGTGAAGGCAAAGAAAAGTATACTTTGTAAAGCTTATAAGTTTACTGGCCAGCCACAAGCACAGAACAACATATTTTGTCTATGCTTCCTTTGGCTATATAAGGTGGTGACAAAAGATTTATTTCCCTTAACAATCATAACAGCATTTTGTTTTTAAGTCAATTTTAGTACAATTAGGTTTAGCCATATAGCCTCTCACTATTTAAAGTCATATTTTTTGTTTTGTTGGCAAGCTCGTGTCTGACAGTAAACCATTAGGCAGTAAAATGAGAAACCATCAGAAAAAGTAGTTGTTTACACTCTTTGGCAAAACAAAAAACAAAGAACAACTCAAAACCAATGAAGAAAATACATCTAGCCCCGACAAAAACACTTGTTATTTTACAAGTAAAATAAAGTTACTCATTTAAAACTTGATTCATATTTATAAGAACAGAAGAGGTAATATTGTAATAAAAGCAGTATTGTTACTTCAAGTGGCAACATACTGTTTGTTGACCCTGTGCAATTAAACACTTTGCTCCAACTATGTTTATCAAACATGACTACAAAACATTACATACAAAAGGAATATTGTGATTCCTGCAGACTTTTTAATTAACTGGGAGACAAAATTTACAATCAATGTGTCACAAATCCATTTTTCTCCTAGCCAGAGTTTATGTTCAAATTTTCAAGTTCAGATTTGTGTCAGACAGCTAACTTTCTCCAACATTAACTGAGGCTGCAATACTGTGCAGCCAGGCTGCTTAGATCAAGAAGATTTACACCACAATCTTCAGCGTGTCTGCTTAGCAGTATGTCCCATGGAGCTCACTAGGGCTTACTCCCAGGATTGCAGCCTCAAAGCAACCTGGTCCACAATAGGTGAAATTATTCCCATTTCTTAACATTGGCTAAGATATAGCAAAAGTACTCCCTCCTGCTAATCCCTTCTCTTTCTAGTGGTGCACATTACACCTGCATCAAGATAAACGCTAACCACTGTTCGCTGTAACTAGTTTGCAAACTCTGCTTTGAGGCAACTATACATGGATCTCTAGCACTATGTATATGTAGTGCTGAAACGTATCTTAATGCTGAAAGGAAGGGGAATCTGCACAGGAGAGACCGGGAGGGAGCATGTGAACCTGAAAGGTATACCAAATCTTTTCATCACTGGGCCTCTATGTGGAGGATTGCAGCCTGAATTATTTTCTGAAGGCATATGACATTAACGACTGCACTCACTGCCAAAACACACAGCACTCATTTGACACATATTCTGTAGTATGTGGCAAACAACAGCACCCATTAAAGCCTGAGAAGAAATGCTGCTGTGTAAATACTGCAACTATTCCTGATAAAAGAATTATGGGATATATAGTCAAAAGCTGCCCAATCCCATAATTTATATTGCATAGGTCACAATCACACACATATATACACATGCACACGTATGTGTATATATACACACATGCAAAGAATATATTAAAAAGACAACAAAGTCTAGTCACAGAGCAATTTACAAGCTCAATATATTTTTTTTACACTTTGCTTGAAAGATTTCAATATTTTACAGTCCTCAGTAGGAATTATATACACTGCACCTTATGAAAATCTAGGGTTGTCAAAGTAGAAATACACTTTTGCAAACATTTGGGTAAGAAAAGATTACGAAATCTTACTAAAAATTTGCTCTAGCTACAGAAAATATTCTCTACCCACATGGAATGTTGTCTAGACAAGTCTCTTCTGAAGTCGTGCACATTTAAAAGCAAATGAAATCCCAGATTCCCGCCCTAAACAATCTAAATCCTTATCTTAAAAAAATCCAGCCTCATTTAAAAAATGGTAGAATTTTCAGCACAATGTTTTGTACTGTTAAGAAAGAAATGTTAAGGCTAACTTGGTTTCTATTTTTAGAAATGTCAAAAGAAGTTTCCTTCTGCACTCCTGATTTATATAAACAGTGCCTATAAATAAACAGTGCAGCAAACATGTTCAGTACTACAGTCAGGAGGCAGTTGCTCCTTCCCACTCCACAAGATACTGCACTTTTCCATCGAGTGTCACTCGACGTGCCAAAACACGGTATTTTTCACCACAAGCTATCCTACCTGCTGCACCAAAGTAACTGGTAATGGAGTTTTTAAGATGATTAAGTTGTAACTCCTGATCTGCCAAGTTATTAAGTATTTCTGTATTAAGTTCATCATACTGGTAATCATCTTTGCCTTCGTCATCTTTCACAATTTCGGAATTCTGAATCTGGAGTGCTTTACGTGGAAGGCGCCCTCTTCTCCTTAAGTGTGGGATTGCAGCTGGCCAAGTTCTTCCTGTTCGTGTCCTTTTCCTGGATTCAGACAAACTACGGAAGATAAGAAACAATAATTTAAGGTTGAGGGTTGTATTCAACATAGCGTTTAAGTGAACTTTCCTTCAGAGCAACTATTTCTCCATACATAATGTTCTTCCCCTGTGCGCCCCAAAAATCTGTTCCAGGGGTGGAATTGTGGGGATATGTCCTGTTGCACCAGTGGAAATCCTTGGAGAATAGCAATAGTTGAGGTCCACCCTCAATTTGCATCCATGGCCTAGTAATTTTCAAGTCGGATTATAGCAATACATCTGTTGTATTACTACCCTCCAAGGGGCAATCCTTTAAAGTGATCAAAGCTTCAGTTTGCGCAAAATAAAGCGTCGATTTACACATATCGCTGTTTGCTTCCAGGCCCAATGCAAGATGCTGGTAATTACCAATAAAACCCTGAACAATGGGAGTCTACCCTTTGTATATCCCTTTCTTTCTTCTTGTTTGTATTTTTCTACTTTCTCTTGTTTTCTGTATATGTGTGGGTATGTATCTATATCCTGCACAACTTGAGACCCAAATACAAAGCAATCCGTATGTGTTTTAAGATCTTTTCCCCTCCATGTGCCTTCCTTATCAGAGATACGGTTCTCAAAAAACAACACAGGACTTGCACTGCTGACACCCCCAAACTTTGAGACAGTCCCTAGAACATGCTACCTGATGGTAACCGTTGCAATTCTTCTAGTATCAGGTAGTTTGCTACTCTGTTTCAAGCCAATTTGATTGACTGCATTGGTTGTTCTATTACTGTATTTGTATTACGACTGTATACTACCTTGAAACCCTGAAAAGAATGAAGAGTGGTAAAAGAATTTTAACAAAATGACAAATGGTGGGTGTGGAACAGGAGACTGCTGAAAGGAAGGGATGGTAAACTTTTCTGTGACCTTTCTAATTTCTCAGGACCCTATTTTGTGCAATTACCTCCTCTTCCTCCAGCAGCACCCCATGTTTGGGACTTGCCAACATTCCAGAGAGAAGTTATATTAGAATCCGAGTCAACGTGTTTCATATAGTTGGGTCACCTTTCCAGTAACAGCTGCAACCCATCATTTCACTCACACGTACACGGCATAAAGCAAATGGCAGTGTACCTGTAATGCTTGGAAATACTGTTTGAGGTAGTTTCTTTTGTACTGGCAGCACCTGTGGATTCCACATCTGAGGTATTGGATGAATGTGCAGTTCCATCAGATCTGAGCCATTTCATGTTGCCATGTGATAAAAGTAATCAAATATTAAAATCTGATCTGATCAAACATTAGCCAAGCAAGAACACTACAAATTTAAGAGTACATTTCCCCTACTCACCCAGTAGTGCTAGGTAAATCCAAAGGAGGAGATTCTTGCACTACAACAGGTTCCTTTTCCCAAGGGGAAGAGAAAAAAAAAGAACAGAACTTTTCAGGCTGTGCAAATACTTTCCTTTTCAAGGAGATATAGCTTTTTATTTTTGTTTTTAAATACAGTTTAACATATTGGCCACTTTTAAGTCAATAAAATAATCAGCAAGTAAATGAAAATGCCACTTACTAAAAGAGATGGCTCAGACATCTTCTGGATCATTTTTCTGGTATATGGGCCCGGTGGACGGCCTACAGATTTTTTCTTCCCCTTTCGTTCTACACCATTAGTAACTTCCCTAGAAGGAAGCCCACAGTCGTTTTTAAAAGATACCCCAAAAGAATGTATGTTTGAGTATTATTTATGATTTCATTTTTTTACCATCATCATTTATTAAACATGATTACTACCCTGAATATATATTCACTGAACCTATACAGTTCTTTCTCTATAAGAAACTCAGGTTGTGACTTTTTGTTACACACTAATAGGACCCAGAAGATAACCACTGGAGGAATACATGCATGTCTTTGAATAATAGGAGAACTGGGAGTGTATTAGTCTTGAGGCTTTGCTTGGCTGCACAGAGACTTGTTCATGTAGTCTTAAACTATGTTCTTTCTTTATGTATGAATATGGCTATTGCCAAAGAGAAGCATCCCCATTAGCAGTGCTACCACTTATCCAAGCAAAGGAAGAAGAGCCTTTCTTCATGGTCTTGCCTATGTAAGCAGCAGAAATGCAGAGATTGCTGTTCTTGTTAGTTGTGAACTATGGGGAAAGAATTTTAGTGTGGGGACCAGATGTTGTTGGGGCCCTTCATCCTCATCATACTGATATACTTTTAGGCTAGCACAATGCGATAAAGGCCATAACTCACATGGGGAAACATTCTAGAAATATATGATGTAGTACCCAATCTGGGTCAGACTTTAAGCTTTATTTATATGGTACTTTTATATCCTGCCCTTCTTCCAATCTGAAGTTCAGAGTGGCTGAGAAAGAATAAAATTACACATCAATAAATCATCATTAAAACCACAAAGTCATAGTAAAACAGAAAAATAGCAGCAGTGGCACCATAATTTACCCAATGATTAATAAGCCTGGACAAATAAAATTGTCTTTCACCTTCTAGAGTGGAGGAAGACTGAATCTCACTTGGGAAGGAGTTTCATAGGCAGGTTGCCATCACTAAACACGCTATGTCTCATGTCACTTTGCTCAAGAAACAGAAATTTAAGACTGGGCAACTGTTGTCTAATACTGCAGATTCCACGGAGGACATCTTCAGGAGGGACATTTTGTTCTCTGAACAGATATGAACCCAACCAATTGACTTAATTTGCTTATTATATAAGGATTATCCCTATAAAGCAACATTTTATAGTATTAGCTTATGCACAACAGTTAATATTCTAGGCCTAAACTAATTCTATCAAGCAAAACTTCAGTTTCAAAGAGAAAGCATAACATATTAACCAGTGCTATTTGAAGATATCCTACAGAAACAATCCCCCCCCCCATAATTCCTGCAAACTGCCACTGAAATCAGTGGTAATTAATCTGGCATTAATAAATTTGTATATCTGGATATTTAAAGTATCAGGAAATGCATTTATTTGTAAAATAATTTATTTACTTCAAGAGAGAACTAATCATGATTTACCTCTGATCAGGCACAGGTTTAGATGACTTTCTGCCTTTAATTTTGAACTCGTGTGAAGTTCCCTCAGGCTCTTTCTCAGCCTTAAAAGCAGCATTTGGTGGGCAAGGGGGAACACGAATTCTCAAACCAAACAAATGCTTTTTCTTCTTTATTTCCTTTCCAGACATAAACCTAAATTGTTAAACATTAAACACAGAACATGAAGCTACAAAAGTGTTTCTTTGGATATACACATAAACCCCAATTTAACTTACTAGTACCAATATTATGTTCCTTCTTTAATTCCCTTTAAATGCAGGGAAAGGACAGCTACACACCTAACTTGTATCTCAATAACTACAAGTTTGACTTTAAACAATTTTGCAGTGCCTCTTCCTGCTGCTACCATGGACATGTTTTTAGGGAATCATTCAAAGAAACCTCAGGACAAAATCAAGAAGAGAAAAGTGTATAAAAACCCTATCAACTTACATAGTCTTGTAATCATTTAATGCCTCCAGAACATGCTCATATCTTTCAGATTTTGGTGTGTCTGCCAGCTGTAAAGTATTAAGAAGTGATTTAACCTACTAAAAGTTATAGTAAAACTTCTAATCACAATTATTACCTTCAACCATTCAAAGACGAAGACAAAGTGTATTTGTATTCTAGAAATCCTACATGCATTAGGAATTCTAGAGTAATATTCTAGAATACCTACTGCATTTGATTATTAAGACAATGAAATTTGAAAAAGCAGTATGTTGAATAACTTCAACATCCTAACAAGATAGTACGGAAATTGTGGGGGGGATTCCTAAATTCCACATCTGTTCAAACAACTAAGCATAGCATTCATGTTTAGGAGTGTTTTATTAATAAAATAAAGCAATACATGTTAATAAAATAGCATGCTTTATTTTATTTACATATTACCAACAGGCTACTTCTGTATCAGGTACAATGAATAGCTTTCACAGAACTAGACTTAGAATTCCTTGCATTTTAATGAAATGCTGGAACTGAACATGACAGGAGTATGAAAGAAATACATTTAGAATATGATTGCTTTTTAAAAATCAGCTATAAACTTTTGTTGACTATCAAACAAAGCAGCTAAATAATGGAATTGTTATATTGGAGTGTGATGGGCTACAGAGGGAGGAGAGGAGAATGAAGTCTTATTGAGATTGTATGCACAGTGCATTATTCTATCTCAGTGTTTTTTTAATGGTGCATTTATGAATTTTTAAAACATTGTTATTAATAATAATTTTGAAATCCTCCATCTTTTCTAGATTAGGTGCAATCAGAGAAAAGTAATCACCTACCAGTCTGTTATTTTTGGTACTGAATTTACTTCAACTATCATTACAATGACAGGAAAACAAGCATTTTACAAATAAAGTTAACAATTTTTATTAGAGGTAAGTGCACAGAAAATGATGCCAGATTTGTGTGGCGCACTTTTTACACAAATAAATGCAATAAAGGGGTTGGGGTTTTTTCTAATAGTGCAGTGGGATCTCTGTCATCTTGTACAATAGAGATGACCACTTTGCATGGGGGGGTTTTCCAGCCCCCCCACATGTTGGCAGTGTGGGGGGGGGGGCTTTTAGTGGTATGTTTAGCAAAATTTTCAGGTCACTTCTGTGTTTGGCGCTGTCAATCAGGCGCACATTTATCGGTCGTTGCCTGTACATAAAATTATGTTTCAGGCCACTGTCACGGTTTCCATTCAATTTTGTGCATAAAACCCTATGATTCTATGGGGCTGCCACCAACTCATGCACTGGCTTTCTTGAATTCTCTTCACTCTTTTCTGTAACCGGTATTACAACTTTTTCCATGACTTGATCACATTCATAAACCTCCCCCTCCCTATTATACCCCACCCTTCCTTTCATGAGAGCTCAGGATAGATAACAGAAATGTAACATTAAAAACAAAACTAGAACCACAATGCAAAAAATCAACATTACACAATACATCAAGAGCAGCCAGTAATGTGGCACAATGATGGGAAAACACATTGGGCAACAATGCTTGATCAACTGGTAAATTACAGTAGAGGGAAAGGTGGGGTTGGAATTAGGCCACGATGCAGTCCACAAGTTGCACTAAGAGCTTCTTACTGGCCTGGATCACATCTCATATGAAACTACAACCAGTTTAAACCAACTGTTTAAAACTGTGGCTTACTATGAATGAGCAGTGCAAAGTTCCTGCAGTGTTTGGATTGTAATGTTGTCTAAATACACTTGTTTCTTTCCAGACAAACAATGAGTGGTAAGCCAAGGACAATCCTTGGTCACCATTCTTGATTTGTTGAAGAGAAACAAATCACACTCTCTGATTTGCTTTGTCTGTGGTGTAGCAACCACAATGGAGGAGCACGGCAGGAACTCTCAGGCAGTCTGCACCAACATAGTGCTCATTTACATTAAACCATTGTTTGTTTTAAACTATGGCTTAATGTGCTAAATGACAGCCTTTTGTAGCTACTGGTGTGCATGTTAAAGTCCCTCGCTTACAACCCTAACGTAATCTTCTGAAAACCAGCTATCATTTCATTAGAACAGGAGTTTTATACACTTGATATATTCTGTAAATGGAGTAGCCCATTTTTTAAAAGTCTACTGATCACAACAGTTTGACCTGATGACCAATAGCATTTCAACAACTTACCTCACCAGGGTGGAGTCGATCCCAGTTTTCATTAATGTATGTCATGAGTTCAAGCTCCGAATCAAAGTATTTCTTTTTGTGAATAACACTTAGGTTGTAAAGGCATAGGTGTGCTATATCTACCCTAGAATTCCAAAGGTTTTAATAAAAACAATTAGGAAATAAAAAAAATTCATAGGTATGAACCCCACCTGGCTAAAGTAGTGATGTGGCTCTTCATAAATCAGCCAGCTTACTGTGCTACATTAAGGAACTTTACAACTTTATAAACTACTGGGGCCGTGCCCCAGCTTGCTTTGCCTGCCAGCCAGGCCTACCTCCCGCTCCCTTGACAACTCCCCTTCTCCAATCCCTGCTCTCCCCTCCCCTGCTCATACTGCCTGCTTCACACCAATGACACTGTCTGAAATTCAGCAGAAGAGGTGGGAAGTGAGGCCAAGAGAAGAACAGGACTACAGCTGGAGAGCCTTCCTCTCTCTCCACCACATCCCTTCTCACCCTCCAACACTGATATGATGGCCTAGCAGCTTGCAGAAGTCTGCTGTCATGCCATATTTCACAGCACTACCTGCTGGTGACCAAGAAAACTGACAACAGCCTTACCTTTTTATTATATGTTAAGAATGACCACTTACTAGACATTTTATTTCTGTTTCTCAATATGAAGCCAGAGAGGAAGAATATACTAATAACAGTAATTGTTCACAAACTTACTACAGGACTATTTGTGCTTTGTTTACAGCAAGGGTGGCTAATCTGTGCCCTGCTGTGATACCCAGTTTTTTTGTCATCCTTCAACATCACCTCCCTTAAGTCATTTTTTAAAAAAGTATTTTAACTGACCACTCTCACGTGCCCCCTACTGCAATTCTGTGCTGCCAAAACATTTTTGTGACCTTACAAAACCCCCAAATATGTCCCTTAGAAAAACCTTTAAAACTGATTGCACCTTCCTTGGCCATGCCAACTTTGACATCTGACCCCTAGAAGCCTGATCATGAGTCAATGGGGCCCTTGCCCCAGAAACATTAGCGAAAGGCACGTTACGAGAACCAACTAAAAACAACTTCCTGAATTATTAGGTTACTGAATGATTTCCTCCAGTGCAACATTGTACTTACCATTGCAAGGGTAAACGTTTGAGGTATTCTGGTCCAGAACTACAAACTGAACAAATGAATGTATAAAACCTAAAAATAACCAAAAAATTAATTGCTGAGAAGGTACTTACTTGTAGCAACATATTCACGATGTCTATGACTTCAAAGCCCAAAGGAGCCAATACATACTACTTAGTAGCATATCCAATAATTAATAAAGTTATCTAGATTTGTGAACTTAAAATGCTTCCTTTGTTTTATATACATGCAAGTCCCGGTTATCAAACACAATGCATTCCCTGAAAATTGTTCGTTAAGTGAGCGTTCACAAAACAAGTCCATATTGTTTCTTATGGGAACATTTCTAATCTGGATTTGTCTGACCTCTTCACCTACCCTCTATGGTTTCTTCCCGAAATGCCTGCAGCCAACCAGCAAAAGAGAGACAAAGGAAAAACTGATTTGTCCGATCTTTCCTGCTCTCTCATTTGTCTCATTCCCCACTCCCTCCATAGTTTCTGCCCACAAACGGCTGCAGTCAACCAACAAAGCACAGAAAAGGTTGTTTGGATATCTGAATCTGTGGCGTTTATAGTGAGGTTTGGACACAATTCTTTATGTTTGGATAACTGAATTTTTGCATAACGAGCGGTTATTATAAATATAATTGTTAAGATAACTGAATCTTTATCTAGGTAACTTTATTTATACCGGCTAACTAAATACATAGCTAGGTATATATTCTGTCTTTCTGTAACAAATTACAAATAAAAATATAGAACTAATACAATCCTAATAAAGAACAGCAATAAGAACATCACCACATGTCATAACTGCAAGTGTGCAGAAAATAATAGTATTATGATGCTATAGGTATAAATGCATTCTTTCCTTGTGTCTCCCCCTGGCCTGCCCCCCAGAATAAAACCCTGACAAACACAAGTAGGATCAAGAAAATACACCTTACCTGTCACCAAACAGCATTGGCTTTTGGAGGCACTGCACACAAGCCTCATGAAACCACTGTTTGCATTTGCAGCACTGTAGCATCTTTAAATACCAGCTTCGTTAACAGAAGGAAGAAAGGAAAGAATTGAATTGGAATGTGTTACGTGTTCCCTACTGAAGTGCAAACGCATGGGGCAGAATCCAAATTTGGGCAAACAGACTTCTGCTCATGGGACATGGTTTCACCTTTCTCTCCTTCTCACTGCAGCCCTTCCCCCAAAAAACTGGCTCTGGAGAATCCCCCAACCTCCCGCAGGAGATTTTGAGGGCCTGTAGGAGGCTGTGGGTGGGAGGAAAGAAAGGTGATGAGTGGAAGCGCATGGCAGATCTGGATGAAATCCATTCCATTTCAGTAAATGGAAAAGTGACACTTAGCGGGCAAAAAGCTGAAGGAAATTTTATCATAATTTTACTCCAACTGAAAATGTGTGGCTTAATATTATGCATGTTTACTTGAAAGTAACTCCCACTGGGTGATATTCAATGCTAGTCCTATTTAGAGTAGACTCACTTAAGGTAATGAACATAACCCTGGGTTCATTAATTTCTGTGGGTCTGCTCTACTCCAAGTAGGACTTAGTTGAATACAACCCAATGTGTTTAATGAAGCTTGCTCCCAAGTTAAACGTGTAGAAACGTGAGCTTAACAATCCTATTTTTATGAATGCAGACTTTAAAACTGAACAGAAAGTGTAATGAAAGCCTAGTAATGAAGGCCATTACTGTAGTAAAATTGCCTTATAAATATATACGTAATATTTCTGGAACAGAACACAGCATTCAGCTCTCATATAGATTACTGGCATTTAACAGAATATACAGCAATAAATCTGAGAGAAAATCTTTTCATAAGAGTTTCAACATGCTTACTCTCCAGGACCTCCACAGTAGCAATAACACTGTTGGGCATTTGTTTTATGGCCTGCATCCCATTCAAGGTCGGATACATTGTAAGGCAATGTCTGCTTCATGACTTGCAGTGCTTTGGCATTTGGTCCTTTCTTAAGTGCGCCACCTCTCTGGAATAAAACAGATTGAAGCAGCGACCACTACTATACAAAATCAAGTTCAAATTTAAACTGTAGTCACTTCACTAAGTGGATAACTTACCTTTGTTGTTGTTGCAAAGACACACTGCCGGCAAAGCCATTTATCATCTGAATCTATCACGCTGGAATCAATATTTGGTGTGTGACACAGCTGGTGATAACCTGAATTTAAAAAGATTTTTTTTATTATTATTACTCTAAGGTTACTAAACACCCTTGCCATCTTAACCTTTATGGCAATAAAGAAAACCCAATCCATCTTCTGATTTACATTATAATTCAAATGTATTTTATGTCAAGAGGTAGAATACATATCCCATATGTACACAACCGTATCAATAGGACGACATGTAACAGTGCCAGCCTGCTTATGTAACAGACCTACAAGTGAACTTCCAATTCCTCTCCTACACACCACACACACACACACACACACACACACACCTCTGCCATCCAAATCTGCTCTGAAGGGCTAGAGGACCCTCCAGCTGGAGAAGGGAAGAGAAGGACGAGGAAGACCTGTCAGGTCTGCTGGCACAACACTCCATCTCACCCCATGTACTTACAGCGGACACAACACTAACTTAACTGTGTCACTCAGCTGATGGTAAGTCTTCCATCAGCAAAACAGGAAGGGGAGCAATTTTCTGCAAACCCCTGCCTCCAGCAATCTGCTCCAGAATATTAAGGGAACCTGTGGATTAGCTTCAAGAGCATATGAAAGGCTATGGAGGAAATAGTGAATTGGCTAAATAAATAAACAAGATACATAATAAGATAAAATCCCCTTCCTCTTTTGCTGATGGAACCCTTGCCATCAGCTGAGTGACACTGTGTAATATGATCCTGAATTTTAAAAAAGTTCTGCACATTAAGAAGTTCACTTTACCTTGACCACACTTATCACAAATAACCATTTCATTGGGTGCTTCTGAATATTCTTCCTGGCATATTGTACAGACCATTTCCCCACTTTCAGTAGCTCCTAAAAAGATAAAATGGTATGGTTTACATTAAATAAATAAAATACATACACTAAATGGATACCAGTTATATTACCGTATTTTTCCATGTATTGGACAAGGTTTTTTGACTCAAAAATCGCATAAAAAAACAGGGGTTGTCCAATACACCGATAGTGGCATGTGGGGGGGGGGGGGAGAAGGAGGGCGCCGCCAACCATACGGTTGGCGGAAGTGCGGCTTCCCTCAATGCTGCAGCAAGTGGGGAGCAATCTGGGGGGTGTTTCCTGCCCGCATCTTGGGGGGGGGGGGAAAGCTGCACACCGCCAGCCAGCTCGCGGAATAAAACTACATGTTATTATTAAATTCATTTTTATATCACCCTCTTCACCTCTTTCCTATAAAAGCTCAGGATGACGACCAGTGTAAAAATGACTGCAATAGCTAATCATGTTTTGGGGACCAGCTGTTTACATCTAAACAGCAGCAGATGCACTTCCCTGGGGCAGTTCCTCAAACAGGACATTGCCATACAGATGGCTCAGCCAGGTCTTTCTTCCAGCACAGACATAAGAAATCGAAGGAGATAAGACTTTAAGGCAGGCATAGGCAAATTCCGGCCCTCCAGGTGTTTGGGGCTACAATTCCCATCACCCCTAGCTAACAGGACCAGTGGTCAGGGGTGATGGGAACTGTAGTCCCAAACATCTGGAGGGCTGGCGTTTGCCTATGCCTGCTTTAAGGCCAATGCTGATAAATGTTGCCCATCCAAGATCAATGCAGAGTTGTCAAAAAGGGACCTAAAGTGTCTATTAACGCAAACTCCCTGACCAAGCCTTCAACTTTACAGTGGTGCCCCGCAAGACGAATGCCTCGCAAGACGGAAACACCGCTAGACGAAAGGGTTTTCCGTTTTGAAGTTGCTTCGCAGGACGAATTCCCCTATGGGCTTGCTTCGCAAGACGAAAATACCTTCCGAGTCTTGAGATTTTTTTTTCGCTTTCCCCCCCCTTTATCTAATCTGCTAAGCCTTTAATAGCCTTTAATAGCCTTTTAGCAGCTAATCCCCTAAGCCTTTAAGCCTTTCATAGCCGCTAAACCGCTAATAGCGCTAATAGCGCTAATCCGTCAATGGGCTTGCTTCGCAAGACGAAAAAACCGCTAGACGAAGACTCTCGCGGAACGGATTAATTTCGTCTTGCGAGGCACCACTGTATTCTGTTCCCTCCTATGGGGTCTCTCACTGGGACAAGACTGGAAATAGATGAGGTCTGAAATTTCAAAGTGTCAATAAAAATAAAGTAAGGTTCTTGCCTGTTTGTATGTCCTTCCAGAGAACCCAGGATTTGGAACTGTCTTCAAATATAATGAAGCAGCTCTGCTTAAGTTTGTTTATCTGAAAAGGAGAATAAATGTTAGTGTTTAGGTGGCACAGCCTCAGAAGTGTGATAATTTTACAAGGCTGCTGGACACAAATTACCTTTTTGATAGTTCCAAGATAAAACAAGCCATCTGACCATCTAGCTAGGACATCTTGACCTTCTTCAAATTTGCACACTGGCTTTTTGGTTTTCTGTCCATCCCGCGAGGACAGTTTGGTCAAGGACGTTGGTGGTTTTTGGTTTCGGCGTAAAGGAGACCGCTTGTGGACCACTGAATTACCCACCCCCGTAGAGTCTCTAAAGTAAGAACAAAAACAAATGTAGAATTAATATGAATAATTTGTCACTTGCTCTTCTTCTTGTAGTAAAAATATAAAGCCCTCTTTGCACCTTGCAACCCTCCAGTTAAAAGCCATCAGAAAACTGCAAATAAATACAATCTAATTAAGTTAATATACTGAAAAAAGAGAGTACTCAAAATAGGAGTGGGACTGAAAGCAGAACTTATCTGAAGAAAAATCTGAGATGTGAATATGAAAGGTGAAGTTAGCCTTTCTCCTAGGGAATTGTAGCTAGTGCAATATCAAAATACAGGGCTGGGGAAATAGGTCATATTCCTGGATGTAAAGATTAAGTTGTAAACATCAAAGTTCTGCCATTTCTACTGCCAATATAATCCTCTGAAATTTCCTTTACAACCTGTCTCTTTGCAGTACTTTCCAAATACTCAAGTAGAACCGATCCGTAAGCAGTGAAACTTGCACATGCTAAGCCTATATTTTAGGATGTCATCTGAATTACTTGCACAACTAACGAGTAAAATGGTCATTTGGTGCCACTTGTAATAATAAAAATCAATGTCATTTTTAATTTTCTATTTAGAGTATAGCAACAAATGCAAAATGCTTCCTTTCACTCTGCAAGTGCGATGCTGTACTTGTTCAATGAGTATTTGCATAACACATCAGAACACAAAACCATAACCAAGGTACTTACAAAAAGTTGTAAGGAAATAGAGCAAACACTGCTCTTGGCTTCTAAATTTTGGGGTGGATGCAGTGCCAGGTAAATCATGAATTCCAACTTTCCGCACACAGTGAAAAGGAGAATGTGGTATTAATGAAAGAGTGTTCCCCTGCACTCAATAATTTATCTACCAAATTTTAACAAGTGAATTAGGCTAGCCTCATCTTCCCTGTACCCACTGGGGAACACTGGGATAGAGGGATGGAACTCATCCATTGAAAATGTCTACTGATAGAAGAGCCCCCAAAATCAGCTGTACACAACACAACAACAATCTTGACAAGTACAGAATTGTGTTAAAAGAGAACATAATGTTCTATTATGTTCTTATATATGCTGGAAGCCACCCATACTGCCTGGGGCAACCCAGTCAGATGGGTATGCTACAAATAATAAAATTAGCATTATGATAATCCTACTCATGTTCACTACAGTGGTACCTCAGGATGCGAACGGGATCTGTTCTGGAGCCCCGTTCGCATCCTGAGTAGAATGTAAGACGCGACTGCACATCGCGTTTCACTGCTTCCGCTCATGACGTCATTTTGACCGTCTGCGCATGCGGCGAAACCCGGAAGTAACGCACCCTGTTACTTCCGGGTCGCCGTGGAGCGCAACCCGAAAATACTTATCCTGAAGCATATTTATCCAGAGGTATGACTGTACGAAGCCCCGCTGTGTTCAATGGGGCTTGCTCCACAGTATTTTAAGCAGTCCACATAAAAATACAAAATTCAATTTAAAAATACCTAAAAACTAGATAAAAAAGCAAAATATGTATCACAAATAAAACCCCTTTAAAAAAGAAAAAAAGAAAAAGAAAATAATCAAGAGCCCAGGAAAGCTTGGATAAACATATAGGGTGGTATTCAGCTAAGTTTTATTCAGAACAAACAATGAAATTAATGGGTCTACTTTTGAGTAAAGGTTTGCTGAATATGTTTTAGAGATCATTGCTGCTTCCATCCCAATTACCTGGGAGAAAGCGTTCTGGAGAGTGGGTGCTATCACCAAGAAGGCCCATTTTACTTTTTTACCAAGTGACAATCCACTGGTCATGGCTACTTAGGATATTCAAACTGCAATTCTAAATTTATGCTAATACTACAAACTTGCATTTGGTTGCCAATATCCAAATATACCCCAATAATTTAAAAAGGCAATGTCATCATTAAGAAAAGTCAATATACCACTAATACTTGTATAATCATTTTTTGAGATAAGCAAATTATGACGTTTTTGTGATTGTCAAGTGTTATGCTTATGAAAACAGTAGTAAAAAAGGTAATCTTCCGTCATACCATCAATGACACGAGAGAATAATATTTTCCTTTTAATACGCAATCACTTTCTTAGTGATGGAAGGAGAAACTATTGGAAATCCACATAGGGAAGTGGGCTTCTGCTCCCACAGTTGATATATATCTGCATTCATCTAGACCTCAATTGGCTGAATTACAAAAAAATTATATATATACCCAACTTTCTCCAAACAAAAACACAAAGCTGGTTACATTGGTTTCTAAATACATATGATTTCTAAATGTGCATGGAACTAGAAGTGCACCAGGATGAGGTTGGTAGCTTGGAAGAACTGCATAAGGAGTAGATGTTCACAGCTGATCAGTGGCACTGCTATCTAGCTCTCAGCTCAGTGCAAACAAAACACGAGAGCAATAGTGCAACACTGAGGCGAAATGGTAAAGTACTGCAGAGGTAGCTGGACAAGACTAAACTGGGGGCAGAAACAGAGCTGGCAAAGTCTAGAGCAGATCATGGCAATAGAAGCGGTCTCCCCCCACCCCACCCCCATTTCCTCCTACACTGCCACCAACTGATGCTGGTAATCCAGAAGGTGGTACTTCCCCTTTCTGCACACCACAACTATCAGAAAACATGACACACAGATGCAGCAGACTGAGACTTACACATGTTCACACTGTGCACACAAGATGATGAAGCGCCACCGCACAAAGCAAGTTGAGCTTGCTCCCGCACGTATTCTTCTGCTCGAGCAAGTTGGTAAGCAGGAAAAGGTTAAAATTCTGTGTTGCCGCTGCTCTGAGAAGGGCTTGCTGCAACTGACTCTATTGGACTCCAAGTAGACCTACAGGATGCCACAGCCCTGCTTCCAGAGTCCCATTTCAACTGCTTAATAATGAGGACCCAGCAATGAAGCCGCTCTACATGCTGTATGATATAGAAGTAAGTGATGGGGACTCAACTTGTCTGCCATGCAAATGGTTGCTGGCTACTGAAGGTAGATGAGATGTTAACTGGCCACCAATGACCACTTCACATGCTTCAGGGAATGTCAACAGCAGCCAGGAAGCAGCTGTGAGGTAATGAGGAATGGAACATGGCAATCACCAATCCTTCTGTTCTGCAGAAGGAAGTCAATGCCTCAATGAAGAGGTAAGGCTTAGATAAGAGCTGGAGACCCTCTCTTGTTTCGATAAGAAGCACAAGGGATTTTGAGGACTGGGACAACCTGTCCATTAGTCTTCAAGTTAAAATAAAGAAAACATACAGATAACAGAGTATAGCTTTTCTTTTTTCCTTTTCCAAAGTTTGGACTGAAAACTGAGATGCATTCATATGTCATTGTGCTTGTTAGAAGAAGAGGAGGAGGAGGAGTTTGGATTTGATATCCCGCTTTATCACTACCTGAAGGAGTCTCAAAGCGGCTAACATTCTCCTTTCCCTTCCTCCCCCACAACACTCTGTGAGGTGAGTGGGGCTGAGAGACTTCAAAGAAGTGTGACTGGCCCAAGGTCACCCAGCAGCTGCATGTGGAGGAGTGGAGACACGAACCCGGTTCCCCAGATTACGAATCTACCGCTCTTAACCACTACACCACCACTACACTCACCACAGTGAGCATAAGCCTGCTGTGCCCCCATTTTGCCCTCTTCCGGGTCTGAAAGCGGCCAAGATTCTTTGAATGTGCACAAAAAGGCAGTTTGCCTGTATTACATTTCATGTTTTTGCATGTAACATAACATGTTCAGTCCCAGGCAGTTCTAGCAATTGTGTGTATTCTAGCTAGGAAGACCTCCACCTAGAACCCTTACGGTGGACAACAAGGACAGTGTGGGTGCAAACTACTTAGAGGTTACTGTAGTTAAAGTGATATAATAAGTGTGTAAATAAACAACTAAATAGAGCAGGTAAGGAACTGTGTGCTGTGCAATGAACTTTGTAGGAAGTGACTACCTTACTTTTTTACACAGAAGTCTGAGGCTGCTATGCTCCCCCTGGTTTGTGGGCTTCACAAGCAACCAAGCTTCCATGTGTTGATTTTATTACTATCACTGAATCCACAAATTCTTTCATTTGTTGTAGACAATGCAGGGGTGCACTTATCTTGACTATACCAATTAATATATCAGAAAAAATATGCTTCCCCAATACCCAGTCCCATGCTAATGTGCCCTCAGTAAGACTGCAGTCCCCGCAACCTCGTTAAATAGTTAGATTAATTACCAAAATATTCCAGTAGATAAATAACACCTACCTGGAATATATTTTTTAATCAATTAATTATATACTATATTTCTTACAAGGAGCTCAAGGCACCCTACATGGCTGGTTCGCTTCCCCACTCCTCCACATGCAGCTGCTGGGTGACCTTGGGCATGTCACATTTCTCTGAAGTCTCTCAGCCCCACTCATCTCACAGAGTGTTTGTTGTGGGGGAGGATGGGAAAGGAGATTGTTAGCTGCTTTGAGACTCCTTACGGTAGTGAGAAAGCAGGATATCAAATCCAAACTCCTCTTCTTCTCAACAATCTTGTGAAGAAATTAGGCGAAGACTAAGTGACTAGCTAGCCCAGGGGTAGGAAACGTAAGGCCCATGGGCCACAATTGGTCCACATGGGTTGTTTAACTGGCCCATGCCCTCAAACCGAGCCACCTGCTCGGCAAGACCTCCCCCCACTGCGCTAAACCAGTGCAACACGGTGCGGGGACTTGCTTCCGCGGTGGCAGAAATCGCATGCGCGCTCACACACGTGTACAATCCGGCCCACGGTGGGATCTCCGCTGGAGTGAACCAGCCCAGGGAAGGTAAACCTTGCCGACCCCTGAGCTAGCCCATGGGAACCCAGTAATCTTCACAGCTGAAGAAGCACTTGAATCCAACTCTCCAAAGTCCTACTACTCTTAACCTCTAACCAACCTTTCTCAACCTTAGGTCCCCAGATGTTGTTGGGACTACAACTCCCATCATCCCTGACCACTGGTCCTGCTAGCTAGGGATGATGGGAGTTGTCGTCCAACATCTGGGGACCCAAGGTTGAGATATGTTGCTCTTTCACAATACTGGCTCTCCCTTTTTCTTCACCAAATAATAACTGATAATTTTCATTGTATAGTGTAGTGGAGGCTTGGTTTTTGGGGTGTCACAATGACTGCCTGTACAGGTAACCTGCAACTTACACACATTTAACACATGCAATTTCAGCTTTATGCAGTTGAAAGCCAGCTGGCTAAAATTACACAATTTAAATGCATGGATGCTGAAGAGCTTAGAAGCTCTTCTTGCACAGGGTTTTCCTAGGGTGGAAAGCTTTTAAGCTCTTAGTCTTGCTTACCAGGCTATGGGTGCCTCTCACAAGATCTTCTGAGAGCCTCCCAGAGTCTGGTAAGCAAGACTGACAACTTAAAAGCTCTCTGCCTTGCTTGTTGGAGTAAGACCCATTTGGTGCATCACCTCCAGTAGGTAAGATTGATTGCATGGAAGCGGTTCCAAGGGGGTTGTTCGAGTATATGTATTTTTGTGTATGTGCACCATCCCCAAAATGTACCCACTGTGCAAGATGCAATCGCACTGTACTCAGCCTAACCATCTTCAGGGTTTCTGCAAGGATAAAAGGGTGTGGAGAGACCTATGTATGCTGCCTTGAGCTCCTCAGAGAAAGGGTGGGATATATATACACCTATTACCTTTGTTAACCAGGAGGGTTGCCATGCCCCACTTATCTGGACTTTCTCAAGATAGTTTTCTTACATACTGCTGCTCCAATTCCACCATACTGCCACAGAGCACTTGGAGTTCAGGAATTCTAAAGAGAGGCTGGCAGTCATAGTGGAGAATTTAGCATCCCAGAAATGAGTTAAAAGCTTGTGAAACTGATTTTCCCCCAAAGAAAAGAGGACACCCTCAATTTAATTCATGAACTGAATCTGCTTTTCACATAAGGAACGAACAACCAAAACACTGAGATGAGTGGCACAGTAACATTTGAAAACCAGAATGTAATCTGTGCTATCCACATCAAAGAAAAAAAAACCATAAAATACATTGCAATAGCGGTTAAGTGACAGCGGAAGGACATCAACTAAGACCACTAAGCAAACAGCAGCTGGACAGAAATTGCAATTAATCACAAGTAGGAAGGGACCACAAGGAATCATCTAGTCCTACCCCCTGCAATGCAGGAATCTTTTGCCCATCATGAGGATCGAGCCTAAGCGTGTGTGTATGTGTACACACACACACACACACACACACACACACGGTGAGTCCTTTAAAAGAGGCCCCACGGATACAGAGTACACATATTCCATGAGGCCTCTTTTAGAAGACTGTGTGTGTGTGTGTGTGGCCATTTATCTATCTCAGGGCTGCTAAACTTCTTTTGCTCTAACATACCAGGAATGTGTTAAAACTATAAACATGAGATGAAGAGAAGGAGAGTAACGAGCACCCTTTGAAATAATATGCAATATCATCTTTATTGGGGGGGGGGGGTTTGCAAATCCAGAGTCTAAAATTACCGGACCCCCTCATTTTCTAAACACCGCATAAACATCTACACAGGCAAAGAGCGACGATCATAACAAAAAAACAACAAAACGCCGCGGCTCGTTCATAGGTACGGATCAACAAAGCCAGGAAACTTCCCCGTTCTCTGGGAGTCGAGGTCGCCACGAGCTATCAAAGTGCCACCCTCTTCCCCACCCCCACCCGGGAGGCCCTCGCCTTTGTTTTGGTCTCCAGGTTGGAAGGTGGGGAGGGGGAATACAACCAGAAGCCCCTTCAAGCCCACAAATACAGCTTTTATGTCGCCAGTAATATTACCCAAACACACCCCTCCCCGCCTTCTTTTAACAAAGCACAATTAAAAATAAGGTCGGAGTGGAGGGTGGGGGTGGGAGAGAGAGAGAGGCCTTCGTGATGTCGGTTCCCTCCACCCAACAAAACCGGATTTGGGGAGAACAGAGAAAGGAAATCCAGCCAGCGGAGGAAACTGATGGCGCGGAGGGGAGGGGAGACGGAGCCGAGCTCTTTCTCCCGCTCCCTGCGCCAGCCGAGGGGGGGGGGCTTCCCTTCCCCTTCCCGGGACCCCCCCTCCCCCCTCCCCGCTCCCTTCACCCACCTCATTCGGTCTCTCCGGTGGGGCCACCCGCTTCATACAGGGAAATCAAGTGAGCTCAACGCGCTCCTCCCGAGAGAAGCCTCCCGCCGGCCGGGCTCCTCGCGAACCAACCGCCTCACGGGGGCGGTGGGGGTGGAGAGGGGGCTCTATAAGGCCGTTGGACCGGGGAGAGGGGGGGTGGGCTGGACGAGGACGAAGCTCAAGGCAGCCTCACGGGCAGCCCTTCGCCTCCACCGCAGCCCTTCGCCATTTTGCTTTCCCGCGGAGGAGGAGGAGGAGGCGCTAGTGCATTGTGGGGGAAAACACAAAAGGAGCCGCTTTCCAACGGCAACAACGGCCCCGCCCACGCGCCGGCTCCGGCCTCGTGCCGAATCACCGCTGCCCCTTCGGCGAGGGGCGGGGCGAGGGAGCGCGAGAGCAAGAGGCAGCCAGGCAGCCAACCAACAAACCCGCCCGCTTCTAGCTGCGTGCGGAAGGACACGGGGCCGCGAGAGTGCCTTGTCTGCGAGTGAACAAAGAGGGATTATTTTAAGAGAGAGGCACGGCTCCCTCCTCCTCCTCCGCGTCTTTTTTAGCGAACTCTTCAGCGCGGGTAGAGAGTGTTGGAAGGAAATCGGGAATGTGTTTTTAGGAAACAAGGCGTAGGCAGAGCGTTTAGCTTCGAGACCGAAGTGGACAGCTTCTGCTCTTGCCTAACAGCGATAATACTCGGTGCTCTTTTTTTTCCTTTTTAAAAAAAGTTTAGGGGTACTCTCATTTTGACTCAAGAAAATCACCATTTTATAGTTCGAATCAGGAAAAATAAATACAGTAAATGGACAAAAGTACAAAAATTCACAAAATGATTAAGGGTATGCGTACCCCCAGAAAAAAGCGCTGGATATACTCTATACTGGATATTTCTCTGAAATATAAAAATGCCTTCCTAGCGAAGGTGCTTTGCAGTCGCCTCCCTGCTTCTCTTCCATGTCCCTGCCTCAGCTCAGAGAGGCATAATAATAATAATAATAATAATAATACCCTGCCCATCTGGCTGGGTTTCCCCAGCCACTCTGGGCAGCTTCCACACAGGCTTCCTCAACCTCCGCCCTCCAGATGTTTTGAGACTGCAATTCCCATCATCCCTGACCACCGGTCTTGCTAGCTAGGAATCATGGGAGTTGTAGGTCAAAAAACATCTGGAGGGCCAAGGTTGAGGAAGCCTGTTCCAGCATATATAAGAAAACCGTATGTTTCTGCTCCCCTGCCCTAGTGGATCAGGCCCAACAAGGCACATTTGGTAGTTCCCACATCATGGTTCCTAACACTGGCTGACTAGATGCCTCTGGGAAGCCTACAAAAGGGGGCACAGGGCAACAGCCCTCTCTCCGCTTCTACTACCAATAGGCCAAATTCAGCTATTATGGAAACCCAAATAAAGATGGGGCAAGGAGGGCTGGGTGAGTGTCAGTGTGTTACCATGAACCAGACTCAGTCTGCATTAGGGGGAGCTTTTTACTGTGTCGCTTTCTATCTAGGGAAGGTTGCAATGTTGTTATCTTCCTTCATGGATGGAAGGAGATGAGAGAGTCCGATAGGGAGGTTATTTTGTGTGATGCTGCAGTGTTATTCAAATAACGAAGAGAAGAGTGGAAATGCTCCCAGGCTACCTTCGGCAGGGTGGTGCAGTCAGGGAGCATCTTCATTTCAGCTTGACAACAAAGCCAGTTCTCCTGCGGGGAGAATCTGGTCACAAAGGAGTGGAATTGAGCCCACGTTATGCCCACGTTATTATTGGTAAAATCTCGTCAAAGAACACAGTGGCTTCAGACTGCTGATGATATATAAGCAGTGCTTGTCTATGCACTCAGAATATGGTTTGGTCTCATATCCAACTGTGCCACTATCACAGTGCAATAAATCACTCAAAAGTGAGATTAGCCAGTTACACCTTCAGCATTGCAGGAGAATATGCTGATTTGCCTGATTAAAAATATGATGTGTTTGTGCTGCAGATCTGATTGGCTATTTTTACTTTGGAGCCATACTATAGCTAGCACAAAGGTTAATTATTTCAGCAGTGTTGCTAATGCTTATCTGCAGAGCAAAATCATATTGTGTGGAGTTTAGCTGAGGTTACACTGGCCACAGTTCAATACAGCGGTAGATGCATTTAAGCCAGTTGAAGTAAATGCACGTATCCCTGCACCTAACCTTGAATAGGACTGTGGCCATTGGCTATAGCAGAGCTTTCCAAACCATGTGTTGTGACATGTTTAGTGTGTCGGCTGCAGTGTGTAGGTGTGTCACAGGAATGCTCCCTGCAATCTGCCCGGGGTTGGAAAAGGATTAGTTTAACCTCCGGTTTGTGAGGAAAACTGAATTACTGTGTCGCGAAATGATGCGTGTCTAAAAAGTTGGTCACCAACTTCAAAAGTTTGGAAAGTTCTGGGTTATAGAAGCATGCAGGTAGGTTAGGAATAAATTCCATTACATCTGTATTAAGGGATATTTAATCTTTCAAGAGTTGATTATTTCATTTGTTCATGTTGGTGCTTTGATAAGATGAAAACTCTAGGTGACCATAATAGCTGAAATGTTATCTCACCATGTGCAAGCACACTTGGAATACTGTGTACAGTTCTAATTGCCACATCTCAAACAAGGCATTGAAGAGCTGGAAAGATTCTGAATAAGGAAACCACAGTGATCATGAGGCTGGAACATGATGAAAGATCCTAACATTTTCTGGCTTTTTTTGGAGGGGGGAGGTGAGTAACGGGGAATGGACATGATAGATGTGTCTGAAACCAAGCATGTTGTGGATAAAGTGAATAGGAAGGCCTTTTTCTTCCTTTCTCAAAATACTAGAAGAAGCTGGGGTCATCCAACGAAGCTGAATACTGGAAGATTCAGAACAGACAAAAGGAAGTACCACTTCACACAGCACATAGTCACAACTATGGAATTTGCAACCACAAGCCAACTTGGATGGCTTTAAAAAGGGGATTAGACAAATGTTGTTTATCCTTGATGATTATGATCTCCCGCACTGGAGGCACCATGCATCTGAATACCGCTTGCCATGGAGTTCAGGTTGCAGAGAGCGCTAATGCATTCATGTTCTGCTTGCTGGTGTCACATGGACATGTGGTGCCCACAATGGGAACAGAATGCTGGACTGGACAGGCTATTCTTATACTCTTCCCTAATCCCTGTTGTTGCTCTATTGTTATTCATTTAAAAACAACACTACCACCAAGTACATTGCAGCACTTTGTCAAAAGTTGTCTGTTTTTGAGATTCCTAATTATGGGGAGTATCCAGTGACGTCTCCCCACTTGTGAAATGGAATTCCACTTGTGCAATACAACATCTGGTTTCTCTTCCCCACACACCTTTACCCCACCCCCACAGGCCCAAAAGCCAATCTAGCAGGTTTCTCAATCCTCTGGAGCAGATTGTGGGGGCTGCAGGAGGAAGGGGAAGAAGCCTGCTCATGCTATCCTGGATCTCACTCACTCATGTATCAGATTTTCTTTAGGTTGTGCAATATACAGTTCTTTTTTATAAAAAACAAAAACTTATCATTTATAGTTGGCGGGGGAAATAATCTGTTGATTCCTCCCCCCCAAATCCTACACTCATAACATATATAGAAATATTTTCATAACTAAATAAATACATTTATATACTGTACATGTATTTATATACATCTCTATACATCTACACACACACACATTTACAGTGATACCTCGGGTTACAGACGCTTGTGGTTACAGATGCTTCAGGTTACAGACTCCGCTAACCCAGAAATAGTACTTTGGGTTAAGAACTTTGCTTCAGGATGAGAGAGAACAGAAATTGTGCGGCGGCAGCAGCGGGAGGCCTCATTAGCTAAAGTGGTACCTCAGGTTAAGAACAGTTTCAGGTTAGGAACGGACCTCCAGAACAAAATAAGTTCTTAATCCAAGGTACCACTGTACTTGAATGTTAGGGCCAGTTTGCAAGAGCAAACATCTTCCTGACCAGGGCTTCCCTACTTTTGTGGGCCCATTGGAAACATCTGCCATGAGCACATGCAAGCATGCACAACCAAAGGCTTCTTTGGGCACATGGGAAGGCATCTGGGTTGCTCACAGGAGCTGTGGTGGCCATCCATGCTTGTATTGAACCTCTTCAGGGAGCTATCATGGGAGAAGCAAACTAGCTGAGCAAATAAGCATGCAGCTGATTCTGCGCCTCCTGAACGGCCATCTCCCACACCAGAGAACAATTGAGAATGCTCACCTCGGAGCATGTCTTCTCAGAGACTATGTTTGCAGTCCTATTTTACTATGCACTCATTGCGTTTCCAGTGCTAGGTTTTTACTCCATGTTCATGTGACGTTATCCAAAATGCATATGTGTCCTTTATAGCCCCATCCTTTAAACTGCAGAAAGAAATCTCATCCCACATTTAGAAGGACTGAGAGGAACTTCCAAACGCACAGCTGAGTGTAATTGGGGGCTATTTGTACTGCATTCATGGGTGTCCACAGGAATTTTTGGTGGGTGGATGAGGGTGGGGAGCAAGGTGAAACACTGCAAAGGGGGCTAGCTTCTTAAACAAAACAAAACAAAAATGAGACTTGTAGTGCCTGTACATTGTGCCTCACCTTGCTGAAAAGAAATGAAAGCTGTGAACCTGGGGCTACGGTTCCGCGGCGGGGAGCAATCCCCCCCCCGCCCATGCCCATTCTAGTAGGATTTAGACAAACATCCTGATTTTGGAAGTAATTAGGCATATGGAAGGCTATATTACCTCACATCCTCAAGGACTGCCTCTTTCCATATGAACCTACCCGGATCCGGAGATCATCTTCTGAGGCCTTTCTTCATGTGCCTCCTCCTCGAGAGGTGCGGAGGGTGGCAACATGAGAACGGGCCTTCTCTGCAGTGGCTCCCCATCTGTGGAATGCTCTCCGCAGGGAAGTTCGCCTGGCACTTTCATTATACACCTTTAGACACCAGGCAAAAATGTTCCTTTTTAATTAGGCCTTTGGTTGATCTGATTTACATCCTATGCCCTTTTAAAATGTGGTTGGGGGGGGGCGCTATTGGATTGTTGTTTTTATTTTTATTATGTATTTTGTGAGGGACATGGGTGGCGCTGTGGGTTAAACCACAGAGCCTAGGACTTGCCGATCAGAAGGTCGGCAGTTCGAATCCCCGCGAAGGGATGAGCTCCCGTTGTTCAGTCCCTGCTCCTGCCAACCTAGCAGTTCGAAAGCACGTCAAAGTGCAAGTAGATAAATAGGTGCCACTCCGGCGGGAAGGTAAACGGTGTTTCCGTGCGCTGCTGTGGTTCACCAGAAGCGGCTTAGTCATGCTGGCCACGTGACCCTGAAGCTGTATGCCGGCTCCCTTGGCCAGTAAAGTGAGATGAGCGCTGCAACCCCAGAGTCGGTCACGACTGGACCAAATGGTCAGGGGTCCCTTTACCCTTTACCTTTTTGGTTGATCTGATCTACATCCTATGTCCTTTTAAAATGTGGGTTTCTTGGGGGGGGCTATTGGGTTGTTGTTTTTATTTTTATTTTTATTATGTATTTTGTAGTTTTATATCTTGATTTTATTCTGTGAACCGCCCTGAGACCCCTGCATATAGGGCAGTATATAAATTCAATAAACAACAACAACCACACACACACACACACGATGTGGGGGCTTAGGATTGCATCGTTAGCCTAGATGCGACTTGATGTCTCCGGGACCATTCAATGTGGGTCTAGCAACATCTCGATTCCTTCCTTTTTCTTCGCGACTAACTTGACCCACTGAACTCAAGGGGACCCAAGTTCAGCTGACGTCCGGATCCAGCCCTTTATGTCTAATTAAAGTTTCCCGAGTGGCCGTGAAGATAAAGGCACCCCCGCCCCGCGCGCCTTATTGATAAGCGCGTGTTGCCGGGTCACAGCAATAAACAAAGCTCCGGGGGAAAGGCAGTGGCCCACCTTGGCCAGCAGAGGGCCCGGGCGCGGTCTTGAAGGCAGGGAGGGGCTCCCTGCGCTGCAAAGAAAGGTGAAGCGAAGGCGAGGAGGAGTGGCCGCAGCAGGACTATTCGGAATGCGCCTAAGTCTGCTACGCTTTCCGTCTTGAAAGGCTCCTGTGCCTTCAAGAAGCTGACTTCGAGGAAGAGGCATTGCACGGCTGTATCTTTCACGTAGGAGGAGGTCCCGGGTTCATTCCTTGACCTATCCAGGTAGGATAGACTGAAATGTAGGATAGACTGAAATGTTGGCAAGCTTTGGGCGTCTGCCTTGCATGCAGAACATCCCAGGTTCAGCTGAGAGAGAGACTCTGGCATGGGTGTAGCCAAGGGGGTGGGGGGTAGTGAGGGGCAGCTGCCCCCCCTATAAATCAATAAAAATACATAGCTAACTGAGGTTCTGCCCCTTCCCCCAAAGGTCTGCTCCCCTAACAAAACAAAAATCCTGGCTATGCCCATGGGCTCTGGTCTGAAATTCTGGACAGCTGCTGCTGGTCAGTGTAGACCAGGGGTACAACCTTTTTATACCTACCGCCCACTAATGCACCAGTGATCCAGTGATCTTTATAGGAGGAGAACATAGTTTCCTATATTCCTGATATTCACTAGGTGAAGCTTTTCCGGTCAGTGCATTTTGGGGTTGGTGAAAACTGCACCTGTTGAATGGGCTGCCTGCCTCGCAACTCTTAGCTGTGCAGTTAATGGGATGTAGGAAGTGGGGAGCGAGACAGAGAATGAGAGGTGTGTGTTGCACCCCTGGACACAGTTTTACTGGCCTCTTCACTATATACCTGTAGATTGCTGGCATGCGGAATTTGTTAGCTTTGCTCCTTTGATCTCATGTGTTTGAAACTGCTGTGTGAACGAGACTGAGTTGGGGCCTGTGGCTTCACTCGTGCAAAAAGCACGGGAGATGTCATTCTGGGGAAATAACCTCTCACTTTTTCAGTTTGCCCATTGTACAGAATGGAAAACACAAGAGCACAGTGGCTCGCTGCTTCGATCCTGGCAAGTGTGCTAGGTCTGTGCCTGCCCACTCATACAAAGCACCCTTCACCGATTTTAGTGTTGCATTTCTTCCAAGGTGGAGGAAATTGTACCTGGCTGATGAAAGAAAGCAGTGGTTTATGCAATGCAAAGTCTAGAATTTGCTTCCACAGGAAATGGTAGTGATAGGCACTGAGTTGGATGGCTTTAAAAGAGTAAGGCTATTGGTGGCTACTAGCCACAATGACTTAGTTATGCCTCCACTGTTGAAGGTGGATGCCAAGTACAGGGAATCACAACTTGGGAGAGTGCATAGGCTCTTTTTATATTCTTAAAGGTGAATCCAGAACACCTTACAGCCTCCAGTTCAGCCACATCTATATTACGCTGCTCACCTCCCCGTTCCCCAGTCCTAATTTTGCTAATTTCATTACAGGTCAGTTTTGCGTGTTCTGTTGTATTTGCATAGCACCAAGCATTAAAGAACACAGCACTCTTTTAGGGGGAATAAATGGATGCTACCAGCACTCAAAGTAACTAAGGTTGCAATCCTATACACCAGGCACTTAGCCCTCGAGATGCTGTGGGACTACAGCTTTCATCAGCCCAGCAAGCATGACCAATGGTCAGGAATACAGTGGTACCTTGGGTTAAGTACTTAATTCGTTCTGGAGGTCCGTTCTTAACCTGAAACAGTTCTTAACCTGAAGCACCACTTTAGCTAATGGGGCCTCCCGCTGCTGCCACGCCGCCGGAGCACGATTTCTGTTCTCATCCTGAAGCAAAGTTCTTAACCCGAGATACTATTTCTGGGTTAGCGGAGTCTGTAACCTGAAGCATCTGTAACCTGAAGCGTCTGTAACCTGAAGCGTATGTAATCCGAGTTACCACTGTAATGAGAATTGCAGTCCAACAAAAACTGCAGAGCACAGTGTTGGCTACGCCTGCTGTACTTACTTGGGACTTCATTGTGGCCTACTTCAGAGTAGACACGTATAGGGTAGCAGCTACTTATTTTATCACTTTATGTGTATCTTACATTTGTGCCTCTACCTTTCTCCAAGAACGAAGGGCAGCTTTAAGTGCCCCTACTGAGGGTGGAAGAACAGTAAGCAAATCAAACTAGGCTTTGTTAAAGGAGCACTTTGGTATCACTTAAAGTTTAAATCTTGAAGTGTTAGGCAGAGAGATGCTCCTAAGGAATAGGTGAAAGGTAGGTGATGGATATCTGCCTTTATAATGCATCGACTTGCAGGTGAGTGCCTCAGGTATTACTAACACTTAACAAGGTCCAGCAATTTCATAACGGGTGGTTTAAATGAGAAGGTATTTGGTCATAGTAGATCTTAAACCAGAACTGGCTCGTCTGTGGAAATCACTGAGAGACATAGCTCCCAGCATCTTGTAGGTATCTCTGAACTGCCTCTGTGGAGAAGTATCTGATCTGAGAGGGACATCAATGATCTAAAAGCTCTGTGGTGAGTCATCTGCGAGGGGAAGAACTGAGGTTCAGCAGTAGAGCGAACGTTTGGCATGTGGAAGGTCCCAGGATCGATCCCTGGCATGTCCTGGTAGGGCAGAGAGAGAGAGAGAGAGAGAGAGACCCCTGTCTGAAACCCTGGAGAGTTTTGTCAGTAGCTGCCAGTGTAGCAGAGCAGAGCTCCTTACCCAGCTTCCCAGCACAGAAATCACAGCTGGTAAGGGAGAGCAGGGGACGCGGGTGGCGCTGTGGGTTAAACCACAGAGCCTAGGACTTGCCGATCAGAAGGTCGGCGGTTCGAATCCCTGCGACAGGGTGAGCTCCCATTGCTCGGTCCCTGCTCCTGACAACCTAGCAGTTCGAAAGTACGTCAAAGTGCAAGTAGATAAATACCGTATTTTTCGCCCTATAGGGCGCACCGGCCCATAGGGTGCACTTATTTTTTTGGGGGGGGGGAAATAAAAAAAAAATTTTTTCCTCCCTGAGCCCCAAAGAGCAAAGAAGCCATGACAGTGAGCGGGATGGATCCCGCTAGCTGTCCTGGCTTCGTTTTTAGCCTCGGGGCTGGGGGTCGCCATTGCTCCCGGAGCTTGTGGGGCTGGGGGCGGGGGAAGCCTGACCCCAGCCCCCAGAACAGGCTGTTGCCTGCAAGCCTGGCGGGAACTCCCGCCGGTCTCGCAAGGCTTGCGGACATCTGCGTGAAGCACGGGGCGCACTCCGGAGCGCGCCCCATGCTTCGGGCTGCAGGCTGCTGCCCGCAAGCCTTGGGAGCCCGGCGGGCACTCCCGCCAGGCTCCCAAGGCCTGCGGATAGCTTCCTGAAGCCTGGAGAGCGAGAGGGGTCGGTGCGCACCGATGCCTCTCGCTCTCCAGGCTTCAGTGAAAGCCTGCATTCACCCCATAGGACGCACACACATTTCCCCTTCATTTTTGGAGGGGAAAAAGTGCATCCTATAGGGCGAAAAATGCGGTAGGTACCACTCCGGCAGGAAGGTAAACGGCGTTTCCATGCGCTGCTCTGGTTCGCCAGAAGCGGCTTAGTCATGCTGGCCACATGACTTGGAAGCTGTACGCCGGCTCCCTCAGCCAATAAAGCGAGATGAGCGCCATAACCCCAGAGTCGGTCACTACTGGACCTAATGGTCAGGGGTCCCTTTACCTTTACCTTTAAGAGAGAGCAGAGAAGTGGGGAGGTCAGTGCGGTGTGGACACATGGAATTGCAGATTGACTCCGCCATTGTGCCTGCACCGCACTGACCTAACCATTTCCTTTACTGGCAGCAGCAATCTCCACATTGGGAAGCCAAGCAACTGACTTTGCCCTGCTCCTCCTGGCTGCCCACTCCTGGCCTCTGATGGTCAGTGTTGACAGTATTGAGCAGGACAGACCAGGATACTATGGATAGTTGTGAATAGTCATCCTTAGTTTAAAAATGCCAAACTTGAAAATTATTATTATTTCCCCTATTTCTCTCTTTGTCCCACCCTAACCTTCAGGTCCTTAATTTGCACTCATATTTGTCTGAAGTTTCACTTTCATGTGTCAGAAATCAATAGGCAACAGAACCCTGTGACAAAGTTCATTTTTAATTGGAAGAAAAATGGCTATTTATTTTAAAAGGCTGGCTGGGTTACGTGAGATACGTGCAGCCGGGAGACTTTAGTGGTTTGGCTCTATTCCTGAAGTCTTAATCTCAGAAACAATGAAAAATGCTGAATGAATTGAAAGCTGATAAGTTTAAAAAGAGACCCGCCCACACGTACTTAAGAGCTGCGTGTGAGCTGCGGGTCAGTGCCTCTTATTGGTATGGGGCAGCGCGGTGATGATATGTTGATGGAGCCACTCTACTGGTGCACCCATGCAAGCCCCGACATCACCACATTTGCACCACTCCTGGAATTCTGTGTAATGTGGTAATTTGCTAACATCTATGGCAGGCCTGGTGAGGAGTACCCAGAGACTATACAGGCTTCTAGACAGCAGACCTAACATGGTCAAGTGTCATTTACATTTTTCCAAAGGGGTAGCTGGCAACAAGCTTTTAAGAAAAAAGATTTTTTCCCTGGAAAGGGTAATAAATCCAGATTAAACGGGGGTGGAGTAGGGAAATACGGACTGACGTTTTGCGGCCGATGGCATCCTATGGATGCTGGGGGGGGGGAGAACCCCCAAAACAAATTACATGAGGACACCCATCGCACAGGGCAGAACTGGCCCTGTTGCAGCTACCATATTATACTCTTTCTTTAGTGTAAACCCTGGAACTCCCTGCCCATTGACCTCAACTACGTGCGCCTTCACTGTATCTCCCTTTGGCACTTGCTAAAACCACTTTTGTTCAAGCAAGGCTATTCAGACATGTAGAAGCCGTCATGTGTTTTTAATTTAATTCTAGCTTAATGCGGTTTTGAATTATTTTTAGTTTTAAATGCTTGATTTTCACTGTTTCTCACTCTTAGTTTTATTATTTTATTACCATCAAGTAGTATATAAATGTTGTGAAATAAAACAACCTCCCTGTGACCTCACCCTGCTCTGCTTTGGTGACTCAGCTGCTGTTGTCTCCCCACACAATGAGCAGTGTCTGTTTCCAGGACTCAGAGAAATGAATTGGGGGCTCCTGCCAACCCTGGCATCTGCCACCTGAGGCAGCTTCATCACTCTAATAGCAGGACTGACCCTGGTGGTCTTAATGACAATGTATAGGACAGTCTCCCAGGTACAACAACTTTGTTGTTGGATTAAGCAAATCAGTTAGTGCATAGTGTATTATTACCACCTCGTTGCCTGTTCAGCCCCACCCAGTGCATGTCAGCACAATAGCCAAAACAATTCATTGGCATGGTGGAAGGTTTGGATTTTTGGGCTCACTGTGTATTTCTTCTTGCACCCAGAGGCTTGTAAGTGTGCCGCTCTATGAATGCATGTGCTTGTTCCAGCTTGCTGAACAACTGCTCTGGTTTACAGTTGCTGCTGCTGTAATTCACCTTGTCTCTGGTATCAGTGGAACACCACATAAATAGCATTATTGCGCCCCTGGTCTCTTGACTGGTGACTGGGGGCGGCCACCAAGACCATATAACACCGGTCCTGAAAGACCTACATTGGCTCCCAGTATGTTTCCAAGCACAATTCAAAGTGTTGACCTCGGCCCAGTATACCTGAAGGAGTGTCTCCACCCCCATCGTTCAGCCCAGACACTGAGGTCCAGCTCCGAGGGTCTTCTGGTGGTTCCCTCACTGCGAGAAGCTAAGCTACAGGGAACCAGGCAGAGGGCCTTCTCGGTAGTGGCACCTGCCCTGTGGAACGCCTTCCCATCAGATGTCAAAGAAATAAACAACTACAGTGGTACCTCTGGTTATGTACTTAATTCATTCCGGAGGTCCGTACTTAACCTGAACCTGTTCTTAACCTGAAGCACCACTTTAGCTAATGGGGCCTCCCGCTGCTGCCGTGCCACCGCCGCGTGATTTCTGTTCTCATCCTGAAGCAAAGTTCTTAACCTGAGGTATTATTTCTGGGTTAGCGGAGTCTGTAACCTGAAGCGTATGTAACCTGAAGCGTATGTAACCCGAGGTACCACTGTACCTGACATTTAAAAGACATCTGAAGGCAGCCCTGTTCAGGGAAGTTTTTAATGTGTGACATTTTAATGTATTTTTAATCTTTGTTGGAAGCCGCCCAGAGTTGCTGGGGAAACCCAGCCAGATGGGCAGGGTACAAATAATACATTATTATTACTATTACTTAACTTCACCTGCCAGGAATTTCCTTGGGTATTTGAGAAAACTGCAAGTCATCTTGAGTCATCAAAAGCTAATCAGTTTTAAAACTTAAAATATTAGGGGCAGAGGTTTAAGTACATGCCTAACTCCCCCACTGGAAACCACAATATAATTTTAGTACACTAACATTTTGATTTTATTTATTAAACGTATCTATGTCTCCATCTAATTTAAAAATGCCAGAGCAGTTTATAACAGAGTAAAAATGCCTAACTTTGACTGAATACATAGGCGTTTGCTGTCTGCATCTTCTGTCAGCATCGTCCTTGAGCCAGTGCCACCAACTGGACTCATACACTTCAGCCCGACTGGGCTAGGCAATCTGGGTAGCACTTCCAGAGACCACCTTCTGCACAGGAACAGGTCAAAGTCCTGTGGACTCACAGCTTAGAGTTGTGAGCACCGGATTCACTCCAACAAGAAGACAGTCGTCGCACAGCAGAGTATAGCAGAGCATAAACGACTCGGAGAGCAGCTCTGTAGAATATCTTCTTTATTCTATCTACAACTATAATACACAACTATGTACAGAGCTAAATGAGGTCTAAGCAAAAATGCTGAACTGCACTGAGTGTCTGCAGCTGCTCTTAGCAGCAACCTTATCTATACATACGATCTCTCTCTAACACTCAGTCTCTCTCTCTCTCTTTGATGTGAGGCTGGAGTGGAATATGTAGGGAGCAGAAACTGCCCCCTCCTCTCTGGAGAATCAGCAGATCACATCAGCAGATTCTTGGATATGGGAGGAGTGAAATGCAAAATATACGCTGTCTGAAGTAATATGTTATTCTGTGGCTTATCATCTGAAAGTGTCTTTCCTTTAAGCTTAATTTTTAGCAAAAGTCAAACAATTGAGCAGGGCTGGGGAGCCTGTGGCCTTCAAGTTGCGGCTGGACTGCAAATCCCATCATCACTGGCCATTGACCATGATGCTTGCAGGTTCTCCACCCCCGTAGCAGAGGATATTGAGATATCCTTCCCCCATTTGCCTTTAAGCCTGCTTGTTCAATCGTCTGTTATCCTCACTTAAATGTTTCAAATGTTTTGCTTTCTTCACAGATGGAAAAGTTGGCTAGCTTCTTTCTTTTATGGGGAGCATTTTCTTCAGGAGTCCTCGGCTACTCAAATGGAAAAATCAGTGCGGCTTGTGGCTCTATGATTCCTGGTCACGGACACATTGCACAGAACTCTGCACCGCCATATGCCATCTCCACCTCCAAAACTTCATTTGCCCCAGGAGATGAAATTATAGGTGAATTCAGAACCATTTGTTGACTGCAATGTAAACCAAAAGTGATGTCAAAGGTCCACTGTAGGAAGTGCTTCCTTCCCATTCTCCCTGCCTCCGCCCCCAATGTCTCTGTTTAACATCAAACCTTAGTTAAATAACTTTTTATCTCTAAGCCAAGGATGGGCAATCTGTTGCACTCCATAAATAGCTGTGACCATCATTCCTGACCATTGACCATGCTGGCTGGGGCTGATGGGAATTAAAATCTAGCAATATCTGGAGGGCAGAAAGTTCTCTATCACTGGTTTAAGCCCAAATGTGAAATGAACAGGGTCCAAATTGCTCTGTGGGTGTGCATGTATAGGCATTGATGCCATGCCTCCCTGCCCTCTGCCCCACATTTTGCTGTAGCCCTTCACATTAGATTCTTGTTTTTTGACAATCTCAGCCTGTTGGGAATGATTGTTGGAGTGGGGTGGGGGAGCTGAATGCCATGCTAGATCCTTTTGGATCATTGCTCAGAGCTACAATAAGTGTGTCATCTTTTGCCAACAAGATCACATGGATTAGTCGTCACTGGAGAGACAAAAGGATTCTTTGTCCTCTGGAAAGAGTTTCCTATTTCAATCACATTACAGTTTGCTATAAAGGAAGTAGACATGTTTTTGTAACTTATTATCTTTCCCCTTTAGCACAGGAGTTTAGAAAGCAAATGGGTGAAAAACCAAAACCAAACATACTTATTCTCTTCCAGCAAGGGAAAGGATCGGTACCTTGTATCCCTCCAGCTGCTTTGAACTTGGCTCTTTTCCCTAAGACATTTGGTTATCCATCTACGAATAAAGCTAAGCTGAATCACAATGGACCTGATCCAGCCATTAAAAAAAAATACTTTGCCATGTGTGCTTGTCTGTGAAATGTACAGTTTGTTTTTCTCTGAGCCACACTGTGGTGGGAGGGAGGGTCTGGAGATCAGAGGTACTCATATCTCTGCATGCCCAGCCTAGAGAGGCAGTACTTAGTAGGCTTTTTACCTGGTGGGGCTGGGTGCTGTTTTGTGGTAGATAAAAAAATAAGGTGTGGTTTTTTAAAGAGACCATTTTGCCCACTTTCAAATGTGTTCAAAATTTTGGCTTTGGTTATAGTTTGTTACTGTGATATTCCATGGGAGGGAGGGATAATAGTAGTGGTGGTGGTGGAGATTATTATTATTATTATTATTATTATTATTATTTCCCCAACCACTCTGGGTGGCTCCCAATAGAATATTAAAAACACGATAAACATCCAACATTAAAAACTTCCCTGAACAGGGCTGCCTTCAGATGTCTTCTAAAAGTCTGATAGTTGTTCTTCTCTTTGACATCTGGTGGGAGGGTGTTCCACAGGGCGGGTGCCACTACCAAGAAGGCCCTCTGCTTGGTTCCCTCTAGCTTCACTTCTCGCAGTGAGGGAACCACCAGAAGGCCCTTGGTGCTGGACCTCAGTGTCCGGGCAGGACGATGGGGGTGGAGACGCTCCTTCAGGTATACTGGGCCGTGGCCATTTAGGACTTTAAAGGTCAGCACCAACACTTTGAATTGTGCTTGGAAACATACTGGGAGCCAAAGTAGGTGTTTCAGGACCGATGTTATATGGTCTTGGATGGATGGATGGATGAATAGATAGATAGTCATTTTTTTCTTTAAAAAAATGTTTAGGTGTACTCTCATTTTGACTGAAGAAAATCACCATTTTACAGTTCAAATTGGGGAAAATACAGTAAATGGACTAAAGTACAAAGATTCACAAAATGTTTAGGGGTATACATACCCCTGCATTCCTCCAGAAAAATGCACTGGAGAGATCGAGAGATAGAGAGATAGAGTTGAGTGAGTACAGATCCCTAGTCTGGAATTTTGGGGGCTTGAGGAAAGGTCATTAAAGGCAGGGGAGAACAACACAGAACACAAATACATTTCATCAAGCAGCCCCTACTAGTGTGGACAGGAAACATCAAGATAGATTTGAATTGAAAGCACTCGGGTGCAGACAAAAGTGCACAAATTAAAATCAGATCTGTGTGACACACCCTGGTGTGTGTACACAGCCCTTGTAGGTTCTCACACTGAAGTGATGGTAGTAATAAATGCAACTTTCATTTGTTGTTGCTTTTTGCCCTTAATATTTGTTGTGGCAAAACATTTAAACTGACACTTTTTACAACATCTTTCCTACTCAGTATCTCTTATGGCAAGCGGCGATTCCAGTTTTGAGGGATTTTTACTCCAGGCCCGAGCAGTTGGAGGCGATGTTGCTGTGGGACATTTTCGAATCCTAGACCCTAACTCGCAAGGCCTTGCATGCAATGACATTCAGGTATGTGTAACTTGTGTGGCTTGGGCTTGTGTAATTCTTTTGTTAGTAGCTTTTGCGATGCAAAAACAAGCTTTGGTTGCAGAGCAGAGACTCATATACACTGAGGGAACTATCCTATGGCCTTGAAGATGATCGGGGATAGTCTGTTTTTTTGTCTGAAGAGCTAATCCCACGCTATATCCTACCACATATGCTTTTAAAACAGTGATGGGAAACTTTAGGCCTCCCAAGGCCTCTTTATCTGGCTCTCAGGACTCTCCTCAGGCTACCCCCTCCTTGAATATTTCTGTCTGGCTGAAATGTGTCCTTGAAATCTGATAATGCCTCTGGCTTGTCTGGACAGAGAGGCGTGAATGCAGAGCCTAGCCTACTCTACAATGGTAGACATTCATCGCTCTGCCCACCTTTGTCTCCTGCTCTGCCCACGACTGGCATGGGGCTTCTAGAAGGTCAAAAAAGATTCCCCACACATGTTTTAAAGGTATATGTTGTTTTCAAATGCAGTTGGCTGTGAAAGGTGTGGAGTGGGGAATGCTACTTGGGCAAACAGCAGCTCTGCAGGTGTCTTGGGTGCACAGAACTATTTTCATGGTTCTTTTTGACCCTCGCCACAATACATGTGGTTGGAAAGAAGGAAGGAAGGAAGGAAGAAGACGGGGCTGCAATGGGCCTCAGTTGGTAGAAAGAGATGGATATTTTCTACCCCTAACCACCAATGCTCTTTCCTGGGCTCAAAATGCTCTACAGTGGTACCTCTGGATAATAATAATATAATAATTTATTATTTGTACCACGCCCATCTGGCTGGGTTTCCCCAGCCACTCTGGGCGGCTTCCACAAAGACCAAAATTACACTAAGATGTCATACATTAAAACTTCCCTGAACAGAGCTGCCTTAAGATGTCTTCTGAATGTCAGGTAGTTGTTTATCTCTTTGACATCTGATGGGAGGGCGTTCCACAGGGCGGGCGCCACTACCGAGAAGGCCCTCTGCCTGGTTCCCAGTAGCTTTGCTTCTCGCAATGAGGGAACCGCCAGAAGGCCCTCAGAGTTGGACCTCAGCGTCCAGGCAGAACGATGGGGGTTGAGACGCTCCTTCAGGTATACAGAGCCGAGGCCCTTTAGGGCTTTAAAGGTCAACACCAACACTTTGAATTGTGCTCGGAAACGTACTGGGAGCCAATGTAGGTGTTTCAAGACCGGTGTTATGTGGTCTCGGCAGCCGCCCCCAGTCACCAGTCTAGCTGCCGCATTCTGGATTAGTTGTAGTTTCAGGGTCACCTTCAAAGGTAGCCCCACATAGAGCGCATTGCAGTAGTCCAAGCGGGAGATAACTAGAGCATGCACAACTCTGGCGAGACAGTCCGTGGGCAGGTAGGGTCTCAGCCTGCGTACCAGGTGGAGCTGGTAGACAGCTGCCCTGGATACAGAATTGACCTGCGCCTCCATGGACAGCTGTGAGTCCAAAATGACTCCGAGGCTGCGCACCTGGTCCTTCAGGTGTGCAGCCTGGAACGGGATCCGTTTCGGAGCCCCGTTCGCATCCAGAAGCGAACGCAACCCATGTCCGCGCGTCTGCGGGTCGCAACTCGCCGCTTCTGCACATGCGCGTGACATCATTTTGACTGTCTGCGCATGCGCGAGCGGCGAGACCCGGAATTAATGCTCTCCTTCCGAGTCGCCACAGCGTGCAACCCGAAAGTACTTATCCCGAAGCTACTTCAACCCGAGGTATGACTGTAGTCCTCAACCCAGCAGCTCTGAGACTCTGTATGTCTTTGAGGGAAAAGGGGCCTCTGGCTCTCTGAGCACTGCTGAACTTCATTTCTCATCAACCTCAGCCAGCACATGGCCAGTGGTCGGGGTGGTGCTTGTTGTAGCCCGACAATATCTAAAGGGCCACAAGATCCCCATCTTGGCAGGGGTGTAAAATTGTGTTCCTAGAGGAGTGGGAGACACTTTCCCATCTCCTCCAGCGTGACTAATCATACCATCGGCCAGACTGCTCCACTTCCCCATCACCCCAATATCAGCATTACAGTGGTACCTCAGGTTAAGTACTTAATTCGTTCCGGAGGTCCGTTCTTAACCTGAAACTGTTCTTAACCTGAAGCACCACTTTAGCTAATGGGGCCTCCTGCTGCTGCCGCGCCGCTGGAGCACGATTTCTGTTCTCATCCTGAAGCAAAGTTCTTAACCTGAGGTACTATTTCTGGATTAGCGGAGTCTGTAACCTGAAGCGTATGTAACCCGAGGTACTACTGTATTTTGTTTACAAGGCCAGCATGGTTCTTGTTTGTCCAACATCCTGCTAATCAAAATTGGGACACTCCTTTTTTAAAAAAAATATTGATCTCTCACAGGAGTTAGTTGACTCGCACCAGAGATCGAGATAAGAAAACAAGCAACTTTTGGTCCGGTGCTCGGCTGACTCACACCAGAAGCTGAACCAAAAAACAGGACATTCTGGGATCCAATCAGACGCCTAGGGTGTCCCGCTCAAATTGGGACAGTTGAAGGGTATGCAATGAAAGTTGGTGGGGAATGGTTCTCTGTAATCACCCAGCTTATCAAGGGACTCCATGGGCCCACAGTTCTGAGTTGTTTTTAGCATCTGAAATGTGCCTGATTTCCTTCTGCATCAGGATTTCTTTCTTTTTTCCCCCCACTGTAGAATTCTTCCCTGAGTCACACAAACAAGGCAAAGAAGCAAAACATAACAGCAATTTGGATTGCTGCTCCTGGTGTAGGGCATGTTGAGTTCAGGTACAGGCTTGTTTTCTCTGTATAAGGGAGCAGCACTTCTTAATGCCTTAATTCCCCCCAAAGTCTTAAATTACTTTATGGTTGTAAATGTATACTAGACTAGGAAGCCTACATCCTGCTGGGATTGGCTACAAGAATCCATGTCTCTGCTGCAGAAGGGTCAAGCATTTTTCTAAATTTCACTGTGGCTTGGCTCTTCGGCACTGGGAACTGCTGCAGTGAAAACAATAAGCAGCATGCATAATTCCCTTGACTTTAATCTGTTTTAACTGTTTTTGATTCTGAGTTTTAAGTTGTTATAACTCACCCTGGTAAAGGGTGGGTGGTGGTGGTATTAACAGTGTAGACTGAAGCTGTTAAATCCACAAATTCCAGGCTATATAATCAATCAAATTTTATATTTGAAAAATAGAATAGTGCAATCTAGAAGAATTGGTTGGCTGTATCTGGTCAGTGCTTTCTAAAATTATTTACATGCTGTGTATTCCACCATTTTCAGAGCAACAGCGGTCTATAATTTTTCGGTATTCTGGACTCAAGTTCAAAGTCAAGTTCTCGTGTCTTCCAGTTCACCACTTGTTCCAGTAAGTTTTAATCTGGTTTACTGGCCATCTTGTTTTACAAGTATGTAATAATGATACCGTGCATTTAATTTAAACTATTCTTAGAGAACTTTATTTTTTGGTGTAAGGACTACCAGGTCATGTCAATAGTTTAAACATTCTACTGCTGAAAACTGTAGGGGGGGAAACCACACTCATAAGCACAAAGGAGACCAACCTTTTTTTGGCCTGAAAACTACATTGACTGTAACCCACATCTCTGAAGGCCAAATACCAGCAACGTATACGTACGATACAGACATATAGAGTAACAAGTGCCATATGTTATGTACTGAAGTTCTCACCCTGGGCCAGCAGGGGGATACTGTAGATAGTTTTCACTCAGGTCCACATATGCGAATAAGGGAATAAAAGTGACGTTCAGTGATTGGATAGTTACAGAAAGTGTTACAGTTGCGTTGCAGTGGAGCTCTATATAAGCAGGCTGGCTGAACCCTTCAGTTCAGTTCTGTTCTGGCCTGTGAATAAACAAGAGCTGTTCGAAGAATCGCTGTGTTGTCTGATATGTTCACCCACAACTTAACACCATACACACTCCCCTGACATTTCTTTCCTGGCAGGGCAGGTTACAACATTTAAAACAATATAGGTAGCTCACAATCTCCTCCTCAATCCCAGGATTTTTGACGGAGAAGCTGAGAAGTAAATTCCTTTTCCTTAACCATTTTTTAATGTAACCACTGTTCTTTTCTTTCACAGACCGTCTCCTCCACAACAGTAAGTGTTTGATCTTTGCATTTTGTTTTAAGACGACTTGTTTCCCGCTTCATCCAAGCCCATTTCTTCCATGTCAGTAGTAACCTGAATATGTTTCTTTTGGAGAGGACAGTCGTTGTGTCCGAAACCCATGCTTGCTTCAAGGTAACGTATGGAATTGTGCTGTAAAGGGTGCTGTACGTTTGGCAAACTCCGAGAATCCCTCCAGTGGAAATGACACAAGGATTGCGTATCGAAAGCATGCTAAAAACAAATGCAAGAAGGCCTGGCAGCATTTATGCACTCCAGGTGTGTGTCTCTGTGTGTAGTGTGTTCATTACGGTTGCAATGAATCTATCGACTTACCTGGGACTTACATGTACCCCTGACCAGACATGCAAACAGGATTCCATTTATTTATCATGTACAGGTGAACATAGTCTTATCTTAGAGGTGGAATTAATATTTTAGAAAAATAACTAACAGCCATGTTTATTGCTGATGGTTGATGGGATCTACTCTTCCTTGCAGATCTCCACAGAGGAAGGCTGTGGCAAACACAAGTTCTGTTTCAGTAACCCTGCAGGCTGCAGCCCAAGCAACCCAAACTGTTACTTCATGTCATCCGCGGCATTAGGGAGCGATGCTTTCCAATTTGAAATAAGTGGACTTTCAGATGGATATGTAGCCATTGCCTTTTCTGATGACACGATAATGGTGAGATACTGAATGATTTTTTTTTTTTTTTAAAGATGCTTAGGGTCTAACTATATTACTTTAATGTACAGCGCTTGCAGCCATGTCACAATTATTTTTTAAAAAATGTAGCCCTAGGTGCAGCAAACATGACAAAGGTATTGTTGAGCTAAAGGTAATAAGAGAAGAACAAGTTAAAATTGTCTCATTTTCAATAGAATTTCACTGGTGTTCACATTGCATTGGTTCTGCATACAAATCTGCAAGATTTTAGTTCTTGCAAAAATTGAAAGCGCTTTTTTTGAAAGCCCTAAACATTAAGCAACCCTTAAAAAAACACAAGTAAGAAAAACTATTTGTATTGCGTTATATGTCGCTGAAAGTCAGCAGTGTTATGTACTGAAGTTCTCACCCTGGGCCAGCAGGGGGATACTGTAGATAGTTTTCATTCAAGTCCACATATGCAAATAAGGGAGTGAAAGTGACGTTCAGTGATTGGATAGTTACAGAAGGTGTTACAGTTGCGTTGCAATGGAGCTCTATATAAGCAGGCTGGCTGAACCCTTCAGTTCTGTTCTGTTCTGGCCTGTGAATAAACGAGCTGTTGAAGAATCGCTGTGTCGTCTGATATGTTCACCCACAACTTAACAAGCAGTCCCTGTGGTTATGAAAGCATAGAGCATTTATGGACCCCAGAGCAAGCATGAATGTAGGAACATCGTAAGATGCCAAATACCATCATACCATTGGTCCATCTTGCTTAGTTTTCTCTAGGCTGAATGGCAGTGGCTTTCCAGGGTACCAGACCACATACCTGCCTTCCCCTTCCCCACCTCCATTCATTGTCGTCAAGGCTTCTTCTTCTGCAATATGCATCCCATACTCAAACCAGGTACACCTGGACGTAAGGTACCCTTAGCTAAACTGGCAGATTTCCCGTGGGCTAGTGACATTAGAATAAACAAATATAGCGTGCACTCATTCTGAATAACAGGAGACTGTTGTGTATCTTTTCCCAGGGAGATGATGATGTTTATATTTGTGGTAAGAATGGAACAGATCGCATAGAGGTGCAACACGCCTTCTCAACTGGACGTAGTCGTCCCAGCCCAAGGCCTCTGGTACTGGAAATGTCTTCTGCTACCTTTGTTTTTTAAAAGTATGATGTGTGAAACTATCAGGAGTGTGGGAAACCTGTACTCCATGATTTCTTATTGGACGACAGCTCTCCTCCTTAAAAGTTGTATTTATTTATTTAAGGCATTTCTACACCACTTACTCACCATATTTTTCACCCCATAAGACGCACCTGACCATAAGACGCACCAAGTTTTTAGAAGGGGGAATGCAAGAAAAAAATACTCTTTAAAGGGAGTGCTGAGCAGAGCCTGCCCTTCTCCCTCCTCGGGGAAAAGCCCCCAAGAGCCGCACACACGCTCCACACGACTCTTTAAAGGGAGCGCTGAGCAGAGCCTCCCACCTGCATTTGCTCCATAAGACGCACACACAGTTCCCCTTACTTTTTAGGATGGAAAAAGTGCGTCTTATGGAGCGAAAAATACGGAATTCATGTTTTTATGTGGTGTACATAAAAAAAAATCCACAGATAATAAAACAATACAAATTCATCATAATGCCAGACTGGGAGCACTGGCCGCAGGCAGTGGGATTTGCAGTCAGAAGGCCCATTGGCTGAAATGATTTGATCTCTGCTTAATAGGGCAAAGATTAGATGACGAGCATCCCTTTCAGGGAAGTCAGTAAGCTTGAAGCCTATGCCGGAAACACCCAGAGATCGATCCTTTTGTCTGATGCTGGAAATGCTAGTCAAACTAGTCAAACTGGAAAAACACGAGGGAATAGTGCCTTTTCTTACTGAGTTGCAGTGGTGGGTTTTTCAAAGAATGGGAAAGAATATAGGGGTTTTTTTTCAGGGGGGTTGAGGTGCAATAATGATGAATCTTCAGGATTTGTATAAACTCATCCCTTTTTAGCTCTTTATTATAGGAAGAAGGCAGATACACACAACTGTGGATTGTATTTCCACAATTAGGTGAAAAGGCAGAGATATTATAATAGCATCACATTATTTTACTTGATTATTATCAGTTTATTGATTACTACTGTGTCTGTTTCTATAAGTTTATGTATAATGGTCAAAATGACTGTGACAGATAACTTTGCTGTGTGTGTGTTTAGGGTAATGTGGACGTTCTGACAACATCCTTCAGCGAGGGAATTATCAGGTGTTCTTTCATTTCGAGAAACCCCATATCAACCCAGGCAAGAAGCACTGACAGTTTGTACTACATATTTCTGGCTTTTGGGCCATCTCACGCTGATGGTGAGTTCCACATAGAAACTGGAAATGGGGACAGTGTTTACAAGAGCAACTGCATACAGAATTCTGGAGCTCAAGGCTTAAAGAGCCTTATTGTAGCAAATGCCTTTACTTATGATAGCTGGAAGGCTTTTATCGCTCCAATATGTGGGGGGGGGGGAGAAATAAGGATGATATGTTTCTGGATAATATGTTTTGTTTTAATTTTGAATAAAAAGGAAGACCCAGTCATCTTCCTTAACATTGCCTGTACAGAACCTTCTTGCATACTTGAGACCTGTTGACTACAGAGACCTGTTGATTTTTAAATACTGTTGATAGCTTTGTTCATGCAGGAATTCATTTTATAGCAAGAGGCCCTGCGATAACTAGTTCTTCTTCTTCTTTTTAAAAAAACCAAAAACTCTTGGAGGGACGATACAGAAGCATCCCAGGACACCCTTTATTACTGATCAGAAGGTGAACATTTCAAGCTTTGCAGCAGTAGGTGGCACCAGTTCTAGACCCTTGATAATCAAAGCTCATGGTAAGTAACTTTTCTGAGAGTGGAGTCCCAAAGTCTCTTCTTTCCATTCCACCTCTTGCAGTACCTCCTGGGAGAGATGCTCCCGGTGGGTCTTGGTCTTGTGGGTAGATTCCGTACATGTTTAAGTGAGCCTAGTTTAGTAGGGATAGATTAGTTGCTTCATGTCTTTGTTTGTCGCTCCTCTCAAGCTCTGATAGTGATAAATAAATTACATTGCGTGTTCAGACCCAAAAACCTCCCGCCTCAATAAATTCACACATGACTCAAATTTTGGTTTTGGTTTTTGGCAGAATTTAGGCCACAACTTTATTGATTACAGAAAGTGACTGGTTGCATAGGCTCTGGTTCGACTAGCTCCCTGCCATGCAGGTAGCGCTGACCCAGGGTTCCAGCATAGGTTGGCCAAGGGTGAACACCCGGATGAGCGGAAAGCCGGGAACGGGCTAACTCCGCAACCCAAATGTCCCCCTGGACTCAGGCACGGGCACAACTCCCTCTCATGGGTTGACCAAACCATTGAGTCTTTGGATTCCTTTAATGGAGTACCCTTCACCATAAGGATGGCAAGAGCATTCTCCCATCCCTATCACCTGAACCAGAGCCTATCCGCAACCTTACAAGTTGTGACGATTTGCTACGCGGCAGGCGAAACCCAAATGGCAACAGCCAATCAGCCAAGTGGGGAAATTCCTACCGTGCCCCTGTCCCAACGATAGACGACACACGACAGCATAGCAAGGTCAAGCACAAAGCCCCCAAAATAGGGAGAGGTGGGTGGGTGTTCCCAATGCACATGCCAAAAGAGGAAGCTCTGGGTCACGTGCATGGGTATATTTAGGTCCCTTGATCCATATAGCTTGCGTCCCATTGGCCTGATTAAACCCAGCATCAAGGGACCTACCAATTGGGTGTTGTGGCTATTCAATTAAACCCACCCACAACACAGGGTTTTGTTGCCAGGTCTCACCGCTACACGTGCCCTCTTTAAGGAAGGACCTGATTTATCATTATCCTGCATGTCCATTTTAATTTAAAAAAATAATTAAAATTACTTATTGTCCATTCATATTTCCTTACAAATATTTCTAGAATCCTGCTCATGTATTAATCTGTGTACATTCCTTCTGTATATATGCAACGAAGTCCTTCCAGTCGTCTTTAAACTCATTGTCATCTCTTCCTCTTAATTTCAATGTCAATCTTGCCATTTCAGCATATTCCATTAATTTAACTTGCCAATCTTCTTTAGCTGGGACACCTTCTTCTTTCCATTTCCTACTAAGGATCGAGCTGCTTGCTGAGTAATTTGGGAGCTGCTTTATCTTATACACATGGGTGGTGCAGTACCCTACGTCGCCTGTAAAAACAAAATAAAGTACATGTCAGTTTACTAGAGAAATGGTACATCTTCCAGAATAGCTCCTAGAGTTTTGCCAAACAGATAATTTATTTTGATTAGTAAATATACGTTCTATTTTTCTTGCGTTCCTTTGGCGTAGAAGAATAATGGGCATACCAATGTGTTTGTGTGACACAACATACTGTACATTTATTTATCTGCGGTACTTACAACGCCTCTTCAATGGGAAAGAGCTCTCAGAGTGACTCACAACAATCACATAACAAGTTGGCCCCTGCCTTCATGCTTAAAATCTAAAGGATAGAACACAAAAGGATAGGAGATTGGGGTGGAGGAGGGAAAACTCCCCCCCCCCCCCACTCTTGAACACTTAATGAAAACCTTGTAATTTTCGGGCAGGGAGCGGCTGAAGCAAATTCCCTGGAGTTGCTCCTTCTCAGGCCACTGATAATTTGGTTTTTCTTTGTCTCCATGTGTTTTCTTTGCTTCTGTTCTAAGGAGCCCTCATGTTGATCGCTTGGATGACCACAGGCAGTGTGGGAATGATATTTGCCAGGTACTTGAAGAAATCCATCAAGAAACCTCTCTTGGGTAAAGATATTTGGTTTCAGGTACGCACATTAATAGATCCATGGTTGGGTAGAGAGGACTGTTAGGTTGGCCCCTACGAACAGGGGACTACAGTAGTTTCAGCTGGTGAAATCGCGTTCAAGCTTTGGGATTGCGCAGATCGTAATAGAAGTGTGTGCACATCTTCAGGTTTTTTTTTCTGAGTTCAATGCAGCAGCAGCAGTAACCACAATCCAACCACCGCCATTTGTTCTGATTCTGCGCTAAAGTTACTGTTTCTCCAGAGAAAAGAGGCAGAGCAAATGGAGGTGTGGATAAGCCCTCAGACTATATATATATATATATATATATATATATATATATATAAAAATTAATGATACAAATTTAATTCCTCATGTTATTTACAACTATTCTCCCTTCCCTCCTCTGGACTTCCCTCAACTCCCCCTCTGCTGAGTTATTTAGTTTTATTTATCGTATCCTTCTTTTCCTACACAAAAATAAAATCCCTTATCATTTCTCTAAAATATCTGTTACTCAAATGAAGTTGTGAAAGTTTATTCAAATCCTGCCAGTGAATCCAGTCCATTCTGTTGTTTCTGCAAATAAACTGTAAATGATTCCCAGACTCTTTTGAAGTCCTTTTTGTCCTTCTCTTGTAGTTTGTCTGTTAGCTTAGCCAATTCTGCATAGTTCATCAGCTTTTCTTGCCATTGTTCCTTTGATGGTATTTCTTCCATCTTCCAATATTGCGCAATTAAGATTCTTGCTACTGTTGTACCATATATAAATAATGTCCATTTTTCTTTTGGTAGCTCTTGATTTGAGATACCTAACAAAAAGGCTTCAGGGTGTTTGACAAAATTCATTTTAAACAATTTTTTTCAATTCATTGTATATCATTTCCCAATATTTTTTAAAGCATTTGCATTCTCACCACATATGCTAAAATGCTCCTTCCTTTTCCTTACATCTCCAACATCTGTTATTTTCTTTCCTAAACATCTTTGCCATTTTCACTGGTGTGATATACCATCTATACATCATTTTCATGTAATTCTCTCTTAATAGTATGCAATCTGTGAATTTTATATCAACTTTCCATAATTTTTCCCAACTTTCAAATTGGATGTTGTGTCCCACATCCTGATCCCATTTAATCATAACTGATCTAACCCCTTCATCTTTGGTTTCCCACTCTAATGAAATACTATATGCTTTTTTAAAACAATTTAACATTCTCTTCCACTATTTCTTTTTGAAATCTGGAGATTGTATAACTAAACCCCTTTTTATTGTCTTCCTTAAAAATTTCATTTAATTGCCTAAGGTGTAACCAACTTTGTAAATAGTCTTTCAGCTCATCATACTTTTTTAGTTTGAGCTTACCTTCTTCTTCTGCTAACAACTCTCTATGTGTCAACCAGCTTATTTTTTTGGTCGACTTAAGTGAAAATGCTTCAGTGGGTGACAGCCACCATGGTGTTTTCCACTCTAACAGATCTTTATATTTTCCCCACACTCTTATTAATGACTTTTTTATTATATGGTTTGAAAAACCTTTATGTATTTTCCCTTTCCCATACCATAAATATGAGTGCCAGCCAAATCTAGTGCCGTGTCCTTCTAGTTCTAACTTCTAACTCGTCTTCTTTTTCCAATTTTATCCAATCCCTTATCCATACAAGACATGCTGCTTCAAAATACAATTTCAAATCTGGGAGAGAAAAGCCTCCTCTATCTCTTAAGTCTGTTAGTATCTTATGTTTTATCCTTGGTCTTTTCCCATTCCAGATAAATTTTGAAATATCTTTTTTTGAAGGATATATTGTTATTTCTGAAATAGAAATAGTATCTTTGGCAAAGCACTCATCATTATTGCTGCAATTTTCCTTAACGGGAAGATTCATCCTTCCCCAGATTTCTAGAAGCCCTCAGACTTTTGAGTCTTACCCTGTTCTGCCTGTAGATGGTGAAAGTGAATTGGCTATTTTAAAGAAGGAACCAAGGCCATTGAGAGACTGTTGCCTCATCTGTACTATATATTTAAGGCAGTAACATTCAACTTTCAACTGTCATGGCTTCTCCCAAGGAATCCTGGGTGTACCACATTGAGAACTGCTGATCTGTGAGGGGGAATGAGGGTTAAAAATAAAAAATAAAAATGGCTTTATACATATCTATTCTATATAATGGCAATAGACCAGTTAATCCTTCACTTTTCACTGGTTTGTAATCTAATTTAAGCACATTTTTTCCCTTTCAGATCCACTTTTTGATGATGTTGTTAACTGTCGTGGCAACGGCAATCGCTTTCATATTAAGCTTTGTGGCAGCAAACGGATGGAGTGAAGTAAGTTTAGCTTTCCTTGATTTCTACAGCACCTAGATCCCTGCTGAACAACTTACTTTGATGAAGGGTGATGAAGGAGGCTGATGAAAGAGCAGGGACCAATTTGCTACCCCTCTCCAAAGCAGACTGCCAGCAGCCTATAGCCAAAGCCAACAAGACATGCAACACACATACACTGTAAGACACCTCTGAGTTAGCAGCAGGGACCTACATGGTATCTTGAGGGTGCAGAAAGTGTTGGATTTTTTTCAGCACAATCCTCTGCATATTTACTCATAAGCAAGCATGCTTCTGAACTGTTCATTGGGTAAAGGTAAAAGTAAAGGGGCCCCTGACCATTAGGTCCCGTCACAGACGACTCTGGGGTTGCGGCGCTCATCTTGCTTTATTGGCAGAGGGAGCCAGCGTACAGCTTCCGGGTCATGTGGCCAGCATGACTAAGCCACTTCTGGCGAACCAGGGCAGCACACGGAAGCGCCGTTTACCTTCCCGCCGGAGCGGTACCTATTTATCTACTTGCACTTTGACGTGCTTTCGAACTGCTAGGTGGGCAGGAGCTGGGACCGAACAACGGAAGCTCACCCCATTGCGGGGATTCGAACCGCTGACCTTCTGATTGGCAAGCCCTAGGCTCTGTGGTTTAACCCACAGCATTGGGAGTTACTCGTAATTGTGTGTTTTGTGATTGCAGTTTAAATTTGCCCAGAATAGATGTATATTAGACTTAATATCTAGATAGCAAGCCCTGCAGTTATGCATTCTATGCCATTCATTCAAGTGGTTTTTATATATATATAAGAATTTGCTGGATATTTAATTACATTGGATTATTTAAATACGATCACTCGACCAAAATGTGCTTCTGCATCAACATTTCATCTCCTAATTCCCCTGTCCCCAGGCTTTGATTAGTCTGCAATTAAGTATGGGCGGATGCACAGTTTTTGTTGTTTTTTGCTTGCATTGATTGGTAAGTCTATTCTGTCTGACGTCCATGCAGCAGTTGTTGTTTTTTTTTAAAGGAAACTTCATCTAAAAATGCCCCGGAAATGGCGGCATGATAAGAGATGTCAAACCTTCCTGAGTGACTGTACAGAGAAATAGCTGACTGACCACTTCTACTTATGGTCGGCAGCTACCTTTTCCGTTATACAATGACCGCTCCCCACATTAAATGGGGGCGCCCTTTGTGTGGTCGTGCACAGCCCCCTGGACCCTATGTGGCACCATTAGCACAGGCTTGGCTTCGCCTTCCCCAGGTGGGATACCTGGAGGTCTCCGCCTACCTCAGCCAGTTGCCCAATCCCACCTGGGGAGGCGTTGCCAAGGTGATCAGGCCAGGTAGGGGGAGGGACTACCTGCCCACACAATAGGGGGAGGATCTTACCTGGGAATTGTCAGTTGGGAATCTTCCGTTATACAATGTTCTTTGCCTCCCCAAGGTCCCTTTGGAAGGATATTGTATGCGAACAAGGATTTCCTACAAGAAGAATTAAGATGCAGCCTTTTCTAAAGGAGAGGTGCTTCCGTAGCATTTGCAAAGCGTAAATAGGACTCATACCCTTTTCTCTCTGACAGAGTGCAGGAGCTCATGCTGTTATTGGATGCATTGTCACGATTCTCTCTTTGATTCAACCAGCCATAGCTTTTTTCCGACCTTCTCCTCAAGATAACCGGTCAGTACATCAAATGTAATTAATGAGGTAAAAAGAAATAAATGCTTCCTTGAATTGCAGAAGCATTATACGCTAAACGGGCAGAACAGTTACAGCTGGATGCTAGCTACTTCAGAACTGCCTTTGGAAGAGGAAAAATATATTCATCATAAGATCTCAGGGAGGTTCGCAGAAGCTACCCTTTCCCATTATCATTTCAGAAGCACTGGAATTATAGGGTTTTCTTGATTTTTAATTGTGCTGAGCAAAATTGTAAATACAGAAAAGTGTTATTTTTAGCCATTTATTTCTCATAGCCAGGGCTTTTTTTCAATCAGAACTCACTGGAGTTCTGGCACCTTTTAGGGGTGTTCTGGCACCTGTTTTGTGAGCTACCTGCATAGCCACTGAGCAACCAAAATCATCAAATGCCAACAGTGCCCTTCAGCTCTCTATATTGGACAAACAGGACAATCTTTACGCCGAAGGATAAATGGACATAAATCTGACACCAGGAATCATAAAACAGAGAACCCAATAGGAGAACACTTCCATTTCCCAAGATCTTAAAGTAGCTGTCTTATTGCAAAAGAATTTTAGAAATACACTTGAAAGAGAAGTTGCTGAGTTACAACTCATTACCAAACTAAAAACTATGGAGAGACCTGGTCTGAATAGAGATATTGGATTCATGTCCCGTTATACACGCTAAAGCTAATTTTGGTCATCTATCCCTTCAAAAATCCCTTGCCCTGTGGAACCAACTGCCATCATTAACAGTCATCAACAGTTATAAGGTTGTAGCGACCTCCGTTTCAGAGTATCTGAAGAAATGTGTATACACACGAAAGCTCATACCTAGAAAGCTTATACTTAGTTGGTCTTTAAGGTGCTACTGGAATTATTTTTTATAATTTTTTGGGGGGGGAATATTCTTTTAAAAACTGTCTTAAGACAAAAAGACTTGATTCTCTTAAGGGAGTTCTTTTTGGATCATCTTTTAATAATTTTTTTTCTTTCATCTTGTTATTTATTACAACCAAAACCAGTTCACAACCGTATCTGGGATTAGGCAAAGCTAATGGGGCTGAAGGCAAGGCCTTGGCACTTCTAGAACTAGATAACAATGAGATCCTGATTCCATAGCTCTGTATTTTGCCAACTGTGCAGTGTGCCAGGAGTAGCAATGGAATTCCTAGCACAGGGCATGGATGGTGGCCAGCTTGCAAGATCTTTTTGGCACCCAATGTGGAAGGTGAATCTGAGTTGGGGAATCTGTGCTACCCTCCAGAAGTTCTTGGGCTCCAATTGCCATCAGCCCCAGTCAGCATGGCCAGTGGTTAGGGGTGATGGCAGTTGGGTGTCCAACCATGTCTACAGGGCCACAGGTTCTTCAGTCGTGTGATAACTCTTTGTGTCTATGCGTATGTATGTTGGGGAAGAGGGACTAGTAGGTGTCTTGCATGCTCTCTCCCTTACGCTCTCCCTGTGAGATGTACTGTAAGTGGCTTTAATTCTGCCCCCCTCTGACAGCATTGTCAGAATCACTGCTGTGTAACTCAAGCCTTTTAGCTAGGCCCGCTGTTGTTGACGACATCCAGTGCCAACCCCTATTGCATTTGGGAAAGATAATGCTTTGCTCTGGTGCAGTGCCTTTAGGACTTACAGAAAACAAATCTGGAATGTGAATTGAATACACTGGTGTGCCTAAAAAGAGGCCTGCTGGAGCAGAATAAAGAGCCATCTCATTCATCATTGTGTTTCATGCAGAGACCAGCCAGAAACTTTATAGGAAGTCCTCAAGCAGAACTTGAAGGCACCAGCATTCGCTGCTGTTGCACCCCACCAATTTGTAGTCAGTGGCACATGCCCTCTGAACATGTTTCAGTAGGCTAACAGCAGCATGGCTCTGCTCCATTTCCCCCAGTGGCAGCCATAGGTGTGCTAGATGAGTTCTCCACCTCCTATTTAGTGGAACTGAACCTTACTGCCCTCTCAAAGTCTGTTCCGCCACAAGGAGAATGCAATGGACAGAGTAGGCATGATGTAACCAGCTGATGTTTACTCCTTGGGAGAGCAAAGATATCTAACAGTGTTTTGCATTGCACCAACAGGAGGTTTATTTTTAATTGGTTTCACATGCTAAACGCATTAGTCATCAAAGTTTTGGCAGGTAAGTGGATGGGTGCTTCTGTTGTAACTTACAAGTAGGATGCTCGTTTCCCACTGAGGAAGGCAGTCTAGAAAGGCACAAGGCTTAGATGATGCTGCACAGAATGAGATGCCACCCACCTCAGTAAAATTAGGTCGGCAGCTGGAGTGGAATGTGAACACCCTAGTCCTAAGGACACATACTGAGAAACTCCAGCAATAGGTAGATACCTGGAACACAATAGCAGGTAATATACATAAGCAAAACTTGGCATGACTTAGCTCCAAACATGTCTGTTCAAAATCAGGCTGCAGGGAATCTCTGTTTTTGTTTTGAACAAGAAAGGTTCTAGCTTTGCATTGTTCAGAGAAACCTAAGTACAAGTGGGCCATTTCTGTTGCAAGGGCTCCAGGTTAACGTTTGCAAAAGTCAGACAGGACATACTGTATACCCATATTACAGAGATAATGGCATAACTGTATTTTTACTTCTTATTTTCTGGGAGTCCTGCAAATTCTGTAGACTGGGGAGGAATCTTCAGACTATGGAAAGGCCTGACAGTTTTAAGTGGTAAAAAAACCCAATGTATGTTTATAGGGCAGTATTCAACTCACTCTTTGCCTGTGTAGAAGACCTTTTGCTTGTACAAGGCTTGTGCCCTTTCCTGTAGAATGGGCCTCCTAATTTTGTTCTGGAGTTTTCTCACACACACACCCCGAGCAGATTTGGGGAGGGTGCAGGGCATGCACAGAGAGAGGTGGAAACATTCTCATTGTGCAAGCGGAAGTCATTCCACGTGCGCAAAGTGTTAGCTGAACACTACCCAAAATATAAAAATCCAAGGAGGCAGGATTTCAGGGACACTTTATGAACCCGGTGGGGATGGTGATAAAACTTCTCTTGTACCATTTGCGCCCTGTAGCTGGGGGACGAAATGTATTGAATATTGCGCCTAGTTTTTTTAAATTATTATTAAAAATAACCAGCCAATGTGTCTCCAACAGGCTATTTTCCCACATGCGTTTGTAGGTGCTTCCAGATGCTGTGGTATCAGTGTTCCTCATTCATGCAACAATGTTCACACAATGTCATGGATGCCAATATGCTGCCCCTAAATCTCCCCCACCCCATTTGATTCAGATTTTATCTTTGCAAGGAAAATTTGATGTTAAAAACAACAACGGCCCAACCCTGTTCCTAATGACTCTTTCGTGATAGGATAGCAACCTGTTTGTGGTGTTAAGTTTCCATTTGGATCATGGAAAGGTCAGTCATCTAATGCCTCGCCTCTTCCTTCTTTAGTTGCCGCCATATTTCTGGGACTGCGAATGCTCAGCAGCTCTCCTAGCCAATGGATGGTTAAAACAATGGGAGGCTTTGTGGCCTGGGAAGTCTTAGCTGCTATCCTGATGGATGTAACTCTGTGGTTGAAAAAGAAAGGTGAAGCTTGATTCGGATCTATGTATAAAAAGCTTTTCTTAACAAAGCACGCAAGTAGGAATTAATAACATTCCTGTTTTTTGTTTTGCTTTGTGTTTTACAGAAATGTATGAAGATTCAAACACCAAGGTAATCTTTTTGTTCTTGCAGTCATTATCAGTGTTTTGTTTTCTTAGATTTCTACTTGAGTGGAAGCTCTAAACCAGAAGGTTATTGGGAAAACCAAACAATATTGAAAATGTTGCTAGCTAACTCTATGTATGGGGTTCCGATCCTCCTCCATCCCACTTTAAGGAACCCTCCAGGCATTATTTTTATTATGCATGTATTATGATTTGTGCTCAAGAGAGTATTGGAGTGCTTATATGTGCACCTGCAAAAGTTTGGAGGCAGTTATACTACTTTGTTTCCAGTCGGTGTGCATCCTGTAACTTCCTGTTGAAACCTTGCAATCACAAATATTCTGGCATTTATTTATTTATTTGGCCTGCTTTTGTTGCGCTATAGCACATGAGTGCCCTTCCAGACAGCAAGAATCCAACAACATTGGGGCAGCATCACAGAAAAACTAATAATGTGGAATGGCATGTGGACAGTCCAGTATAAACCCACCACTAATGCAGTATTATTGCATCAATGGCATTTTGCAGAATAATACCCCCCCCCAAAAAAAGTCTGGAGGAAGCCTTAAAAAGCTAAGTTGCTTCAAGAAGGGGGCAGGTGATGTTGACAAACTTGCCAGGCCACAGTTATTAGGTCTTATCTCTTTTTTATGAACATCGATGAGCCGTTCAAAAGGAATACAGTGGTACCTCGGGTTACAGACGCTTCAGGTTACAGACGCTTCAGGTTACAGACTCCGCTAACCCAGATATAGTACCTCGGGTTAAGAACTTTGCTTCAGGATGAGAACAGAAATTGCGCAGCAGTGGTGCAGCGGCAGCAAGAGGGCCCCATTAGGTAAAGTGATGCTTCAGGTTAAGAACAGTTTCAGATTAAGAACGGACCTCCAGAATGAATTAAGTTCTTAACCTGAGGTACCACTGTATAGTGAACAGATCTTTCTCATGGAAGATCTCAAACTGTATATCACGTAGAGATTGTGATTAAGCTGCGTACAAACTGCGTAAATAAAATTCAAAAACGTATTAACTGTTAAGCAGAATTTTCATTGTTTTAATTTTGTTTCCTTTCTAGGTGAAAAGTGAGGTGATACTGCTGCTGTTGTACCTGTGTGGCAACCTGGCATTTTTAATAGCTCTGCTTATAGGTATTGGAAGTTCTTAAAATCGGTTTCCCATTTGGAGAAAAGAATGAAAATGGCTTCTGCTCTTTTTCTACCCAGACAGAAATTTCCAACCTCCTCTGTGCAATTGTCTACCTGGATGTACCGACTACTTGTTGAAAGGCATCAACACTGATCATGAAAGTTGTCTGATAATGATTCTAAGGGAAACTAATTTACAAATGAAGCCAAATATGGCAGATGCAAGTTGTGAGTGTGTTGACATGAAATGCATCTTTAGTCCTGACCATTTTTGACGTACCTGATCAACATTTGGATATTGGTAGGGTTTCTTTTTCAAGCCATGACAAGAGAAACTCTCCCCCTTCTTTTGTGATGCCATCTTAATCAGTTATTCTGTTACTTTAAATTTAAGGCTGGATTTACAATTTCACTCTCAGACAAATTCTAAGTACTACAGAGGCTTCATTAGTACTCCCCTTAACTTGACAAATGCAAGTACAATCAACACGCTCTTTCTGCCACACTGAGGCTGCAACCCTGCAAACATTTATTTGCAAGTAAACCCTACTGGCTGCTTTGGAATGCATGTCTGATTAAGACTGCAGTGCCTGTGTGGTCAGCTGCATGGAGATAAACACAGATCTCTCGCCTCTGCAGACTGCTCCATTCATTTCAGAGGAAGAACACAATCTGTGGTCACATTTCTTGACATGAGTTGTGCTAGGGAGCTCTTTCCTCAGTGAACAATTACTGGAGCACAGCATATATTTAATTATGACAATCCCCCAATTAATCACATTACTCTCTTAATGTTTTCCCCCATGGTTTTGCTGTCCTTAAATTACTGATCTAGTCCAGCAACTATTGGCAAGACCTTGGATCGTCCCAAGCTGCAAATGTTTTGTCACATTTTACAACTCTGTGCCAGTGTTCAAAAACCGTTAGCAATAGAAAGATGTTTCACATGTAACACTAATCATGATAGCTGTTGAAGCACAGATTTATGAATTTAGAATCCATTTGGCTCTGCAGTCTAAATGCAATACTGGCTGCCTGCCCCTTACCTGAGCCTCGTTCTCTGTTCTTCATCCTGCTCCTTGCTGCTTGCTCACTCCAGCCATCCAGCACAGAAGAGATGACTTCTTCTTTTTGCCTCCCACATGCCTGCATTGCGTTATTTGCCTTCAATCTGCAATCCTCAACAATGTCCAAGGGGAATTTTGTGGTCTTCCTCCACAAGACAGCACTTGCTGTTTAGCCTCACCCCCCACCTGTCCCTGAATACATAGAATCATAAAATTGTAGAGATGGAAGGGACCCTGAGGATCATCCAGTCCAACCCCCTGCAGTGCAGGAATGTGCATCTGTCCCATATGGGGATCGAACATGCGACCTTGGAGTTATCAGCACAACACTCTAACTGATTGAGCTACCCATCCTATTCTCTTCTTGGCAACAGTGGCCAGAAAGAGGGGAGGAGAACTCCATCCCCCCACCCCTGGGTTGTTGACAGCCCCAGTGGGAACAGTCCATTTGGCTATGTAGACCTTGGCCTGCTCCAGCATGTTAATTCTTACGTCTGTAATAATCCAAAGCAAAACAGCAGCATCAATGTTACGATCAACTTTTGTAGTATTATTATTCATATGCTGATTTTTAAATATTCCTTTTGTACTGTTCAGATTTTATATGATTAAATGCAATTCTTTTTGGATCTGTTGAAATAAAAGTCTCGTTGAGCGACAAGCGGCATTCTCTCTTGCAAATGCAAGCAGGTCTTCTGTTTTCCTACAACTTCCCTACACAAACAGCTCAGAGAAGCTCAGAAAGCTTGGTTACAACTCTTCAGGATTTGGAGAGTTGCTGCCCAGGATGTTTGGTATCTGATGCAAAGAATAAGAAGGAGCCCCTTCCTGGTCCACATACAGATTGCAACCCAAACAGCCGTTGAATCTTAACTTCAGCACTGAGATCAACACTTGAGGCCAGCAGCCTAGTTTAGGGGGCACAGGGCTTACGAGTTCAAGGTGCTTGGGGGCAGTGGTTGGAGCAATTATTGTTACCCAATTCCCCCACCAAGCACATCCATCGCTGCACTCTGCCTAATAGTAGGGTCAGCCCAGTCAAGGCTGTAAGGGCAGGTGGGACAACTGGAGTCCTTCCTCTCGTTCTCACCCAAGTTGCTATGGAGGAGAGAAGGGAAAATAGCAGGAACTTTCCATCTCTTCTTTCCATAGCAGTAGTTCACTATTACAGTGGTACCTCTGGATGCAAACGGGATCTGTTCCGGAGCCCTGTTCGCATCCTGAAGCGAATGCAACCCGTGTGTGCTCAGGTCGCGATCCGCCACTTCTGTGCATGCGTGTGACGTCATTTTGAGCGTTTGCGCGAGCGGCGAAACCCGGAAGTAATGCATTCCGTTACTTCCGGGTCACCGCGGAGTGCAACCCGAAAATGCTCAACCTGAAGCAACTTTAACCTGAGGTATGACTGTATTTATTTATTATTTTATAAATATTTATTATTAAAATCCAATATAAACCACATTTTACCAATGTCAAATTACAATTCAAATTCAAATATATATCAATTATAAAGCCAATTATACATTTGTATGACTTCCTGCGTGCTAGATTTCAAGGTGAGATGATTTTATTTCATCCTGCTTCCGAGTCTTAATTAATCCAATTACATTCAGTTTTGATCTTAATCCCTTATTGACAGCTACAGAGTTTTTGACTTCCATTCAAATTAACACATTCAACAATTCCTCCCCCGCAAGAGGAGTTCTATATCCCATATATTTCCTGTGTGTGGTGTTGATCTTACCCATATTGTTTCTTCATTCTTCACTATTTTTTAAACCTGTTTTCCCAGGTGAAATATATAAAGCTGTGAGAAGAGGGAGCCAGTATTGACTACGAAGGGACAAGCCTGGAAACGAAAGTGATTTTTTATTATTCTCTTCTGTTTTGTAGCCTTTGTTGTATAGGGCTGGGAAAGAATCGCCGGCTGTCCCCCCATTCCTTGGAGGACTACTAAAAGTCAGTGTAGCAACACTGGGCCTTGGTGGGCCAGTGATCTGATAATACAGAATTGTAAGGGACCGTGAGGGTCATTTAGTCCAACCCCTGCAATGCAGGAATCGTTTTGCCCAACGTGGCGCTCGAACCCAGGACTCTGAGATTCAGAGTCTTATGCTCTGCTGTCTGAGCTATCCCACAGGATATAAGGCAACTTGATCTGCTAATTTCTAGAGAACCACAGCACATCCTTGATGAGGGGGGAAATGGACAAACCCTGAAATAGGATGAAGATTCCTACACTGTGCATCACTTCTCTTCCTCCGTTGGTAAGACAGGAGACCCCTTTCATAATTTGCCTTCCATCCATGGCCATTAAAAAGCTAACACAATAATGATTATAGGTATTCGCTATTGTTTGTACCAATCATTGTTGCCTCATTGCATAGCTTGCTGGCAACCTCACATCCTCCAGGCCAAGGAAGTAGTAATTGCTGGCATTCATGTGTTAAATACAGATAATTAGCAATCTGTTATAATCCGCTGACAGAAGGAGCTCTCCTCTTAAAGTATCTACATTTTGGGCTTCAGATTATGTTAAATCTGGTCAACAATATCATGAGCACAGAACAAACTGTTGATGTATTATGTGCTCTTTTCTGCAGCTACAGAGAACTTTATACGAGCTCACAATGTTATTATTTCTCCCTCCGCTGTCCCTGCGAAACCTCTCTCGTATGGAGTTGCTGTTAGTCAGTACCTTATTTTCTTGCCATTTCTTTCATTTCCTCAGATGTACTGGGACTTTTGATATCTGGAAAACAGAAAATCAGTACTATTTAGGGGGTTGAGAACAGCAATATTCAAATTAAGGTAGTGGAGAGAATCGAAGAATTGTAGAGATGGAAGGGACCCTGAGAGTCATCTGGACCAACCAACTGCAATGCAGGAAAATGCCTCTGACAACCTGAGACAGGTTGAGAGTGTAGGGATCTTGAAGTTACTGGTTCCAGCATCCAGAGCTGGACCAGCAGGATAATGTGTAGGGAAGTTTTCAGTCTTTGATGTTTTATTATATTTGTTGGAAACTGGGCAGAGTGGCTGCAGCAATCCAATCAGATGGCCTGGTTAGTTAAAGGTAAAGGGACCATTAGGTCCAGTCGTAGCCGACTCTGGGGTTGCGGCGCTCATCTTGTTTTATTGGCCGAGGGAGCAGGCGTACAGCTTCCGGGTCATGTGGCCAGCATGACTAAGCCGCTTCTGGCGAACCAGAGCAGCGCACAGAAACGCCATTTATCTTCCCGCCAGAGCGGTACCTATTTATCTACTTGTACTTTGACGTGCTTTCGAACTGCTAGGTTGGCAGCAGCAGGGACCGAGCAACAGGAGCTCACCCTGTCACGGGGATTCGAACCGCCAACCTTCTGATCAGCAAGTCCTAGGCTCTGTGGTTTAACCCACAGCGCCAACCGCGGCCTGGTTACAAAGAATAAAAATACAACCATCATCATCATTAACCCATCCTTCTTGATACAGCAAATGTAGGGCAGCCCACAGGACAGAGGGTTGCTGCTGTCGCAGGAACGTTAGGGATTCACATGCCAGTCTCTGAGTCTGTCACCTCTGCAGCAGGAAAACTTTTGTTGGAAAAAAATAAATCCAAAATATTATCAAAGACCAAATCACCGTAATAGTGTCTCATCGTATCCCGCTTGGTGGAACGGAGGACTGCATTCATCTATTTTTGCAGCTGCCCCATGCTAAAGATGGCCAGCAGGACCCCAGAGAACATTTTCTGCAGGGTCGGGGTGTCTGAGGGAGCCCAGCACCCCTATAAAAGAAATGGCAAATAATGTTATACTGAGGAGGAGAAGAAGGCTATGCCCCTTGGATGGTATCCAACATTACACGACTGGACTACCCCTTCTTTTCCTCCTGAGGAAATAAAGAATGCCTTGGGAGTGAACATTGACCCATACTGCTGAAATTATCTACATCCACAGGTTAATCCTGTTCAAAATTTGAATGAGCATTTTTGCTGATGTAGGTCTCACATTCTCACTGAAAACTATTCAAAACAAGAAGCAGGAGCAGCGCTGTGTTAAAAATTGATTTAATGGCAGGGTCAGTTACAATTGGCCAGTTCTGACTAGGAAGTCAAACTGGGTTCTTTCAGTCAGCTTTGTAATCTTACCAATGCATTCATAACCCTATATTAATAATCCACATCTTTATAAGAAGCAACTGGATGACTCTATTGAAACAACAGCTATTGATCCGTGCTGTAACTTAACATAAACTTGTGTAATACAGCACAATTTGCTTGGGCTTCCTTGTGTTTCCAAGCCGCACCTCTTGGCAGTCATGTCTTAAAATTAAGACATAGTGACACTTGGCTGGACATGCCTCAAAGCACTTTCAATGAAACTGATTTTGGAGCCAGCAGAGCACAGGCTGAATATCAGGATAAAAATGACAGAAAGCCAAGTTGCCCTGTGTTCTTCCTTTGGAAACAATGATCTGGTATCACCTGAGCGATTGCAGCACAGGATGGCAAGTGATGGAGAGATAATAGGTTTTGTACACAGTGGCCACACACCCAGCTCTTCTCATTCTGCAGGGTTGGCAAGTAAGTCATCTTGCCTCCAAGAGTCCTGCTTGCGCAGCACAGAGGCAACCTCCCCACTTAACAGGGAGGAGGACATCTACTCTACTTATGTGTCAGGCTGTCGGGCAAGGCTTACCTTCCGCCTCTCTGTAGATAACAGCACAAAGCGAAAGCAGTCTTTTGCAGCAACAGAGAGCTTTATTGAACACAGCACAAACATTCAGCATCCATTTTCGCCGTGCAGGTGCTCCCAATTGAGTTCCTCCCACTTCCCTCTAGTTACTTCCGTCTTCCCGTCTCCTCACCACGTGATCCCTCCACCACTGAGCCTTCTGAGAGGCTGCCCTATCCAGACGCCTGGCTCTCAGGCTCATGGGATGCATACTTTCTAGTGAGGGAGAATCAACCATCTCTCTCTCTTCCTGTTCCTCTTCCCTTGCTTGCTCTTCTCCCAGCTCAGCCCAACTGTCAGTTCCCAAACTGTGTCCTTCCACGAACCATTGCTCTAGGTCGATACTATCCTCCTGCTCCAGAGGAGCTTCAGGATTAGGCCCTTGAGCAGAGGGAGAGGGGGGCTCCCACCATTCTTCCTCAGAGCAATACCCTTTAGTCTGGTTCCTGACATCATGGGATGAGGCATCCAGCTTACTTAGTTATGATGATGTCACATGAAGGTCATACTCTTTACTTGGCTTTTTTTCCAACCGGAACTTGCCAGAACTCAGTTCCAGCACCTCTTAGCTGGGCGCCATTGGCATTCTAAAAGAATAAGGGAGGTGGTCATGGTGAGTTCCGGCACCTCTTTTTCTAGAAAAATAGCACTGCTCATAAGGTCCAACTTGCAAAAGCTCAAGTACATGGAATAATAATAATAATAATAATAATAATAATAATAATTTTATTTATACCCCGCCCTCCCCGGCCAGAGCTGGGCTCAGGGCGGCTAACACCAGTAAAATTACAGTAAAAACATAATGTGGGGGGAAAACAATTTAAAATACAGGTTAAAAATACAATTTAAAATGCAGCCTCATTTTAATAATAGCCCATAGATCAAAACCATAAGGGGAGGGAAACATAAGGGTCAGTCTGAGTCCAAACCAAAGGCCAGGCGGAATAGTTCTGTTTTGCAGGCCCTGCGGAAAGATATCAAGTCCAGCAGGGCCCTAGTCTCTTCTGACAAAGTGTTCTTCCAAGTCAGGGCCAGTACAGAAAAGGCCCTGGCCCTAGTTTAGACCAATCTAACCACCTTGCGACTTGGGACCTCCAAAATGTTGTCATTTGTGGGCCTTAAGGTCCTCTGCGGGGCATACCAGGAGAGGCGGTCCCGTAGGTACGTGGGTCCATGGGCTTCTGCAAGTTTGTTATATATATATTTTGCACAGGGTTTACAGGGTGTTAGGGGAGGGGTAGTAACTCTAGTAGAGGGCACGTCATACTCCTTCTGGGGTAGTTTGTTCACCTATGGTCCCCACTCATCTTTCACTTGTGGCTCCTAGAAGCTGTCAGAATGGGACAGTGGCCACACCATGGGAAACAGCTTTGACTCCAGCTAAATCAGATGAGGTAGCCAATGGGTTAGGGACTTGGTGAGTTAGGGACTTTCCTTGCATGCGTAAACAGGATCTGGCAGATTGAGCAACCACTAGCAGGCCCAACAGTCAAGAAAGCAGTTTCTGCATGTGCTGTAGGGGGAAGTGATGTGGCTCGTCAACCTGGGAAGATAGCCCATCTAGGAGAAGGAAAACTGACCCTAAACCTCCACTGCCTTTTGGCATATCTTCGGGAGAGGAATAACCCACAGGGTACATGGCTTATGTGTTTGGGGAAGGTGTTGACTGCTCTGGCTAACAGCTGCTATAGCAACTTACGAACTGATGTCAGCAACAATTGTCTTCTGTAAGCGCTAAGTAAGTCATCCCTGTTAAAATTATGATGCATCCTTGAAGCTCACAGGCACCCATTGAAGAGGAAATACTTATGACTTTATGTGCACCTGATTGCAGCAGGTAGAGCTCTTGCAACATTTCCTAGAAAAGGCGATCCTGGTTCCTTCCTTTCAGCAGAACTGTCCCTTATGTTTCAAAAAGGTTTCTTTGTACTTGAAGAAACAAAGCTTATCCAATAGAGTTCATTCAGCTAGGAACACTACACAGACTCACTCTTCTCCCAACCTGGTGTCTTCCAGATGTTTTGGACCACAACTCCCACTTTCCCTGGCTGGGGCTGATGGGAGTTGGATTCCGACAACAGCTGAAGGGCATCAGGTTGGGGACACGGTCATTTGGGGAGCATGGGAAAGCTGACATTTAAAGGAAAGTGAGAAGTAACATGGTCTCTGCTTCATCAAAAGAAACCTGTAGGCTTTGATCCAGAAACACACAAATCCTCACACACTGCAGCTAGGGTTGCTGTTCCAATTCAAGCCAGGTCAGGAGAAAGGCACCAACCTGCTCTTTTGAGGAACGAAAGCCTACAGAGACTAAATCCAATTCCCAAACAGCTGAATGGCATTGCTGCCAATATTCTCTTACCAGGATTATGTAGGCTGAGCTGCAAAAAACCAGTGTCCCCTCCCACAGCCATTCCTGGGTGGGCTCACTGTTTTTAGGAAGCTCACTTCACACATCAAACTCCATTTTGTAGCTGCACACCCCTAAGGTATTTACCACAAGCTCAAAATAACCATATGCTGCAAAGCTGTTTTGTAACGGCCACATGATTTACACCTGTGCACAACCCCAAAAGTATGAGTGGATTGTGGATACAAAACCCCCCCAACAACAACACTTGAGTAAAATGTGAGAATTAGGGTCAAACCAGACATTGGAAGAGATGTAGATTAGTTCCTGTGATGTCCCTTCCTTGTAACACCTGACAGAAAATGGCACAGATTAGTAGTAAATGTTGTATTTATTCACATCCTGCCTTTTTCCCTGTCTGGGACTCAAGGTGGCTTACAGCTAAAATAGAAACAGCTTTAAAGTTGTCAGTTTTGGGGGTACAGGTTTGCTCTATTTCCCCACTGTGAGGAGAAAGACTTTGGGAAGTTGAAAACAACATAACAAAGCTGAAGCTTTGATTTGATTTGGCAAACTGTTAAGCAGTAAATGCAGTTCAAGCAATTTTAAATATTAACCTTTGCAGATCACAGAAGGAAAGAAAGTGTCTTCAAGGTCAGGGAAAGAATGACTACTGCCATAGATGATTTCATTTGCCATGTGATAATTTCTGAGGTGGAGGCTAAGGTGTCATTAATGGGCTGTTCTCCATCCTCTGCCTTCTGACAGGTTGAGCCACCCAGTTCTTCCCTGCTATTTGTTACATTGCTCTCAGAGTCCTACACTACAAGGTTGCAGGACAGAGCCACAAGTACCAAGGCTGACCAGAAACAGGATTATTAAGGTAGGTTGCTGGAATTCTAAACAGTTTCCCCTTGTACCATTGATTTTCATAGACAGTGAATTGTACTTAATGGAATGTCTTGACTGAAATGTTTTCAACTGGAGAATAAAGCCAGGCTTTGATATTGAACCCCGATAGGTGGACCCAAACTGGCTTGTTCGGGTTGTATTTTATTCAGAAAGTAAAGTTTGGGATGGAAAAGTGACATAACTGAGTGTGTGTTTAAGGTATTTGTTGTTACTATTAACTGAGGGGTTAAACCAAGATGTTGAGGATCAAATACACTTACCTATGAACTTGGTAGCTGAGAAAAGTTAATGCAGATAATGTAGGCTTATGGTGTATATAGTCCTATGAAGTCAAGCCAAGTTAAATGTGAAGACTGATGGGCAATTGGGCATACATTCTGTTAACAGCAAGAGAAAGAATATGGAAACATACAGTTCATTGAAGGAAGAGAAATCTTAATGCCTCCACTTCCTACATAAAATTCAATGGCTTTAAGCAGGAATTATCTCCATGTATCTGAAGAATGCAGACAATTACTTTACTTCAACGAAATTGCTCTTTATTTTCACTCCGAATTGCGCAAGTTCTCAGGTGGTAAATATACACATTTCTTTCTCAATCTGAATTTGCATTTGGATTTCCTTGCACAACATTGCTAGCCTAGTCCAACCAGCTGAAAAAAGAGTGGGTTGTTGCTGTGACCGAGAAACAGGCCCACAGACCTGTTCGGGTGCATTCATTGTGGGCCCCTCCTGGTAATCGTCATGCATCTGGAAGAAAGTGGGATCGTCCAAAGTATACGTTTCATATTGGGCCCGGAAACGCCTGTTGAGAGTTCTACCGAGGCAATTCAGGTAGAAGACATGTGAGATCCCCTGCAAGATGAAGGATCCTACTGAACACCGAAGACAGATGTGCAAGTTTGTCAATCGTTTGAACCCAAAGCAAGGGTTGAAGGGAGCTGCTGCCCAAAGCACAACCTCTGAGTTGACCTCTCCCTGTCCCACAGGAGAAGGACTGTGAATAAGATGGGTAGATGTTTAGAGTGATTCTGCAACAGCTAGTCTATACACTGGGTCTCTCTTCCTGGCTGCCAAGACTCTCTTGACCCCACTTCCTCCAAAGAACTATTACACTAGCTGCACTGAATATTCATGCCTACACTTTACTGAAGGTATTTCCTCATGGGGAGGGTCTAAGCAGTAAGTCATGGAGCGTGAGCTCAGCCCAAACTCTATCTTGGTGTTGTTGGGTGGATACGCATTGCCTCTCCTCTGGAGACATTGGGAACATAGCAACGGTTGTGGGATTGTTGTCAGAGATCAAGATCTCCTACCTGAGTGATAGTCTTCCATATCCTAGGAAAAAGGCTGCCTTGATCTCCAACAGGGTCATTGGAATTGGACTCCACACTGTGATAGAGAATAACTTCTCCTCCATCTGCAATACAGCTGCCCCTCTGTCAAAAGTCCCAGTGCCTTTCCAGCATTGGCTGGCTTGCGTCAAAGTCAGCAGAAGGTCTCATGATAAACAATATTTCCCATCCCTTCTTCTGGCCTTCCACCTTTGCCTGTGCTGATAGGCTGAGATGGCAGGAATCGGAGCCACATATCTGGCCTATACAGTGGTACCTCGGTTCTTGAACGTAATCCAAGTTCCAAAATGTTCGAAAACTGAGGTGCAAAGGGCCACCTGCAAATTCAACTGAGAAAATTGAAAAACACACAGTGGAAGCTGTTCGACTTTTGAGGCGTGTTTGAAAACGGACGCATTTGCTTCCGGGTTTTGGCCGTTCGGGTTCTGAAATGTTCGTCAACAGAGATGTTCGAGAACCGAGGTACCACTGTACTTGAGATGTAAGAATGAGTTTCCACTGCTTGGGGTCCATTTCGTGTATGTGTTCAATATACAGTGGTACCTCGGGTTGCATACGCTTCAGGTTACATACGCTTCAGGTTACACACTCCGCTAACCCAGAAATAGTGCTTCAGGTTAAGAACTTTGCTTCAGGATAAGAACAGAAATCGGGCTCCGGCGGCACGGTGGCAGCAGGAAGCCCCATTAACTAAAGTGGTGCTTCAGATTAAGAACAGTTTCAGGGTAAGAACAGACCTCTGGAACGAATTAAGTACTTAACCCGAGGTACCACTGTATTTTGCATTTGTTGAATCTTTAATGCAAGGATTTTGGGAACATGTCCTGCTGTTGTGTGGGATGTGGTTGTGCGAGTGTGATTCAAGGTGCCCATTGGAGAACTGTTGTGACATGTCTGGAAAGACCACAGTTCAGTGGCTGAACACACAGGGTGGTACCCAGCTAACTTGTTCCTTCAGCTCAGGGAATTCTGCTTGTGCAACAGGACATTATGCCTCTCCGCCCCTGCACACACCCCTAAAATAGTTCTGGAGGTTCCCTCAGCCCTCTAGAGCAGATATGGGGATGATGTGGAGCATGAGCAGCGAGAGAACAGGGCAGGTTCCTTGTGGTGATAGCACATTAGTTGGATGCCACCCATGCTCTCCATACAGAAGGTTCCAGGTTCAATTCCTGACATCTCCAGTTTAAAAAAGAAATGTTGGAGGGTATAACAGAGTGTTTTGTAAGACTTCACCATTTTTGCCCAGCTTAATTCCTGCATCCAAGCCGCCACATAACTTACAGCCAGTCTGCTCCCAGTCAGAAATGAAGGATCAAGAAGACTTTCCCCAGAGTCTGTCATTTATTTGGTGACAAGCCAGAGCATGTAAATCTATTGAGTATCTTAAGCAGCATTCCTGTTTACCAGTTTTTCCAGACCAGCTAATTTGAATGCAATGGAGTCAGAGTATCGATAGGTGCACACAGACTAATTTGAGCAGCAAAACACTTTGGAAGAACATTCGGCTTCATGTTGGACCAACAATTTTGTGCCTGGGACTGAACTTAATTGGAACTGGTTCTGTTAGTTCGCTGCCGAAGCTGTCAGTGAACAGCACAGATTCGACTGGTCTCTGTGTCGTTACAAAATACCTCCCCCTGTCCATTCGCCAGAGCAACATTTGCAATAATAAAAAGGAGTTGCTGGGCACTTTTAATAATTATAATAAGTTAATGGATGAATGTTCGTCTAACTGAATAAATGTAAATAAACAAAATGCCCATCTGAAACATGAGGAGAGTCTCAAGTCTTGGGACTGAATCAGCCATGCAACTACACATATATTGTGTGTGTGTGTGTGTGTCATTAGTAGTGTGACAATTAGTGTGGGGAGACAGACTCACTACCTAAGAGAAACAGAAGCACTTACTCCTGTTTTTAAAGTGCATTTGGGTGCACTATAATTAGAACAGAATCAAGTATATCAGCTTTATGAGTCAGATGAAAATGGTTTCAAAAGAGCTCTAACTCAGGGTTTAAACTGGGAATACTGATTACTTACTCACTATATTGCCATGACAGCTCACAGAAGTTGGAATTGCAGGTGTTAGTAGAACTCTTTTACCTATGAAGTCAGGTGACTCGTGGATATTCAATCAACTTCCTCCTGCCTTCTCTTATATGACCTCTGAGAATTCCTGAGGAATTTTTGATACACTTTTAGGAAACATGACACATGGCCGGCCCTCCTTTGCAGCAAGAATGAAACTAAATATTTATTATTCTTATTTATAATTTTCATTTATGAGAAACATTTCAAACAGAATCATCTTTACATATCATATTTTGACTTCCCTCTCCCTCTTTCTCTGGTTCCTTATATTTACTCTATTTTCCTACATATCTCAATTTAAATCTATTTTATATTTTATTTCCATCCATTTCTCTCTTTTTTAAAAAAAATTGCATGTTTTTACATTAATCCTGCTAATGTCTTAATTTGTTTACGATGAATTTTAAAATATTCAATAAATGATTTCCATTCCCCCTTAAAGACTTCAATTTCTTATTCTTCCAGTATGTTTGGCCATTTCTGCATATTCCGTTAGTTTCTGTAGCCATTCTTCTTTCGACAGGACGTCTTCCTCTTTCCATCTTTGGGCAAATACCATTCTTGCAGCAGTGTTTGCATACATAAATAAAATTTTATGGTGCTTAGGTAACTCCAATCCCATAATGCCTAAAAGAAAAGCTTCTGGGGTGTTTTTTTGTGTGTGTGTTTTTTACAAGAGCTATCTTAAAACTCTTTTTCAATTCATTATGTATCATTTCCCAGTAAGACTTTATCTTACTACAGGTCCACCACATATGGGAAAAAGTACCTTTATTCTCTTTACATTTCCAACACTTACTCAATTTTGATTTGTACATTTTAGCTAATCTACTAGGTGTTGGATACCATCTATATAACTTTTTCATATATATATTTTCTTAAACCATAACATGCTGTAAACTAAATAAACCCAGCCAACAATATACGACTGAAGATGAAAATGTGAATGAACAGTTTGCTACCTAAGTAGCTAAATGAAGAACAGACACAAATATGTTTCATTCCACCAGCTACACCCACAACCTACATTTAAAGAGCATTGCTCTCCCCCCACCAAAGAATCCTGGGAAATCATGGGTGTAGCCAAGGGTGAGGGCAAGGAGGGGTAGCTGCCCCCCAATCAATAAAAATACATAGCAAATTGAGGTTCTGCCCCCCTAACAAAAATCCTTGCTACGCCCAGGTGCGAAATGTTAAGAATGCTGGGAATTGTAGTGCTCTGAGGGGTAAACCACACTTCCTGTTATGTACTGAGTTGAATAGGATCCAAAAGGCAGCAGTCTGATTGGTCCTAGAACAATAGGGTCCAGAATGCAGCAGTCTGATTGGTCTACAGGAGCCACCCAATCCAGCTCCAGGTGGAAGTGAATCCGCAACCTGATTGGCCTACAGGTGAATCCCGGAATTAGCAATCACATGGGGCCCATTGTGTAAATAATGTATATAAAGCAGACATTCTAGGGGAACTTCCATTCCTCACCACTATGAGCTGAATAAAGAGCATGAAATCCACTCTCGAGTATATTTCACTTCCCATGATTCTCTGGGGGAAGCATTGTGCTTTAAATTCCTGGTGGGGTTGTGACTTTCCATCATTCTTTCTACTGCTTCTGCCTACCCTCTTTGGTCGGGTCCAGTTCCAAAGTTTTCTTTCCAGACAGAGAACTATTTCCTCAACTGTTTCCTTAAGGCATCAGAGGGTTAATTCCCAAGAGGGTTTCTCCCCACCTGCTTCCCTTCAGAACAGCACCCCATAATTTGGTAATTACAGACAGGAGTGCCCTTCAGCAATTCAACCTAGCAGTCTAAGGTTTCTTTCGGATTGCCTCGTGGATTTTGCCAGCTAACATGACTGTCTCAAGCAGCTGTTTATTTAAAGAAAAGAGTTTCAGAGATGATGTCTGCATATTTCTTACAGACACTAGGTTAATTCCCTAATATTTCAAAGATTCCCCACCTCCCTGTTTTAAGGGGGCACGTGTGACACCCTTATTCTGTGGCAACTACAAGATATAATGCCCTCTGGCATTTAAACCAGAACTATAAACCGCCTCTATGGTTATAGGTTGCCTTAATAAACTATTGTGTTGATTAGTTCTGTCAGGCAGGCAAGTTCAGAAAAAGTCAACTGTTTCTTAATTCATTGAATATGGGCTTCATATGACTGGGGGAGCAGGGAGATTAGCAACATGGGATTAAATAATAGCAATGCATAGCTTTAACAATATATACTATTATTGCTGAAACTTAACCAAGATCCATAGAGCTGAACCTATGCACACAGTATGCCATTCTTGGTCTGCTATGCTACTCCATTTGGACCATGAGGCCATTTTGGGCAAGCCTGCCTTTTGGGATTTTCAGGTCTTTAAAAGTGGGAGATATATACTAAAGCTCACACATTATCTGGTGAAACTTAGTTTGGATTAATAAAGTTGGTGAGGTCCAGTGGAAGCCGAAACAGCACTGTACTTTGTGTTTTTGAGGGTTTGAGCAACTGACGACAAAAGATACTGACTCGTTCCTCTTGTCCTTGGGTCTCCCTCTTGTAATATAGAAATACTATTGAGATTTTTCACATACTAAATACACAAGCAAGGTCCAGTTTGAATAGGTAAGGTTTGCTTATCAAAAGTGCTACGTCCATAATAAAATTACTTTTACTAATATAATCATAATCAAGCAAATAACTGAATATAACGAAGTTGCATACTCTTATTACCATTAACATTTAACTGAATTAAATGTTCTTTGTACATTGGTGTCAGCCATGGTTCCTCCACCTTCTTATAAATAACTTTATTCCCTTTCTTCAGATGGAGAAGTATTATTCCTTCGTGGTCATTTTTTGTGCTGTCTTCCTGCCCAAGGCCCTTGGGTTTCCATACAAAGATGTTTCAATAGATTGTTTCTCCATGTTACCGAATTGTGGAGGAGGACCACAGACATCTACTCCACCTTATGTCGTCTCTGTATCATTTGATAGATACGATCCAGGAAATGAAATACAAGGTACATTATATAACACGCTAACATTATGGATCAGAGTAGGGATGGTGGAGAAATGTGATTCAGTTCATTTAAAAAAAGCAAAACTACCAAATTTGTACTTCCAGAACTGCTCTTTCATGTATATGTGCTTTTCTATTATTTTACCTTGCCTTGAGCTTTTAAATTTTGTAATTGGCATTTTTTAAAATTTTTATACTGGTCATTGACCATAATAAAATTACTTGACTTGCACTTCCAGAACAATGCAAGAACCAAAACACAGCCATTCATCAAAATTCACACTTCTCCAAATTTTCTAGTTAAGTAATTGCAGCTTTCTGGTTAAGTAATGTGTCAAAAAATCATGTATTAGAGCATATATTAGTGAAAATGCACTGTATTAGACAAAAATGTTCTGGATTGGGGAATTCCTTAAATAGGAAGGTGCTACAGCTAGATTATTGTACCGTTTTGTTCTTTGAAGTTAGGTTATGTAGCAAAATATATTTCAGGATTCTGTGGTGGAGTCCAGTTGTTTGAATGCTGTAATTCCACAGTGCAGAAAAAACACAGGAGTTACTGAGCAGAGAATCTGAGCTTCTTCCTGGGTATTTAAACTCAAACTTGAAATGGAAATAAATGCCGATGCATGTTGTCTTTTCATGAGAGCGGTGTTTCTTTGATGTAATGAACTCACAGAAGACACACTGGAGATGAGAACATATCTGATTCCTGAAGCTATTCAGAAGCGATTACTATTCACTGCCATGGATGTAAATCATCCTGGCTTTCTAAATGCTGCAATCGCTTAGCCAATAAAGTTTCTGACTGAGACAAACCTGCTCTGCAAAAATGAAAGACCCAAGCGATCAAATGGGAAATTTCTGATGCGTAGTTTAACTCTGTTAAAAGTCTTTATATTAAATTTATCTGTTGGTTTCCCCCAGTGACTCTAGAAGGAACGTCGTCTGCTGGATTCACAGCATTTATGGTACAGGCTCGGGAAATTGATGGCAATGTTCCCGTTGGCATGTTTCGCATCAGGGATCCAAATACGCAAGGCTACCCATGTGCCAACATGACGGTATGTGTTCATTTAACATGAGAAATTGCTTTCTTGATGGTGCCAGAGTGGTATTCATTAGCCTCAAAACAGAATGTATCATCGCTCTGTTTCTTCCTTTTCTTTAAAAATACGGAATATGTACCGTATTTTTCTGTGTATTGGATGAGGTTTTTTTGACTCAAAAATCATGTCAAAAAACTGGGGTCATCCAATACACGGATAGTGGCATGGGGGGCGAGGAGATGTGGCGCGCCACCAGCCATTTGGTTGGCTGGAGCGCGGCTTCTCCCGATGCCACAGCGAGCGGGGAGCAATCTGGGGGGTGTTTCCTGCCCACAGCTGACTGGGCAGACAGGCTGAACAACGTTGGGCCATCTCCCCTTATTTTCTTAAAACTGAGTCCCCCAAAATAGGGGGGGTCTTATACATGGGGGCGTCTTATAGATGGAAAAATACGGTACCTGCCTTCCTGCTTTTTCATAACCAAACTATTTGTGATAGGCAAGGCAGTTTTCCGCCAGGGCATCTGCCAAGGACACAAGTGTTTATAGAGCTGGGATAAATTTCCTTCTCAAAATTTTCCTGTGTGGATTTTAATGGCAAATATTCTTGAAAACTGAATATCCAGCACATATTTGATGTTTAATGGTGGCATTGTGCATACATTGGTTTTGATGGTATCTGGTAGCTGAAATGTGATAGCAGTCAATGTTTGCTGGCACCTGACATTTAGTGGTCAGTACCTGGTGCTATCCTACAGGTGGCTTGCAATTAGGGAGCATTCTGGAAACACCTTCTTAAATAGATAAAAACTCACAGCCAAAACTTTGAGTTAATATCAACACTAGAAGCCGAATTGCAAAGTATGAAAATCAATTTCATGTTTTCAGATTTAAATGCTGTTGAAAGGTCATTCAACTGTAAGAGTAGCCTAGGCTGTAATCCTGTACCAGTGTTTTCCTGGGAGTAAGCCCCACTGAACTTAATGGGACCTACTTTTGAATAGACATGGGTAGGATTGCACTTTTAGAACACAATTCTACACACATCGGTTCAGAAATAAGTCCTGTTGAGTTCAGTGGGGTTACTCCCAATCTCAGGTAAGTAGCTATAGGACTGCAGCCTTAATTAGTGATCTCGTTTCAACTATAGCATGAGGAACAATTTACCTCAAATATTGTTTTTGAGCTGTGTGTTGTTTTTTTAACTTGTGTGTCTGGATTCTGTTTCTTTTGCCTTCTCCTTTCAGAATTCAGCAGTAAGTCACACAAATCCCAGTGTAAAACGCAAAGTCACAACTACCTGGGTTGCTCCTCAGGGTACGAATAAGATTCGCCTTATGTAAGTTGTGGATTTCTTGCTATGTAATATTTATCGAGGGACTTTAGTTCTTCTTTATAAAAGGAACAAAATATATCAAGGTTGCATGTGTGGCCATATATTTGGAAATTATAAATGTACTGTTTTTAACACTCGATTGGGAGCCGCCCAGAGTGGCTGGGGAAACTCAGCCAGATGGGCGGGGTATAAATAATAAATGATGATGATGATGATGCAGGCAGGTGCACTACCTTTGTGGTAGTGGCACCTTCCCTGTGGAACACCCTCCCTTTAGATGTCAAGGAGATAAAGAACTACATAACTTTTAGAAGACATCTGAAAGCAGCCCTGTATCAGGAAGTTTTGAATGTTTGCTGGTGCTGCTGGTGCTGCTAATAATAATAATAATAATAAATTTATTATTTATACCCCTCCCATCTGGTTGGGTTTCCCCAGCCACTCTGGGCGGCTCCCAACAAAATATTTAAAATAGAATCAAACATTAAAAACTTCCCTAAAGAGGGCTGCCTTCAGATGTCTTCTAAAAGTCAGATAGTTGTTTATTTCCTTGTCATCTGATGGCGGGTGCCACTACAGAGAAGGCCCTCTGCCTGGTTCCCTGTAACCTCACATCTCGGAGTGAGGGAACCGCCAGAAGCCCTCAGTGCTGGACCTCATTCTAATACATAGTGATGTATTACTATGTTTTTATATATGCTGTAACCCACCCAGAGTAGCTGGGGAAATAGATAATTCTGGACTGAAAAGTATAATGGAAATTCCCCCGAGAGAAAAATCTTATGTATAATATATATGATATTATATATCTCATTAGAGAAAAGCCTCAACACTAGAAATAGTGATGATTTCTTTGTGTTTTTTCTCCCCTCTCAGGGCTACTTTTCTTCAAGATTATGATACCTATTGGGTTGGCGTTCATAGCAAAACTCTCTCGCCCAGATTTTCAGAAGTGGCTAATATTTCCAAACCCATCAATGATTCCAAACCCATCAATACTTCCAAACCAATCAGTGATTCCAAACCCATCAATGTTTCAATGGCAGCCAATAGCTCAGACCTAGCCAATGATTCTGTGGCATCAACAGTTTCTGATATTACCGATGATTCTGAGGAGTACGATGATGATTTTGATTTCAACACCCTCCTTGGTGACACTGAGGCAGTTTATGACAATGAGATACCTGTTGATTCTGAGGCGACGCCAGACTCCAGAACAGAAAATGCCACAGAAAAGAGCAGGAGGAAGGTATTTGTGAAATACTTATTACAAACCAAAGGAGGGGTGTAATTCAACTGAACAGAACAAGTGCATGTTTTTCAAACACTTGATCATGAATGTTGTGAATATGACCCACCATTATGTTCCTTTAGCAGCGTGGTTGTATCTTCTGCATGGCTGATTATTGCCACATCACTCCAGTAACTTAAGAAATGGAGGAGACCCTTTAGAAGGGACTCATTTATTTAGAATCAGATCCCAGTTTGTCAGAATTTCTGCTGAAGCTGCAACACTGGAAAAGTCAAATTTTATTATTTTTCTAGCACATATTTTATTGGAACAGTGTAAGATATGGCTACATTCTAGGAACTGGTAACATTATTTATAGGATCTTAAGAACCTTTATTTTGAGTGATTTCAAGCATCCAGTTTGCCCCTGCTCTCAGGTGGCGGGTATTACATATACCATGGAGCAGAGATGCGGGGGTGGGGCACAAAATTAAATCAGTTCACACTTAAATGTAAGCCTATAAAAGTTGCACTTGCCAAACCAATATGCAAACTAAAACACAATACTCTTCTAAAGTTCTCATTTCTCTGATGCAATCCTCCAACCGACGAATGCAAGCAGAAATTTGTATGTAATTGAAAAGTGCACACAAGAATGTTTATCAGTCGAAATCATGTTCAAAATTGCATTGTGTTGGGGGGGGGCAGGAATTGCTTGCAAAAATTAATACTGTAAATGTTAGGAGAAAAACACAGGGAAATGCAAACAAATGTGCACACAAGCTTTTTTCCCCTTAATTGCAAATTTATGTGGAAAGGTGGCAAACCAAACTTAAGATTGAGAAAAAGATAAACTGAAAATGATGGGATTTATGCGTCCTCACCACCAAGGTGCCACGATAAACAGTACCCCCATGAATGAGTGTGTGGATTTATGAGTGGGATAAAAAACACCTCGGATCGATTGATCAATCAATCAATCAATCAATCAATAATGGAACATATAACAGGAATGCTATCTTCGCTAGCATCCCTGTGGTAATGGTATTCCTACTCCAGTAGCCGGCAGTTAGCTAGTAATTGCAGTATTATTTAGTTTCCCATTGGTGGGCGATTGTCCGGGTTGGCAAGTGGCTAGTGATGCATGAAGAATCGTCAGTTGATGCTGCAGATTTCAAATGCTGCTAAAATGAAGGGCTAATAACACGGTGGAATTGTTGTAAGCAGAACCACCAGGTATTCCTTCACAGCTTTGCAACATTTTATTAGGTATAGTCCCTACTTTACAAGGCGGTATCTCTTTTCTTTTCAGTCCGTTCTGACTGTGAATGTCAACTGTGGCGAGGTAAGAACCTTTTTTAAAAAAGATTCCTCAGCATTTCCCTCACTTACTGTCAAGATCTTTTTAATTGCGTGCTTATATATTTACTGTGTCTGTAAGCTCACCCATATTATAAAGTTCTCTGGGTGGCTTACCCTAAATAAGTATAAACACAATGGGAATACAAGGTAAAATAAAATCTTACCATTTAATGAAAAGCAACAAGAAAACAAAACTCTCCACCACCCCAAAGTTGAAGCACAAATTTAAAAACTGAGAGAACCAGCTACGTAAGTTATTTAAAACATTTGGATAAACAGAAAGGGCTAAAAGGGGTGGCACAAGGCAAAACTCTCTGGGAAGACTGTTCCATAACTGGGGTACGCCCATCAGGTGTGCAGTAGCACAACCGGACACCTTCATCTGCCCCAGCTGCAACAAAACATGTCTCTCCCACACTGGTCTCTACAGCCACACCAGGAGCTACAACCATCCAACAGCTTGACCTCACCCCCAAAGGCACACTCCTCCATCCTCCTTTGTCTCCCGAGACAGACGGATGCCAACCACTACCATTTCATAAAACAGAACAGCATGCACCTGGGTCGCACTCCTGAAATGTTTAGAACGGCCCACTCTGCTTGAGTTAATCGACTCTTTTCTTTACCTGGTGTGAACAAGTCCACCCAGTTATACTGGGAAAGAGACATATTTGTACTTGGTAGAAGGCTATAATGCAGTTTGACTGGTTAAGTAAATTGAGTGGGCTGAGAACACTTCTTCATTGCACTGCCGTGAGCGCTATAGTACTTGAAATGCGTAAGGAAGGCACAAAGTCCCTTTTAATATTACCCCTGGGCCAGCCCTACCATTAGGCAAAATGAGGCAAATGCCTCAGGCAACAGATACTGAAGTGGGGAGTAGCACTCCCCTAGACTAGCCTGCTGGAGGCTATAAGGAGAGAAGTGGGGTGTTTCATTGCGTAAACAAGAGTCTGCTGCATAACTGGAAGAGCAGATGTGGCGTTTGCCCGTTCGTTTAGAAAATGTATGTAGAGGGGAGAGAGAAAGGGTTAAAATGTAGTCCAATAGGAAAGCTGGAGGCGGAGCCTACCTGTTTATAAAAGGGCTTAGTCTGAGGTTTGAGTGGTTAGTTGGTTGGTTTTAGTGGGTGGGCTGGTTGGGAAAGGCAGTTGGAAAAGCAGTTGGCAGGCAGTTGGCAATAGAGAGACAGTGCAGTGGGTTCTTGTGTGAGGGGAGGTAGAAGAGATAAAGACAGGATAAAATAAGACTAAGAAGGTAAAGAGTAACAACGTTTGGAATGCAGTTAAAGTTTATTTGTATCTGCAATAAGCTACACTCTTTTTTGTTAACTTGAGAACTTGACTGAGATTTACCAGGGAGGACCTGGTTGGTGGTAGCGGATTAGTGGTGTATGGGTCAATAGTCCATGAGACAACCAGGGGCTCCGTACGAACACCACAGCAGCGTTGTATAGCACTCAAAGTTCTTTAAAAAACAAAACAATCTTATTTTTTCTTAGGCTGGAGCAGTACAGTCAAGCAGTGGTGGCTGTGTCAAGGTAAGCATTATTTCCTTAAAAGGTCCTTATTCCCCTACAAGATACGACAATTATATACACATTTGTCTTAAATTTTTAAAGAATCCTTCTGCACATAAACGCTGCAGGTTCAGACAGGTTTTTTATTCGGGTAAGTTTGAAGTGTCAGGCTCATTCTTCTGCATAAAATTATCCAGTCCTTATTACTGTGTCTTCCGTCTGCGCTCCTGGTATATCTGCATCAGTACAGCTGGACGCCTTCATCTGCCCTAGATGCAATGAAACATGTCTCTCCCGCATTGTTCTCTACAGCTGTAACCCTCCAACAGTTTGACTTTACCCCCAAAGGCACATTCCTCCATTTTCTCCCATTTTCTCTCTTCCTGTTTTGACTCACATAACAGAGAGAGGAATTTTCACTTCTTTCATGTTTTGTTCTTGGTGCCTGCCCAAACAGATCACTTGCCAAAGATTCCACAGAGGCTTTTTAACTCTTCTCCCATGTCTTAAAAATTAAACCAACCTCTGCTGCATTCGAGCACAGTCAAAGGGTCCACTGAAATGAATTTCAGAGCAGCTCTGTTTATAATGAAATAATTATTTTTCCTTTTGTGATCTTTAAATATTAAAGGCTTGGGTTGCATTTATTCCCTCGTCATAATCCCTCATTTATTCCCTCGTCATAATCCCTCATTTATTCCCCCATCATAATCTTAAATTCCTGATTAATTTTCAGAGTACACAAGGATCATCGCAGAGCAGTGGCAGTGAAGCCAAGGTAATTGCTGTTTTTTCCTTGCCATTAATTCTTTGTTTCTTCTCAGGACTTGATAGAGCCAAACTACATGTTACACCTCACTACAAACTACACAGTAGCCACAAGTAATGTTAGTCTCATCACAGCTGTTCCAATCCAAGCAGTCCTTGGGAGGGGACAATTTTACGAAGGAAAAGTGTTGTGTTGCTTCTCCTAACATCCTTGGTGCTGCTCATGCATGGAAGTTTTTTTGCACAATCCGCGTGAAATAAATTCTCATCAAAATGCCTTCCCATAGTATTTCCCCATTTAAACCAGATTTGCTGTTTCTGCAGGGAATCTGATAAGTTAAAAGAAAAAAGTACAGTGGAAACAGCAAATCAAAATTAAACACTGGGCGTGGGGGTGGGGAATTGTGGAATTGCACTTTGATGAGGTCAGCACCATGTGGACACTGGGAGAAACTTGCATGCATAATCAACAGTAAGTCCACAAAAAGTGCAGCTGTTGGGAGCTTCCACACAGCAGTTAAGCCAGTGAATGCTTCAAAGATTTGTATATAGTGGTACCTCTAGTTACGAACTTACCGTATTTTTTGCTCTGTAAGATGCACCAGACCATAAGACGCACCTATTTTTTTGGAGGAGGAAAACAAGAAAAAAAATATTCTGAATCCCAGAAGCCAGAACAGCAAGAGGGATCGCTGCGTCTTATGGAGCGAATGCAGGCTGCACAGCAATCCCTCTTCCTGTTCTGGTTTCTGGATAGCTGCACACATTTCCCCTTACTTTTTAGGAGGAAAAAAGTGGGTCTTATAGAGCAAAAAATATGGTAATTCATTCCATTCTTAACCTGAAACTGTTCTTAACCTGAGGTAGCACTTTAGCAAATGGGGCCTCCCGCTACCGCCATGCCGCTGCCGCATAATTTCTGTTCTCAACCTGAGGTAAAGTTCTCAACTCGAGGTAACTCTTCCAGGTTAGCGGAGTTTGTAACCTGAGGCTTTTGTAACTCGAGGTACCACTGTACTGTGCAGTAGGCTGCAGTCCCTCCCCCCACAAATTCAGGCTCAGAAATGACAGGCATCATTTTTTCTTTCCAGGTCATAGTGGTCAAAGAAGGAAGCAGCAGTGGAAGCGGCTGTGGTGGGGTAAGTATACACTCTGTCCTCTTGATTCTAGAATTTTGTCCTAGTATAAATGTTGCATAACACAAGCTGTACTTGAGGATTCGGTGAACTGTGTTACTGCAAAATAAGAGATTACCCCATTTTATAGCTGCCCCTCTCCAGTGCCGGATTTATGTATAAGCTAAACAAGCTATAGCTTAGGGCCCCACTCTCTTGAGGACCCCCCCCAAAAAAATTAAAGGAAAAAAGCTTGGATGTACATTTCCAAAATATAAGATAAAAAACAAATAAAATAAAACCTACATACAGCAAGAGTGTTTTGTGTTGTGTATGGACCTATTAGGTCCATAAATTACCACATAGCATATATTCAACACAGAAAACAGTGGCAATTTGTTGTTGACAAAGGACAGCTGGACATATAAAGGGCCCCATTGCCTTCAGTAGCTGAGGGCCTCATCAAACCTAAATCTAGTCCTGCCCCTCTCTGTGTGATTTGATCTATCCAGTTTGATCTATCCATCTGAATGATATAGTCACAATTGTACCATATCCATGTGCACTGACGTGCCTGCTGACCAGCAAAAAAATAGACAACTGGCTTTTCTTTTGCTCACAGGGAGGAACTGCAAGCGTGTACAACAAGTTTGGCTGCAGAGATGTAAGTACTGGTATGCCTCTTTCTTTTGTGTTGTTGTTTTTTTAAACTTTTATTTTGCTTTAAACAGGTACATATCAATATAGACAACCAAAATTACAAAGGAAAATTCCTTAATAGTAATGAAAAAAAACTTTAAAAACTACAAAAAATATCAAAGTACATAACACAGAACATAAGCAACTATGGAAAAGATAAAAAAAAATAAAAATAAAAATAAAAAGGAAGATGAGCCAAAGCAGGAAGGCTCATCTATTGTACACTTCCGTCAAGCTCACAACAGATCATTATTCTTATCAATTATCTCTTTTGTGTTTTATTCCTGTTCCCTGCTCAACAACGCAGGGGAAGCTGCCATATACTATGTCAGCCTATTGGTCAATTTCACTCAATATTGTCTATATATTAAGGGTAATGGTAAAGGTAAAGGGTAAAGGTAAAGGTAAAGGGACCCCCTGACCATTAAGTCCAGTCACGGATTACCCTGGGGTTGTGGCGCTCATCTCACTTTATTGGCTGAGGGAGCCGGCATACAGCTTCCGGGTCATGTGGCCAGCATGACTAAGCCACTTCTGGCGAACCAGAGCTGTGCACGGTAACAGCGTTTACCTTCCCGCCGGAGCGATACCTATTTATCTACTTACACTTTGACGTGCTTTCAAACTGCTAGGTAGGCAGGAGCAGGGACCGAGCAAAGGGAGCTCACCCCATCGCGGGGATTCAAACCGCCAACCTTCTGATTGGCAAGCCCTAGGCTCTGTGGTTTAACCCACAGCGCCACCCATGACCCTGTATCAAGGGTAGGCTCCCCCTTTTAGCTGAAAGGCTGCTTGAAGAGGTTCTCATTTCTTACCAGTCCAACAGGGTGGTCTGCTATCCAGAATTCCTAGGATTTATACTGAATTTTAGTCTTATTTCTACATTTTCTTGAACTATAAAGGCTGCCCTAATAAATTTAGTTCCTGGACCAGCCTTCCTCCACTAAGCATCCAGTTACAGAGCTAATCATTTTCTTTCCCAAAGTGTGCCTCTGGTTAAATCATACCATTCAGGAAATTAAGGGAGTTTTGGTTTGTTTACAGAATGCAGCTGCTTCCGGTGATCAGTCATCATATGGCCAGGTAAGAACGCTTTCCACATTGTTATTTATTTTACAAGTATAAACTTTCTCCGAAGTTTAATGACTCAATTTACATCTTCAAAAAGTAGATTGCACCAGGATGTGTGCTGAGTTGCGATCTTGACAGGGAGCAAACCATGCTCAAGATCTAGGTGCAAAACTGCTTTGTTGATGAGTTGATGCATGGTATTTCAAGCGATTTTAACTCACATTTATATTCTATATCTTACAGTCAGTTTCCACCAGCAAAGTAAAGGTATGTAGGTGGTTTTTTTTTCTTCCTTTCCAATAAAATTTTAAAGGCTGGCAAACATTGATTGATCCTTGCTTCAGCAAGCCAAAGTTTTATACATGTTTTGCTATGAGGAAATCGGTTACAGTAGTCTTTTCTTTAAGAGATCGTGTGTCCATTAGTTTTAGCCTCTTGGAATCTACAAAAGGACCTCTTGGCGCTCTTAACATTGGTGATAGCAAAGTGCTGTCATTACCCACAAAATACCTTCTTTTGGGGAAAATGCCAGATCTTCTTGCAAGAAAATTAAAACTGGGAAATTGGAGGGGAGATTATTTCCTGACTTCCTAGCTGTATGCCATTAGTATATAGAATGTGAATCTGCAGTGCTACAGCTCCTCTCTTTCTGAGTATTTTGAAGACCTTTTTTGTTTCTTTGTTCAAAAAGCAGGGTAAACCAACAACACTTAATAAAAAAAACCCTACTTTTTTCTCATTAACAGGTTGTGACCTACCCAGACAGCAAACCTTTCCCACCTGAGGTAAACACTATTCTGTGCTGCATTTGTTTGTTTGTTTGATTGATTGATTTAAATTGTACCATTTAATGTAATTAAAATCTCTAAGCAGGTTACAATAAAAATGCAAATAATGTTCAGTTAAGGTAACCTTTAAAAAACTGGATTGAAAACGATCTCAAAACAGAACTGTGCATCACAGATCAAACTGAGCCCTGACCTAGTAGAAGTTAGGGTCCATCAAGCTAATGATGGGGACACCTGGGGCTCCCCAGATGTTATAGGACTACAACTCCCAGCATCCCTGACCATAAGTCATATTAGCTCATGGCAGTTGGAGGCTCGTGACATCTGGTTGGCTACACCTGGTTCTCCTTTCCTAGTTTATACTCAGCTGTGCTGAGCAAAACGGGTGTGTGGAGAAAGAGAGCTGAAGACTTTCCCCATCTGCTATTTGACTCTCCTGACTCACTCCTACCCTGAACATTTTTCTCCAAGCTAGCTTACTTTTGGGATCAGATCTACGGATGAATGAATCTGTCCATTTCCATTTCTCTCAGTTTCTCATATTTCAGTTCAGTTCTTTGCATTTCCACACCAGTTTGTCATTTTTCAAATAAAGAAATCCCCATCAAAATTGACCAGGATTTTCATGTGAATTATTAAAAACAAACACTTTTTTGTGTGCATGCAGTTTCCCCTAATACGCACATTTTTGAAGCTGTTTTCCCTAATACAATGCATTTTGTATGCTACTTTCACATCCATTTTTATGTACTCTTCTGCCCTAATATTTGCATTGTTGTACACATTGGCTGAACTGCATTGCAAAATTCAGACTTGCACATTTCAAAGGATAGCTGTGTCTCAGTTTGCATATTGGTTCCAGAAGTACAGATTAGGTACTCCTTCAATAAAATTAAAACTATATCTAATTTCTCTCCCATTCCTACTTAAAACTGAAGGGGGGGAAACAGCTTAAGGACAGATAGTAGGGACACTGGTCACAGGCAGCAGGAGGGTTAAGTGCTTAGGATCAAATTGTTTCTACAGAATAAATAAAAGGAACCTATATTGAGGTTGCATGTTATGCTTTCGTTTAATTTTTCATCCTTGATCTTTTCTGTAAAGAACCCTTTTGCAAGTGAATAACACCATTGTGTCTCTTTGCTTTTCCATTTCCTAATAGCGTGATTCTACTTATCCATCGGTAAGCAAAACATCTCATTTTAATAGATATTTGTATGAGAGCAAATCTTATGCTGCCTACCTCCCAATCTAATCTAACTGCATAACCCTCAGCTTCCTTTTCATCAGCTGAGATGAGCTCTATAAGTATCCAGTTTCTCTGGAAAAGTCCCCTACCTCTGTAGTCATTTTCTGTGTTGTGAGTGGTTTCTGTGGACAGGGGCTTACAATCTTTTCTAGCTTCAAGGAATTGTTTCCGTAAAGACTTGCTTGCTGAGGGACCGCTGCATGAATGCAGAAGTTTTAGGGAAGTGTTTTAGATTCCTGGAGTTCCTGCAGGTTGCTGGACAAGTCTATGAGGCATCGCCATTGCTCTGAATGGGCTGTAAGTGCCATCTGGAACACACCCAACACACCCTTGTGGCTGTGGTGCAAAATAGTGTCTATGTCAGGCTTTAGGCAAACGGCTTCCTCCCCCTGTGGTAGTAGATAAGCAGAACAGAAGAAAAGGAGTCTTCTTACCAGTTAGAAACTTTAATAACCACAGCGAGAGAACAAAGAACATATCTCCTAGAAATGGTGGCGCTCATAATTAAGGATCACCTCCCTTCCATCCCTATTCATCTACATCACTCCTACGTCTTGTAATCTGAGCTTGTACCTTCTGTGCTTTCTGTTCTGCCACTTTCTGAGCTTTTCTCGACCTTGTGCTGAGAGGAGGAATGCTATCCAGAGACTGTGAATCTGTTAACCATCTCTCTTCCAGTGTTTCTTCTCCTAGCTGTTCCCCATCCAGAATTTCCCAGCTTCTGCCTTCTGAACTAGGCCCCTCTGCAAACCACTGTTCCAAATCTATAATGTCCTCCTGCTCCAGGGAAGATTCAGGATCCGGATCCGAAGCAGGAGGAGGGGGAGGCTTTGGATCATAGTATTGTAGAACTGTAGAGTTGGAAGGGACCCCAAGGGTCATTTAGTATGACCCCCTGCAATGCAGGAATCTTTTGCCCAACGTGGGGCTCGAACCTACAATCATGCCGAAGGTCCCAGTTTCACTCCCAAACAACTCCAGCTAAGGCTGGAAACCCTGGAAAACTGCTGCCAGTCCGGGCTAGATGGACCAATGGATTGGCTCAGTATAAGGCAGCTTCCTATGCTTGGCCTCTGATCACATGCCCAGAAGTTTGTTTTTAATAGCAGAACGATACAGTGGTGCCCCGCAAGACGAATGCCTCGCAAGACGGAAAAACCGCTAGACGAAAGGGTTTTCCGTTTTGGAGTTGCTTCGCAGGACGAATTCCCCTATGGGCTTGCTTCGCAAGACGAAAATGTCTTGCGAGTCTTGAGATTTTGTTTCCGCTTCCCCCCCCCTTTATCTAATCTGCTAAGCCTTTAATAGCCTTTAATAGCCTTTTAGCAGCTAATCCCCTAAGCCTTTAATAGCCGCTAAACCGCTAATAGCGCTAATAGCGCTAATCCGTCAATGGGCTTGCTTCGCAAGACGAAAAAACCGCTAGACGAAGACTCTCGCGGAACGGATTAATTTCGTCTTGCGAGGCACCACTGTACTCATGATCCTGTCACAGAAAAATCCAGCTCCTGGTCCTGCCTCCCCCCCAGCTTTCCACCATCCTTCATATTGGCAGCCTAATGAAGAAGAATAAAAAGCATTTTCATGATTACGTTTTAAAAACAATCAGGAGTGGGGATCCTTGCCGATCCACTGCCAGGAACTTGGAGCTCTCTTAGCAGGTTCTCATCTAGCTTCCATCTCTAAGGTTCTCTGGAACACAGTTTAACAACCACGGCTATAGATGACCAGGAGTAGACAAGGGTTCAGATTACTTGCTCATATGCTTTACTGCCTTTTCCACTAGCTGCATCATAGCCAAATTAAATGGCTCCCATTTTCTTTCAGAAAATTGCTAACGCTGGTGGAATAATCTATTCCCAGGTAAGAAGTCTTTCTTCATCCCGTCCCAATGCTGCTGTGTGTGTGTTATCGACAACACTGTTTTATGAAATGTAAATTTTTCCTTTTGATCTTATCAACTCCTTTCTGTGATGATGGGCAAACAGTTTTGTTGTTTTTTGGGTGAAACAACCGCAAAGCTCTTTTACAGGGTAATTCTACAGCGCCACAGTCGCTGCATGATTTCTTTTAAGTTTTCATATTTGACTGTAATTTGGATGATTTTACTACTTGAAAGTCACTCTGTGTATCATTTTAATTTTTTTTAAACAACAACCCCTTTCTAACTCGTCCCAACCTCATCATTCTTTCTCTACAGGGTCCCAGACCTCAAGGTGGTTCATCGGAAACTGTTCGTATTACCGTACAGGAGGTAACTAATGTTCAGTGACAAAGCAAATTTGGCATGGGGGAAATGAAGTTTCCCAGTTATGGGCACTGTAGTAAGCCAGTCCTGGTTTTAAACTTATTTCTGTTTTACTTCTGTGTCTTAGAACAGAAGCTTCACCAAAATGCAGTGGGGGTGGCTGGGTTGAAAAGGGGGCCACAGTTCTTGGCTACATCTACTAGCCAATGTGTTGAAGAGGAGAAATAGGAATATACTATACATGTGCAGTATGTTACATTGAAACAGGCACACAAGCAGCCAGCTCCCTGATTTCTTGATTTTGTTTTCACAGGGTGGGAAAGGTAGTCCGGCTTGTGATAAGGTGAGTGATTCATCTCCACCATAACTTGTTTATATTTATATTTTATTATAATATTACTATTTTCCCCCTACGTGGTGTGCTTATGCAATGGCATGGGAATTAAAAAAACAAAAGAAAACCTGATAAAAGACTGTCATCCAAAGAAGCTCAGTTGTGGTAGGTTCAGAACAGGCAAAAGGAAATGCTCCTTCATAGAGCACATCTTCAAACTATGGAATTTGCCACAGATGGTGCAATGGTTACCAAAATGGGGTTTACGATACAATACGATAATCTTTATTGTCATTGTCCCATACAGAACAACGAAATTGAAAAAAATCTACATCAGACATTCAAAAACCAACAAGCCTGCTATCCCAGCCCTAAAAACTCTGATACTCCATAAGTAAATACAATATACCCCCACAGAGACTACCTTACACTGCGTTTAAAACCAAAATCACATTTGGATAAAAACTGTTTCTCAGGCAGCTAGTCCTAGTCTTTATAACCCTGTACCTTCTTCCAGAAGGCAGAAGCTGAAAGAGATCATTTCTAGGGTGCGCGCTATCCTGCACTATCTCTGCAGCTTTCTTATGACACCTGGAAGCATAGATTTGATCCAAGGTGGGAAGGGTGCATCCAATTATTCTCTCCGCAGTCTTTACAACCCTGGACAGCATTGTTTTTCCTCTGACCGTGCAGCTCCCAAACCACTCTCAACTGTACAATGGTAAAATGCCGTCAACAGGTCCTTTGAGAGATTATTTTTCCAGAGGATTCTCAGAAAATATAATGGTGGGAAATGGAGGGAAAGGTTATTACTGGCTACTAGTCATGATGGCAATATATGTACCAACCCCCTATCCTCCCTGGGACAATCCACTTCAAGCCATTTTACAGGGAAGGAGGATTGTGGCAAATTCACTCCCCACCTCTAAAGTAGCAGCAGCATATTTGTGATGGCAACATACCACCTCCAGAGCCCACAGATTGGAGCTTTCGAATCTGCACAGGATCGATAAACATTTATTGTTTTGATATCTTAAAGGTTGTGTTCAGATAACCTGTTTCTCAATGAAGTAATTCCTTTACTCTTTTACAGACTTCACCTGCCTATAACGTCAAGATTTGCAATCAGGTAAGCACCTCCATTCCACATTACCTTGGATTTGACTGGATGGTGTTCATAGTTTTAAATACGTTAATAAATATTGTATCCTTGTTTTGCTCCCCCCCCCCCATTTCTTAAATAAACTCTGAAGTAGGGATGGAAAGAGCTTTCAGTTTTGATCCTCTTATTTGCTCATTTCCCCCACCTTAAATTTAGTTCTCCGCATTTCTGCAGCAAATTGCAATTTATCTTTTTTTTAATTCCTCTTGAAAATTCATCAGAATTTTAGAGCCAATTTCTCCTCAGAAACACATTTCTATACACACTTTTGACTAATGTACATGTTTTAACAAATACATTTCCCCAATACATTTTTATATATTATATCTTTTGTAAAATATTTTCATAGTTATGCATACTCTCGTCATATATGCATTTTTGTAAACAGTGTTGGGTTAGAGAACTGCATTTCAAAATTTGGTTAATTGCAGATTTTGAAACACCGCTGTGTTTTGGTTCTCCTTCTGTTCAGGAAAACGTGAATTTGATAAATTTGTCTTTAAATGCAAACTTTTTTGAATTTCTCTCCCATCCCTACTCTAAAGTAAACGTTTCCATTTTGGATTGCCTTTTTTAATCAAGGACATCTGTTTTCATTATATAGTAGTAAGGTATACATAAAATGTTGCTTGCTTTTCCGAAATAAAATTCTAACTGCCAAAAATTTTGGTCAAGAATAGCCTTGCTGATGTCTGTTTTTCTTTGTAACAGAACCAGCTTTCAAACTCGCAGAGTACCAGCTCCTTCGGTGGCACACAGGTATATGGATATACACATTCACCGTTCTATTTAAATGTTGGCTACTTTCCTGATAATGCCGCTCTTAGATTGGTTGGCAATAGTATGGCTAAGAGGGACAAGCAAGCAGAAGGCTGCTAATGCCCCCAAATGAATTGGGTCTTCCCTTCTATGGCAGGTGCCAACAGTGGTTCTTTGTGTACCCAGTAATAAAGTCCTTCCACAGTGCAATTCTGTAGAGCAGAGTCCCATTTAATTTGGTGGGATTAACTCTCAGGTAAAGCACCCTGCTTTCCAGGGATCAAGCCTCATCAAATTCAGAGGCGTTTACTTCTGAGTAGGCATGGTTAGGACTGCAGTGGAAGTGTAGACAATCCCTAAGTGACATTGATCTCAGTTGTATCTGGGTGAAGTCTGGAATTTCCTGTTGCTGTTCTGTTCTTGCTGGGGAGACGCTAAGATCCTAGCTTCCTGGCTGGTATGTCCTCTAAGACAGGATAGAGTTGTGTGACCTGAACTGGAATAATAATTTTGTGTGTGATTTTTATAGGAAAGCAGCTTAAATAACCCTCATCATTCTTTCTCTACAGGGTTTGAAACCTCAGGGTGGCTCATCAGAAACTGTCCGTGTTACCATCCAGGTAACTATTAGGATTATGCAAAGAAAATAAACACATGCAACCCTTGGCAGCTGCTTTGTTGACCTGGGTAGTGTTAGCTCGGTGGCACGTACTGAAATTGTACTTTCTCACGGATCCTTGGCGGAGGGTTGCCTTACCTTGTTTTCTGTACCTTGGTTGACTGATCCATTGCCTATGAGGAGGAAAATAAATGTTTCAGTTTGCATCAGACTTGTATGAACCTTTTAAGCTGAGTAGCTCCTTCTGAACTTGGGACATGGGTGGCGCTGTGGGTTAAACCACAGAGCCTAGGATTTGCTGATCAGAAGGTCAGCGGTTCGAATCCCCGCGACGGGGTGAGCTCCCGTTGCTTGATCCCTGCTCCTGCCAACCTAGCAGTTTGAAAGCATGTCAAAGTGCAAGTAGATAAATAGGTACTGCTCCAGCGGGAAGGTAAACGGCATTTCCGTGCGCTGCTCTGGTTCGCCAGAGGCGGGTTAGTCATGCTGGCCACATGACCCGGAAGCTGTACGCCGGCTCCCTTGGCCAATAAAGCAAGATGAGCGCCGCAACCTCAGAGTCGGCCACGACTGGACCTATTGGTCCGGGGTCCTTTAGCTCCTTCTGAAGATATCAGTGCTGCCAAATTTCAGACACATAGGGACAGGGTTTTTGTGTGTGCTAGGTATCTCTTTAAAGCAAGGATATTTCAGCCTGAGGGCTGGATTTTAATGTAGCCCAACCTTCTGAGGGCCACATTTGAAGGGAAGGCAAAAAGAATGACTAACAATAGCATGGCTGATGTCTTGTTTTTCTTCACAGGAGGGTCGGCCTTCAGGATCACAGGGCGGTAGCTCTGTTAGCATACAGGTATATACTTATATATTATACACTTTATAGCAAATGTTGACTTTATCTCAAGAATATTAACTCACAGCAGCAAGGTTGATGTCTTGTTTTTCTTCACAGGGGGGTCGGCCTTCAGGATCACAGGGCAGTAGCTCTGTTAGCATACAGGTATATACTTATATATTATACACTTTATAGCAAATGTTGACTGTTATGTACTGAAGTTCTCACCCTGGGCCAGCAGGGGGATACTGTAGATAGTTATGCAAATGAAGGATCGAAAGTGATGTTCAGTGATTGGATGGATACTGTAGATAGTTATGCAAATGCAGGATCAAAAGTGACGTTCAGTGATTGGATAGTTTTAGAAAGTTGTTACAGTAACGTGGTACTGGAGCTCTATATAAGCAGGCTGACTGAGCCCTTCAGTTCAGTTCTGTCCTGGCCTGTGAATAAACAAGAGCTGTTTGAAGAATCGCTGTGTCGTCTGATATGTTCACCCACAACTTAACATTGACTTTATCTCAAAAATATTAACTCACAGCAGCAAGGTTGATGTCTTGTTTTTCTTCACAGGGGGGTCAGCCTTCAGGATCACAGGGCGGTCAGCCTTCAGGATCACAGGGCGGTAGCTCTGTTGGCATACAGGTACATACAAACACATATATACTTCATATCAAATGTGAGGAGCAGATGGGGCTCATTAACCTGGGAAGGTAGCCCATCTGGGAGAAAGAAAACTCTGATCCTAACCCTCTGCTGCCTTGTAGGATATCTTTGGGGGAATAAAAAGCTAAGGAGAAAACCCCTCACAAATCTGGACTGAAGTCCCTAAGATGGTTGGATGACCTTGTAGGCCTCCTTCTAGAGAAGAAGTGGAGGTGGTGGTTCCTTGGTAGACAGTAGAGTCTATTGGGGAGGGGGCAAAGGACGCAAGCTGTACAACACAGCAATTGTAGCTCAGCAGCAATGATATCGGAAGGAAGGAAAAGTTAACCGCATGGAGATACTCTATGTCTCCTGAAATTTATGGGGAAAGTGTCTTCCAAGGAGCCACTACCCACATCCCATTCTGGGCTCTTGGTAAATTTTTCTCCCTGGACATCAGAATGAGCTGGTGGTGGTGGCTGTACAATAAGGACAGGCGAACTGCTTGATGTAAGCTGCTTTGCCAACCCCGGCTTTGTAGGGATTGGGCAAAGAAATTGGCCTGTGCTAACCCTCCTGCACAAGATCCTTAATGGTCATTGCCTGCTTTTCTTCACAGGGCCAGTCTTCAAGCTCACAGGGCAGCAGCTCTTCTGGCAAACAGGTATATATGCATGTGGAATTGTATAGTTGGAAGGAACCCTGAGGATTATCTAGTCCAACTCCCTGCAGTGCAGGAATACGTAGCTGTCCCACACAGGGATCGAACTTGCAACCTTGGCAGTATCAGCACCATGGTCTAACCAACTGAGCTATCCAGGTTATGTAGTGGTTTAAACAGTTTTGGACCCAGAACTGTGAAATCTGTGTGTGACTCCAGGCCAGTCACTTTATCTCAGGCCTAACATGTGAATGGTGGAAGTATTTTATTGTTTTGAAGTGATTTTTTTTAAATAAAAAAAATTCTGGGAAAGAGTGTTAAAACCATTATAGACCGCAAGAAAACAACAGCAAACAAAACACAAACGGAGGGAATGTGTGTAGAAAATATATTACTTTGAAGGCGATAGTACATTTTTTTATTTCTTTGTTTTTAAAGCAGGGTGGATCTTATTCAACCGGTGGCAGTCCCTGTGGCAAGGTATATTCTTTTATTTGACAATATTTTGGAAACAGTCTCAGTATTAGCTATCATACAATAGAACAATTTGTTGAGAAGGAGAAGATGTGAGCAAAACGTAAAGTATACAGTAAGGAAGCTCTGCAATTCCTTGTTACTTCTGATAGCAAACAGTACTAGAATTGGTAATATACAAATATTTGCACACAGCAGATCTTTAGATATAAATTATTCTTGGACCAATGCTGGTGTAGAATTGATTTTCCATGGAAGGAAGTGCTATTATCTTAACCTTTATCCTTCAGCAATAACTGGCATGGACAACATCCCCTTTGAGGCTTTGTCTACGTGTCACCAATATGAGAATGAGTGCAATTCTTTCCATGTGTTTCATATACAGTGGTACCTCGGTTTTCAGACATAATCCGTTCCAGAGGACCATTCAAGTTCTGAAACATTTGAAACATTTGAAAACCGAGGTGCAAAGGGCAGTCTGCAAACTTAATAGAGAAAATGGGGAAAAAAACCTCAGTGAAAGCCGTTCGACTTCCGAGGTGCGTTCGAAAATGGAAGCATTTACTTCTGGGTTTTCGGAGTTTGAAAACCAAAGCATTAGACTTCTGAGATGTTCAAAAACCGAAGTACCACTGTTCAAAAACCGAAGTACCACTGTATATTGAATGTATCACTGAAATACTTTCTCTCTCTGCTTTCTAAGGCAAGAGAGAGAGAAGGGGAAAAGGGTGGGTGCTTGTGGTTTTGCATGGACATGTGTGTGTGTGTGTGTGTGTGTGTGTGTGTGAGAGAGAGAGAGAGAGAGAGAGAATGAAGGGCACTCTAGCCATGTGTCTGCATACATAGTGGTGCTGGTTTTAAGTACAGATGTGCTCAGATCCATAATCCAGGACTTTAAGGAACTAAAAAAATGATAATTGCTTTAAAAAATGCAAACCTAAGAATAACAAGAATAAACATTCATTTTAAACAGGGGATTACATATGACAGCAATCCCTGCAACCAGGTAAGATTTCCATTCCATTCACGTAAAAGACATATGTCAATAGAACATCTAGTTTTAGGGTCTAACTAAATGCAAATAAAAGCTCCTGAAGATGACCTTGTTCTAGTGCATTCATGATGCTTTGTGCAACTGATGGTATCGGGTTAGCTTTAAATGATTCTGCTTTGAATACTGTTCGCACCTGCCAATGTTTTGGGGCAGACATGCTGTTTTGTTTCCAATTGGTGCATGTCCTGCTGAAATCCCACAACTTTTCATGGTATAAATGTTCTGGGTTCCCTCTTTCCCCACTGTTCTTGCGATGTTGTTGCACAATAGTGTCTCTCTAGACAGCAATAAACATTGGGGAAGCAAGTTGAAAGCTGCTCAAGTGATCGGAATCTAAGAAGAGAAGAAGCCCAAACACATTTTGGTGTGGCAAATTCCCCAGAGTTTTGGGGAAAGGCCATGAAATAGAATATGCAGAAATAGTGTGGTGCATTGTTTAGAATTTCAAACAAGCAATCTCTTGAGCAGCCAACAGCATTTGCAACTCTACCTCCATCATAGAAATTATTGTGCATTTCCCACTCAAATAAGAGAAGATGGTAGCATTTGTGTGTGATTATTGATTTTGTGCTGCTTTACAGGGCCAAGCGTCACCGCCGTCATCATCATCATCATCATCATCATCTTATTCATCGTCGTCTTCTTCACAAAGCACCTATGGCCAGGTAGGGGTTGTTTCCTTTAGCTGTTTCTTCCCAGTGTATGATGAATGGATGATGCACTGATTTTCAGGCGCTTTAACTGGGAGAAAGGATCTGAAGATTCCCATAAGGAAGCGCACAAATGCAAAACATGGCTGCAAATGTGCTGACAGAATACTGGAAGGGCACAGGGGACCTATGTCAGAAACAGATGGCGTGCAGACCTTTAGGCATTTTCATTGGGATCAGAATATAATGCATGATCAGAAAATGCCCATTGGTGCTGAGACAACACAGGACATCAACTCACTAGAAAGTTCTCCTTCACAAACTCCATTGCACTGTTGCACACCGCCCATTCCTTTCAAGGGAGTTTGCTTGTGCAAGAAAACATTTCGGCCGTTTGTGCCCTGGGTTTCCACACATTTCTAAATTTTCTTTTAAATTCCTGTGAGTCAAAATAATCTCCCCTTATTTTGAGTGCCCCCAAAAGATTCTAAACACTAGATTTCTGAAATTCAACTGACAAGAACTATTTTAATGTGTTTTCCTTCCCTCCTCACTCCGTTTGTCTTCTTTAGGGTGGCTCACAATATCAAGGCAACCCCAACGCTTGTCCTCCGGTAAGTTCCCTTTCTCTTAAGTTTTATGATGATTTGCTACCTGACAAAGTTATATATATATGATTCTGTCCCTCTAATGTCCTTGTCAGCAACCAAGTTTTCCTTAAAGGCCAATTTCAGAAGCAAATGATGAGAGTCAGTTAGCGCCTCGGTCCTGTTACTTCTTCAAGGCAATCCAAGAGTGTTCATCAGTTGTTGTTTGTTTTCTTATATCTTTATCCTGCTTCTCCAACAAACATTGTCTGCCAAAGTGGCCCACTTCAGTAGCAAACAAATAAACGCAAGGGTTGTTCTCTGGCTTGCTAACCTAATTTTCTGTTCTGAACCACCCTGGGATCTTCGGATGAAAGGTGGTATACAAATTTTAATAATAATAATAATAATAATAATAATAATAATAATAATACAAGACACACAGAAGGGAAGGGGATTAGAGGAAACAAGCAGAGAAGGGAGATCAGTTTGACAATGCAAGGGATGAGTTGTATATATGCTTGTAGTCTTGTATGGACAAAGGCGTAAGAACTATGTATATGAGAGAAATTCAATTTCATGCACATTTAAGGGTGAACTTACATAATTCACACTTGGCAAAGTAATTTCTGATTTTGTATTTTTTTCTCTCAGGGGATAGGTACTTCTTCCAACAACAGAAACAGATGCTGAGTGGTAAATATCAGCTTTTATTATACAAAGATGAATCTCAAAGTATGATAGTCTTTGATATCTTTTCTTTGAATATTGCAGAGACATTTGTATTATGGGTTGCATTTGATGGATTTTCTGTGCGATCCCAGGGAAGCTTTCCCAAACCCAAGGGAACCATATAAAGGAAGGGGCACCAGAAGATTATATGCATGGGACTTAAATTTGTTACATGGCACAAGAGGCTCCAGAAAGTGAACAAACTTTCACTTAACCTCAGAATATGCCTCATAGTAAATGGAGTCCCGAATGTGATTGTAGGCGGCAACATTTTCATTTTACCTTGACAATTCCAATAAACAATAACCACATTGTGCTCGTGATAAACAAATTCACACTGCTCAGCTCCTCAAGCAATTGATGTATAATGTCAAATTTAAATGAATTGGCAGGTAGGTAGGCAACTTGTATTTTGCCCATTGCTCTTTATATGAGATGGAAGTATTTAGCATTGTCTCCCGAGACAGACAGATGCCAACGACAGCTAGAACTGTGGACTTGGTTCGCATAAATGATCTCAAGATTAGATCATTAGCTGTGTCATTCCATACAAAGGAAGTTGTATTGTTAGTGAAATGTTACCAGGAAAGAATTTAAGCAGTAGGGGATATGTAGGTTGTCTTTTTTTTCCCTTTTTCTTTTTAAGAATCCTGCTATAGGTTAAATAATAACAACAACAACAACAACAACAACAACAACAACAACAACAACAACAACTTTAAATGAAATACCTACAGAATGACATGGTTGTATTTATGTGTTTCAGCAATAAAGTGTTGAAACAGAAAATCGGTCTGGAGAGGAAGAATATAATTCAATAGTCACGAGAGCAACTGGAATTTCTCAAAGTTCAAATACATTGCAAAATTACCCGTCTGCAAGACACCTCCCTGACACCTCACGCTGCAGAACAGAAATGTTCGTGTTTTCACAAGTCAAAATCAGGAGTCTTGAAGTGAAATAAAAACAACTTTTTCCTTAAAATGCTCAAGTCTTTATTTTTACTGATTACATTTCTATCCATGCCTCCTCTCAAAGGAGCTCCAGGGAGTGTCTTCCCCTCATTTTGCACAGAAGCCTTGCAGAATCTGCACATCCTGATAAGCTAGTCCACCACTCCCTGGTTTCTCTGCTGTCCTCCTTCACCCGAGTGAGAATATTTTACCCGCAGAGCTGGCAACCTTAACTGCAAACCAAACCTGAGGGTTGCAGGGAACAGCCGTTCAACGTGTACAAACAGAACTGCCCCAATTGCATTGGAAGAAGGAGCAGGTTTCCTTCTTCAAAGCAAAAGGGGTGTGGGGTTGATTATGAAGACATCTCTTCTCTTCCTTCCCTGAGCTGTGTGCCTGCAGTTGCAGATCAGGGACACTAGAGGACACTGCTCCCCATTGGCGGTGCCAATCGCCCCTGACCAGCGTCACCGCAGCAAGCTGGGCTTTGCAGCTGCAAGTATAATATAACCCCATTGCACTCTAAAGCTCATACCCTTTCCAAACATGGTGTTGATGGTTGTGGCAAGAGAATTCTTAGGAGGAGAGACCAGTGGAATTGCATTGACAACCGAAGTGACTACATGTGCCAAGAAAGTACAGCTGAGTTAGCATTTTGGAACATGGCATTTTCTGGGTACCAGCCATAGGAATTTAAGGGCTATTGGCTAAGTGCTAGAGTAAAGCTTGATGTCATGGTGTGTAGGAACTGTCTTGGCCTACCTACGTATGTTGGGGGAATCCTACTAATCGCAGAACAGAAAAGGCAAAGAGAAGAACCAAGAACTAATGGTTAAGAATTCTCTCCAGGAACAGAAGCAAAGGGCCGGTGCCAGACTTGGCATAGTCTGGCAGATAGGCCCCCCACTGCCAAGCCTTCGCTTTGTGGAAGGGAAATATGAGTCCCTGTGACACACATGTATGGGGTAAATAACATGAGAATCATCTGGGTGCCTGGGTTCAAAACACGGGATAAACTTGCCCTCCAGCAGGAGAGAGCCCCCAGTCAAACAGCAGTATAGCTTTAGGAATATAGGTTGTTAGACCCTTTTGTCCTGTTTAGTTGCATCCAGCGCTCCCCTCTTTTAACGCCCCCCTCAATGAACAGACCACACACTGCTAAGCAGTGCTTTTTTTCTAAAAAAATCTTAAGGGGTACTCTCATTTTCCTACTCAGATTGAAATACTGCCCCTCAATGAGGCCAAACTTAGATTCACAAAATGTTTATGGGTATACATACCCCTGTGTCCCCCCTAGGAAAAAAGCACTGCTGCTAAGTAAGTTTAAAATACTTTACTTACAAAATGCCCCAAAGGTCTGATTTGTGCATTTATCAAAGCAGCAGCAAAGAGCACACAGGCAGAATACTCTTTGGTAGAAAATAAAGAGAAATCGCTTCAAAAACGTGCTCTGAGCTTGGAGCTTGCTTATACATGTCCTTCCTGGAACAGGAAAAGAAGGCTTCACTCCCTCATCAGAAAAGAGGGGGCGTGACCTAGTTGAGTCTAGGAATCTAGCTCTGTGGTCTTAACCCCCTCATGCATAGCTAGATTTGACTGCAATTTCCCAGACACTTTGCAGCAGCAGCACAGCCATCTTCACCACCACCTCTCTAAGCCTGTGCCACTGCTGTGGTCAGCCAGGGCAGCTAAGAAGACTTTTTAAAAACTTAAGTTTGTTTGTTTTTAAGCTGCTATTGCTCAGTGGCAGCTTTCCTCCTACTAGTGGTCAGCAGGGCGGTGGCACCACCGTGACTTACCTGGAGGGAGAGGCGGCAGAGAAGTCTGTGCCGTGCAAACACACTCTTGGGTGTGTCGGGTTGGCTCTGCTGGTGCCTTTGCACCAAATGAACCTCACCCTTCTCCCTCCCAGTAAGCTTTAAGCCCCACCCCTACGGTGCTTTTATCCACTGCAGGTATGGCAGCTCAGCCGCAATGACTGATGAACGTCATTTGAAATGGTCCATTGGTCCATACATTGGCTTTCTCCTTGCAGACATCTATGTTAGCCAAAATATGTCCAGGGAGAAGGGCCTGATGCTAAGACTGGACCTCTTCCCAGACATCGTTGAGCCTTCTTCCCACAATGAATGCAGTCTCCAATACATTCTTTAGAAACAAGACCAGACATGAATTGATTCTGAATAATATACGGTGGTACCTCGGGTTACAGGTTCAGGTTACAGACTCTGCTAACCCAGAAATAGTACCCCGGGTTAAGAACTTTGCTTCAGGATGAGAACAGAAATTGCGCGGCGGCGGCGTGGCAGCAGTGGGAGGCCCCATTAGCTAAAGTGGTACCTCAGGTTTCAGTTTAAGAATGGACCTCCTGAATGAATTAAGTTCTTAACCCGAGCTACCACTGTACTTAGTGCATGTACTAAGTGCATGCAGTTGTCACGAGTCTTAAAACTTTAGGACAGTGGTGGGGCCCTCGGGAGCAACTAGGATTTCCAGGGGTGGGACAGGTAAAAACATGACTAGGCCAAAAAGGGGCACCTGGAAAGGTCTGCCCATAGTGCCCTGTGCAGCTCTTTCATGCCCCAACAACCAGTCCTTGCAGACCACCAGCTGATTGCTGTGGTTTCAAAGTGCTGCACACTCCAGAAGACTAAAACAAGTCACCTAGCATCAGTGTGCCGTCAAGTGATTGGCAGGTGGGTTAACTTGGCCCATGAGGCATGGGGGAAATTAGGATCAGGGCCTGCTGACTGGATCCAGTTTCCCACCCCTGCTCTGGGGCCTTATTTATATTATCACTGGAAGCGCACCTCAGTCACATCCTGTCAGTCACATAACTGTATGCCCTGCAGTCCACAAGCAAGTAACATCCTAAAGAAAATAACTTCCTTGATGGAGGCACATAAATGACTGCAATAATGGGCAGCAGAACAAGGAGATGGAGTTATTTGAAAGTGGATGTTAACCCCTCAAAGTTCAAGCATTGTATTAAACCACAGATAGAAATAATTATGTGTATCAGCACTATGCTCGTGTGTATTAAAACACTGTCTGTTTTTAATGTTGTGTGTGAACCAGGCCTATAGATGCACAACTAAGCTATTCTGAGATGATGGGGTGCTCAAATTTCAACCTTTAAAAAACAACAACACATCACTACCTGAGATGGAGAGCAGCCCGGGAACGAGGCTTCTCCAGAGGCATGTCTCTCTCTTTCCATTGTATACAATCACAGACGATGCCCACAAAGTAACAATTAAGCTGATGCATCCACTACAATTACAACTTGAGATAGTAAACCAACTGGCATCGTCAAGAGTTGGTTAAAGTTGCCATGGTACCAGGATGAAGGCTTGGGGCTTTACAAGAAGAGGAATAAAATATAGGCATTAGAGATTTGGAAGGCACGCTTAAGTGAAGCTAGTCCTTGCTTTTAAGCATAGGTGTACTGCCACCCTGCCTACAGAATGACCTAATTTGATTGTATATTCCTCCCTGTCTCTGCACTCCACCCAGGCCTCTGTATCTAGCAATATCTCTCTTCCTTCTCCACCCACTTCTGATTCCCTTCTAGTTTGCCTTCATGATTGCTCTGCACGTGGCAGAACCCCAAGTTCAGGAATGATTTGTCATTCCCTTTCTGCCTCCATTGATTTCACCACTAAGAACATATGGATCAGGCCAATGGCTCTTCTAGCCCAGAATCCTGTTCTCACAGTGGCCAACCAGATGCCTATGGGAAGCTTGCAAGCAGTGCCAGAAGTGCACAGCAGAGATCATTATCTTTGCAACTCAAGGGTTAATTCTGTTAGTGCTGAAGGAAAGGGGTGGGTGGAGGTGCTCCTTAGCAACCAGACAGAATGGCATGATGTTGACAGACATTGCATGTGCCCTGACTGGCTGTGTAAGTCTGAGAGAGTTTTTATTCATATGCTTCGTTGAATGCCCACCTTCCACGTACAAGGGCGGAAGTAAAGAAAGGCAAAGATTTTCTCTCCCTTTCTCCTCAGAATTGCACTGCTTATATCTCTTTTCCTCTGTTAAGCATTTTCAAGGCTATTCTCTCTGGACTCCGCACAGGGCTGTCTTAAGCATATCCGGCGCCGTGGTGCAAAGCTCCCTCCGAGGCCAAACACGCCCCCCCATTTCCCAGAGTTGCCCACCTTTTTTTAGGGAGGATGGCATTGCCGGCAGGGCTGGAGGAGGCGGGCAGCAGCTGGAGGGCAGCTTCTCCGGCGGGGAAGAGGTGGCCATGGCAGACGGAGGCTCCGGGCGCGGCACTGCTTCGGTGCAGCATGGCGGAGGTGGGCGAGGGCGGCGAGCTGATGCTGGGAGACCTCCCTCTCTTCCTTGGTGCCCTCCAGAACATGGCACCCTGGCGCCCCGTGCCACTAGCCTCTATGGGTAAGACGCCCCTGACTCTGCATTATTTAAGTCACGTTACTAACAAGCAGGAACTTATAGCCTGGATAGCTCAGTTTGTTAGAGCATGATGCTGATAATGCCAAGGTTGCAGGTTCGATCCCCGTATAGGACAGCTTGCATTGCAGGGGGTTGGACTAGATGATCCTCAGGGTCCCATCCAACTCTATGATTCTATGGTATCTATGAATGCAGCAGCAGTCTCCCCTGTTTGATGCCTAAAATGAGGTTTCTTTTTTATTTATTCAAAATTATAACAAGACATATTATCCAAAAACATAGCATCCTTGTCCCCCCCCATTTTTCCTCCCTCCCCCCTCCCACACAACCCCCCCACCTCCCCCCAACTTCCCTCAGTTCCAGTCTTTGGTTTCTCTAAGAACGCTGTTTTGCGTGGACAGGCGGAGTCCCCAGATCCCGCGCGGTCCCCCCCGTCATGTGGAATAACGACTCAAGACAACGTGCTATGGGATTAAATTGGCCACAACTTTATTAAATTTCAAATGTGGGTAGACCTTGGCTCAGGCATTGGGCGTTCTCCCTCCCCAGCCCCCAGCCGGGGACCTAGGGAGCATCAGGGACCATCAGGGTTATCCAGTGTGTGGGGGGGGGGATGGGCCGGCTCTGGAGAACATATGTTCAAGCAGAGATAGCCGCCCCCGTTACGCCGCCGCAGGGGAGAGCAATGACGACCTTTCGGCGTACGGTCAAAGCCTCCCTTCAGAAACCCCTTTAACGGGGAACCCTGGTATCGCCGCCGCAAAGAGGAAGATGGACTAAAGGATTCCGCCCAAGGCCTGATACCGCCAAAGTTGTGACGTTTTGCTACGGGAAAGGCGAAACCTGCCAATGCAGGGAAATTCCTTTCCGGCCCTTTAACAGCGACCTTAACGTAGCAGCGCCCGCATACCTGTGAAGAAAAGTTAACCTGCAAAACCTGTGAAGAAAAGTTAACCTGCAAAACCTGTGAAGAAAAGTTAACCTGCAAAAGAAGACATTAACTGAGTGTGGGTGGGGTGGGAGAAGCTCTGGAGCCAAGTGAGGATTCCCAGGTAAGATCCTCACTCTATTGTGTGGGCAGGTAATCCCTCCCCTACCTGGCCTGGTCTCCTTGGCAACGCTTCCCCCAGGTGGGATTGGACAACTGACTGAGGTAGGCGGAGACCTCCAGGTATCCCACCTGAGGGAAGGCAAAGCCAAGCCTATGCTGATGGGGGCCGCTCCAGATCTAAGGCTGCGCGCGTCCACGCAAAGGGCGCCCCCCCGTTTTAAGCAGGGAGCGGTCATTCTGCATGTTACAAAGTTGTATAGATCCTCAAACTATTTAGCTGATTATTATCAATAAAAAGTTTGTGAATGTTGATTCAAAACCTGCCAAGGAGTCCATAAAATGAGGTTTCTAGGCACGTAGTTCCAAATTTCAAAATCCAAACCAGTTCTCCTTCAAACTGAATTCCTAACACCCGAAGGCCTTTTCCACTGGCATTTTGCGCGGTTGTGGCAGACAGTATCTAAGGCATATTTTGGGAGATGAGCATAACCTTCACATGGCTTTCTCCACTTGTGGGTTCCCTAGCTTTCTCAGCCTCGTGGCAATAAATCTTTATAGCAGAGCTTGCCAACACACATTCTATACTTGGCAGCAGATTGTGATGTCGTGCCAGAGTCCTCCAAGTCCTTGGGTCCTCCCTGGGCCACAGCTATAAGCTATAATCACCTGCGTGCCAAGGCAGTAAATAATGTCTGAAAATGCTCATGAACAAATCCTGCCAGTCTGAATGAAAGCAAATGGTAAAGCCTTATGGCACTTGCAACCAACCGCATTCTCGTTATACATGACAAGCAGCCACTTTTGTCCAGCCAGCCTGAGGAAAAGTTCTGTTTAACTCTCATGCTTGCATATCACAACCAGATTTGATACCTGCCTCTAGGGTTGGGGGACAAATTCCACCCAGTTCCCATTTAATGCTGAAATTACCTAAGTCATGCTTTCTGCAACAATACAGTGGTACCTCGGGTTACATACGCTTCAGGTTACCGTATTTTTCGCACTATAGGACGCACTTTTTCCCCTCCAAAAATGAAGGGGAAATGTGTGTGCGTCCTATGGTGCGAATGCAGGCTTTCACTGAAGCCTGGAGAGCGAGAGGGGTCGGTGCGCACCGACCCCTCTCGCTCTCCAGGCTTCAGGAGAGCCCCAGCGCCAGCCCCACAAGGTCGGGGGACAGAGGGAGGCGGAACGCCGCCATCCCGCTGTCTCCCGAAGTGGTTTGGAGGCTGACGGCGGGAGACCCCGCCACCAGCCCCGCAGCTCCGGGGACAGCTGGGAGACGCAGCGCGTCTTCCTGCTGTCCCCGGACCTGATCTGAAGGCGGGCGGCGGGAGAAGAGCGCTCTCCCCGCTGCCTGCCCCAAGCTCCGGGGACAGCAGGGAGACGCAGCGCGTCTTCCCGCTGTCCCCGGACTTGATATCAAGGCGGGCGGCGGGGAGAGCAGCGCTTCTCCCCGCTGCCTGCCCCCAGCTCCGGGGACAGCAGGGAGACGCAGCGCGTCTTCCCGCTGTCCCCGGACCTGATGTGAGGCGGGCGGCGGGGAGAAGAGCGCTTCTCCCGCTGCCTGCCCCTAGCTCCGGGGAAAGCGGGGAGACGCGCTGCGCCTCCCAGCTGTCCCCGGAGCTGGTCTCAAGGCGGGCGGCAGGGAGAAGAGCGCTTCTCCCCGCTGCCTGCCCCCAAGCTCCGGGGACAGCTGGGAGACGCAGCGCGTCTTCCCGCTGTCCCCGGACCTGATCTGAAGGCGGGCGGCGGAGAGAAGAGCGCTTCTCCCCGCTGCCGGCCCCACAAGCGCCTGGGGGGGAAATAATTTTTTTCCCTTTATTTCCCCCCAAAAAAACTTGATGCGTCCTATGGACCGGTGTGTCCAATGGTGCGAAAAATACGGTACATACGCTTCAGGTTACAGACTCCACTAACCCAGAAATAGTGCTTCAGGTTAAGAACTTTGCTTCAGGATGAGAACAAAAATCGTGCTCCGGTGGCGCAGCAGCAGCAGGAGGCCGCATTAGCTAAAGTGGTGCTTCAGGTTAAGAACAGTTTCAGGTTAAGTACGGACCTCCGGAACGAATTAAGTACTTAACCCGAGGTACCACTGTATGCCCCCTGAGACACAGCCATCCTTTCAAATTTGCGCTTCTCCGAATTTTGCAAGGGGCTTCTCCAGCCAAGTAATTGTCCTAAAACGCAGAGGATATAAATGCACATATTTCTGAAAATGACACATAAAAGCATTATATTAGTGAATACGGCTTTGCAACAATAGGTATGTTTGGCAAAATTACACACAGAATTGCATGTATAAGGAAGAAACACCGATTAATTTTCTTGAGGATTTTTTTTTATGTAAAAAAAAATCACTGACTGATGTAGAATTGTGGAGAACTGAACTCAAGACTGGGAAAATGAGAAACTGAATTTGACATATTAGCCCAGCCCTACCTGTGTCATAGATTTTTCAACACTCATTGTTCTTTCTCAGTCATGGTTTCTTCTGAAGATGTGAAAGAGAGCTTCCCTAAAAAGCAGAACAGAGTGGTGCAGCCAGACAATTTTTAGACCCCGGACTTAATAGCACTACAGCTTGGGAGGGGGTGTCCTCCTTTGTGGAGCTCAGTCCCAACATTTATCTTCTGTCCAGCAGCACTCCATGAATGACAGCTGCTGTTACACTGCTGATACGTTAGAGCAACAAACAAACATCATCCAGTTTGACAGCCCTGAATTTATTTTCTTCTTTAAAAACGCAGAAATAGCCTGAGTGCATGCTGTTTCGCACTGTAAGCTCACCTAAATCATAGCACCACTATTATGCCTAAAAGAAAAAAAATGTGGCTTGCTTCTGTTGCTGCGATTCTCAACACATTTTCTTGGGAATAAGCCAGTGTGCTGTAGTGGTTAAGAGCGGTGGATTCGTAATCTGGTGAACCGGGTTGACTTCCCCGCTCCTCCACATGCAGCTGCTGGGTGACCTTGGGCCAGTCACACTTCTCTGAAGTCTCTCAACCTCACTCACCTCACAGAGTGTTTGTTGTGGGGGAGGAAGGGAAAAGAAGATTGTTAGCCGCTTTGAGACTCCTTAGGGTAGTGATAAAGCAGGATATCAAATCCAAACCCTTCTTCTTCTTCTTCTACATCTTGTTGTAGAAAATGGTTTTCGGTAGAAAGTCCACAGTAGCTGAAGAGTCTTTGTTAGCATGTGAAATTAATGGGTACCAACTTCTGTGAAGGAATCTCCCTGTGCAAAGCCATTGGCTACATGTATTAGTTGAATTAACTTGTCTGTCAAAGCCAATTTACATAATGATTGGGTACTGATTAAGTGTAGGCAGCTGAGTTGCTTTCCAGCTACTGGTTATTTCCATTCTAGCGGGCTGAAGACAACTATGGGTGGTATCCAAGTCATACTCAAAGTCATTGCAAACAATGGGCTTAATGGGTCAACTTTAAGTAAGACTTTTCCAGCTACCCTGTATAATTATTTCTAGTTTAGAGTGATCATCTATATTTGGACATAGGAAGCCTTCTACTGAGTCAGAACACTGATCCGTCTAATTACCTACTGTGACTGTCATCAGGTCTCCAGGCTAGCAGGCAGGGGCTGTTTCCATCACCCAAGAATAATAGAATCATAGAATTGGAAGGGACCCTGAGGGTCATCTAGTCCAACGCCCTTCCAATTCAGGAATCTTTTGCACAACGCAGGGCGCAAACCCACAACCCTGGGATTATAAATCTGCAGAAGCCAATCTGTTACTGATTTTAAAAGCTCAGGATTCAACACTTTGAACATGGCAAGAGAACCTGTGTAACACAGGCACAGGCTTTTGTGGAATAATATATGGATTCCAGTGGGAAAAATCATTGGCATGCATCACCGAATTTTGGTATAATAATTATGGGAGTTGCAGAGAACCAGGTAATCCGCTTTTGTCACGCGGCTCCCGGCTAAAGCCATGTAAAACTATTAAAGTTCCTAGGTGGCTCAGAGCAAATTGTTACTTTCCTAGTCTAGCCTACTTCATAGGGGCATTTGGAGAATGAAACTTGATCAACTTGGTTGCATCCTCCCCTCAGGATAAGACAGGAAAACTCAACAAACAAACAAACAAACAAACAAACAAACAAACAAACAAACATAGATCACCAAATATCTTTCCCAAACTAAGGATAAAACTGGTTTGACAAGCTGCTTGCTCTTTGTCTTTGCAGAATAAGGCCCAGTCCACATAGGTAGCAGAATGAAATAATCGAATGGACTGTACCACTTCAGGTGACTGCTGTTTGCATAGGATGGATTTCCATCTTTTTAATGTCACACACAAACAAATACTGCTTGGAAATAAAAACTAACACATCGGCTGGAAAGGCGCTAACCCTGCTCACTCCATGATGTATTGCTTTTTATGTGTGATGACTTCGTTTATGCATGGGATCATTAAAAAACATGACCCCACCTGCAGTCTAAAGGGCTACAGCACCTTCTCCAACCTTGGAATACTACCACTTCTTTCCACTATATTAGGTGTTAAAGAGGACTTCAGACTGCAGCATTTTCCCCCGCTCCCTCCAGACAAATGGATATTTTCAATGGTGTCATTCCATTGCAGACCCGCTGCTGCAGATTGGAAGTAAATATTAGATGGGCTAAACTTTGTGTTTCATGTTGTCACTAGCACCTCCTCCTGTGCTGATTCCAGTTTTACCATGGTACTATTATGTCGGGAAGGGAATTGGTGATGGGAAAGGAGGGAGGGAGAGAGCAGAGGGGAGTATTAACTACAGTACAGTGGTACCTCGGGTTAAGTACTTAATTCGTTCTGGAGGTCCGTCCTTAACCTAAAACTGTTCTTAACCTGAAGCACCACTTTAGCCAATGAGGCCTCCTGCTGCCGCCACGCTGCCAGAGCATGATTTCTGTTCTCATCCTGAGGCAAAGTTCTCAACCTGAGGTAATATTTCTGGATTAGCGGAGTCTGTAACCTGAAGCGTATATAACCTGAAGCGTATGTAACCCGAGGTACCACTGTACAGATTGCTGAGGCCATTCCTGACTCTTAACCAAACATACCATACATTTTAAGCCCTTGATTCCCCCCCCCCAAGGCAGAGGCGGAGCAAGGTGGGGGCAGTACACCCCAGGTGTCATCCCTGAGGGGGCTGACTTCACCATGGGCGGCATCCCCCCTGGAATGCTCCCTGCCGCTGGCACACACCCCTGGGACATGCGCTGCCGCTGCTAGCTCCACCTCTGCCCGTCCCTATAGGCATGCCGTGCCCTGTCCTTAGCCCCTATGGGCACTGCGCTGTGTGCCCCGCCCCTATGGGCAGTTTGCCCCGCCCCAGGCGCACTGCCCCTGGTGCCTGAGAGGCTTCCTCCGCCACTGCCCAAAGGATTCTGGGAACTGTAGTTTGATAAAGGTGCTAGGGATTGTAGCTCTGTGAAGAGTAAACTGAAGTTCCTAGGATTCTGGGGTGGAGGTGGGGAAGACATGTGCTTTAGATGTGCTTTAATTGTATGGCGTGTTTGTTGCCTTACAAATTGGCCTTTCACACAACAGGAGCAAGGGGAGAGGACAACTGTGCCCCATCCTAGGCTCTTAAATCTTATTTTTCTCTTTAACTCATTTCACCCTACAACTCTCTCACATTTGTACCCTGCACTGCAGTCACCAACCACTTTCGCACAACTGCCGCACGTACCTGCCACTCTTTCCTAGTTGTCTGTAATCTCTCAAGGCAATATGCAGGCTTCCCTCTTTATTCCTTCGTATCAACTTGCTCCCAGTTTTCCAGAGCTGCTATCACCCTGGAAACCGATCACAAGGACTGAAAGAGCAATCATTTGGGAATGCATTACAGGGGATCAGTTGAAAGAAAGCAATTATTCAGATTCGGCATTCCAAAATTGCAAACGAATATGCCTAACTATTTTGTCTGCCACACCCCTTATTGGCATAGGCATCGCTTATGCATCAGGTTTGGAGTTATTTTTAATTAAAACATGTGCATAAATGGCACAGGTTCTTGTTGCTTACTAGTCTCCACACGCATATTTTTCCAATCTCCTCACCTTTATCACCTGTGTGGCATTTTGTTAGGACAGAGGTAGTCAAGGTGTGTGCCTTCAAGATGTTCTTTGATGCCACCTCCCATCAGGCCCAGCCGGCTTGTCCAATGTCCAGGGATTATGGGAGTTGAGAACAACAACATCTCAAGGGCACCATGTTGACTACCCTTGTGCTAGAAGTTTCTCTTGACAACTTCTTTCTGAAAACCAGATGGATGGTCTAAACCAGAGTTTCCCAAACTTGGGTCTTCAGCTGTTTTTTTTGGACTACAATTCCCATCATCCCTGGCCACTGGTCCTGCTAGCTATGGATAATGGGAGTTGTAGTCCAAAAAAACCAGCTGAAGACCCAAGGCTGGGAAACCCTGGTCTAAACTAAACCTAATTCAAGTTTTCTGATACAGTGGTACCTCAGGTTAAGTACTTAATTCGTTCCAGAGGTCCGTACTTAACCTGAAACTGTTCTTAACCTGAGGTACCACTTTAGCTAATGGGGCCTCCTGCTGCTGCCGCGCCACCGAAGCCCGATTTCTGTTCTCATCCTGAAGCAAAGTTCTTAACCTGAAGCACTATTTCTGGGTTAGCGGAGTCTGTAACCTGAAGTGTATGTAACCTGAAGCCTATGTAACCTGAGGTACCACTGTTCTATTCCACAGACCCATAAAATAGAAAAATGGAAAGCCCTCCTTGTCTTGCCAGTCTTTGGCTGTATATCACCATACTTTTAAAGCACATTGAAGCACATTTTTCTGGGCACTGTAGTTTGCTGAGGATTGTAACTCTGTGTGGGATAAGCTGCCATGTCCATAATTCCTTTGGAGGAAGGATGTACTTGGAAATAATACTGTGCGTATGCAGCCTTTGAAGCAATTGTCCTGATTCTACTTGAGGTGTGATTATGGTACAAGTGTCAGTAAAAGGGACATAATTGGTAGGCTATGTGTTTATTTCCTCGCCTTTGTGAGTGCGGATACAGATGCCTCAGCAATATTGCTCCGTCATTGGGTGTCTCACATGCATCTCACGATGCGTCAGTTGAAAAATACTTATACATTCAGAGCAATCATCTAATTGTTGGCTTAGCTGGGTGAAAGCTGTTGACATTTTGGGCTCCCCAGTTCCATTTTTAGCCATGCGGTTATAAATGGTTCCAAACACAGACATTGTTTGCAACTGGGCTAAAGTTGGCAATGATGTTTTTCTCCATCAGGGGGACCCACTGTGCTTTCCTCCATGGCTGCAATTCATCCCTCACCATTCATTAGCCACACAGATGAGAACCAGAGTCTGGCAACATCTGGAAGGTTCTGGAGGTGGGAAATCATTCGTTGTAGTTTTAGGCAGAAAGCGTCACAAATGCACCTGACCTCAATCAGGGTTGGTTCAGAATCAAATAGCTACTTTTTAGTCACCCAGATCTCATAACGGAACCTGTCAATTTAACATCCTGTCAATTTCATAGTCCTTTCCCCTCTCCATGATGCAAGTTAGAGGGAAATCAGTGGCCGAACCCACATTTCAGCACTAAAATTGGTATGGCATTAATGGCAATACACCAAAAAAATGAGAACCTTAATTGTAATTCATAGTCATACCCATTTCTAAGTAATTTTTGGAACAGTCCTCATTCATTGCCAAGGTGGTTTTGAAAAAACATTTAGAGTTTTGTGCCACTTCCATCCATATCAATTCACCTAAATATGTTTTTCCCCAGTTATTGTCTAGCTTTACTTATCAGTAATGAAGATTTAAATCAGTCCACTTTTCAATTAAAAGAAACCTCATCCTTCATCAGAGAAGTGCATATTTTACAAGCAAATGCCATGTGTGTGTGTGTTTGTTTCTGAATGGAAAGTACCTCCAGAGTTGCTCATATTTTTGGAGTAGAGGTACAAGGTGAAGGATTTCTCTGAATGTTTGGGAGAATCTTACACACTGTAGGATTGGAATGCAACTCCCTGAACTCTTCGGCTGGCTGGGTAGCCCGAAGGAAGGCCAAACTTCCTTTTTGACTCAAAACAGTGTCACCGTCTGTCAAGTACAAGGAGGAGCGAATGCCCTTCAGGGAACAGGAGATCTACTCCTATAAATAATTGCAGGGCGTTGATAATGAATCAATGCAAAACAGGATATGTTGAAACACACAGTCTTCACTCCACCGCTTGCCTGTGTGCTTCTCTCCAGCTGTCAGCATTTTGTGTTAATCTGTGTGGGTTGCTGTGGGTAAAACCCTTGCAAGTGTCAGGTACCTTTCAAGCCCATGGAAAGTTGAACTTTCCTTTTAGAAGTCCAATTGGGGTTGTCTATGGCTGTTTCTAGACCATGTTTCTAGATGTATTCCTGTGTCTTCCCAGGCGAAGGAGATGCAATGGCTGTATTTCAGATATGGCGTGTTGGCTTGGATCCAGGGGTTCCCATGAGTTCTCTGGGGAGGTTCTTGCAGGAAGGAGGGATATTCCCTGATCCATCCTTCTCCCTGCATCCCCTGTGCCCCTAAAAAGCTGTTCCAGAATGGAGGGTGGGGAGCGCTTCTGGAATAGTGTGAGAAGTGGTGCAGGGCAAAAGGTGAGTCAGCAAAAATAATCTCCCTCCTCCTTCTGGCCTTCTCCTGGGTCTCAGTCTCTGTTGTTTCTCTCTTTGGCCTTGGTTTTGGCAGAGGTTCCTCTGACATTTTCATTGTATATCTTCTGTCATATGCTGAAGACACACCTCTTCACCCTGCCTTTGACACCTGAGATATATGTTTTTAGGATCCATGCTATTCTCTTGATTGTTTTGATTGTTTTTAATATTGCTTTGAACATGCCCTGCAACCTTATGGTGAATCATCATCAACATCATGGCTACCCCTCTGCAAATTGCTCCTTCTCTACATTATATGTCTGTCTGTCTGTCTGTCTGTCTGTCTGTCTCTCTCTCTCTCTCTCTCTCTCTCTCTCTCTCTCTGTGTGTGTGTGTTTGTCTTTAATCACCCAAGTGCATGTCTTGCAATAAACTTTGTCTTCCATTTCTGGTTCTGACCTGTGGAAGGAGGAGGAAATGATAGCGTTGTTTATTGCTTTTAGCGTTTCTGTGGTTGCGTTGTTGTCATGTCTTTTCACTACATTACACAACGACTGGAAAAGAATAAACTAATTTCCCTTTCTGTTTGGATTACAACTCCTTAGTCTACACACAATGTAATTTAGCTAATATGGATTATGGCAGCCCATATTTAAAATAGAAGACACAGGCTGAAAATGGCCATCTACTCTTAGTGCTGATGGAAGTGAAAATGGTATAAGAAACAAGGGTGGTAAAAAATGCAGTGTTCTCTTGCAGTAAACCAGGGGAGTTTTAACACCCCTTGACTCACAATGTGAAGATTACTCTGGGTATACCATAGGTCAGGTGTAGGAAAAAATGCAGCATTTTAGCTGTTGTTGGACTACAACTCTCACCATCCCTGATGGCTGGGGTTGGTGGTGGTCTGACTCCAACAACATTTGAAGGGCAAATCATGGCAATTGCATTGGTGAGTTGTCTGTGCGAGTGTGCAAGCAGACATTCATTGGTCTGCGGTTTTAGATCAGTGCAGAGTTTCAAGTTTTCCTAAAGTGTCATCAGTTGCAATCTCAGTACCCACTTACCGGATGAGGCAAAGCAGAAATGGTGCTAAGGACAAACGCAATGTCTTAGACACAGCAGGATCACGACAACTCATTTGAAGCTGAAGGACCACTTAGTCTCCTGTTTTAGAAAAAGCTATGCATATGTCACACTTCTGAGCAAGCACACAATTACCGCTCACCCAGAAAAAGTGGTGGGCAGGGTTTGCAACCCGGCATGGGTTTCCTGTTCCTGGGTGACACCCCCTCGCTTGCTGGCAATTGCTCTGCCCCCTCCCCAGTTAACCAATCGACTGCTGGTTGGGGGGCGGAGTGAGGGTCAGGTACTGTGGGCTCCAGCTGACCGTCTCTCCAGTCAGTCTTCGGAGCGTCACCCAACCACCCCACCCTCTAACTTTAACATGGTTTTCTTTCAGGTTATCTTTTCCTTCCCAGGTTCACAGGCGTTGCTACAGTCCATGGTCGTTGCTGTTTCCCAGGTTTTCTACAGGTTTTGCCTTCCCTGTAGCAATTGTCACAACTTTGGAGGTTTTAGGTCTTGAACTGTCTCCTATAGTCTTGGGGGTAGCATTATTATGTGCCCCCATGTGGCGGCGTTTGCAGGGCCCATTAAAGGGTTGATTGTGGGAGTCACTGGCCCTGAGCGGCGGCATAAGGTCAAACTCCCTACTTCAGGTGAAGTGGGGGGGGGAAGCTGTGTAAATTCTCGTTTTACAGTCCCCCTCACAACACCTGTCTGCCCTGCGCATCCTCAGACCCAACCGGGGCTGAGAGGGTTGCTGTCCAATGCCTAAGCCAAGGTTTCCTACATCTGAAATCGACAAAGTTGTGGCCTAATTTTATCCCATACATCAGTGATGGCCAAACTTGGCCCTCCAGCTGTTTTGGGACTACAACTCCCATCATCCCTAGCTAACAGGACCGGTGGTCAGGGATGATGGGAATTGTAGTCCCAAAACTGCTGGAGGGCCAAGTTTGGCCATCACTACCATAACATGGTTGTTGTGCCTCCTTATTTCAGGCTGGCTCCCGGGGCGGGGGGTTAGCACATGGGCTCGCAATTCATTGTTCCTTTGGTTAAACATTTTACACACACACACACAGAGAGAGTCTGTTTACTAACACACCATGCTAGTCAAACTATTGAAGAAGGCTGTTCCAAGCAAATTAATATAGCAGGCCGTGAAGAGCCTTTAATGATCTGTGGTGAAGGGGTGGAGGTTTTTCAAACCGTAATACAAGTTGATGTGATGATAGAGATGTTAGAAGTGCACAAAGGTGTGTCCATTTCCAGATGATGAGATGTAGTGAGACATGTTCTGCTGCCTGGCTGGCTGAACTGAGTCTGAGCTATGTGACATGGAGCCTCATATAGGCCCATTCCTCGCAAGATTTTGTATTCTTTCTCTCTTTTCACAATGGCTGGCAACTCCTAGACACTTGTAGGTTTCCCTGAATGGGTCTAGAAAATGGGTAGACAAACTAAGGCCCAGGGGCTGGATCTGGCCCAATCGCCTTCTGGCCCGTGGACGGTCCAGGAATCAGCGTGTTTTTACATGAGTAGAACATGTCCTTTTATTTACAATGCATCTCTGGGTTATTTGTGGGGCACAGGAATTTGTTCATTTCCCCCCAAAAAAACATAGTCCGGCCCCCCACAAGGTCTGAGGGACAGTGGACCGGCCCCCTGCTGAAAAAGTTTGCTGACCCCTGGTCTAGAATGCCAGGAAAGATTCACAAATGTGAATCTTGCCCTTGACATGGGCACTGCCATAGTTCAAGAGGCCCTAACGCAAGAGTGTCTCCATTTTCATCTGTGAAACGTTGGAGAATATACTCTGCGGCAGCAGGAAAGACGTATTTTAGGAAAGCTTCTCCACCACCATTACTGATCTTCTCATGGAAGAATCTTTGAGACACTTCCAGGAAGTCCCGGCATCATGCATCGTTGTTCACAGGACCTCTGGTTTGTTGTGTCGCTGCTGCTTACCAGGAAGTAGAGGGGAAGGGGAAAGGTGGCGGCAAGGTTGGCATGGTGCAAACACACCAGTGGGAGTCCAGGACTGGCTCCACCTGTTTATTTGCACCACATCAACCTTACTACTGCCTTACTTATTGAATTCATATTGAATTTATCTACTACCGCCCATGAGTACTTGCCATTCCATCCCCCACATCATGTGCTACTGATGGCCAGGGTTCCCCGGAAGAACGCAGATCAAAAACAACCACTTCACTTCACGATGGCTTTGTTTTGCTTTGGAAAGGATGTCATTTAGACCTGTATCAGCAGCAAATCTGGACCAGCCCCTCATTAAGGTGTGACTCGTCTGATAATCAAACTGTTAACATCTCCTTTGTTTGTAATGAGCCCATAGACCAAACGGCAGCAATGAATGTTTATGCAGAAGCGACAAGGGCAAACGCTGCTGCAATTTGTCTGCAAAGTTGAATTGTTATGCCGCATCTGGAAACAGGGAATTATAATAATGTACTGTGGGGGCAGAGTCAACAATGTTAATGATCAAGTGAGATCCCAAAACTGCTGCAGTATGCAATCAATTTGATAGACTGGTAAGATTCCAAGAAACCTAACCTGTAGTACATCATCGTTACAGCGCTTGAACAAGTCAACTTCCTTGTTTGAGGCTAAGTGCTGGGTTGAAAGAGCTGGGTATGTTTAACTTGGAAAAGAGAAGAAAGAGGGATGATGTGGGGCCAGGACAGGCCAAAGGTTGTCATGCAGAAGAAGGGAGTCTTGTCTTGCCCCAGAGGACACAGCTCAGTCTTATTGACTTAACCTAGAGGAGGTTAGATTTTAGTGGAACATTAAAAGAATCTCATTGGTGGTGAGAGCAGTTTGACAATCAAACCAAAAGCTGGCACTCGGGGGCCGGGTGATTCAGCACCCAGGTATCAGATTTGACAACAGACCTGATAGGGTGAATATTTCACCAGCATTAGCATTAGAGATTGGTTGCAGATGTGACTGGTTTGGTGGCGGGTGAGCAGGGGGCGGTCAACTCAAGTGGCTGATAAGGCATTAGGTTGGTGGGCGGTGGGAGGGGTCGAGAGCCCCCTCCAGTCCAAGAAATCAGGGTATCCCATTAATGGGATCCAATGGGAGGTGCTGTCCACGTGGCCCGATGGGGGCTGGTTGGACATAATACCCTCCCAAATGGTGATCTCAGTGGGCCACCCCGATCTGATGTATGTCATAGGGCCATCTTGTCATGGAAGATAGCTCAGCTGGTCATAGGTCTTTAACCTTGGTTAACCCTACCAAATAATCCCCCAACCAACAGGTTGGTTGATTCGGGAGACACACCCAATGCCTGTGCCAAAACATTGCCAGTATCTGTAATCACTAAAGTTGTGCTCTGTTTATATCCCATTTGGCTGCCCTGTATTTATTGCAGTTCACCATGCCTCAGTCTGCCACCCATGGCTTCACAGCACCTGGACCTGCAACTGATGTTTTAAACAATGCCTTCCAATGCTAATTGGCTGATGCCGTCATCAAGTCTCCACGGCAGCCTACAAAACCAAAATAATAATCATTTGATGACTACGCAGCACCATCTGCAACCCATTTCACAAATATTAACAAGGCGTCCTCAACACCTCTGAGGCATACATAAAAGTCTATTCTCAGTTTATGAGAGGAAACTCCTGTTAACTCACATGTAATCTCTTGTATCTTAACAACAATACCTTCAATGATCTTAAATGGTTTGGATTCTAACCCACTGCGTGTTCTTTTTTTACTTTTTCCTTAATTTTTCACTATAGCAGCCCCAATCACTTCTCTGCATAACCATATTTTTTTATGATAGTTCAACAGAGATTATAGAAAATTTACACACATATTATGTTTCTTCCTCGGCATTACAGAGTGAATTCAAGCAAAAATTGCCTAAAAATGGCAGATTGTATATATCATAGCTTGGGATATGTACAACCACCTGGCTGATGTTGTTTTAATTAAGGATTGTATTCAGTGCTGTGTGAGCAGAGTTCCATTTGTGCACTCCTTTCCTTGCATGGCCCAGAAAACTGCTCCGCAGGGTCCCCCAACTCTCTGTAGCAGATCTTGAGGGTGAATAGGAGACTGCAGGAGACAAGAGAAGAGGAGAAAATTCTAATGTGCAAGTGTGCACACAGCCAGAGGGAAATAATGACACTGATTCTGGATACACTGCAAAGCACATGCCTTCCTTTCAGGTGGTGGTAAAATTGGGGATGAATGTCCAAGCACTATTAAAACTATACAGTGGTACCTCGGGTTAAGTACTTAATTCATTCCGGAGGTCTGTACTTAACCTGAAACTGTTCTTAACCTGAAGCACCACTTTAACTAATGGGGCCTCCCGCTGCCGCCGCGCCGCCAGAGCACGATTTCCATTCTCATCCTGAAGCAAAGTTCTTAACCCGAAGCACTATTTCTGGGTTAGCGGAGTCTGTAACCTGAAGTGTATGTAACCTGAAGCGTATGTAACCCGAGGTACCACTGTATATGTGAACCACAATTGCAACTGGTGACATGCAAGGCCAGTAAGCCGTCAATTATACAGTGGTGCCTCGCAAGACGAAATTAATTCGTTCCGCGAGTTTTTTCGTCTAGCGAATTTTTCGTCTTGCGAAGCACGAAATCCCATAGGAATGCATTGAAATCCAATTAATGCGTTCCTATGGTCAAAAAAAGTCCAATCAAAGCCAAATTTGGTACAACAAGAGTTTATTAACTGCTCTTTAAAGTCACACATACTTTAAAGAGCATATAAAAAATTGAAGGAACAATAAATTAAGTTTCTAAACACGACAGGAAAAACATTTAAAAATCAAAAAAGGGTACATTACATTTTCTAAGACTCCGGGGGACCACTCGAAGAAGGTTCCTCTTCCACTCTTTGCTTCTTGCTGAGGAACCTGTCCATGGTCTGCTGCTTCATCCGCCTTTTCAGCAGCTCCCTGAGAGGCGACATGACCGTCGTATCAAAAATGTTCGCTTGGTCATGTGCCACGTGCTTGTCAGGGTGGTGCCGCTCTGCAAAAGCCTGCACCTCATTCCACTTCTGGCAAATGTCCCTCAGTTCTTTGGAGGACAGCCGTTCCTCAGTTGCTTCCTCCTCTTCCAGCGAGGCCTGCTCCTGCGCAACCTCTGACTGCAGTTCAACCAGCTCCTGGGTGGTCAGCTCGTGGTCGTGCTCCTCCACCAGCTCGCAAACGTCCTCCTCTGTGACCTCCAGGCCCATGGTCCTCCCCAAGGCAACAATGTCCTGCACCACTGTCGACTCTGGTGCATCAGAGTCACTTGGTGCCACACAGTCCGGCCACAGGCTGCGCCAAGCGCAATTCAAATTCCTCTGGCTGATCCCCTTCCAGGCCGTGGTGATCATCTTCAAGCAGGTGACGATGTCGAAGTGGTCCTTCCAGAATTCCCGCAGGGTGATGGTGGTGCAATCAGTCACCTCGAAGCATCGCCTGAAAAGCTCCTTGGTGTAGAGTTTCTTGAAATTGGCGATGACCTGCTGATCCATCGGCTGGAGCAGTGGCGTGGTGTTAGGCGGCAGGAACATGATGTTGATGAAGCTGAACTCCTCCAACAAGTCCACCTCAAGGCCTTTAGGATGAGCAGGAGCATTGTCCATCAGAAGCAAAGCCTTCAGCGGCAGGTCGTTGTCCAGCAGGTACTGTTTGACAGCAGGGCCAAAGGCAAGATTGACCCAGTCCACAAACAGCACACGTGTGACCCAAGCCTTGCTGTTGGATCGCCACATGACACTCAGCCGCTCCTTGTCGACCTTGTGTTTCTTGAAGGCCCGTGGGTTCTCCGAGTGGTACACCAGCAGGGGCTTGATCTTCAGGTCGCCGCTTGCGTTGGCACAGAAGAGCAGGGTCAGACGGTCCTTCATGGGCTTGTGGCCAGGCAACTTGGCCTCCTCCTGTGTGATGAAAGTCCTTTTGGGCATCCTCTTCCAAAACAGCCCGGTCTCGTCGCAGTTGAAGACCTGCTGTGGAACGTAGCCCTCCGTCTTCACAACCTCCAGGAACTCCAAGGCAAAGTCTTCAGCCGCAGGAACATCAGAACTGGCAGCCTCTCCATGCCTGACCACGCTGTGGATTCCGGATCTTGCCTTGAACCGGTCAAACCAGCCTCTGCTTGCCTTGAAGACTTCTGGCTCGGCCGAGGTTCCTGGCTGTTCCCGGATGAGGTCTGCGTGCAAGGCCTTGGCCTTCTCACAAATCACGGCCTCAGTCACTGTGTCCCCTGCACGCTGCTTCTCTTCTATCCAGATGAGGAGCAACTTCTCGACCTCCTCCAGAACAGCTGGGCGGTTCTTCACGATCCTGGTGACTCCCTTGGCTGCATCAGTCGCAAGGATCTTCTCCCTCATCTTCAGGATGGTCCCGATGGTCGATGGGTTCCTGCCGTACTCCCTGGCGAGGTCCGTCACACGCATTCCACCGTCGTGCTTCCGGATGATCTCCTTCTTCATCTCCAGCGTCACCTTCTCCTTCTTCCTCTCGCCGGCCTCCGCAGCAGCAGCAGTCTTCTTGGGTCCCATGGCAGCACAGCTGTTACCTTTGTAAAACTCAGAAAAAGAAAAAAAAAATCAGCAATTCAAACCCACAACCAAGTCCTTGAATTCCAAACACCCAACCCAAAATCCAAAACCCCCAAAAAAGTTTTAAAAGTTTAACTTACGAAATGGCTGCAAATCACCAAAGTCTTCAAAATCCTCAAATGGCTGCAAAAGAAGTTTTGGGAAAGCTTTAAAAATCACCAAAGTCTTCAAAAACCTCAACTGTTCCCCCAGCCCCTCCCCAAGTGTTGCAAACCCCTCCCCAACTGTTGCAAACCCCTCCTCAACTGTTCCCCCAGCCACCCAGCACACAGAAATTCAAAACCCAGAAAATTTTTTTAAAAAAACCAACATGGCCCAATGGTTACAGAAAACCATAAAAATTCAAAAAAAAAGCACACAAGCTCCCAGATTCCTGCAAACCCCTCCTCAACTGTTCCCCCAGCCACCCAGCACACAGAAATTCAAAACCCAGAAAATTTTTCAAAAAAAACAACATGGCCCAATGGTTACAGAAAACCATAAAAATTCAAAAAAAAGCACACAAGCTCCCAGATTCCTGCAAACCCCTCCTCAACTGTTCCCCCAGCCACCCAGCACACAGAAATTCAAAACCCAGAAAATTTTTTCAAAAAAAAACAACATGGCCCAATGGTCACAAAAAATCATAAAAATTCAAAAAAAACCACACAAGCTCCCAGATTCTTGCAAACACCTCCCCAGCTGTTCCCCCATCTACCCAGCACACAGAAATTTAAAACCCAGAAATTTTTTTCAAAAAAAAACAACATGGCCCAATGGTCACAGAAAACCATAAAAATTCAAAAAAACCACACAAGCTCCCAGATTCTTGCAAACACCTCCCCAGCTGTTCCCCCATACCCCCAGCACACAGAAATTTAAAACCCAGAAATTTTTTTCAAAAAAAAAACAACATGGCCCAATGGTCACAAAAAAATCATAAAAATTCAAAAAAACCACACAAGCTCCCAGATTCTTGCAAACACCTCCCCAGCTGTTCCCCCATCCACCCAGCACACAGAAATTTAAAACCCAGAAATTTTTTTCAAAAAAAAACAACATGGCCCAATGGTCACAAAAAATCATAAAAATTCAAAAAAACCCACACAAGCTCCCAGATTCTTGCAAACACCTCCCCAGCTGTTCCCCCATCCACCCAGCACACAGAAATTCAAAAATTCAAAGCCAGATTTTTTTTTAAAAAAAAATAAACATGGCCCAATGGTCACAGAAAATCATAAAAATGCAGAAAAAAACCACACAAGCTCCCAGATTCTTGCAAACCTCTCCCCAACACCAAGTCCTTGAATTTTAAACACCCCAACCCAAAATCCAAAAAACCCCAAAAAAGTTTTAAAAGTTTAACTTACCAAACAGCTGCAGAAGAAGTTTTGGAAAAGCTTCAAAAATCCAGCAAACTCTTTAAAAAGCTCAGAAAGGCCACCACACCGCGTGCAATGTGTTGCTCCTCGAGGTCAAGTCGCAACTGCACCTCTTCCAGCAATGCACCCTGGGTTTTAACGGTTTTACGAAAAGGAAACAAACTTGCAAGACGTTTTCGTCTTGCGAAGCAAGCCCATAGGGACATTCGTCTTGCGAAGCAACTCGAAAACGAAAAAACCTTTCGTCTTGCGAGTTTTTCGTCTTGCGAGGCGTTCGTCTTGCGGGGCACCACTGTAATCACATCATTAAATTGTGATAAAATAGGGTCGTCAGAATTTTGTTCTAAAATTATGGTACCTCAGGCTTTGAATGTGTAAAAAAAAGGTAAAGGTAAAGGACCCCTGGATGGTGAAGTCCAGTCAAAGACGTCTATGGAGTACAGCACTCATCTCACTTTTCAGGCCGAGGGAGCCCGCATTTGTCCACAGACAGCTTTCCAGGTCATGTGGTCATTCTGGTGCAAGGGGACACCGTGACAGAAGCCAGAGAGCACAGAAACACTGTTTACCTTCCTACTGCAGCAGCACCTATTTATCTACTTGCACTGGTGTCCCTTTGAACTGCTAGGTTGACAGAAGCTGGGACAGAGGAACAGGAGCTCACACCGTTATGGGATTCGAACCGCCAACCTTCTGATTAGCAAGCCCAAGAAGCTCCATGGTTTAGACCACAGTGCTACTCACATCCTTATTGTTTGAATGTGTGCAAAATGCCTTTCCCTGATGATGGGAAGTAGTATTATAAACACAATCTGTGTACAGAGAGGATACCTTGAACATATACATTCAGAGCACCCCTCTTCTGAAGTGTGCCATCTATCTAGGTAAAGGTAAAGGGACCCCTGACCATTAGGTCCAGTTGTGACCGACTCTGGGGTTGCGGCTCTCATCTCACGTTATTGGCCGAGGGAGCTGGCGTACAGCTTCGGGGTCATGTGGCCAGCATGACTAAGCCGCTTCTGGCGAACCAGAGCAGCGCACGGAAACGCCGTTTACCTTCCCGCCGGAGCAGTACCTATTTATCTACTTGCACTTTGACGTGCTTTCGAACTGCTAGGTTGGCAGGAGCAGGGACCGAGCAACAGGAGCTCACCCCATCGCGGGGATTCGAACCGCCGACCTTCTGATCGGCAAGTCCTAGGCTCTGTGGTTTAACCCACAGCACCACCTGCATCCCTTGTGCCATCTATCTACTTATGCATTTATTTTTTAAAAAATGCATCTCATTAAAAGTATGGTTGTCACAAAAAACACAAAGCAGGGGATGTTGGCTTCTGCCTCATTCTCTTCCCATCCTGGGAGAAGGTCACAATGAAATTTTGTCCTAGTATAATTCTGATTGACTGATAAAGTTGTGGTAAAGCCATTGTACACAGATACTAGCCAGCTTTGTATGCAGTGTGTGTTTACATTGTAAATAAATAAAGGTATACATATCCATGTCTAGCTGCTAATTGCTCTGTTGGCTCGTTCCCTTTAAATCAGCAATTAAACCTGCTTCGTCTTGCCCTTTTCTGCATCTGTTTATAGCAAGAGCACCTAATAGCTAACATGCTACATTTCCACACATGTAAAACACAACTAATAGCCACTTTCCGGTTTCAAAAGGGTGTTGTGAGAATTGGGGATTAAAGGACCAAGGCTGAAAGAAGTCTGGAAGTATTAGTAAGGCAGTGGTGGTGGAAGAACAAGTGTCACACCATTGGTGGGGGGAGTCACACCCTGGAACGTGCCTCATTGATTGGACGTTAGCTAGCAGTGACTGAAGATTTTAAATCCGCCATATCCTTTTCCCTTTAGGGCTTCTGCTAATGGAAGACTGAATTGTGAATCATAGGTGTTTCCATGTCAGTGAATAAGGCTTGTTTCCCCTACAATTCCACTCTGTGAGCATATTTCCATCCATTTCACACCAATCAGCAGTTCATACCTTGATTTAACCCAACTGTTCTCTTCCTGTAATAAAGAAGGAGGCATGCATAAAAAACTCATCTGCTACAGACACAGCACAACACACGTCCATTCAAAAGTTCTTAATATCTCCCCCAGATCCTTTTAATAGGATACCCCATTTTTGGAGGGGCCAGGCAGAGGCTACAACCTCCCCTCCAACCAAGACTATGCCTATTCAATGCCTAAACCAGCAAAGTTGTCACAATTGTTATGAGGAAGGTGAAAACCAGAGGTCTGGAGCCAATTTGCCAGCTGGGAATATTCCAGCCTGGGCCCGAATTTGGCGACCGGCTACGCCATAGCAAGGGCGGGGAGAACAACATGCAACAGCAATATATAAAGCAGGCTTCCTCAACCTTGGCCCTCCACATGTTTTTGGCCTACAACTCCCATGATTCCTAGCTAGCAGGACCAGTGGTCAGGGATGATGGGAACTGTAGCCTCAAAACATCTGGAGGGCCGAGGAAGCCTGATATAAAGGGTGGGATGGCGGGAGATCCAACAAAAAGTGGCTGCAGAGCAAGCCACATGTCTATGTCATATACTGGAGGGGTGGGCTAAGCCCTCACCCTGATGGCCCATGCTGGCTCATGATTCGCTGATTAGGTGAGCGGGCGGGACCAATTACCCAGGCAGCAAGCTCAGCCCAGAGGCCTCCTTTGCTGCCTAGGAAACAATCCCTGGGACCTCCCACGTCAGATGCTGGCGCTTGGGGGAATTCCAGCCCACAATGGTGCCCACCTGAGAGGGCAAGTAGACCAATAATAATAATAATGCGAACATGAGATTGTTTTGACACTGAGGCAATTAGTTTACTGTTGACAACAGAGATGATTACTATCATTATCGTTATCAGACAGGAAGGATGGGCATGTGGTTAGAAACACTTTTCTTGGAATGTAAGAAAGCTTGAGTTTCTGTTCCAGTTCAGTGTTAGTAAACTGAGAGTAGTGATGGATCTGCCAGCCTTGGTTCTCTTAGTTTTTCATTTTTCCAGTCTTAAATTCAGCTCTCCACATTTCTGCCTAATGATCTCCTGCTATATATTTTAATCCTCATAAAAATTCGTCAGCCTTTTAGTATGAATTTCTCCTAATAAACACATTTTCGTATGCGGTTTTGACTAATGCGCACATTTTTGCAAGCAATTCCCCCCCAAGAAATGCATTTTTACATTTTCAGTAAGATATTCAGATGCATTTTTGTGAACACTTGTTGCAAAACTGTATCGCAAAATTCAGATAAGTGGGGATTTTGAAGTGTTATGGTTCACATATTGTTTCAGAATGTGTGGGTTTGATCCCTTACAGGGGATAATGATCCCTCCCACATTACTAGTACATTACTGAATAAATAAAGGAAAAACTATGAGCACTTATGTGTTGGGCTAAGTGTTCTTATTCAATGTGGTTCTGAATCCATCTTCAAAAGTTCAGATCACCTTACATTCAGTTCCCACAGCCCACAGGGGTTCAGCTGCGCCACTGTCATTAATGTGGTATGCAGTTTGTTGTATTTACTTTTTTAGAATCCTTTTTTCTCCATGTACTTCCATCTGTACCATTTTAGGTAAGTTGCCATCTGTAATATAATATCCCTCCAACTTATATTTGCTATGTCTGCTGTAAGG